AGACAAAACCCATCAAGGATGTGCCTCCGCCACCTCCGCCTGCCCAGGAAGAGGGAGAGTTTCGCGTAAAGAGCAAGAAGGAAAAGGAGAAGGAGAAGAAGGAACGTGAGAAGCAGCGGAAGAAGGAGCAGGTATGTTGGAGAGGGTCTCCGCAAGCTATATTACATGCTAACCCGACCTTTCTGGTATAGGCTGCCACAAAGAAGAAGGCCACTCCTGCTGAATCCAAGGCTCAACCGACCAAGGCTGCTGCCGAGCCTGCAAAGCCAGCTGCTGCGGAATCAGCCCCTGCCGCGGAGCCAGCGGGTTCTAAAAAGAAACTCAACCCTCGACTGGCGATGCTTCAGAAGCAACAGGAGCTCCTCAGACAGCAGCGTGAAGAGGAAGAGCGAATCCAGAGAGAAGCGGAAGAGGCCAATGCAAAGAGGGAGGCTGAGGAGGCCGAGGAAGAGAAAAAGCGGGAGGAGGCTCGTCAGAAGAAGAAGGAGCGTGAGCGAGAGAAGAAGGAAGAGCTCCGCAAACAGGGCAAGCTGCTCACCAAGGCCCAGAAGGAACAGCAAGCAAAGAATGAATTGCGGATGAAGCAGATGCTTGCCGCGGGTAGCAAGGTCGCGGGTCTGGAAGCCGGAGCTGAGAAGAAACGCCCTATCTATGATCAAAAGAAGAAGAAGAAGGGTGGTAAGAAGGAAGAAGACGACCTTGAGGCCGCCGCTGCTCGCGCTCAGGCTCAGCGGGAGGCGGAAGAAGAGCGCCGAAAGAAGGAGGCCGAGGAGAAGGCCAAGGCTGAGGCTGCCGCCGCCGCCGCTGCTCCTGCGGAGGACAGCGATGGTATCGACGACTGGGAGAAGGCTGCCGACATGGACGACGACGTGAAGGACAGCTGGGATGCTCCTTCGGATGAAGAAAAAGAAGAAAAAGAAGAGAAGAAGCCAGCCGCCAACGGCGAAGCCAAGGCTGGGGACGAGTCTGAAGAAGATTCCGAAGAGGATTCCTCTGAGGAAGACTCCGAGGACGAGGAGCAGAGTGCCGCTCAAAAAGCCCTTGCACAGAAGAAGGCAGAGGCCGCCGAACGGAAACGAATCCAGCACGAGGAGGCTATGAAGGCTCGTTCCAAGGACAACCTGCGCTCTCCTATCTGCTGTATTCTTGGACACGTCGATACCGGAAAGACCAAGCTCCTCGACAAGATCCGACAGACCAACGTGCAAGAAGGCGAAGCTGGTGGTATCACGCAGCAGATCGGTGCCACTTACTTCCCCGTGGATGCTCTGAAGCAGAAGACTGCCGTGGTCAACCAGGACGGCAAGTTTGAATTCAAGATCCCCGGTCTGTTGATTATCGATACTCCCGGGCACGAGTCTTTCTCCAACCTTCGGTCAAGAGGTTCGTCTCTTTGTAATATTGCTATCCTGGTTGTCGATATTATGCACGGCCTCGAGCCCCAGACTCTCGAGTCTATGCGTCTTTTGCGTGACCGCAAGACTCCGTTCATCGTTGCTCTGAACAAGATTGATCGTCTCTACGGCTGGAAGAAGATCGACAACAACGGTTTCCAGGAGAGTTTGGCGATGCAGAGCAAGGGCGTCCAGAATGAATTCCGCACTCGTCTGGAACAGACCAAGCTGGCTTTTGCCGAGCAGGGTTTCAACTCTGAGCTGTTTTTCGAGAACAAGTCGATGGCTAAATTCGTCTCCCTGGTGCCCACCTCCGCTCACACGGGCGAGGGTGTTCCCGATATGCTGAAGCTCTTGACCACCCTGACGCAGGAGCGCATGACCAACGCGCTGATGTATCTGTCCGAGGTGGAGTGCACAGTTCTCGAGGTCAAGGTCATCGAGGGTCTAGGTACTACCATTGATGTGGTCCTGTCCAACGGTGTTCTTCGTGAAGGTGACCGGGTTGTGCTGTGTGGTCTGAACGGACCTATAGCTACGAATATTCGAGCACTTTTGACACCCGCGCCACTGAAGGAACTGCGTCTGAAGTCGCAGTACGTCCACAACAAGGAGGTCAAGGCCGCTCTTGGTGTCAAGATTGCTGCGAATGACCTGGATAATGCCATCGCTGGCTCCCGTCTGATGGTTGTCGGTCCCGATGATGATGAAGAGGACGTTATGGACGAAGTCATGTCTGATCTGGAAAATCTGTTGAGCCGTGTCTCCACGGACCAGCGCGGTGTCACCGTCCAGGCGTCCACCCTGGGTTCGCTCGAGGCCCTTCTCGAGTTCTTGCGAGTCTCAAAGATTCCCGTTGCCAATATCTCCATCGGCCCAGTCTACAAACGCGATGTCATGCAGGCCGGAACGATGCTTGAAAAGGCCAAAGAATACGCCGTTATGCTGTGTTTCGATGTCAGAGTTGACAAGGATGCTGCCGCATACGCTGCGGAAATTGGTGTCAAGATCTTCACGGCCGACATCATCTATCATCTGTTTGATGACTTCACTGCCCACATGGCCGAGCTGACTGAACAGCGGAAGGAAGAGAGCAAGCTTCTTGCTGTCTTCCCCTGTGTCGTTAAGCCTGTGGCTGTTTTCAACAAGAAGGACCCCATCGTTATTGGTGTCGACGTCATCGAAGGCAGCCTGCGCATGCACACTCCGCTGTGCGTTATCAAGACCAATGCCGCTGGTGCCAGGGAAGTGATCGATATCGGCAGAGTGTAAGTTTGTTTTCTATCTCTGGTTTGACTTGTTCTCTAACTCTCTCCCCCTTCTCTAGAACATCCATCGAGCGAGACCACAAGGCTGTCCCGGTCTGCAAGAGAGGCCAGCCCTCTGTGGCCGTCAAGGTCGAGGGTCCCAATCAGCCCATGTACGGCCGCCAGATCGAAGAGAAGGACCAATTGTACTCGAAGATCTCGCGCGCCAGCATCGACACCCTCAAGGAGTTCTACCGGGCCGAGGTGTCGATGGAAGAGTGGGCCCTGGTCAAGAAGCTCAAGCCTGTGTTTGAGATTCCGTGAAGTGGATGCACCGAGTTTTCATTTTAACGTTGGGAGCATGGGCAATAAACCCTAGGGGCGCCACAGGGTCGTCGTTCAACGGGTCTCACGGCCGAGTCAGAAGTGTCCGAACGTGATATGATTGCCATGAAAAGGAGGGAAAAGTTATTTTGTTGATTGCGATATGGACATACAATGAATGACTACGACGATGTGACGGATGGACGGCCTAGGAATCGTGACTTGACCGTTTTTTTTACTAACAACAACTCCTGTATATGGCCTGGGAGTGAGTGAGAGCCGGATTTGATCTTTTTGTTAACTCTTATCTGTCGTTAGAAACCGTTGAATGGATATTTGTTTGATCTTACTATAGTATCAACTGCATGCCGAGTCAATATCAATTTAAGGCCTATTCTCTCTATATACAGTACAATCCCCCAACGTAATAAATAATTTACAGATCCTCTCCCTCCCACTTCTCAACCTTTCCACCCCTCTTCTCCCAATCCAACCAAGACCCCTCATACACTCCAATGCGAGCCGGATCATACCCAGCCTGGACAGCCAACTGCGCTGCGGCACGAGCACGCACACCAGCCTTGCAATAGAACACCATCTCTCCATCTTGTTCCGAGCCGGGCTTGGGAAAGCCAAACCGCGTCTCGAACTCGTCCGGTGTGAGGAATAGAGCGTCGGGCTGAGACGCGAGCGGGATGGCCACTGCTGATGGGATTATTCCTGTGCCGGTTAATTCGGCGGGTTCGCGGACGTCAATTAGGATTATGGGAGCGTGAGTTGGGCTTGTGGGTGAGTCGGCGGGAAGGGAGGCGTTGATCTGGGGGGTTGAGTTAGTATATGTTTTGGACATGGGTCGGGTGTAAAACAATTAGAGGAGGGAAGCTATGTGTGACTTGAGAGTAGAAAGTACATAGAATGGAAGCATACCTCCTCGAACCCCCACTGCCGCAGACTATTATCCGTCGAAGAATCATTGCTCTTCCACCGAAGACTCTGTCGCCGGTCATAAGATTGCTGATACTTCTGTGTCTGAACGTTCAAGCCCGTGACCAAAGGACAAGGTCGTGTCCGCGCGGAGAGAGACGTGATCGTTTTAGTGGCCGCGGATGAACACGGGCTTCGGCGTGAGATAGCGGGTCCCAACGGCGCTGTAAGCTTGGCGGATGCTTGTCCAAGCGCTGAGCGTCGCAGCGCGGATGAGAATGGTGTCGCCATGGCTGTGCTGCTTGGGTAGGTGGTTTGTTGGAGATGCGTTTGTTCGGGTTCGGGGTTGTGATGTCAGGGTCTGCCGCCGAACACCGCCTGCGCGTTTGGGGGCATCTGATGGATGGACTGACTGGAATGCGTAGAATAGGTATTTGGCCTAGATGCCTGGTTATAGATTATCTTCAAATTGATCAGATATCTTCTACATTTGTTTCGACATTCAGAATGGCCCTTTTATAATACTATATGATACGTTAGTCGTTATATATCAAGTCGTGATAACAGCCACCCTACCCACTCCGTATGCAAAAAGTTGACCTTCTACGGTCACTAAGTGGTAATATAAAGAGGTAAGATATCCTCTGGTCTAGCTACACTAACTATGCGAGGAGGCTAGACTAAACTGCAAGGTATCTACCTCGATGAACATAACTTTGCATGCGGTTTAGGCTATAGGCTCCTTCTACACTAGGGAGGAATTTCTATTTATCGAGATCTCATACATTTCTTTAGAAAGATGGATCCTCCCTCATGAGTTCAATCACTCCATCCTTGCGTCATAGCCCCAGGCATTTCTTCGGTATTCTTGACACAGCGTGTAATTGGTTGCGACATGTTATAAGGATCAACTTTCCCTCATCGCACTAGTGGTGTCACGCTCCTTTCTATAACTTTTTCAATGATACACACAACGTCAATCTGGACATGATGTAGATTCAAGGGCAGAGTATTCTCATGATTGCCCCCTCCGGACGCGTTTTAAGCGGTTTGGACGGACAAGGCTTTATTGAGGAGAAGTCTGTGGATAGTTTTGTTTCAAAGATTGTACTCAACCAGTCCACGATCCCTTGTCCTCAAGCTCAGGGAAGATGGACCACGCAAACTCCTCGCTGATAGGATCATAAGCAGAATACTCCTCGCCCATCTCATGCCCTACCGGGTTTGATGAGGTTGGGGAATGGTTCCCAGGGTTGATGGAATAAGGTCCTAAGGGAATAGGCTGACTCGCGTTGGGTCCCCCGACAGAGCCAGAGCCAGTTGCAGATCCCTCCCCGACAATTCGGTGGCACATTTGTGCATGATTGACGGACTGGATATCTCTTTCGTGTTGCCCTTGCCGATCGGAATGCGACGATAGGTCGCTGATATCGAATCCCATGGGCATCGCCAACCGGCGGAACGCATTGTCACATAGTTTCCATGCTCTATGTGAAGCGACGCTATGCTCGGACGTTCTGTGGAGCCATCGAACACACTTCTTGGCCAACTGTAGCAGACTACTCTCAGCCTCAGGCATGTGGAAACTGCCAAACGAAAGTTCAAGGATCATGACCGTTGCTGCCTGCATAACATAATGAAGAAGACACCACCAAGGGTGGGCTCCATGTAGCCGGTCAGTATTCGGCCCATCTGGAATAAGATTCGCCATCTGAGTGGCAGATTTCAAGGCTGATACAGCCATGGTATGGGTAAAATGACGATCCTCGTCGGATCCTCTCTGGGAAGTGTTGTGCCGGCAGAGACATGGTCGACCCAACATAATTCGCGCACTATGATATTGGAACGCCAAACCCATCTTCTCGCCATGGGCCTGATCACCATCTTGCACGCGCGTGAAGTCCAAACCAGGCGGAAGTGAGGAGACCCAAACATCGACACTAGCTTGAAGTTCATCAATATGGTTTCTCACACTCCTCCAACGTTGGTGCACAGCGGTTACTGAGTAGACGCGGTCTAAAAGCTCTTGCATCATAACTGTGAGGTCGCAGGAGTAGAGGAAATACAGTCCAGCGTTGGCAGGGAGGCTATGAAGCCATGAGCGAGCGGATAAAATGTCTTCTTCGCTGCCGAAATTGCTAAATGGCGTCTGTCGAAGGTGTGAGCTTGCCATAGCAGTGTTTAGGCGCTTGTCCCGGAGATCTGGATCATCGAGGAGCAAAGTGGCGGATGGCTCTTGCAGTTGAGTTTCCTCAAATGGGAGAGGAAACGGCGAGCTACACATGTTCATCGAGATACAAGTAGTTCGGCCGGTCATCATACCAAGTTTGTTCTCGATGGTGTACAGAGACCACCAGACTCTGTTGCGCACTTCCTTGGACATACTTGAAACCTCTTGGCCGCAGTTCTTCAAGTTGATGCCCAAAGAGACTGCGGACCGTATCGCCAAAGACGAGATTCTCCATGCCCTTAATAATGACCTGTCAGCTTCAATCCTAAAGAGTAGGATTTTCCTCTATTACCTGTGAATTTGATCCGTAGAAAGCAGATAGAACGCGATTAAGCCCTCCACCTGAACTTGCTGAAGATCTGGATGGCGAAACAGGTCACCGCCACTCATGCTCAGCATCCGAGCTCGGGTAAGAAAGAAGAGGTGACTTTGATCATCTCCATACCACTCTAAGCCGGCTGACTGAGCATAGCTGGCGGCAATGGCGAATATAATGTTCAAAATTGCCATCCATTTATCACCAGGTACAGCAAAAGTGTCAAAAAATTTCCGGTATTGATGGCAAAACAAAGGACGATTAATGATTGGGAAATACGGATGAGCCACCTGCAGATAGGTTTCGAAAAGTTTGTCCGCCAGTGGCCGAGGTGGCAGCCAATACATCTGCACCGGCTCCGATACTTCTATTTCGAAATCATCCAGATGATAGTTTGCCTCATGAGGGGCAAACTTATCACCAATCATATCAATTTCGCTGGAGCCAAGGCCCTCAGCTTGGAACCTACTGTGCCTTTCTGCCTCCTCTTGCAAACGCTGCATCCAAGTGATATCCGAGCTCTTTCCGACATGCCCTGTGGCCCGGGATTGATCGGTGAGGTTGATATCATCTCTCACTTGGTCCAGAGCATCCAGTGATCCAAGGGAGGCAGGTGAGCTGTCTTGCTCTCCCCTCCCTTCATCTTGGTTATGTCCTGCGCGAGATGTCGGGCTCCTGGAGATATCCTTGGATACATAGCCTGAGTCCGAATCCTGCTATAGAAATTGGATTTAGTAAGGGTATAAACCGAAGCCGGGAATTTAGATTCTCGGAGCACAGAGAACGATTCGCCTTACCAATAGATCTTTGATTCGCTTAGCTGTGCGTCCTGGCACGAGAAGCTCCACCTCCCTCAGTAGTGTCTGACACTCCTGCAGTTTGCTCAGAAGATCTTCATTTTGCCTGATAACGATAGAATTTAGCCTGCGATGGTCGCGTAGCAAATACAGGAACATCGCCACCGTTTGTATCAATGCTTCGGAGCAGGAATGCAATTTGTGCGAACGTACTTCGTCATTCTCTCACGCAGTCCTGGCGGATACACACACGTCGCCCTTAATTCACGACATTGCCTGCAAACCGGGGCATCGCCGCTGCACTTCGTTTTTCGTAGCCGGCATGATTCGCATGCCCGAGGAACCCGCCTGCCGTGCCTCGGTGAGGCGGCCGACCGTTGTCGAGGGATCGCGATCTTCGCAGGTCTCGCCCCTGCCAAAGATACCGGTGCGAAAGTGGTAGGTGTTTGTGCCAACGAGCTTCTTCTAGCGTTCGGTGTGTGGGAAGCGCTTGCAGTTACCGAGACATCACTTTGGGACCATGGCCCTGGCCACTCGTCTTCCCCGATAAATTCTCTCGGCGGTTGAGACGGCTGTTCGGCCATAGAAACATGTTAAGCTCTGCACCTTTTTAAGTGTTTTGACCTCGTCCAAAAACAACCAGCGCTGAGAGATAGAAAGTTGGCGATAATTAAGAGTGGCAATGGGAGATACAGGAGCGAGAAAACGAAACAAGATTATTTCTACAATGAATCGACAAATTCCCCTTGATGACATTTAGTGGGATACCAGATTTGCTCCAATACAAATGCTTTGGGAAGGTCTGATGTCATTGTTTGGTCATTGTGAAATCAAGCGGAGTCCGATATGCCAATATCAAGAACACCTCGCTCATCAGCTTTGAAGTTACAGTTAGGCTTCAGTTTCTCTTCAAATCGTTGTCTCATGTCGAATAAACCGGGTCACAAGCACCCCGGCGCAGGCTCAGCTACTCACTCGAATGAGCAAAATGTAAGTCGACCTATCTACTCGAACGGCGTCCACAACGCCTAGATGAGCGAACATGGCGCGCTAATGAACCTATCTCAGACCTATGAGAGCTCTGCGCCTGTCACAGGCGGACGACCCAGAGATGCCGGTGATGTTAGAGGGCCATCAGGTCCCCACTATGGCGAAGTAACAAAAGCTATTGCCGCTGAACCGAGCTACGACCGTGAGCTACTCTTTGAACTTTTCGAGACGGTTCGCCGCGCGGATCGGAGCCATGAACAGAAACTCCTTGAGATGATCCAAGATCGCAAGCCTGTGCAGCAACTCCGTGCCTTTCTCGAGGGAATGTTAGCGAATGCCGGACTGTCTGAATTGAATGACCAAATAGTTGGTCGTTCACGCAGAGCAGAGATCGAGAATGACGCGCCTTCAGTTCGTCCCATGGTTATGGACATACACTATTTGTGTGACATTGTCCCGTATAGAGTCCCTGCAAAACCGTGGACAACCGTCACGGACAGCGACGACTTGGTTTCACATTTAGTGTCACTGTACCTGACTTGGGGTTACCCTTTCTACGCCTTTTTCTGTCGTGAAACATTTGTTAAGCATATGAGATCTGGGCAGCTGAACTCGGACTTTTGTAGTCCCTTTTTAGTGAATGCTCTCCTCGCCAATGCGTGTGTAAGTGACCAGCCCAGCCATTCAGCCCTAGTATGATTAAATAAGCCTGACTTATACAGTTCTACTCGGATTACTCGGAGGCATATAGCTTACCTGGGGACGTGAAAAGGAAGGGTGCCCATTTTCTGGCCGAAGCCGAACGGCATCTGAAATCGCATCAATTTGAGAGCGGGAGCGATATCCGTCTGGCTTCTTTGCAGGCATCTCTTCTGTTATATGAGAGGTAATAGTACCTCGGTTTCATGATGTTCTATGTTCTTACTCTGACTTGGTGACTCTCCAGGTACTCCATGGATGGTACCGACGATTTTGGATATACAATGCTCCATAGAGCAATAGGAATGGCGGAGTCACTCGGCATTGTGAACAGTGCTAGAAAGCCACGCCTGGAAGAACCGTATATGTCTAAGGACATGATATCCTCTCTCAAGCGAACTGCATGGGGTTTATTTCAGATTGATACGTAAGGCTTTTTCGATTCGGTCAGAATATTTCAAACTAACCTTCTTGCAGAATCGTTCACATGAACTTCCTCAGACAGAGTCATATAAAGGACGTGAATGTGGACCGCATCGACCGTGAAGAAACGCCGCTGGATGAATTATGGACACCATATCCAATCCAAAGAGAACCCCGATATTCTTACATGAGCTTATATTTTGATGAGGCATGCAAGCTCTCTTACATCGCAAGGGATACGGCTTTGGAGATGCCGCGCGCGCTCATGGATGTAAAGCTCAAGCAAGAGGTATACAGTCGGCTGCAAGAGTGGGGACGGAAGCTGCCCCGGATCTTCGACCCGAAAGAGGTTCAAGCACCGTATATCCTCATCCTCATGTTCGTGCTGCCATTACCTTTTACTCAGTTCTGGTTGGTGTACTAATGGGCAATCTCCCGACAGGATGCGCTATCACACACTAGTGATCAACCTGTGGTGCTATGATCTCCAAGACAATTTGGCATCCATAAAAGCAAGCGAAGACACTCCTGATTCGGCTATCCCGGATAGTTATGCTGTCAAGATCGCACTATCCTCTGCGCGAGATATTGCCTATCTTATCGAAGTTTACAGAGCGGAATACGGGCTGATATATTGCCATCAGTTTGCTATGTATGCTATCAATGTGTCACTGTTTTGCATGCTTGCACAGGAGTCTTTTGATATCTTGGATTCCGATTTCTTGAGTCTCACAAGTGCATTTTCCACCGTTGCCTGCCGTACGAAGGTGGGGAGGCATCTTTTCCATGCATTCAAATTGTCCGTCCGCTCCCGAACGCAAGGTGGACAGAGCCTCAACACTGATGATGTCTCACCTGTGATCAGGGAACTCTTTGGGCCACGTGAAAAACCAGGTGAACCGGACAGATGGGATCACTATGCGGAAGGGTTGGCAGAGGTGGAGGGTGGAGGAAGCTTCCTCGGAGAACTTGATATGGATCCGATCGTACCTGGATTGGTCGACATGCTCAAATGGTACGAGAGAATGAGCATTGGGAAAGGCATCCGGTGGAGAGGAAACAGTCGAGATCCTGCTTTCTAATTTTCTCTTATCATTTTTATAACGGCAACGCTACTAGGTAAATTCCATGAGACTTTTTCCCCACAACTTTTTGGCGCAAGGATAACGTAGCTCGAGGACCCCTCCGTCCCGTAGAAATTAGCCTCGATGTGCCCGCGCTAAATGAATCATATCCAACAGACTACTCCAATCTGGAATGGACATTGATTGTAGTACTGAGAGAAAATCATGGGTTCCAACGAGCAATGATCGCACTGTCACTTTTGTAGGTGCATTCCTCCCTGATATTGTATTGGGAAAGTTTCCTCCCAGCGGCGCATGATTACGAAGATAAAGCTTCAAAGGATACAGAGCTTGCAGTTGCTACATAACATCATCCTGCAACTTCTAGCCTAATTCTGCTTTCTTGTTCCAACTTTGGCGGGGCGTCCTCGACGACCCTGATACTGCAAATAGCCGTAGTAGACACAGCCGGCAATAATTGCGACGACAACGATATTGCCTTTTCGCATGAATTGTTAGTGTTTCGCGACTCTGGTAGCTGGCATCGGAAGTCTTACTGGCAATAAACTTGCCTATTCCACCTGCGGCTTCCAAGGTATTTCCCACGCCACGTAGCGCCATTCTGATAGTGCCAACGAACAAGTCAAAGACGGCCGCCAGGAGCCCATAGATTGCATCGAACGCGCTTTTGAACACGGAAAATATGACCTCAAACACAGAGGTGACCAGGTCCTTGACGGAAGTTATGACTGACGACATGGTTGTTGTAGCGGTTGGGCGTGTTGTGCGGACTTGAGGAGAATGAAGATAGTTATTTCTGCGCAACTAGAGAGAGGTAGATCCTGATTGTGGTAGTAATGGAAATATATAAGGTCAGAAAACAAGTTGTTTCTCGATGACGAAGCGCATACCGCCTCTTGAGTGGTATTTCTATTAGGACAGAGCAAAGCTAGGCAGAACTGGTGTTTCCCTGCTTCTGGTTTTATATTAGGATAGGTACGTTACATCATAATACATCACAAATGGCCTGGTCCTGGCACGGTAAGTGTTACGTTGTGATGACAGCGCGTTTCTCGGAATGCAGACTTATCATTCTTTTAAATGCCTGCACGCTCTTTTTTTTATCATTATATTTAAACTCGAGCTGCTTATAAAATTACTATTTCTTAACTTGAATACCGAGAAGCTAGATTTGGGATGCCATGACGTAAATCTTCAGGACCTTGGTTTAGAAGTTCTGGGGTTTGGGTATTTAGATATATCCCCGGTTTCTTCACTCTGGTTAAAGCTGAGGCTCGTGCAGTGATTTCTGTATGACGCAATTTGTAGCAAAAGGCATCACAGGATTCTCCGTCCCCCAAAAATCTATACAATGCTATCAATCCCTGAGAAGTAGCCAAACGAAGATTATTCTTTTCAGTATGTGGTTGTTGGACAAAATTCACGCTGTATTCGACGCTGGCCTTCACTACTTGAAACTCATCGAGGATCGACAGGTCGGCTGGTTAACTCTGGACCGCAAGTCAGGCGATTTTAAACGCGAACAACAAAGCCTTTGGAAAAAGCTAAAGCTTTTGTTGTTGTTCAATCCTGTAATGGAATGGATTGATCGGACGCATGCTCTGCGTCTTTGGACGCACAAGAAAAACATCTCAGCCGGTAAGTGCACAGAGTCTAAACTACATTTGCTCTTCATTCTCTACGTCGGAAGATGCCGAACAGAATTTTGCAGGACAACGAATGGGCACGCCACAGTCCCATGCTCAAATTAAAGCTTTCGTTGATTTTTACCATATTGACATGGGCGCCTTCGAACCTTCGGATCCTGAGAGCTATCCTACTTTTGAGGATTTCTTCGTTCGCAAATTTGCGCCTAATGCAAGGCCAATTTTTGCGCGAGGGGACCCAACTAAAGCTATCGCCGTGGCGGACTCACGAGCAGTTGTTTACCAGACCGTTGAGAAAACCCGGGCGCTGTGGATCAAAGGGAGCCGATTTACAATTGAGAATCTGATCAAGGACGGTAAACGCAGTGACAAATGGAGGAACGGCCCAGTCGCCAGTTTCAGACTCAGTCCACAAGACTATCACCGATACCACTCCCCAGTCAAGGGAAAGGTCAAGTGGTACAAACACATTGCGGGCGACTACCTTCAGGTCGACCCAGTGGCGCTACATAGCTCTGTCAATATTCTGACCGAGAACGCGAGAGGGTGCGTTTGCATTGAAAGTGAAGACTTTGGCGATGTGCTCTTCGTGGCAATCGGTGCTACGGATGTGGGGACTGTCGAGTAAGTATCAGTTTTCTGATTCCGTCTTCCACGCTCACGGCGCAAAAGGATCCATGACGAAATAAAACAAAAAGGGCACTCTGTCCAAAAGGGCGATGAGCTTGGTCTTTTTCAGTTCGGGGGGTCAAGCATCATTGTGGCTTTCGAGCAGGGTCGGATCGAGTTTGATGATGATCTTGAACGGTTCAGCAATCAAGAAGTTATGGTGGATGTGGAGGTTGGAATGAGTCTGGGCAAGGCAACCCGTCCTCGCGTACCCAAGCCGCGTTGATTGTGGGTGATTTGTATTCTACATTTATGCTATCTTCTTTGCTGATGTTAAACCGGACCTTTTTTAGTACACATCCAGCTGATTTGGTATATCGCGATCTCAAACCGGGCAATGTGTCAGTCAACAACCCGTATTGCAATAACGATTTGAGATCCCAGTTGGGTGCGGCTCTTGTATCTTGTCTTATGACCATGGTTTTCGAGAAAGTTGTTTGCGTTTCTCTACATTTTCGTGGGATAGAGACGTTTGGACACGATTAAACATATCTTAAACATATCTCGAAGCCGCCATTACAACACATCATTTGCTCCCAAAGCAATGACCGTGTATAAATTTCATCACCTCAGCAATGATCAACTTAATGAGTACATCAGAACACGCCATTTCACCCCCCTTCTCCAGGCCGAACCCAGTGATCCAATTTGTCCACCAGCTGAACATTCCACGGCATTTCATTTTACCCCCGAAGCAAAGACTAGGATATAGATTTTACCACCGTCCAAGGCTTCCATAAATATTTTTTAAGTATCACCGCTCTGTATTTCGAGAGTTTCTGGGTTGTGCGCCACTATCTTCCCATCCTTGTTATGCAACAGGACCTGTGGGGACTGTCAGTATGGTCTCTTCGCCATGAGGATTACGATATTTATCTTTACCTTTGGGGGGTGCTTGACTGATCTCTCGTTTGCTCGTTGGTCATCGGTGATAATTTCTTCCACCTGCACGCAAGTCAACATAAAAGACTACCTTCTTTCTGCACGTATCGTTCTAGGAGGAATCGGTACAGCATGGCATTTCTGACTCACCTTCCCCTCGTGTGTTCCTCCGCGAATCCTGGTGAAAACATAATCACCCTCGTGAATAACATTGCCATGCTTATCTGTGATCTTATTGGCTTCCATCTTCAGCAAAATTATCAATGAACAGTCAGTCTTTTTCTGGGCCTGAGAAGGAACGGGAGGTTCATATGAACATCCTATTTATTCGCCTCTCGTATTTCGACTTGCTTTAATACGTCAGGCTGATGTAGGTCCAGCGAGCCCTCCAAGTCAGCGACGTCAAGATCTTACATCATCAAGTTTCTGTACAGGATCTAAAATATGATTCCCAGTCGCAAAGCATGCTGACATCATAAAGTAACAATTCCATGGCCAGATGTAGTGATTTAAAGTCTATGTTGACATCAAATAGACCGGCCTTACCAGGTTGCGTTGGATAAGCTGGCTACCTTTCTCCAAGCCCCTGTACCAATTGGCTCAAATATGTCAGCCTGGAGTACATCCCCATGGGCTAATTTTCCTCCTAATAAAACATTTCTCGATCTGTATGAAATGAACTCCATTAAGACTAATCACCCGCACTCTATCCGTGACATGCATGATGCAAAGCTAGTCACTTAGGACTTATTCCCATATCGTTTTAGAACTCGAGCCCTAACTTATGTTCCGCATCTTCGTAGATTGCCATTTTCTGAAGAGCAGTAAATTCCTTTTGGGGCGAATATGATATAGAGCACTGTGTGCTATAAGCAACTCCTGCCACCGGCCTCCACTTCGCCCGCTACGAAACCAGGATGATGTGCTCGATAGCAATCAACTACACCATTCACTTTCTAAGGCAGTCGTGACTTTCCCAGTTTCCTGCTCGAGGCAAGCGCACTGGCCAGGCCAAACTGCGTTGAAATCCCGTTGACGCGATGTGTCGAGTTTAGATTCTTAACGACAACCATCTGGTAACAGGTGGCGGAGCCCTGGCGAGAGGCGATGACGGACCAAGCGAGAAAGAGTTCCCAAATCTATCATGCATTAGGCTTGACAACACAAGATTAGACCACGGATGACACTCACCCTGTACCATCTAGGTCCATATTTGGCCGTAATTGCTTCAAAATTTCCGATCCAGTTACGATACCATCTCCAAAGCGTCCCAGAATAGTGGACACCGATAGTATCAATTCTGTTCGCCGTCAGTGTTTGTTCAATTGAGAAAATGCATCTGGTCGTGAACCCACCCCTTAACTTCAAATCCAGCTTGTTCCAAGCACTTGACGTAATACCACAGAGGAGTCGAAGCGTCTGCGCCACGAAAAATGTACTTATTCAAGTACAAACCCCAGATGAAATCCTCGTACTGCCATGCCTGTCTCAGGCCAGAAAGCTGAACGAACATGCTTCCATCGTCGTTTAGCATATCATAGCACTGGCGGAAAAATCCGGTAAGCTTCCGGATACCGACGTGCTCCCCCATTTCCAGCTGTGTAATTTTGTCATACTGCGTGCGGGGAATATCGCGGTAGTCCATACAGAGGATCCGGCTCTGTTGTTCACTGATTCCGGCCTTCCGGAGAGCGTCATTCCCCCAAGCGGTTTGGTTTTCCGCAATAGTAAGCCCCGTCACTTTAGCGCCATAGTTCAGACTGGCAAATTTGGCCAACGTTCCCCAGCCGCAGCCAATGTCCAGCATCGTCTCGCCTTCTTTTAGGCCTATCTTCTCGCACACGACTGCCATTTTGTTATCCTGCATTTCCTCCAGGCTTTCTTCCTGCTCTGGGTCCGAGATGATTCCCGAGGTGTAGATCATACGAGGGCCGAGGAACCAGGCGTAATGGTCGTTGCCGCGGTCATAGTTGGGCCGGATCTGCTCTTCATCCTGGGACTTTGTGTGGAAGATGACATCGGCGAAGAAAGTGAAGACGATGAACTTGAACAGCTGCCAGGTAAAGGCGAAGTTTGCCCAATCATGCCGATATTCCATGACGTCGAGTACATCCCCATTGAAGTCCACCAAGCCGTCCAAGTACATTTCAGCGAAGGTCTGCATGGGGATCTTGTTTCTACCATGCCATTTGGACCGGTCCTCGTCGCGCTTGAAGGTCACATAATGTTCAATGGGTCGGCCGGGAAGTTTGACTTTCTCGTTGGTGCGTGGGCTGCAGGTCGAAGTCCAGGTCCAAAAGGCCACCAAGACAGGGAGGACCAAAAGTAGGGCAAGGAACACGAATGTTTTGATTCCTCCGCGGAGTAGGAAGGTGAGGAGGGCGGGGACTCCGGTGAGGGCGCCCACTAGAAGGATGTTAGAAAAGCTCTCGTTTCCAGCTCCGTCGGCTGGTAACGGGGCATTGTGAATAGCTGGAGACTTTAAACGGAGTTTAGCAAGCTTTCGACCAAGCTACACGACGGCGACATGGACTAACAGAGGTCGTCGCGATTCCACAGTTCTCGCCGGTTTCAAATTCCGAAGGTTTAGCTGCGGGAGTCTTAATGAAGTCGATATCACCAGATAGCTCAACCATCTTGGACGCTCTAGCACTCATTGTATCCTCGTTGAGGGTTTCTTTCGTTGCTGGATCAGAGACGAGAAGAAAACGAGGTCGAAGAGAGGGAGCCAGACATTCTGTGCGTGTCGATCCTCCCGTGCACGTGTGCCCTTGCGTGGTCCGCGGGGCCCGCGGGCCCGAGAAAACAGTACGTACCATCTCGCCGCTACGGACCTCGCACCACTCTAGCAGCTGAAGCTTCTAAATTTCACCAGAGAAGATAGATCGTCTGTGACCAATAGATAATGTCACCCTTATGCTTCGTGATCACGTGGACAACCCAGTTCTCACCAAGCGCGAGGCTAGGAGTACAACAGCCCCTCTCAAAGTATTTTGATTGCTGTTCATTCTACCCTAGACAAATAGCTGATGAACATCCAAAGCAATCCTCTCTTGACCAAAACAGAGAGACAGAAAATAAATAAACATGGATCCAAATACAGCATTTACTATCAAGGCAGCCTCCATCTCTGATGTTCCCACGCTGGCAAAGATCTTCAGTGATTCTTTCCTCGATGACCGTCACACACAAATGAAAAGCCAGGGCAAAGACCCATATGATCTGGAACAATCAATGGCGGCAGACCTGCCTCGACAGATCGCATCGCCTACCTCGATCCTTTTGAAAGCAGTCGACGAGTCCACAGGAGAGATCGTGGGCTGGATAAGCTGGGGCTTTCGAGGATTTAGTCACACTGAGATTGCGGGGCTAGACCCCGACGTCGCAGGATTGATCTCCAATGAACCCGGGTCTCAAAAGCCTGCCGAGAAAGAGAAAAGAATTGAAGCATCTCAAGAGCGGCAGCCTAAGTTCGAACCAGACCTTGTTGATGAAAGTCCAATCAAACAGCTTGAAAGGATCACAGATGCTGATCTAAGGCGCTGGATGGATAAAGTCATGCCGGACGGCACGAGGTGCATGTTTGTAATTTCTCTTTGTGTCTCGCCCAAATGGCAGGGAAAGGGCGTCGGGGCATCTCTCCTACACTGGGGTACTCAGACAGCTGACGCGGTCGGGGCTTTTATCTGGGTTCATTCATCAGAGGGAGCATGGCGGATGTACCAGAAGCATGGCTTTGAAATCTTGGAAACCCTTGATGTTGATTTAGATCGGTATGCTCCTTCGCCGCTACTAAACAACCGGGGCGGGATTGAAAAGTGGGGACATTATGTCTTCAGATATATGAAGCGACTTCCACAGGGCTAGTTATAGAAACCCCAAGGCCAATGTACAGAGTGTCTGGATTTCTAGGCGGGCGGCACACTGAGATCTCAATCCTAGTACGCAAACAGATCCACGTTCGTCGTATCGAACACTATAAATGGAGATCATTGATTCACATCCGGTGCCCACAAAAGACATCACAACCAAGAAAAAGCCCTAAGGGGTAGGATTTTGACGACGTCTACTCATCATTGTGTTTTTTGATGCGGTCATGAATCGGTAAATTGTCAGAACATGCCAAAGATTGACTCTTTCTCTCAATTAATACACCCGAATCTACCCCACCGCTTCCCCCGGTGTCCTAAGCGCACCGACTACCTGTTCCGGAATCACGGATAGCACGCCACCAGTCATGACAGACGTCTCGCTGAGATAACCCGATACAGGTGGCGAGGGTATCGGAAAGGTGTCACGGGGTCCGGAGGGTCTCTGGGGCACACGGATAGAGAAATAATCCGCGTTAAGTGGGCTGACATGTGCGGTATCGACTTCTCGACGTGACTCGGGGCTGCTGGGCAGACGGTGGGCCTGTTGCAAGACAGGGAAGCTTCGAGAGAAGATGACTTTAAAGGAAGGAATGCTGGCGACGATGATGGCGACGCAGACCTCGACAGCTGACCAGTTCAAGGCTTGGACAAGGACCCCTGATGAAGATTAAAAAAGAAAAGGGACGACGGCAGGGAAACCAACAGGTATAATCCACCTGGAAATGCCGTATAAAAGTAATGCGGACGATGCTGGTTGCACAGACCCTAGACAATAATTATCTTAGTATCCACAGAACAGCACAGAAAGGAATATATCCGGAGCGACGCACAACAGTCCCAGCCCGAACATTACAATCAGACCTGCCTTGGCTCCGGGTCGAACTTGAAGCTTCAACAGTTGCGGAATGGGTAAGAGGAACAGAGCTGCGTCAGTGGCGAGCTTAATGCCGAAGGAGACGTAGTAGAAAACATAAAGGTCGATACAGGCGCCCGCCACTGTAGTAGGGTGAAAAAGCTTGCGGATAGGGGAACACTGGAATATGACGACAAACAGTTCCTCGATGAATTCGCAGATCACGAACGCCATGACAAAGTAGTATAGCCACCGCAAACGGGTTACCGAGAAGACCTTGAGGTATAAGAGACAGAATGATATCTTAATCGATGTCAAAGAGATGAGATAGGAGATTGATGTGACAAAGTCGAGCTGGATTGTATTTATTAGTCTTGACGTGAATTGTGAGGGCACGCAGTTATCCAGTACCTTCAAGAATGTAGTTACCGTACTCATGTCCGGTGCGATGACCGTAAAGTGTCTTCCATAGCCGTATCGAGTCACTATGAAAAGGTCAAACTAGGCATAGCATCTCGAAAAGAATATTGGCTTACTCCACATGGAAATAAAGCATAACACGAAGGCAAAGACCTGTTTATAGCCGGCAATAATTTAGTTAGCACAGCCGGGGATGAGTATCCCTCACTCCTTGGGAACGGCCTACCCAACTCAGATAGAAGAAAACTTGATCAGAAAGTGTAAGCCAACTCTATACCATCAGGGAACATTTCAATCCTCGCGTCACGTACCGTCATCGACATCAAAACGTCGCGTATGAATTTGGGCTGTAAGGCGAACACAAGCGCCTAAAGAAGCCAGCGCAAGCATTATGGTATTACAGGCGATGATATCCGCTACTTTCGATCCCTCTGATTGGGTCGAAGGCATGAGACTTCGTTGTATCTGGCCGCCTGCCAGGGAGCCACATTCAGAAGTTCAAGTCATAGTTGGATATCGGGTAGGTTGTCGGGGGTTTTGGCTCTTCGCAAGCTGGCGAGGGAAAAAGCCAAGTGGTGACACACAACAGTCTGTAAGCGGCTTGGTGAGCATATTTCAGTTCAGAAGTCGGGCGCGTCTGTAGGCTCCTCTAGTTCTGTTGTTGGGATAGGATTAGCGTCATCGAGATGGAACGGTCCCGAAGGCGGTGAGGACCATCAACGACAAGATGCTCTTTTCAAACAAGTGGGACAAAAGAACTATGTATACCAGCCGGTTCAATAATGAGACAACAAAACTCCCTTCATTAATATTATTCTAAGGTGCATACCACGAGGATGGACACATCAGTCCGATCCCGGAAAGAAAAAAAAAGAAAAATCGCCTTCAAAATAGCGGTCCCACATGGACCGCACACATCATACAGACAAAAACCCTGCGGTGACAAGGGGATATGGAGGACTTCCGAGCCAGATCTCCCGCTGGAGGTATACGTGCAAAAACCGGGTATTCTGGACAATCGTGAACTTTTCCTCCGCGGAGCACACTGTAAAATCAAGAGGAATGAAATATTTCAAGGCCATCCATCTCCAGGATAGAAGGCCAGTGCTGAAAAACGACAATGTGGCCAGACTATCTGGGAAAGGAGGCTATGCATGCACCAGGTTCAATTGTTGGAGAAAGGAAATACTTAAGCCCGGGGACGGAAGGTGAGTAGGCAGTCATCCTGGGACGAGTTAGTGATTATGGCCAAGCAAAACCAAAGTGATTGACAAACTTACCTGAGGGAAGATGGTGGCAAACACCTTGATATCCTCTGACTTCGGGGTCGGGGTATGCTCCCAGTCCATCTCCATACTGGCCTTGCCGATCATGCCCATCAGTGACAGCTGGGCGTAGGTCTGACCCAGGCAGTAGTGGGGACCCGTACCAAAGACCAGCCAGTTCTTGGTCTGCTGCTCGGCTGTGCCGGTGATCCAGCGCTCAGGCTCGAACGAGTCGGCATTGGGGTACGCATCCTCGTCGTGAGTGGCGGGCCACACCGAGGGAATGATCATCGAGCCCTTGGAGACGGTGATTTTGTCGGTGATGGGGAAGTCTTTCTTGACCAGGTAGGGGACCATGATGACGGGGGGACGGTAGCGCAGGGTCTCCTTGACGACGGCACGAGTGTAGGGCAGGTTGTCGAGCAGATCCATGGACATCGGCACAGTGCGATCACCATTGCGGACGCGCAGGTTCTCCTCGCGGACCTTGTCCAGCACCTCCGGGCGGTCAGCCATCAGCTGGAACAGCCATGTCGAGGCAGCGCTAGTGGCATCCTGAGAGGCAAACAAGAACGTGAACACAGTCTGGGCAATCTCGTAGTCGCTGAAGTCACGCAGGACCTGAGGAGGCTTCTCCGATGGGTCAACCTGGATACCCTGGGCAATCTTCTCCCGGTACTTGGCGGAATCCTGCTGGGCCTTCACCCAGGCATCCATAATGCAGGTAATTTCACCACCGGCGGCCATCCGGGCCTTGCTCTTAGCAGTGCACTTGGCGAACTCCTCGAGCACCATGTCCGCAGCCTTCTTGCCGTACCACGTCTTGGTGAAGGGCAGGATGATGGGGAAGTTGACCAGCTCCAGCGCGGCAGTGATCAGGTAGTAGTTGTCGGCAATCCTCTGCACGGCCTCCTCGGAGATGTAGTATCCAACAAACGTGCGGCACGAGAGAGCAGTCATGAGCTCACGGAACTCGGGCATCCAGGGGCGCGGCTCGAAGTTAGCCGTGGCCGACTTCTCCAGGAAGCGCTTGTAGTAATCGTCGAACACCTCCTCGGCGCGGGGAAGGTAGCAGGCCAGCGCTTGGCGGGTGAACAGGCCGTTCAGGCCCTTGCGGTACTCCACGTGGTCCTTGCCATCCAAGAACACCCAGTTGGTCTTGCCGAGAAGCTTGTGCGCGGCATCCACCACACAGGGCTTGACGAAGCCGGGCGAATTGAAGATCTTGCGGGACATGTCACGGGTCGAGGCGATCACGACGAACCTGACAAGAGTTTGTTATGAGCGGAAATTCCGGCGTCTCGGAAATTGAGTCCTTACTTGTGGAAAACGGAAACGCAGCTCAGCTCTCCGCTGTCCCATTTCGCCTTGTACTCGGTGAACTTGGGGTTGACAGACTGCAGGAACGGGCCCATAAAGGGGATCTTGTACGCAGGTCCAATGATCGCGCCCTTGAGGTAGTGGTACTTGACTAGAAAACCGAGGAGGTTAGGACAAAGACGCACTGGAAAAAAATCGGAGACCACTCACACTGATCATAGACAACAGCTGCAACGAACAGGGTCACCAGCAGTTTCCAGGCCGTGAGCCCCTCAAGCACGGATGCGATCATCCCCGGCGCGAAAACCTTGGGATACAGAGTCGCATCGGCCGAAGGCGAGATGAAGCTCCCAGTGATGTTGACCATGGCGAATGAGTTCATAAACGAAACTCCAAAAACAGAAAAAGAAAGTCGGACTGAGAAACAAAATCCCAGACCTAGGAGACGGAGGAGGTGGAGGAGGAGAAGAAAGCGGGACGGGAGAAATTCTTCGATAAGGGGCGGATGTAAATTAGACCCGAGGAACGCCCCAAGTCAGACACGGTCCTTATTATTATTGGATTAATGGATAACGGTACCTGACGGATAGAATGCTATTGCTTATAACTGAAAGGAAATAATAATTGAATCTATTCGTCTATCCCCTTAGGCATGCATGGAAAATCTCTTCACGATGTATCTCGAGCATAGTATGAAAAATGCACCAACGATTATCTAGCTCGAACGAAGGACTGGGAAGTAACAAGTACAGCAAATTCGCTAGGTCGCATCAGATCTCTTGAATTCACATTCATTATTGTCTTCTCCTAATCAGAATGCCTGCAATGGTCATGACCGCCAGTTTACGCGGTACATAACGTGATCTCGGTTACGGCAGACCCGGGATCCGGCCACCGACTGATTGGTTCAAGCCCTAACGGGAGTGCCAAGACTGTGCTGCTGTATACCGAGTTCAAAGTATACCACCTGGGCAACAACAGAACGGGAGGTTTATAGCAGGTCAACGAGAATAATAATATCCACACGAATTGATTGTATCTCTCTACAGCGGGAAAAATAGTGGACACCGGCAATTACCGCCCAAACCCAAACCAGCCACGGCCCTTCTTCTCCTCGACTTGCGGCTCCTCGCGCTTCTCCGCGCCATCGGCGCGCGGGTAGTCAATGTAGTTCCACGCCACATCAAAGAACAGCGGCTTCACGGGTACGGGTAGCATCTGCGGCGGGTACGGCACTAGATTGTGGAGGTCTGTCTGCGCACCTGCGAACTGGTGCAACCGTTCCACGAGCGGCCGCTGGCCAGCAGACTGCAATGCATCCTCTGCTGTAAGTTTCTCGAGAGTCACCAGTCCGCGATACTGAGCAACGAGTTCCCGGAGAGTCGACTCCAGGGTGCCAACTTGCGTCCGAGAGACATCGAGCTTCGGAGGCCCCTCGGGGTCGGTTGATTGGGAAGTGGCGGCGGAGTTGACAAGGTCCAATGCCTGCGAGAACAGCGCGAGGGCCTCTGTGGATCTGCCCAGAACGCTGTGAGACCGTCCAAGAGCCAGACACCTGAATCGAGAATATGGTCAGAGAGGAACATAAGGAAACCATGGGAGATTGCCATACCTGAGAGCCCGGAAGTAGTGGCGCTTGGCCCCCAGCTCTTGCACAAATGCAGAATCAGCGGCGACCCCGGGAAGTTCGAGAATGAACTCCAAACTCTGCAGTGTCGAGTCGTACAGAACCACGCGCTCCCGGAGCTTGTTCAGCTTCTTCCCGTTACCCGCAGGGCGTTTGGCGCCCTTTTTGCCCTTCACGGGCTCTTCCTCCTCAAAAGCGAGACCGTCCTGTTCACCACACAGTACCCGGTTGCGCCCCACGCGCCATCCCACCAGAGTGTAGTTGACAGCAGTACGGGTGATCTGGAGCGCTTGCATTCTCTTGTCACCGGGATCAACGCCCTCGCTGGCCAGATCATCGATCGCCGTCTTGGTCGCATCGACTGCGTCCTGGCTTGCAATAATCACATTGTCGTACGCAGCAGCCTTGTCCTTGGCGGTGGCAGATCGTCCACTGCTCTCAGCCAACCAGGACGTGAGGCTGGTCTCTGCGGCAGAGGCAGCAGCCAGTGCCTGTGAAATTGAGGCATCCTCCAGTGCAACAGTCCGCGACCTCCAGGTAATCGATCCGGGCAATTCCTGCACCTCCCCCTCGGCAGTCCTCCGTGTTCCTGCTGCTTCTTCGGCAAGGCAAGAAGGGTCGATCTTTTCGACCTCGGATCGCATCTCAGAGTCCGACGGGAAAAATTCAATGGCAAGCGAGGATGTAGGTTTGGAGCGTGGCAGTTTCATCTGGTAGGCAGCGTAGCGCAGACTGGGGTCGACAGTACCGGACAAAAGGTCTCGAAAGGCGTCCTTCTTGACCCGTTGACCCAGTGCAGTGTATATCACCCTTGCAATCGAGTAATCATGGAGACACTGCTCCCACTTCCGCTTTTCCAGCCACAGTGCTCCCGAGATAGTCGCAGAATAAGCCCGGGCTTCAAGGATGTCAATGTCGCTCGCTCCCGAGGTCGATTGTTCATGGAGCAGCGAAACGAGGTGCTGCGCATATCCAGTCGCCTTGGTCAGTCGAGAGATAATGTGACGTCTGGCAGCGCCGGATAATCCCTTGGCAGACGGGTCGGCAGAGTGTGTCGATTTCATATTCATCGCGTGGGCCCACGCTCGCTCCGAACCCAGAAGCAAGAGATGCACATAACTGTAATGAATAAAGCAAATCAGTTAGAGATCATGAGAAAGAAACCATTGAAACATACGCAACGTTGCTTCCGATATTTTCAGCGCCCACAGCCGGTTTGGCCGTGTACTTGCGGCCTTTGGCGGTGGTCTGTCCCAGCTTCTTGCGCAGTTTATGCAAGCGGCGGGTGGTGTGCGCCCGGTAGGCATTGTAGTCGCCCGCCAGGAGCACCTCCTCCCTCTCCCTGAAAATGAAGTCTGTGATTTCCATTGCTGGATAGGGAGTGAGTGCAAGTCGGTGGGTGAGTTGGAAGGCAGAAAGGTGTGGGAGATGCTGAGTTGGTGGGCTGCACGAAGGCGGTGCCCGTTTCGGCCAAAGGCGCGGCAATTTTCCTCGTCTTTTCCATCCCTAAAGCTCTCCAACCTTGAACGCCAACTTCCTGGACCTTGGTTTTCTCAAGGCACGACCTTTCTTCAGCGAGCAGCTTGGGTCTTGCATTATTGTGAAGGCGCGTCTTCCTTTCCAGCTGGGCAGAGCAAAGGTTCTGGGAGCCCTTAAGTTTTTTTTCCTTTGGTACGGCATCCGGTCACTCACCCAAACAACTTCCTCCAAACATTCAACCGCGAAGGCAGCTGGGCTTTTCTAACTTCTACCTGGTAGGGAAAGTTGTTCGTCGCGATATAATGCCATCTATCAATCATCTCCGGTGATCTCAGCGTTTGAACCCGCAACGATCGGGGGTGATGCTCGAGCGAGCGGCCGGGTGCTTCGAGAGCGCGGGACGGCGTTTCCTCCAAGAGTCCAATGGCGCGATTCGGTCCAGGAGAACACTTCCCCGTCATTTCTGGAAACACCATGGTGACGGCCCGGGTGCTCCATACTGGTTTCTCGCTCTCTTGCCGCCGTCGACTCAACGACCGTCCCCGGGTCCAAGCTCTTCGACCGAAAGCAAAAATGCCAACGATGCCGCACCGCCGTTTCTCGACTTCCTCTACCCGCGAAATACCCAAGAGCCCCCCATACCACGCCTCTCTCGTTTCCCCAGGAGACTTGGACTGCGCCGGAGGAAGAGGACGTTGGCCGGCTATCCAAGAACATATGTCTCGAGAGCCTTGTGTCTTCATCAGTCTCTTGCCAAGGCGGTGGATGTACAAGAAGAGAGCCCGGAAGCAGATGGTTCCCAACACCAGGAGACGGACCACCTTCGACAGCTCGAGGCAGAGAAGAGGCTTAATGCCCTGTTACATGAACAAGGGACCGATTATGAAAAGGCCTGGACCCTGTACGTCTCGCTAAGACGACCGCCACGCTTTTCTTCGGAACTTCTTGCCTATCTGAGTAGTTCCACAGACCGAACAAATCAAAGGCGGGCTTGGCGATGTTTTTCACGCATTGCACCGGCAAAGCTCGATGCCTATGATTGGAGCAACATCCTGCGGTCCCAGGTCCCATATGGCACGGTCTCAGCCATGAAAATGCTATGCGAACGATCGGCTTGGGACTCAAAAACCCGTGCTAGGAAAGTCTGGCCACTGGTATTTACACATTTTATCCACAGTAACCGATGGAAGGACGCTTTAGAGCTGTGGAATCGGAGTTCACAACCCTCGGAACAAACGAATATACCGTCACCGAAGCAACTGGTTTCCCGGGTCAAAGAATCGACCCTCCTCGTCGACGCTCGTGCTCTAGGTTCATTCCTATTGCGGAATCGGGAACGGGTCAGCGATTTCACAGACCTTGCCTCATGCCTTCTTGATCGAGTCGTTAGGTCATCCAGCAATTGCGAGAGAATCACCACGGGAGGGTTTCTACAAGTTTTGCAGATATATCGGTCATTGAACATTGCCAACGGATACCATTATTTCCACCTCATCAAAACCTTGCAGAATTTGGGTACCCGATCGGCTTTCATTCGGTCTGTGGCGGTTTACCGTCACCTGCGTTGGCAGCTGCCCGATGAGAAGCCACCCAGGAAGCTCTTGGGGGCCTTTCTGGACTCTCTGGTGTCTTTCGAGATTACAAGTGGCATCCGGTACTTCTTGAGCGAACTGGCACGCTTCTACTCGCCTCCGTCTACCCATGCCTACAGACTAGCCTTGATTGGATTTTCCAGAGCCGGCGATGTGGCACAAGTTAATGAAGTGTTCAGCAGGCTGGTGGCAGACCATGGCATGCCACAGAGTCGGAGGCTATTGACCCCTCTTCTTTATGTTCATGCGCGGCATGGGAATGTCGAAGAGACCTTGCGACAATTTCAAAGGATATCTGAAGAATTCAAATTCGAGCAGAACACGGTCTGCTGGAACATCCGTATTGCTGCACACGCAAACGCCGACGACTTCCCTGGGGCCTTTTCAACTTTCGCGGAGATGTTACGGAAAGGCATTGAACCAAATTCCTATACATACGGTACCGTGATGGGGATTTGTGCCAACCGAGGCGATACCGCCAGTGTCCGTCGCTTGCTCAGTGAAGCCAAAAAACATCAAGTGCAGATCACGATGCCGCTACTTGACACGGTTGTGGAGGCATTTACTCGACACGACCGTATGGATCTGGCGGAACGAATTGCCGTAGCTTGCCAGAGCATGAACGTCCCAGGGTCGCGCGTTCGGATGTGGAACATACTACTCACGCAGTACGCATTCAGGGTGGACCTGAAGTCCATTGCTCGGGTGCGATTACTCATGCGAATCAACGGCGTGCGACCAGATTCCATGAGTTATAGTGCTCTCATGCTTGCGTTCACTCTCATTCGTGAGCCGGATACGGCGCGGCGTCTTTTGAGAACCCTTCACCGGAACCAACACCTGCACGCCACCCAATTCCACTATGCCATCGTCCTGATGGGCTATGTGAAAGCTCGAAATCGAGACATGGCGCACGTCATTTTCCGGGAAATCGAAGAACGATTCGGACGAGTTGGACTCAGCGCCTATCTCTTGAAACTGAAGGCTCAGATTCAACGGGACTTCCAGTCAACTACAGATGGCCTTGGGCACAAAGAGCCGAATCTACATCTCAAACACGCTGAAAGTTCCCTTGAGAGAATGACGACAGACATCGACACAACATCTCTGGCCAGCAAGCTCCCATCCCCCGGCATCGGTGGTGCGTCTCCTTCCGCCGCTTTCGACACCAAGGCCTACGAATATCTCATAACGGCGTATGCCTCGAGAGGCGCTACTCAACAGGCCAAAGAAATTTTTGATCGATTCGCCGAGAACCGGCGGCCTTCGGCTTCTTTGGACAATGAGAGTGATTCTGTACCATTCAACCTGGCTTCTTCCTTGATGACTGCATATCTTAAGGATGGAGATCACGACAAAGTTGCGGAGCTCTGGCACGTTGTATTCTCTCGCGGTGTCGAACTGGCTCGTCCCATTGACCTCGATGAATTACTATCCTCTGGACTGCCGCCGTCAACCGCACCGTCGATGCCAGAGCCTTTCGTCGAACCGCCGCGGCCATCCCTGCCGACCGGGGGCCCGAACAATGAGGAGCTCTTGATCAGCCCCTCCCCCGGTATTTCTGTTCCTGAAAAGCAGATGGAGGTCCTAGGATCACAGCGTTTCATCCTTTCCCGACCTCTTTCGGTTTATATTCAGTCCTTGGCCATGCAGAACGAATTCAAGAAAGTTCGGGAGCTCTGTTCAGAGGTCGAGGCGGCTGGATTTCAGCTGTCCACGTTCAACTGGACGCGTTTCGTGGAAGTCCTTTCGACCTCAGACGAGTTTGCCGACCAATTGAGAGCTTTTCAGATGTTCGAACAGAAGTTTTCGTATCACTTTCCTGGCTGGGCTAAGCTTCGGCTGGGCTCCGGGTTCATGCCTAATCAGACTTCTACAACCGCCTACCTGATCGACTATCTCAAAAGACGCCGCAAGTTGCCACGCAATATCATCACCAAGACAGTCCGAGAGTATTGGACTCAGTTCCGGCCTTGGTTCATGCAGCCCACCTACACCTGTGTTGTGAAGCTCGCTGCCGCCTTACTTAAGATTCGAAACCGAAGCATTTTGGATGGCGGCGCGGAGTTGAGGGCTGTGCATGCTATCGCACCCAAAACGCTTAATGCTATTGCTCAGATGCCTTATCTACGCGACAGCGTTCAGGGCACGATCCTTCGTGGACGCGCGGACCACGGCAACCGGTCAAAGGACTGGACCAAGCATGAGCCATTTGTCTGGACCGGTGGTGTTCTTGGAGGTCCTGGTTGGACTCGAATGAAGGGTGGCATCAGACGTGCTCGCCGTGAACCCCGCCTTGTGAAGCGCCCTTTCAAGGAGGTGTCGTCCAAGTTCAAGACATCATCTTCCAATGAGCCCGCTCCGGATGATCTGGAGGCGGTCATTGCACCAGAAGACCAGCAGGATCTTTCTCACGAGCATCTGTTGCTGCGCAGACGAATTCGGTATGGGTCTGCTGTGGTCGAGCCGCGTGACTCCAGGCTCGGCAAGAAGAAGAGTGTGCCCCTGAGACTCTCTCCAAGGGAACCGAAGACCACGACAAGCCCACCGACACCGGTACCCACAGCACAGCAGAAACCTCCGACAATCCAGGATATTCCGGCCCAGAAGGATCTCACAGCCGACAAGCCCCCCGCCGTCAAGAGGCACCCAGATCCCAGGCCACGAAATACCCCCGGGCGTCTGCTGCACCCACGGTTCCCACGTGCCACGAGACTTTCACCCGCCAGAGATCCGGCTCTAGGAAGGAAGTCCAAGCAATTCTGGTTCATCGATCGGCCGGTGCGAACTCTGCTCCGGAAGAAACTGCGCCCTACACGCTCAGAGGACAAGGTCGAGGTGGCGGACACCACATTGCCATGGCTCAAGGGCGAGTAACATGTAATTATTATCATCACCTGTATATCATCAGCATCAAAGCCATGTACATTATAATCCACTGTCTACTATTATCCACTTTCTTTCTCGTTTCGGTCATATTGATTTGGTGCTTATGTCAGCGAAACACGAACCTTGACGCGCCGTGGTCGCGTCGACCCAGACTTTCACTTTCTCTCCCGCGTCGCTTCTCTGCTTCCCACCACACCCGACTTCCTCCCTTTTTCACCCACCCTACTTTATACTGCACCATCATGGACGGGGTTCAGCTGCGCGATGAGGCCGCACAGGACCGTGAGCGTGCCGCTGCGGAGTTCCTGGATCCAAGTAAGTGTGCTAGCTGATTGTCTTGCGGTGGGATTGATCTAATGCGTTTTCTTCCAGGCGATGCCAGAGCTCGCAGGTCAGTCCATTGGAATGGATCAATTCTGCGCAGCCTGTTCTGACTTGAGAAAATAGCTATCGTGCCGATATTGTGGTGATGCTGAATCGAGGGCTACGACGTCTGACAGTTCGTCAATCTCTGGAAATACTCACAACATAAACGGCTAATCTCTTTCGTCCAGGTCAGCATTGACGAGATCAGAGCTCACAATCGCGAACTTGCAGATGGGTATCGTGATCTCCCTTCCCCGAACCTCGAGCAAGTCACTTATTACGTCTGAATCTTAGGCTTCTCACTTCCCCCTTCGACTATTCACAGGCTTTCGACCGAGCCTTGAAGAAAGTGATCGGAACGATCCCGAACCGACCGGCCAAGGAAACATCAGAGGAAGTGGTGGGTTTTGATTCGTATGCACTCCATTCGAATGGAGAGCTGACTTGCCTTTGCAGAGCTACTACTGTGCGTATGTCGGAGCCTTCGGAGAATTCTCTTGCAACCCGCGGACATTGAGCTCCCAACACTTGAACCGCATGATCTCCCTTGAAGGCATCGTTACCAAATGCTCCTTGGTGCGGCCCAAGGTCATCCAGAGTGTTCACTATAGTGCCGGCAAGGACCGCTTCCTTGCCAGAAAGTACCGTGACCAGACTATGTCCGCGAGCGGTGCAACGAGTTTGAATGTGTACCCTCAGGAAGATGATGAGAAGAATCCGGTAAGCCAAACTCTTACGCACAAGTACGGGCTCAAATTAACGCGTTACTTTTTTGGGCTGTAGCTTATCACCGAGTACGGTTACTCAACATACATGGACCACCAGTCGATTTCCATTCAAGAAATGCCCGAACGTGCACCCGCGGGACAGTTGCCTCGAAGTGTCGATGTCATTCTGGACGATGACCTTGTCGACAAAGCCAAGCCTGGAGACAGAATCCAGCTGGTTGGTATCTACCGGAGCCTGGGAAATCGGAATGCGGGTTCCGGGTCCTCGACTTTCCGCACTCTTGTCATGGCCAACAACATCATTCAATTGTCTTCCAAGTCCGGCGGTGGTATTGCGCAGGCTACCATCACCGATACGGACATTCGCAATATCAACAAAATCGCCAAGAAAAAGAATGTGTTCGAGCTGCTCTCCAGTTCGCTTGCGCCCAGTATTCATGGCCATGACTACATCAAGAAGGCTATCCTACTGATGCTTCTCGGTGGAATGGAGAAGAACCTGGAAAACGGTACTCATCTTCGTGGTGATATCAACATTCTCATGGTTGGTGATCCGTCCACCGCAAAGTCTCAGCTCCTTCGATTCGTGTTGAATACTTCCCCTCTGGCGATTGCCACTACTGGTCGAGGTTCCTCCGGTGTCGGTCTGACTGCTGCTGTCACCTCCGATAAGGAAACTGGCGAGCGTCGGCTGGAGGCTGGTGCAATGGTCCTGGGGGACCGCGGTGTGGTTTGTATTGATGAGTTCGACAAGATGAGTGATGTGGACCGTGTGGCAATCCACGAAGTTATGGAGCAGCAGACCGTCACGATTGCCAAAGCTGGTATCCATACGAGTTTAAACGCGCGATGCAGTGTACTGGCAGCGGCCAATCCCATTTACGGCCAGTACGATCCTCATAAGGATCCCCACAAAAACATCGCTCTGCCGGACTCTCTCCTCTCGCGTTTCGATTTGCTTTTTGTCGTGACGGATGATATTGAAGACGCGAGAGACCGTATAGTTTCTGAGCACGTTCTGCGCATGCACCGATACCGTCAGCCGGGCACCGAGGAGGGTGCTCCTGTTCGGGAGCAGCTCAACCAGACCCTTGGCGTGGGAATTGAAGATCGACAGGATTCCAACGCGCCGACTGAGGTCTTTGAGAAGTTCAACGTCATGCTTCACGGTGGCATGGTCAACAACACTGGCCGCAACCGCAACAAGAACGTGGAAATTATCAGCATTCCTTTCATCAAGAAGTACGTTCAGTACGCAAAATCGCGCGTCAAGCCCGTCTTGACCAAAGGCGCGGCCGACCACATCATTGCCGCGTATTCTAGCCTGCGCAATGAGGAGCTCCATGGCAACAAGCGTCGTACCTCCCCTATCACACCGCGTACTCTCGAAACATTGATTCGTTTGTCCACTGCCCACGCCAAGGCACGTCTGTCCAGCCGGGTGGACGAGAAGGATGCTAAGTCCGCAGAGGCCATCCTGCGCTTTGCCATGTTCAAGGAGGTCCTTGAGGATGAGCGTCGCAAGAGGCGCAAGGTTACTACCTTCGATGATGACTCTGATGAAGACAGTGAGGTAGAATTTGATGATGATGATGACCAGCCGACATACAGGGGCACAGCGACAGCGACCCCGAACCAGCATGGCACGAGAAGCACTGCGGCAACACAGTCAAGTGCTCCAATTGCAGAAGCAGACGCTGAAGATGTGGACGGGCTCTACACTGCAAGCCCGCGTAGCCAGAGGACGCGCCCCACGCAGACGCAAACCGAATCCCAGATGTCCGTGGCGTCCTCGCAGCCCGCCTCACAGCTTCTCCAGTCCCAAACAAACGACTCGCAGTCCACCGCTGCGGCGGAGCACCCCATCACTCCAGCTCGGTCAACGGCCTTCCGTCAGACGTTGGGCTCCCTTATGGGTAGCCGTGTATTCACCGACGGAGATACATGCAATGTGGATGTCCTGATCGAGGCCGTGAACGCGGCTGTCCGCGCTTCCCCATCTGGCTCCGCGCAAGTCTTCTCACGGCCGGAAGCCATCCAGGCTCTGCGGGCAATGAATGATGATAATCTGCTGATGTATGTCCTTCCTTCACCCAAGTTATTTTATATTCAGTTGCTGACTTCTACTTTCTTTAACAGGTTCCTCGATGGTGACGACGATGTCTACCGTATCTAGTCTTGGGCTGAGGCTTTCAGACTTGGTTGAGTAATTTGCGTTGGGATGATATCATGTTGTTTTCTTAGTTCTGCTCGGTGTTAGGAGTCTGTTCCGGGGATTGACTGGCTCAATATGAGTGGAATATATGCATTTTTGATTCCTTTGGAGACTGTCCTGATGTAGATTATGGCTTGATAGGACATTTCTCAGGTTACTGTATTTCTATGCGAAGGAGTCATACATATCACAGCAAAAACGGCTGCATTTATGCACAATATGTTTTCATTTAGGCTATCTATGCCTTCACCTCTGTCCAGAAAGTCGGTAGCTGAAAGGAAAGAGGAAAAACGGCCCCGGTAACCCAAGTTAAACTCATGTCCCGTTCATCGTAAAGCAGCACATGAAACGAGAACAACAGATAAAACAGGGGCCCTCTTTCCTTCTTGATCCTGTCGGTAAGGAATGAATTGGACGGTCAACGATGAAAGCAAAAAGGGTGTAATGCGTCGGTCATGTCGTCGAGAGAGTGAATCTTTTTCTTTTCATTTTGATATGTAGACAACGGTTAAAAGACTCTTCTTCAGTACCCGTAGCTTAGGGTACAATAACTATTGAAGTCTTTACTTTCGACCATAGCTAGGACTGTGTCAAAGAAGGCCAGCCACTATGACACTCAAGATGGTAGACATAGTGGAATCGGGAGCGTGCATGTAGGGAGTTTACATGACAACGCAGAAACCGGAGCCACCGTTGGCTGTAGAGAGAAACAAAAGTATTAGCTAGCAAGCCCATGGACGGAGAAAGAAGCCTGGAAGATGGATAGATGGATATCACGTACCCTTGACAGCAGTGTAGTTCTGGATCTGAGGAGCAGCCATTGCGATATATTAGATTGGAAAGATTGATTGGGAAGATTGGAAATGAAGTTGGATGGCGAAGAAAAGGGTTTTTGGGAGGCATACGATGAGAGATTTATATTCGTTCTCTGGATGAGATGGGATGGTGCATTCGTTCGATGTCAGGGATCATGAACAAGGAAAGATAGTAGCCAAGGTCTCTAATCCATTAGAGGATGCTGTATAGGTGAAAAGGTGAAACTTGGATTACCGGGGATTGCTTCAGTTGATATTGTTCCCGTTTAAAAATTCAGTGTTCTTGATATTGTTACCCCAGTCACAAAGGACTTGTAGGAATTCGGTCTAAGAATTATGATACAAGCTTGGAAGTATATGAGCGAATAGCGAGTCTACAACGAGTTCACTGTCAAAGAGATCTGGAGACTTGCCCATGCCTTTGTTGATGATCCTCGAGCGCCACCCCAAGCAGACTCATTTTCTTGACTCCAATCAAAACCAAGGACCATTCCTGTTGTGGATCGTAAAGCAAGAATATAGTAGCAAAACCTCGCGGTGACCAGCCGGCACCAGGTATACATGCCAATCCTCTATGCTGATCTCTGTCATTACGCCATAGCAGAACAATAGATAGTCGAGATACATTCATTCATGGAGGAGGTTCGCCAAGGTTGTGCAAGGCTAACAGGGGGATCATCTGATGAAGTCTAGAATAGAGGATTGGTGGATAACGAGACAAAGTGAAAGGATATATTGCAGAGCTCTAAGAGCAACAGCCCATCTAAACATATCGCACTGATTGTACGGGTATAGAGCAGAGAGGAAAGCAGTCCCAAGGCAAATATCTCGCTACACGGCAGGGCTCAAATCTGCAACACCAGCAGGTGGAGGTATAGGCTCCTCCCTATCCTTCTCGCTAGCAGCCATCATTACGGATTCATCAGACGAGACTGATCCTGTTCGCACGCCCTCTCGCACCTGGGCCTGCGTAAGCGGCGACAGGCCACGGCGGAGGGTTTTGGAGCCCTTCCGCTTCCGCTGCTGGGGTGTCTGCTCGGTGCCCGAGACAGATGATGCGGGCGTGGTACTCCCGCGACGGGGACGGCCGCTAGCAGATGACCGGGAGGGTGGACGCTCTTCCAGGCCTAAGTCGGCGGGGGTACTACTCCGAGATGGGGTGCGGGAATGAGAGGAGTCGGACCGGGTGGTGCGGCGGGCCCCGGCAGAGGTGCGGTGTTCCTGGTTGAGCTTGGAGGAAGTGGATGATTGGTGTTGGTGATGAGGAGGTTGAGGATGGTGATGAGGAGGCCGGTGTTTGGCGTCAGGTTCGAACGAACGGTGCAACGTGGCTGCGACGAGACGGCGGCGCTGCGAAGCGCGCCAGTCCAGGCCGAGACGAGCGAGCCAGCCGCCCTCTGTCTGGGCGAGCTGGCGCTCACGTTCGCGCAGCTTATGGCGCAGCTGAGCGCGGCGTTCGTTCTCTTTCTCCCAGAAATCCGTGCGGTAGTCGTCCCAGTTCTCGCGGAACTCCGGGGAGAAGGACTTGGGCAGCAACAGCAGCCGAATATAATCGCCCCCGGAACTCAGATCCTCCTCAACGAGGCCGGACTCGCTATCGCGGCCGCTGTAGTACTGCTGGAATTGCTGTCGGCCGCTCGCGCGCCTCTCAGAAGGAGGCCGCTCAATGAAGTGGAAGTTGCCCTGGGGCGAGGGGAAGAAGGGCACGGAGAAAGGGAACAGGAATGAGACGTAAGATAGCAGCTCCTGCCACCAGGGCCCGCGGATCACGATAATCTTGGTGTTCATGTTGCGCAGGCCGCGGTTGGCGACGGCGAGCCAGCGCCGCGGCCAGCGGATTCCACGCTCCCATTGCCCCGTGCCCCAAACAAGCAGCGCCGTCACCACCCCACCGAGCAGGGCGACCTTCTCGCCCATCTCGACCACCCAGTAAACCGACCCGCCGACACCGCGGCCATCTTCTCGAGGCCGGAGGAAGAGGGCGTATACGAAATAGGTGATCCAGGCCGCGAGGATGAGCAGGAAGAAGGTATTTTGGCGGCGGCGTTCGCGGAGAGTTAGATATTGCGCCCGGAGGGATGCTTCGAGGATTAATAGGTTGAGATAGATCTGCGGCGGAGATGATGGTAATGTCGCCAGCGGATCTGGGGTGGAGGGTCGCGGCGGCGACGAGGTGCCGGAGAGGGATGGTAATGGCTCTGGCGACGGGGGGCGAGCCTCCGACGGCGGAGCGCCCTTTACGAGCTGGTCTAATGAGGCCATCGGAACGATGCGGCCTGGTGCACGTTCATCGCATGAAGGAGAGGAGGAGGAGGAAGGGATTGAAGGAACGGAAGAACAGGAGGAGAACACGGCAAGACCCACGATCGACACGACATCATTCCACCAACTCTTCTTCTTTTCTTCCCTCTATTTTTCTCTCTTGTCCTTTCCTCTCTACTCCTTCCACTTACTTCTTTCCCTTTCGCCTCCCTCCCGCCTCACACGGGTTTCGGGGATAAGATTGTCTCCGGCCCGCACCTGTTAAAGCCAGCGCAGCAGCCCATGGGCGTCGTGAGCGTCGCGGCCCTTCACCTTCTTCCAACTGAAAGCACCTGCCACTTGGGCCTTCGAACACCCAAGCTACCCTCGTGCTTCGCCATCTCACCCACAATTTCTACGCTCTCCTCTTTTAGACTTTCCTGCTCTGTCCCGTTCGCCGCGCTGCCTGCGAGGATCCGACACTCATCCTCAATGACCTCGGAATCCTTCAACTCGTCTCAAGAGGACGTCCGGGAGCGTCGCGAGCAACCATCGATGGAACAACGCAGAGAAGGCACTCCGTACGCAGCCCGCGCCGCCGCCGGTGCCGCTGCAGCGCCCTCCTTCTTCCCAATGGGATACCGGGAAGGTTTCAGCCAATGGGTAAGCCCTCATCCCCCTCAACCACATTCGTCTCTCAGGAAACTGATCATGTCTATTCTAGTGGGCTCGTCTGCCAGCTGCTGCAGCGGAGCACAAAGTCCTCTCCTTTCTCCCGTATCTGCACCACCAGCCTCCCACCCATCTCCAAACTGGAAACACGACGGAAGTCCCCAATGGGACCACGCCAAGCAGCCTGCAGTCTGCAGACCAGAGCCAGCAGGGCGAGATCTCGACCAGCTCTCTGGGCGATCCCTATGGCCCGCGCCGGTGGCGGTCCAGCATGGTGGAGCTGAGTGGAAAGAACCGGGCGCTCAACGAGTTCTCCGTAGAGAGAGTTGGCGAGGAAGCGGACCAGCATCTGGTCATGCTACACGGATACGGCGCCGGCCTTGGCTTTTTCTACAAGAACTTTGAACCGCTGAGCCGACTCCGAGGCTGGCAGCTGCATGCGTTGGACATGCTGGGTATGGGTCGCAGCACTCGGCCGCCATTTCGGATCAAGGCCAAGGAACGAGAGGCCGCCATCCGCGAAGCCGAGGACTGGTTTGTAGATGCACTGGAGGAATGGCGGATCAAGCGCAAAATCGATCGTTTTACGTTGCTCGGTCACAGCCTGGGTGGGTATATGGCAGTATCTTATGCCCTGAAGTACCCGGGCCACCTGAACAAACTCATTCTGGCATCTCCAGTTGGGATCCCAGAGGATCCATACGCCGTCACAGCCGATGTGCCTGAACACACTGATTCTTCGCTTGGCAACGAACTTACGCAGAATCAGCGGGAAATCGCCACAGCCGCGGCCACTCCGGGTACAGCTCCGAAGACCACAGACGGCGGCTTTATCACGGGACGGAACGCTGAACCTCCTGTCGAGCCGAACCGGCCGCCACGACGCGGCCTGCCTAAGTGGTTTGCCTATTTGTGGGATGCCAACATATCCCCTTTCAGTCTCGTACGATGGGCCGGCCCGCTGGGTCCGCGATTCGTCTCGGGATGGACGTCACGCCGCTTCTCTCACTTGCCAGCCGAAGAAGCTAAGGCACTCCATGACTATTCATACTCGATTTTCAATATGCGCGGCAGCGGCGAATACGCACTTGCGTACATCCTCGCGCCGGGAGCCTTTGCGCGCAGCCCTCTCATCCGTCGCATCCACGGAGTCGGCCGGCAAATGATCCAATCTGGCTCCACTTCGGATATACTACCCACTTCCGCGGCGGCCACCAGTGCCTCTGCATCCAGCTGTACCAAACTACGACCGTTCACTTCAAGCAGCACTGCTCCCTCATCCGATGCTGCACCCGCAAAGCAAACCCTACCATCCCCTGCCCCCGCTCAACGCGAGCGCGGCATCCCAGTTGTATTAATGTACGGCGACCACGACTGGATGGACGTCGAGGGTGGCCACGCCGCCGCAGCCCGTCTAGAAGAAGAAAAGCAGCGGGCCCTGGCGAACGCCACGCCAGAGGAACGGCGCAGTGATAGCGGTTCCGCCAAAGTGATCGTCATCAAGCGAGCTGGACACCATCTCTACCTGGACGGCTGGGAGGAATTCAACCGAGTCGTGCTGGCGGAGATGGAGGATGTCAATCGACGGGAGAGGGGCCGTCAGTCATGATGGTCAGTCGTGTGTGAATAATGGTTTACGAAGGCGTTTTTAAAGCGCGGTTAATAGTACGGGATGTAGATATTCCCCGTTTCCATCTTTGTTGATTTTGGTCAGTTCTTGCTTGGTTAGACCATGAGACTTGTCCTCATGGACAGTCGTTTCTGTATTTGGAAATTTCTTATATGTCATTATATAGTGGAAGCTAGAGGTAGACTTGGACAGTCATAAGTGCTATATGGATTCTCATCCTCATCTCTTATAATCTACAAGCTTTACAAGATTATGCTTTTGAGTAACATTGGGTCGTATAGATCATGACTAGTTATAAACAAGAATATCTTTATGATCTTTTCCGTACATAAACCCATAAGTCCTCTCGAAACTCGGTACTAAATCTGTATACACCAGTCCAAAAGCTCAACGGTCTGCAGTACTCCCTCCCCTCGAATGCGGTCCCGAGAGACTCCGTCTCCGATGGCGGACACTGGTAGGATAATGCGCCATCGACCTCGCCAGGTTTAAATTTGGGAATGACGAATCCCGATCTTCGACTGACATAGACCCAGGGGAAGTGAATGCGCTCTGAAGAGAAAGAGGACTCGTCGCTCCATGCTGGTGAGTCGAGGAAGGTCCCACTGTTGGGAGGGCGAAGTAGCTTCCTCCATCTCGTCCACCGCCGGAAGGATAGAGATTTAGTTGGGGGGCCGTACTTGCTGCTGCTTGTTGACGTCTGGCCAATGAGCGTTGTTGTTGGGGATATGAGCTGGAATAAAAGGAATAGGGCTGCGGCGTCATGAAGGGTGTGGGCAATCGCGATACTGACGGGGATGCCGATGAACTGGGGCTTGCATGGTCTGGACGGGTGGATAGCGCGATCGACAGTCCAGTTCCCGTTTTTCTGTCGGATGTCGTCACGGAAGATGTTGTCTTTGAGCGATGGTGGTTCCGCTGCTCTTGGTGATGGTGGGGGTGTTGTCTGGGATGATGATGCCACGCGGATGTCGTTAGGGCTTGGGGGTTATTGGCCCGCGTGCGGCTGAGAGGGGGAGACCGAGAGTCACTGGGGCTATTGACCGCACTGGCAGAGACAGAGCCCGTTCCTAGCATGATTACTTGCGAGGGAAGCTCCAAGCGGCGATTGAGAGATAGCCATGCGCGCTCGTCTGCATCGATATCGGGGTCGAGACCATCCTCTCCGGTACCACCGAGACTATGGACCGATGAAGAAGATGCCGAGTTGAGCGATTTCTCGTTGCGGGCAGGCACTGAACCGCGCCGCTTTGACGACGAGGACGCTGCTATACCCGAGTATGAGCGCCAACCACCCACACTCTCGAAGTCGCGCTGCTCGTCTCCGCTGACGGGCAACCCGAGCAGCGGTGTTGCGGGAGATAAATTATGGGCCTCGGCCATTATGCGAGAATATGTATTCTTGTTTCTGGATATGCGCTCATCTGGGATCCCGCTAATGGCCCAGGAAGGTAGCGAGTCGGTGCTTTTGCGGGCATGGTTATGGGTATAGACTGAGTTCCTTCGCGATCTGCCCAAGGCAGGACTGGGAGGTTCCGAGGGGTTGAATGTGAGTAGCGAGGAAGTGGACGAGGTCGGAATAATAAAATAGCTCATGAGCAGTCCACAGCCTACTTCAATATAGACCACTGCGAGGCGTGCGAGCAGGGCTACCATAGCGATTGAGACGGTGGCCCATGCTGAGAGAATCAGCGGGATGGATGCTAGGCACAGCACCGGCAGGACTAGTAGAGAAGACAGGGTCGACATAGAGGCACAACATGGTGAAAATCTTGGTGGTCTGAGGTGTTGTGTTTTGGTGTCGGGCATAGTTCTCTGCATGTGACTGGTGCCTAGGGCATCCCGCCTGACATCATCAACACCGATAACGAACTACAACTATTCACTCCATCTTTTCACCATGGCCCACGATGAGAGTGCTTTCCCCTGGGATGTCGGGGTATTTGATGCCCACTGCCACCCGACCGATACCATGGCATCCATTGAATCCGTCCCCGCCATGAAGGCAGCCACTCTCACCATCATGGCCACGCGCGGGGAAGACCAGGAGCTCGTGCGCCAGACAGCAGAGGCGCATGTAAATCGAGTGATGCCCTGTTTCGGATGGCATCCCTGGTTCTCGCACCAGATCATCGACGACTCGATCGATCAGCAAGTGCAAGATGCAGAGCAACAAAAAACAACACACTACAAGGCAGTTCTCACCCCCTCTCCAGAGGACGACGAGGCATTCATCCAGTGCCTTCCAAACCCGAAACCCCTCTCTACTCTTATTTCAGAAACAAGAGAGCGCCTCCTCTCATTCCCCAATGCATTGGTCGGTGAGATCGGCCTCGACAAGTCCTTTCGACTACCCGGTGCCTGGACCGCAGAGGAGCTCAATGGCCGCAATGACCAGGTCACGCCAGGTTCCCGAGAGGGCCGACGGCTATCACCGTACAAGGTAAAACTGGATCACCAGCGCACAGTGCTCAAAGCGCAGCTCCAACTAGCAGGGGAGTTGGCCCGCGCAGTCTCGGTGCATAGCGTGCAAGCACACGGAGCGATTTTCGAGCTGCTCAAGGAGTTATGGGCGGGACATGAGCGGGTTGTCATTTCACGCCGGGAGAGGGAGAAGCAGCAGGATGCCGAAGGGGCTGTTTCTGAAGACGAATACGAAGCTGGGGAAGAAGAAGCAGATACAACGAAATCGGAGACAGTAAAGCAGCGGCCATTTCCACCGCGTATCTGCTTGCATTCCTACTCCGGCCCGGTAGAGCCGCTCCGCCAGTTCCTGCACAAGGCCAATCCATCGGATGTCTATTTCTCTTTCTCGAGTGTGATCAATTTTACGGGGTCGTCTGCCTCGTCGAGAAGAGTGTTTGATGTGATCAAGGCCTTGCCGGAAGACCGTGTGCTCGTTGAAAGTGATATCCACACGGCAGGGCCGCAAATGGATGAGCTGTTGGAACAAGCCGCGCGTCAGATCTGCGAGATCCGCGGTTGGGGATTGCGGCGTGGAGTGCAGCAACTGGCTGATAACTGGAGACGTTTTGTCTTTGGTTGATCCCGTGTTTGTGTTTCTCTTGGTGGCTATTGCATACTACTGTACATTTAACGTTACTAGGCTTTGCATGGATAGATGCATCATGTACATATACCCTATCTAGCGAAAAGAAATGAAGATTAAACACCCGGTTCGTGCACAATAAAGCAGTATATATTTCTATGGAGGATTGTATGTGGTCGTGTATGACGTGGTATCGTTGGGAGGCCTGGGGGCCGTGATCTTAAACCCTTCACTTGTAGGATATCTTTGCTGGGTGTATCATGTGCTGCTGTATTGTATTGTGGCATCTCGCCTCGTCTCGTCGTCAAAGCTCGTCGTGGAGAAGGGAATTGTTCCCAAAAAGGAGCCAGCTCGGCAGAATGGAAGGTCGGGGGAAAGGTAGGGTCGAATAAACTAGTTATGCATCCATCCTCCGTCGTGGATGAGATCCGCCATCGGCGTATCCTGCCAGTAGATCTGCCGCCACTCATCTTCCAGCTCAGGGAGACCCTCAACGGTCATGGGGACCGGCAGATCAGAGTCCGTGAAAGAGAAGAGCTGTCGCCAGTCCATAAGGTCTCGAGGCGGCTCTATCTGGTCTACCTGCATAGCAGAATTCGAAAAAGACTCGTTTCTGTCCAAGGGACCAACATTGAGCCGGAGAGGAGCGGTGATCCAATTGTCGAACTGGGGAGGATTGGCTTGCGGTGATAGGGTCGTTTGCTGCAATGGTGTTGAGTCGGGCGTCGGCACGCCGAACGACAAAGGCCGGGGCGTTTGGGTGGTTTGCATGGCAGCTGAGGCGTCTGCAGTAGCCATTTTGTTGGAAGGCTGAGTACCATTGAAAGGCTTGGGACCTTCTCTGGTCGCCAAGCGCAGATCGTCCTGCAGACGCTTGGAGTCTTCAAACAGTCGGAGGATCGTGCCTGCATGAACCCAATAGTTGGCCAGTTCCCGTAGGGAATAAGATGCTGAGTCAAAGCGTCGTAGGGCATTAATGGCGAGAACTGGATTGGAAAAGCGAAGCTCCACCCGAACCTGGATCATGGCTGTGAAGAGAGTGTGGACGCCAGTGTACCAAAGGTATTTCAGACGGTCGTTCAACCTCAGCTCTTCAAAGATTGATGCGATGACACCCGCTGCAGCACTGCAGATTTCCGCATCGTGGGGCCCATAGTCGTCGTTATATGCCGATGCTCTGGGATGTGGTCGATGTAAGAGAATAAGAAAATTATTGTAGGTCAAATGAAGCATGGCGGACCAGGGATCCATGTCAGAGGCTCGAAGCCGGAGATTATCAGGGAGTTTCAAGGACCAATTAGCCAGCGATTCATCGGCCTCCTTGAGAACAGCCTTTCGCCGTTCATCGGTAGCCCGGAGCCCAAAGCGATCGCGCATGACATACGAGATCAACGTACACAGCTCGGAAAAGTTAATCACAAAATCGGTTTGAACATGGGGGCCACAGTTCTCGAAATCAGCAGGTGTCAAAGGAGATACATCAGAATCATCAAGGTTGCTAGGCGATATTAGGATTCAAATGTTCGAAATCAGGGCTTGCATCACTTACATTGCTTGTGGGCGGCCGTGCGACAGAGAAACCATCACATCGAACTGCACCAATATATACCAAACCCGCCTCCACATCCGCCGGTCACGGGTGACAAAGCTGCTGGAGACCGGGTTACGATGCATACCTAGTCCAGTGGCTATCCGGGCAGCGACACCAACCCAGAAATGAGCATCTGCCGCAACATCGTCATCGGCACTGTCAGAATGCCATGTTAACAGCAGAGCTGTCTGCACGAGAATATCACGGTTTCGCTCAATACGGTTATCAAATAGATATTTGGTCCGCCGGAAGAAGATTTCTTTAAGCGCGTCTCGCTCGACTTTTGCCTTGGTCACATGGGTCCCCACCAAGAGGATAGCTTGCAAAAGGAGAATTGGCGGAGGATCAGCAGGATCTTTGTTTCGATATTGAGACATAAACAAGTCTTCGTCGACGACCGGGAACCCGGGGTTCACGTAGCTGAAGTAAGCCTGCACCAGCTCATCGGCAAGAGCAGGCTCGGGCAAGGTGAGTGCATCCATAAGTAGCTGGTCATGCCCTGTCTTGATCTGTCGCCGTGGAATCTCATTGCTGGCGAAATGGAAGACGTCGTCGTCTTGATCTCGTTGCTGGCGAATCAGGAAGGACATGTTCGAATGCTCATGACCAACATAGAATGCACGCACGCCCCGTTGAATCTCTCTTCTACCGGAATCCTCTTCATCGATGAGCTTAACTAGACGCTGCTCCATCTCCGTGTGTGCCTCATGCGCATGCGACAGATCTTGCCGCATAAACGGCTGGGACCCGGCATTTGGCTGAAATCCATGTTGTTGGAGACCACCTGCAAGCGGTGTCACTGCATTGCTTCCGGGAAATGCGCCTGCAAACCCTGGGTTCGCTGTCGTGGATTGGTTATTCTCGGATGTGGGCAGAGGCCGAGATCGGATGGGAACGGGGTCGAGAATCGAGCGGACAGCAAGACGCTTTTTCTTTTCATGAATGCGGCAATCGGTCTTTCCGGACGAACGACAGTTGGTGCAAGGAAGTCCTACGGCTCGTGCATCACAGCGAACCTTGCGCCGGTGACAATGAACGCAGGCCGCGGAGCCTAGATTTGAGTCACGGATGTTAGTATTTATCCGCGGAGGCCCATAGTCCCACCAATCGAGACAGGACTAGAGCGAAGAGCCTGCTCATAATGAAGCGGTACAAAAACTAGGAATTCTAGACGTACCCTGCTTGCGTTTGTTCACCCCATCGCCCGCGAGCGGCGGGGAGGGTTGATCGGTAGCGACAGAGGACATGGCAAGGGGACCATCAGCATCATTCCAAGAGCAGAACAGCCACTGTTCCTCATAATTCGGTAGGGGATCTGTAAGAGACTCTCAACACATCATGAGAACGAGCAATCGGAAGGGCAGTGAACAATCGCGGCGAGAAAAAGTCGGGAAGGCGAGACTGCGTGATCGGGTCCCGGTCCACTGCGGAGAATCCGCTTATGTAACGATGGCAAAAAAAATCTACTGGGGAAGACAAGAACAGTGAGTGGGAGTAGATACGATAGATACAAATAATTGCTCGCAGATCACTGTGTCCGCCATCCCGTAGATCCCAGACGCAGAACTAACGCCGAAAAAAAAAGAGACAATCAATAGGGCGTGTACGAGGTGTGCCGCCAAAACTGTAAAACACAAAAAAAGCCGAGGAGGACGAGTCCTCCCGGAAGAAGTCCGTCGCATTCAACTGTATAAACTCCGGTCCAAACCTTATGAGCCCACCGCGTCAGAGAGGGTTGCAGATAGACATCGAAGAAAGAGAAACCAGACACGCCTCCAGTGGGAAACACCTGGCCGTGCCCAGATCGTGGTCTTCCCATTGGAATCAAAACAGGCGGCCTTTAGTAGGACTCTCCGCCGGCCCCATTGTGGGGCTGACCGACCATCGGCGGGTAACCATACGCGGAGGGATCCTGCTCCGAAGGGTCCATGTTGGGGTTCAAGATGTTGTTTGCACTATCTGGGCCTTCGGGGAAACCCGGCGCTCCTGGGCGACCCTGAGCAGGACCACCGGCGCCATAACCACTGCTAGCGGGCCTGTTCTGGTTATCACCTCGCGCGGATTGGGTCTAGAAGAATCAGATGATTAACTTATAGTTCCAAATTATGGGTGAGCATATCTTACCTCGCGGTACTTGGACAGATAGATCTTGAGGGCCTCGGCATAGTTCTCAAAGCCAAGGGAGGTCATCGCAAACAAAATATCTTCGCCGTTGACGGTCTTGCGTTTCTCCTGCTGGCACTTTTCCGAAGCTGCGAAACAGTTAAAGTTAGAACTGATCATGAAAAAGGTGGGGATAAAATAGCTACCTTCGCTGGTGATGAACGAGATGAACTCGCTCACGCATTCCTGCATGCACTCCTTGGCTTCTTTTGCGATTTTCGCGTTTTCGGGGAGAGCGAGCTTCATAATACGCGCGACTGAACAAGGGATTGAAATCAGCATATCATAACTCGAGTCTCGGGTCGCATGTCAAAAATGAGGGGGGATCAATGACTAGGAGCAAAAGCGCGGCAAGCAGAGGTAGTGAACCACTTTATCGGAAAGATATCCGTGGTGCGAATTATTTTCCCAGATCGCGACGAGCAGAAGTTGTCGTATTGTAGATATGGTCGCACGCGAAGAAGGTACAAGACGCAGGGGAATAAGAATGTAGATGCAGAGCCCAGGTACGCGCAAATCAGGACAAGAGCAAGCTGCAAGGAAACGCAACTCACCGTTTGCAATCGGAAGCCACCGATCCTGCTCTTTCACCTCGAAATCGGGATGGCCCTGGCCTTGCAGATCTTGTTCCTTATCCATCTGCTGGTCGTGGTCTTCGCCCGATTGCGCTTCGGCGTCCACCTCGGGCTCCTTCGACGGAGAGGTCGACGACATTATGAGTGGTCTGGATACGTGCAGCGGGTAGTAACTTTGGGCGTCAAGGCTTGGCTTGTCTGCTGGCAGACCACGTCAGACTCGAGGGGGGCTGGTGTGCGGTCGAGTCGGGATTCGTCCAACAACTCAGGGTCGCCGAGTTGAAACAGGGAGCGGGGATGACTGGGCAGCAAAGCGCTTCACGGTAGCCTTAACGAGGGTTGTCAGCCGATGATGTGACTGAAATGTGCTGCAGCTCTGTAAACTTGCGACGCGCGCAATGACACCCGATTAGTCGTGTCCCGGAAATAGTATGGATTCCTGAAGAAGACAAGAAGGGGTTCGAGAGCACTAGGGTAGATAGTCACGTCGCACTAACCGATGCAGTGACAACGTCAATTCTGCGCCTTGAAAAATGACTAAACCGAAAGAGAGCTTGGGGATGGTGGGAGAGGCGATGGGGTGACGCGGGAATGCAACGCGGGAACAACGGTGGGTCAAAGGTGGGCAGCCCAAACGGTGTGGTGTGGCACGTTGCGCAGGGCCAGGGGGAAAAGGAAGAGCTACCTTTGTAGAACTGTATCAAAAACACAAAATGTACGAAACCCGATTCGCTTGGGCCCGAGATCGGGACTGGTGCCGATGAGTCCGATGAGCTTGACTGGGGGCCCCTCTTAACTGCTTGAGGGCAATTGGCGAACCAGATGGCAGATCGAAGGACGCCTTCGGGTTGGCTGGCGGGCAACTGTAAAGTGGAAGGGTCGCAAGATGGCCCACGCCTAGTAATCAAGCACCACCGTGAACAGCGATTTCTTGGATGAAAATAGAATCAACGGCGGAATTCAGCGGATGAAGATGTCGCCAGGGGGGAAGCTGGAAGAGGGGAGAGAGTGAGGCACAGAACGAGAGCGAGATCAGTCATGGAGAGTGACACCTCAGGCAGCAGTACGGCAGATACGGTTATCTCAGTACCGTGAGGGCGGTAATCATATCGAAGGAAAAGAGAGTGCTACAGTAGTTTATTGGGAATTGATAGGAACAGTTAGTCTATTGCAGTGATTCTTTAATTAAGAGGCACTTTTTTGGACATGGTCTATGATGATACGGCAGTCGTGGTGGAAGAGCTATGTACGTGGGACTATAGAATCCTGCACCCCGACCTAACCCTGTCTTCTCCAGGGCCCAACGGTACTTCACTGTTAGACTGTTAGGCACCAGAGGCTGCAGAAATAGGGCGACAAGACAAAAATCTCAGGCGTCAATGTGGCAGGAATGATGGGTACGACATTAATGAACAAAGAACTGTTCAAAATATGGACAGATTTGGGACCAGCAAAGATTCTTGGTGACCTCGGTGTCGAAGGAGTGAGAATTACCCAAAAATTCGTGGCCCGATACATTCTAGGAATTATGACGGAAGGATATTTAATGACCTCGGGGCATTGCTTTTCAATAGATTGGAAAACCCGGGAATGGAACCCGCGAGGACGGGCAATATCACACTAGTAATCTGATATTCAAGCTGTATCGAAAGACGGGCCATAGACAAAACCCGGTCTACGCGGAGGAGGTCATCGTAACTCGAGAAACAGCGCTGCATTGACTATGTCTACTCTTTTTCCCGGCCCCCGGAAACGCCAATAATCGCCTGGTCGGAGACGAAGCGGAGATCAAATATACATCAACAGACACACGACAAGATACCCTCAGGGCTGCACCACCTGGATATTATTCTTTTTCTGCAAGCACGAGCAGGGTTAGCGACTCTGAATGTTCCGGTTTGATCATTGACAGTACGTACCTTCCACGAATCCAACTCCGATTGCTTGGTCTTGTATTGCTTGAGCATTTCTTCCAGCACTTGCTTCAGTCCGTCCGAGTTGGTCTTGAGGAGCGGGAGTACATCCTTAACAGTGCGTTCGACCAGCACGCCGTTCACCATTCGAAAGCATTTGCGGTCTTGGGGGAGAGGTTCCAACGTCTCGACCACGAGTCTATCCAGACGAAGAGTTAGCAATTAGAGGGCTTGGTGGGGGTTCGTTAGTCAACCATCTACTCACTTGTGCTCCTCTGCCTCCTGCTCGATATCTCCGATCTTCTGCGCGAGTTGTTGCAGGATATTCTTGAAGTTGCCGTACTGGTGCTGGAGCTCTGGGCGTAGGGTGGATTGTTAGTCTAACCGTAGGCTCATACTTGGGAGTTGAGGATCAGTTATACCCTGTTGCCTCTTCGGGTCCACCTGCTGCTGGCTCGACATGGTGGCTTGTTGAGCGATTGGACAAAAAGATGGTGAAGGGACGATGCGGGGCGGTGGTGGAGGGAGTTTGGGCGACGGCGCAACTGACTATGAGCAGTGGTATCATTCACCCACGCCTAGAATGTATGGATTCGACTATGTCCGAGACTATTAAAACCAACCCAGCAGACCTATCGTCTTCGGAATTATTAAAATAAATAATCGTCTCACTTTCCTCCAGCCAAGGGGAAATAAAGGCAAAACCACGTGACTGTCGATAATCAGTTTGCAGTGTTTGCCTGCGATAGGAATTGCTGGACTTCTTGATAGCGGCAAACTTCCTTCCCAGCAACACCGATCCCAGCGAACAACACCCTGCTGGATCTGCCCTCGGATTACCCTCACCATGGCTCGCGACGATATGGGTCCTCCAGCCAAGCGGCTGAAGAGCTCGACGCTCCCACCAACGCTACGCGACGCCAAGCGCAAAGACATCGACAACTGGGAGACCAACCGCATGCTCACGTCCGGTGTCGCCCAGCGACGTGACTTTGATGGCGACTTTGGGGTCGACGACGAAGAGGCCACCCGAGTCCACTTGCTGGTCCACGATCTTCGGCCGCCGTTCCTCGATGGCCGCACCATTTTCACGAAACAGCTGGAGCCGATCTCTGCTGTACGCGACCCGCAGAGCGACATGGCGGTCTTCAGTCGGAAGGGAAGTAAAGTCGTCAGGGATCGCCGCCAGCAACGAGAGCGTCAGAAGCAGGCGCAAGAGGCGACTACGATGAAGGGTACGGCTCTGGGAAACCTGATGGGAGTGAAGGAAGACGAAGGCGATAGTGCTGTCGCCATGCCGGTCGAAGAGGTCTACAAGGGAGGCAAGAGCGGGAATAAATTTGCTCAGCATTTGAAAAAGGATGGAGGGGGTGCCAGCTCCTTCAGCAAAAGCAAAACCATGCGGGAGCAGCGGGAATATCTTCCTGCCTTTGCCGTGCGCGAGGATCTCTTGCGGGTCATTCGGGACAACCAAGTTGTGGTGGTTGTAGGAGAAACCGGATCCGGCAAGACAACGCAGTTGACGCAGTTTCTGCACGAAGATGGTTACTCGAAGTTTGGCTTGATCGGGTGCACGCAACCTCGTCGTGTGGCTGCTATGAGTGTGGCGAAACGTGTGAGTGAAGAGATGGATGTGGAGCTTGGTGGGCCAGTTGGATACGCTATTCGTTTTGAGGATTGTACAAGTGATGAGACGGTGATCAAGTGTGAGTTTCTTTTCGACCTGCTGTATTACCTGCATTGCTGACACTTTTGGCGCTAGATATGACCGACGGTGTTCTCCTGCGAGAATCTCTGACCCAGTCAGATCTCGATAAATATTCATGTATAATCATGGACGAGGCACACGAACGAGCGTTGAACACCGACGTCTTGATGGGTCTTCTCAAGAAGGTTCTCGCTCGACGCCGGGACCTAAAGTTGATCGTGACTTCAGCAACGATGAACTCGGAGCGCTTTGCGCGCTTTTACGGTGGTGCTCCAGAATTCATCATCCCGGGCAGAACATTCCCGGTTGATCTTCACTTCTCGCGCACACCTTGCGAGGATTACGTGGACAGTGCAGTCAAGCAGGTCTTAGCCATCCATGTCTCTCAGGGCCCGGGGGATATCCTCGTCTTTATGACCGGCCAGGAAGACATCGAAGCAACATGCGAGCTAGTGGACGAGCGGCTAAAGTTACTCAACGACCCGCCGAAGCTGAGCATTTTGCCCATTTATAGTCAGATGCCGGCAGAGCAGCAAGCCAAGATTTTCGAAAAAGCCGCTCCAGGAGTGCGCAAGGTCATCGTGGCCACAAACATTGCGGAGACTAGCTTGACGGTCGACGGAATCATGTTCGTTGTTGATTCTGGTTACTCGAAGCTCAAGGTGTACAATCCACGCATGGGTATGGATACACTTCAAATCACGCCAATCTCTCAAGCCAACGCCAACCAACGCTCGGGACGAGCCGGACGGACTGGACCGGGAAAAGCATACCGTCTGTACACCGAGACCGCCTACAAGAACGAGCTTTACATCCAAACCATTCCTGAGATTCAGCGGACGAGTCTCTCCAACACTGTCCTGCTTCTCAAGTCTTTGGGAGTCAAGGACCTGCTCGACTTCGACTTCATGGATCCGCCACCGCAAGAAACCATTAGCACCTCTCTGTTCGAACTGTGGTCACTAGGCGCACTGGACAACCTGGGAGACTTGACGCACCTAGGACGACGCATGACCCCATTCCCCATGGACCCCCCACTCGCCAAACTCCTCATCATGGCCGCAGAAGAGTATGAGTGCAGCGAGGAAATGCTGACAATTGTCTCCATGCTGTCTGTGCCAAACGTTTTCTACCGCCCCAGAGAGCGACAAGAAGAGTCAGACGCGGCGCGCGAGAAATTTTTCGTGCCCGAATCGGACCACCTTACTCTGCTGCATGTTTACACGCAGTGGAAATCAAATGGCTTTTCCGATGGATGGTGCGTCAAACACTTTTTGCATGCAAAGACTCTCCGGCGCGCCAAGGAAGTGCGTGACCAGCTCCACGACATCATGACCGTCCAGAAGTTGCCGCTCATCAGCTGCGGCACGGACTGGGATTTCATTCGCAAGTGTATCTGCTCGGGCTTCTACCACCAAGCAGCGCGCGTCAAGGGCATCGGCGAGTTCATCAATCTCCGCACCAGCGTCACCATGGCCCTGCACCCGACCAGCGCTCTGTATGGCCTCGGCTACGTCCCAGAGTACGTGGTGTACCACGAGTTGATCCTGACGGCGAAGGAGTACATGTCAACCGTGACGGCCGTAGACCCCCACTGGCTCGCCGAACTCGGCGGCGTGTTCTACTCTGTCAAGGAAAAAGGCTACTCGCAGCGCGAACGCCGCGTTACCGAGTTGGAATTCAATAAACGCATGGAAATCGAAACCCAGATGGCTGCGGACCGCGAGCGTGCCGCTGCTGAGAAGGAACGGGAAAAGGCACGCAACGATCCCTCCCTCCGTCGGAGGGAGGTGGAAGTTGGCGGGGGCTCTGTTGTGCGGAAACCTTTGGTCAAGGGCGGTCGAAAACCCGGTGGCCTTACTGCTTCTTCCTCGTCATCTTCCTCCCGGCCTGGTGGTGGAAACGGTGGTTCGGGAGGTGGAAGCGTTGTGAAGAAGCCGCAAATACCTCGGAGACCCGGTCGCGCATTTTGATAATTCACTGGTTGGTTAGTTCGATCTCCACGATTGGTCGAGCTGTAATGCCTAAACATGAGCATGTTCTTTTGGGCCATAGAGTATCCGAGACAGAATTTATTGCATAGATACCCGCTGTCAATTACATTTACATCCTTTCCTTCTTACTACTTTTGGGAACATGCAAATTGGTGAACTCGTCTCATTCTCATTTTCCGCAAATGTGATGATATACAGGACAACCCTAGGCTTTTCATCAACGACGCAATTCCACCCAGCGGAGCACATCAAGCACTCAACGCCGGCCCCCAGCGCGAAGTGCGCAGTGTCCACGAATTATCCGTGAGCTTCGAGACAGAGAAGATACCCCAAGATACCTTAACATCTCCTCTTCATGAAAAACACAACCAACGTGCCCATGCACACCCACACACCTTGCACCGCATACCTAGTTGATAAAGTTGACGCAGAAGAAGTGTAGAATCAAGCTCCCAAAGATATAATCCGCGAAGGCGCTATAAAACTTTGTCAGCCACAAGATCATTTGATCAAATAGGAGATAGGAAAAGTACTAACCGCTCATGCGACGCCGTCACAGTGCCCTGCTCCTCCGGCTCCTCCGCAAACCGCGCATTCTTCCCCTTCGAGCTAGGCTTGCTCTGTCCAGTGGGTTCACTCGTTTGCATGCGCAGACTAGCCGTCAGCACGAACTGGCCGACGGCAGCGCTGAAGCCGGAGAGGAATGCGTTGAAAGGCTGTGTTTGAGTGGTGTTTGGTTAGCTTTACGGCTCTCTTGTTGACATACCAGGAAATGCAATAGCAATTGCTAAATATAGGGGGCCAAGAGCGAAGTAAAAGAAGAGAGACATACGTAGTTGCCTGCCAGAATACAGTACAGGAACTGTAGTCCGCCGACCAGGACGAGGAAGGCCATGAATGCATCTAGGAGAAGTGTCCGCTGCGGGGTTGAGGAGAGGTACTGCTGCCACACTAGCTGGGCGATTTCAACGGCGGAGGCATTGGATTTGAGGGTTGCGGGGCCCGAGGAGAGTGTTTTTGAGGGTGGTGTTGGGGTGTTGGGTGTTGGTGATGCTGGTGCTGCGGAGGCGGTTGAGGCCGCGTGTCGTTTGGCGGGCATGGTGTGAGGTAATGGGTCGGGCGTAGATGAATGGGAGGAGCAATTGGTGTTCAAGGGCGTTTGGAATGACGCGAATTGACGAGATTTGAGTCGTTGGGTGAATGGCAATGGCGGGTTGGGACGCGGAAGATGATGCCAGCTGGATGGAGCTGCGCCGATCTGCGTTATCGCTGGGTCACGTGGACGGATACAATGACCGAGGGCATTTGTTGATTCCCAATATGATCCCGCGAAAATACGTAAGACATGACGTTCATTAAGTTTTTTTTAAATACTTAGATGTACATTTCATTTGTCAACCAAACGGGAGTGGGGATCAAAAAGGAGGAGGGAGGGACAACACCGAGGAGAGGAGGGAAAGTAAACCGGGCCCTGTTCAACTCCAAAAAAATTCGTGGCATCGTGATCATCAAATAAACAAAACCCATCTAAATAGAAGTAGAACACCTCGCCCAATCTGTACCAAACATGTCAGTCCAAATCATGCAAACCATTCAGTCACATTAGTCCCCATCGACGGGTTAGGCCCAGACTTGTCGACCTCCATTTGGAAGTCCCGCATAACCTGATCCCACTCCTCCCAATTGAGCTGAGTCTCAGCAGGCATATTATCCTGGCTTATAAGTGGATCCACGGTATTATTGATATACGGCAGCGGTGTGGGCACATTTGCCGCAGAGATGGGATCCTGAGGCGGAGGGGCTCCGAAGAAGTTGGGAGTAGCCATGATATTTGTATTGGGGAAGATATCCTGCAGAGCCTCCCACGGCCCATTGCTGAGATCAACATTCAGTGAGGTATCAGGCAACGGTGGTGGAGCGGTCTGGGTCGCAGATATCGGGCTGGGTTGGCTGGCGGGCACATGGATCCGAGGGAGAGGGTGTTCGCATAAGGCACTTGAGCCACTGCTGGTGCTGGCGAGGGATGGGGTGAAGCCGAACTGGGAGCGTAGTTCCTCCTGGTGCTTAACTCTGGTTGCTGCAGCCCGTTTCATTAGCGCTGCCAGTGGCCGCCAGAGCATGCTCTTCTTATGCTTGGTCTGTTGTTCCCAGTCCCAGTACAGCGATGTGATGGCGTTCCAGGCTCGATCGGTGACGGGGCAGATCGGACGAACGCAAACCTCGGAGAGCACGAAAGCTATTCCGTGCCATTGCATGTTGGTCCGGAACAGCCAGCTCCACTTGGCAGTCTTCTCGTTGGTTTCCATGAGACGGCCAAATTCAAGTACCTCAATCGCAGTAATAAATAGGCTTTCGCGAGTTGCTTGGGATACTTGGGTAACGCGGTCTCTTCGTGTCATTGGGTGATGAACGATGAGCCACAGCTTCGCAAGAATGAGGCGTCCAACCGTGGCAGCAGCCCAGTGAATAGGCACATTCATGTCGCATTGTTTAATATACCGTTCTTCGACACGGTCATTGATGACCTGTATCATCCGTTCACAACGATTGATAGACGGGCCGTCTTCGCCCATGCGGAATTTGCTACCGGGGCAGACATAATTTGCCCGCCGCAGAGCACCGATAATCTCACAGCGAATAAGAAGGAATGTCACGTCGGTGCAGCCTTCTCGCTCTTCGGGTGGATTGACCATGTCTGGAGAAAGCTCGTCGTCATTGACGTTCAACGGCAGCCGCGTATCAGACGTGTTCTCATTAATCAATGGGTCAGTGCCGTGGTCTTCAGACGATCGGGAATCCATCAGGACGATGTGCCACCACAGCCGTCGGCGTATTTCCGTCTCGAACGGCTTGAGAGCGAAATTCGTGCCGTCGCGGTGTATCCCCAGGCTCTGGGCAAGGCGGAGCACGATGGAGGTCATGGACCAGACGAACTTGCTGTCGTCCTCTCGCCGGACAGCGATCAAGAAAAGAACTGCAGCTTGCAAGAGGACCAAGCTTTGGGTATTGAGGAAATTCGCCTTTGCCAACGCCTGCTCGACGGCAAACCGGTACCGCTTGACGGCGATCTCGCGGTCCTCCCCGAATTGGTTCATGCATTGTGCAGGAGTCATGCTGACTATGGCGGACAGATACATGGCAAATACCAACGCCTCCGAATTCTTGTCCAAAGTCTCCGGGTGTTGTGCCGCTTCGATAAACAGATTACGTGCAGTCGGCTTGTGTACGATGACAATCAACGGAGCGACGTTTTCGTTGTAGGCTTCCCATAGCACTGAAACCTTTGTCAAAGGGGGATGATGTTCTCGAAGAGAGTGTGAAAGCGAGTAGAAGCCGAACAAAAATCCCTCATGGCCCGAGGTTGTTGACGACTCAGGAGATGTGGTATCCTCTTCCTCCGACGAGGAGTGGTCCAGAATATCTTGAAGTTCCTCGATCTAGGATCAGTTAGTATACAGAGCCACCATCGTAGCTTTCGACAGACGACATACCTCATCGCCCAGACTGGCCCAGAGTCGATTGTTAACATATCGACTCCGGCCCTCATCGATGACCAGCCTTCCAAATTCATTTCCAAATTTGTCCGTTGAAATCTTTTTGGGATCGTCCTCGAAAGGGCAACCACCCTGTTGGGCTTGAGACTGAAGGGGTGCGCTACCGGTGGTGGTGGCAGGAGCAGCAGACCAGCTGGACGGAGTAGTAGACGGAATGGTGGACGAGGGCGCAGCCTGAGTAGCGGAGCTGTTCGAGATGGCATCTGCAGTTGACCCACTGCCACTCAAATGTTCAATCACACCTTCCAGACGACGCAGTCGTGAAAGTAACTCCACATCCGGGGGTCGTTTGGCTTTCCGTGGGGCTCGGCCAGGCGGGGGGAAGATGCAGTCGATGCCAGCCTTGACACAATTCGAGCATGGCGATCGCTTGTTACACCGGACCTTCCGACGGCGGCAGGTCACACAGCTACGCGAGCTGGACTGGTCCAGGGCCGGGGGGTGAGCATGGTTGGTCGAGGTGGGCTGCGAGGCTTTCGGGGAATTGTCGCTGGCGGCGGGGGACAGGTTCAGCTGCTGCTGCTGCTGGGAGGACGCTGACGAGACCGACATGGTATTGGGATGGGAGGAATCCAGGGCGGGCTTGACACATGCTTCAGCTGCACAGCATGGACTTTTGGATGAGACGAGCACACGTTCCAACGCCTCACTGAAATCGAGTCATCGCTCGGTTTGGGGCCGGGGTTTGGATTGCTAATTGGCCGATGTGGTTGACTAATGGAGATAAGACTCGGAGTTCTAGAATGCGTCACGTGATGGGTATAGAAACCCTTTGGATTCCACTACCACGCCGAGCATGTCACTTCAATATGGGTATCAGTCGGCTAAAACCTTCCTACGAGCTTCAAGCAAAACGGCCTGGTCTGTCTGGAAGCCATCGGGAAGCCAAACTCGCACGAGGTCAAACCCCGATGCCTCTAGCAGCTGCTGCCATTGCCGCTCTGTCCGTTCCAGCGACGCGAAGGAGCCCATCATCTGCATGTCGGACAGCACAGATCCCAGCGGTGCCCCGGACTCCGGGAATATGGTTTCGTTGATGAGCAGGATAGAGTCCGAGCCCATGGCTGCGTGCAGCTGTCGCAGAATCAGGCGAGCCTGTTTGTCCGGCCAGTCGTGCAAGACCGTACGCATGAAGTAGGCCCTGGAGTTGCAGATCGGCTGCTGCTGGAAAAAATCATGACCGTGGGCCTCGATGCCAGGTGGCAGGTCCTGGGCACCCTCCACAACGACGGGTAGATCCTGGACGATGAGCCTGCCGGACAGATCGGGGAATCGCTTTTTGAGCTTCTTCAGGTCCTCGCCCTGGTTGCCGCCGACATCAACGATCAGTACATCGGATTCACCGGGCACATGTAAGCGCTCTGTGACGGGGAAAAATTCAAACCAGTCCTTGCCACGTCGTCGGAATGGAAGACTCATGACGGTGTTGAAGGCCTGCTGGTAGTACGGATGGGTGTTCAGAAATTCGAAATAATGAGCATCGGTGCTCATGGCATATTGAAAGGGTCCATCGAAGCCGTCATCAGGGCTCTTCCATCCATTATGATGGAAGTAGTCGGGCAGTTTCGACAGCACAGTCAAAAAATGTGTGCTAGTCTATATCAATACCGGCCCATTGTTTTCTGAGATGAAGCAGCCATACCTATGAATGAATGCAGCTGACAACGGTGAAGACGACTGCAAAGCTGTGGCGAAGGGCGTCAACGCATATCTGTCTTGTTTGGTCTCTTTGACCACGGACATTGCAGACAGAAACCGCATGATCCTCGCTTGGCGATGGTGAACATCTCTTCCCCATCAAGTAATCGCTGGACTACTTACTAACGAGCAACAAATCGGCTTTATTATTGGTGTCTGCAGCCAACTGCTCAGTTGTTGTCGAGCCATGTACTAGCGCGTCAAAAAGCTTGAGATCGACACCTAGTCTGATAGCCATTGCTTGGTGTGCCTGACATCCACGTTAGCCCCGCGACTAACCTGTCACTAGTACAATTTCGGCTTACCGAGAAAAGCAATCGTGTCGCTGTGTCTGCGGGCCTCTCCAGCTTGGCGATGAGCTTATTGCATGTCTGCAGTAGGTCCTTGCGGTCCTCCTCGCTAACTCCGGCCTCTACAGCAGTGGCGACAGCGTCGAAGGTCTGTAGTAATTCGGAACTCATGATTTCAATTGATTTAGATTTACCAATGCCATAGCTACGGCACCCGTCGCTTTTATACTCGCATCAACGGTCGGACAATATAAAATATACCGACTTCTGACCTTGCATTTCAGATACTGGTGTACACAGACACTGCACACAACGTACAGTAATTCACCGAATTTACCGAACCCTGGGCGCTGCTTATTCAGGCAGCTTATAGCGAGAGTTGACTAAGATCAGCGCCCTCCCGATTCGGGGAGTCGGGCGTAACCGTCGGGGTGGGCCAGCTCTGTGGATCCGCCCAGCACCCCGGTGGAGATGTCGATTCGCCAGGTTTAACCTTAGACTTCCGCGCGTGGACTTGACCGTTCTGTTCACAGACTCTGGTGCCTGTTCCTCCCTGAACAGGCGCGGTGGAGTAGACCCTGACATCTCGGTGGGCTGGTACCAGCTGGCGTCTGTGGGGATGGGCCTCTAAGCCTCTGGTGAACTCGACTGTTCCTCCGACGAAAAATCCTTACCTAATTGCCCTGCTGCGATCTTAAGCTTCGGCCCTTTTTCACATGTTTTTCAATCGCCAAGGCCTGTCGCGAGTTCCTTAGTCTCGCGAAAGAGAGATCTGACCGGGAGATCCAATCGAGGAACCTTACCTATCTGTCAATGCCCTCTATCTATGCTCTGCTCTCCATGACTGCTGCATTGTTCGATACAATGAGTCGATATAGCCCCTGCCAATAAGCTACAGCACCTCCCTGTTTGACTCACTCGAGAACCATCCATCACCACCGCCATTCCGCCCCCATTAGCAGAAGTGAAACATGACAGGGACGCCCACTTCTCCCTATGGTGACCCAGGCGCAACTCCGACGGTGCCCACGGCGCAGCAGCTGAACAGATCCTGTGAGTCTTGTAGAAGTCTCAAGGTCCGCTGTCTGCCCAACCCGGCCACCCCTAATCAGTGCCAGCGATGCGCCAAGGGGAAAAAGGCCTGCCTTTTCGTAGCTCCGCAACGGCGCCGGCCGCGCAAGCGGACTGACTCGCGGGTCGCCCAGCTGGAGAAAGAGATGCGTATGATGCGCTCGCTGCTCAAAGATCGTATCCGCGAAGAGAGCGAGCCGGAATCGCCGGACGGCAGTGACGGTGACCCTGCAGACAACGACGACGATATGCCCTTCCAGGATCGACTGCCTTCGTCCAGCCACGCCTCAGGCTCTGCGGGTTTGATGGACTACTCGCCAGAGCTGCTAAATGCCGGCCACAATACTGGCCATCCATATATTTCGACCAGATTCTCGCCAGGCCCCGAAATGCGCCAGCCTTATGACGACGTCGTTGATCGAGGTATCATCTCCCTCGAAGACGCGGGCCAACTCGTCTCTTTTTATAACAACGAACTCGCTCCATTTTTCCCTCTGGTCGTTTTGCCCTCAAATACCACTGCCACGGCCCTGCGGCATTCCAAGCCGATCCTCTTCCTCTCCGTGATCTCTGCCGCAGCGATCGCCATCGACGCAAATCTAGCGGCTGTTCTTAATCGGGAAATGGTTCGAATATATGCGGAACGCTTCTTTATTGAGGGCGAAAAGTCACTCGAGCTGGTGCAGGCGCTGCTGCTCATGATTGTCTTTTATTATCCGCCAGACTCTCCCTTGAAACTGCAGTTTTATCAGTATACGCACATCGCCTCTACCATGGCTTTGGAGATCGGACTTGCCAGTAAGCGCCGCGTATCGAACAAGAAGTCCGGTGACAGAAAGAGCCGGTACGAGCCTTATGACGAGCTCCTAGCAGAACAGGCGCGTGCAGTTCTCGGGTGCTATAATTTAGGATCTACGTTAGTTCTTTGCCTTATTTTCATGTGGAGTGCTTACCGACTTGCATAGTGTCGCCATGAAAACCCGCCGGCCCAATTTGCTTCAGTTCAATAACTGGATGGCTGAGTGCGTTAAACACTTGGAACAATCGCCAAACCGTATAGACCAGCATCTAGCGGTGTGGTTCGAGCTCCAGAGGATCACCGACGAAGCAATGGCATCTTTCGGTCTGGATGACACCAGCTCCGTCTCGATGCTGACCGAATCGCGTGTTCAGGCTGTGCTGCGGTGGTTCGATAAGCGGGTGGAGGAATGGAGAAGAAAGATCCCATCTGAGATGCTGAATGGTAAGCTTTGTCCCGTTGTTACAGGGTGCCAAAGCTCATCTTGACCTACAGTGCCCTTGACCCTCGAATACCGCGCCACCATTCTCGCCATGTACGAGTTAGGCATAGGAGAAGGGTATCGAGAACCTGATGCTGTCAAGAACCGGTTCTACACTCTTCCCACCCCCGACGAAGATGGGAGTCTGCAGGTACCGCTGAGTGCCATCCGTATTGATATCAACATGAAATGGATGCACGCAGCCCATGAGATGCTCGACGCCGTGATGTCCTGCAGCACGGACACGATGCGCAAGATGCCCAACCATATGTATACCCGCGCTGTAATTGCAATGACCTCGCTTCTGAAGATTCATTTCTCGGTGCGCACGGGTGCTCTGAGCGAGGTGGTCACCACGGACACCGTGAACGTGAGCTATTATCTTGACGCCCTATCAAACAAGCTGGGTGAGGCGAGCGGCGGTGGCAACTATAAGATTCCCAGTCGGTGGTACCACGTCGTCGCGGTCAAGGGCCGCGACTGGTATACCCGTGTTGAGGCACGATATGCGGCTCAATCGAGTAATTTGGGACACAGCGTTGTCTCCGCGAGCCCGTCTACCGAATCCGTGCCCGGCCAGATGCCCGCCACCCAGGACCCAACAGCGCCCCCCGTAGATCATGTGCACAATCCATCCGCTATGGATTCCTTCTCTGTTCCTCAAAGCGTGGCTCATATGCCCTCGGGTATTGGAAGCATTCGCGAAGGTTATGTTGCCATGAGCGGCGCCGGCATGTGGCCTGCAGACAATGGCGCAAGCCATAATGCTGCTCTCTTCCAGTCGATTCCAGACGGCTATCAGAACCCGCAGACAACAGCTGGACTTGCACAGTTTTCTTTTGATCCACAAAGGCAGCCGCAGATGCCTGGTACAGGCATGGAGCTGGATGGGTGGTTGCCCGACGGCAGCATTTTTGGTATGCCACCATTGCCGGAGTTTTGATCATGAGAGGGAGTACATATACAGCCCAAATCGTAATAGAATAGTTCTCTCAGAGTGCATGATAAAGGTGTATTCAGGAGGTCAAGAAGGCAGGCAGATGAGAGAAGATAGAAGATAAAACAGTCGACGACAAAGATATGCGACGCTCACGTAACGGTGTTTGTTAGGCTCGAAAAAGAAGCTGAAGTCAATAATAGAGAGAGACAGAGAGTAGAAAAAAAATATAAAGTAAGTGTTCCACGCAAAGAGTCTGATACATCCCGTAGTTTATAGATCGCGCAATCGATCGGAGCATCGGGAGACTCGAAAGTTCCGCGATGGAGCGGCTCATCGGATCGATGTTGTATCCCGACCTTCCTCTTTCCTTCATATGTTAAGTAGAGCAGATATAGTAGCTTAGAAGTGTGATACTATTAATTTTTCATGGTTATTAATGGTTATTTAGAATGGGATTCGTCTTCCAATGGGTAGAGAAGAAAAGTTTTTGCGATGCAAACTTGCTTGAACTTGACCCTGGTGGGTGAGAGAGCCGTCTCACCAGTGACTATAAAAATTACTGGGACAACCGTTTCCTATCTATTAGATATCCTCACCAACGATCATTGCCAGTTGTGTACAAGATAACTGCATTCATCGATGACATCATCGGAATTGTTCCGCCGTCCGTTATCAATTAAAGAGATAGAGACATACTCCCTCCATGCATCGATCAATTCAACTCGTGGTCCAGGGTCGCCCTTTATTTGCACAAATACCTTTTCATAAACTCCACTATACTCCCCGACTTTGCCAGAACGCTCAAGGCTATCGAACCATGACAACCCAATCAGATTCAATTCACAATCCCGCGACAGCTGACGGATGGCACGGCATCATTCCCAGCAACCGATTCCCCGCTGAAAAGGGCCGCTATCACCTGTACATCGGCCTATTCTGCCCCTTTGCGCACCGCGCCAACTTCGTGCGTCACCTTAAAGGCCTCACCGACTTCATCGACATCAGCATAGTCAAGCCGTATCCAAAGGGCGGCGAAAAGGGTTGGCCAGGATGGCGCTTTCCCAGCTCCAATGAGGAATATCCCGGCGCGACAGTCGACCATCTGTACGGAGACGACTATCTACACAAGCTGTATTTCCGAGCCGATCCGGAATACAAAGGGCGGTACTCCGTGCCGCTGCTGTGGGATAAGAAGACCGAGACGGCGGTTTGCAATGAAAGTGCCGAGCTGTTACGCTGGCTTCCTTCTGCGTTCAATGAGGTTTTGTCATCATCTCTCAGCAAAGTCGATCTTTATCCACCACATCTGCGCGCGCAGATTGACGCCATTACCCCTTGGATGCAATCGGATGTCAATGCAGGGGTTTACAAAGCGGGATTTGCACCCTCCCAGGAAGTTTACGACAAGAATGTCGTTCCCGTCTTTGGTGCACTAAACAAGCTCGAGGGTATTATCGCACGGAATGGTGGCCCCTTCGTGCTGGGGCCGGACATGACCGAGCTGGATATTCGACTCTATACGACACTGATTCGTTTTGATACGGTTTACGTCCAGCATTTCAAGTGCAATCTGGGCACCATCCGACATGATTATCCGGTTTTGAATAATTGGTTGAAGGGCATCTACTGGAACGTGGAAGCAGCGCGGGCATCCACCAACTTTAAACATATTAAAGAAAATGTGATTCCTCTCTTTCCCTCTTCCCATTGTGACCCAAGCTGACCCTACTCAGTATACGAAAAGCCATGGAGGTATTAATCCGAAAGCTATAACCCCTATGGGCCCATTTCCAGACGTTGAGCAAGGCTTTGAGAGGGATTGGAGTAAGTTATCAGCGGGAGGGGTGAAGCATCCGGCCGTGCTGGAATATGAGTCCACGATTCCTTCATAAACCAACCAGAACAAGTATTGTGACTATCACTCGCCTAGTTTTTGTTCATTTTTCTTTTATTTTTCTAAGATGGATTTGATTTCCTGCATAGACCCTTCCCGAGTCTCTCAAGGTTTGGTCCTTTGGTCATAAATTTGGCTGCACCCTCCGATTCAGGTAGCCCCTAAGCCTTCTGCAGCAGAGTGCTCCCATCTGGATCAAGGACCTTCGCCAGTTCCGAGACTCCAGTGTGATCACGCGTCGTTTTCATTCGGTGACACCAGGTTACCTGCTTTCCTTCTCCCTTGTCGCTTGGCTCAAAGAGGAATTCGCCGCCAACCTGCCGAGAATCACCTCCTTTGGTTCCCAGTCCACTAGGAATGTGCTTTAAAGCTTGTCCGATTGATTCGGCGATGCCTCGTACTAGACTCTTGCGAATATAATCTGGGCGGGTCCCCATGGAAAAAGTATTTACCATTCCAAGGTCATCATACAGTTTGCGAGTTGGATCTGCGAAAATCGGGAATGGACAGCCTGTTTCGGTGGCATAAAAATCGATCAGACTAGGGTCGCCACAGCCGACAATAGATATTGATGTGCTGACTGGCAGGCGTTTCAGATCCTCTGCTTGAATTGAATTTGAGAGGGCACTCAAGAATTCCTGGCAGCTCTGCGGTAGAAGAATATTAGTAAAACGTGAACTCATGCGTACTGAGAGGTTCTATCATTATTAAATGATATACTTTCAACGGTATGTAACTTGATCACACCCACTAGGATAGATATAGACAGCTTACCCCGCAGAAAAAGTGCCGGACAAATATCACTAGTACACGGGAGGTGGAATTGGGCCCATCGTAGAGACTCTTGAACGGATGAGCATCGCCCTTGCGATCCAGTACCGTATAATTCTCGACTTTCTGACAAGAAGCTGGGGATGGCAGGTCATCACTGATCACCCGCGCGTCGATTTTAGAATCAACAGGTTTGCTGTTCTCAGTCGAGGAGGGTATCGTCGCTGTGGTATCTGCTCCGCCATTTGGCACTTCCGACGGCTTCGAGTCGATTTCACTTGTCATGATGCTGATATGTTCCTTTATGCGTGGGAATGAGGTGACGTAGTGCTAGGAGAAGATGATGGGGGAAAGGCCAAATAGGGTAGTCACGTGTAGATCACCATGGCAAATCTTTAAATGTCTAGTGGCTGCGGCAAAGGAGGCCTGGTTATAGGTAAGAGCTTTTCCCCTCACGGTCAGATAGTTAATTTCCATACTTTTTCGGCCGAAATGTCTGGTCTACGATGCGTAATGAAGCGAAAAGGAAACCATCTCCCGTGTTTACTGACCACTCACTATCTAGGTCACGTCAGTTCGTACAATCTTATTTCAGTCGAGCTCTACGGGGCACAGAGACAGGTCATGTTAAACCCTTGTACTATGAAAATTGCTGATGTGGCTAGTCATTGCAGCAAACTAGATTTGATTTTCTGATACAGCACACGATGTTGCGCATTTGATTCCGCCGTTCTTTCAAGTCAACATCCCCAAGGGGACGAAGAGCAGACGGCACTCGACCCAGCATATTTCGTCAAATGGGACCGTGATGATCCACTGAATCCTCAAATTGAACCATTCGGTATATCAGCACGGGGTTCTTTGCAATATCATTGGCTTTTCCGCCCCACTTTACCCTTCATTTCGCTGCCGTATGCCAAACATGCGCTCGCTCTTATAGTTACTATGTACGCTTATAGATATTCCTGAGGGGAGGGTGTCTTGGAAGTGCTCCCCCAGTATAGTATAGAATATTACTACCATCTACTCAAACTTTGCTACGGTCAGCCTTGCGGAAATAATCGCGTTAAGGCCGTGATGACAGGCCGAGAATGGGTCAAGTGGATCTCCGATACCTTCCAAGTAACGAAAATGGTTGCCGGAAGGTTCTTCACGATGGATTACTGATAATGTTGGGTCCACTTGGCTCTTTTAAAAGAGCGACCTGTCTGCTGTTGTTGAGGTCAATTGCAACTGCATTGTTTGTTGACCTTGTCCCATATCTATCACCATGGCCACAACCGACTATAAATTTGAGGGCTGGATGGGCCTCGACCAAGGCGCTGCCGATGGGAAGATGGTTTGGCAGCAGTTCGAGCCCAAGCCCTGGGAGGAAACCGACATTGACATCCGCGTCACCCATTGTGGTATCTGTGGCTCGGACCTGCACACTCTACGCTCTGGATGGGTTTGTCAAATGCTCTGCTTAATGGAAAACAATGGCTAACTGGTACACTAGGGTCCGACGAATTACCCATGCTGCGTCGGCCATGAAGTGGTCGGCACCGCTGTCCGCGTTGGCTCCCAAGCGGTGGGCGATATCAAAGTCGGTGACCGCGTGGGCGTCGGCGCCCAGAGTGGCGCATGTTTGAACCGCAACGGCGACTGTGAAGCATGTGCGTCTGGTCTGGAGCAGCATTGCAACCGTATGGTCGGCACCTACAACGGGACCTATACCAACGGTGGCAAGTCGTATGGCGGTTACTCGACTTATAACCGCGTTCCCTCGCACTTTGTCATTTCTATCCCGGACGCTATTCCCTCGGCTGCTGCGGCACCGATGCTGTGTGGTGGTATTACGACGTACTCGCCCTTGAAGCGCAACGGCTGCGGACCCGGAAAGACCGTCGGTATTGTCGGAGTTGGTGGACTTGGTCACTTTGGCATTCTCTTCGCTAAAGCTCTTGGTGCCGACCGCGTCGTGGCCATCTCGCGCAAGACCAACAAAAAGGCCGATGCGCTGAAGCTAGGGGCCGACGCGTACATCGCGACGGACGAAGATCCAGACTGGAATACGCAGCACGCGCAGTCATTGGACTTGATCGTCTCGACCGTCTCCTCGTCCAAGATGCCCATTGTACAGTATATTCAGTTATTGCGCACCCACGGCACTTTTATCCAGCTAGGCAACCCAGAGGATGGTGCCTTAGCGATTCCCGCGGGCGTGCTGATTATGAAGGGCATCAAGTTTGGTGGGTCTCTTATTGGCAGCCCAGACGAGATTCGGGAGATGCTGGATTTGGCGGCAGCGAAGAAAATCCAACCATGGATTCAGGAGCGGCCGATGAAGGAGGCCAACAAGACCATTCTGAACATGGGCAACGGCGATGCGCGATACCGCTATGTACTAGTCAATGAGTGGTAAGAGAGAATGGATTTCTTGCGTGTATACCTGGATATGTAGGGAGCTTCTACTCCACGGTAATATTTTTGGCTACCTAAAAATACGATATAAACAGATTGAAATATTCTCGAGGGTCAAAAAGTCCAAAAAAATTGCTCACACTCGGATTCGAACCGAGGATCTCATCATTACTAGTGATGCGCTTTACCAACTAAGCCATGCGAGCTGTTATTGGAGGGCTTTTGCCTAAGTATCAATTATAATTGGGCTAACTGAGTAAGTCTGACCCACCTAAAAGGCACCAGAGAAAAGGCGAGGAATCTTCGATTCACTATCATCTCAACGACCACAAGTTAATTTTACTCTGTAACCACTATAGGATTGTTTCTTAACATGATAAACAGTTGTAGTTTAACTTGATCTAGACTGAAAGAGCATTTTATCACCTGACCAACCTTCTTTGCGACCCAATGTTACAAATATATATATGTTTACCATACGCTTCCAAGTAGCTTGCTAATATCTTTCTATTTCTTTCTCTGGACCTAGAACTTGGTAAGACTGGATGCAGACCCTCATACACCCAATTATACTGCCCTCCGACCAGTGGGACATCAGGTTTGTCGATATGGTTGATGGCACTTCGCAGTCCGAGCAAGCTGAAAGTCAAAGCGGTACGTTTATTGATCTTTTGGCTAAATCCAAGGAGATCCTCGAAGATACGTTTCTACTACTCTACAAAGCCTTGCTAATCTCCAACAACTTGTCTAGCGATGATGTCCTAGATCAGCACAATGATGAAAGAAGCCCTTAGTGGGATAGAACGAGAGCTTACCTCGAGTCTTACCCGGAAACAAGAAAAATTCGATCACTGGCATTCGAAAAGCCGTGAATCGGTAAAGCCACACCAGATCAAGCAGAAGCAGTTTGACGAGCTGAAGCGAAAATCTTCTGGCCGAGTAGGAGTTGACCGACGCATCAAGAACCTAGAGCGGTTTGCCCAGGGTTTGCTTGCTAGTATCAAGGAAGTTGGTAGTTGCGATGCGTCTAGATAGCGGTTACTAACGATGCCGACTAAGACTAGGATCGATATGGTGTTCGAAAACTTATTTTCCGCCACGTTCGACCCGACGACCGGGTTCTCCGTAGAGCAGACCGCATTCCTAACTTCCTTGCTGACTGAGGCTATGATTATGGGTCTAGAGCTACAGAGAGTGTAATCACGAGCCCATCACCAAGACAGTGTGCGCCCCGAGAGTCACCACCCACACAACCAGCACCGTCACCACTACTTCGACCTTTGTCCCCGCAGACGTCTGGACAACGGTCAGTGCAACAGTCACATCAACCATCACTTCAGCAACGACCCTCCCACCGACAACACGGACATTTACAACGACCAACGCCGTCACAGAGTCAAGCACAACCTCTTTCTTTGCCGCCTGCGCCACCAACAACATAGCCGGCGCTCTTCTATCATCGGACTTTGGTGACGTCGCAGGTCAGTATATCAGTAACTATAATCTGGCAGGGCTCCCGGGGGCCGATGCGTACTGGACCGACGCGATCACTCCGTATGACTGCTGCACTGCCTGTATACAGGATGAATCTTGCGGATTAAGTATCCTCAACAGCCAAGGGTCCTGCTATAAAATTGACGGGTCGACGTGCTCGCAGCCCAATTGTGTGGATGCATTCTTCGGGACGACCGCCACGTATCATTTGACAATATCAAATGGAAACTGCGCAGAGCTTATTGGGCAAAATAGGTAATTTTACTGGCCATTGTGGGAATCGAAGTCGGAGCGGGCGTTTGGCGATTCGTACGTAGGATTGAGAGTTAGACTGGAGTTAAGCTCCTGAACATTCCTTTAATTGAATCCACAATCACAATATACGAGGGACACTTGAATCCTGAGTGTATTTTCCCTGTAGATATCTCTCTAATAGTGGGTTTCCTGTTCACAACTATAGGGAGCCAATGTGAATCGCGACTCCTAGGCCATAACACCATTGATCTTCAACATGGGCATGAGCATCCTGCGCGTCAAAGACGACGATGTTGTTGATTAGAATAGAGATACCTTCACCCTGCGAGGAGCCGCCATTGGGGGATGAATGAAGGGAGTTGTTTTTCCCACCACCCCACATGTGAATCTCGATGGCTTCGTCCTCACGATCCGTTAGTTGCGTGCCAGTATATAGGTAGGCTAGCAAGTCAGTGACGTAGGCATTAACACATGGGCTCCTAGGCCGCTATCGAAGCTCTGGTTGGCTTCTCCAGCGGACAATCTTCGGCTGCCACCTCTTGGGGATGCGCAGTGCCAGTCTAAGCGTTTGGGGTACACAGCTGCCTGGGTATGGCGAGGAACAATTCCAGAGAAATTCGTAGGAAAAATTGAAAATCGTTGATTATCGTACGCGACAGGAAGTTTGGTAATGGATTTGAGGAGGCGGGTAAGACTACAAAAACTAAAAAGAAATGCTCACACTCGGATTCGAACCGAGGATCTCATCATTACTAGTGATGCGCTTTACCAACTAAGCCATGCGAGCGTTGATGACAAAAACTGGTTAAGTTCCATTCAAGAGAATATCAGTCGATTTTACCCTAAATCCATGGAAGTCTACACCACAAAAGGAATCTTCCTCTCTGATTCTATAAAGGACTAGAATGATAGACAACTCAAATACACAAATCAATTAGGTAAACCAAACCAGGCTGGTAATTAGGCGGCCGAACTTGGTATGGTATCCTCATTTCTGACAGGATCTATTAAGCTAAAAATGGTTACGAAAGAGTCCCCTTAGGGATTGTGTGGCATCTCACTTTCGTTTGAAAAGGAGAATGACAACGGCAGTCCCGACTGTAATAGTTGGATTCTCTTCCTCCCCTGCGCCCAGAGCCGTCCGAACCTGTGCAATCATCTGTCTGACACAGTCTTTTTTGGTCCCGACAAGCTCAGGATGTGCTTCTCTCCATCGAGTCACCATACTGGCTGTCCCAAGACTTGTTTCCAAGTCATTCAGCGTTTTATCTTGGGAAAAATTAAAGAATTGTTTTTCATCGGTAAGAATGCCATCGCGATCCCACTCCATTCGCCGAAATTCCGCGATTGGGAACTCCTTCGCCACGTTATCATCACCTGTATGCCATGGAAGGACAAGGTTTTCATATAGGTCACGAGATACCCGGTTAGGTGGGAGTTCGTATGGAGACAGGACCTCCCGCTCAAGGTGGAAGAGGGCTTGCTGGACCTCCTTAGCGTTAACAGTGGAGGGATCTGGAAGTTTGGTGTGTTAGCTTCACTTGCTCCGCTCCATTGTCAATATTATAACCATCGGTATAGGTGACTTACGGCAGTAAAGAGATGCACAGGTCCATAATGCGACAGTTCCCTGAGACTTGACTATGCGAGAAGCTTCCTTCCAGAATTTTGGCATGTCAAACCAGTGGGCCTATGGTCAGGTTAGAAATGCCCAACAAGTAACAAGGCAAAGGAATTAGAAATTACCGCCATTGCAGCCGTCAGCAAGTCTACACCTCCATTTTCTTTGGCAGCGGGCAATGCTTCTGTGATCCCATGCACAATATTATCAGAAGTTGAGACCGCATATGCCAATGGCCGGCCAGCTCGGGTAAGGCCGTCCGATAGAAGAGCAGTATTAATCATTTCCACACTCGGATCCAGGCCTATAGCATGGTCGAATAACATGGCCAGGTCACGAGTAGCATTACCAGGCCCGCAACCGATATCTGCTAGAACATTCACTTGGCCATGCGTCTCGGTGTGATAGTTGAGAATAGTGTTGTATAATTGAGCGGAATAAGACAGACGAGAGTTCGCATATTGTTGGGCTTGGTTATGCGAATAGTTGGAGAAAGTCGGATCAGATAGAGGGGGGGACATTTCGAGGCTGCGATGGTTTCGTATGGAGACCGATAAATTTCCTTCGAGCAAAGGTCGGTTTCAGGGAAATATCAAATTGGAAGTGATTGAGTTCTACCTGCTCATCCGGTAGGTTAAGGGATGTTTTGACTTGTGGCCCCGTGACTCATTTGGAGTCATGGAATAAAACGTTCTTCGTGGGGATGTAATCCCGCCGACAACAGCCGCTGTATCCCCTTTCCTCTCTCTAACAATCTAGATCACACCAGCAGAGCGCATGTTTTGAGCCAATTGCTCTTCGGCCTTACGGTCTTTCCTCGGCTGCGGATCCCCAGTTTTCATCCAGTAAATGTACAATACTTCAAACACCAGAGCACCAAGTGTGGTGAAGCTATACTGAATTAGTTTCAAATTTCCATTGAGGGAATGCTCATTTACTTACAACGCAATAAAGCTGAATGCTTCTGCAGCGTACTTTCGACTGCAAACTGTTTGTCCGTTCCAGCGGTTAATTCGACAACTGACTTGGTTAAAATCAAGTGCCAGGAAAATGAAAGCAGTAAGCCATCTGGAAAGAATATGATTAGAATACCTCCATGTGATGGTATGCTTCACACGTACAAGTAGGAGAGAGCTGCATCGGTAATAAGTAGTGGAAAGACATGCCATTTACGGCGCCTTGTGACACAACTTGTGCTTAACGCAGCCGCATGAACAACCGGTGTCAAGGTAGCCTGAATGCTTGTTAGAATGTGAATGGTTGCAACGGCCGTCCAAGTAGAACCTACAACGATCAGAGAGTAGATAACTGTTACCGTTTTGGTATTCCGCGCAGCCCATGCTGTTATTCCAAGGACAATAAGTGCACTGACACACTGTATTGCGTGGGCGAATATAGCGACAAAGCCGAGAGGATGGCCGTGGAAGCTTTCCATTTCAGCAGGAAGGTATTGAATTTAAAAAGAGTTAGTAAAATGACGGGAACTCACGATATGCTGCGAGGCATGGCTCCCCGATATAGTTTTTCCCCTTCAAAAGTGTATGATCTCATCACACGGAATCAACCAAATTTTGAACGGCATTACGTACATTTTCTCCATATGAACATAATACTCATAATTAATTATTAATACCAAATTTTGCTGTTTATTAATATTAACGGACAGGTACTTCTTGATCTGCCTCAAGGCTCGGGAAAGGATACTTCTCTCCCTGGGGTACTCGTCTTCGAGTACGAACAGATGGAAGTAAGTCAATCACCAAGGAGAAAACGAAGAACGCAAAAATTAGAGCAGCGACTGCTTGAATTAGCCATGCGATTTTAATCAAATGTTGGGGCTTAGACGTACCCCATTCTAAAACAGCGGCCGCGTTCTTCCTTGCAGGAGTTTTGGCTTTCTTGCAGATGCCAAATCCAATGGCCACACCAATCTCAAGGACGATGAACAGAGCCTTAATATAGAAGCTGACGAGTAATATTCGTAGCTGTGGTCGATAGAAACGACCGAGGCGAATGTACTCAAGACACACCAGGATGGCGCTGACCACATAACTCACTCTATGAAACAGTCAGTCATTTGAAAGACAACAACCAACTGCTAAACTTACATGAACATAATGAGAAATCCGTAGTGAAGATGGTCATGGTGCTTAACGTCAAAAATGGCCAAGAGCAGAAGGCCTAAAGCTCCTGAGACGGAGAACACGATAGACCCAACAGCACAGGTTTTATCAAACACTCCTCTGTTTCTTGCAAGTTGTCCTGAATGTCGAAGCCAGCGCTCTGCAAGTAAGGCCAAGTCCAGGAAAACACCAGTGACTGCGCAACCTGCGATAAAAAGCGGCTTGAGTCCTTCGGCCCCGATGTGCGATATGTACCTGATAGGATAGACCAGATGATTTAGCCTTTCATAGTGACAATAGCTTTTTATAATAAAGGATACGTACGGAATAGTTAGCCCAGGGCTCATGGTTGAATATATGGGTTTCCCATCTGCCGCCCAGCTTGCAAGCATAGCCACAAGCGTGGCTAAAAACCCATGTTAGTGAATTACGACCACTATTTCGAGCACTTACCAATCCACATGCAGCCTGAGATGACTGGAAAAAGCCAGAAAGACAGAATCCACATATTGTATTATTCAAGGCCTCACGATTTTGATCGTATTTGCCGGGCTTGATCTCCCAAGTTGGCAAACCCGACAGTTTAACACTTCTGTAAATAACCCACATTCCAACCAACATTCCAAAAAATATTAGGCATTCTTTTGAATTTGCTAAGGAACAGTTAGTTATTTACCTCCATCCCGTTCCTATTGAGAAGTTAAATTGGCAGGCATACACTATGTAGGGTTAATGTCTATGACGTCAACGAACCGAGTCCTTCGGTCACCATCCATCAACACAATACCTATATAGAATGGTAAATGAAATGCCTTTCAGGGGGAGACGGGAAGGTTTAAGAGATTATGTATTTTCAAGGTTATCGCGAGAAATAATATTGATATGAACCGTGAGTTGTAGCCGGATTCATTTCACAGATTCCTTTATCTTTGAAGGCATGCCAGCCCTAAGTCCCAAGAATTCTGTACGTCAAGAAGTCTTGCCAATTATTGACTAGATTCTGGATTCTATAAAACTAGGCCACTCGGAGACGAAGACCTGGCCACGAAGTACTTGGCAATATAAACTTGGAGTTTGCTAGCCTCCTTGGTATAGTGCGTATATATTTGTGACTAAATTTCTATTTTCATGATCTTCGGTAGATAAGATTGCCCATATTCCATTGACATCCCATTCATAGCTTCGAGGCGGCGCGGTTACGCGCCAATTCCTTCAATTTCCTCCTCAGAATCTTCCCACTGGGACTCTTCGGGATGGCATCTATGAAATGAATTCCACCTCTTAACCGCTTGTGATTTGCTACACGCTCATTGATCCACTGATCCAGGTTCGTAGCAACAGCATTTAGCGGCTGTGACCGGGCTTGCGAGGTCAGAACAACAAAGGCAACAGGCAGTTCAGTCGCTTGGTCCTCGACATATCGAGACGTGACACCACAGTCATCAACATCAGGGTGTTCCAGTAATTTGCCCTCCAGCTCGCTGGGAATGACCTGGAGGCCCTTGTACTTGATCATCTCCTTGATGCGGTCATGGATCGTGATGTAACCATCTTGATCAATTGTAGCAATGTCGCCGGTTCTCATCCATTTGTCTCCGTTGCTGTCAACATGGAATAGATCTTTTGTGGCGGATTCGTTTCCAAGATATCCCTTTGTCACATTTGGTCCGCGGCACAGGATCTCTGCCAATGGAAGCTGGCCGTTGTCTTGAATTGTCATGTCCACGTCTTGCATAGTCTCGGGATCAATAAAGCGGAACTGCATATTGGGAGTGATGCAGCCCACAGTGTGTCTTTTATCGACCATCCGTTCTGGAGGAACTCCAGTAGCAAGAGGGCTCGTTTCCGTCAACCCCCAGGACTGATGGCAATAAACAGTCGTCCCGTATAGCTTCCGGAACCGGGCCTCGAGAGCCTCGGCCAGCTCTTTGCCTAGCGGTGCTGCTGCCGACAGGATTTTTCTCACGCTGCTTAGATCATATTTTTCGACCCGAGGGTCTTTCACAAGTAGGAGGATGATTGGAGGCACTACTGCCAGTTCCTCTGGTTGAATAGTCTGGATACAGGTCAGATAGACATCTAGGTCAAATCTCGCCATAACAGCAGTCGTCATTCCTCGAATCATTGCGCCGCAGACAAAATAACTGATGCCGTAGATATGGCTGAAAGGCAAGAATGCGACACTAGCGGTAGGCAGCTTAGATCCTCCGCGAGCGTTATGTGCATCCCATTGTTGTAGATTGGACACAATGTTCCGATGAGTGGTAATGACTCCTTTAGCTGGCCCTGTCGTTCCCGAGGAGAAGCATATAAATGCTGGTCGCTCATCCAGCAATGCGGTTGGAGTAGTAACGAGGTCTTTCGTCGGTGTCTGAGCCATCAGATCCTCAACTGTGGGCACCATTACACCGTCCATAGCCGAAGGGTTATGATTGGCTGCTTGGATAATGACATTTTGAACTGAGGTACCCTTGGCGGCGTCTTTGACTGTTTGCGCCAAAGATGAATGAACAATTACATACTTGGCTCGGGTCGTCTGCAATTGGTGATGGACCTCCTCGCGGGTATAGGCGGCGTTGGATGGAGACACTGTTGCGCCAGCCCCAATTATGCCGTAACAGATGATGGGGTAGTCGATAGAGTTAGGGCACATCATAGCCACGGTGTCGCCTGCCTGAACTCCGAGTTGCCGAAGACCAGATGCCAATGATCTAGTGCGCTGAAGCACGTCATCATAGGTGTGAAACCGTCCAGAGATTGCATCTATAAAGATCTTGCGGTCGTGGGATACGTTGTACGGGTTGGAGAAAAGGTACGAAATCAAATCAACATCGAGAAGTGCCACATCGGGCAAGGGGGAACGATGGATGGCACTGGACATGGCCGTGGGAGTTGTGTTGAGAGGGAACTGATCACCCGCAAATGAGAAAATTCATCTCGAGAAAGCAGATCAATGTCGTCTTTTGTAGCAGACCAGTCATTGAATCTGGCTTCGCTCGGCTTTCGGCCTCTCCACACTGCCGTTTGATGTTCACCTCATCTTCGGGGGAAAGCCTCGGCAAGTCCGGGGTTACCGCCCTGATGCTTTACGAATACGAACTGAAATCAGTTAGCTAATATTATATCCCACAGTACTTAATTACTGAGAGAAAGAGATTGTCCATAATTCAAATTGCCGAATTCCACTGAGAGATTTGCCGACCGACCAAATACCCGAACTGTAGGCTGGGGAGGTCCATGGAAGACATTGAATAAAGAATTTGCGTATGAGATGAATGGATTTCGAACTTACTGACAAGTTTTCAAGCGTCGAATTGCATCAGGCAAAGTCAGTCTAGTCTGAGCATTTTCTTACATTAGTTGGTTCGCAATTATTCTCAAAGAACATCCGCTATGAAATCCCAAAAAGATACCACCCACAACCAGTTGTTGGGGGCACATTGTTAACATTGCGTGGGATTGACAGACTGAATCGAATTGATCTCGATAGGTTGAACTACTCGGCTGGGGACCATCTTCACGGAGAGAGAGAAAATACAAACTCACGAACCGAGAGCAGAGAATAGGAATAAACCCAATAATGGTCCTTCCTCTATTAGGAAGAAAGCAGAGATATCTATGTGACACGCATGTAAGATAGAAGACGAATGGGGTCAATCAAGACGGCAGAACTCCCACCCAGAATCCAAACAAAAAGAAAGAAGAAAAAAGCAAAGGTAATTGCGTCCAGCGCCAGAAGAGAAAGGAAGGGAGCGAGAAAAATAGGACTTTTACCGAATCTTAAATACTGTGTTGGCTCAGATTCCTTTCTTCCATCCAACTGAATCCGGTCCGCGCAGAGAGACAGACACAGGGCAAAACTAGGTAGATAGAGGAGAGATAATAGAGGTTGAAAAAAAAAAGAGAATTGAAAACCGAATCCGAATTCGTACCGCATTCACTAAAACACCAGTAGGTAGGTGACAACATGACACTGCCTAACACAGAAAACTTTTCGAACAGGAGAGGGATATCAGGATCAGAGGTGGGGAGAGAGAGAATAGGCGGGCGATAAGAGGTTTAGGGTCGGAAAAGGTGGTAAGGTAAAAAAGAAAAGGTGGTAAGGTAAAAAAGAAAAGGAAAAGAAAAAGAGTCATTCATCAAAACAGCGTTCCAAGATTTCCGAATGGGCCGATCGATCTCAGGTCCAGAGACCCGTCTACGACTTGTTCTCCTCCGAGGAAGCCTCCTTGGCAGCAGCCTCCTTGGGCTTGGAGTCGGCAGTCGCCTCGCCCTCGGTACCCTTGTTCTTCATATACTCGTCATAAACGCTGAGAGCCTCGTCGACCTTGGCGCGCAGAGCATCATCGTCCTCGAGCCTGAGAAAAGCATTAGTAAAGGTGGCCAACATGAGCAAAAAGAAAAAGAAAACTTACAGGCCCATCAGTTCAGTGTTGTCCATCTCCAAAAGCATACCGGTGATCTTGCCGGCCAGCTCGGGCTGCTGAGCCTGGATCTTGGGGTACAGAGCCTCACCGAGCATCTGCTTCTGCTGAGGAGCGGGAGCGGCAGCGAGAGCCTGAAGGTTCGAACCACCAGCGACACCCTCCTCACGGCCGGCAGGAGGCCCTCCAGGAGCAGGCTGACCACGACCCTGACCACGGCCCATCTGAGGACCACCACGACCACCGAATCCAGGACCGCCACGCATGCCCTGGCCCATCGGCATACCGGGAACCTGACCGCGGCCACCGCCGCCACGACCACCGAAGCCCTGAACCTGACCCATGGGGTAGCCCATGCCGCCAGGCATGCCACCAGGACCCTGCATGCCCATGGGCATACCCTGGAAGTTGGGAGGCATCTGCTGGTTGGGACCCATGCCGCGACCGCCCTGCTGGCCGGGGAAGGGACCGGGGAACTGACCCGGGCGGCCGCCAGGCATACCAGGCATGACCATGCCGGGCTGAGGAGGGAAAGCCATGCCGCCACGCTGGCCGGGAATGAAGCCCTGCTGGCCGGGGCCGTAGAAGACGGCTGGCTGCATGTAAGGCTGGGGCATGCCAGCGGCGGCAGCAGCCTGCTGCTGACGGATGGTGTTGCGAGCCTGGATGCTAGCCTCGAGCTGGCTGCGGCGAACATCCTTGCGCTGAGCGAGGGCGACGTAGAGAGGCTTGCCGTTGACCATGCGCTGGTTCATCTCGGTCACAGCCTTGGAGGCCTCATCGGGGCTGCTGAAGCAAACGAAGCCGAAGCCCTTGCTCTTGCCAAGGCCCTTCTTGTCGCCCTTGTCCTCCTTGTCCTCATCTTCCTTCTCCTCGGCCTTCTCATCCTCTTCCTTAGCCTCCTTGGCCTCCTCGTTCTCCTTGTTGGCCTCGTTCTCCTTCTCCTCGGACTCAGGCGACTCGGAGCGCTCAGCATTGGTCTCGCGCATCACCTTGGCCGAGGTGATGGTACCGTAGGGGCTGAAGATATCGCGCAGCTTCTCGTCGTCCACGTCGTCAGTCAGGTTCTTGACGTACAGGTTGACACCCTGGTACTTGGAGGCCTTCTCCATGCGGGCGGCCTCGTACTGCTTGCGCAGCTCCTCCTCACGCTCGTGCTTCTTTTGGGCACGGCCAACGTAGAGCTTCTGGCCCTTGATGTCCTTCTCGTTCATCTCCTCGACGGCGGCCTGCGCACTCTCGTGGGTCGAGTAGTTGACGAAACCGAAGCCACGGCTCTTGCCATCCTGGTCGTGGCTGAGGGTGGCCGAGGTGATCTCACCGAACGCCTCGAACATTTTGCGGAATTCGTCATCGCCGATCTCTAGTTCGAGGTTCTTGATGTAGATGTTGGTGAAGTTGGCCTTCATCTCCTCGAACTTGCTCTGACGGTCCTTCTTGGAAATGTGGTGACCGACAAACACCTTCTTGTCGTTCAGCAGCATGCCGTTGACGTGCTTGATGGCGTTGTTGGCAGCCTCGGCAGTCTCGTAGTGAACGAAACCGTAGCCCTTGGAGTTGCCGAACTCATCCTGCGCGACCTTGCAGCTGAGAATGTTGCCGAACGCCGCGAAGGTGTCGTGCAGGGCCTTGTTGTCAATGGCATTGTCCAGGTTCTTGATGAAGACGTTGCCCTGGCCAGTCTTGCGCAGAGCCGGGTCACGCTGAGACCACATGATACGGCAGGGCTTGCCCTTGATGAGAGTGTAGTTCAGGTCCTCCAGAGCGCGCTCACCGTCGGCGGTGTTGTTGTAGTTAACGTAGGCGTAGCCCAGGGAGCGACGAGTGACGGCATCACGGCAGACACGGATGGAGGCGACCTGGCCGATGGAGGAGAAGAGCTCGTAGAGCATGGCCTCGGTCACGGAGAAGTCGAGTTCACCGACGTAGAGCGAGGCCGAGTGGGGCTGCGCGTTGGCACCAGCACCCTCGCCGGAGGTGCCTTCGGCAGCGGCAGCAGCAGGGGCGCCGTTGGCCTCGGGGGTGCCGTTGACAGGGTTGTCATTGGCGGGAGCGGTAGCAGTTTCGGCAGACATCTTGGATTGCTGTGAATCTAGCGAGGGGTCTTAGTGCTTTTTCTTTTTTGATGGTCTGTGACGTTGTGGGGGAGAAAACGATGGACGAAGGTCAAAGAGGGTTACACTGCAGTCTTCTTCATGCAGTCTCGATGACAGGTAGCCTGCAGGAAAGCCGGACGACGGGGATGGGAGGGACTGGTTGGAAAAAAGGGGAGGGCCATACAGCAACGGGTTCCACGCAAGAAGATTGAAATGGGCTGCACGGGATCAGAGCACACTGAGAGAACAGTCAGTGGAAACTGGACGCGTCGAGAAGTTGAAGCCGAGGGGTGGGTGGGTGGAAGACAACGGACCAGAGAATCAGTTTCTGTGAGGCGAAGGCGGTGGTTGAAAGAAAATCTTCCACACAAACACACCGCACAATCGGGGGGAGGGATGAGAGATAAGATAAAATAGAGAGATGGGGTTTTTTGCAAGGGTTTTTCTGATTTTTTTGGGATTTTGGGGTTTTCTTTCGAGATCGAAGAGAAAAGGAGACTTTCCCAGGAGAAAGAGTGAGTAGGCGAAGGGGGATGAAGAAGGAAGGAGAGAAAGAGAAAAAAAAAGTTGTTTGGTCCAATGATTTTCGGGTTCTGGAAAACTCAGACGGAGGAAGGCACGGTGTGCACTAGGCCTAATGGGGAAAGTGGCGATGCCGCTTTAAGGGCTGGCTTTCTTTGACGAACCACAACAATACTTAGATGGATCTATGGAGACTATCTGCAACGCCCATGATATGCCACAAATAAAACACAAACGATCAACTAGCTCAGATCGAAACCCGCCCCGGAACTCACCGCATACAGCAGTTTGGTTCGCAGCGTCTCGGCATTCGAGTACCGCGGTAACTTGAGTAGATTGACACAGGTGCTGGTGCTAGGGAGCCGCTCCTGATCCTCGCTGGAGTCGCGGATGCTGAAGCGCGGGTTCAGGTGGCTAAACCCCAGCAGGGGACCCCGAGGGTGTGGAGGTCACAAACCGCAACACCTTCTGACGCTCCTCGTTGCTCATCTTGTGCATCACCTCCCAGAAGAGCTGGATGGTCGGGTGCTCCTGGAGATCATCTCCGACCGTATAGACCCCTCCGTACAGTGTGTTGCGTCGCAGGTCCTCCACGTCAATGTCGCCTGTTTCGCCACTCACCAGCGTTTGCAACTCGGCTTGGTTGAACATAGAGATCCAGGCCGGCTGGATGATCTGCCCCAGCCCCTGCAAAAAGGCGTTGGTTTGGAGAGCGGGCTGGAGTTGGAGGCGGTAGCGGGCAATGTAGGATATATACACTAGTCGGTTCTTGTTTGTCACTGCAGTCGTCGAGCCCTGTGAGATCAAATCTTTGGTAACTGTGCGATTCGTCGCCCCGGGAATCGGAATGGTGTCCGTGACGGTGAAATCAAGCGCGAAATCCTCCACGTCCCCAGGGTAGTTCTTAAGTTGCAGCTAGAATTCGTTCGAGTCAGCCCAAGTCAACGGAAAGGTAGTTCATCAAACTCACAAGGCCCTGGTAGAGACCCTCATCAAGGTCCTTCAGATCATTCAGGTTCGCGCGGTACGAAGACTCTTTCACCGCAGACCCAGTACCACCCGTCAACGCCCATTTCAGGAGGAAGAACGGAGCGAAGTTGACATCCACCAGGATTCCTTCGTAAAGGCACTTCCCGATTATCCGACCAAGAAATTCGTAACGACGGAGGAGTGCGCGTATGCCGGCCGAGTACTCGGCACTGGTCTCCGACAATCCGGCCGCCCGTAGTTGTGCGCGGCACTGCTCAACGGCCGTGGGCTTCGGATAGAGCAAGTGATGGTCATTCTCGGAGAACATAGGCGACTCCGTCTCAGTTTTGAAGGCTTCGTTGGTGACGCTAGTCAAGAACTCTTTAGTCACTCCACCTCCGTCAATGCCGGCCTCCATCGTCCCAAATTGGTCGATGAAGCTGATCTGGATCGGTTCTTTGAGACCATCTCCCAACTCGTAGAATTGGGAAAACGCATCTTCAAACAAACTCTCCCGCCGAATGTCGGCATGATGCCGAGCCAAGATATCGTTGGCAGCAGGTTGGTTGTTCAACATCTGTCCCATAGTGGATTGAGCGACGGACATGCGCCATGCGTCTGGATCGACATATCCTTGTCTGCGACGGAGCTGATCACGAAAAATGAATTGACGAAAGATTTGCACACGGGTGGCAAAAGGAATAAAGAAAGGCATGTTCCGCAAGATCTCGAGTCTAGGAGCGATAGTCGCCAGTACCTTTCCCCGGGCTGCACGCTGTTGACGGCGTCGCAGGGCTTCGTTTCGAATCGCCTGTTGGGCGTGACTAGTCCCGGCGAATCCATGAACCTCGTTCAGCCCGTCATCCATCAGATCCGCATCGTCGTCTTCGTCTTCCTGAAATTCATGCCGTTTTTCTTCCTCGGCCACAACAGCCGGAATGAATCCCTCCATATCGAAACGGTCCGTCATGAGCCAGTGATTGGGAGGGAGAAATTTTCGCCGGGAGCTGCGCACACATAGATTGTCAGCAAAATAAATGGTGAACGCACAGGTTTGACCTACTCTCGTTCGTGTATCATTCGAAGTAACCCCGTGACCAGCCCCTTGAAGTAGTCAAGCGGGATATCTGTCACTCCCGGGAGATTGTTGACAAGGGCCTTCGCTTCTACCTCATCGGCTTTGGTGGTAACGCCAGGAAGTTGCCTCGAGGAGCTGAAGTAGCTGCGGAGGTCGCCCGCATTTTGCTCAACTGGATCTCTCTCGGTCAAATCGGCGGAGTTCCAGTAGAGAGTGAAGCCAAGGTTTTTAAGGAACAGTGTCATCTCCTTCACATCCTTCAAGGGCAAGGCACTCTCTCTTGTCCAAGATGCCTGTGCGTTTGATGACGCAGCAAAGGAGGATGCACTAGAAAAGAACTCATCGTCGTCCATGACTTTCAAAACAAAAGTGTAGAGTTCAAGGAAAAGAAGTATGATTGTCCACTCCTGCTCTCTTTCCTTTCGAAGATTATCGATCGACCCCAATCCATTTGTATCTTCAGCGAGTTTCAATAATGGGAGAACTTTTGTTGAATCCTTGCCGATGGTTTGGAAAATGCGACTGGATCGAGATGCTTGCCAGAAATACTTGATGGCTGGAATCTTCGCCCCCGGCTGACCAGAGATTTGGTCACCCGAAGGCGCCGAGCCGAGATACAGCCACATCCGTATGTCATCTCCTCGGCGCGGGAAGACTCTCAGCAAAGTCAATGCATAGGTAGCCAGCACTCGAGCCTCGTTTGACGCCTCGGAATCGCTAATTGCCAGGTCTGTCTCCGACAGGTGAGACGACCGAATTCGAGAAAGCAACCCCGTCACACTCTCCTGGTTAATGAGTCCACTGAGTTGATCCTTGATAAATGGGTCCAGATAGTCTTCAGAGGCAACTTCCGAATCCGACGCTTCTTCCATTTCCATGCGTCGGGAGATATAAGTGGCAGTTGATGTGAGCAGTTCTGAGACCACAGATACAAACTCCAGTTCAGGAGCACGATGGTTCGCCTGGCTGCCCAGGGCATATCGGTGGAAGAAGATGAGGTATGCAAGAAGCCAGAGACGATGTTCAATATCACTAGAGCTGAGAGACTTCGCTTTCTCTTGGGCGAGACGAGTCCCAACCGCTGAAGCGAGCATTTTATAATTGATTTGGCTTGCAAGCCCGTCGAGTCTTCCAAGGAATGACTCAAGGTTGGGCACTGTGAGGTACGCTGTCGCAAATGATTCATAGGCCGTCATGGTCTCTGAGGTGATCGGTCGGAGCATCGCGAGCACACCTTCCAGCATATCCTCGGGGGTCAGCCCCGTCTGGGCGGATAGCACATGAATGTTGACTGTCAGGGATGCCATGGCATGGAAATAGTAGTTGGCTATGGTTGCCATTTTCTTCGGAATCAGCCCAGCGAGAAATAGGACCGTCCGGAGCAAGGGTGTCACTCCGACCCGGCAAGTAGGGTTGTCAGCAGCGGAGGATAAGACGTAAAGCATGGCCCTGGCCAAGCGCTTCAGGAGTTCCGTCCATTCCCCCTCTGTAGCGATGGTGGGCAGGGAGTGAAATGTCTGCTCGAATGCGCTGGAGAAGTAGATCAGACGAACTACGTCGTCTGTTTTTTGTCCCGCTCCCACAAACTGCACAAGCAGCCGGAGTTGGGACAAACACTCCTCTGCCGTCGCATAGGGTGTGGGACGACGAGACAGGTACATGGGATGATCACCCTCGGAGTCGTCGACATCCATAGCTGATGCCCTCCTCCGCTCGGTTATGTCCCACTCCGTCCGCCACACGTCGCGTGTCCTCATCCGACTCTGGTAACCTCGCCATGTCCGCTGGAGAACCCGGCTGGCACTCTGCCGCTCCCTCTCCCGTTGTCTCGCAAGGCGTTCTTGCTGCGCAATTGCGACTGCGCTTTGAGGATTCGAGGCATGTGGGGTTTGTCGAGCCGCGGAGCCACCTGGGAATGCAGCAAAGGGGTTTGTGGTGCGACCGCTGAGGTTCACTTGGCGTGGGCGACGAGCGTTGCCGGTGAAGGATTGGAACATGGCGGGCACTCCGGCTGCCGGGAAGCTAGGAAAAAGGAAATATGGGAGGTCCAGATGCAAAATGGAATCGCTGGAGATGCTAGAAACAAACAGAGGACCGCATATCGCACGCACGGAAAGTACAGAGAAGATGGAGCCGATGAGAAAGAGTGGTGAAGCTCAACTATGACATACGCCCCGATAATAGGCGAGCTTATCGCCGTATTGCCACGAATGGAATGGGGGTGAGTGGGTATTACCACGCACAGCCACTTCATACCTACGGGAATGTATTTGGCGGGATTATAGACTTCTATGCCAGATCTGAAGTACTGTACATATCATACAAAACAGAGAGAAAGAAAGAGATGCGATCGGCCAGCGAGCGAGAAGGAAGGTTAGAGGATAGGAGCTGTACTCAAGGACATCGAAGATATTCCTGACACCCGAGCTGATGGACGGGGCTTCTACCCAGGTTGGGCTTATCGGGCTGCTTCTTGGTCTTCTCGAGCTTGTTGTGCTGCTTCCCTGGCCTCTTGAGCCTCTTGGGCTGCTCTCAAGGCTGCTCTTCTGGCTTTCCAGGCCGCACTTCGGGCATTCCTGGCTTCTTTCCTGGCGGCTCTCCAGGGTTCGGTTCCCATGGTCTCCCTGGCCGCCTTGGCTGCTATGGCTGCTTGGTCGGCTGCTTTGACATTTGCTTCGGCAACTTTGGCTTTTTCTTCGGCAGCTTTGACATTTTCCTCGGCGAGTCTGACATTTTCTTCGGCTTCTTGCTGCTTTCTCTGTGGCTCAAGAACTTCTTCCTGGTTGTGATCCGCCCATAGGTCGAGGAATTCCTTGCCCCCCAGAGACGCGGGGATGCTGCGAGTCTCTCCGTGTAGCTCAACGTCCTTCCAGTATCGGCTCCGCTTCGGCTCCATGCGTTTCGTGACAAAGGGCGTGAGCTGTATACCGAGTTAGCGGAGAGCACAAACAATTCAGTTACTGCTGCGGACCTTGAATGTTTCCATAGATTCGGTAGGAACCACATAGGTGCGCGCCTTGTTCCAGTCGACCTCGTATTTGCTGCTTGGCTGCACAAAGTTACCCATGGAGCCCGACCGGTTTCCTTTGTAGTAGCCGCCCCTGGTATGTTTGGTGGTCAGACGCAAGCGCGCCATCATTGGCATTGATGGTTTGACCATGATGGGTGATTGCAGGCCAAGTCGAGCGTGGGAGGGAAAGCAAGGAGGAAGAAACAACCAAAAAAGGCGGCAGAGGCCAAACTCGGCAGAATTTTCTTTTCTTCACCGCATTCCCTCTCTAACACACCACTCCCGACGGCTTTTTTTGGCTGCTGGGTTTTCTGCTTGGTTTTCCTTCTTCGTTTTGTTCGGTCTTTTTCAACTTCCTTCTGCAGTATGCCTCGTCAGCAGACCCAGCTGCGGGGGCCGAAAGACCCTTCGGCCTCAAAACCAGCACAGAAGCGCAAAAATGGCCGGGCGCTCAATGCGCTCTCAATTGCAGAGAAGCAGGTTCACACGAAACTAGGTGTTCGACGCACTCGATTAGGCAACAGCGACGAGCCCAATCGCAAGCGCCATTCAGCTCGGGACCAAGACGATGAGGACGAGGAGCGCCCGGATCACAAGCGCCGCAGAACTGAGGATGGTGAGAGTGTGGAGGGCGGTAGCGACAGCGAAGGCCATGAGTGGACTCTTGGTCAGGTTGACAGCGACGATGACGAGGAGCTGGACAGTGACGAAGCTCTCGGTGAAAGCGACGAGGAGAGATTTGAAGCCTTTACATTCCGAGGGTCGTCCTCGAACAAGTCCAAGCCTAAGAAGACGGCCGCTCCCAAGAAGCGATCCGCAATCAACCTGGATGAGGACGACGAGGAGTCTGAGAATGACGAAGACGAGGAAGAAGATGAGGATGACTTGGGAGAGGACGCCATCGACCTGACCACAGCCTGGGATATGAATACTGCGGCGGAAGAGGAAGAGGCTAAGCGAGCAGCGGCTAAATCCAAGAAAGCGGCAGTAGGAGACGATAGCGAAGAGGACTCTGGCTCGGAGGAGGACAGCGAGGATCTCAGTGACGACGACACGGAGCTCTCTGTCTCCGACGACGCCGACGCCTCCAAGCATGGACTGTCGAAGCTGCAGGATTTCGTGAACTCAATGGAGGCTCAAAGAGCTACAAAGCCTTCCCGGAAGACCAACGAACAGGCTAATCCTACAGAATATGGTCTGACTTCTACACGCAAACTGACGATCGCCGATCTGTTGCCATCCATCACCGACTCCCGCCTCAAAAACTCCCTGAAGCATGTCGAATCTGCTCCCAAGCAAACTACATCCTCCGGCATTCCGGGTAAGCTAGATGCTCCTCTCCCGAAACGACATCAAGACCGGCTCGACCGCGCCGCCGCCTACGACAAGAGCAAAGAGACCCTGAACCGATGGCTTGAAACCGTCAAGGCCAATCGTGAGGCTGAGCACCTGATGTTCCCGCTGCCCGACCCTGAGGCCGAACAGACTCATCGGATGGACGTCACCAAGCCGCAGACCGACTTGGAAAATGCCATCCAAAATATTTTGGTGGAAAGCGGGCTGGCGGAGGCCGAGGGGAAGTCTATCGAGGAGCAAGTTCAGGACTTTGAGGAACTTCAAGCCCGCAAACTGCCCATTGAGGAGATCCAAGCTCGGAGAGCAGAGCTCAGGAAACGGCGTGACCTGCTTTTCCGGGAGGAAGTCCGCGCCAAGCGAATCAAGAAGATCAAGAGCAAGTCATACCGCCGAGTTCATCGAAAAGAGCGAGAAAGGATGGAACAGCAAGAGCGTCAGGCTCTTCTGGAGGCCGGTGTGGATATGGACGAGGAAGATCGAGACAAGAACGAGCGAATGAGGGCTGAGGCTCGCATGGGTTCTAAGCACCGTGAAAGCAAATGGGCCAAGAGCCTGAAGGAGACCGGTCGCACTGCGTGGGATGAGAATGCTCGCAACAGTGCCGCAGACTTGGCGCAACGCGAGGAGGAGTTGCGAAAGAGAATTGAAGGGAAGCGTGTGTCCAATGGTGACGAGGACTACTTGGGCTCTTCCAGCTCGGAGTCCGAAGACGAGGATCCCTGGCAAGAGGACGGAGGCTCCGATGCCGAGAATCGCAAGCTGCGCCAGAAGCTCAGCGCCCTCGAAGAAAACGATCTTGATGGTGAGGTTACGGGACCTCATTCCAACCTCTTGTCTATGAAGTTCATGCGGAACGCCGAAGCAGCGCGCAAAGAGCAGAATGATGCAGAACTGCGCCGTCTCAACCGCGAGCTCCACGGCGAGGAGTCCCAATCCGAGGCAGAGTCTGAGGTTGGTCGTCGCAAGTTCGGTCAGTCTGGGAAGGCCGACTCGAAGCCCAAAGCCAAGCCACTGCCCAAGAACGAGTTTGAAGAGGCTCCGGGCTCTGATGACGAGATAGACTTGGACCAGGATGTCGATATCGTGGTTGATCGTCCCGCCAAGCAGAAGTCTCAGGCCTCGGGGGCAAAGACTGCCGTGCGACCCTCGAGCAAGTCTTCCGGTGTCCAGAAACAGCAAGAATCCGCTGAAGAAGAGGAGAACCCTTGGCTGGTCCAGACGGAGCGAAACAACCGTCGTCGAAATCTCTCTGATGGCCAAGAGACCGTCGATATCTCGCTCGACGACGACCAGAAACCCTCGAATTCCGCGGTTAATGCTCGCAGCAAGAAGGGCAAAGCAGCCAAGGCGGCCCCCGCCACACAGCTTGACGCAGACGACCACGACAGCGATGACGACAATGTTCCCGTGCTGCTCAAGAACCACGATCTCGTGAAACGGGCCTTTGCAGGCGACGAAGTGGTGCAGGATTTCGATCAAGAAAAGCTAGACACCATCGAAGACGAGGGTGACAAGGTGGTAGACAATACGCTCCCCGGCTGGGGCAGTTGGGCCGGTGAAGGCATCAGCAAGAGGCAGCAGAAGAGACAAAAGCGCAACCTGACCACGGTAGAGGGCGTGAAACCCGAGCAGCGCAAAGACGCCAAGCTCCAGCGCGTCATCATCAATGAGAAGCGAGTCAAGAAGGTAAGTTGGATTCCAGATGTGCGTCAAGCAACCCTGCTAACTCGTCTATTCTAGAACACTAAGTACATGGCCAGCCAGTTGCCCCATCCTTTCGAGACGAAGCAGCAGTACGAGCGCTCCCTGCGCCTCCCGCTGGGCCCGGAGTGGTCGACCAAGGAGACCTACCAGAGCGGCACCAAGCCCCGGGTCATGATCAAGCAGGGGATTATCAAGCCTATGGAGAAGCCGATGTAGCGAGGAGATGGCTGGGTTATCAAAAACAAAAATTGTACATATTGGCACCAAAATACATATTCATCTGCATTCCACACGGAGCCTATCCGTTGTTTCTCACATGGCCGTGATGTCGTCAGCGGCAGGGTCGTCGTGGGCTGGCAGAAATCCGTCGAAACTGACTGGAATGCTGCCTATGGCCGACCCATGGGTGTCGGGTGATTCATCCGATTAGCAGGAAATCCCTTCGAGTCATCTTCGGAGAGTGTCGGGGGATATCTTGCTGTCGGAAGATAAAAGAAAGAAGAGCATCGCGGGTGTTGGACCTGTTCGTTGTGTACCTGACCCACACATTCCTTCCCTGTCTTAGTCGCGGGCACAAGTCACCCATCTCTCTCCCTGCATTGTTCACTCTCCTCCCACCACTCCCTGCCTTGTCTCTCTTCCCCTCAGGCCAACGAGCGTTTAAATTTGAGTTGGAGATCGACACCCAGGAATTCTAACCCGCCACAACAAACCCACCCGGTTCGTGCTGAGCGCCAGCGACCTGGGGTTCAAGCACATACTTGGTCAGTAATCCAGTCTCTCTCGATCCATCGCGCAGTTTTTGCCTTTTATTTTACTTAGCATTGTGTTTCTTTGTCTTTTATAAAATCAATTGACGCTAGATACCACCCCTGGCACATCTTCGAGCCGTGCTGTTGTTCACTGTATCGGACCTGGCGCGCGCCATGGAGTCAGGTTCAAGATGGAAGGCAGCCTTGCTAACGGGCCTTCTTGTTACAGAATCGGCCTATTCGCTTCCTCAGCCTGTGGGGACTCTCGCAGAAAGTATCCTGAGAGAACAGACAAAGACTCAACCCACGGCTGCGTTCAAGACGCAGTATCCACCGTCGAACGAGAGGCTTCTCATCTCTCAGGACCAGCCAGTGAGTTTTCTGAGTTGAAATTTTTTTTCATGATCAGTATTGACTGGATTAGGTTTATCGCTCGTTGTTGCAAGACGACGGTCACGCACCACTGCTTCCTTGGCCGACGTTGGGTGTAGGGAGCGTGCTTTCAGGCGTGGAGGGGATATTGTCGCCTCCAGCTCAACCATCTCCTGATCCTCCTAGCCCTCAGCCTGTTCAGCCCACTCAATCTGACCAGGCTGTTAATTCTGCTCAACCTAGCGACCCTGCGGAGCCTGCTCAACCTGGCACTTCACACAGCATGAACAACCAGGATATCTTCCAGCCCGTTGGTACGGGTGCGGTTGCCTCCAACATTACCACTCGAAAAGACCATCCAGTGGAGAAGAAGCACGTACGTGTAGCACAGACTGCTATTGAGATTTGGTTCTAACCAAGGAAAACAGATCGATACCACGGGCCCAGTTGAAACCAACAAGTTCTATGCCGGGCTGTTCCTAGGGACGCAAACCAATGCGAGCTTCACCCAGCCTTACTCGCTCGCATGGTCAAAGGGAACTGGTCACCTCAAGAGCTGGGGGGTGGGTGTCTCCCATGTGGAGAAGGGCATGCTTGCTTGGGGACCCAAAAACGACTCGATACCTGGTGATCCTGTGCAATACTACATCAACCCAGTCGGTCTGCAGCATATGATTCTATCTGCGGCAGAGCTGGATGACAGCACCGTCCTCAATGTGGAACAACCCTTGGCGTTCTCTGCTCATGCTGTTCTCTCGAACCCCCAACGGCCAGGCAAGATTGCTTTCCCGGTGGTGCAGGGTATGGCGTATGTGACAGCCATCTACACAAACTTGCAGCCCGTGATTCAGAGCGGAGTCTTTTTCCGCAAAGTCGTCAGCGCTGGTTCTCCTAGGGATGGGATCTTCAAATACCAGGTCGAGCTCGAAGATAGCTCTTCCTGGCTTCTTTATGCCACTCCAGCTGATGGCCAGGATCCCGAGCTGAAGCTTGTGTCACAGACAAATCTCCGTGGCCCTCGTGGGTTCTCTGGAACCATCCAGGTCGCCAAAAATCCTGCAGGTACCTCTGGAGAGAAGTTCTATGATAACTCCTCGGGAGTTTACCCCGTCAAAGGGCATGTCACGGGGTCGGTGTCTGGAGATGTAGGCACCTACGGCCTAGCATGGGCTAAAGCAGGCAAGGACTCCCAGGCCACTCCGTTGATCATGTTCGCTCTACCTCATCACGTCGAATCCTTTGATGGCAGTACCAAGGGCCGTGTGACTAATATTCGTTTGCGAACTACCACTAAGGGTATGGCAACCGCAGTCATTGGTGAAGCATGGAATATGACTGAGCCTAATCTCCCAATTGATATGGGCTTTGCACCATGGTCTCCTAGCGCTGGGAATGTTCACACAATCTCGTCAACCGCGCAGGCTCGGATTCTGGACGTCGCCCCCCAAGAGCTTAACCAAGATATGGAAAGCCAGACGAACCTCAACAGCATGTACTACAGCGGCAAGGCGCTAAGCAAGTTCGCGACCTTGGTCTACACCGTCAACCAGCTGGGGAACAACGCGGATCTCGCGACCACAGCTTTTCAGAATCTGAAGACATGCTTCGCTCGCTTCGTGAACAACCAGCAGCAATTCCCACTTGTCTATGATGCCGTCTGGAAGGGAGTGGTTTCCTCCGCCGGATACAAAGGTGATTTGAATGCAGACTTCGGCAATACGGCCTACAATGATCATCATTTCCACTATGGGTACTTCATCCTGGCGGGTGCAATTATCGGATCTCTTGACCCGAGCTGGTTGGCCGAAAACAAGGAGTGGGTCAATATGCTAGTCCGTGATGCCGGAAATTCTGCTGCAGACGATCCTTACTTCCCATTCTCACGTTCTTTCGACTGGTACAACGGCCACTCCTGGGCCAAGGGACTTTTTGAGTCTTATGACGGTAAGGATGAGGAATCTACATCCGAGGACACCATGTTCGCCTATGCAGTCAAGATGTGGGGACGCACCGTCGGCGACGCCAGCATGGAGGCTCGCGGAGACATGATGCTGGGCATTATGCGTCGCTCTCTCCAGAATTACTTCTTGATGGAAGACGACAACGTGAACCAACCTTCGAACTTCACCGGAAACAAGGTGACTGGAATTCTCTTCGAGAATAAGGTCGACCACACGACCTACTTCGGCGCCAATCTGGAATACATCCAAGGGTATGACCACCCCAGTCCAGCTATCAAATCTCAAAAACAATAGGCTAACTAGCTACTCAGGATCCACATGCTACCCCTCCTTCCTAGCTCCGCTTACACGCGTCAGAAGAAGTTCGTCACGCAGGAGTGGACTGCTATGTTTGCACCGAATGCTTCGACCCCCGCACACCAGGTAGACGGTGGCTGGAAGGGTGTGCTATTTGCCAACCTCGCGCTCATCCACCCGAAGGCTTCCTGGGAATTCTTCGCGCAGCAAAATTTCGACTACACCTGGATCGACGGTGGTGCGTCGCGCACATGGTATTTGGCTTATGCAGCTGGTAAGTCCTTCCTATCGTCAGGTGTATATACTCGGATACTAAGTTGGTATAGGTCTCGGCGGTGCACCTTGAAGGATTTTTCTCTATGATTGTTTGCAGGCAGCTTATGCTTAACAAATTTGCGGATGTTCTCTTTTATTTCCTAAGCTTGCTACTCTAGAGATCAGTCGATCTTTATTGCTACTGGTGGTTTTTCTTGCTTAGCGTTTATTCGGTGTGGATGGATTAGTAGCTATTGTTATCTTTACCCACTTGATATATTTTTGCGGTCAGAAGTCAGATCGTAAACCTCCCATCCGATCCTCGATTAACCCACTCGGCCCCCGGACTAGTCTTCCCACGCGCGGGGCCAAATCGCGGCTTAAAGTCAATGCTGGACCCTGAATGAAATCCGAAGACAAACCCCCATCCTCTCCTACAACTTTCCCGGAACCCAGCAAGATGTCCTTTCTCTCTTGCCCCCCTGAAACTAGTCATCAGATCATCTCGTATCTCGATTCCAGCCGCGATGTGGCCGCTCTCTCGCTCGCCTGCCGGGCGCTACACTCCATGTGCAATATGCCAATGCGCAAGAAATTCCATCTGATTCGCGTATATCCTGATGACGAGGGTATCGAGCAGGCATTCGGCTTGTTGATGAGCATTCTGAAACAGCCTAGCCTAGGCCAATATGTGCGCGAAATAAGGTACTATGGGAGACCAACGCATAGTGGAGACTGGGAAAATGTCAAAAAGGAGCAACATCCGCGCGATCTGAGCGAATCAGAAATGGATCTTCTTAAAAGCTATGTTCGAAGAGCTGGTTTCACGGGCTCAAACGAGAATAGCGTTTTAAACATGCTAGTGCAGAAGAAGACGGGCGGTAATCGTGAACGAGAGAGTTATTTTGATGGAGGTTATGTTAGGTGAGAAGGTCCCCGGGCATTTTCAGCTAACACGCTAATGTAACATATAGCTCTAATTCATATTTCCGCGGCATATTCATCGCACAGGCTTTGACGGCGATCTTGATCTCAGTTACACCTAGCTTGTTGTCGCTCGCGATGACGCAGCCCTCGGCAACCTTCCATCATGTGGACAGAAGCTATTACCCACTCGAGCAGTTCCTCCATCGTGCCAATGCTGACCCGGACAACAAGTCCTACCTCCGGAACCTACACCAAGTATACATTATGGTCGATGAGGCTGGGGAACTTGACGACAGCGACTTCTACATACATATCGAGTTCCTTGAGAGCTTTCAAATGTTTGACAAGCTCCCATCGATTGAATCCGTCGGCATCGATGCCTTCAGAGACGACGACCAGGATGAGCCAACCATCGAGCAAGGGACGTCCAACTTGAGCAAGCTTTACATCAATCACTCGTCTCTTAACACCCATTGCATTGCTCGTGCAATATTATCCTGCAGAGTCTTGAAGGAACTTCAATATTCGATTGAAGGTAGAGCAGAGCACGAGCGCGATATGAAGGGACCGTTAAATGAACGAACATTTACCAAAGCGATATTAGGACACAAAACAACTCTCGAGAGCCTCGATGTTGATGTCGGAAAAGATACTTCCTACCTTGATCGAGGCCGCGAGGACCGCATAGAGGATGAGCGTGAGAGCAGGGTCATGGACTACGACGAAGAAGATGAGATCAGCCAATTCCTCACATCATTCTGGGGAAATAGTGGCTCACTCAAAGACTTTGGTGCTTTGAAGCGTTTGAGTTTGGGAATCGGCCTCTTGCTCTATCTTGCCAAAGGTGTGAGTGGAGCCCCGGGAGAAGAGGAGGAGCAAGTCATGCTGGCAGATTGTCTCCCTGATAACCTAGAATACCTGTGTATTCGGGGATACCAGAGGGGCGAGATTGAGAAGTGTGATGCGCAAATTGATGCTCTTATGGCTGCTTACAAGTCGGGACTCACTGGGCTAAAAGAGATCAGAGGGGTTGAAGAAATGATCCGGTATGCGGAGAATGTGGAAGATCCAGATGAGGATGGGGACTTATTGTGGACCTTGGAAGGCGCTGGGTATGGCCGTTGAAAGGGTTGTGGTCATGTCCTGTTTGATGAGCGGGGACTAAAGCATCTTCAATAGCTTTCCGATGGACATGGCACCATTTCTTATTCCGGTCACTGTTTAAGAAGAATTGAAATTTATTCATAGGCGCAAGAATAGCATAGTGCTGACTGCGTAGATGTGCCTTCGTATATTGTCAGTTTGAGAGTAATACCCATCAAGCTTCAATCGGCCAGTCTCTAATGCTTCTGATGGCCCCCACACCGGTCCGTCTTCCACTGATTGAAAACCAGGTGTCCTTTGCTTAGACTTAGCCGTGGGGGCCGTGGGAATCCTCAGCTCAATCTCAACCCCCACCTCAACTTTAGCCTCAACTTCAGCCACAGCCACAGAGTTCTCTCGGATTCTTCATGTTAATTCCAGGATTGACTGGGCTCTCGTTGCCTGTATCGTATTTCTCTTTAATAAATCTAGACTTCTGTCAGGCCTCACAGTCTGTTCTACGGGTATTCAGTACCCATCACAGACCCCTTATTTGCGGCATCGTGTACCTCTTCAACACTCATTTACTACATTGTATCTCCTTTCAACAAACTTTTACCTGACCCCAAGCAAAATGCCTCCACGAACTGGAAAAAAGAAGAGCCGCAGTGGCTGTATTACCTGCAAGTGAGTTATCCTCGTTTACTTTACATATATATACAACCGCCAACCTCCCAACTCCACGTTACCCAGGGTCCTATTAATGCAGGATGCTAATAACATGCAGACAACGCCATATTCGCTGTGACGAACAAAAGCCTGATTGCCAAAATTGTACCAAAACAGGCCGCAAGTGCGACGGCTATGATCGTACAGTCTCCCAGAAGCAACTGCACCAGAACGTCTTGCTCTCCTACGACCGCAGCCGAACTTGCAACCCAGATAGTCGATTAATCCTTCTGGAAGGCACTGGCCAGGAACGCGAGTATATTGCTCTGTTTTGCACGCAGACATCGCAAGCCCTCACGGGGTTTTTTACGTCCGATTTTTGGAATCGTCTGCTTCCTCAGCTCAGTCATTCCGAGCCTATTGTCCGCCATGCTGTTGCGGCAGTCGGCGCCGCTTACCAGCGGTATCAGGGTATTGCTGTGGGGTCTGAACGGACGGAAAATTTCATGCTTCAGCAATACAATCAGGCAATTCGGCTTCTGATGAAGCACCTATCAGCACCCACGAATGAACAGTTCGACTTAACCCTGATTACTTGCGGTCTGTTCATGTGTCTTGAAATGTTCCGAGGGGACCACAACAGGGTTCTCGACCATACAGAGGCAGGGCTGGAGATACTCGAACGGGCGATTACAGGGTCTCAGTTTCAGTCACAGTCACAGTCACAGACAGCCGACCAGCAGAAAGTCCGCGAAGAGTTGTCAGAGCTCTTTTTCCGCTTTAATATGGAACTGCTCATGTTTGCGCGGCGCAGCAAACTACTCTCAATATTCACCGACCCAAAGTGCCTCCAGGTACCTGCCACATTCAAGAGCATCTCGGATGCCCGCAAGTACTCCACTTCTATAGGCAACTACACTATAACCGCATTCATGAAATCGGGTGCTTTCTCCCGCCAGAGTTACCAGCAGGACGAGGGGAAGAAGTGGATTCGTTCCCAGCTGCCCATCATGGAGGCGGCATACAATGCGTGGCTTGTCTCCTTCGAGAGACTGCTGCAGACCAAGCAGGGCAAATCAGCAGATAAGCGTGCAGTGCTCGTTCTCCGAATCGATTTTCTCACCCTCGTCACATGGTCATTGGGTATTATCCAGGGCCAGGGGAAAGAAACCGACAAGGATAAATGGAACGGCCACTATGCAGAAATGCTGACTCTGGTAGAGCAGCTCCTGCATCTTGAGGCACATTCCAGCGCCGAGCGGTATTTCAGTCTGGATCATGTCGTTGTCCGCGCTCTGCAATGGATTGCCACCTGTTGTCGGGAGCCCGTGACAAGACATAGGGCTTTCGATCTTTTAGTAGGCAACCAGCGCCAGGAAAATCTATGGAACTCTCGTCGGTCAGCCAAGATCGCTGAGTACTTGATCAATTCCGAAGAAGGCAGTCTCTTGTCTCTGCCGGTCGAGCAGAGGGTGCCTCCGGAGCACGAGCGGGTTGCAGCCCTCGTCTTTTGGGATGATGCTGTTCCTGGAAAGACTTGGTTGCGAACCATGAAGCATGGTCCACAGGGGCAGATGCAAGTTTCGATGGAGCTTATAGATTGGTCACAATAGATACAACAAAGAATTGTACGCCGCAACGTACGTTAAATAAAGCTTTTAACAATCATATCATACATGTACATCTCGAAGAAAAGAATCCACCAATTCAACCAAGTGATAACGGTAAGATGTTTAAATTGAACATAAATATCGTTCCAGGCTTGAGCCAGAGCACGCCCGCCAGCCAAACATGAGTGAGCTGCCTAGTTGTGGTTGCCGGACTCCGCGCCGGAGCCAGGACCCTGGAGCGGAAGGCTGGGAGCACCGTGGATCATGGAGTAGGTGGCCACAAGCTGGGAGAGGTCGTCCTTCAGGGTCTTTGCCAACTGCTGGAGATTACCGCCGCAGAGAGGAGTGGCAGCGAGGATGGGGTCGAAGTATTCACCAGTGGCGGCTTCGAGGGCACGGGTGGCCTCGGCGAGGGGAGAGAAGAAGGGGGTATTCTTCAGGAGACCCTTCTGGTTGTCGAGGGCCTTCACAAGGGCCTCATCTTGATCGATGAACTAGTTATTTCCGCCAAATTAGTTTCAACTGCCGTAGAGATAGAGTTCCTGAGAAGAAAGACGTACCAGCTCAGCAGCAGAGCAGAGCTGTTCCTGTTCGCTCTTGCTCAGGCTGCTTCCGCAAGGAAGAGAGAGTCTCTTTAAGAGGGGTTCGACATGGTTCGTCAGTCCGGAGACGGCAGACTAGATAGATGAAGCTTGTCAACAATCAACCCGACCAACTCCAGGAGCAAGTACAGTACGAACCTGGCCAACCTCGATCAGGTTGCCATTCCCATCCAAAGTCTTGGTAAGAGAGCTGACTTCGCTAGTCGCGATGCTCAGGGCGTTGATAGCGTCCGAAGCACAGCTAGCCTCCTTGCCGGCCGGAACGGGCGCCGCAATAGCAGTAGTAGTAGCCAGGAAGGCAATGACGGAGAGTTTGAACTGCATGTTGGTAAAAAATGAGTGTGGTTTATTGAAGGAGTGACTTGATAGCAGAAAAAGTGAGTGAATTGACTGTGGTCGAAGTGAGCGATGGTTAGGCTTGACTACCTCTACACCTGGACTATCTACACCTTTTTATGTCTTGCCGTTAGGGGTCCGTCGATCCTTCCCCTCACCGTTGCCGGCCCCATGATTATGATGTCGATTTCAGGGCAAGGGATTGACCACAACCCAGACAAGCCTAGTTTGCTCGTGCGAGATGAGCCAGACGCCGATCCTAGACTGACGTTCACGCTCAACGTGTGGCCACGAGCCATTCGCCACGTTGGGAATTGCGTCGATCTCCCGACTATCGATACCAATTGCCTGGCCGGAGCCTATCAGGATCTTTGAGGAAAGACAATAATGGACGTAGTGCCGGCTCTAGTGAAGTCTATGACGGCAGAGAACAGGTCTAGGGCCCTGTTCAAGGTTCCATTGCCTATAAGGCTTTAGGGGTTGGGATGCGCTCAGTGGCTGTTGTTATTGGGATTTGCTCCATGCAGGAACGGCATTTCCGAGCTATTCGTGCTGATCATCATGAGGGAGGGGGAAGATGTGTACATGTTTCGGTAGATAGGCCAGATCACACAGACTATTTGTGAGAAATAGGGATGTAAGTCGGACTACTCGGTGCCTGAGTTGGTGTTCATTAGTACGCTGCCCCTGAGTGAGGTCACCCCCATCTATCTATACCAGTCTAGTCCTAACTTGGCACCAAAGGATGCCCCCTCATGGACCCACTCCTAACGGACTCTCCGTGAGCTTGTTCAGCGTCCATACTCCGTACGGAGTACATATCGTCATGATTATCCCCGAAAGTTGAGCTTGATCACCTTGCCAAGTGCCAATAGTTCGGGGTAGATCCACATCGCGGACAAAAGGATGCTCGTGAAGAAACTCATCCCAAACAGCCTTGAGATTTTCAAATATGTAGCGCTAGTCAATAAACTCTGCTCACTTGTTTTGGTCGGCTACTACTTTCCTTGTCGAGTCATGTCTTGCCGGATGAGGACAAGCTGATCACCCTTTCCCCAGGTTTTAAGAGTCCAGTAAGTGTTAATCCTAGACATCATTATTAGACACTCCTACAATGAACAGCTTGGACCGAGTACTTTGGTCCATGCCATGACTCTAAAATGTGATTCAAGGAGATACGTAGGAAGTCTTTCCATCGACCCTATCTCCTACCTATCCCTGCCCAGCGACGGGTAAATCCAAATCGACAACCCACGGCGCATTTCTCGGTTGATACCGCACCGTATTGATGCTTGCGTTAACAAAGAGCGTCTCCTCCCCAAACCTAAGTGGCTTCCCCCCTCAGTACTCAAATCACAAAACGCGCCCCGTCTCTCCAGCACGTCCTCAGGATCGGTCTTCACATCCTCAAGCCTCACCCCGCCCTCCGCAAAGGCATCCCACGTCCCGCGTGCAGCGCCGTATCCTTCATGTATATGCCCGAAGACATGCAGTCGTGGCCGCGCGCGCTCTGCCGCGCGGAGGAGGTGCGGGCATCCGACTCTTGCGCCGTGGGCCACTTCATCGAAGATACCCAGTGGCGGGCCGTGTGTGATCATCATGTCGACGGCGGGATGGTTGGGGACTGGGTTTGCTGGTTGCTGCGCAGAGCCGGGGTCGAGAGGCGGGTTGAATCTGTCTTGCTCGCGTGGGTATGCGAATGCCCAGCGACAGAACTCGGGTTGATATGGCGAGGCGTAGACGGTGAAGGTGGCACCATTCGAAAGCGTGAATGTGTATGTCCCTTCATCTAGGTAGCGGATTCCGGCTGCTTGCGCCGAGGCATTGGTGTATAGATCCTTTGCGCGCTGGACGTATGCTTTGAGCGCTTCTTCGCTGGGCGGCACGTCGTTTTTCATTCGAATCGTAGATCTGGGGTCCTCGTCTGGAAGAATCCCCTGGCCGCCGAGCCACTCGGGGCGCTGGTGCCGTCGCCACCCGTAGCTGGTGAAGTACTCTTCATCCAGGGTCATGTCGTGGTTGCCGGCGATGACGAGTTTCAGTTCTGCGTCTGCTTCCTTGAGCATCGCGACCATTTGCTCGTGCTCGACGTGGTACCCGACTTTGGTTATGTCGCCCGCATGTAACAGGATGTCGGCTTTTGGCAGTGGTTGCCGGTACGGGTTGGAGGTGTTGAGCGGTGCATGTGGGGCGCAGGTGTGTGTGTCTGAGATGATGCAGATGCGAGTTTTGACCATCTTGACCCTCGGGGGTTGTTGGAAGAGTGACGTTGTAGTGAGGTTGGAGGGGCAGGCGGAGGAGTTGCGTGCTTCCCAGGGTTGATATGGACAGTTAGCTTGACCAACCAGCCAGTCCTACCCGGGAATGAGGCTCAACTGGAGGCTACATGATATACAATAGTACGAGCAGAGGAATACATAGCACACAAGAATCATTTTAAGGAATCATTTCCATGGAATTGACGGCTCAGAGCTCTACAGACATTGCATCCGTGCCCAGATCATAAAAGTTTTCTGGCAAACATAGCTGAAACTCCGATTTACCACCCGTGCAACAACCACCGACCAACCGAGAAGCATTTTTGTTATTTTTTGTTTACTTCCGGATGGCACGCTGGTAGAAAGCCAGCTCCTCACCCTCGAGGATGTAGCCGTCAACACGGCCGGACTGACCGGGACGCGAGGCGACAACGGCGTACAGACGACCAGACTCAAACTGGCGCTCGATGGCGCCCTCGACCTTGCCCACGGCGGCGAAGCGGGCGGCCTGCTTCTTAGCGACGGACTGGCTCTTCTTCTCCTCGGGGGCGTCGGTCTTGGCCTGGCGCCGGCGGCCGATACCCTGGCCGTAGTGGGCCTCGTACCATTGCCGGAAGGGGGCGGCGTCGATCTGCACGACGGCCGACCGGGTCAGGGTGTTGGTGCGGACCAGCTCGTTGTTCGAGGGGTGGTACGAGACACCGATCACGCGGGTCTTGCGGGACACGCCCTCGGATCCCCACGAGAAGTTGCCAGATTCCAGACGCAGGGCACGGAACTTGCGGTTGCCGCCGCGGGTGCGGACCAGGTGGATGCGCTTGGTGCCAATACGGGTGTTGGCGGGCTGGCGGCCCTTCTCGAAAGCCCTATTTAAATCAAGTCAGAACTCTGTCCGACAATATCCTCCCTCGTCCAGATTATCAACACGGTGCATACCTCTTCTTGCGGTAGTAGGCACGCTTGGCACCGGTGGCCGAGCGCTTGTGGCGAGAGTCGCGGGAGATACCCATGTTTGCTGTTGATGGAGGGGTCTTTGGGACAATTCAAAATTAGCAAGCAGTCCGAGATGGTTGTGACGATCCTGAACAGAGTCCTCTCTCTTCTGGTTCGAGCGAGTGTGCAGCAATTTTCGAGTTTCGGGTCCAGCGAAAAAAATCCCCGGCGATGGCGATGGCGACAGCGACAGGAGAAACACACGACGGAGAAAAAAAATTATCCTGCTCCTTGTCGATGCAGTCGAGTGCGAGTATCCCCCTTTTGGTCCTTCTTCTCCTTGTCCAGGTGGGTGGTTGTGCGTTGGGTGTTGAATTTGACGGTGCGTTTGATCGAAGAAAAGGAACTGGACCACGAAGCGAAATTGTGCGACTCGACGAAGCAGAAGAGAAGGCGCTGTTCAGAATATGATGAGAAAAAGCCAACTTACCTCTTGCTCAGCAGCCCTTCACCAAGGTGTGTTGTCGATTGGGGGAAGTGGTTGGTCGTGGAGTCTCGGTCGGATTTTCGTGTGTTGCTCGCTTGTGTGCGGTGCCCTATACGCTAGACCCGATCGGGTTAGGCAATAGCCAGTGGTCAGGTGAGGTCATGTGAGATATTCAGGTCACGTGCATGTGATTTGTTTGATTTGTTGTCAGATGTACACTTTTAAGACACTAATCTCTAGTCCACTCCATCCCTATAGACTTCGGATACCCTTCATTCCGACTTATTCTTCGCCCGCTCCTCCTTGACAATCTTGTTGATCCGCGACCACGACCCGAACCCCTCCACAAGGCACGACGCCACCCACTTACACCACGTCCCCGACAAGACAGGAACCCCAAGCGGTCGCAGCCGGAACCAGGCCAACGACGCCGCCTCGAGGATGTGAATGCCCACAACACCGGGAAACATATAGGGCTGGACGTTATACGTAAAGTGCGCCACGTCCGGCATGTACTTGTAGCCCAGGTGCTCGTAGACCCAGGAGCCGGGGAGGAGATTGTCGCGCGAGTAGCAGGTGGCGAAGTAGAAGAGGCATAAGAAGAAGATGATGGCTTCCACGCCGCGCGGACCCCGGTATTCGGTTAAAGTGACGTCGCTTCGGCCGAGACGCCGTAGGCTCTCCTTGTGCAGGGCGACCATGCGGGCGCGCGACTCCGACAGGTCTTTCATCGGGGGCTCCAGGGGAACGATGTAGCGCGTGCCGCGGACGCGGATGATCATGTGTGAGGTGGTGATGTCCTCCAGGGTGGCGGATTGTGATTCTCGGGCGGAGATGCCATTGTAGGCTTGTAGGAAGAGGGAGAGCGAGTCCGAATGGTCGGCGTTCATGTGCTTGATGATGAAGTCCTTGTTGGACATGGTGGCGGTATATACTGTAATATAGATAGTGTGTGTCGTCGAGGGTCCAGTTGAGGGGTGTTTAGGAGAAAGGACGCACGAGGTGTTGTTGGTGTTGGTCGGGATTACGAAAAGAGCAAAGTCCAGAAGCGGCCGAGCCTCGGCTCCGATTGTATGATCATCACCATGTGTGATTGCTCAATGGATGGACAATAGTAGTACAAAAACTCGTGTGCAACAACATGACATTATGAAAAAGGCTCTATCAGGCGACAAATCGTGACGACATGAAAGTAAAGAAAAAAGACGAAAACAACCAAAAGTCAAGCCCTAACACATGATCAAAGAATCAACTCCTAATCTTGTCTGAGCATGACATTCACAGTAAAAGGACGAAAGGGGCGCAAGAGAAAAAGAGGAACTTACATGAGCGCAAGGGTCAAATCACCATGAATGCGAGCCTTGAGCTCGACCTCAATCTCGAGATTCAGCTCCAACTTCAACTTCATGCCCTCCTCGTCGAGGATACTCTTCTGCTGCGGCTGGGGTGCGAAACTCATCCCGCCGCCGGGCTGGCTCATGTCCATACTGCGCTGCTGGCTGTAGGGCTGCATGGACTTGCCCTGGACCATATCATCATCGTCATCCGAGTAATAATCATCGTCGTCGTATTCGTCCGAGGCATAGTCGTCGTCTTCGTCGGAGTAGACTTCTTCGTCCTTTGGGGCCTTCTGCAATGGCCGGCGTCGCCGTTGGGGGTTGTTCTTCTGCGGCACTTGCTCTTCCTCGTCGTAGTCGTCGGCACTATCGTAGTCTTCCTCGCCAGAGGAGTACTCTACGTCGTCCGGTACTTGGAATTGCTTCTGCTGGTCCTGGGTCTTTTCGGCGGTGGCCATGGCTGCGGGTGATGGGAGAGTTTGATCGACCACTACTGGCTGACAGGAGTAGTAATAGTATATCTAGAAGGCAAAACAGACGGGGGCAAATGCTCATAGGACGTGACGCAGTGGCGGTCCAGGGCAAACAAGTTTACCATGCGAAAAGTGGACCGGGGCTGGAACCGTGGATGAACTTGGGGGACATTGTGGCTGGAACCAGGAGAACGCTGTAAATAGAGACAGGAATTTTCCGAGTGGCGTCATTGCACTACGTCGAGTTAATCTATTTGATCGCAGTAGTCTCGGCCGATCCGGACACTGATTGGCGTCTGACAGGGATCGCCAATGCTGCGCTTGTCGCCGATCCAACGGTAGCCCCGTTAGGGTTATTCGTGTACCCCCGCCAAACGTCATACCTTCCATCGACTGAGAGGACCAGGTACCGGCATCCATGAGCCGAATGCTGGGCCACGCTGTCGTCTGACGTCGGAGGCGACTCCAGTTGCCCGGTTTTGTCAACAACACTGACGATATTAAATGGTGAAACATGCATACATCATCGTAGCCTGTTACGCTTCTTAATCCGAAGTACCTCTCCGCTCGCTCATATTATTATCCCCCCTTCCTCTGCTCCTTTGGTCTGATCCTTTCTTTTCTTCTTCTCTTTCCACCATGGCCGATCAGGAAAATATCAATCCCGAATCCCAGACTACCACACCCAACAAGCCCAAGCGTGCGCCTCCCAAGCTGGGCAAGAAGAACACTCCCACCAAGCAAGAGCAGACCCCGCCGCCGTCAGAGAATCAGGACGAAGACAACGGTTCTGACGCTGAGAACAACGACCACAACAACAAGACGGTCCAGCAAGAGCCCGACTCGGATCACGAAGAGCAAGAAGACGACGCCCAAGAACAACCCGAGCCGGAACCTCAACCCCAACAAGAACCAGAAGACCAGCGCATCAACCGTCGTCGCCGCCGCCCCCGTCCCCGTCCCCAGGAATCAGACGTCGAATCCGTCAAACGCAGCGACATGGACGCCCAACCGCAACAACAACGCCAGCGCACCCGCCGCACCCGCCAGGCCCAGCAGCAGCAGGGGCAGGACCAAGCCGACGGTGGTCCCCTCGGCGGTCTCGGCGGCGTGGACCAGGCCGGCCAGCTGGTGCAGAACACCGCTGGTAATGCCTTGAACGGGGTGACTGGCAGCGCGGGCAAGGCCGTTGGCGGCGTACTAGGTGGTGGACAGAAGGACGAGAAGGAGGAGGATGGTGGGCGCGACGAGCAGCTGCGTCTCCGGTTGGATCTGAATCTGGATATTGAGATTCAGTTGAAGGCTAAGATTCATGGTGATCTGACGCTCGGGTTGCTGTTAGTATTTCCCTTTTATCTTTCTTCCTACACCCATCACCGTCCCTTCCCTTCCCTTTCACCCTATATCCTGAACAATACCCTCTCATCATTCTAATCTCTCCTTGCTGGAATTTCACTGACTGACGTGTAGGAACTGATTGATCCTCTACTACAGAGGCTAAAAGATCTAGCCCTTTTCATGATAACGTCCTCTCGACGACCACCTATTGGTTGACGACTAGTTATGGTTATAGTTATAGTTATGCCTAAGCGGTGCATGAGGCATGACGAAGTTTTCTTTTTTTCTCTGTTTTGATGTTGGTTTGTTTCTTAGATCTGACTTGACGTCCAAGGCTTTTTGGTTTGTATAGTACAGTACAGTTTTGGACACCGGATGGATTATCTGTCAATCAGGTGAATGAATTAATGCTTGGATTTGGTATCTACTTGTCTTCTTGGTATAACCAAGTCTTACGTAAGTCTTACGTACGTAGTAGTTACATACTTGAGAGTAACTAGACATGAAGATCGATCTGGTGTCCAGCCGGATTGGAAACCCGTCTGGAACATACCCTATCCTTTTACTACATCTACATCAACAAGAACCAAAATCATAGAACATGCCAAGATTAGGCATGCGTGGTGACATGTGTGCTAGATGATAGAGAACAGAAGGGAGAAAAGTGCCTTCCCGATAGATACATCTATGGCGATCTTTGTGCAACGAACAAACAAGCTATGCAAAAAATGTGAACTAAAAGAAGTACTCGCTGGCGTGTCAAAGGAAGCAGCAGACAGTATTAACAAAGAACAAAGTCGTGCACCTCATGAAAAAAAGAGGCCCCATTCTTGCAAAGAAAACTGCCACCTGCAAACAAATCTCCGGAAGACAAACTCGGATTACAGCCCGGCTACATACATCAGTCCATAGCCGATGGTGACAATCACCACAAAGGACATCAGACTCGCCGGAATGCCCCGAGTGAGGAAGTGGCGGACTTGGAGGTATCGCTGGCCCGTCTGAGGGACCTCGGTCATGATCGCGGCTAGAACACAGGGTTAGCGGGAGTAAATGACAAAAAAGGTAAAAAGGAGCTCACTCATATTAGGGAAGCCACTGGTGGGCAAGGCCATCGCCACGGAGCACATCAAGGCACTGGCCATGACGAGCAGGTTCGGGTGGGGATTTTCCATGCTGACGCCGACCTGGCGGACGAGCGGCAGGATAATCAGTGCGGCGACGGTGTGCGAGATGAAGGTGGCTATGACCAGGATCAGGGCCGAGAAAACGAGCAGCACGCTGTACAGGCTAAGATGCTCGACGCGCGCGATGATGCCCGAGGCAATAGTGTGCAGCAAGCCGGACGATGTGACAGCCTTGCCCAGGCACAGTCCGCCGGCGGCAAGGATGATGATGGTCCACAGGAAGTTATTAAAGTCTTCCTTGTTGAGAATGCCAGTGCCGAAGAACAAGACAATGGGAATGATCGCGATGACGCCCATGTCGCCGAAGACATGCTCAAGCTGATGGCTGGCGCACCAGAGGGCGATCGTGACCAGGGTCACTGCGCTGATGAAATACTGGACGCCGGTGTAAGGGTCCTTGACGGGTCGGATGGGAATGATGGTCGCGTTGCGGCCCGGGTGGAAGGTCACCAACAGCAAGCCCCAGATGAGCAGAATCGAGATGATGCAGACGGGCAGAGAGATGAAGAACCAGGTGCCCCAGCTGATGCTTGGGTACATGTTCTGCAGCGCGATGATGTTCTGCGGCGAGGCGATCGGAGAGGCAGCGCCACCGACATTGGCAGCGAGCGCAATTCCCAACACGAGCGCTTTGGCGAAGTTCGACTCGGGGGGCATGTTGCGCAGGAGAGGCTGGATGATCGAGTAGCACAGCACCGGGGACGCGACGTTGCTGATCCACATGCTCAGGAACATGCTCACAAACATGTTGGTAAGAAGGACGACGTGTGGCTTGGATCCGGCCTTGCTCAGGACGAACATGGCCATGCGACGCGCGATGTCATACTTGGACAGTGCAGCCGCAATAGTGAACCCGCCCAGCAGAAGCATAATCACCGGCGTCCACATGGCCGAAAACACCATGCCCACTGCCTCATGAGGACCCAGCCGCTTGTGCGGCTTGTCGTCAGATCGGACGATACCCAGGACCACGACCAGGAAAGGGATCAAGAGAGAGGTCACGAAGAGAGGAATGGCCTCGGTGGCCCAGAGCATACTGACAAGAACGAGCATGGCCAGGCAGTTCTGCTGTTCGGGGGTGTCCATCACAGGGACCGCCAGCAAGGTGCCGAACACAGCAACCGTAAAGACCAGAGTACCGAAGCTCAGGCTGCAAAGCCACAGCGGGAAATGGAAGCGCCCGAGAGGAGTCGCAACTTCCATGGTGCGAATCTCCTGCTTGTCGCCCTGGCGGCGCGCAGTAGCCGGGTCCTCATCGCCACCCAGCAGAGTGTGACGGATACCCACGTTGGCAGCCTGGGCGCGACGCTCGATCTCGATCATCTCCCGCCAGACCGTGTTGCGCTCCCAGACGACATGTTCACGCAGGTGCAGACGCAGCTCGCGACTGGCCAGCTCACGGTTGCCCTTGGTGACAGCGTCGGCGTAGACGCCCTCGACCTTCTCGATGTTGTTGTCAACGGAAGCCATGGTGCTTTCAGTGAAGGGAGCCGCCGGGTAAACAACCGAGTTTAGGTACTCGCGTCGAAGATTGCGGTTCAGGGTCTTGTCGTACTTCTTCAGAGCTTTGGAGAAGCCGGTCTTGTTGAGTTCGATGAAGGAGCGAAGTTCGCAGAGGGAAACGTAGCACTCGATCAGGCGCTTTTTCAGGGAAACACCAGCGTTGTACAAGGCAAAAAGGGTTTGGTCGCCAAAAGAGAAATCTTGTGGGCCACGGCTGGAAGCTGCGCCAAAGAAAGTGGAATCTGCTAGGTCGTGTCCATCCTCTAGATTGGTCGACTCGCCATCAGTTGATTGCATCGCTCGCTGTCTAGGAGCAAATGTCGGCGAGTGCTCCTCATCACTATCGTCCTCACTGATTGCGCTAGACCGCCGGCGATGGGAAAGCCCGAGGTTCTGGAAAATACTACCTGTACCCTGGCGGGAGCTCGCGCTCATCCTTCGTGCCTTGATGACGGTCTCGCTCACGGGATCCATGTTGACCCCATCGGTGTCGGACAGGTAGACAGAGGCCTCCCGCATCAACTCATCTGTAAGCTCAAATATCTCTGTCTGCTTCTTCTGATAGAAGGTACAGATCTTGTCCATTTCTCCATCGAGCGCCCGCTTGAAGATGGCGTCTGGGTTGCTCACCGAACCCAGCAGCGGAGAGGATTCAACATCAGCAGGGCCATCTGCCCGGTTGACCTGCTTCTCAAGTGTGTAGATCCTACAGGACAAGGTCTACCGTCAGCACATGTTTTGTTCGGCTTGCATCGCGCCATGTGACATATCCGCACCAGGGCCTAGTGACCACTGCACTGGATGGTATTGTGTTGTGCTCAAGACAAGGGAAGTACGTACAACTTCTTGAGATTGCTATACGCAATGTAATTGGAACTCCAATCCGGCACCGCGTTGAACTGAATGCTGTGAGAGAACTTCATCTCGGCGGTAGGTTCTTGTTCTTGTTCAACAATAGGGTTCCGAGCGCGACGTCGAAGGGCCTCCGCCCAGAACCAGAGTCGTGTGAAGCGGGAGCCGTGCCGGCGGAGCTGATCTGGAGAGGAGCCGCTCTTCTCCCACTCAGTGTCTAGCCCTGCACCAAGCTGCGCGAGTGACTGTGAGCTGGCAGCGGGCTCAAAGGGCCTTGCAGCACGGCCAGCTGGTCTTTTGCGGGCAGATTCTTGGGGAGGTGGGCGGAAATTGGCGAGTTCAATGGAGTCGGGAGCTGAGGTGGAAGCAGCCACCGTCGTGGAAGAAGGGCCGGGAGGAGGTCGGCCACGGTCATCCAAGGAGCAGCAGGGAAAGATATCCGGTTGGAAGTGAGAGGGTGGGATGTGCGGAGAAGGAAGGCGGCTAAAGAAAAAAGAACAGGTCAGCTGTTCCTAATGCGCGAGTTGCACTGATGGTCAGGCTGGATCGACAGGCGCAAAGGGCACCGCTCGGTGTGATCCGGTAGGCACAGAAGAGGGGAGTGTGATATGCTCCGAGACCCTGGTCACTCGACGAGACGACGCTCAGGAACCCGTTCGTTGCCTGCCCGATGTGGGCTTAGCTAATGCACCTATCACGGGACACCCAAATCCAAGCAGGGGATTCCCACCTTTGGGATAGTTCGATCTAGAATAACTAAGACATGGAGCTGTAATAACCTAGAGGGAGGAATACCGATGGTATAGAGGGGGTTGTAGATTTGCAAGCATACAACCGTGGAAATAGAATAGTTCACCATTGCCAGGCTAGAGAAATAGATATACAGATGAGGGCTCACAAAACAAATCCTGACCAAACCCAAACAAAAGGAAATAAAAGTATCACCGCCGACGGGGAGCAAGTCCCAGATTCGCCCGACCGGCAATACCCAGCTTATGCTGCTGGTCCCGGCGCTCCCAGACACCACTACGGCCCTCAGCGACAGCCAATAACTCGTTAGCAATCCGCTGAGCCAGGTGAGTGTCCCGGCGCTTGTCAGAGGCATCAATGATCCACTTGATAGCCGATCGGCGGCGCTGGCGCAGCGTCAGCGGGTGAGGGATTTGCACAGCGGTACCACCGCCGGTAAGACCCTTCTGCTGGCGAATACGGAAGAGAGGGGCCACCGAGTCGACAATCAAGGTCAGGTAGAGCACAGGGTCGAGGGGCAGCTGGGGAGCTGGCGGTGCGCCGAGTAGACGCCGGCGAGGATTCACCTGGGGAGCGGGGGAGGTGCGGAGCTGGTCCAGGATGGAGGCCATGACCTTCTGTGCGCGACTCAGCTTCCCATCCTCCATAATCATCTTAGTGAACTGCTCCTGCAGGGTATCGTAGCGTTTGCGGAAATTGAGCGTCTTGGTATTGGCCGGTGACACGGGCGGATCGAACTTGAGGCCCGAATGGGTCTCGGCTTCCTGACCCTGAGCCCGTTCGGTGACCTGCTCGATCATGCTGGCCACCATGGCGATGGACGGGTCTTCCCTAGCGGAGTTGGTCTCTTGGACATCCGGCAACCGGCTGCGTGCTGAGGTCGAGAAGGAGCGCGAGCCGCCATTCTTCTTAATCTGGTCCTGCATCACTTTGGGCATGTGCTTCATGGCCTCTTTGTCGCGCGAGAGGATCTGCTCGGATCATTGCTATTAGCATATATATGTCATGGAAATGGGGCCCGAAATTTGCTCACCTCAGAAACAGGCGTCCCCTGCTCCAACTCTGGAGTCGCCGGCTGCCCATCACACTGCTTCTCCTTGTTCATGATCCGGTCTATCGCCGCCGCCTCCTCGCTAACAGGCGGCAGCAGATCATCCGAGGGATCCTTCGGTGTCTCCGGCAGATCATTCGCGTCATTCCGCGACGAGTTCCATCGTTTTTGTAGGGGGCCCGTCGACTGTGCGGCACGGAAACGGGTGTGGGTTGCGAGACTCCGCGTAGAGGCGAGGGGCGGTTGGCGAAAGGCGGAGATCGCCTTTTGAGCTGTGCAGAGATTGAGTCGGGGTGGCATTGTGTGAGAACAGAACCCCTGAGAGGCCGATGTGTTAGCAGGTCGTAGAAATCAAGTTGTTGCGGCAGAGAAACAGCGATTTTTGGGCTGAGTCAGCAGTGCCAAGCCTGTCGCAGTGAGGTCATGGATCATGGATCGAACAAGTGAACGAATATTAGGATTCTCTGTACACTTCACCTCGCTGAGACTTTTACTTTGGAGGATCAAAGTATCTCAAGAGCGCTCTAAGGTGTAAATGGCAATCCTATATATATACAAATATGTATCTACTTGTCGTCTCTCTCTACTTTCCACATGCGAGGACAACGTCCTCTATCTATGGGCTTCTTGACCCAAGTGAGGTGTTATAGGCGCGGAGGACTAGCAGCGACGGGATGTGACTGGTGGATGATAAATGATGCACTTGGCACTCGCTACTCCATTTCTCTTGAGAATCCTATCGATAGGGCAATAAACAGGAAGCCTTCCTCCGAGTGGAACCTAAGAAACACCCCCTCTTTCCGCACATAGATCTCCGAGAACTGGTTGAAAAGCGTAGAGGAATCATAACACTGAAAAATACCCACAATTGGAATTACCGATCGTATAGAGAGGATTACCTGCTGTAAGATAAGCGACTTCATTCCCGTTGCTTGAAGGATCACAGGTGGTGTTATATGGGATATTCAGATACCACGTGCCCGGGGTAAAGAAATAACCAGAGCAGGTCCCAGAATGATCCGGTTGATCAATCCCCTCACCTTTGAATGCGTTACCTATGCGCCATTTCCGCCATTTTATCAGCTAGGGACTTTTAGGGTGGTTGAATGGATCACCCGACAACACATTGTCAAAAACCATTCCAGCATAGTTCGTATAGTTCGACCTCCTTTCGGAGGTATAAACAGCCCTTGAAGGCATCTGTGCCGGCAGAGACTCCTCTTCTCGCAGCTGAATCTAAGAATCATCCAGGTGTGACAAGGGTTCTTCTGGCAAATGGAGTCGACAAAGACCCTCTGGCCCTGGAGGGTGCTAGACACCAAGGGCACCAGGTTTAAAAAAGAGAAGAAAATTGCTCAGAGGCACCATTTAATCCATTGGCAACCGCCTCAGCTCGAACAAACGCTCAGAATGACTCCTCATCTCTGGATCTTGAGTCGCTCGGGTTTGAATTCTTCAGAGCTATTCATGGACTATGAGAGAATTTCCTTGTGTATTACATTCGTTACCCTCAGATCTGACTTCGTAGGGCTTCTAAGAGTATGACTATGCTGAAGACTCCAACGGCGAAGTATCGTAAATTGATCAATAAATGCTATCTTGGAGGAAAATTGATCGGAACCTAGACACATGAAATTCAATGAAAGCGCAAGACATGTACATAAGTCAGATAAAACGATTCATAGGTACAATGAACAGCAATCAACCCCGACACGGTCACTGCCCAGCAGAACCCCACGGCCACACAAAAAACAACAAAGAGCTTCATTTGGACAGCCAGCTCAGCAAGCCAACATCATCCGTAGCATCATCCGGGTAGACGTAGAAGGCCAGGGCCAGAATCAGGTACATGCCCAAGCACATACCACCTTCCAGATAGTTGGATTTACCATCCTGAATAAGGAACGTAACCACCAGCCCAGCAATAAAGAACGCAACCGTCTCAAAGATCTGGAAATGGAGGGTCATATTGATATCCATGATCCAGCCCAGGATGACCAGGAAAGGGGTGACGAAGAGGGCGATCTGCAAGCTGCTGCCGATAGCGACGCCGATGGCTAGGTCCATCTTGTCCTTGTAGGCGACGACGACGGCGGTGACGTGCTCGGCCGCGTTGCCCACGATGGGGATCAGGACCAGCCCGATAAACGTCTTGCTCATACCGGTCTTCTCCACGATGCTGTCGATGCTGCCGACTAGATAGTCGGCGCAGATGGCTACCAGGATTGTCACGACGATCAATGCCACGGTGGCTGCTAGGGGACTTAGAAGCCGCTGCTCCTCTTCGTCTGCGTCAGAACTGTCGGCATTCTCGGTATCATTTGCGCTGGTCTCTTCGAAGAGATGGGCGTGCGAGCGCAGCTGGAAGTAGAGGTACATCACGTAGATGACGAGGAGAATGATGGCGGTACCGTGCGAGAGAATCAGGATGTTCTTCTCGGCGCTGGCCTTGGAGTGGGACAGGGCGGCGTAGAGGGTGGCCGGGATGATCAGTGAGGCGGACGCGATGGTCATCAGCGACGACATGGTTGAAGCCACCGTGCTGTTGAAGGTCTGTTCTGGGTACCGCAGCCCGCCGATAAAGAAGCAGCAGCCCAGCACCAGCAGGATGTTGGACAGAATGCTGCCGAGCATGCTGGCCTGGACCACGCGGATCTGGTGGTCCTTGAGGGCAATGATGCTGACAATCAATTCCACAGCGTTTCCGAACGTCGCATTCATCAGACCGCCCATAGCCTGCCCCATCACCGCAGCCAGCTCCTCAGTAGCGAAGCTGAGCAGCGAAGCGAGGGGGATAATTGCGAAGAAATTCAGAGTAAAGACAGCCGAGGGGTCCCAGTGCAAGGCGCCTGCGACGATGCCCAAGGGGACAAAGACGAGCAGGAGGTTCACATAGTCCCGGACGAGGGTCGACCAGGTCAGACGCACGACCGCCATGGGCCAGCGGACCCAGACGCGATTGTCCTTGGGATGGTGATGGTGCTGCCCATGCTCGGTATGCTCATGGCCCGAGAGGCCTGAGAGGGAACGAGGCGTGCTGGTGCTGTTACCCAGCAGAGCGGTGCGCTCCCCGGAGCCATTATTGCCAGAGGACATTTTCTGTCCCGGGCTGGAGCTGTAGCTTCGATATTGGGAGCGGAAACCGGGCGAGGAAGCTGTGCACGCGACAGAGTTAGTCGATCTGTTGGGCCAGGGAGAATGAATCCAGGAGCGGGGAGAGAGAGAGACTCACTCATGGCTGCCAAGCTCTTTCAGTCCTTTTCGTTTCGATTGGAAATTCACCAGCCACGGATCCGTGGAAACAGCTGCAATGGGCGATGGATCCGGGAACTTGGGCGTGTCAGAGAAGATGGGGAGGGTCCACTGTTGTGGGCGATGTGGTTGGCTGCGGATGCTAGCCAAGCTTGTGCACTGCCACTTTGATGTGACGAAGTATGGCACACTACGGAGTACGGGGATTTGGACTTGGGTCCTAACAAGCTATACAGTTCATAATTGGTATTTACCTCACGACACCACAGGAGTAAACAGCAAAACAATAAGACCTGGTCCACAGGCGAAAATACATCAAAGAAGGTAGGTAAGGTATAGTAGTAGTAGCAGGTGTAGTAAATCACAGATCAAGAAGAGAGAGCGGGGCAAAAATACCGGACAGAAAAAAAAAGAAACATCAAAAAAGGATAGACAATAATTACTCCTCCTGTAAAGTGCCATTAGCTCGGAAGTCCAGGCGGCTGCTCTTGCGGCCGACGCCCTTGAGGAGGCTGAATCGGCGGAACATCGAGTCTCGCACGGGGGGTTCTTTGCTATTGACCGCTGTGGGATGGCCCGGGGCCGCCGTGCCGTTGATTGTAGAGGGTGACTGCACCGTAGCGCTGTCGCGCGTCACGGGACGAGAATAATCGCGCGTTGAGGGCAGCGTGGACCAGCCGCCGGTCTTGGGGCCGCCGCTGTGGCCCCCGTTCGTAGCAGGCCCGGGTGGCTGGGAGCCTGAGCGGCGGCGGCTGCTGTCATGGCCCGCTGTGTCGCGCGATTGGCTTCGCGATGCTTGGCCCTTCAACGGCGACGACTGCGCCTCGTCTGCGTTGGCGACGGATGGCGTGGAGCCGTGCCTGTGCAGCTTGTCGCCGCCGAAGAAGCTGCGCCGCTTCTCACTCCGACCGGCTCCGCGAGAGCGACTGGTCGCGCGGCTGTGGATGGTGGCTGCGTCGTCCTCCGCGGCCTCCTCGCCCTCGCCAACGCCGGAGATGCCAGCGGCCTTGCTGTCGGACTGCTGGATCGTGAAGATGGAATTGGATCCGCCGTGGTTGGAGCGCTTAAACGGGTTGATGACGCTGATGCGATGGCTGACGGATTGCCGGTCAGAGCGCTTGCGCGTGTGACCCTTTCCACGAGATGACTGGTTTGGCTCTTGCTCCGGACTGGTTGAGCGCTTGATACTCTGGTGCCGCTCCATCGGCGTGGAAGATTGACCGATTGGCTGCGTTGGTGTCGGCGTGTCCGTCTCTGGGGGAGAAGAGGCAAGAGACGCCAGCTCAGGCTCGAATACGTCCTCGAAACGCCGCATCAATTCAGACTGGGTGGCGTGCTGAGCAGGCCGGTGGTACTGGGACAAGGCATGCTTGATGGCCAGAGCGTGGTCGATCAGGGCAACGGCAAGTGCGTTCTCCATGGGATCCACAGGCTCTGTCGTTTCTTCTTCATCTTCATTTGAAGCCTCGGCATCTCCCTCAGCCTCGTCCTCCTCTTCTTCAGCCAAAGATTTGTGTTTCTCTCCCTGTGGACCAGAAAGGAACTTGCGATACAGAGCTACACAGTTGGAGGACGAAGACGATTGGTCCAGGAGCTGCTCAAGGGCTTCGGTCAGATTCGCAAAGTTGTTGTCTTCAGCCGCGCGACGTTCCAGAATCTGCAGCTCTTGCGTCTTGCGCCATGTTCGCTCGATAGCAGTCTGCAGGGGTGAAAGGGCAACCTCCTGAACCAAGACGATCTCGCTCCGACGCAGGATGTTAGGGAACGGCTCCGCAACAGTGAAAATTAATTTCTCGACATACTGCTCACGAACGTCCGAGCCGCCCGTATGTCTCCGGGAAGTAGCTGAGAAACGAGACGGGTTGGAGACAAGCAGATGTTCGCGAACGGAGCCAGGCACTTTGGATCGCTGGTAGACAGGGTGGGACACATCGCGCTGGGCGCTCACGGAGCTGATCTGAAGGAACTGGCCCTCATAGTCGGGGATTTCTCCATTAGAAGACATTATCTGCGCGGTAGGGTGGTCGCGCTGCATGCGGTCCACGAAGGATGCCATCCGTTCCGTCGGTGACCCTTCAACGATGTATTCTTTCTCTCGAATACTGGCGGGGAACCCAAGGCCCTTATAGACAACGCGGAAGTACCGGGGGTATTGTTTGCCGTCCTTAGCGAGGGACTCGTAGATGCGAGCCATCGAGCTTTGTGCTCGCGCTAGCTTGGCGAAATCCATCGTGGTGCTCTCGTAATGAGCGGAAAGTTCCTTGTAGCATGCCAGCGCAGGCGCCCAGGCCATGGCATTCTCAAAGTGCTGGATCATGGAGAAGTACAGCGCCTCCTTCCGCTCGAAAGGACTTTGTGCCGGAAAAGGCGGCGTGAGCAGCTCGGGCAGAGACTTGGTAACATCCCATTCGTAAAGATCGGCGTGGAACTGGAGGGCGAGACCAGCCTCGGTGAGGTTGCCTGCTGCAGCCTGGGCATCAGCCAGTTCGTGAACGTAGCGGATGAAAATATCCTCGCGGCCCATGTCCTTCATGTACTCCATGAGTTTGAGCGCGTGCAGGCTCTGTGTCGTTGAGCCGCTCTGGGAAGCAACCAAGAGATCAAGCAGCTCGTCAACTGTCGAGATGAAGGATTTGAGGGCGTTTGACAAGTCCTCATCGGACGTCGTTTCATTTTCGAAAAGGTCCATCAACTCGCCGACGAAGACCTTGTGGCCCACGTTCTCACCCATGTGTCTGGACTTAAAGAGAGAGTCCAGACTGGAGATGATCTCCGTCTCGATGATAGAGATATCCTCATTCAGTTCCCACTCACTCAGGATCATTGTCCGAAGAATGTGAACCGCCACATGACGAAGACCCTCATGCATGCTGAGGCACAGCCCAATGATCGGAAATACCAAGCCGGGGACGTATTGCACTTGATAACCACCCAGCCGTTTCAGTCTGTACTTCTCTCTCTCTTCGTCGGTAGTCTCCCAACCGATCGCCTCCCAGGTGTTATGCAGCAGATCGGCGCCTTGCTCGCGTACATCCCCAGCAATTTTCCAGACAGCGCGTCGCTTCTGCTCGGGGAAAGTCTCCAGAGCAAGCGCGTCGCTGGACATCACCTTGAGTAGGGTTGTGAAGAACGACTCCCAGAGCTTCGTATCGAAGTTGTCAGCGTCATCAGGAGCAGGGATGAAATTGTCGATCAACAGCAAGGCAAGATGCTCGAGACTCTTGACTGTCGCACGGTGGTTGTAGACATGGATGCTGAACCAGTTCTCGGGATAGGCGTCGCAGTCCAAAATTGAATTGTGTGCTTCAAAGGCCTGTGCGATGAAGGTTGCGAGCTCCAATTCCTGGAGAGAAGGAGTCTTGGGGTTCACGATCTTGGCCAGGGCAGCCATGAGCGCAGACAGCTCGACGAGAGACTCGTCAAACCTCTGGGGAGTTTGGGACGTTTTCACTTGGAAAGGGAAAGACTTGCTGAACAGCAAGGAGAGGTACTCAGTTTCATCCACGCCCTCTGTCGCGATAGCGCAGTAGGAGGCCACGATGCTTGGCATGAACTCGTACAGTTGAGGGTCGGGTTGGCTGAGCAAGCGGGCGACGATGGCACTGCTCAGTCGGACTTGGTCGCGGTATAGATCGGAGACATTTCCGGTTGAACCCCAGTACGGTGCCAGCCAACTCACACAGCTGGAGATCAGGGTCTGTCGTTCCTCCCCCGAGGCAAAGATCTCGAACTGGGTGTAGTTTTGGATGAGCACCAGCTTGTAAAGAATAAGCATGCCCGTCACATCCTTGCACGAATCCATGAAGCTGAGGGCAATCATAATCATCTCATCACGTTCGAAGACCTTTGAGAGCTCGGGAAGCCAGGTGTGAAAATGCTGGACCACCAGTGTCTTGCTGCCCACCAGGGCTGGAGAGGGGTTCTTCATCAAAGACTCAAGAGACTTGAAAATTGTGTGCAGGTCCCTATTAAAGGTGGACTGGACTGTAGTAATACCAATACCTTCTTCCTTGACCTTTTGCTGCCCACGAGCGTTGATGATGAATTTCAGCAGGTGACGGCCAACCTTGAACGCAGCACGAAGATTGCGGGATTGCCGGGCATCATCTGTCGAGCTCAAAAGACGGAGATAGCTCCGGATGAGACATGGTGTAACGAAAGGAAAGTTGAATTGATCGTCAGCGTAGCGGTCGACCAGCGGTCCCAGATTGAAACGTCGATCATGAACAATGCCCAGGACAGTGACCACGTCGTTGAAAATCAGGTCTTCATATTCCTCATTACCGGCATTCTCGACCAGAATTCCAAACAGCGCGTCGAATACACCACTGAGTTGCTTGACGACTTCGATTTCGGGCACGAAGAGTAACCTCTTCAGGGTATCCAGTACCTCTTCCACTGGCCGTTCTTTCCAGTTCAACAGACCCAGAATGGCCTGGTCTTGGGAGTATTCCGTGCTGCACAGGTGAGTTTCAAGACAGAGGGTGGCTAATGGCCCCGTAACCGCCTCGTCCTTGGCAGACTCGTTCTTTCCAAGCGCACTCCAGGGGAGATTCAGGTAGGCACCCTTGCCATTCTCGATGCTCGAGGTTTGCTTGTCATAGGCATGCAGCAAAAGAGAATGACGACCATCCCGCATGAAAGCCTGCTGGTCCCAAAGAGGCATCCAAGCAAGAGCAAAGGGGAATTCCGGAGCATCAGCGACACTCATGACCATGTGAGAGCCAGGAATCTGCTCTGTGGGGACATTGAGACGGATTGTCTGGTTCCATGGTGAGCCTCGTTCGGCGATCGTAGTGCGCCAGGCGGTATGCGAAGTGGTGGAAGATGATGGGAAAATGCATCGTTCGACACGCGCCCCGGATGCATTGCGCACCTCCAGCGTGAGTTGAAGATTATGAAGCCCAGTGAGAAGCTGCAGAGGAATTTGACCAACTGAGGGATGAGACAAGAGGGCGTCTGTGGGGAACACGGCTTGGGAGATTGTCACGTAGATATCGGACCTTGGGCGCGAGGGCGCCTTGGAGAATCCGATGCGCGGAGTCTGCACGACATCGTGCAAGATGGTGGGATTTTCGCGGACGAGGGTATCCAAATCGCTGCTCGCAAAAGGATGCAGGTGGAGATGTAGACGAGCAGCTGGGTCTGAACGCATATAGCGGCCCGTGGGACTGGGGAGCAGGGTGCGGATCAAGTTGTCGAACCCTTCGGTGAGTCCTTCACCTTCATCGCCCTCTCGAGGCGGTGACCAGATATTGACCATTTGCTCCGTGTCCTTGTCTTGTTTGAGAAGTGGTGATACTTCCAAAATGCCAACACCAACAGTGCGGATGGTGGCACTCTCCTTGGACGGAGAGGACTGGGTCGTGTTTTGTTCCTTTGTGGTGGAAGAGCTGCTCGATTGAGGGGGCCCTGCCTGGGAGCTGGGTTTGGGCTGTTGTTGTTGTTGTTGCAACTGCGGTGGCTGATCTAGACCAGGCCCGCCACGAGATTTGGGAGTCCACATCATGCTGCGCCGTGTCCTTAAGCTTCCCTTGGCCGAAGGCTGGACATTGCCAGTACTGGTTCCCTTGGGGCTGGCCTGGGCCTCTTTCGATGTCGAGGTACGAGGCTGGGGAGTGGCACCAGCGACTGGGCGCGACTCCGGGGCGCGCACGGAAACCACCAGATACAGCTGCGGTCCATTAGTCGATCCATCCCCGATATCTGTCGAGGCCAGTTCCGTGAAGAGGGTCTTCAACTTGTTGCTCTGGGTCATACTGATAAACTTGTCAGGAGACGGAATGTCCAATGTATAAGCTTCCGACAACGGGCTCAGCGGACCAGAGTCTGTCCGAGAATAGAGCTGTAAAGCAAGAGTCACAGGGCCCGGGGCGTTGCCAGAGACCGCATTGATTTCAAGCAGCAGATGGTGCAGAGCCGTAGCATCCGAGTGCTGAGTGGGCTGGCTCTCGAGCATGCTCATCTCCGATTGAAGCTTTGCCAATTGAATGGCGGAATCGTCCCCAGTCAGAAGACGGCCTCTCTCTTCCGGATCCCGAACAATCACGTCTTTCGAGAGCATCTTGTTGGCCTTGACGAGTTTCCAAACGGTCTCGTTACGCAGGGCTTCCTTCTCCTGGCCAGTCAGAACGTTATGCAGCATTTGCCGCCGTGCCAAATCCAATTCTTGAACAATGGTTGTCATTTCCTCCAACACATCGTATTGACGAGCCAGAAGCAGCTCGTGCAGATTAGTCGAGTGCCATTCGCGCAAACAAGACGCGATTTCATCTACCAGAGGTTCCGTGAGTGAGGTCGGGGTTTCGTCACCAATCTTGAGCATGGGCACGGGGGCCGCAGGCTTCGGCGCACTCGGGTCGCGAGGAGCAAAAGTAAACGGGGTAAACGGGGTAGGCGGGACCGAGCCGGTTTTGAAAGTTCGAATGGACCGTGGGCTTGCCAGATCTGGCTCCTCCGTTTTATGGATAACGATTTGCGCCGGTTTGCCCTTTTTCGCGACCACCACGTCCGACACCTCGACGCCAGCGTGCGACTCATTCAGCGAGTACGCCATACTGCTCCGGGACACGATGTCGGCGTCCCCGCCTGGCAAGGTCAATCCATCGATACTCTTCCGCTCACCGTTGACGCCCTTGTAGCCCTCCGCTCCGTCGCCCAGCACTTCGCGGATCTCCACACAGTTGCGCGGGAAAATGCCGGAAAACACGCGGGCTTCCAACGTCTGGCCCTTGGTGCTTGTCAAACCCGCCAGCAGCGAGGGCGGAGCCACGAGGTAGCCGCGACACCACTCGCCGTCTGCACCGCCTTGCTCAATGATATACAATTCATCTCCGAGTTCCAGGGGGAGGTCGTCCGGGGAGGATGGATGGAAGGGGTATATGGCCACCGCAAAGGCAATGCGAGGCAGCGGCCGCCAGGGCATGGCTGCGAGGGTATCTTTCTAGAACTTCCAAAAAACGGACTCGGAACGGGCCAATTCCCCGCAAATGCCGTGGGAGGATCCAATCGCAAGATCCGAGGCAAGGGAGACGCGGGGAGGAGATGCGAGGAATGCTCGTGGGGTGTCAATGGAACACGACATGCAGTGGCGGAGGAATGTGGCTCGTCGGATCTGGGGCGCCGTACGTAGGAAAGGAGAAGAATGTGCGTCCGGCCAGATCTAATGGGACGTGATTAGGAGGCGAGGCGCACAGAAGAAGCACACAATCTCAGGGACTCCAAGGGGCCAAAAAATTCCCGGCGCCGACACGATTGAGACAGGGCAGTGACAGGACTAAGAGGTGCGCGACGGCGATGGAAGTTGCACCCCCAATTCCAATCATGCGCTCCGTGGAATCTGGTCGTCGTAGCCCCTTGGAAACATTTGGTGGAGACGAGATCGCAGGTGGAGACCAAGGGTTGTGCGGCACTCACCGTACAGTAGAAGAGATCCGGGAAGGACGAGAAGAAAGGAAAAAAAAAAGGAAAAGGAGTTCAATAATAGAGAGAGAAAGTCGCGCAGGCGACGAGAGTAGGTATTCGAGCAAGAGAAGAAGAAAGACGGAAAGAAAATCACGATCCGGCTCGTTTCTTTCCCCACATGCACGCAACCCGTGTCCAAAAAAAATAAAAAGAACGAGAGTTGCTGGTTGGATTGACAAGACAGCGCGTTTCAGCTGCAGGATAGCTACCGCAACTGCTGGCTGGCGCATTCACTATAGTGAATCTTCACGATGAGACCTCCAGGTAATTATTACCTGGTCCTCATCGGTTCGAGTCGCCCAGCACAGACCAGCAGCTGCCCCTGAGCGGGAAATGAATTCGATGGCCTCGAACCAGTGGGCCCTACAGCCCGGTTCGCCAATTAAGGGTCCGTGGATCGAGTCCTTATGGAGTTACTAGAACACCCGTTGTGACTACAATAATGATCATGGATATATGCGTATCGGTGGACAGACATGCGAAACCCCCAATGCGCCTCCTGATGAACCACCCAACCCATGCGGCAGACAAAGCATACAGATCCAAGAAACAAAAAAAAAAAAAAAAACACTACTTCCGGAACATCGCCTGCATCTCGTCCTTGCGCCACTCCAGCTCCAGCTGGCCGTCGTACACGCTGTCGATGATGCGCCTAGTGCGATCGTACGCATCCTCGTACCGGCCTTCGCACGCCCGCAGCACCTTGAGGACCAGGCTGCGACTGAGTCCCGGGTCGTCGGCATCGCCGAAATGCTTCTCGACGCGCTTCTTGAGCAGTTCGATGCCCCGGCGGATTTCCTTGGAGTCGTAGGACGAGAGTACCTTCTTCGCCACCGCGCGGGAGTGGCTGCTGCGAGCGGCAATGTCGGCATTGTCATTAGCTTCCTGGAGGCCCTCCACGGATCGGAGGAAGTCGAGGAGCTTGCCCAGCGGGCGGTGGATCACGGCGTCGAGGTAGAGCTTCATGTGCTCTTCGTAGTCCTGGACGGCCCGCTCGACCCAGCGTTCGAGCACGGGCAGGTTGTGCACGAGCACCTCTTCTGCGTAATGGTTCATGTTCTCAATGAGGAGAATGTGGTAGTTCAAGACCTCCTTGTCCTCTGGGTCGCCAGCCGCGGCGGACACTCCGGCGACCTGACCGGGCGCTTCCTTGGCAATGAACTTGAGGGACTCCCACATGGCACGATTGATGCGGTCATAGGCATCATTGACGCTGATCCGGACGTCACAGAACTCGCCGGATGGGTGATTCAGCATATTCTCAATCGCGGTGGAGAAATGGGGGAAGACCCGCATGAAGGAAATCACTCCCTTGCGCTTGTTGATCTTCACCTTGGTATCCTCAATGCCCCGGATCTGCTCGTCCACGAATCGATTGAACAGTCCCATTAAACGGGAGTGAAGCTTCTGGAGAGCGTGGAGGATGAACTCTTGATTAGTGTCATCCAAGTCGGTCATGGCAGACTCCAGACCAAACAGGATGCCAATTCCTTGCCTATAGAACAAACGGTCAGTGGCTGTGTAAAGAGGACGAGAATTCGAAAGACGTACATAGGATCATCCTGGACAGCCCAATCAATGAGGTTCTGCATGTCGGTTGGCCAGAAAGAGTAAATCTCATCCATGATTTGCTCGACTCGCTTCGACATCGCCCTGTCTGGATCGTGCGGATGTCTTGTGGAGAAGGCCGGACATTCACGGGCATCCGGGGTTGTAGAAGCAACCAAATCAGTGAAATCAGCAGTGGCGAGAGAGTCGAGATGGAAGAATTGCACGGCAAAGTCCTGTTCCTCGGCAATCATGTTCAGCGTCTCCCGCAGCGTGCCGGCAAACGCCTCACACGGCTCAATCTTGCCTCCACGTTTTTTGTCGCTGGAAGACAGACGGAGGCCGGTCGCGGCTCGAACAGTTTTGCCGCGTCGCACGGTCAGCTTACGTGCGGCCATGGTGATACCCTCGACTTCCTTCTCCTTCTCCTGGTGGGTAAAGAGCAGTTCCTGCTCGTCAGGCGTCGGTTTGCGAGCTGACTTCTTCCAGGCCAAGTTATTGTCTCGGAACTCATTCTGGTAAGATGGCTTCGACTGCTGTTCATACAATCTGATCAAGCCGTGCCATTCCGCCATGCTGATTTCTCTGGCAAAAAGCATGAGGGGATGATACATCCAAACTTCCCGACGGAAGTGTCCGCGCGCCGAGCTATTAAGCTTCAGGGGTTCTTTGGACGCATGTGCCAGAGCATCTGCTCGTTTTTGTTCCGCCATCTTGAAAGCTAGAGTCATGAATTGCTTGAATCGCCCGAGGAACATTGAGGCCGCAGAGCGGTATTCTTCCTTCTTCTCCTTGATTGCACGCATCTGACCGATGTCCGTATCGGCATAGACACCGACGCCGCCACGGTCGCCCGCACTGTCGACCAAGCGTTTTTTGTTTTGTCCAATATCGGAATCGATCATGACCATCGCCTTGTACAGTATAACAAGTGCACCTTCGGTATCCCTCAACCCGTCAAGATTGCTCAGAGAAGCTTCTTTCAGTGGCCTCAATTCATGGCCGGATATGGAGAGCGTCTTCAAAAGGTTCTGTAGCTCGTTCTGAAGTAGCTTCTGGTTGGCCGTTTGCACTTGCAAACCTTGACCCTGGGCCTCGATATACGCCACGTCGTCATGAAGAGTCTGATTAGGGTTAGCAAGGGTAGATATTTCGAAACGTCAACACTTACGTTCAATTCGTGCGAGTATAATGTCAACAGACCATCCAGCTCTTCGCACTCTTCGACCGTCTTGTCAATTAACTTGGCAAGTTGCTCCACCTTTCCGTCTTGCTGTTCCAGATTTCCTAGCCAGCTGACGGCCTCAACACGGCCAACCTCGCGACGAACGTCTGCTTCGAGATCCTCGATCCTCTTTTCATCACTTAGTCGCCCGTTCCAGCCCAGCTCGGAGAGGATATCATCGAAATCGATAGCGCGCCCATCAAGAATGCCAATTTCAATTCCAAGTGCTTGGCAGTACTTGAGCGTGTTGTCTTGGCGTCTTCGGCGACGCCCCTGACCCGACGGTGATGGCGTTCTGGAGCGGTCATCTGTGATAAACTTGACATTATCTGGGAAAGTATCTCTGGATTCTTCGGCGACCACCGCAGCAGCCGCGGCAGTCTCGTCAAATGCAGGCTGGGTAGCCTCGACGACGGGAGTTGTATCTTTGTCTGGGGCAGGCAGCTCTCTGTCCGTTGTTTCAGCAACCGGACTCTCTGGCTCGGTGCCGGACCGAGTCAACGACGGAGCGGGGACAACGCCGGTAATGCCATCTGGCTCCGCAGCTTCGGGTTCTTGTGGCTTCTTTGCGGCTGCCAGAAGTCGTTCACCAGCCCCACCAGGTCTTGGCTTGAAAGCACCATAGGCGTTTGCAGCCTTTCGGAAAGCGCCGGCCACGTCTTTCGCTGACTTCTTTTTCACCATCGGCCCCAGGCCGGGGCGGTGTGCTTCAGGATCATCGTCGACAGGCGTTTCTGGAAGTGCCGTTGCTGAAGTGGGCGTTGTCAAAGTAGGGGATTTCATAGACGGCGTTATTGTAGATGGAGAAGCCGGAGAAGGTTCAGCCGGAGTAGCAGCAGGGGGAGAAGCCTGAACAGGTTCAGCTGGAGTAGCAGCCGGAGGAGAATCCGGAACAGGTACAGTTGGAGTAACCGCTGGAGGTGAAGCTGGAGCAGGTGCAGCTGAAGTAGCCGCAGTTGTAGGAGAGCCAGCCGACAACTCAACTGGACGTTTGCGTGCTTCCACAGGCGACCCAGCAGCTAGGAAAGCTGCCGCCACTGCGGGATCTGAAACTTGCGCGAGAGAGAAACGTGGATCGGATGTGGCTTGCTTAGCGGGCTCTCTTGACATAATATCGGTGGCATCTGACGTATCCCGGCTCTGAGAGGAAGTCTCTTGGACCATAGTGGGAGTGGGAAGAGGACCGGGTGCGGGACCGACGCTTGGTCGAAGATTATCGTGTCTGGTCCCGGGCGTGGTAGATTCGACAGCTTGGGTTGCTTGGAAAGTGGATGGTTGTGGCATCTGGATGGGCTCTTCGCCTCGTGACGTGGATGGGCGTTTTTCTTCGGCAGTAGCAGGAGGTGTTGGCTCTTTGCTTATTGACTCGGTTGGTAAGGCAGGGGCAATAGGTGCAGGGACATCATTTCCACGAGACGGTGGTAGGTCCCTTTGACCAGATATACTAGTAGACGGCGGGATCGAAGTTGGCTCAGAGACCGAAGAGTTGGCTTGGCTGGTCGATGGCCGGGAGACCTGGTCACGGCTTCGTTGCACTCGGAGAGTTGGATCTTGAGATGCTTTGCGCCTCACTTCCCGGGATCCATCACGACTTGAGGCACGACTTCCATCGCGACTCGCATCACGACTTGGATCACGGCTCAGCTCGCGGCTGACATCACGGCTCATATTGCGACTCACATCATAGCTCACAAGGGCAGACTTGGATAGTGGAGGCGCGGACCCATCACCACCCTTTGATCCTGGCCGAGCTGATGGCGCCGACGGCGCCGACGGGGCACCTCCTGCGAGCAGTTGTCGTTCCCTGTCGTCAAATCCAATGAGATTCGGAACTTTGCCACCGGTGTATTTCTTATAAATTTTGACCAAACTACCAATGAAAAACTCCTTCTCCTTGGAACTCCGGGCATGCCAGTAGTATGGTTTTCCCACCGTCACCACGAACCCGACATTGGATGCCCACTCCTTGTGCTGAGCTTCGGTCGGCGTTTTCGGCACCAAGGCGTTGTAGGATTGGATCGAGGAGAGATCGTCGAGCATCCATGTTTTGCCGATGGAGAAGGTTCCGTCATTGTTTTCACGGGCTTTGTGCATGCGCACTCTGCCCGATCTCCGTACTGAGACTATGATAACTCGTGCTTTCTTGTTGTCAGGAGCCGAGCTCGGAGGGGCAGGGGCCGAGGGATACTGGGAATCCTCGGTGATTCGGACGTGGGTGATATAGGATTCGACCACTAGAAGAGGGAAAGTGCATTAGCAGATCGATCTTCAATGCTCGGGGTGCAAGTGGACGGGCCCGGAGCTTGGCTGGTTTCAAGGGAGCTAGCTGCACATCTCCGTGCCATGTGTCACTATCCACCCCCTTTCGCGCAAAGGACAGGGATTAGTCTAGTAGGGGGAGAAGGGTTGTTCGTACAAGTGCCATCGCTATCCTTCTTGGAGTAGCAGCTCTGGACAATGCGCTTCTTCTCGTCCTCGAACTTCTCAGCCCGTGACATGGAGGCATCGGCCGAGCCATTGCGACCGTTCGAGGCCTGAGCAGTCGTCGCACCACGACTTCGGTCGCGACCATTCATGGCGGCGGAGAAAGACTGGGCCCGCAAGTGGTTGGGGGTTGTGACGAAAGAGAGAGGCAGCGGCAGCTGGGGGGGAAGCAAGAGCAGAGGATTAGCTCATCCCGGTTGTTTTGGGGGTCAAGGGCGGCGTGTCATGAGGCGGCAGATGATCCTCGGCCATCATCCCATTGACTTCACTTCAAACAGAGCAGACAATGCCTAATTCGGTTTTCTCAATGTTAATAATTATTATTGTTACTTTTGGCCGTTGCAAACTCGTCCAATGAACGACGTCCGTGTTATGTATTCGACTCGTCTTCGGGTACACAATGAATGTCACGTGATATCTGGTTGTCGACGCTAAACCTTTTTGGAAAGGCCCAATCATTGTTGATTACACCCTCACCGCCTTCACTATACTAGGCTTTTTTTTTTTTTTTTTTTTTGTTCCTGGCACTCAGTCCAACGCAAATCAACAATCACCCTTCTCTTGCTTTCTCTTTTCCCAGTCACCTCCTACTTGTCTTCCTTGCCATTCGGAGAGACAGCCCCCATTCATTCGACAACATGGGCGCTATCGCGGCCCCCAAGAAACCGGCCAAGAAGGTATGCAGCCCACATTTTCCCTGCCATGATCTGCAGTGGAACTTCAACTGATGATGTCCGTCTCCCACAGGCAACCCCCAAGAAGCCACAGGCGATTCCTCCTCAGCTGGCTGCCGCTGTTGCTGCTTTTCTGTCCAACAATGGCTTTTCCGGTGCTAGTGAAGCATTCAAGAAGGAACTCGGCAAGCAGAACAAGCCCGATTTGCTAAAGGCCCCGTCGCTGCTGGAAATTTTCGAGTGCTGGGAATACAACACCAACAAGAAGGATTCTACCACGACCACCACTAAGTCCTCCTCGAGCAGCAGTTCCTCGTCGAGTGACTCGGACAGCGGCAGTTCCAGCAGTTCGAGTGATAGCAGCGAATCGGACTCGGACGTCGATATGAAAGACGCCACCAAGCCCAAGCCCACTCGTTCATCATCCCCTTCGTCTTCCAGCTCGTCCAGCTCGTCCAGCTCGGACAGTGATGCGGACGATGAGGAAGAAGAGCCGGCGGCCCCTGCTCCGGCTCCGACACCGAAGAAGGTGGCTGGTGTGAAGCGAAAGGCCGAGTCGAGTACGGACTCCAGTTCTGAAGACGACAGCCCCAAGACCAAGAAGGCCAAGGTTCCTGCCAAGAAAGAATCTTCGTCCAAGTCGAAGTCTTCCTCGTCTTCCTCGTCTTCCTCGTCTTCCTCTTCTTCCTCTTCTTCCTCTTCTTCGTCTTCGTCCTCGTCCAGCAGCTCGGACAGCGACTCATCCTCCAGCTCTGATTCTGACTCCTCGTCTGATGCATCCTCCTCGGAGTCCGATAAGGCCACCAAGAAAGCCAACTCCAAGACTTTGAAACAAGCCACCAAGACCCCACTTCCCGAGTCCGGCAGCAGCGATTCCGATGATAGCGACTACGACACTGCCAACGAGAAGACTGGCGGTGTATCCCTTGTGCCCAATGAGTCCGACACCAGTGCCACTGTTGGGGCATCACCAGACATCCATGTGCACCCCGCCAGGGCTGCTCAGTTCACTTCGTCCTCTTCGAACGCCAGCCCAGCTCCTGGAAGCAGCCTGGCGAAGAAGCACACCGGCGCCCGTCCTACTCCTCTCGCTGCCCTGAGTGCCTTGCCCCACGACCACCCGTCGAACGACTATATCTCGTACGCCTATGCGGACCGTGCCTTCAATGACTTGTCCGTGACTCGTGGCAAGGGCTTCACCAAGGAGAAGAATAAGAAGAAGCGCGGTTCCTACCGTGGTGGCCCTATTGATATCTCCGGAGGCAAGTCCTTCAAGTTTGACGATTAGATGGGCGCTCGTTCACGTTGGTATAAGCAAGACCTGGGAGAAGATAGACGGCCTGGCTTGAATTACCTCTTTTGCTGCCATTCATACTCCCAACCCCGAGGATACCACTGAACTTTGGATATCCTCTTTCTAACACATTTATTTACCTTACCCAGCATGGCGCACACGGAGCTATGGAGCACAGACTCTTTCCTCCTTTTTTCCTTGTGAATTACTCGCTCGAATGTCTTAGCGTACCAAAAGTTTACAATTATTGAGACGATTTTTACGTGCTTGTCCTCTGCAGTAGTTTCGTCAAATTATTAGATCTATAAGCAATTGGGTATATTCCAATATGCAGACCGAAAGTCTCAATTTCATGGCTTCAGCCCGAACACCGGGAGATACTTCCAAATGCATCCAAATTTGTACTGGCCTGGTTATCCCAAGGTATCCTAACTTGAATGTCAACCGTACCTACTACCTTGGAAAGTAGATTAGAAATGTGCTAGTCATACACCGGGACAGAAAAAATCTGCCAGGGTTCATAGTGACATGTTTAAGGGGGCTAATAGGTTGTGGATAATAATACAGCTCTATATTTTGGTTTAGTATATACGTACAGACGTATCCTATACACCATCCCGCCGTCTCCACGCCCCGTTTGGAGCCAATGGCTCCCATCTCCGGTCCCACCCCGTGTCCAACTCACTTTGCATGTTTCCCGAACCAATGGACGGAAACGTCTGTTGCGTCCTCAATTTGGAGGTAGTGGTTAGATCGTCTGGCTCGGGGCGTTCGTACCCAGACAGATTGAGGACCTGCCCCGGCGCAGTCTGAGAAGCGCCTTTGACGGCTGAATAATCCGCATCGAGGTCTAACCCAATATTACGACGGTACCACTCCTTTGAGGAGCCAAATAAATCATCCGTAGACGCAAAGTCCAATCGGAGCACCCCGTCCCCGACGCCTGTATACACGGTATGAGAGGAAGGAGAGGGTGAGGACATGGCATAGATAGGGCCGCGGTAGGGACCTCTTCGGCGGGCACGAACGTGATTGTGTTGGGGTCCTGTGGTCGGAGGAGGGGGTTGGTAAGACAGAAAGAGTGAGAGATCCTTGCGAGGAGCCTTCCGGACATGGACTCCGTTGGTTGCTGGCTTTTGGTGTGATGGAGGAGGCTGTGCATCGAGGTAGCTGTATGTCTTTTGCATTCGCAGGTCGAATATCTTCAAAACGGCATCACCGCCTGCTCCGGCGAGGAAGCGGTCGTGCCCGAAAACCTGGACGCTGTATATAGGGTTGGTGTCCGTATTGTCTCGGTAGGTGGCCTCGTAGGCGTGTGGCGAGCGCAGGTCGTGGAGGCTGCGAAACGAGTAAGCTACTACTAATGATGCTGAATATAGAAGGAAATATACCGGATGGCGCGATCACCCCATGCTGCCAGAAACACTTCCCCAGGGGAGGCGTGAGTGGGAAGAGGGGCAATGGCACTAAGATGTGCTACTGTTTCGGGGTTGAGACGGCCCTCGAGGTCCATTGATCGGACTTTGATTTCGCGACTGGGCCGGACGGAATCTGCGGAAATCGTGGCGATGCACAGAGAATCATCAATCTCTCCAGATCCCACTGCAGCCAGTGACGGCGACAGCAGTTTCGAATACTGAATGCGCGTCTGGTGTCCGGATCCCAAACGGAGCCAGGCAAATGGCTCGACTTGTTCCTCGCCCGTGGTGGTGTGGTAGAAGGCAAGGGCGTTGTTATCGCAATGAGCAGCCAGGATGCCATCGTTCACATCCGTGCGATCCACTTCCCGGCCGTATGCCAGAAATGCCTGTTGATACTCGTGGACACCATCGGCTGGGGAAAAAGCCAACCGGACAATATCTCCCCGCCTGCGAGCAAAGATCAAATGTTCCTTGTCCAAGGAATCCGGACCCAGAAGATGCACGCCACAGATATCATCCCAGCTGCTGACATGGTCCAGGTCATTCAACACGAACCACTTCCTTCCGATGCGCACCACTAGCTCATCTGCAGCCCCCCATGCCACAACCTCCTTTCGATCCGCCCAGTGCTCGCCATTCCACACCTCGTAGGAGTCGATCGCAGGTCGGTATCCGAGCGTCGGGTTATCGCGCCGAGTCGCCTGGTGGGCCCCAATCTTGGTGGCATCTGGCGGCGGGAGAAGAAACCGCGCAATGACGGAATGACGGTCTAGGGCCCGCGATCGTGAAGTCAAAGCGCGCGCGGCGTCTTTCCAGAATGGTGGCGTTCGGATGGCCGGGAATCTGCTTTGGACAAAGGCGCGAAAGATCCGTGAGTCTTCTGCGGTGATAATTCCGTGTAGTCGACGGCAGGTTTGAGCGAGGTGGGTCAATGCATTGGCGGTCGGGAGATAGAGGGCGATGTGGTAAATGATCTCGGAGGGCAGGTCGGCGAGCATGACCGGTGTTTATGTGCAGGCTGAGTGGATTAATGGACTGACCTCATTCCTTTTGGACAGACTCACCGGAGTCTATATTTATAAAACAAAGCATTGGCCCCCTATATCGCCGCTGCGCCATACCTCGAGTCGAGAGAGAAAAAGAGAGAGAGTGTGTGTGTGTAAGAAAGAAGAGGCGAAGGGCAACATTATGTCATTGCTTATCGCCTATCTTATCTTATCGTTCATCCAGTCCGAACTGTACCCAAGATGGCAGGTCGAGGAGATCCAGTCAGTCTTCTTATCCTCGGATACCAGAATACACGACCAAGCGGGGTGCGGGATTCAATTACCTAAACTGCTCCAACCATTGCCTATAAAGCCCGGAGCTTTGCCAATCTGTCATTGACACATCCGACTCAAGATGGCGTTCTCACTCTCCACACTGGTGGCGGCCATTGTCGCCGCTGTGGTCGTGTACAAAGCGATCATCTACCCGGCATTTGTGTCGCCACTGGCTAAGATCCCCAATGTGCACTGGAGCGTCCCCATATCGCCAGCCTGGATGCTCTGGAGACGCTTCCGGATGCAAAACAACCGCACCATCCAGGCAGCACATGAAAAGCTGGGTCCGATTGTCAGGCTTGGACCTGCGGAGATTTCGATCAACTGTGTCGATGGAGGGATCAAATCGGTGTACACCGGCGGATTCGAGAAGCATGAATGGTATCCGCGTGTGTTCGGGTCCTTTGGGTAAGATCTTCACCCTTTGGATGGAGCTGAACCTAACCCTGTCCAGGACGGTGAGCATGTTCACCATGACGGGAAGCAAGACCCATTCCGTCCGGAAGAGAATGCTGTCCAACATCTATTCCAAGTCCACTTTGCAGTCCTCGCCTCATCTGCGCGTGGCTTCGAATGCAGTTGTCTTTGACCGTCTACTGCCACTTCTCCATGAGACAGCATCATCGGACCGGCCCATTGACGTGCATGACATGAACCAAGGATTGACCATGGACTTTGTGTCCGCCTACTTGTTCGGTCTGCAAAATGGGACCAACCACCTCCAAAACGACTCCTATCGTAAGCACTGGCTCCATTTATACCTGTGCCGCAAGCCATACGAGTTTTATCACCAAGAAATGCCCAACCTGAACGGCTGGATGAAGTGCATCGGTCTCCGTGTGATCCCGAAATACTGTGATGATGCCAATGAAATGCTGGATAACTGGGCTCTGGACCTTTGCGACAGGGCTGAGCAGGCAATGTCTTCAACGGAGCCAGGTGTCGAGCCCATTGTCTACAAGCAGCTGAAGCAAAGTCTAGACAAACACTCGGCAAAAGATCGAGGTCCCAAGCCTGACCCGGCACAGGAAAGACTCGATATCGCGTGCGAAATGTACGACCAGCTCACTGCGGGCTATGAAACCAGTGCCGTCGGTCTCACATTCCTGCTCTGGCAGCTATCCAAGCACCCAGAGACCCAGACCAAGCTCCGCGAGGAACTTTTGACCCTCGATCCTCCGATTACATATCCACGGGTCTCAGAACTGCCATCAGCGAAATCAATTGATAACCTGCCTCTACTGGAAGCAATCATCACCGAGACATTGCGACTGCACGCCCCGATCCCGGGTATCCAGCCACGAGTCACTCCGTCTCCATCCTGTACCTTGGCCGGGTACAGTGATATCCCCGCTGGCACGAGAGTCAATGCCCAAGCCTATTCTTTGCACCGCAACCCGGAGGTTTTCCCAGACCCCGAGAGCTGGCAGCCAAGACGATGGCTGAAGGAGGAGAATTCGTATGAGGATCTCGAGGAGAGACGCCGGTGGTTCTGGGCGTTTGGCAGCGGTGGGCGGATGTGCGTGGGGAGTAATCTTGCACTGCAAGGTATGTTACTTGGCCACATATTTTTTGAGCGTTATACTAACTGACGACCTGTAGAGATGAAATTGGTAGCTGCGGCTATTTACACTAACTTCCGCACGACTATTGTCGATGACGAGAATGTGGAGGCGAATGATGCGTATACCGTGAAGCCAAGCTCGGATAAATTGATCTTAAAATTCCACTCCGTCTAAACGGAGTGGGTAATTGAAAATGGATTTGCTGCAGCCCATCCCAGCAGACGGGACGATATATCAAGACTCGTTCATGACATGTAGTCAAGAAGGCATATAACAAAGAAAATATCCCATATCTCACATGGTGTATACTGTACAGAGATGCACGATGAGCCAACTCCTTATTTTCATAAACAGCGAGTTCTTTAAACCAACTCGGCTGCTCAGAAGATATTCCGTCAAAAGACTCCCCCAAACTCCCAGATGAACAACTTCTATCCCTGAACTCCTTCACAGTAGTCCAGGGTGAAAGTGAAAATGCGCACAAATAAATATGTTTCTCAACCCAGAACACCGTCCTTCTTCCGCGGACCCACGACCTTGGGGTACATTCGCATGAGGTGGTAGTTGACGGTATTCTTCTTCTTCTCGGAGGATTTCTATGAAGAAGGGGTTGTTAGCAAAAATCGTCCCAATAGCCTCGCAGGGGGAAATATATGGGAATGTTCAAGACGCACCGGCTGATCCATGCATTTCCGCAATTGCGTCTCCAGCGCAGCGCAGCCCTCGGCACTATATCCCTGGGAAGCCCAGCAGTCTGTTCGTGGGCAACGGGAGTTAGCAATCTCAGTCACTTCAATTTTGAAATCGCAATGTCCAATAGCCACCGCCGGCACGGGCGATGATGGAAATGCAGCTCATGCAGAGCAGGGCCTCACGTACTCAGCATCGAAGACATGACGGTCACGCATGGGTTCTGTTCCTGCTGGTTTGGCCGGCGGACGCGAAGGTGGTTGATTGTCTGTAGACGGATAGGATTGAGACGGGTTGATACATTCTTGGGTGGCATATTGGCGGGTGAGAGGGATGCGAAAGAGTGTTGTTCCTTCTCAGGGAGACGACGAAGATTTGGCTCCGCGGAAGTGGCTGACATAAGCATCGACACTTCCCTGTTCGTGGGTGCTTCACCGGAACACTCTTCTATTTCACATCTCTGTTACAGCTATATTTCATTACACTAGGTGCTGGCGATGAGTGGGAGGCACTTTGTGACAGTGCAGGTTCGTGCTGCATCGAAGTGTGTGGCCAGAGCCCCCGTCCGAGGTTTCTCGGCCGCGTATACTCGGAGACAAACACCTTCATCTACGACTGAGCAGGACGCCAGCGCCAAAGAAGATGAGAAAGATGCAAATACTTCCAAAGACCAAAAAGAAGAAAGCGCAATGTCCCGACGTCTGTCCCAAATGACCGAAGATGCGATGCTGGAAGGAGGACAGTCTGCGCGCCGCAACATGGAGCAGGCGGGATTTTCGGAAGAGCTGAAAAAGCAGCTGGAAGAACGAATGGCGGCCGCTTCATTCAAAAGCGAGCATGCCGCTGCTCATTCGATTCTGGATATGCCGGTATGTGCTTTGTTGCTGCCCTAGGGACCAGTCGCTGACTTGTGTCGACTTTAGGCGAGTGCCGGCGCAGGTACACGCGATATCGCTGGATCGACTGCGTGGACAGGGTCAGAAAGTCTACACGACTCCGCTCTGCGCATGCTCGACGACGCAAGCAAACCGATCCGAGCCCCCTACAAGATCCCCCAACCGGTCAACCTCCAACCAGCCCCGAAAGCCAAACGAACACCCGGCCGCCGCTTAGCAGATGCAAAAGAGCGCACCTCTACATACACACTCAGCCAAGCGCCAGGCTTCTCGCAAGAAGAACGAGAGTCACTGCGCCAAGAGATGAAAGAAAAATTAACACCGGGAGCACACTCGGTGCCCATCTCGATCCACGGCCTCTCTTCATTAGCCAACGAGCGCATCGAAGACGCAATTGCGCGCGGCCAGTTCCGCAAGATCAAGCGCGGGAAGGGTGTCAATACCGAGACTGATCGTAATGCGAACAGCGCATTTATTGATACGACGGAATACTTTATGAATAAGATCATCCAGAAACAGGAGATCGTACCCCCGTGGATTGAGAAGCAGCAGGAGCTTGCCATGGAGCTCAGCCGCTTCCGACAGCGCCTTCGCAGCGAGTGGCGGAGACATGCGGCACGGCTGATTGCCAGCAAGGGCGGCTCGTTGGAGGCGCAGATGAGACGGGCGATGGGATATGCTGCGGCCGAGGTTCGGTTGGCAGAGCAAGCCAAGCTGAAGAAGTCTCTGTCGGAAGATGTTACTGAGGCGACCGCCGAGCCCAACAAAGATGGTTCATCAGTTTCCACCGACGAAGCCGGCGAATCGAGTGTTGGCAGGGCATCCCCAGACGAGATCGCCCATCTCCCGCCCCTTCGGGATCCCGATTACCTCGCCATCGAAAGGTCCTACCACGAGCTGGCGGTGGAGCATTTGAACAAGCTCACACGCTCCTACAACCTCCAAGCACCACGCTCGGCACAGAAACCGTATATTAGCCTCGAGCGTGAGCTCAAATCCTGCTATGCCGACATCGCACCCCAATTGGCCGAGGAGATCAAACGACGGTCTACCGAGCGAACTACCAGCTCGACACTGCCCGCTCGACCCGCCTCGTCGAGTGCGGCGGGCTCCTTTAGTCTGGGCCAGACCTCGCCCGTGGCCGACGAGGATCAGGGCAATAACTACGGGATGAAGGAGTTCTGGCGGGATCTCTTTTCGAAATAGATTCGCCTGAATTGTGTATTATAACTATCAAAATTAAAATGAATGAATGAATGAATGATCTACACACTAATCCCAAACCGGCATCCCCGTTCTGCACTCTGACTGGTTTCCCGCGGGTGATGCTCGTGCATGGCGGGCGGTTAATTCGGGCCAACGACAGGCTTAGGGTTATCACACTGAACTATCACATCAACCATCACCATCACCTCCCGCCATGCATCCCTCCAGCTTTCACACTCGAGTCTCCCGGCCTGTCGATCAGCCTAACCGGACGCTGTTGTTAAAACTCACCCCGTTTCTCCATCTCTCTCTGTCTGTACATCGACTGCCAGATCCCGGCGATGACTCCAGCCCTAGTCGCCTGCTGGTCACTGGTTCTTCTGGCGGCTAATTTCCCCTCGGTTCGCGGGGACTCAGATGTGAAGACGCATCGAGAAGGGCACCTCGACCACGCCCCAACTCTCGACAAACCCTTACTCGCCATCCAGCTGGGCAGCATCGTCGCCGCCTACGTGATCTTCGTGGCCATCCTCCTCGCTCTTCTGCTCCTTGTCGGACAACGACTGCGTCAGACTGTCCAGTCCTCCAACTATTCCCTGCAGATGGAGATGCTGAGGCCCGTCAAACAAACTGTCAGCATGGATCCCAGCCCCATCTCTCCCATGTCGCAGAACATTCCCAGCCCAAGCAAGTCCGGCTTCACCATGTCGTGGGGCAGTCTGGCGAAGGGTGCCAAGGTCTCTCACCCATCCACCAACCACAGCGTCGTGACCGTCGATGAGTCGGTGGTGGCATCCGATCGACAGCGAGCACAGGATGAGATGGAGAAGCTGTACGCCGCGGTCATGGAGTACGACGAGCAAAAGGCAAGCGGCGCGGACGTTTCTATGAAGGAACCAGACTCGTCGCCGGACAGCAACTACACCAACCCGTTCACGGACCGTGCCTCGCGCGTGCCTGAACCCCCTTCAGTGTCGCCGCTGAAGTCGCCCAGGACCTCCTCTCGGCTGTCCAGGCTTTTCACCTCGAACTCGAGCCCCCGACCGGGCGGGGAACAGAACAAGTTGCGCTCCCCGCGCCTATCCAATATTCGCAAAGCCCAAATATCATCTCCGCTCGCCTCGCCTGAGATGGTGGCTTCGCCCAAATCCTTCTACACCCAGGACCAGCCGCCGCTGTCACCGCGGATCTACAACCCCGGTCCTCCCCCCCAGGCTCCTCGAGCGTCAGCGGTGGTTCAATTTCAGAACCCATATGCAGGTCGTGCTCGACCACCTGCGCCACTAAACCTGGCTACAGCCGCACAGCCATCTTCATCCACCTCCCTGCCCTTCCGCGAAGCATATCCACCGCAGAGTGCCCCAGCAACCAAGACGACCATCTTAGACCGGCCAACCAAGCACCGCAATGGTCCCATGACAGGAATGCCAACGCCGTATAGTCCTTACATGCCGTTTACACCCGTGACTCCATTTACTCCGGGCCGGACTGTTAACAAGAAGCAGCGGAAACGGGAGGAGAAGGAGAATGGCCTGCGCGTGTTGATTGAAGATGATCTGGTCAAGGATGATAATGACATGTGGGGATGATGGATCTCTCGTTCATTTGGTTTTTATAATTATCTATTCTGGAGTTGAGAGTTGTGGGCGTATATTAATTCTCTATTCCGCCACATGAATACATACACTGGATGTATGGTTTTATTGTTCCAATAATTTACTTTTATGCTCACCGCAATACCCTCGCTTGGCCGTCTGGACGGCTTGAACGCCGGGGAGTGGCATAGCCGCGCGCGCATGGAGGAAGTACGTCTAGGAGCCTCTCATTACGCGCCCATTAATCAGTGCATTTGCTTGAGATCAATCGAGGCTATGACAAGAACGCTCGGATCGGGGAAGTTTTTATTATTCTCCAACCATCTCATATATACTCGTTGAGCTGCTCCCCGCCTGAATCAAAATCGCTTCCTCTATCCATTCACCTTGTTGATCATCCACCTTAGTTGACTACGAAGTCTGATCCCCGCTCATTTGAAATCGCATGTTGCTCTATATTCTTCTCTTCTACACCCTCTTCCACAACCCCACGCACTATCTTCCCCACCATCAACTCAACATCAATAATCCACCCGTCCAAAAGAATGTCTTCCACCCCCAGCCCAAGCAAAACCACCCACCAAACACCACGCGAACTCGCCGCCGCAATCAAAAAGAAACAAGAAGAAGCCCTCTCAAACCTTCAGCTAAACAGCCTCTCCATCGTCCTCTACATCCGCGCCGATCCACCGAAACCAAACGACTTCCACTGGGCCTACTATTTCCACATCAAGCCTTCCAGCGGTGTGAAGTACCATGTCTCCAATCTCAGCGGCGGCTGGTTAGCTGAGCATGCATCCAAGAGCGCCATCTTCAAGGAGGGGTTTCTCTGTGCGCTAGTTCAGATCGCGACTGTTCCGGAGGAAGCACATGCTCGGCTTGATGAGATTATGAGGTCGCATGATGGTGATATTAACTCTATCCCCGGTATTACCTGCCGCGTATGGTTGTTCGCTATTCTGAAGAAACTTGTCGATGAGGGGATTGTGAACTGTCCTTCCATTGAGGAGCTGCAGGAGGAGTGTATGGAGATCGGGAATCGGGTTAGCTTGGATGCGGCGAGGAATGTTCAGCCGCGGCCGGTTGTTAGGTCGAGGTTTTGCAACTGAAAGAAAGGGCAGTTTATTTTCATCACGGGGTTCTATCTGCAGTGCGCTTTGTTTGCCTCTATTTCTTTGGTTCTTTGAAATGGCGAGTCCCATTGATCAATGCATCCGCAAAGTCCGAGCGAGTCCCTGCTCTTTCAAGCGTCAGAAGACCCTGAATTGTACACCCTCTCGGCGAAGAAATGCTCTCCCGCAAAACCGCAGGGTGAATACCCGATTCCAGCGCCGCAGTCAAGCCTTTCAGGCCTTGCAGAATCATCTGCATGGCGTCTGGCCTCTTGATCCCCTCTGCCACAGCCCCGTCGAGCAGTCCCTCAATCGGGATGGTCATCGCCGCAAGAGATGCACCGGTCAGCATCGAGCCGACATCGGTGAGCTCTCGAGGAAGATACCAGATCTTGCCCACTTGGTTGAAGATCCACTCCACGATCTCTAGCATCGGAGTTGGCAGAGACTCGTTTGGCGTTTCGATCATGGTCATTGACTGCCGGAACGGCGCTCCCATGTTCGGAATCACTTTCACTATGAAGGGTTCCGCGAAGTCACCCGGTGTCCCGGACCGAATGATATCAGCCAGGTTGTCGGTCGTTTGTCCGCCCAGCATACTGATGACCAGTTTCCCGGCCAGAGCGCCTCTAGTACCCGGGCCACTGAGAATATCCTGAGCCATGAACGGTTTGAACCCGAGGATCACCACGTCTGCTTCACGCATTACCTGGACATTCTGTCCATGAACAACTTTAACGCGCGATTGATGCTCTGCCGGAATAGAGCCTTTCAGTTTTTCAGCAGAGGCCTCTGACCGCGTGGTTGCGATAAAGTCGGATATGGGCTGAGGCTTTTCTGCGTTATTATTTGTGAATGCGGCATCCAACACCCCCTTCAGCACTGCCCCGCCCATGTTCCCTGGACGCCATTAGCATCAATTCCGAGTTTGGCGTCATTATTATGCTTACCACATCCGACAAATCCGACTGTTTGGTTTGATAGAGCCATTTTGCTATTTTGGGGATATGTGAAAGAGAGAGTTGTCTGGAATGCGCAAATGCGCTGAGTCAAGCTCCTGTGGATTCGGTTGGCCTTCCCGATGACTCGGTTGGGGCTGCCGGCATGCTGTTTTTTCTCTTTTTACAAAGAACGAGATAAATCGATTTATAAAAGAATAAAACAAAACTCATTCCTATTGCAACTTTGGACCATTATGCTCTTAATATATCGCCTATATCGTGCTCTGTTTGCATAACTTGACCCCCGAGACGAGATGCGGGGATCATTATCGAGAAATGGATTCTCCTCCGACAAAACTCCGACCCCGCCCGGCTTCCTGGTAGGCTTCCTTCTTTCTACTTGATGCATATTCGGCCTTGAATGGGTCACCGTTTCAAAACCGCTGCAAAAAGGCGGTTTTAGACATATATTTGTCGTCTCTATAGTTATATATATATATATACTTATAATTTTTTTTTCTTAAATTTGACACAGGGACAGCTCATGGCGGTGGTGGATATGTTGGATTCTGACAGTGTCGTGGATTGGGCCACCTTTGCAGGTAGTTTACCACCAGTACTCAAGAACTAAGATCTAAAGTTGATTCCTGTTGAGAAAACTAGCCATGGCTAGTATCTACTCACATCGTCCACGAGCATCCCATCCTTAGGCTGCACATGGCTTAAGCGAGCTTCTATTACAAAGTGCCTCATTTCCACGCAGCATGTCACGAATGCTATGCCGTTCTGCAAGGGAAGACAACATACCAACTGGGCGTCGGGCCGACGGACCTCCAATTTAATGTAAAAGGCGAGCCGTACGGAATGCGGTTAACTGTTCAGAAAGGAGATGTTTTTGTGTTACCTGTGTGCGTTATCTCATCGATCTATATAACTTGCCTGCATCTGACCAAGACTCCTGGTGTTGTTTAAATTGCAGGCTGGGATCTGCCACGCCTCCCTCGAGTCAGAAGGAGATTATGAACTTATCGGACTGTACCCAAATGTAAGTGTTCGATCTTTCCACCTGTTGCAAATCCCGTGTCTGATATATTTGTGAGTTGATAGGGCCTTCTAGAAGCGACCGGTCATCGATGTGATATGAACTATGCGATGAAAAGCCCAGAGGAGACGGCGCGCTTGCTGAAAAGTGTGACTCCGTGTCAATTCCACCTTTGCATCCCTTGTATGGGCTAGATTGGCCGTCGCCGAGGGTTTGGAAAGAGGCAGCCAAGAATGCAGTCTCTGGTCGGATCCAGGCTAGGATGTGATTATGTCTGTGTTTATAAAATTGTCGACTTTTCAATATTCAATTATCATGTGCCCTCAAAATCAAGGCCAATGGCTTCTGAGACCTCGGTACAGATTTTTAGTTGGGTAAATAGTTGTGGCCTGGGGTGTCTAACCCTATAATTCCAAATACTGGTTTTGTCTTTGTTTGTGATAGTGTCGTTATCACCTCATCACATCTCCACTGCAGCTCCATCCCTGTCATCCAATCACACCAGTACGTGATTCCGCATCCTTGTCCGAACTATCGATCCGGCTCAGATCCAGACTCCGAACAAAATAAAGATCAGTGCGTGAATTCTCCGATGTCGCGATTGATGCCCTGGAACATTCAGATTTGTCCATTCTGCGTCCAGGAATACGCCAGCCAAAGCGATCTTTGCGGACATCTGTTATTCTATATCGGTGAGCACCGGCTGCCGGCCGATGGGATCCACGATGTCCTGCAAATCAATCAGCTTGTCCGCCTTCTTTCACCTTGCAAGAGATATCGATGCCCAACATGCTACCAAGTAAGCAGTACGCGCTGGCAGTTTATTAAACATGCTTTCTATGAACGGCGCTGTGGATTACGAGTCCGAAATTGGCGGAAATATCGTTTCTCAATCCCTGTCTCTTATGAAAAGACAGTTTGGCGGAGTTTTCTATTCCTCCGTCTTCCTATGGGTGCGTGTGCCTTTCTTTTCTATTACTTCATATGGTCAGAGAGACCTTCTGACGTCGCAACTAGAGATACGGAGGATTGTCTACGAATATGTCCTGTGCTTCGAGGAAATAGTATTCACTGGTGGTATCCGCACAGCATGGATCACACCCTATCGTAGTGGGCTCTACCTGCAGCATAACCCCACAAATCACCCCCTGGCGATCATGTCAACCAACCACCAGGTCTACGAGGAAGCGCGGCAAGTATTTTACGGTCTCAATAGATTCGCCTTTCCGTGCCCGGGGAGTCTGCCTCTCTTCTTAGTAGGGATCGGCCCGGAAAATGCCGTGCTTCTTCGTTCGGTACGCTGGAACATCCGCGGATACCAAGAGCAATACGAGGAAGTGGCTGAAAAGATCCGCGTTTGTCTGAAAGAGAACCCGGATACATTGAAATCCGACTTCTTCATAGACAATCTAGTCGCAGAACCGCGTGGTGACTGGAACTCCACCCGGCATAGAATGCGACCCAGGAACACCGCTGATGCTTTGGATGGGCGCGAGCGATGGAGTATCTATGCCAGATGGCATAGATACAATATGCACGGGCAAGAGGTCTACGGCCAGGCGCTGGTGACGTTCGAGCTCTGTGTGGAACAGTATGCATAAAAAGATCGGTTCTTTTTGGTAGACTAATCTGTCGCTCCGAGACGATGTACAAGACTAGTAGATTCAAATCAAGTATCTCTTCTGGGCAGAACCCTTCTGGGGCACCATCATTATTTGGAATATGGATTAAGCCAATCAGCAAGCGAGATGGCCGGAAATTGGCGGGAGACAGTTTCCATAACTAAATTTTGGATCGGGCCGCCTTAACCTTATTTAATGGATTGGCGTGGGGCGCGTGGGAAGGTAAGTTCCGAGAATCGATAGTTTGCCAATAGATCCCCTGCCAGGGCGTGTCAATCGCCCGCCTCCTGCCCGATTTTGAGTGATCTACGATCGATGCTCTCGATCGGGCCAGGTTCGGAGCTAACATGGTTCATCTCGTGCGAACGATCCACAGGGGAGGCTGAGTCTCACAAGACCATCTATGTATGAGTTAAAAATGCTCATGGTTCCCCGTCACCATTTGGACTGTCAAGCGCTATCCAACTTCGTCACTCTCTTTAAGCCCTTCTTTTGACCATCATCATGGGATCTGAACTCGGAATCACCGCCCACACGAAGCCCGGGCTGGCAATCACCCCCGTGAGCATCTGGTGGGTATGCTGGGCAGGTGTCTGGACGGTCTGCGTCGCACTAGGCATGGCCTACCTGATCGTTCACCGCAACACCCCTACGGTCCGGATTCGAGGCTTGGGGCTGTCACTTTCGGCCGTCGTGCTTCTTCATATGTACTGGGCGTCTGTCCAAACCGGAGTCATGATTGGCCCGGTGATGCCTGGAGATGCCCAGTATTGGATTATGGGCACTTATTTGCCTTGTGGCATGGCCCTCTTCCACGCTTCCAACAGTCGCTTCCTCCACGTTGCCAAGCTTCAAAAGAAATATGTCCAACCACGCAACAGCGTTTGCGGCTCTCCTTCACAGCGCCGTTCCTTGATCAGCCGTTTCCACCGACTCCCCTATACCACAAAGACTCTCATTATCGTTGGTATCTTAATGGTCGTTCAGGTGCGATACGTACGCTTCTTGTCGAGTAGGCCTCATCTAACCGGTTAGCCAGATATTCCTCACGGTCCTTATGTATCTAATCTCTCGCAAATGGCATAGCTCCTGGGGTATTCCCGGAACTGAGGTTCACGGTACCCCAATGGAGAAGATGATGGAGCAGGGCACAGGGTGGGAGTGGTAAGAGAAGCCCTCATTCTATTATGAATGTTGTCTAACAAGTATACAGGTGGCCTGGTGTATTTTCGCAGTTCTTCTGGTCCTGGCTCGTTGCCCCCATCGTTCTTTGGAAGTCTCGCAATATTCACGATACTCAGGGCTGGCGAGTTCAGACAATTGGCTGCGCAATTGCTGGGTGAGTACAAAACCACTGCCGCAAACTCCTCTCTCTAATGTGTTTCGCAGCCTCCACGCTACCCCCATGTGGCTCATCAGTCTCTATGTTCCCGGCATGGCGCCGGTCAACCAGTACTGGATCCCTCCTCAGTGGTAAGCACCCCCACATCTATCATTCCTTGCTTCATGAAATAACCCGGTTACAGGATCTGTCTCTCTGTGATCTTCTTGGAAATCTTTACAATCTTCATTCCCTGCTGGGAGGTTATGCGCCGCCAGACTCTCCGTCGGGAGACGCTCGACGCAATCGCTCAGTGGGAAAAAAGAAACCAGACTTCGGACTCTGGGGCCAAGTCTCTCGCCTCTGGTTCTACTATGGTCGAGTCCCTGCTGTCCGGTCGAAAGTCCAGGAAATCCGTCAGGACTAACGCCTCCGACGAGAGTATCCTGACTATGAGCGCACTTGAGTACGTTCTTGAGCGTAACCCGGGTCCCCTTCAGGAATTCTCTGCCCTCCGCGAGTTCTCCGGAGAGAATGTTGCCTTTCTTACTGCCGTCTCCAATTGGAAGAACTCGCTGCCCCCTTCCGTCCGGGATGGCACTGCTCTTAAGGACGGCAACTCCAAGGATCTGATCCGAGCGCATTTCAACACGGCTTTGCACATCTACGCCGAGTTCATCAGTCGCGAGCATGCCGAGTTCCCTCTGAATATTGCTTCCACAGACGTCAGGAAACTTCAAAACACCTTCGATAACGCTACTCGTATTGTATACGGCGAGAAGGACGAGCCGAACCCCGTCAGCCCTTTCTCCGCCACCTTCCCCGTTGATCCACCTCTGTCGCCCAGTACCTCAACAACTTCGGAGAAGACACTGAACGTTCCAGAATCCGATGCCATCAAAGACCTCGTGCAGTACTGGGGCGAAGTTCCCGTGGAGTTTGATGGTTCTGTCTTCGACAGCGCGGAACACAGCATTAAATACCTCGTTCTCACCAACACATGGCCCAAGTTTGTCAAGGACCCCAAGACCTGGGGTGGACAGGTTTGAGATATCATGTCACTCGTCCTTTATCTCTGCCTAAGGGGCGCTATTGTTGTATATTCATTGGCCACGTTTTATACCCCTCTTTCGGTCCAGCCTTATGATGAATTGCCACTGGACGCTAATAACTTTCTAATGTGGAATAAGCAATTATGGACATATCTATTCTAATACATTCAAGATCATGATGCTATTTAAAAGACCACACTTTCTGCTGTCAACTCCATGTTAACCAAGTATGATTGACAGAAATCATTTTCATCATGGCATCTCCGATGGCAAGCCAGGCACTGGATCGACACAGCGTGGAGTCGAGGCTAGCCCGAACTGGGATAAGGCTACAGCATCCACTCCCGTTCTCGCCCGCACTGATGCGCCTGTGCTGACTCCCGGCCAATAACAGTGGGGCTTCTGGCTGATCCTTCCTACTTCATGCTTCTTTTTTTTCTTCTTTGCTTCTTCTTCGACCTTCGGTGCTGCATATCCATGTCGGCCTCTGTTCTAGCCCCTGTCCAGTGTCCAACATTTCTGTATTCCTTCGCATTGTTCATCTATTCCTTCTTGACTGCCCCACTTTCTCATCGTCATCCCTTGATCCACCGAGATTCGTCCAAGCGCCGCCTCCGAATGAGAGCAAGGGTTTAGATCTTCTAGTCCCAGTGGATCTAGTTTCCTTGGGGTCCCTTCGTTTGTGGCGACTTTTGTGTGTGTGTGTTTCACCGGACTTGGCGAACGCGCGGTTTAGCTTGGGACGGACTGACTGACGGATATTCTTATCTCAGATAGATCTTCCCTTTCAGCTTATCTCTACTCCCACCTCACACACCACCACAACCACTATGCCTCTGACAATCCTCTCAGCGTCCCAACTGAGAACCTTACTGCACTCCCTCAACCGCGATGAGATCGTGGATCTACAAAGGCACCTGGCCGAAGCACTGCGGGAATACTCAACCGGGTCGCAGGAGCATGGCTGCTCGGCAACCTACCAGCCCCAACGAACGGCCATCACCCGCCAGAATGGCTGCACCACGCTCTTCATGCCCGCCAGTACCGGCCATACCATCGGCATCAAGATGATTTCCTTGCAGGATGGAGGCGATGCGGGGTGCGCGGTGGACAAGAGCAGCAGCTTTGACAGTTCCGAGGGGGATCAGTCGTCATCGCGGTCGCGAAGCATTCGCAGTTCGGTGATCTCACTGTCCTCCGACATGAGCGATATGTCGGTGGGCTCGTCCCAGGAAGACAACAGCTCTAGCCCTACGGACACGACCCCGTCGGGGGACAGTAGCATGACCTCGTCCTTGATGACCGGGTGCGTCAACCAGCAACCGGTCGCGTCTAGCTCATCCAGCCTCTCCGACACTATGGGCGCCTGGCCAGGAGTGGGCACCCGCGATACCTCGCCGCGGGGTAGCGTGACACTACTGGACGGAGAGAGCTTGCCCTTCGGCCTCATCAACGCCCACGAGCTGACAGCCTTCCGCACGGCGCTGGCCTCGCTGCTGATTTTCAACAAGCGCAGAAAGGTGCGCACGCTCTTAGTCTTTGGGGCCGGCACCCAGGCCTACTGGCACATCCGACTGGCCTTGGTTCTACGAGGCGACGAGATCGGGCGCGTGTACATCTTCAACCGGTCCTTTGACCGCGCCGCCAAGCTCCTGCGCGACATCTACTTGCCGGAGAACGCCGAGTGGCGACGCGACGTCAAGTTCTCCGCGATCAGTAGCGAATTCGGCGAATACAATCGCATCCTGAAAGAGACGGTGCGCAAAGCCGACGCCATCTTCTGCTGCACCCCGTCGATCTCCCCGCTATTTCCAGCCGAGTTCCTGACCTCGCGCGAAGGGCGGCAGAAAGGCCGTCTCATTAGCGCGGTGGGTTCCTACAAGGCGCATATGGCTGAGGTGCACCCGGATATCCTCCGGGATGAAGTGCTTGTGACGCCACCGCATCGGCACTTCCACAAGCATACGAAGCGCAGCGGGGTCGTGGTGGTGGACAGTCTGGACGCGGCGATGAAGGAGGCCGGCGAGATCATCCAGGCGGGCATTCGACCGACGCAAGTGGTGGAGCTCGGCGAGCTGCTCATGGTGCGGCAGGCCTCCCAAGCCAGTCAGGAAGACACGGCGGACGAAGAAAAGAGCCTGCGCGAATGGGTGGAGCGGGGCAATGTCATCTACAAGAGTGTTGGACTGGGACTAATGGATCTCGTGACGGGCGGCGATCTGGTACGATTGGCACGCGAGAGGAATCTGGGGACGACGGTGGATGAGTTTTGATTTCTTGATTGATACCCGGATCATCATTGCATAGTGCTAGGTGAATAATTAATTACTGTTGCTGTTGCTGGTCACTGCGTCATCGGAAGGGCGGGGCAGAAAGCAGAGCTGTCCAGGCTCGAACTTCCCGTTCTACTAGGAACACTATACACCCCCCCATAGACATGCGACACTCTACCTGCCACCTGCCCAATGGCCTCACATTCACCGTCGCCCCAGTCTTCGGCGGCGTCACCTTCAAGTCCAACGAGCTGAATCTCCACAACTCCGTCTTCCCGCCCGGATGGACCATTATAATCCACAGCGAGAAGCTCGACCGCAGCTCCCACGACTCCGACGACCCGGACAATTTCTCTCGCTTCAAAACGCCCACCCTAAACCGCGACTGCATCTATATCTCGTACATCGTCAGTCCGCCGTCCAGCGAGTTCAAGGCCCCCAGCTCCCCCACCCGCCAGATCGCCATGATGCTCTGGGCCACGCTGTGGTGGTACTTCCACGAACCAGAACCCGACCTCCGCCTGGAAACCGAGGCCTCGAGCAAGACACCCCACGACGCGCGTCCCAAGGGCGACTGGATCGTCAATATCAAGCGCGAGGGCATCTTCAAGGGCCGCAACCTGCTCCAGAAGCTCGAACGGATGGGCTTGATCGCCAGTCAGGACTCATCAGTGGGTCTGCAGCCGGTCGAAACGCGCGATTCGTCCAGCTGGGCGAATATGTTTGTCAGTCGGCGCAGCTTCTGGCAGCTTGACCCGCGTCTCTTCCTGTTCACTCTCACGCCGCGTGGAGCGGCGCCCTCGCCGTCTTTGACGCCCTTGCAGTCCCGGGCTTGTTCGCCTCATCGCGCAACGCCGTCCCCAACGCGGGATGGACTGCCCGCCACATTGGCGCCGACGGAGGCGACCTTCCACACTGCGAACGTCGGCTCATTCACCTCCGGTGGTCCGTTTACCTCTGGCAGCCACTTGCCTACGTACTACCCGCCCGCACCCACACAATACACATATTCGAATGGAGTACGGCACCCGGTCCGCCCCAAACCGCCACACCAGGGCGAAATATTCTACGTGCGCTACATCATCAGCGTGAGCCAGTACCTCTCGTTCCGCGTTCCGTTCCTACCCATGACCAAGCCCGGAGCTGCCCAGACCAGCGGCAGCGGTGACAGTCGCCCATCTACGCCGACCATCTCATCGGTAACAAGCGTGGAGCAACACCTCAGCCACGACGGCTGCTCAGATCTGGATACGCTGCACAGATGGATGAACGACCCCCGCGTCGAGGCAATGTGGGGAGTCGGTGGCCCGAAAGTCGAGCAGGAAAAGTTCTTGCTTGCCAACTTAACCAGCAAGCACAGTTTCCCCGTCATTGGATGCTGGGATGGGAAACCATTTGGGTACTTCGAGATCTACTGGGTGAAAGAAGATCCGCTGGGTCGATTGCTGGATCGGGTGGATAACTATGATCGTGGCATCCACCTTCTCATCGGCGAGCAGGAGTTCCGCGGTCCACACCGCGTTGGCGTGTGGTTGAGTGCACTGGTACACCATTGCTTTTTGGCGGATATGAGGACCGAGACGGTGTACCTGGAGCCGAGGGTGGATAATGCCAAGTACGTTTATTCTTCTCTATTCTATTTCGTGTGTGACCAACTAACCACCCCGGCAGGATAATCAGCTATCTGCAGGAAGCGGGCTTCTACAAGGAAGGAGAAGTCAGTTTTCCGCATAAACAGTCCGCCGTCATGAAGATCCGGCGAGAATATTGGGAGGCTCCAATGTTGTAGTTTGGCGGGAGGGTGGTTATATTGATTGCATAACGAGATTATCATGAGTGATGACCTGCATTGATTGATGGCTTTTTGAATTTCTCGGGCTTGTTATATTCTTTTTTTGTTTGGCCAGGTTTCTATTAAGACATTCAATTTCTTACCCGATTTGAAGAGAGGGGGATTTACCTGTCTGACTGTCATCGCCACTGTATTACATACTGATCTCTGATCTGCCATCCGTCGGTCTGTCTGTCCGTAGATATACCCGAATGGATTTGCATCAAAGGTTATTGTGCTTTCCATGAGAAGAGATATTGAAATCTATTCTTTCTTGATTGCAAGATTGAAGCTCAAGCTTCAACCATGCTTTGTAGTGAACCAAAGATAACATTGCTACTGCCTCTCCCAACCAGTTCATGCTGTATATCTTCGCCAGCTAAATAGCTATAGTGGATCCCACTCAAATCTCGGAGATCGTCTCTTCCCCGCATTCAAGTCGGTGATTCTCGGTCGTGAAGAACATTAAATAAACCCTGCGTATTCAACAACAAAGCCAAACGGAAACCAGTCCCTATCCAAAAAAAAAAAAATGGCCTCAATTCTCACAAAACTCACACCCCGCGCAACAGGCAAAATAGCCCAAGTCACAATCTCCCGGCCCGCAAAACTAAACGCCCTTAACAGCGCTCTCATAACAGCCCTTCCCCAAACCCTCTCATCACTCACAACCAAAAACCCGGATCTCTTAGCCGTCATTCTCACGGGCGCAGGACCCAAGGCATTCGTCGGCGGCGCGGATCTAGCCGAGATGGCGGCCCTGGAGTCGCCGGCCTCGGCGCGGGCATTCATCACCCGGGTCCATGGTGCGTGTGATGCCGTGCGTGAATGTCCGATTCCTGTTATTGCGAGGGTCAATGGGTTTGCGCTGGGTGCGGGATTGGAATTGGCGGCGAGTTGTGACTTGAGGGTTGCGAAGGAGGGGGCGGTCTTTGGGATGCCTGAGGTTAGTACTATGTCTTTGATATTTTCTGCTATTTACTGTATTGTGTTGGAAAAAATTTCAAACTAATATGAGAAAAAGGTCCGAGTCGGCATCCCCAGCGTCGTAGAGGCAGCCCTCCTGCCCAACCTAATAGGCTGGGGCCGAACACGACAACTCCTATTGCTAGGAGAAAACATCAACGCCTCAGACGCGCTGCGCTGGGGCCTCGTGGAGAAAGTGGTTTCTGACAGCGAAACAGAGCTGGATGAGGCTGTGGAGGAATGGGTTCAGGCACTGGAGAAGAACGGGCCGTTGGCTGTGAGGAGGCAGAAGGCGCTTATGCGGAGGTGGGAGGCCTTGTCGGGGGTTGATGAGAGTGTCAAGGAGGGTGTTGATGCGTTTGGGGAGGCTTTTGCGATCAAGGCTGGGAATGGGGAGACGGAGACGGAGCCAGGGAGGATGATGGGGGAGTTCTTTAGGAGGAAGGAGATGATGGCGAAGGAGAAGGCTAGTCGAAAAATACTACCCGGGTCAAGGCCCGAGAGCGCAACTTAGATCTTCGGGACGAATACCTTCACTTTATATTAGACTTTTAGTCGTACTACCTTATCTATATGGATGAATCTAGATGTGATGAAAGGATAGGCGTTAGGTGAATGGGTTAGTCCCTACTCGGTGCCGCACTAGTTCAAGTGTCCAAATTCTATCGTGATCAACTGTATTAGATACTGCCTATATATGCCTAAGATGGCATTGTTTTGTCACAAGTGTTCTAAGGCTCAACTAACGCGTCCGTCTTGAAGGATTATATTGAGTAGCTTCTATAGCACTATGGGAAATGGCCTAAGACAAAGCCCGTGTTAGTCATAGACAACGCATCCTTTCATTACTCAGACCGAATAGAATAGATATACTTAGATGCCGGTGTAAAGCTAGTATATTTGCCTCTATATTCTCTAGACTTGAATCCTTTTGAGGAGTTCTTTGCTGAGCTTAAGGCCTTCATCCGGCGAAATTAGCATGGAGATGCTGGCGTGACATGGTCCTGCCGCGGGGGCGATCCTACTATTTGGGGAGTAGCCGATTGACTAGTACGGGAGGGGTTGGGATGAATCAACTAACTAGGGGCGATTGCGATCAGTCAGCTCCAATACAAATAGTTAGTTATAAGCGAGTAGATCAAGCAAGGCCTTTGTTTTCTCCCCCGGTTCCGTGAGCTTAGTTCCATTGTACCTCTTCTAGAATACATCGCCAATCGTAATCATGGGTCTGCTATTGGGCAGTGATGGGCTCGCCTGGACAACGAAGCTCGGCTGGTTACTTGTCTCGTCGGCCGCAGGAATTCTTACCGCGCTCATGGCCGCACTTGTTCCATATTCCTGGGCCAGCCAGCGACCGAAGAACTTCCCTCCAGGTCCCAAGCCAGTCCCATTCCTAGGCAATCTGAAACTAATTCCTCCCTCCAAGTCCTTTGCACTGTCAGTTACCGTATTGTTTTTGAACTTCCCTGTTGTAGTTCCACGCGACTAATGGCCATGTTGAATGAAGCTTCCACCAGTGGACACAGCAGTACGGCCCTATAATCGGGCTCAAATTCGGACCAGCAAACGTCGTGGTGTTGAATCACTGGAAAGATGTTCAGGAGTGAGTCAAGGTCCCTATGCGTTTGGGCTGCTGCTTACGCTGGTCCTTATCTGGAGGCTCCTCGAGAAGCGGAGCGCAATCTACTCCTCCCGACCCCCGAACTATATCGCCAACGAGCTGATCTGCAAGAACCAAACGCACATCCTTTTTACTCCCTATGGCAGTAGCTGGAAAACCCTCCGCAAGTGTGCTCAAGGTCTCTTCGTGCCTCGTGGGCTCGCGTCCGTGCATCCTATCCAACAGGCAGAGGCCACTCAGACGGCATATGACATTCTCCGTGAGCCTGGCCGATACTACGAACACATCCAGCGATATACCACTGCAGTTATTCTGGCATCCGTGTACGGCCAACGGGGCGAGACCTTCGATTCTCCCAACGTTCAAGCTCTCTATGACGTCCAGAACCGCTTCACTGCGCTCCTGGAGCCCGGTGCAGCCCCACCAGTCGACGGCATCACTTTCCTACAGCATGTGCCCGAGTTTATGGCCCCGTGGAAGCAGAGGGCAAAGCAGGTACGACGCGACCAACGGGAGATATACTTCCGACTATACAACGCAACCAAAGAGCGAATGGCGCGAGGGATTAGAGTAGGCTGTTTCATGGAGAAACTCATTGAGGACCAAGCGAAGAACCAATTAGACGACGAGCACACAACATACCTTGGCGGAATCCTCATGGAGGCTGGCTCTGATACAACATCATCCACTCTCTTGTCGTTTCTCCTCGCCATGCTTGAGAATCCAGTTGCGCTGAAGCGTGCCCAGGAAGATGTCGACAGGGTCTGCGACGTGAAACGATCGCCCACTATTTCGGACTTAGACAACCTACCGTATATCGAAGCTTGCATGCACGAGGTACATACTGAACTTTGTGTCTAGATATGTCTTGCTGACCGCTTTAGGTACTGCGCTGGAGGCCTGTTGCTGCAGGTGGTATCCCACACATGCTCACTCAAGAAGACTCATATAAAGGCTATGTATTCCCCGCCGGCACTATCTTCTTCGCCAATACTTGGGCTATCCACCACGATGAAAACGAATATGACGACCCTAGTACCTTCAACCCCGACCGCTGGCTCGGAGGAAACACGTACGGGACTAAGAGCAGCATAAATATGCTACCAGCCGAACAGCGCAAACATCATATGGCTGGGGTGCAGGACGAAGGATTTGCTCTGGCCAGAAACTGGCAGAGTTTTCGTTGAAAATCAATATTGCAAAGATGGTCTGGGCGTTTGACATCGAGCGAGATACAGCTGCAAGCCCACCCGATATGTCTGTTGAGACAGGTTACGAAGGAGGCTTCTTGGTCTGTCCCAAGAAGTTCCCTCTCAAAATCACACCCAGGAGTGAAAGCCATGCCGCTACCATCAAGAGTGAGTTCGAAGGGATGGAAGGCTTTTACGAGAGGTTTGCTGCTTAGATCAATATATATTGCAGCGGGCTGGCGCCCAGTGCCCACGTAACAGGTTTTGGCCTTACGAACAGGCATTGCAATGGTTGGAGGGCAGAACTCCTGTAGTCTAGATTTTACGATAAAAAAGGAAGTGACCTGGCCAGATTCTCAAGGTCCTCTCAGGCTCGTTGTTGACGTGTTTGCATTACTATGGAGAAATTCTAGTTGCCTTCCAATTCAGTTCCAAGACAGAGCGACCGTGTTATAATGGGTTAGAGATTGTGATTTGCCCTACAATCTACTTGAGCTGATAGTCATAATAAAGACCAATATCATTAACCTCCACCCAGACAATGATACTTAGATACACGTGTAACCCAGCGAACCAAGCGAGAAAGAAACCGAACATCTAAAAACTTCCCAACCCAGTAGTAGGTAGTGGGTGAGACGTATCCAAAAGAAACTGACTGCAGAATGATCAAACACGAGACGAGACCGTGAAGAGAACGCCAGACCAGGTCGTGAAGAATGCAGTATAGAGAAAAGTAAGAAAGACATGTCTAAATCGTACACATGGCGCCACGAAGGGCGGATCATAGATCGTTGACATGAGGCGAACGAAGGGTATTGTCACAGGTATAGGTAAAGAAAGAGAGAAAGGAATAGTGAAGGTAACGGGTAACTGTAAGGATAAAGAGATAGGAAGAAGATGAAGAGGTAGAGAAGAGAAAGGTAATCGGTGGAATAAAGAAGGGAATAACGACGAGCAGGTGGGAAGGGTATGAAATGCGTATCAACGATGAAATGCTTTTGCTGAAAGACAAATCAGAAAATAGCGAGAGTGGTCGTCGACGAGAGAGAAAGCAAATGTACCTGACAGCGAGCGGAGCCAAGCACACGTGGATAGATATTAAGTCGACAAGACGAGAAAAAAAGACCAGTCGAGACCGGCTCGACAGGACAAACTAGTGAGGACGGCCAATCCGGCCGTAGGAGCCAGTAGCAGAGGCCAGGAATCGGGCAACAAAGCCACCGCCGTGGACGTGGCTGTTGGGCTTCATCTTCTTGCTGGGCTGGCGGGTCGGCTCACACAAGGGCTGCTTGGCTTCCAACGGCCCGACGTTGACATAGCTGTAGCTCAGCGATGATGCCGGGCTGCTGCTGGTGTCGGTTACCATCACGTCGTCCGTGCCGTGCGAGGAGCAGGTGCTAATGCTAGCAGGAGTACCACGCGAGCTGGGGGCTAGACTCGAAGACCGCGAGCAGAGCGAGTTGAACGTCTCGGCGTGCGATAGACCCGGCACGTCACGGATCGACGGCGGCGAGATGGAGCGGCCTTGCCGGGAGGGCGAGCTGCGGTGGCGCATGTAGGGATTGAAACGATCAGCGTCAGCCGCGTTCGTCGGCGAAGAATTGTTGTGGGCACTATGCATGCTGGGGCAAGAGACATGGCTGGGCAGACGACGCGTCGAGATATCGGATCCACGACGGCCGTCGCTGCGGATATCGGCTTTCTGGCGACGAAGCCGGCTGGCGAGCAGATCGGCCGATGCATGGAGACGGCGCCTGTAAGAGAGCATAATTAGCGAATAAGTCTTGAATGAGGATCAATGCAAGAACGTACCATTCGCGGTGTTGCTGCTGCTTCCGTTGCCGGTCCTCCTCGGCTTTCCTGGCTTGTTCGCGTGCTTCGAGCCGGCTCCGGATCGGCTCCAGGAAGGGCTCCAGGTGTGTCAACAGATCCTCCTCTGTGACGCGGGTGTCCCAGTCCAGCAGGAATAGGAGCTGTCGCTCCATCAGATTGACCTCGGGCATGGAAAACCCGAAGCCATCGAAGCCCTTGACGGCCGTATACCGAGCCCAGTGCTTGTTCTTGGGGCTGGAGTCGTTCAGGTTCTTGGCTGCCAGAATGAGGGAGGCCAGGAAGATCCGGTGAACGGTGCATCGCATGCCCTTGGCCACGGGGGGTAGACGGGCACGCAGACGGCCCAGATAGACCAGCGAGCTCATGAGGGTGGGCACCTGGACCTGCGAACGGGCGACCAGCGAGGCAATGAACTGCTCAATGGTTGGCAGGGGAGGAAGATTGTCCAGCGGTGGTGTTGATGGGGGCGTGACCTGCCCGTGACTGACGGTCACCTGCTCACAGCGGATGACCTGCGATGCCTGTCGGGCCAAGTGTGTCACCATCTCGCGAGATACTCGCTGGCCGACAAATTCGTCCAGGGCAGCTCGGTTGAGAGCCAGCGGGGAGTCCATGGTGGACGATGGAGATCGTATAGAGAGTGGTTTATATAGTTGGGGATTGTCTCCCGGGTGGTGGCACAATGTGCTTGATCGTAGAGGAGAGATCGGGTGGGATAGAAGGATGAAGAGAGAGAGAAAAACGAACAAAGAGGCAAAATTCCTGGCCAGCAGGAAGATCTCCGGTCTAGTCGACGAAAAAGAATGCTGCGGTAAGGATAGCGGAGGTTGTCGTGTCAACCCTCTTATCGTCGCGATAGCCCTAACTGAGGATGGCGGGAAGTGAGACAGTGAGAAACAGTCAACACAGACACAAAGAATCAGTCACAGAGGTTGATGGTAAATTAGTTCTGAGGGAGCGACAGCGGATTAAAAGAACCAAGAGCACGAAAAAGGAAATGACGACGGCGGGCATGCGGATGAATCCCGTGAAGAATCTGGGAGGCAGAGGGATAGATATAGGCGTGTGGTATGCGCCGGAGGGGGTTCACTGCAAGGACCAGTCAGGAAGCGGACAAGGGGCTGCATACATAGTCGCGCGGGAGGGAATGCAGTGGAGCTGACAGATATACTATTGTGTCTATCAAACATTGTGCGAGGTATCCCTGGATTCAATTATTTGGTGCCCGTCCGTGGACTTCTCGAGCGATGAACCCGAGCCTCCAACGAGAGTCTTTCAAGACGGTCTTGACAAGATCCTTCTCGTTGCTACAAGACATCCCAGTGAGTCCTCCGCGATGAAGAACGGAACATAATGGGGCCATCACCTTGATCCACCGCTGCTAGGGATCGACGCTAGCTTGGTGGAGTTCAGCGGCAGTAGACACATTTTAGCTAGTGGTTGAGCTACAACCATTTATCGCTGAAACTCGCGGCCGTCTCACTGTCTCCTGTGCGAGACGCGGGGGGAGACGTGGAGTAGATGCCAGCTCAGATTCCTCCCCCTAAGATGTTTCGCGTGGTCCTTGGACGCGGTGTGGTGTCTCGCGCCGAAGGGTGGCAGGGAGAAGGGGGTTTAGGTAACTATTATTTCGGTGTCCTCCCAGACCAATCATACATCTCACACCCCGGAGTCTGTGCACCCTGATCAGTCGCACCGGTCATCGACATAGTCTGATAGCCCGCATGAGGCGAGTCATTTGGTACGAGTCCAACAGCACTAAATTCACTAGAGCCCGTCCGTAGCGTCCGTCACTTGCAGCGCTCATCCATTCTAAAAAAAGAACCCGGTCGGCGTCCCACACTGTTTGTATATAAGCGCCCGTCTTCCCCCGCCAGCGCCTACAACCATCACAACCACAACCAACGCTTGGCTCGGTCGCGCCCCTCTAAACGCTGTTCGATTAATTTTGGTGTTCTAGGCGGAAGCTATTCTTAGAATGAATGGCCTTCCGGTCGGTTCCACAGTCGAGCGGAACGATTCTCGCGTTGAAACGTAGGATACACTGGGTGGGCGTGTCGCGCGACCGCAGAATGGTTTCTTGACAGGACATCGATTGGTCTTTATGCGCTGGGCATTCTAGGCAGCAGTTTTGGAAGAATTCCAGGCCTTGACAGGCAATAAGCTGAAACCGCTTCCTGTTTCATGCACAGGCTGTCGGTTTCAAAAGGCGCTTCATGTTGTTGGGTCGGCGCTTGGAGAGAGTGGTTTGAATCTCAGACAGATTGTTTAAGGCTATTGGTCAAACAGCATGAATATTGGTTCCTAATCTACCCTCTACAATCTGACATCCACATCTCCCTTTCCAGCTCAAGAAACAACCACAGAATAAGCCGAGGTCGTCAGCTCAGCCGTGCCAGTGAAGGGTTCCGTGCCCGCCTGTACGTCTATTAGATACAGACTGGAGCTCACACCGTTGTTCTCCTCGAGGTACTTGAAGAACTGCAGCATATCCCCCGAGTAGCTGGTCACCTCGGACTCCGCCACAAAGCTGTACACATATGTGCTCCCGTTCAGACCATAGTACAGCTTCCAGGTAACGCCGTTGATGGTCGGCGTGGCGATAGGCGAGCCCGTCGATGAGATCGGGCCTGCGCCGCCTAGCGCTGCTAGCCACACCATGATCTCGTACTCGTCAGATCCGGAGGCACTCGAGCTAAGGAACATGTCGTACGAGACGTCGGCGGTGATGTCTGTAGTGGAGTAGCTGTTTTTTTGTTCTAATGTTAGCAACTGGACAGAATCGTTTTTCATAGAATATGTAGTAATAGTTACCTCCAATCCCATGTAGACTCGATGCTGCTGATCGCGCTCAGCTGCTGCGCGGTGAACTGCAATGCAATGTTGGCATAGCTCTTGACCTGGCTGGCACCCCCGGACCACGAGAACGTGGTGTGCCAGGAGATCGTCGAGCCGCTCAGCGAGTCAACGCCTGTGCACTGCGTGCCGGATTCGTCGGAGCTCTGGCCCCAGAGGTTATTATAGACAGTATAGCTACCCGTTGTCGTTGAGTCCCACTGGCCGCAGAAGTCGGCGCGGCGCTGGAGCGTCCTAGTGGGCAGTGAAGTTGCATTGCCTGTAGCGCACAGCGCTAGCGAGATGAGTGACAGAGACGCGACGAAGGATTTCATTGTATTTAAGTTGAGGTTGGCTTTCTTGTAGTGAAAAAATGTGGAATTTTGTTCTATTTTATATCTGGCGATAGGGTATTACGTGCGGAAGTTCGTTCTTGGGGGGTGTTCCGTATAGAGCACGGAGTGGAGTAGCTCTGTTTGATGCCAAGGATCATCTCCACCGGAGAATAAAGTATTTGTTGCAGAGATCGTCCACGCGGCACCTCTGCCCAGTGCTAGTTTTTCCACGACTGGGAAGTTCTGCAGGGGACATTCTGCAGAGTGTGGTAACATCTCCGGTAGAGAAAGCATATCTGAGACAATGGCATTGCGGGCAACGGGACGGAGCATTCCCTGTCTAAGAATCCCAAGTATGGTTTTCTCCGAACAAGATCAGAGGAGCATTAGAGTCTGTCCAGATTGGCGGAGGTATGTACTGAAACGCCAGTTCATCCCCACACATATACCCGCAAAGGATTGCTGCGAAGAAATAAATCCGAGAGATCTGCTGGATCGGCATCCGTGCGGAGTACTGGCCGTTCTGCACCGGGCGTGGATCGACACATGATCCTACGATATGTGCTATCTGAGATGAAAAGGGAAATTTCGTAGAGTGTGTGCTAACATATCAGGAGAATAACCGGCTTTGGATAGTACGTCCGTAGACTCGATTTTGATCCATTAAAGAAGTGATTTCGCACTGCGGGTTGAAATATATATTTTGGCGGAGTGGATGTGGGAGCTGGAAAGCATGTACATAGTGCCTCAATCAAAGCAAGAAATCCAGAAATAATTATCCGATTATCCGATTATCCGATTATTCGAGATTAATGAGCATGGTAGTCAATAACCTACTGCTACCTTTGATTTCCTATTCATCTACATTGTACAAGGTTCTAATCGGCCCACTAACCAATTATGGACAGTCATCTCAGGTTGTCGGAAGGAACCAATCATCAATGCAAAAAAGTGGGGAAGGGTTGCCAGCTTCAGGACATCTTTCCGACCGCTTTCCCAGAAACCCGCCTCTCCACAGAGCCTCGGTTTCATCGACTGAGTACCTATGAGCACGAGCCCCAAAATCCATTTAGTATAACAGGGGGTGAAGTGGCATCTGAGACATGTCTGAATCAGTCCAGCAGGGCTCATCCAAGCGTCAGCGCCCTAAAGTTCCTCTGGATCAACGCAAACGCATTGTCAAAGCCTGCACCTCTTGCCGCCTACGCAAACGGCGATGCGTACTGGGGTCTTTAGACAGATGCCGGAATTGCAGAAACAGCAACCTGACTTGCCACTTTGAGGCGGATGAGGATAGATTGTCTCCATCGGCATCCCAGTAAGTATAGGAAACCACCTTTTCCCTCATTGTGATACAATCTAAATCCTCGCATCCAAACTAGCTTTGACCATAATGATGTTGTGGCACAGTTTAACAAGTTATATCCAGAGATTGGTCTGAAAACACACCATTCTGCTTTTCTCCTGGAGATACTTATGGACTCGGGCCGCAATTCTGGGGAGGAGGGGTCTTCAAAGAAGGGCTGTGCGTTTTGCCATACTGGTAGACACCCATCGCCTCACGGGTCTACACCCACGTCTGAAAACGCTCACCCCAAAGAGGAAGCACGAACACCACCTGGTATGGCGAGAATTGGCTCAAAATTTGTACTCTCCCTGACTGACAATCTAACTGGAGGTGATGATATGTTTGCGCATAGAGATTTTCTCGCGTCTGCCACTGCAGCAGTTTCCCAATCCAAGAGACCGGAATTTACAGAGGATGCTGTATGTTATATGGCAATGGATTTCACTCTGGAGGCGTTTCCTGACCGCTAATTGCTTCTCTCAACCAGACTTCTTTTTACCCGACAGATGAACCATATTACGGAGATGAGGACGTCCTCATAGAACGGATATTGGAAGATTTCCCTTCTCGAGCCGGGGCCGAAGCTCTTATTTCAGCATTTTTCTTTTACGCTGAGGCGAACTGGTACTATTTCGATGAACCCTCATTTAGAGACCAGTTATTTGGATTATATGACAGTGGGCTCTCGCCAACTTTGACCAGCCCTAAGTTCATCTGTTTGGCCTTGGCAGTCTTCGCCATGGGAAGCCAGTTTGTTCATCTCTACCAGGCTGATCCTCTGGACAATTCAGAAACCATGACTGAAACCATGACTGTGGCCCAGACTGGAATTCCAGGGACGAGGTATTTCCAGCATGCGCAGAAACTTGTGCCTCACATAGTAGCCTCTCCGTCCTTGGAAGGCCTGCTGAGCTGTCTACTACTTGCCTTGTATGTTTTGCCAATTCATAACACCAACACCTGCTACACCTATCTCGGTATCTCATTACGCATCGCGATCTGCCTCGGCCTTCACCGGAAGTCAGCAAGCTCAGATCTATCCCCGACACTTTCAGAAGTCCGCAATCGTATTTTCTGGACTACATACACCATTGAAAGGTATGATCCTTTGTCTAGTCCATGATTCTAAGTACTCCCTTATTGACATTCTAGACGGGTCGCTCTCTCTCTTGGCTACCCCGAGACGCTTCAGAGCAAGGATATCGACTGTCCTTTTCCTCAGAGACAGCCTGACTTGGATACTCCATTTTCATTCAGAGCTGAAAGACTGCTGGCATATACAAGATTGACTCTATTACTGAACCGGACAGTTTGCTCAAGGTTAGAAGCGAATCGTGATTTCAATGAAGGCAGCAGACCTCCACGTAAGCGGTATGCTAACTCTTTCTACAGGACCTTGGACAAGTCTTCGAGAGAAGATATCCGAAGTCAACTTTTGTCTTGGAAGGCTGCCCTACCACCTCAGTTGACAACACTGAATGATACCTCTTTGCGACTAAATGTACATTTACAGCTTCACTACTCTATGGTATGGATCTATATCGGTCGCGCTGCCCTGATCGATAGAGTACGAAACTTTCTTAGCAAGAAAGAGTCTAGCAAAAGTGACTATGGGACGAGAGAAGAACGTCATAAATCATCGGAGTCATGCGTTGAACATGCTGCGCAGATAATTGATCTAATTGATCTGCTCAGAACTCGCGGGCAACTGGGTCGCTTTTCTCATACTGATTTCCATACCTGCAGTTCCGCAGCCGTTGTCGTTCTCCTAGAAAGTATCCTGCACCCACGTCTCACATCATACTCGAAAGTCCGAACGGCAATGGATGCTTTACGATACATGGCCACTGGCAGCGACTTTGCAAAAAATAGCCTTAAGTATGTCAATGACTTTCAGGTGGTAGTCAACAAGGCTTTGGCATCTATGTACCGCCGAGACCATGGAACATCCTGCTCTATGAGAGAGTCAAACTCACTAGGGTGTGGAGAATCGCCAGCAAGCCGAGACACTTTCATGCAATCATCAGTGCAGCCTTTCGACCCGCCCGATTCTACCTCCGTGGAATCACATCCAGGGGCTGATACTGAAGACTTGGACCCCTCGTATCATCAATTTGACGAAGAAGCGCCCAGTATGGCCCTCTTTGATGACATAGAGACTGCGCTTGAGAGTTGTTCATTCACAGAATTACACCTACTTGGCTTGGACAGCCTATACTCGAGCCAGGTATTAAACTGGGATAACGTGGGTGCATAGTGAGCAGCTAACACAGCAAATTGGCCACTTTCGACCACAACACCCCATTTTCGTTTTTCTCTGTGTAATTTCTCTAGCGAGAGACAAAGAATCAACTAGCAATGAAAATAGAGTACTTCGTGCTATTCAGGCTCTTAATCTAAGTATCGGATCACTTGCCAATATCTACAATGTTAAGTCGTATAACGCCACCGTCGAATCAACGACCGACAATCTCGACGCGGCCGCGCTCCGGTATATGCGGCAAGTCTGACACAATGCACTTGCCTGTCACGAAGATAAAGAGATATCTGATATATACAGTTTTGAGCAAGTTTAGTCGATTATATGTATTGTGTTCAGATTATGATTTTGAATGACCGTAGGCTGGTGGTTCGACGGCCCGTTCGCTAAGCTGACCTGGTCGCTATGCACGCACGTTATCTGTTTCTAAACAGAAGTATGTCCAGCTCAGCTTGAGATTAAACATCATTGATTGATCTTTGTCTCCAAATTCAATTATCCAATATCCATTCGATACTCCGAACATGCTCAACGGGCGGCGAAATATATCAAAGAGTGTATCGGAAATGCTTGTCTTGTTTGTCAGTCAAATCCTTTCCAGCTATATCAGCCACATGTTCGCCGATATCCACCTCGACCACATATCGACGCTTGTTCTCGTAAACGCACGAGAACCAATATACTGACACAGTAGGAATGAACACAACCCAGCTAACAAGAGCCAACACGAGGCCACTGCGATACCTGGGTGCGTATTCAGTGTTCCAGAGCAATGGTCCACAAATGGCACCAACAGCGTAGCCCGCGAAAAATAGAGCATTAACAATGGATTTTTTTGTGTTTCCGCGAGTATTGGAGGCGTTTAAGCTGAGCAAAATTGAGAAGATATTCGAGATGACAGAGGCCTATCAAAAAAATATGGAGTTAGCTAACCGTAGCAGGAACCTTCAAGTCCTGCCGTTTACATACCAGCCATGATGCAACAATCATGCCCCAACCTGCTGACAAGGGAAGCACAAAGAGCAGAATGATTCCAGTGAGTGGGACTATTGTGAGCCCAATCGTAATGGCACACCGACGATTCGGCCATAGGTAGCAGAGAAAAATCCCGACCCAAATGAAGACAATCTGAACGGCACCCGTGGGTGAGGTGTACAGCATGGTATCAAACTCAGAGTATCCTAGATAGTATATAATAAGTGAAGCAAACTGCCGTCCAAATGTTGTCAACAATTGCATACGATTCAGATCCATCCAAGAAGCTGCAGACTTACCGCAATAACTGGCGCAGGTAGTGTCATGAGGACACCAAACAGGAAGCTCAAATAGGCCCTGATATCCGTCATCGCTTCTTTCAATTGTGGAATGGAGAAATCTGTCTGGTCGCCCCCTTCAGTTTCTGTTTGCATTCGCTGCGTTGCTACCAGTCGCTCCTGAGGGTTGAGAAACCACGCTGTTTCGGGACCAGCTGGCATCAAAAAGAAAAATAGAATGCCAAGAAAGGTAGTAAGAGCACCACAAATGATGAACATCGCCTTCCATTGGGCAATGGCCATTTTCTGATGACCGAGACCATACATCATCAAAGCGCCGACGATCTGAGCTAGCCCGTTGCAGCTGATCCATAAACTAGATTTCCATAATTGTTAGTCAGATAATGGAAGGCAAGATTGGTTTCATGCGAGATTTCCTACCCGATGCGCAATGGATGCTCCTTCTTCTTATACCAGATACTGGTGAGAGTCACAAAGGCAGGAGAGACGGCACCTTCAGCCAATCCCAGAGCAAATCGAGCCCCCATAAATGAAGGGAAAGTCGTTGCGGCTGCCAGACACTATTCAGTCATATTCAATTAGCCCTAGAACGTGTGTAGATTTGGGTCTACGTAGGTAACTCACCATGCAGATGCCACCCCACAGGATCCTTGACTCAGTCAGCTTTTGCCGATTTTTGCATGGAAACTTCAAGCTTACACTATGACAGCAACAAATTTCGCAAGAGGCAAGCGGCTCATCAGGTACATGGCCGGAAATTCTGCCACCAGTTGTCCAACGTAAAAGATAGACCCCAACCAAGAGAACTGAGTTCCGTGAAGTTGTAATTCTTCCATCATCCCAAATACACCAGCATAACTGAGGCTCTGTTTATCAAGGTCTAAAAAGCGGAATATCAGCAGATTCCTCCGGGGGAAGCAGTTTGGGTTCTTAGTCTTGCAAATCTAAACAGCAAGGTGTAAAATGACCTACATTGAGAGAAGAAGACCAAACACATCTTATTATCTCACTGTTAGCGTCGCATAACTTAAAATACCATGAAAAAGGCATAGTTGCTTACCAATGGCAGAACTACACAATCAATCTTCCTTCTCACACGTCTTTCAATCTCAGGATCAATCAGAGTTGTTAACGTTCCCGCTTGAGGAGCAGTCTTCGTCTCGTCTTCCTTCGGTATCATATCTGTGGCTTCGGTTTTCGGTTGGTTCTGCATGGTTGATTGACGGGCTCAATGATATTTTAAATTCGCAACATTTGAGGTATCAGCAAGGCAAAAGGGGCATGGGTATGTTCAGCAGCTTTTATACATATCTACCCATCCCAGAACTAGCGTGTCTCCCCGGACCCCGCGTTCGGTATAATTCCCAACTCTAAAGACCCGGCCCGGTGGCTGCGTGGGATGCCAGTTTCTCGCCATATCCATGGAAACACCTTATCTGGGCCAATTAGGGTTAAAATCGTAAAACGCTGCTGGTTCGGTTTCCCGATGGCCAATAAAAGAAGATAGAATAGGGTCTTTGCTAGATTGCGTGGCATGAGGCTGCGGGTACCCGTACCCGCAGCCTTAAGTCTGTTGCCGCCGAAGCGTCGTTGATATGCGGGAACTGTTCCCGCAGCTCCACCTTTTGCTCAAGCGGCGATCCCCGGCACAGATAATGCTTTCAGCTAGGCTAGTAATCTGTCTCTTGCTTAAATTCCTATAGAGTAGCTGTCCCTCGCATTACTTCATGTTTCATTTACGCTCACCTTATTGGAGATTACATTTCCTACAATTTCTTTTCTTATCACGATCGCAAGCATGTCAGTTGTTCAGTCCGACCTTCAACATATTGTGAAGCCATGGCTTCCAAGTCCCCAGCGGACGTACGTCTTTACGTCTGCCAACCTAATCGACCCTGTCTCCGGAAAAGTCATCGAAAATGCCACCATAAAACTTTCCAATGGCCTTGTATCGTCGGTTGATACAACGGGGGGAGAGGTTGTTGACAATGTGGACTCCGAGGCTGTGCAGATCGATATGAAGGGTAAATACATCAGCCCGGGCCTGATTGACTGCCATGTCCACATCTCTGCAGTCCCTGGCTCATTGAGCCTTCGGGACATGAAGGAAATGAGCAACAATCAGAGTGTTCTACGGCAACCGAGCGTTTGCAAGTCTATGCTGGACCGTGGATTCACCACTGTGAGAGACTGCGGAGGGGCGTCTCTTGCACTGAAAGAATCAATCCAGGAAGGTGTCATTCCCGGCCCGAGGCTGTTCATTGCTGGGCATGCCCTCTCTCAGACAGGGGGACATGGAGACCGTCGGCAACAACATGACCCTAACGAATGCTGTGCGGGGCATGTAAATGGAATTGGCCGCATAGTGGATGGGGTGGATCAGTGTCTGAAGTATGCCCGTGAGGAACTGAGACAAGGCTCCGACTTTCTCAAAATCATGGGAGGTGGTGGGGTTGCTAGTCCGACGGACCAGGTACAACACCTTCAGTTCTCTGATGAGGAAATAAAGGCGATTGTCACAGTGGCCAACAATGCGGGGACATACGTTACCAGCCATGCGTATACGCCGCAAGCGATCCAGCAGGCCATCAGGCAGGGAGTCAAGGGGATTGAACATGGCAATCTGCTCGATGAAAAAACGGCAATGATGATGAAGGACTACGGCGTCTTTCTTACCCCCACTTTGGTGACTTATGCGACCATGGCGGCTCCAGAATTTAGCGGATTCCTTCCCCCAGTCTCTGCGAAGAAGAACCGCGAAGTCTTGGACAAAGGATTGCATGCTCTGGGGCTCGCCAGTAAGATTGGGGTGGATATCTGCTTTGGAACGGATCTGTTGGGGCCATTGCATTACGCCCAGAGTAAAGAGTTTGCCATTCGGAGCACTGTGCAGTCAACGTTGGAAATTCTTCGAAGCGCTACTACTACTCCTGCCCGGATGCTGGGACAGGATAACTTCCTCGGTCAGGTTGCGCCTGGGTTTGCCGCTGACTTGCTCATCTTAAACGCAAATCCTCTGGATGATATCACTGTGTTTGATCGGCCTGACGACCATTTGATGGCAATTATCAAGGAAGGCCGTGTCGTGACTTCACGTTGGAATGCATTGGAGGTCGAGGGAAGCCCTCTGCCAAAGATTGCATAAAAGAGGGAAATCGAGTCAATAGAAAGTAGAGATTATACTTTTGATTGTGAAAATCTCATCCAGTTTGGCCTAATTAGTAGAGCTAAGATCCAGCTCAGGATAAAGTCATTTGTTACAGAATCGCATTTCTCTTCTGATTTGCGTGCAGCGACCGACAATAGAAGACTGTCGGAGTCGATTTGGCGTTGACTGACGAGCTCCTATATGATCAGTGATTCGTAGGTCTCAACTTTTGCCCGAGTTGATTCCGGTCGGTCTGTTTTGGTCTCATCTATAATGGTCCGAAAAATTAATCATTTTGATAAGGGTCGACAGGGCGTGCGCAACCATGTTTGTTTGTTCAGTTTGCATAGACTCACCCGATTTATCGCGTCTCCGCGCTGTCCCGTAGGACCGACTGCAGCCTTCATTCCCTTTGCTCCTTTTGTATCCGTGAGCGACTGTCGCCTCGGCCCGTCTGTGTTGACAAACCATTATACATTCTTGTTCGACCTCGACCTCGACAAAAGCCCGCCATGGTCTCTCCCTCTCTGGCAGTCTCCCACGTCATCATCGCCACGAGCCTCTCCTGCTAACGCCTCATCCCGCCGGGATGTTGCAAGACATCTGGGCGGTCCCCCTGCATCTCTCCAACTTCAATATCATAGTCGCCGTATTAGGTGGCTTCGTCTCCCTCTTTGGCCTTGTATCTTACCTTATAAAGGAGAATTATTATCTCTCTGAAGCACGTGAGTTCCGCTCCCGGCGCTCGCCCGACTGATTCCATGGATGGAACACCGAAGACACTGACTCGTGGGGTAAACTAGTCATTTCGCTCTTGATAGGCGTCGCCTTTGGGCCAAATGCAGCAAACTTCATCCGCCCCAGGGATTACGCCGAGTGCAACCAAACAGGAGTCTCGGCTATCGAGTGCCGCGACAATCTCAATGCCATCACACTCAACTTCTCCCGGCTGGTTCTGGGCATCCAGCTGGTCCTCGCTGGCGTGCAGCTGCCCAGCAAGTACCTCAGGACGGAATGGAAGTCAGTTCTGCTGCTGGTCGGCCCGGGAATGACCGCCATGTGGATCACCACGAGCCTGCTAGTCTGGGCCTTTGCCAGGACACCTAGCTTCCTGCACGCCCTCGCCGTTGGCGCATGCGTAACGCCCACTGATCCCGTGCTCTCCGCTGTCATCGTCAAGGGCAAGTTTGCGGACCACAACATCCCCAAGGATCTCCAGAACCTCATCATTGCCGAGTCAGGTACCAATGACGGTCTCGGCTACCCGTTCCTCTACTTTGCACTCTATCTCATCAAGTATGTGGGCTCGGGCGCCACGTCTGGCGGCCCTCGTGATGCTATGGGCCTTTGGTTCGGCTACACCTGGGGATACACAATTCTCCTCAGCATCCTGTACGGTGCCGTGGTGGGCTGGGTGGCCAAGCAGCTACTGCACTGGGCAGAGGAGCACAACTACGTCGACCGTGAAAGCTTTCTCGTCTTTGCTATTGCCCTCGCCCTTTTCGTCCTAGGGACCTGTGGCCTCGTTGGCACCGACGATGTCCTCGCCTGCTTTATAGCTGGCAACGCGTTTACATGGGATGACTGGTTCCGACTGCAGACCAAGGATGACTCCCTTCAGCCGACAATCGACATGCTCCTTAACGTCTCTATCTTCTTGTGGTACGGCGCCTACTTACCCTGGAGCCACTTCCGTGACAACCCTGTTATCTCCACCTGGCGCCTCGTCGTTCTTGGCCTTCTAGTGCTTCTCCTGCGACGTCTGCCTTGGGTTTTTGGCATGCACAAGTGGATTCACCAGATCACAGAGGTCAGACAGGCTATTTTCGTGGGATTCTTCGGACCCATTGGCGTCTCTGCGGTCTTCTACCTGCTTGTGAGCATGGAGTTTATCGAGGAACATTTGAGCGACGAGAACGGTGTTCCTCGAAGTGACGTCGAGGACCTTGGTGAAACAATTCGGGTCGTCGTTTGGTTCCTTGCAGTCTGTAGCATTGTAAGTCGCCCTATCATACCTCCCTGTCAGCGACCTGGCATCTAACGCTGCGTAAGGTTGTCCATGGGCTCAGTATCCCGCTTGGAAAGCTGGGATACCTCGCGCCTCGAACGTTTGGCCGGGTGCTTAGCGAAAACCTAAGCGATGAGCCGCGCGCGGCTGAGGCTCGGCGCAGGATCCCAGTGCTGGGCAAGTATCTTGTCAGAAACCCTGGCGATATCGAATCCAGCCGTGTGCAGAGCGCTGCCGTCATATCAGGCCCGTCGAACCTTCGCCACCCTCACTCGGAGACAAGTACGCCGGGTATTGCATTACAGGCTACTGCCGCATCATCGAGTCCTCCGAGCCAAACCGAGGTCGAGTCGGGAACGATAACTCCAGTCCCGGTTCGTCGTCAGCGGGAGATTCAGTTCTGTGACGAGACGCAAGTCAGCCCCGATGGCTGAATTGCCACCGAGAGAGCTCCAACTGCTGCTTGGAAGGCCGTTACCGTAGATGGATGGCTGGATTGATGAATTCATTTACTGTATCCTGACCCCTCGCAATCAAGTTGAAACTCTGAATTGAGGTACAAGTGTCATGATCCTATACTTACTATGAGAAAAGATGCAGCTATTTGTCGTCGCAGTAGCTGCCACTTCTACAAACTATACATCACATGATCAGGGATCTAACCATGTAGTCAAGCGATATGCATGCTACCACAGCTGGTGACGCGCGCTTCGCAAGCCCCGCACGCCAATGCCCTGAAACGGAGTGAATAAAGGGATGAAGAGATTGAAACCAGATGGAAATTATGAAGGTGAATATCGAGTGATATCATGACTGGAACAGGTAACCTATAATAACATGTACTTATATCAGATGATCATCCAGTCCTCTAGATAGGTTATCTATTTAGGACAATTATGCAGCAATGGGCAGATAATGGGTGGCCCGTGACAGCCCGCCAAGAGCCCGCGGGCGGGCTGTGGTGCTGATGTCTGCACGCGACCTGACACCAGAGTTCCGTGGACCGAGCTCGTATGGAGACCACGTGGACCGATGGGTGTAACAGTCCTGAAACAGTAGGAAGAATAATAGCAATGGCAATGGTAGAAATAATAGGCGATACTATTTTAGGGGAGAGCATGGCTCGGCTACAGTCAGTGACATCTCACATCTCTATGCACCGTAGCCAGCCCTAAGACTGCCTCAGTCTCACCACGAACCTTTGTGGCTGCAAGGCCAGTCGAGTCCTCCTTGGATGGAGATATATTCTATCAGATTGATTCATATTGATAAGGGTCACTACAGGGTTACACTGATCGCAGCCAAAGTGACATCTACTTAGGTCTAGGCGGGTGTAACACTCACGGCTGGGGAATCATCCAATAATATGTCGTGTGGTGTTTGCTCTGCAACCCAGTAACACGAAGCCAACAGTAACCCCGCACGCTAACCCCAAAACCTTGGGCAGCTAGGGCCAATCGACTTGGACCAGCTGAGGCTTACTCGGAGAGTAACCATAGCAGCCACGGGCCAGCGGTGAAGAGACTGTAGCACCATCACCAGCTGGCGAGGCGGCTATCGGATGTCAACCGGGCCTAGTTGGGTTTCTGCTGATGCACTTCCTAGTCGTTGATAAATAGGTCGTCTTCTCCTAGGAACCTTCGTGCAAGGCATCTATCTGTCTCTAATCCACAAGTCGCTCCACCTTGACCCAAGTCTCCGGCTGGCCCATCATGGCTGAAACTACGACTGACACTGGTCCGACTTCCGACAAAGGTCCCGAACCTGCTCATATCGTCGACGAGCCGGTTGATGTTCTCCAGCGTCCCCCAGGATGGATGTACAAGTCGTGGACGATAGGGCGCTGGCGCACGCCCTGGTATGCGTCTCCGAGGTTCCAGCTGGGTATGGTCGCGTTCGTGTGTTTCATGTGTCCAGGCATGTTCAATGCTCTCGGCGGTCTGGGCGGTGGTGGACAAGCCGACCCTCATTTGGCAGATGAAATGGTATTGTTCACCTTCTCGGTACGGAGGAGAGAATTAACCGAAATGGACTGATCGATCTTGCCAGAACCTCACCCTGTACAGTGTCTTCGCCTTTGTTGGTTTCTTCGCTGGCTCGATCGTCAATTGGGTCGGGATCCGACTGTCCCTGGCCTTCGGCGGAATCGGATATTGCATTTATGCGATCAGTCTTCTCGTCTCTACGCACAAATATGTTCCGGGGTTCAACATATTCGCTGGCGCCTTGCTGGGTGCGTGTGCGGGTATCCTGTGGTCGGCCCAGGGAGCTATCATGATGTCTTACCCCCACGAACACCAGAAAGGCCGGTATTTCGCGTGGTTCTGGGGTATCTTTAACATTGGCGCCTGTATGGGCAGTCTGGTACGTATGGCGACTGCCAGTCATGATCCCATCTAATCGACAGTTCCTAGATCGCTCTCGGCACGAATATCGAGGCCAAAGGCGCTGCCACTGTCGCCGACGGAACGTACATCGCTTTCATCGTCCTGATGTTCTTTGGTGCTTGCCTGGCTATCATGCTCTGCGACGCGAAGAAAGTTATTCGCCCCGACGGATCCCGGGTTATTGTTATGAAAAACCCAACATGGAAATCGGAGTTGTACGGGCTCTACGACACGCTTAAGCACGAACCTTTTGTCATCCTTCTTTTTCCTATGTTCTGGTCTTCCAACTGGTTTTACACATACCAAGGAAGCGCAATTAACGCCGCCTACTTCAACACCCGCACGAGGGCCTTGAATTCCTTCCTATACTGGTTCGCTCAAATCGTGGCTGCGAGTATCATCGGCCCGCTGCTCGATATGACGTACTTCCGTCGTACAGTGCGTGCTCGCGGCGCGTGGGCCGTTCTCTTCATCCTGACTATGGTTATCTGGGGTGGTGGCTGGGCATGGCAGAAGAATTATACTCGCGAGTCCGTAGACACCAAGGTAACCGGCTTCCAGGTTTGGGATTGGACTCATCCAGGATACGTCGGGCCCATGTTCTTGTATTTCTTCTACGGGTTCTACGACGCCGCCTGGCAGGGTGTTATCTACTGGTCAGTCTTCTTTCATCTCATGTCTCTCCCTCAACCAGCTCCCCATCCATCCATGACTCCCTCGTATCAACTCAACTAAATCTAACCCCGCACTTTCAGGTACATGGGAGCTCTTTCCAACTCAGGCCGCAAAGGCGCCAACTTCGCTGGATTTTACAAAGGTATCCAATCCGCCGGCGCAGCCGTGGTGTGGAGTATGGATTTTCACCATGCATCCTTCGCGGCCGAGTTCGCCAGCAACTGGGGTCTACTTGGAGGATCGCTGCTCGTCGCGGCGCCAGTGATCTTCCTACGCATCAAGGACCATGTGGATATTGCGGACGATCTGCAAAATACTGACGAGACGGTCGAGGATGTTCTTCCTGTCGGACATGCGGAGAAGTAGCCGAGATTTCCTAATGCTAGCAAGTTTAGATCGTTGCTGTTGCGGATTAGCGTCCCTACGAGAGTTGCTAGGCAACTGTACCTTATCACTGCCGAACTGACTTCCTCGTTCGCGCTATCTCGGCCAAGTCCGACGGGTCAGGTTCAGTAAAGGGGGCTTGGTCTCCGGTGGCGCAAATCTGTCAGTCTCGGCCTGTAACTAAGCTAGGACTGTATCTCGTGCTTGTGCTACTTGGTTTCTCTCTTACTGCTGTGCGTTTCGGCTCGGTTCACAACACATATGCAAGCAGCCGCTTTCGAACCTCAAAAGAAAGATTGTGACCTTTAATGATTTGACCGAGCATGGTTTTAGTAGGACTTGGTTGGCTATGTAAGGTTTTGAGCGCAGAAGCCTGCTTCTGAAGTTGGATAGTGGTCTTTGCTAAGTCTGCTCTCAGCCGGTCACTAAGGGGTGTAGGTGAAGTGATATATTAAGCTTCGAAAGCACAGTTCTACATGTTCCTCGTGGTTCTTTGGACCTCCATGTGAACTTTTCTCGTCACCAGAGTTTTCCGACAGCAGGTCGCCACTGCCCAATACCCAAAGTGACATAGATAAGGAACTGGAGTCATTCGGGGGCTGTGAGGGAGTGTCTGTTACTGAGATACCCAGCAATAAGTTGTACTGTATGTTCTTGAAAGTCCTGACGCTGCACGTTTCAACAATGCCTGTCTTGCAATGTTGCGCAGACGAGACTTTTCTAGGCTGTGGACCCCGAAACGAGCTACATTGGTCGACTCGAAGGCTCATGGATGAGGTGATTATAAACAAATATGTACGTTAAGGGCTCCTGCTACCGACAAAGGTCTGAGCCCTCAGCCCTCGAGCAATTTTGGCGTCTCTTCCTTGTCCGATTCTTCCACCGAAAACTTTTGATGAGCAGCTGGGGAGGTCCTAATAATATCTCCGGCTTCATCACGCGCCGCCAATATTCGATCCTTTGAGCCCGGAACAGTCTTCAAACAGTCACTGGCCATTAGCGAAATCGGATGGTTGTCACCCAAAGCCTTGCAACTCGTCATATGTACATCGACTAGGATACGATAGCCTTCCTCATTAAATCCAAGATGCAAATAGCTATGTGCAAGGTTGCTTCGGAAAATCAATGTGCTAGGATGCATTGCGCCCAACACCTTGTATGCTGCGCCTTCCACAAACGAATGGAGATCAGCTGCCTCTCTCTTTCGCCCTTGTCGGCTGTAGTAAATGGCCAGGCTATTCATGGCCGTGAGCGATTCTCCATGCTGACTTCCCAGCACCTCCTTCTGAGACCGAACAATTTTTTCTTGGAGCTCGATGGCTTGGGAAAGGTCACCAGATCTATTGTATGCGGCTGCCATTTGGCACTTAGCAGCCAGGGTGCTCAGGTGATCAGGTCCTAAGCAGCGAAGGGAGGTTTCCATGACGGTAGAGTATATCTGAGCAGCCTCACTTTGGCATCCCATATCTTGATAGCAGTCTGCCAGATCACTCATTGATTCTAGTGTCCTTGGGTGTTCAGGACCGTGTGCTGTACTCCTCAATCGCACTAAAGTTCTGTTCAAATCCGCAGCTTCATGGAGTCGTCCAACTTCGCGTTGGAAATTGGCAAGAAGCCCGACAGCAATGAGCGTGTGTGGATGCTCGTCCCCCAAGAAGGTCTTGCTGGAGCTCATGGCCCTCTCACACCATTCCAATGCATGTTCTGTGCAGCCAAGATAATGGTAAACGCGCGCGAGGTTACCAATCGCGGTCAGTGTGCGTGGGTGAGCCGGTCCAAGGATGTTATGGCTCGTTTCAACCACGGCTTGATTCAGCGATCGTGCTTCCCAGAGCCGACCCGCGGCCTGATATGTTTGCGCCAGATTGCTCATTGCGGTAAGAATAGCGGGATTCTCAACTGATAGGTGCTTTCGGTTTTGCCATAATAACGTTTCCTGCAATGATACAGCTTTCTGCCATTGGCCAAGGGCAACGTAACAGACAGCAAGGCTGGACATAGCATCAAATGTCTCCTCCTCTTGCGGACCCGGGGCTTCATCTTTAGTCTCAATCCTCGTTTCTAGAAATTCTTTCGCTATTTGCCATTGTTCCAGACTTAGAGCGCGTTCAGCGCTCACCCTCAGAAAAGGGAAAGTGTTCTGGTTCTGAACAAAATCGTTGACTGCGTCCTCAGCACCCAAGAGAAACTTCGCCAATCGATTTATATAGGCCACGGTATCTGCAAGATCTTCGGAGGCGTTGCGTGTGACTCGAACATTTTCATTGACGAATTCACTGATTCCGGGCCGATGATTGCTTTCCATGTCATTTCACGTATCCGAAGAGTTGAAAACAACCTGGGGTGCTGGTCAGACGACTGAGAGCTGCCTGGTATCGGTATCTTCCGAGTTGTTTTGTGACTGTGGTCTGCCCGGCCTTCAATCGCATTGGCCTATTGGTTTCGATGCAGTTTCTCGTCCTGGAATATGAAGTGGGAGTGGTATCGACTGTTCCTGATTTCCAAAATTCGGTTCTTTAGCAAGGCCATGCTGGCTTGGCAACGAAGGGTGGCTGAAAACCGCCCTCCGCGACATACCGGATCTCCAACACTATGCCCTTCTGGGTTGATTTTATGTCCACAGATACCCCCGCGTCGCTTAATTTTTGTCAATTCTGTGCCATCGGCGCTCAGCCACTGCGAGTATACCCCTGTAGGTTCCACTAAACCTTTCCCCACCAAAAGTCTAAAAGCCCCTGGTGGACAACGGACGGACATGAACCCGTCTCGAATACATACAGGTGTTTCCAGGATACACAAATATACGACCAAGGTCAGGCCATGCTACTGTAATTATCGTGAAATGTCTAAGGGGCCGGTTTCCCCCTCATGTTTGTATAACGCCTGATGGGGCGTGAAACTAGCGCACAGGTACAGGTAGCATGCTTGTTAACTGATGGCTGCTTTTTCCGTCCAATCGGATAACTTGAATTGGTGGAGCAATGGCCGTAGTGCCACTAACGTATCTACAGCTTCGCGTGGTGGGCTGCTAGGTGAAATGCTCGACCCTTCAAAATGTTGCTGGCTTCGGTTATCGATTCTTAATTAGATAATAGCTGAGGTGATGAAATGGCGACTTCAAATTTGTTTAAGGGTGGATCAAATTAATCACCTTGTTGTTTGAGACGTCGCTTGAGCTTTTCCCTGCTTGGAGCCGGTTAAAATTACTTTAACATGGTCCTCCAAGATCCACAACACACGTTAGTTGCGTTGGGCGATCCGGTTTTGGATGCGCCGGTGCTCTGCCAGGTCCGAGATCTTCGTCCAATCGTCAGGGTTGACGCTGGGACTAAAAGCGGTGCTATTGCTATGACTGGGCCCCGAGCCGGACGGCCGGGTGTCGTAGTTATTATATTTCTCCATATTTAGAAAAAAGAGGAACGGTTTGCAAGCCAAACAGTAAAATTGCCGGCAGCGCTAGTGAAGGTGGCGGCCCACATGGAGGGTCCGTTCGTTGCCACAGACCGGCCGCGATATGAGGTATGAATCTGAGACACCCCATATAATGCCGACACTAGATTTAGCCCGAGGGATTGCAATGCCACTTCTTGCTTTGGTAACAAGGCCTACTCATTTGATGACATGAAGATCCTCTGGTATAAAGCTGTGGCTATGTGAGGTCCATTTGCCTTCTTTAACGCCGAATGTCAGCGTCCTCTACCCATTCTCTATTTGACCTCAAGCCCCGATAAAGCCACGGGGGAAAAAAGAAAGGAAAAGGAAGAGAGACGGCTTCACGACACTCACCGGCAGTCCTATATGCTAGTATTGAGACTTAGGTCCCCCTCTGGAATCCTCAGTACTGAAATTCTTATTTTTAACATCGACCGAGCGACCCGCTTTTATTGACGTCGTGTCTAGATTGCTTTCTCGGTCCCCTTACCTAGGCCAGGATAAATAGCCTTTTTTTCGCGGTTCTTATCTAAAATGCCGGAGACTATCATCATTTCGGGTGCGAATAATAACAAGCAAAATGCTCTTAAAGCCGACCTCTACCTTCACCGGTGAAGTCTATCTAGATTTAATCTTGATGGAATCGACCGCCGCGCTAGCGAGAAACACTTTCACACCGTGTACGCAGACACATTGGCATACTCATGAGGGAAAATGATTCAGGTGTCTTCTGGATCTGGCTGGATCTGTGAAAAGGGCAAGGAGGCACGCCGCATTAAAGCGGGGATGTTATCTGCTGCCCCCTTCCAGGTACCACTCACCGGCACGGCGCCGATGATGGCTCTAACATGATCCACTTTGTCGTGAGCATTGGCGAGGCCAAATGGAATGAGCAAGTCACCGATGAAGAATACAAAAAGCGAGGGGAAAATTGATTGTCGCGGTCTGAGACCTGAGACAGGGCTTTTAGACCCCTCCTCGGCGGTTGGTCCTCCTAGCAAGGAACAGAAGTCAAAACTAGTCAATAATGTCGGGATTACAGAGTCCCTTGCTCTTTGAAGCTTATGACCGATAGTTGGTGTGATGAGCTATCTTCGGACTTGGGTGTTATGAGATGGTAGCTTTGGAATTTCACGCTAGAATATATCCACTCAGAATGGCTGGCATCAATTTATTTCCATGTAAAATTATCATAATCTGATTGCCCACAGGAATTCTTTATTCCTTGACCGCGGCTAGGCATCTCGATATTACACCAATGAGAGCGACGCGGTTTCGGATCCAGCTGGCCCGAATGGCGTGTAGCTTAGGGTTATTGACAGCCTCAGGCAGAAACGAGTACAGCATCAACTGGTCACTCCCTACTTCCAATAGTCACTCCTTATTTCCAGCAGTTACTCCCAACTTACAGTAGTCACGTCCTACCAATATATGCGATAGTACAAAGTACTTGAATATTAACCACCTATAGGGCTACAATGATAATTGCATACATACCTTGCCATTCTCTCCCGCGGCTCTCAGCCGCGGCTCCCAACTCGCCCCACATGGAGAGTGGATCAATAGGGGAACCAAATTCATTTCTCATTACTTCAATCCCTTCTTTCCTTTCTTTCCTCACTCACCTCTCACCTCTCTCTCCCCCTCCAATCATGCCTTCCAAATCCTCCAAGTCCTCCTCTACCAGCGCCCAGCGCTCGGGCTGCTGCTGTCTCTCCGTCCGCACCCTCAGCTTTCTCGCCCTTTTCCTCGCCCTGTTCGCCGGCGTGTACAGCTTCCTCGACGCGCGCCTGGAGCAGTTCTACGTCTTCGAACCCGAGCACCTGCACGATCTCTCGCAGCGCGCTATCAGCGCCCACGGTGATGACACGCGCTCCGTCGTCAACTACATTGTCGCCGAACTCGAGCAGAAGGTCGGCTCCAAGTATCTGAACACCGAGGAGGAGTGGGTTTTCAACAATGCTGGCGGTGCGATGGGCGCCATGTACATCATCCATGCCAGTATGTTTCTCACATTCTTCCTTGGTCTTTTTGGTGGACCATGGGTAGCACGGAGGACATTGGCGCGACCATTGGATTGAAGGGATCCATCGCATCCGTGGACTCCCTACCCACACACAACTTCATGCTAACATAGCGATTCCTAGGTATCACCGAGTACCTGATCATCTTTGGAACTGCCATCGGCACAGAGGGCCACACGGGCCGTCACACAGCCGACGACTACTTCAACATCCTGCACGGCACCCAGCTTGCCTACGTCCCCGGCGAATTCGAGCCCGAGGTCTACCCGGCAGGCAGCGTGCACCACCTGGTCCGCGGCGAGGTCAAGCAGTACAAGATGGACTCGTCCTGCTTCGCGCTCGAATACGCCCGGGGCTGGATCCCGCCCATGCTCTTCTTTGGGTATGCCGACACCTTTTCCAGCACGCTGGACTTCCCGACGTTGTGGGCGACGACGCGGATCACGGGGCGCGAGATGATTGGAAATCTACTACAGTTTAAGCTGTGAGTCGGGGCTCGGCGATAAGTTGGAAGATGGTTGGAAAGCGAAGGAATGTACATTAGAGTCATTTGGGCGGTTCAAGTGGGTGGGGAGTATCTGCATAGATCTAGGTCATGATTCTATAGTTAGTGAACTATTCTATAGTTAGTGAACTAAGGAAGAATAATCACTGAAGTAAACTCATCTTAGATTCCCTACTAGGAATAGTGGCATGGAGACCTCAGGCGGCAACGTTCACAGCTCCTCGGTGGGTCTAATGCCCAAGAGGGAAGAGATGGGCACTATGAGGGATCGTGAAGTTTGAAACATTGACAGCATTGGACCAGCAGCTGGAATAGAACGTCGTCCGGAATCATAGACGGTAGGCATCAATCTGACGGACAGGTCCGCTCCCTGGTGCCTGGTCGTGACGCATAAATAGTCCCCCAGCCACGCTTCGCTCGTCTCTCTTCTCTCTTCACCCTCCACCATCATCACTCATCATGCATCTCCATCTTTGTGGTTGTTCTGTTTTCTCCCGAGAAGTCTATAGCACCCGGTGGGCATTCCTTCCCCAGATCTCCCTCAAGGCCCATGCAACCATCTTGTCCTCCGTGGCACGTACCACCCTCACTCAGGTCTTTGCCAACCCGTCAGACCAGACTTTTGAGGAGGTGCAATACAACTTCCCTCTCTACGATGGCGTCAGTGTGGTCGGATTCAAGTGTCACGTTGGCACGAGATTCCTACACAGCCAGGTGAAGGCAAAGGATCAGGCCACCGCTGACTTCAAGCATGCCGTCTCGAACGACCAATCGGCCGCCCTTTTGGAATACGGGAACGACGCCGATGTCTTCAAGATCCGGTTGGGTAATGTGCGAGCCGGCGAGAAAGTCACAGTCGATATCACCTTTGTTGGCGACCTAAGGCAGGACGCGCAGACTGATGGCGTTCGTTACATGCTGCCCAACGCCATTGCTCCTCGCTACGGAAGCACCGTGGGAGGCTCAAACGTTACTGCAGATATTCAAGGCATATCGATTACAGTTGATGTGTTGATGGATAAAGACTCCATCATCCGGGAGCTGCAATCCCCAAGCCATTCGATCAAAGCCGCGCTGGGCCGTATTTCTGCCTCTGACTCCACCGATTTTGAACCATCTCAAGCATCCGCCACTGTGAACCTGAGCAAAGGCAATGTCTTGCTTGAAAAGGACTTTGTTTTGCTTGCCAAAGCAGACGGTCTTGATGAACCTCGCGCCATGGTCGAATCTCATCCCGCAATCTCTGGTCAGCGAGCAGTAATGGCGACATTGGTCCCCAAGTTCAACCTTCCACGAGCAAACCCTGAGATTGTGTTTGTTCTAGACCGGAGCGGCAGCATGAGTGACAAGATCGAGACGCTGAAGTCTGCGCTTAAGGTTTTCCTCAAGTCACTGCCTGTCGGGATTTGCTTCAACATTTGCTCTTTTGGAAGCCACCATCAGTTCCTCTGGTCAAAGAGCAGAGTCTACGATGATGAAAGCTTGCAGGAGGCTATGTTTCTGGTTGAGAAGCTCGCTGCAAACTTTGGGGGCACGGAAATGCTGCCGGCGGTGGAAGCAGTTGTGAAGAACCGCCTGGAGAGCAAGAGCTTAGAAGTTCTTCTGCTCACAGACGGACAGATTCATAACCAACAGGAACTATTCAATTTCGTCCGCCAGGAATCTGATAGCCGCACGGCTCCGGCTCGCTTCTTCTCCCTTGGCATTGGCGATGCGGCGTCTTCTGCCTTGGTTGAAGGAATTGCAAGGAATGGGAATGGGATCTCCCAATCTGTGCTCCTGGATGAGGAGCTTGATCGGAAGGTTATTCGAATGCTCAAGGGTGCGCTGTATCCTCACCTCTACGACTGTCGGCTCGGAGTGGAGTACGACGGTGACTCAGACAATGATTTCGAGATGGTCCAGGATTCAGAGACTGAAACACAGACGGAAGATGAGCGGACAAAATCAGACCCTCCCTCTAAAAAGGAGAAGCCTCAAAACCCAATTTCCTTGTTTGATGAGAATTTCCAAGAGACTGAGATGTCAGAACCAGCAACGGAACCTCTCCCAACCGTCAACCCTCCCACAATTCTCCAAGCCCCATACAGCATCCCCGCTCTGTTTCCATTTATCAGAACCTCTGTATACCTTCTGATTGACCCCCAATCACCCGAGCGAGTCCCCAAAGCCCTGACCTTTCATGCAACCTGCGCGCATGGCCCGCTCAAGCTGCAAATCCCCATCCAAGATATCGGAAAGGGGGAAACAATCCACCATATCGCCTCACGCAAAGCCGTCATTGAATTGGAGGAGGGTCACGGCTGGCTCAGTGATGCCAAAGACGCTGCCGGAAATCCCATCCGGCTGCTGCACCCAAACACCAGAAAGCAACTCGAGACCAGCGAGTGTCAGCGTTTGGGTCTTAAATACCAGGTCACTGGAAAGTACTGTTCGTTCATTGCCCTGGAGGATGATTTTGATGAGTTATCCAAGGGCCAACCGGACAAGGTCTTTGAGGTGACTGAGCGACCACAGGTCAAGGGCCCAGTCAAGATGAGCGTTGATAGGGTTATGGCATGTGCAAGGCCACAAATGATGCAGCAGATGCAGCACGCAGGCCCATTTGCTGCTTCCTCTGGTCCCCAGGCCTGTCAGCTGGACATCGCATCACCGCCACGTCGATACGCCCCGCCACATCGACGCGCTGCGCCACGTGTTGATATATTGTCTGACGGTAATTTTGACAATGAGTTTTGTGCTGAACCATCCAGTGGTTTTCAAACTACTTCGGACGGACCTGCTCTTTATCAATTTCTAGGCTGGGAATATTCACACCCAGCTGTTTCGGCTCAGCCTACTTCACCACAATTTTGCGGTGGAGCAGCCAAAGCCTCTACGCCGAGCTCCAGAGGAATGTGTGGACAGGCAATGCACGCCGCTTCTGCTCGGCTTGCTCAACCATTGTTTGGCGCTGCACCTGCTAAACAAAGAAGAGGCCTTACGAGTGCTCAAAATTGTCCTCCACCGCCGCCTCCTCCTGGAGCTTCGTCATTCTTCGGGAGCGCAAATGCGTGGGGTGATCAACGATTCTCAGTACAGTCAGCATCACCATTCGGAAAGCCGCAGAGCTCCGCTCCCAAGTTCCCAGTTGAAAGAGCCCATGCTATCATTGGACTGCAAACCTTTGAAGGAACTTGGATATGGTCGAAGGAGCTGTTTGCCTTACTTGACACAGACGAACACCAAATCACGAAATACATGGAAGAGAAGCTGCTAGATGGCCAAAATATGGTTCCACAATCTGTCACTGGAGTGCTCATTGCCACGCTTCTGGCGATGGGGTTCCTCAAGAACAAGAACGCGGATCTGAAGGGTACGTGGGAGCTTGTGTACAGCAAGGCTGAAGACTGGGTTGACCGGCAGCTGGAAGATGTGGGATTGTTATTTAATAAGACTTTTAAGGAGGCCAAGGAGGAGATCATGGCGCTTGCCTGATTTTGTTAGGTTTTTTACCTTTGCTGCGCTGATTCTTGCTGTTATGATATCAAGAACCAGAAACGTCGCGAATTTCAGGGAAGGGATAATGGATAACTAGCTAGTGCAGTCATTACCTACAACACTATGATTTATGTCACGTCCTTTGCTAAACTACTTTAAGCGTTTGACGAGCTAATAATCAATTATACCCGAGTATTCGAGGTTTACCTAAGAAGATTGGCTGTGGCAGCCGCTTCCTGTACAATTCTTGGATGACAACGGGGCAATATCGACGGGGATCCTTGCTCCCTGGACTTCAACACAAAAAAGTCACAGAAAAGCAATTTAAGCTTTGACATCAAAAAAGAAATCCACAAGTTGCTGGCATTTGGTGGAATTAATCTCTTAGAGTGAGTGGTCCATCAAATTCCTCATTCAACTTCGCAATATCAATTGGAGTTTTCCCTTCCTTGTCTCTAGCCACAGAATCGAGCCCTTTGGCCTGTAGAAATTTGAACCACGGGCTCACACGTTCAGACACCAGCCCGGCGGCCACATGCAACAGTGTCTGTCCAGCCAAGTTCGTCTCCGTCAGAATGTAGCCTTTCTGTTCAAATGGGCCACACTATTGAATTTAATTGGTAATTAACTTATAACGAACTACTTAAAGGTGAGTTATATAAATCTTTACCTGAATTTCATTTAATCTAGGCGTAGAAGTGTCATTAATGAGAGTTAGAACCAGAACAGCAAAAAGTAACAGTGTTAATTTTGATGATTTAGCAGCTTCATGAACTCCAAGACCTTGATTTTATGCAAAAATGGGATTTCAGGGGCCCTCAATGGGGACCCTTTGAAATCCTCATAAACCACTTCAATTCTAGATGCCATTCCCGTAGGCCATAAAAGTATGTATCTACCAAGCACAGTGTCCACCATCAACCCTCAGATCCGACCCCGTCATAAAACTGCTCCCATCACCCAACAAAAATATCACCGGCGCACGGAACTCATCCACCGTACTCAATCGATAGAGCATATTATCACCGGTCCACTGCGCCTCCATACCAGGCTTCTGCAACGCCTCGGCGGTAGCAGCGGTACGAATGTACCCAGGAGACAGCGAATTGACCCTGATCAGAGGCATGCCAACCCTCGACCCCCACTCCGCTGCTAGCGAGCGAGCAAGCTGGTGAACGGCCGCTTTAGAGGAGTTGTATCCCGCCGTGTCCACGCCCTAGCACAAACAACAGTGGTAATGAGTAAATAATGAACTTCACTCACAAAATAAAGTTAGGTAGATAGTCTCACCTTGTTAGTTACATAGCCGCTCATACTAGCAACGAAAACCATGCTCGCCGACACGCTCACCCGGAGAACCTCCCGTGCAACAGCTTGTGCGATGCGAAATGTACCCGTGACATTGATATCAAGCAGGCGGCTGAAAGACTCGCCCGGAAATTCGGTTGCGGGTCCGTTGTCCGAAATACCGGCGCAGGCTACGAGACCGCGGATTGGGAATCGAAGCGTTGGGACAAATTTTGTGAATGTCTCTGCTACTTCGTTGTCGCTTTGCACGTTGCACTGGTGGTATGACACGAAACGAGAGTATTTCTTTGCGATATGTTCAATGTTTTCTGGATACAGGGTTAGCTATATTGTCTTGTACCATGGGCTAGATAGATAGATTTCAAAGGGAAAGAGGTAGGATTCTAACCCCACTCTAATGCTTTTGGTGTGTCCATCACGTCTAGACAGATGACATCGCCACCGCTTTCTAAGATTGATTCTGTCACGGTTGTGCCTAGGAATCCGCCCGCGCCGGTTACTAGCAGGGATAAGCAATGACAGTCTAGACTGAATGCTGAGAGTATACGCACCGACGATAGTCCGTCCATCTAACCGGAATAAATCTGCCACTGGAATGGAGGGATTCCCTTGAGGGTTTTTCGCCTCACGGAATTTGGGGTCATGGACATTCTCGTTTCTCTCCTGGTGAGCCATTGTAAATAATAGAGGATTCTATAAGCCGCTGAGGGGATGGCAAGAAATAACAACTAATTGAATTTTGCTCAGAGCGGAGAAAGATATGTGAGACTTAGATTTTTGATTGTACAACGCTGGCCGGATTGCCCCGCCAGATACGATTCAGCCCCCGCATTTGTGGGGCATTGCCGTGTACGCAATGGCACAGGCAAAACATTCAATGGCCCATTTTCCAATTGAGTATAGCTGGAGGGAAAAGAGTGCAAACAAAAAAGAATGGCAAAATTCAAATCCGAGAGAAATTGTTTAAACAACAAAGTTTTAGCAGTATTATTATTAACAGGCCCGAATCATCAGTGGGCTATCCACTACCCGTCCGTACCTGGGTCATCTTTCGTCAGAACCGATTCACTTTTTGGCTATGAAATGTAATTTGCTTTTATTCATTACAAGCGAGAGTGGCAGCATGCTGCGGTCTTTGTTTCCTCTCCAGTGTACAAAACACTCTTGTTCTTATCCTGCGTGGAGACCGCAACGTCCAAGCCAGGGTTCCCGGAGAAGAAGTTGACAGGCTTTAGTCCGACCATGAGCTTCTCGTTCGGCATCACAGGCCAGTCCTCAATGCGAGGGTTGTGGGTTGAACCAAAGGTGTGCCAAATGACAATATCCTGGTCTCTGACGGACTGGGCTGTTCCCTTGCCTCGGCGATTTGCAATAGCAGAGGCCAATCCGTCGCCACCAGTTGATTGCATGGTGTACCTGCCGGCTGGGAAGTGGTCATTGTCCTCGTAGTGAGTCACCCAGACGGCATGTTCGCAGAATTCAGAGCGCTTTGCGTGGTACGAATCGGGATGGGACAAGAGCATCTGACTGTAGAAGGGCATGAGTTTGAACCCGACAGGCGTTCCCGTGATAGGGTTTATTTTGTTCTCATTGACGAACTTGAAGGTGCGGTTCTTGGTGAAATCGAGGTCGAAGCCGCCCTCTTCCTCAATGATCTGACTCTCCGTGGCGTAGCCCACACCGAACGGGTTATGGACAGCAGGGTTGCCAACTGGGAGGGCCTTCGACTCCTCAACAACCAATGAATTGGAGTGACCATCAATTGCAGGGTCGATTCGGAGACTGAAGAGATGCTGGTGATAGGGTGCTAGGACGCCAGGTGCCACGACAGTTCCGTAGGGAATCTTCTCCTTGATATCGATATCGGAGGGCACCGTGGATAGAATACCCGTGGCACGAACCTCGTAAAAGATGGAGGCATCCTGGCAGAAGTGCCAGGCAAATATATACTCATAGTTGCTCACAGTGATGATTGTCTGTAAAACGAGGATGCGAGAGCGAGTTACGACAGGAGTCTGGGTACGGAAGTTGGTGTGCTTCCAAAGGATGCCATCGTCTTGTTCGTGACAGCAGACGACGTTGGGCATTTTCAAGGGATCTCCGGATGGCGTGTTGTGGTAAGCGTCGAAGTATTTGATCGTTCCTAGACGAGGCAGAGGACACCGGTTAGTTTTGACAATCATAGAGCACGACTTAGGCAAGCATTTACCGAGGCAATCGCAACCAAGCTGCAGGTTATTGGCATTAATACCCGCACCATCGTTACCAAGATCGAATGCAGCCTTGCGAGGATAGGGAGCACGTGGGTCTCCATAAGGCACAAACATCTCGGCCAGAGAGAGGCGATAGAAGAGGCTACGGCCATCATAGCGGATATCGTGCAGGGTAAGACCTTCTCGATAATTGAAGCCCACTCTGAAGCTCCATTTCTCCCACTTGACCTCGTTGCCTTGAATAAGGAATGACGGGCCCTCGGGCTGTACTACCTGGTAGGGCTTGGTGGTCGTCCTCGGGTTTGGCCTGAGCTGGGGGTGGTATTCGCTTGCAGCAGTCGAGTGAATTCTGCGGCGGTCAAATGGCTTTTTTTCGTGATTAATCCTCTCGTGCGGCTTGGTCGGCAGGCGATAGACCTTGGTGACTTCGAGCGCCTCGGAAACCTCAGCACAGACGTCCAGTGGATATGCGTAGTAGTTGGCATCGGGGCTCTCTAGCAACCGGAGGTAGAACCAGCACTAGATGGAATTAGGTTTGGAGCCAGAATCTGTAATGACATATGAGGCAACCGACCATTGTGACTCGATCAGTCATATCGTTCATGCCATCTGTGGCGTAGGCCCATGGCTCAACGACGACAGTGGCCCCAGCAGGAAGGTCGAGGGTGCGGATCTCAGCCTGCACCTCCTCGTTGGCCAGGCAGGCAGCTTCCACGGCTTTCATGTAGTCGGCATCAATATAGGAATGTTTTCCCTTGACATGCTGCTTTCTGGCAACCTTGTCATTGTCAAGATCGACAATGAGCTCGAACAGCTGATTGTCGTTGCCCCTTCCTTTCACGACTACCTCAACCCGGGCATAACGGGTCGGAGCCTGCCCTACGGGCTGCTTGTGGTGCTCCTTCTCGAGGTAGGGGATCATCTGCTTCTTGGATGGCTCCAGAAGGGTGACGACCCGAAAGTTAGGGTCTTGCCCCCCAAAGTGCGGGCGGACGACTCTCGAAGCCTAGCAATGGCATCTAATTCAGCACATGCACGATGTGATAGCACAGACAAGAGAGGAAAGGATTTATGGTTGACGCACTCTTGAGATTTCCTCGGGCCTAAGAGGGTCGAAGGGATGAGGGAACGCAGCAGCCATTGTCGTAGCGGGAAGCCGTGTTGGAGGCAGAACTGAAACCGGGTGACGAGGAAATGAAGTGATGAGAGAAAGAGGCCCAAGACGCTCCCAGCTTTATACTTGTAGTAGATTTGACGGTGGGGGTCATGCCCCCAAAGGCCCCGGATCCGTTGCGAAAAAAGACCCCCACAACACGATTTTGGAATTCAATCTCTGGAGGATAGAAAGCGCGCCCTTTCGCTATCTCTTCCCTCCAAAGGTATAGTTCAAAATTGCCACTCAAAGTCTCGTATTGTCATGCGGACTAAGCAAATGCTAATCGACCCTCTAAAGGTAAACGAGCGGCGGCGGGCAAATGGAGCAGTCCCACGCCAGCGTAACGGGCGGGTATTTCAGAAACGGTTGCCCACGCATTTGCACACTTCATTAACTATATCTTTGATCACTCGGTTTTGGAGCAATCAAGCGAGAATTGATATCGATTATTGTTGATTTATCGCATGCTTCCCGTTCCTTTCGTGGTCCTGCCTGCGCGAAGAAAGAGAAGCAATCCGCTCCCGTTAATTCGTAGCATTCGACTCGTCGCTATTTACCATGCCCCAGCAACGGCCCTTCCAGGTATGTCGGAGAACTTAAGATACGTGGCGTGTACCGATCAGTGGCCAACGCGACTGCAGCTGGACGACCAGTCCCTCCTTCATGAGAGCTCACTGCTCAATGGCGAATGGGTTCCTTCGCGATCACGCGAGACCTTTGATGTGGAAGGTAGGAGGCCTTTTCGCGCACCAACGTCTGGCTTTGTCGGATGGCTGTGATATTGATTCTCCATCGCCTTCTTTAGATCCCGGAAGTCGCCAAGTCTTTGCCTCATGCCCAGTCAACAAGGTCCAAGATGTGAATGGGTTTGTTACCAATTCCCAGGCAGCGTTCCTCACGTATCGGCATGTCAACCCTCGCCAGCGAGCCAGGATGCTCCTCGAGTGGCATAGGCTCATCAACAATGCGCGGGAAGACATCGCCAAGTTGGTCACCTATGAGACGGGGAAGCCGCTCACGGAGGCCCGTGGGGAGATCGACTATGCCCTGGGCTTTGCCTGGTGGTTCGCCGGAGAAGCAGAGCGTATTCGTGGCTCCGTAGCCATCCCATCCGTCTCTGAGCGTCGGACCTTTGTGATTAAGCAGCCGATCGGCGTGGCCGTTGCTCTGGTCCCATGGAACTTCCCAGTGGCGATGATCATCCGCAAAGTCGCTGCTGCTCTGGCGGCCGGCTGCTCCATGATTGTGAAGCCGTCTCCTGAGACCCCTTTGAGTGTTCTGGCCCTTGCTGACTTGGCTCTTCGGGCTGGGTTCCCTGCGGGCGTATTTAATGTCATCACTACTGACAATGACAACACACCTGCAGTTAGCGAAGCTCTTTGCAAGCACCCCCTTGTCCGCAAGGTGACCTTTACAGGTAGCACTGCCGTAGGGCGAGTTATTGCGCGACACTGTTCCGACGGGCTCAAGAAGGTCACTATGGAGCTTGGAGGCAACTGCCCGTTCATAATCTTTAACGATGCAGATATAGACCAAGCAGTAGCTGCGCTCATGATTCTCAAGTGGCGTACTGCTGGCCAGGCATGCACCCATGCGAACAGAGTATATGTGCAGAGCGGTGTTTACGAGGAATTTGCGCAGAAGATGCTCGAGGCTACTCAGAAGATCCGTGTTGGTCACGGTGCTGACTCTACCACTACCATGGGAGCGCTGACGACATCTCGAGGCATTGAAAAACTGGAGAAGCATGTTGCCGATGCCGTCTCTAAGGGAGGCAAGGTTCTATGCGGAGGAAAGACCCCCAGCGGCCTAGACGGCTACTTCTTCGAACCTACCATCATCTCCGGCATGACCTCGTCCATGCTGACAACGAACGAGGAGATTTTTGGACCCCTTCTGGGTTTGTATAGGTTTGAAACTGAGGAAGAAGTCGTCGAAGCGGCAAACAATACTTCCATGGGGCTTGCGTCCTACTTCTTCAGCAAGGATGTTGACCGCACTTGGAGACTCCTCGAGAGCCTTGACGCTGGAATGATTGGCATGAACACAGGTGGGGATTTTGCTCTTTTCGATGCTTTCCACGCTTTATGTACTAACCACATTGGCAGGCAATTCATCCGGGGCAGAGTCTCCATTTGGAGGAATCAAGGAGTCTGGATACGGCAAGGAAGCGGGCAAAGATGTTGCTATTGAAGAGTACCTCATCCAGAAAACGGGCACTCTGACCGTTGGATCCATTTCAAAGCTGTGAATGTTGGTCTGACTGGATTCGCAAACGAAGTACATGTTATGATACACTGGATGGAATGCGACGCATGGTCATTCTCGATTCTACCTGTCTTTTATATGCTTCAAATTGTCATGATAATGATTGGTGTATTCGAATGTCGGCCAATTCTAGCCACTTGGCAGGAGGGGCATCAGTAGCTAGTTGAGTGGGCAATGTCCTTCGCTTGCAGCAAGTTGTCCTGCAGTTTCTCAATTTTAGTTTGAAAGCGTTTATAGCAGTCTGAGCCAAGTGGCAAGCGAAATAGGTCTCCCTTCCCAGCACCCATGCCGGTATCGTCTACGACTTCCAGAATTCTCTGGGCACATTTGACAGCATCTCCAGGCTGGGTGCCTTTGTTTGACTTGAATGCCTGGAGAACATGCTCCAGGGGGGTCCCAGCATAGTCCTTGTTCATACACGCCGCAGGCTCGACATAGGCTGTCCAAAAGTTGGTTCGAAGTGATCCCGGCTCCACGAGGAGCACTCGAATATTGAATGATGCTAGCTCTCTCGCGAGGCTTTCAGACATGCCTGCTCATTTTGTATTAGCAAGCCATTCCTCCAAATATATGCCTATCTTGTTACGCTAAGGTTTCTAGAGCAAAGTAAACTCACCTTCAAGAGCAAACTTTGTCCCCGCGTACATCGCGCATGCAGGCAGTCCATCGATCCCGGCGCTGCTGCTAATATTGACAACAGTGCCAGACTTCATCGCCCGCATGAAAGGAAGAACAGCCTTCAACACACGAACGGGACCGTAAACATTTGTGTTAAACTGAGTCTCGATTTCGGCCTCGCTCATGTCCTCGATACTGCCCAGTAAAGAATACCCGGCATTATTGACAACAACATCAATAACACCGCCAGCCTCGTCAACCGCATGTTCCACTAATTTGATGGTGTCGGAGCTCGTCACGTCAAGCTTTATCCAAATGCCGCCGAGGTTTGAGATCTGCGGGTTGGCTTCAGCTGCTTTAGTGGGGTTGCGGGCCGTGGCGATTACTGTGTGACCGGCTTGGAGGGCTGCCTCTGCGATTGCGGCTCCGAGGCCAGAAGATGCGCCAGTAACAAGCCAGGTTTTGAATGCCATCTTGAGACTGTAATAGACTCGATTAAAATGACGTTGCTGAAATGTAGTGTGGGTAATTCAGTGTGTCACCGAATGTTTGGGTAATTCACTGGTGAGATGTAAAGAGGGCGTTGCTCGAAATTTCTTGGATATATGACCTTGGAAATTGAGAGGCTAATCAGACAGGCTACTATCTTATGAAATGGACAACTTAGAAGACCTAGGGAGGTGTCGCTGCCATTTCGGAGTTAGGCGGAGCGGAGTTTGGCTACTAATGCCGCTAGAGCCAGGTACATCTTCATGCGACTATGGAGTTCTGCTACTCTGCACATATTTGACAAGTCTCTCCAGCTGATCTAAGTAGAATCTTCAGGTGCTTCTTTCCATACGGGTCTTGTCAGCAGTGCGCGCCTATCTCACAGGTTCCAGGACAGCGCATCAAAGCATAAACCGCTTTCCAGGCGGGAGGCTCTCTGGAAAGTTCGTCCTCGGCACAGACCTGTTGGTCTCGCATTTGGAGCATGCGCTGAGCAGCAGATGAAGTGTCTCGCTTACCGGTTGTCTTGCGACCGACGGCTGAAACTTAAGCGTTCTCTATGTGATTGAATGAGATACTAAGTCTTAAATTCCGGGATAGAGACTACTGATAAGGAGCATGTTATGCGGGTCGAAGAGATGGAAAGATAAGCGCGGGGATCTCCACGCGGATGTTCTACTTCCAAAATGACCGCCGGATACGCTAGCGCCCAGACATGCGGACTTTGCGCTCCATCTCCAAATCCTAACTAATGCGGCTTCGATGGAGACCGCAAGCCCTTCTTTCGATATCCTCCTCTTGCCTCTCCTCGTGACTCCGTTTGGGTTGGGGGAATGTATCGGACTGAGATGGACCCGTAGCAATGTATGACCCCACTGGCCTTGGTCTATAAAAGGTGTCCGGATTGCTTCCATCTCCCAAGTCAAGCACCATCCTCTTCTATTCTCCTTTCCCCCTCTTGTGCCCCAGTCAACCAAATTTCAGGCCTCTCGTTCACAATGGTCATCGTAAAGAAACCCGAGCCTTTCAAGAAGGCTCTCCACTTCACCATCGATGAGTTCCAGGAGAGACGCAACCGGGCCCTCGCCCTCATGAAGCGGGAGAACCTGGATGGGTTCCTCATGACCAAACAAGAGTCCCTCTACTACTTTACCGGCTTTGACACCTTTGGCTACGTCTTCTTTCAGGCCATGTACTTCCACAGTGATGGACGCATGCGACTGATTACCCGTTCGCCAGACCTGCGCCAGGCTCTCTACACCTCCATCCTCGAGAAGAAGGACATCATGATCCGATCTGACGAGGCCACCGCCAATCCCGTCTCGCTTGTCCCCGAGGTGCTGAAAGAGTTTGGCATCAATTCGCCCTCTAAGAGGATCGGCTATGAGCCAGACTCGTGCACCCTGAATCTACGTGTTGGGCAGCTGCTCCTAGAAGCCGTTGATGGCCTGTGCACCCTTGTCGACCATAGCACCTTGTTCGGCCGGGAACTACGCCTCATCAAGTCTGAGACGGAGATCCGCAAAATCCGCAAGGCCGCCTACCTTGTCGACTTTGCCCTTGTTCGCGCACTCAAACTCGCCAAGCCCGGCGCTTACGAGGGCGACCTATGGCGTGAGATTGTTGGTACCGTCTACGAGGGTGGCGGCGACGATCCGGCCAACGAGAACATCCTCGTGTCTGGCAATAAGGCCGTTCTGACTCGCTATTCTACTGGCAAGTCTAAGGTCGACCGACAGATCACCCTAGAGCACGGCGCAGCGTATAAACACTACCACGCGTGTCTGATGCGCACTATCCCGCTAGGTGGCGTCACTAAGCTTGCAAGACGTATGCACGAGGTCAATATCCTGCAGATGGAGGCTGCCATGGAGGCCCTCAAGCCGGGCAGGGAGATTGGCGACGTATTTGAGGCGTATGCCCGCGTTGCCGATGAGAACGGCTTCCGCGAGCAGAGACTCAGCGCTTGCGGATACAGTATGGGCGCTACTTTTGCCCCGACCTGGATGGACTTTCCCATGTTTGTGCGTGGCCAGAAGGTCGTCGCCCAGAAGGGCATGGTCTTTTTCATTCACATTATTCTCATGGACATGGCCACCGACACGGCCAGCTCCATCGGACAGACGGTCGAGGTCACCGCAGACGGCTGTGTGCCACTCTCCAAGCTGCCTTTTTGCCTCACTCGCAAACAGACTCTTGCATCCTGGAAGAAAATTCGCAAGGAGGATTACGGCTTCTCTGCCGAGGAAGAAGATGATGGCGAGAACCTTCGGGACATTGAGCTTTCCGACGGCGAGACCGACACCGAAGATTACGACATTGAGTATGACTTTAGTGACTACCAGGGGGCCACCTAGATGAGCAGTATGTAGCAAAATTAAGCACACATCTACTTGCTTTCCTGGCCAGCGGACACTAACTTGCCCAGCCCCCCATCATCGCAACCAGACATCTAATTCGCGTCCACACAACCGTCACCATGCAATACTTTCATCTGCTTTATAATGAACAATAAATTACCAAGATAATTGTTTCTATCTATCTAGAACTATCTTGCAGGGTGTATTTGTTATTTACAGAAATCTTCCGTAATCTCTATAAAAGCCTCCGCCAGATGCCGCACTGACTCAACCTCAACCCACTCCGTTTTGGCGTGGAGACCGTATCCCTTAGGGCCCCAGATCAATCCAGGGATACCTTTCTCGTTCAACAAGGCCATGTCCGTCCAGTACGTTTCCCCTTTGATAATCGGCTTTGCGCCTGTAGCTTGGGCGGCATGCTTGGCGACCAGTGAGACAAAGTCATGATCCCTGGGAATGAAATAGGGAGCTCGCGAGAAGGTCGACCGCAAGTCAAATCTGAAGTTTGGGACGGTTGCTGCGAGGTTTTCCAAGATGCGCAGGAGTTCGAGCCTCACAGTTTCCGCAGTCTCTCCGGAGATTGTACGACGCTCAATGAAGATGGTGCAGAGGGCTGGGTAGGAAGCAATCTCCTCGCCGCCCTTGATGACGCCGGCATGGATATTTGGTGCCCCCGTTTCCGGCTTTGCGTTGCCAAATCGCTCTTGGAGCTCCTGAGCATGGCGGTCGAGCTCAACAAGGAAATATCCAGCTTTGCAGATTGCATCAACCCCCAGGTCGGCACGAGACCCGTGAGCCGCCACGCCATGGATGTCGACCTCGAACAACGCGAAGCCCTTGTGCGTATTTATCAAAGCCATTTCCGTGGGCTCAGCTACGATTGCCGCATCTGCTCGCCAGCCAGCTTGAAGCACTTGTTCGGTCCCAACGCTCTCCGACTCTTCGTCCGCAACCGCGGCGAGAATCACGTCACCCTTCAGCTTCTTCGATTTGGCACTTGCAACCGCCAGCATGCCAGCCGCAAGACCGCTCTTCATGTCGGCAGTGCCTCGACCATACATGTTACCATCAACAATGTTGCCGCTCAAAGGGTCGCCATTATAGCCTAGCAACGTGACAGTGTCCATGTGCCCGTTGAACATAAGGCTCTTGCCGCCTCCAGAGCCGCGAACAACACCAATAATGGAAGGCCGTCCTGGAGTGGGCTCAATCCAGTGGTTCTCAATGTCACGATGCTGGAGCCACGAGGTGATATAGTTGGCAATAGCCGTCTCTCCAGGACCAGGCGTCGAGCCAAAGTCGGGGTTGGAAGAGTCGATTTGCACCAGAGTCTGAGCCAGAGTGATGACATCGTCGGATGAGACATCCTTGGGTGTCGTGTAGGGTGAAAGACCCTCGGTGCATAAAAGAACGAGGACAGAGTTCTCATTCAATCCCAGCTGCGCCCTGTGAGATTCCTCCAGCCGTCGAAGAGCAGCCAGTCCGGACGCACCAGCCAATCCTGCACTGACACCAGCGGTTTGTAGCTCAAGGCTTGCCAAATGAGCCTCATAGTCAGAGACCGTCGCACTGGCATCCACTCCGGGCATCAAGTCCGACCAAGCAGCCTCAAATAGTGCCTCGCAATTCCCGTTTTTACCAACAGGTTCTTCTCGGGCCAATTTTTTCCACAAGGTCGGAGCTGTATCTGGCTCAACAGCAACAAAGGCCATAGGATTTCTTTCTGGTGCTTTGAGGTGGTTTACGGCAGCTTGTAAAAGCGCGGCAGTACCCGCAGGACAGACTACTAGATCGGCTTTCTCTCCCATGAGCTGGCTATCGAGCTCCCGCATGAGAGTCGAGTAGCCCTCCGCCATCCACTGTGCAACGTTCAATTAGCTTTAGCTCTTCTCTGAGTTTGGATTAAAGTAAACGGCGAGATCTACCTGCGGGATGTGCCGGTTTCCATGAGTTGACTCTTCCTGAACAAGTATGCCACTTTGTTCATGAGAGGCGGCTTGTGCCTGCGACAGTGCCTCGCGGTACGAATTGCCGTGTGCGACAACAAGCTTTGCACCTTCCGCACGGATGAGGGCGATAGTGTCTGCTGTTGTATACGAAGGGACGTAGATCTGGACGGAAATTGCAAAGAGCGAGCCTACGCGCGCCACAGCGAGTCCGTGGTTGCCGTCCGATGCAGTGAATAGAGTGACAGGGCTTGTAATCAGCCGCGCTCTGACCGACTCGATAGTGGAACTCTCTGGCAATCCCAGTCGTTCAGTCAACGCTCGGAAGACAGCCCAGGATAGGCCAAGGCTGTTGACGGCCGGTAGTCCTAGTCGGTTGGTCTCATCTTTCGCATAGACCGATTCGACCCCGAGGCACTCAGCTACACTGGGTAGAGAGACAAGAGGAGATGGACGGTACCCTTCGACCTGCAAATGGAAGGCTTCAACCACATCAGCGGAGTTAAAGCCCTTCGTTGTCCAAGACCGGGCATCCGGATTGTAGTACAAGGGGCGGCGATGAGGAGTCATGACGACTGGGGGAGATATCCGTCACCCGGGGATGAAAAAGGAAAATAGGCTCTGTGCGTTGCCTCGATTGGGGTCCTCATTTTGGCTCTATATGCCCTGCCTTCCGTGCTTTAAGCTAGAGCCAGCCCTCTCTAAGCCTCCCAGCGTAGAGCATATGTCCATGTTAATCACTATTGATAAACAGGCCGATGTATATATCCACGCTAGTCCAAACCTGGAATTTACCCGCCAGATGCGATCGACACCCAGAGAAACTCTAAAAGATCCGATGTCGTGTCTAGCTAGTCCCGGGAGGATTCTCTGCCCATCATTGGTAAATGTGAGTGTCATACTTCTTGACAATAATATATAGCAATTTAGATGAAATAATATCAGGCGAAAGATAAGTTCCAATCCAACTCCCGTAGCATAAGTTCCCAGTCCGTCCGCCCCTTGTCCCAAAGCAGTTGTAGCAGCTCGCGGGCCCGCCCAACATGCTTGAATTTGGTCCAGGTCTCGATACATGTGAGACGATCCTGGATGTATTGGATCATGCTAGCGTTGTCGCTACTCCCAATCCCAGCCATAAACAAAGGAAACAGGAGACCTATCTCACAGAACATATTTGACGGGACCTGAGACACGTAATGGAGGATTTGCCGTACACAGTCCTCCATGCGTAGTTTATAAACGGCGCCCGCGTCGCCGAAGCGGAGGAGATGACGGTAGAGGTAGAACAGAGAGGCGAAGCGGAAGGCCTCTGCATGATGGATAAGCGCTTGGATGTGACTGTCGGCTGAATCCACCTGGAGGCGCAAATCTTGCGAGCGAAGGGCCTGGGCCATGTCTTCAGCCCGCAGAGTTTCTCTTGACCGCCGGTCAGAGCATGATGACAGATCGAGGTCTGCTGTGTCGGCAATAAAGGCAGAAATCTCGGTCATGTGTCTAAAGATGTGGTGACCTAGGCCCATAAAGGAGTCAGCCGAGGTGACTGTCGTGTTGACGTCCTGGACCCAATATACGCCATTGACCGAGGCGCGATGTCCTGTGCTCAGTGAGGCCATGATATCATGGTAGGCAAAGTATCGGAGCAGAAATGCCCCGTCGGACGTGCGGAGTAACCTAGACGTTCCCAAGTGTTTGATGAGATGACCCGCGCCTTGTAGATGGAGCAGCCAGCGCGACGTGTCGCCGCCAATGACCTCAGTGGTGCTAATGACGAGCGCACAGGCAATGGTACTTTCTGTAACGGTATTGTTCTTGATGGCCTCCGCCAAACCTCGGGTCACCTGGTTCTCGAACTTTATGCGAGCCTCTGGCGTCACAGGAATCGCTGAAGTGGCAGTGTCGACATGGACCGAAGCATAAGCAAAGAGGGCGTGGAGGAGTGACGGATCAACGATAGCCATGGGGAGCAGCACAGAACAGAAGCTGCTACCGTCTTGCTGCAGGATTGAGCAGAGGGGGGCAACATGGTCTAGAAAGTACCTCAACAAAACACGCTCGATGCCCTCCCAGGAGCCGGAGTTGTCGGGGACGCTGGACCTGCTTCTGGGTAAGATTTCGGTGCCTTGCGCCGCTTTGTCACCATCATCGTCGCCATCTGTTGAGCTGCTCGCCGCTTGGCTGGCAGACTTGTTCTCGTCCTTGGGCGAACCGGTAATCTCCTCGCCGCCTCGGGCTTTCCTCCGGGGCGCGCGAACGGGGACTCTGCGCAGAGGAAGCTGCTCGCAGACTAGCCCAAGGCGGATACAGGATCTACAACGGCCGTCGAGACCCGAGGCTTGGCCGTCGCACTTCTTCTTACGGGCCTTGCATGTCAAACATCCTGAGCGGACGCGGCCGTCAGCCGCAAAGCGCCGGCGTATCGGGCGGTCGGTGGCCCCAAGAGGCTGGCTCATGGGCGTGGGGATGGCACGGTTTATCAGGAAGACAGTAAGACTTGTCGTACGTCCAAAGGGAATTTAGGGGGTGCTACGGGCGGAAAGTTGCTGCGGGGAAATACGATTCAGGCCCGGCTTTCGCCTGTTCTCCACCGGAGCCGTAGAACAAAAAGTCCGCCCGATACGCGCGTATCCATCCTTATCTTAGCAGGCACCATGGCTCCTGACGGAATGATAGGGCAAAGGCTATCAATACCCCGGCGGCTACTTTCCCCACAATCCATATATCATTCCTCAGTTGAGCAAGCGGCAACAACTTATCTACATGTCCAGATGGTCGCATAATTACAAAACTTGAACAATGCCTCGATCCAATTTTTGATCCTGCGCCCCAACAAACGCGGCCACAATCAGTTACTCCGAGGAAGCGCCTCTCAACCTTGAGAGAATAAATAAAATAAAATAAATACGACTGGACTCCTGAGATTTACTTGACAATGTCGGATGCCGACAAGACCCAATTGCCAGAGAAGGATATGTCGACCGAGCCGGCCAACATCTCTAATGGCCAGGTGCTCGAAACCGATGCGGCTGGCTCTCATTCCAAGCTCAAGTCGAGACACTTGTACATGATTGCCATGGGAGGTAAGAAAGATGTCGTGACCTTTCGCTGTCGAGCACCCTAGGACGACAAATCAACTGACAGGGGCAATAATAACATCGCGTAGGTTGCATCGGGACCGCATATTTGGTGGGCTCCGGTAAAACCCTCAGCAGAGGCGGCCCTGCCCTCGCCCTCGCCGGATTCATCACCATCTGCTCTGTCGTTTGGGTCTTTTCGACCCTACTTTTCGAGATGGTGGCCTATATCCCGCTGAATGGGGCAGGTCCGGACTACTATACAACTCACTTCCTTTCTAAGTCGTTTGGCTTTGCCATGGGCTGGAACTACTGGTATGCGTACTCGATTCTGGTTCCTTTCGAAATTACCGTTGCCACGCTTGTCATCCAGTACTGGAATCCCCCTGTCCCCGACGCCGTCTTCATCTCTATTCTCTTTGTGATCATTGTTGCCCTGAATTATCTGCCAGTTGGAAACGCTGGCGAGGCAGAGTTTGCCTTCTCGTCTCTGAAGCTCACCATGCTTATTGGAATTATTATCTTATCCATCATTCTCGCAGCAGGCGGGGGCCTTCAGGTGATCGTGTTGGATTCAGGTACTGGAACAACCCGGGGCCAGCCAACCCTTGGATCGTCGAGGGAAGCGCGGGAAAGTTTGTGAGCTTCCTCGGCGTGCTTGTTAGCGTTGTGCTGCCTGTAAGATCCCCCAGTCTACTCTTTCATCGCTAGTTGATAACGAAGCTAACTTTGCATTCTCGCTAGCTCTCATTTGCTGCCGAAATGGTGGCCGTGTGCGGCGGCGAGACCAGGAGTCCCCAAAAGACGGTTCCCAAAGCTGCAAAAGCCTTCGTTGTTCGCCTCATTGTTTTCTACGTACTCCCCATTCTGGGTGTCACGTTGACTTGTCCGTCTAATGCCCCCGAACTGACTTCCGGGGGCGAAGGGGCCGGGTCATCGCCCTTTGTCGTCGGTATCAAGGACGCGGGCATCCATGTCCTCGATCACATCGTGAACGCAGTCATTTTGTGTTCCGCGTGGTCAGCCGGCAACGTTTACATGCACTTGGCTTCCCGCTCGATATATTCTCTGGCCACAGCGGGCAACGCACCCAAAATCTTTACCAAAACCAACCGATGGGGGGTCCACTACCTGGCAGTGACGAGCTGTACCGTGCTCACCCTCCTGGCGTATTTGAATGTCAGCTCCAGTTCTGGCACAGTGTTCACTTGGCTTGTCAACATGATCAACATGGCCGCTTTCTTCTCTTGGATTCTGCTCTCATGTTCTTATATTCGATTTCGAGCGGCACTAGAAGTCCAGGGCGTGGACCGTTCAACCCTACCATTCGTATCGGTTTGCGGCAAGCCGGGTGCCTATTTCTGCATTGTCTTCTTCACGATTGTCGGTCTCTTGAACGGATTCTACGTCTTCTTTCCTTCACAGTGGAACGTCTCGGACTTCTTGACTGCCTACATTGGCACTCTTTTGTTTGTGGTCTTGTATATTGGACACAAGCTTACTGTTGGTCGAAAGGAACCTTGGCTGATTCCTGCCCAGGAGATTTGCCTGGTGTCTAAGCCTGAAGGAGCGAGCGAGGCATCCACCCATGACGACATTGAGTCTGCCGGGGCATTCTCTCAGACCTGGAAGAATCTTTTAGGAAAGTCCAAGTAGCTTATCTTTTTAAGTTTATTTTTTTTTCCTCCAACTTGGAGGAACGATTTGGGAAAGTCTGGCTTCTAAGATGCATCATTAGTAAACACTTCTAATCAGTTAGTTAACTAACTCTCTAATTAACTCACAAGATCATGTGTCCGCCAGACCGGTGGGTACCTCGTACCTCTCTCCTGTAGAAAGTAGTGTTGCGGGGACTGAAGAGGATGTCCTTTCTTGTATCAATAGCAAGTGATTCTGCCCGCTTTTTATGAACTGTGAAGATTTATGAGTTTCTTATCAGCGATTAGGTATATCTATATGGCAAACAAGTAAAAGCACGACCTTGATGAAGACCCCATACCCATATAACTTTTACCACAGCACTCTATCATCGTATGAATAGAGAGTATCTCACAATGAGCAGCGTATTTTATCTGTAAGCGCTAGAAATTTTACCTTACACTACAATGCTAGGTGACTGGTCATAATCCACTGCTGTTAATATGAGTGAATAAACGAATGTGAACTATATACCTTGCGCATGCGTGACTCTCACACGACTCAGGCTAATGACTGCAAAAGCCTACAAACGCTTCTTATAATATGACGGTACTTACCCTTAAAAAAATCCACTAATATACATTGCGAGTGTGATCTGATATTATCCTACTACTTTCGGAATTCGTGAACAACTATTCCTGAGATACCTTAGTCAATTCAAACCTGCCTTGTATTAAAAATTTTCGTGGGGTTTGTTTCCCATGAAATCAGCAGCAAGCATAGGATGCTCCCCAAATACTTCATTCCAAAGGCTCCAGTCAAACCTCAATCCACAGTCAGAGAATGACGAATCTTTAATGGAGTTCACACTGTCAGGGTTTGGATAAACAGAACCTCCTGCCAGAATGGACTGAGCTGCTTTTGAGCTATGCCTTTGTGAGGAAGAAGCTGGTATTGTTCTTAAAGTGTTGTTCAATGTTTCAGAAGGCGGATCGTCGGGACGTACAGCAGGTATGAGTTGAGATTCGGCAATTCCTTTCGCAATCGAGCCAGCAAAAGACGCCTGCTGAGGGTATGACTCGTACCAATATCTATGTTGTGTTGACAATTTTCGCGCAGGAGCCCCTAAATCTTCATTGTTCATCGGCGCAATAAAATCGGGATGTTGGTAACCCAATAGCCGGGTAGCTGATGGACTAGTCGATTGTGCTTGTGAGAGAACGCTAATAATATCATTGTCAGAAAAGGAGAATGAAGGGACCAGGAATGGCTCTCTAGAGGTGATCCATACGCATCAATTATATCCTTGCTCGTCCAAAGAACATTTGGACTGAGACCAACGTTCAGCCAAGAAATCTGACGGAGACGCCGTATCATATACCATGCTTCACGGCCTTCCTTCTGTAGACGTCTTCGCGTCATGCGATCCCCATCAGCTCCAACAACCCCTCCGTCGGGCCCCAATAGTGCCATGACATTGTCTATCAATGAACGCGATGTCGAGGACTCGGGACTATATGGTTGCTCGTAGAGGTCAACCAGTAGGATCCTTTCAAGTATTAGAGTGTAATCAGAAAGTTATTCAAAGCACCGTACATTGTCGCATGGAGTGGCTGATGGTTACTGTTTTACATTAGTTTGATATCTATGGCAATATAAAAGGCACTTACCCTGGCCAACTCCAGTGAAAGCTAACAAAGTTTGGATTGGTCGCAAGTTGGATAAATTTTTTCATAAATCCATGGCAGTGAAACAGGGCACTATAACTTAGTAAAACGATTTGTGCGGCTTTTTGCGGGTATCTCACTAACCTTTGTCTCATTTCCGGCCAAATCGGGCTATTGGAGTCTTTGAGAAAAGGTTGGTAAGCGATGCAGAATGCCTGCAAATTCGTCAGTTGGAGGAGACTACGATGGTTTTCCTAATTTCGGAACGAACTTTATCAACATAAAGTGAAAGAATGATTTTAGACCATTGATAAAATGGAGCCAATTGTTCGGCGAATTTTCCAGCTTTGCACTTATCGGAAGAGATATCGAAAAATTCTGCCCCGCAGAAGTCATTATCTGCATTACCTGGCGGATCTTGACGTAGACATGTCGTGCTGCAGGGGATCGATGTGTTCGAAATAGACCAGGGTTCACAATTCGGAATTCGGCTGGCGAGGGAAATATTGGCCCAATACGTCGAGCTCACATACCTGTTTGCGCTTTGAGTAGATGCAAGTGTTATTGAGATTGATCTGACCAACCTGCCACCATTCTCTAAGTCCAGATGCCCACTTCTTTGATCATTATCAGGGTCACACCGTTTGGAAAGCTGTGCACAATTAATGGCGACTACGTCTTTGCCTGGCTCTGTTTGGACTTGCGTTTGAGGTTTTCCAAGATGTCCGGGTGATACCTTTTTTTTCTTGCCAAATTTGAAGCTTTCGTCGCAGCCAGATGGATGGTCAACGTCATCGCTGGCCCTTCGACCTGTAGAAGTAAAGCCTTCTTTCTTGGCTGCTTCCAGATGCTCAAGGATGGATATCATGGTATCCAGTCTTGATTCAATTGAAGCAGAATATGTGTCTTGGCAGACGTATTTATTCGTTGGGTGGTTAGAGGAAATCAAGCTTTCCTGAGGTTTTTGCTGTGACACATCGCCTTTTCGAGCGGTCCTATTTTTGCCCATTACTGACCCACCGAGCTCTTCCTGCTCCAGTGCCAAATCTTTCAAATGTTGCTTTCTGCGTTTTTCTTTCGCTTGAACATGTGTTTCTGCTTGAATTGCGAATGGTATTTCGTAAATGCAATTAACTCCGATAATGGTGCAGCTGCTGCACTTGGGCCGTGCCTTATTGTCCAAGTCAGTTTGTCAGTATCACTGAACTGCAGAAGCAAGCAATGTCTTACTCTATCACACTTGACTTTCCGCCGGCGGCACAACTTGCAAATTTGACTCATGGGGGATTGTGTGGTGTAGAGCATTTCGAGGAACGTCTTTCTAGTCAGACTATGAGCTATAATGGGCAAGCAGGTCGGCTTACTGAACGTTGATGCATCAAGATCCGAGATAAAGTGATCCATCCCGTTGGGGAGGGATATTGAAAGGAGGTTTGCGGGAGTAGAGTGAGTCGGCCGAGTGGGCAACATAGTCGAAAGAACGAGACCCACGCTCTGATGCATGAATTATCGAAGCTGACCATAAGACGCGTGGTCCCGATAAATTGCTCAGCCGCTTTGCAACCCCAGTGCCGCTCTCGGCCGACAAAGAGCAACATCATATCAACCGTACTCAGATTGCTACAGAAAAGCTTGACGAAAGCTTAAAATCAGCTAATAGCGCCAGCGAGCCTTGGACGATACCTTTTGGAACTTCATGATAAAGAAGAGTCCACCTTTTGCTGCTCTTGAGGGGTCGAGAATGCCGTTTGAATGAAATTGTGAAAGTCGGTACTGTGAAGAAAACTTAAGCGAAATGTCTCGGATCATGGCTTTTCCCAACGCCTTTCAGTGTCGAGGTTCTTGCTTTTATTCAAAAATGTGTATTTATAGTTATCCTGTAGTTGTCGGATTTCCTTCAAAGTTCTACATTTTCCAAACTTTCCTGTTAACTGAATAAACCAAAGTCGATACTCTAGGGAGTGTATGCGATTTAATGGAAGAAATGAAGTAGGCAAATGCTCTGGCTAAGTGTCCAGTTGACATAGTAAGCGATATATATGTTCAAGAGTGAGAATTCAAGTTTAGCTTAAGGCTAACTAAGCAATCTTAAATTTGAAAGTTCGCGAAAACATTTTCGCCAGCCACAAGCCCAGCACGATATGGATTGATACCCACATGATTTCAGATATGTTGAATTGTGGCGATACCATCGTGTATCTAGTCCGCTCCAGACGCGTAAAACCAGTTACTAATAATAGTGACACCATCGAAAGTTTGGCTGGTGCTGAAGACACAACGAAAATTTGGCACAGAAGATCACTCAGAAGACTTCCTAGGCAAGCCTTGAAGACATTCATCAGACCGAATTCATCAAAAGCAATCACGGCGTGATGAACAGGAGCTCCTACGGCAACAATAATCAGCGTAGCAGGTATTATCCGGTATCTAGCGCGTGTGATCACTGCCGCGCCGAAAACGAACACGACCACTGAGCCAATTTGTTCTGTGAGGTTTGGCCGGGGTGGTGTTGCAAAGCGCGGAGTACCATTGAGCGAGGTCTCGATTTGAATAGCAATGTTTTCAGCCAAGGAAGCGCCAAATTGCAGCATACAGGCAAGGTATAATGTTTGTGCTATCCGCAGGCTAAAGCTAAAAAGGCTTCGGCGTCCCCGGGCTATCATGATGCCGGAGAGAGGAATAGAGAGAGCGTCAACTGTCAAGGCTTGCATGAAAGCGGAGACACTGGGCATTGATGACAGGGTTGTATCGTTCAGGATTGTCGACTTTGAATTGGAGACGGAAAATTGAAAGAGAGGAATAGTCGCAGCACCGAAGATTTGCAACGTGTTGTATGATATGGTAGAGTTGGACCGATTTTGTCGGAGTAGACCCAAAGCACCACCAAGAACAAAAATCGCAGGAGTATTGACAAGCACTGAGCTGGACAGCATGGTCGCCAAAGCGCAGATCGTCATTCCATTTGCCACGAATGTTATGGCAACATTGTACTTCGGTTTGCATAGCATGAGAAGATCCAAGGAACGAGAAGCTTCATCAATTGATAGAAAGCCACTCTTCATATCTTCGTGGATGTCTTGTACTAGACCCAAACGGTGGAAGTCAAGACCTTCTTTCTCCTTCCAGAATTCCGGCTCACAAGCTGAGCCTGGGAGACTCAAATCCACTAGCACATAGCCCGGCAGATGCATGTATTGATCTTCGGCGATCATCTGGGATTGACAGAGAAACTCCTCCAAAACGCATAGTAGTCCCCCGTACTGCATCAATGACCGACATAATCGCTCAAAATACTGCCCTTGCGTAGGTTTTGACGCGGAGCTGGTTGTTTTTGTGCATGTCTTGTTGGAGGACTCGCTTGCGTTCTTGCCCGTGAGTGGCTGTCGCGGCCAACACATTGCAGGAAATAAGAACTAAGCACACTGTCCGAAAGGAATCAAAAGGTTAACTGGAATGGCTTCCTGGGGCTTTGCTTGAACTTATTGTAAGATTTTGGTTGCCTTATAGCAATGTAATTTACCTCACTCAGATTTGGCTGATGGATCAAAGCTACTCGGCCGAGACATTCGTGATAGATATCATTTGCACGTCCAAGCTTTGAAAGCCATAATAACAACTTCGCACGGAGACTCGAAAGATCTGTGGCCGGGGCATTTTCAGGCCAGGCGTCATACGGTTGAAGGTTTTAAGAGTCTTCTCCTATGGGTGTGCCCTTCAATAGGGCTTACCCTTTTTTAAATTTCTTTTCATTTTCTTTTCATTTCTGATTACTACAACAAAAGGCGGGACACTTGTGGGTTGTTGAAGCTTGGTTGAAGAAGCTGTGAATTTGAATAAAGCGATCAAACTACCAGTTTGGCTAAGAGTACTCCAATATGAAGAGGCAATTATTATTTGTGTCTCCTTAAAATAGTTTTTAATAAAACATAAAATCTCACAATGAACAGGCCTCACGTGGAAGACTTGCTTGAATCCCTGAGCAATAGGCTGCTGTGGCGGTGTTTGACTAGATCTCACTGCCTTTAAAAGAAATTACTTTTCCTTACCCGGCAGCTGTTTGAGCAGATTCGAAGTCTTGACGCATAAAGATCGTTAGTTTTACCCATTCCATCTATTGCGAATGGTTGGGAGTGCACATCCTGTAAACGGGATATTGACAAAAGGTTAGTATTGAAAAGCAAGCAAATGATCGAGGAATTTCTTTTAGCAATATCAAAACTGACATACTGAATAGACCCAAAGAGGTATTTTCGGGGCCCTTAATTCGGCCGAGAGACTGAGGGAGAGAACCCTTCTCTAAGAGACTGGTTAATGCAGAGCGGATTTCCTCCACTCTTCTTCATCTGTTGCAGGAGTTAAGAGTTAAATTTATATTTTCAAATGTTAGTTAGAAGAAGCCTAGTCATCCACCCGTTTAAGGACAATGTGGGTTACATAAAGCATCTACCTTACCGTGCGTACAAATTGGTATAAGAAAGATATGTTGTGAAGATTGGTTGTGAAAAAGAAGATGTTGCGCAGGCATAGTCATTCACAATAGTAACGCAAGTAATTGGCTAGAATGACATGAAATTAATGACAGTTCATCGAATTTGTGTCAAAGTCCTTTTCAATCTAGTCTATCTGTGAACAATATTTAACCAGTGTGCAAAAGAATAATTAACACATTCTTCAATATAATTTGATCATTGCCCAAGATAAGCACGATTAAATGCGGGAATGCTCGGCAATCAAGTTTGAAGAGTTGGGGAGACTGTCAATGGCGGACCGGTCGATCTGGTCGATCGACTGGAAGCCAGCTTCTTCCATGAGAATATCGAATTCCGCAAGAAAACTTTTCATAACATGGCGCACACCAGGCTCACCGGCAATGCTAAGTGCCCATACCCAGAGGCGCCCTAGGAATACGAACTTGGCCCCAAGCGCAAGGGCTTTGAATGCATCGGCGGCGCTGCGCACACCAGAATCGAACATGATCTGCAACCAGTCATTAGTTGATCCAATTACCACAAATATGGTTGAAATGGCTTCAGGCTCTGGAAACATACGTAAATCTTGTCTCCAACAGCGTCAACAATTTTTTCCAGAGCATCAAGACTCGCGATGGCGCCATCAACCTGTCTACCAGCGTGGTTTGTAACAACGATACCGTCGATTCCCCTAATATCCCAGTCAATATGATTCAAAATATTGCAAGGAGCAGTAGCAAACATTTCAACGCATTTTTTCGCTGCTTCGGCGCTCTGTATCCCCTTTAAGCAAAACGGCCTACTACCACTGATTCTCTTCCATTGAGCCATCGTCCACTGGACCTTTTCCCATGTATGAGCTCGGCCATGCCAAATGTTCTCGTCGATCCACTTGGCACCAGCCTCTTTCGGGCTCGTCTTAGGGTCGATACCAGCTTCCTTCAAGCGCATTTGAAAGACAGGGTCTTGAAGGCCAAGGTCGCCTGCCCCATGCTCGTGATAGAAGGCATAGTTGCCAGTAAAGACGTCATTGTGGCGCCATCCGAGGGACCAGGTATCGGTGGTCAGCATGCAGGCATCAAAACCAGAGTCCCAAGCACGCTGCATCATGGAAATCGCCTGTTCATCATCATGACTTTGATACAGCTGGAAGAACCGAGGGCCACTACCGTTAGCTTTGCCAACATCCTCAATGCTATAGCTGCCGGCAGAAGAAAGGCAATAGGCCAGATTCAGCTCTTCTGCAACCTTTGCCACAGAGAGTTCGCCAGTTGCATGATAGATGCGATTGATGCCGATAGGAGCAAAACCGATAGGAGCGGAAACCTTGTGGCCGAAGATCTCGGTGGCCGTGTCCCTGGTGTTAGTGTCCACTAAGGTTCGCGGCACAATGCGATGGCGGTAAAATGCTTGGCGATTCGCTAAGTGGGTCCACGAAAGACCTGCATTGCATGAAGAGTAATACCTAGAGTGACAGGTAAGTGTCTACACCAAAGAGAACCTGAAGCTAAGGGAAAGCATAATACACACCATCCTCCCTGCGATAGTTTCTCCTTCGCTAATTTCTCAATCTCCGCGGGGTCTGATTTACCAATGTCAAGGGCAACACGTTAGGACGTAGTACTTAATGAAACTACCAGAATCGTTCATACCAGTGTTGAAGAGCGGGTATTCGCCGAGATTTGCGTTCCAAAACGCATCACGCCGGTATAGCGACCACTGCGGAGTGGTTCTCAGCTTGATATTAGGGTTGTTCGGGTCAGACATGTTTGCTGCGACTGTAATAAACGAGACGACCTCGAAAAGACTTTGGACGAGTAAAAAGAAGTTCTTGGAATATTCTGAATGCTGTAGCGGATGACATTCGGAGCAGGGGGGATGAAGAAGTATTTATATGAAAGACTGCAGGAGAAAGCCATTAAAGTTAGCTGCTTCCAAGTTCTCGCTAGTCGCTATTTTAGCATTTGTCTCCAAATTTCGTCGCAATGGCTGGTTCAATGAGCGTATATTGAACATTATTTGCTAGTATGTAAAACATACCAGGTACGTTGCGGGTTATAGTTCGTCGGGTTGCCGGCATGCAATTGTAGCTCTCGGCAGCTCTCGCCCGAGAGGTAAATGGCGAAATAACTTCTGGAACCGCCAATAGTGGAACAGTCAAAATATCGCTTTAAGGTTCCACCAAAGTAAGATTGCTTGTGGCACTTGATCCCCGCACAGGGTTTTTGGAGGGTAGCGAGAATCTGGCAGGTCGTTGTGAAGGCGATGAACTCCTCCGCCTGTTCCGCACCTGTGACGATAATTTGGAGTAACTTGTTTCGGCCGACATGCGCCTATTTTTACAAGAGACTACAGACAATAGGAGTTCTTAAAAATCAAAAATATGGTCTTTCTGTTTTCCTGCTGATGAAATTCTTGGTGTCGCATTCGGACGACACATCTGGGCTGGCAGTCCAAGTTGCTGGATGTATTGGGGGGACTTGGACAGAGAGAAGCACAGGGAGAGAAGCGTTGACCTGGGTTTGCAATTGTTTCATTTACCCTGTACTTAAGTTTTTAACCCTCTTCTCTTTATCTTCCCACGTTTCAAGTCTTCGTTGGATGACATTCTCTTCTCTCCTTGCCCCAATATTTGGTCTCTCAGGCCTTATCTATATTGCGATTATCTGGTGGTAGAGGAGCTGGATATCATTCTGTAATCGCAGACCATCCCCAATCAGCCTTTCTGTCGTCAAGTTACGTTATGGCTATGATGTTATCTCCGGCAACGTCCCCATCACAGTACTCTCCCAAACCGGCCACCTGGGCGCGGAAGAAAGTGATAGAGTGCACACGATGCCACCTGAAGAAGTGCAGGGTAGGTGTTTAGTTCAACAATCGATTCTTTCCAACCTGTGTTCGGTATGGTTGCTGATTTAAAACTGTAAACGGTGAAAATCCATGCTCTTGATGTCAGCCCGACAACGCGGTGTGTCTCATGCGAAAGCGCGCAAAACTGGGAGATAGAGTATCAGGTTCTAAAGGGTAACTAAGATATACTTGTAGATGATTAATATCTTGGTAAAAATTCATGAGATGTACATAGAAAATATCAAAAGACTCTCACCGTTCAGTTTCGGATCAAAATTATGGCTGCAGAGGTACATAGAGGTACATATGGCACAAATAACTCTTGTTTATTCAACGGCTGGACTAGGCAGATGACGAAGTTTTCGGAACGAATATAGAAGTCACACAGATCATATAGTGTAGCTCTATTCGGGCTGATAAAGCCTAAGGTTCCATGAAGTAAGGTTCCCTCGAGGAAGCTCAAGCCCATCAAACTCAAGCAGCTGTGGATCGACCTCGGGATATTGCGCCAATGCAGTTTTGGCACCATTCACCAGTCTCTTGGAATTTAGCATAGTGCTGTATGTAATTCCATTGGTGTAAGCCTCATGCCACGAATCACCATCATTGTGTATATCTGAGCCCTGAAAATCAGGGCCTTCCTTTCGATAACTGTTGAATAGCAACGGATACGGAGCCAGGCACCGGAGAGAAGTGCCATGTGAGTTGAATGGATTACAAAGCTCTCTCAAGTCGTTATCGAATGGTTGGCTATTTGGCTCCAACGACCATTTGATGAGAATCTTGCGCGCGGATTCGAATGTCACTGCGTACGCCAAGGAGCATGGTACGTCGGCAGCATCGAACACAAATCGTGCATTTTCCAACCCTTCCCATTCTGCGAATACTGGCTTTAGGATTTCAGTAGGGAAGTGGCGTGAGCGAGGTGGCACTGTCGTATCGTTTGGAATCATATAGACGCGGCTCGAGGGTTTAGTGCCGGCACCACACCCTCCGAGCCAAAGCACGTCCCAGTTTTCGCCATAGGGAGAAAAAGAGGAAACGCTACTAGTCTCTTGGAGAGCGCGTACTCCACGAGCAAACTGTTTAAGTTGTGCCTTTATAGTCACATCCCAGTCGATGTCGTCTTCGAATATAAGAGCAGTGCTGATTTCCTCGTTCACGATTCTAAAGATGGCGGGTTAGACAAACTTCAAAGAATGTCATAGATCTGCAGGAATCTTCACCTTTGGAGCGCATTCATATGTGCCCGCCAAGCTCCAAGCTGCGCAGGTATAGGGTCTTCTGTATTCCAGCCCTATATCGGTACAAGATATTGTCAACTATGATGGCCACAAGAAGAGGTGGAAGGACAAAAACATACCGCTGGATACGATTTATCCGACATATCGCTCAGATGTACCCCATCGATCCATTCTAAATGAATGCCTGACAGGGAAGCGCCTATAGTCATGGCATCGCGCTTGTCCATGCGGTCCCGCAAGCCGACCGCAAAGACTTTCTCGAACTGATCACACTTAGCGCACATGTTGAAAAAGAAACATAGGTGTGGGCACTTACACCAAGGGTCGTGTTTGCAATGTCGCGAAGTGACTCTGCAATCACTCTTTCCGAGTCGTCAGAGGCAGTTGAAGTAGCATCCGTGCGCTCTGCTGCCGCAAAATTGACTGCTGCATAATTGAATGGTCTCTGGCTGTAAGGAATAACATAAAATAACAGAGATATCAAAATCGCCAGAGGGACGAGACGGGCTATACGGTTCTTCATCCTGATATGGAGAACCTTCCCAGGAGCTAAGAGCTCGCTAGCTCCTTCAGGAATTGAAAGGACACATCGCGAGATTCGAGGCTCTATGAAACCCAAGGTGGATATAAGATCACGTCAGGTGACAAGGGGGGAATTTGGGGGCCTCGTTACATAATCTAGTTCGGCCGTAACTTACCGTAAGTAAGTTAGTTGCCTTGGTGCCTTTCAAACGAGGCCGCAATTATCGTCCCTGGTGGTCGGCTCGTTTAGGATTGCGGGTACTCGTGCTCTCTGGTTGGTATCTGAGGGGTTTTTAAGACGGGCTGTAACTTTGGCACACCGCTTCTTCTCCCTTCCTCTCTCTCAGCCTGGAGATATTTGTTCATGGTTGTCTAATAACTATTTCTTTCAAGTAATTAAGCAGGGTCTTCTATAAATCGTGACAACTCAGACGGACTATAGTTATACAAAGGCGTTTTTTGGGGCGTCGGGGCGTTCGGGGCGCTCAGCCGCCCTTAAGCCACGCGACACCTCCATGGGGCCAACTTAGTAGGATGTCCAATGGGAACTACCGCCAAGGTTCCAACCTCATGTTCTAATTGGCTGATACGATTTAGCCCCACGCCTCTGACGTTCCATTGGGGCTGATGCGGCCACTGGTGTATCCCTTTCCCGGCGACTCGAGTCCAAATGAGGCTAGCGTCACTGGATGCGGCATCTCGCCATCTAGGATGTCGATTTCAGCAATAATGATCCTATCCAATAGGAACGAACAGAACGTGGCTTAGACCTGCGACTCCCGCTCTTGGCCACGCTATTACCGTAAATTAACGACCAGATGCGCCGTCATTGAAGTTTCCCCTACCGTGGTACCGTGAATTGCGAAAAGCGCTAGAAAAGTCGCTCCCTGGCCCCGGTTTAATTTTTGCCTCCTTTTAATCAAACTCCCCGGCCAAACCGCATTTTGAAACTTGTCACAATTTTTCTCACTTGCAAAGCAGGAGAGACATTTTCCCCTCCTTTGCCCTTCGATTCTTGTACAGGTCGAGTCTCAGCCTTATTTTGAGCAGAAATTCCGACTCGTTTATTTGGGGAATCCCAAGTATTTTGTTCCTTCGGATATCATCAACAGACAGGATCTGTCCGCCTGAAAAACTTCCGCATGCCGAGAACGAGCGCAACCAACTCCCTGACGTTCTAGAAATCGACGGATACCATTGCACCAGTTCATTGTCCATAGCAACAAGTTTTCCCAACCCGCGCAACCGCAAAAGCCCACACACTTGCCCGAAATCGATTTTTCGACCGCGACGGATTGCCCTGTATCTCGCTGATCCCACCTTTGATACTTGCCCAACCCATGCGCCATAATACAGACCGTTAAGCAACAAGTATCCCATATTTTTTGCAGCTCACTTCAGCTCCTCTCTCACTCGCGCCTTGCCCCACTTCCGTATCGCCAATTTGACACCATAGGCATCCAGGATTGAGAACAACATGTCTTTCTTAAACAAGGATAAAGAAGCCAGCACCGGCGTGTTGGACTCGCTGGGGTCCAAGTCATCCGAAAGTCCCCAAGATGTCCAAGAGGGCCTGATGGCCGACAACGCCGACAATCTCCAACGCCACCTTGGAAATCGTCAAATTCAGCTTATCGCTATTGGGGGTTCTATTGGCACGGCCCTCTTCGTGAGTATTGGCACCGGTCTTTATAATGGCGGGCCCGGCAGTTTGTTCCTTGCATACACTGTGCAAAGTCTAATTTTGGCAATGGTGAACAACTGCCTCGCTGAAATGAGTACTGCATACCCTGTCAGCGGTGGCTTTATCCGCTTAGCTGGTAAATGGGTAGACGATGCTCTCGGCTTTATGGTCGGCTGGAACTTTTTGTGCGTTTTGTCTATCCCGGACGCTTCGGAGACTAATAACATGGCTAACGCTGTATGCAGTTTCTACGAAGCACTTTTGATTCCTTTCGAGATCTCAGCTTTTACCCTTGTACTGTCCTTCTGGTCCCCTACGATCACAGAACCTGGCCCAGTTGCCGGGATTGTTGCTGCAATTGTTATATGCTATGGGTAAGATCGCCTCAATATTGTTCGAATCTCTTGGATAGACCAGTCTATCTTTGCTGTGTTTGATTCCAGAGTGCCGAAACTGCTTCTTTTAAATTCTGGACTTGAGTCTGACTTTCTCATAGTACCCTCAACATCATGGCTGTGAAGGCGTATGGTGAAGCTGAGTTTTGGCTCTCGAGCGGCAAGGTTATTCTCATCTTCGCCCTGTTCCTCTTCACCTTCATCACAATGGTTGGTGGAAATCCTGCCCATGATGCGTACGGCTTCCGCTATTGGAACAACCCCGGTGCCTTCATGGAGTATTTAGATACCGGCAGCCTCGGTCGGTTTGAAGGGTTTTTGGGTGCTCTTTGGTCCGCCTGTTTCACCGTCGTTGGCCCTGAGTATATCTCGATGGTCGCCGCCGAAGCCAAACGCCCTCGCATCTACATCAAGAATGCCTTCAAGACAGTCTATGTTCGATTCGGGCTCTTCTTCATCGGCGGTTCCCTGTTCGTGGGGATTATCTGCTCCGCGAGGGACCCCCAATTGTATAACATCGTGGTCAAAGGCGAAGGCAGTGGTGGTGCTGGATCATCGCCGTATGTCATTGGCATGACCAATCTCGGCATTACGATTTTCCCTTCTATTATCAACGCGTTAGTATTCAGCAGGAGTAAAGGCATTCACTGGAAACTGACTTATTTTTGTTTAGGCTTCTGTTGACTTCGATCTTTTCTGCTGGCAATACTTACACTTATTGCGCCATCCGCACTCTTTATGGACTGGCCCTTGAGGGCAGAGCCCCGAGGTTCCTCACTCACACCACACGCAAAGGTGTGCCGATCTACTGTTTCGCCATTGTGATGATCTTCCCGATACTTGCGTTCATGCAGGTTTCGAGTAGCTCTGCCATAGTCATCACATGGTTCGCGAACCTTGTCACTGCCGGAGGTACAGAGTCCCAACTCGTACACCACAGTTATGCTAGACGCTAATTTTTGGATTAGGGCTTATTAACTACGTCTGCATCACACTGACTTATATTTTCTTCCACCGGGCCTGCAAAGCTCAAGGTCTGGACCGCAGCACTCTTTCTTATTACGCACGGTTCCAACCGTTCTGCGCGTATTTTGCGTTTGTCTGGATGATCCTCGTTGCAATCCTATACGGCTATCCCGCATACAAACCATGGAATGTCAGAACATTCTGGTCCGATTACACGATGCAAATTGCGATCCCTCCGCTCTTCCTCATCTGGAAACTCATCAAGAAGACCCGGTTTGTTCGGCCTAACGAAGCAGACCTGATCTGGGAAAGGCCTCTTATCGATGCTTACGAGGCAAGCTTCGTTGATCCCCCAGTAGGCTTCTGGAGGGAAGTCGGTCAAATGGTCGGCCTTGCACGAATTAAAGGTGGCAACGACAAGAGAAGAGCCTCTTCTGCTGCACACCCTGCCAGTGGTACCGCAGAAGAGATGGTTGGAACTGCAGAAGGGTTAACGGCGTGAGGCTTTTACTTCCTCTCTCTGTATCTTGAATTATCCCCGGCGTTGAGTGTCTCTCTCCGGTATGCCGATCTTCAATGGTCACAACAAGGTATTGCGTCTACTGTGAAGGCAATTTCTTTTGAGGTTTCCTTTATGGGTGGACCGTTCGCTATATTTTAGCATCCATGCCTTCTTCCTTGGACCGGCAGTCCATAGACTGTATATGCCATGCAAAGTAAAAACATGATTTACTTGAGAAGCCTCTCTGTGTATTGCTTATTCCTTCTTCAGGGGGTTTTTTTTTTTTTTTTTGCTGCCCTGGCTGGCTGTAATAGTGCCCAAATTGGCACTTTCTCTTCCACGGCTAAGTTAGAACTATAGAGGCTACTCTATCGTCCACTCGTGTTTACTATGCTGGCTATATGGCAATGATATCCTACACTACGGGCTAAGGTTTCTCTCGATCGTCACAGACTTCACTTGAGATAAGCAAATATTAATTTCAACAAGTTGCCTGGAAACCCGAGTGATACAATTCATCCCATTCCTCCCCACTGGAATCGTGAAACAATGAGTTCATCAAAATCGTATTGAATCCCTTGGCTTCGATATTCTCGGTCTCAAGTCTCTCATGGTGTACCTGCACCTGTTCTTTGCGTGTGACAGCCTCGCAAGTCCTCGCCCTTGTAGTTTCGGGGGCCATGGAAGTTTCTTCACATCGAGGGCTTGTGGGAGATAAGCCACTAGGAACGTTTGGGACATTTTTGAAGTCCATGAAGTCGAGGTTCACTCCACACTGCTGCTGTGTTTCACTTTCGGCATTTTCGGTTCTATTAGAAGTCTGGTCCGAAGGCTCTAAATCCTGTTCGGCGGCGACCGGCCCAGATGGGGGGAACATTGTACGCTCGTCTGTGTAGGATTCTTGTCGATGTGGCGCCCCTTCATCTGTCTCGGTGCTAATGGTTTGGACGGTGCTCCCAGTCTCTACAGACTCTGATCGAATACCCATGGTTCTCCTTCTTTGGCGGGATGAAGAGCATCGTCTCAATGTGCTGACTGGACGAACACTGATCGTCCATGGGAGCCGTGAAGTAGCACCCATTGATGGAATGTGACGTACCAGCTCGGGAAGTGCATGTTCATATGGCAAACGCCCAACAGCTAAGCTGTAGTCCACTGATGTAGAAATTAAAAGATACGCCCGAGGGAAATAAATGAAGGCGTCCGACCAGCTCTTCACGCGGACATGTGAGTTGGGTCCTTTCATCAAATCGCTGTCTGAAGGATTGTCACTCGAACAGGCTTTCTTTAGTTGATCGCTCGGTGCGTTCCGTTTAACATGGTGCTCCCAACCAAGGAAATGGTTCTGTGTAGTCAAATAGGCAAGCTGCAATATGTGGTTGGTGCCTGCGGCGACAAAATCGGTGACATCGTAGAGGGTTTCTGATTGCCGTATGATTCCACTAAGTGAGTGCAGACGCTTTTGCCGGATCATCATCTCTTCGTGGGAAGGTGATAGCTTCAAGTCAATTGCCGCCAATATCAATGGCATGCCCACATAGCCAAGTCTAGTCTCTATCAGCTCAACTGCGCCAAATAATGCACTGGCCGACCGGAGGGAATACTGACATGCTGAGAGGCAAGCTATCTGAGCGTCCGTTTGCGCTAAAGAATTCCATGATGGCAGTTAGACCCCCAATCGCGCCTCTAAGATCCTGTCCGATTTTGAGCATCTGCTGCTTATATGTCTCTCTCGCATAAGATAGATTTTCCTCTATCATGAAGGCCGCATACTGAGCAAGGCCAACTCGGGCAGCACTTTGAGGGCACATGAATGTCAGTGGACAAGCCCCAATTCCGGGGAATTCTCAAAATAGTCGTACGTACTGATAATACATGTAGGTCAAATTGACAATTGTCGCAGCGGGGCCGGAATTGTCCTGTACTGCATCAAGTCGCAGAGCAGGCTGTGTCTGCATTTCCCACTCAGTTAATGACACCCTAATTCTCTCAACATTGGACATCAGTCCATGGAATTCTTCGGCTGAAAGGAAACAGCTGGGGTTGGCGCGAGGGCAGAAGATCAACGAGACCAGGTCGGTCAGCAACACGGCGAGCTGGCATTGTTCCTGGAGTGCCTGTAACAATAGTCGTTTTGCGTCTAGGTCGTATACCCGCGAGGAATATAGCTCTTCCGCAAAGTCTTCTTCACGCAGCCAGTCAGACCATCCGTGTAGGTTGATTGATGTGACCTGGGGGCGACGCCGGAGACCAATACACAGACTGCGGTCACGGAGAAGAATAGACCACCAAAGTCGCTTTTTGAGTGAGTCACTCACATGCTCATCCAGCAATGATGGCTGAGCACCAATTATCAAGGCATTTTCAATGGCTCGTGTCAACCACAAGCTTCCTGCTTGGGGATGCTCGGCGGAGGTATGGTGAGTGAGGAGAACAGCGCCCTGGGCTTTTGCCGACGGTCGTACTTCGGCTTTCAAGTCGAACAAGAGCTGTTCCAAAACAAGGAAATAATTAGTTCTCCTTATAAGGTAACTTGACTAAGATCTTGAGAAATATCACCTTTGTGCGATTATACAGCTTGTTTCGGGCATCTCGCTTGTCATTAAAGCCGCAGCGGTATAATGTTTCCAACGAGACAAACTATGGTTTATCAGCTGTCTCCATCATGTCCACTCCGGAATTGTCACATACTGGACAGCTTGCGAAAAGAACGGCCTGGAAGACAAATATTGATAGCCTTTCGGGCTCAGGATCGCCTTGATAGATCCGCCAAAACTCGCCTTCATCCAATACCGGCACAGTGGGATGAATATGTCTGAAATACTGGTGCACAAACTCATCAATCGCGTCTTGATCCGGCAGAGTAAGAGAAGACTTCGAGGCCAGGTATTGCATGTCCTCTGGTGGCAAAGAGGAGAGTGAAAAACAATCTATGAAGTCGTATTCCGAGTAAGCAACATTTGAGTGCCGCGGTCCTCCAGCCTTTTCAGCTGATGTCTCAAAGTGAAGATGGGCAGCCGGTGGAGGATGTTTCCCTTCATCTCTGTCGCCTATGTCATCGGGGAGTGCGTTATCAAGTTGGTGAGATTCATGATCGAGTTTTCCATGCTCGCTCGAGGCAGCGAAATGCGGGCTGCCCTGGGGGAATCTAGATCTTTGATAAAAGCCAGTCAATTTCGTCTTCTCATTGTACCAATTAAGACGTACTGTTTTGATAGCTTTCCTCGAAGCACGCAGTCAGTGCGACCATCCTGGCGGCAGCGCGTACACGGACAGCCCAAAATCGACGCGTCGCATCGGACTTTCCGGTGGTGACACCAAGAACATGCCGAGGGCGCTCGTCTCGTGCGCCGTAGCATTAGGTAGTTCGTGGGGGGTTCGGGCTATGGGGTCAGGCACAGGAGAGTAAGTTGTTTTTGCTTGGAAGCTTCAGATCCCCCGCTTTCTGAGTACAGGCATTGCTGGCAAAAATAATGCTAGTGTAAACGGAACATGTGGGGGCTGCCGCCACGCCACTAAACGAAGTGCTCGGACGTGTGATACAGGGGCATATAGCCTACATGATCCAAGTCATGCCACCCATGGTTCATGTTTACTCTCCGTCTGCTCTGGGCTGACCATGACACAGACCGGTTGGGGCCTGGATTCTCAAGGCAGGCACGTCTAGGACAAAGCTATCGATGTTGGCGACGAGAGTTGGGAATAGCGCCCGGATGAGGGGACAGTGCATGTGGCAGCATTGGCTTGATCATCCTGGTCGAATGGAAAGTCATAGCTTGCCCAGCCATCCCCAGGATTGAGTCATTTGACCCCCATTAGAGCCAACGGCTGGCTAGACCGACAATCATGAGTTCTCCACCCACGAGGAAAGCTCATTGTTGGTTCGCTCAATGGCAACAGGGTTCTCCGCAAGATGGACTTTGCCGCGGAACTCGGCTACTCCACATTCCCCACTCTCCATGCCTGCAGGTATGCTCTTCATATGGGGATAAACTAGGCTAAGGGAGCCATAATGACAGCTCGAGCCAAGCAATCAGGATTTGTTTGTGTGTTGGTTAGAATACTGTGGAATTATAATGCTATGATACATGCAATAAAAATTTCAAGGCTCAATTTTGAGTTCAATGTGACGCTGCCCACTCTATAAAAGGAAAATCAACGGCTGCTTCACTGGTCGTCGAATTGAACGCAAGTCACAGCAAGTAATGGAACATGGGTCCCATGCACCAGAATAATCACAATTGAAGTACCGTCCTTTGTCTAACAATCTAAACTCTCTCACCGTGGTGAGAGCTATGCCATATTCCGTAGTCGCTTGCGCATATCCTTCAGGTAGTAGCGCATGGGGTACGTTCGGATTGCCTTGGGAAGACAAGGATAAGTCGCTTTAGTGAACCCCATGGCAAACCGGTATGCTCCGCGCCGCGTCTTGGTGGACTTGAGTCCATAGGCCTCACGAATGCGCGGTGGCAACATTTCAGTAGTCGTTAAACGCACTAGAGGAAGCGCTGCACGTATATGAAGGGGAGCATGCTTGTTGAATAGCAGACCCTTGGCCACGTTCTGGGCATGGTCCGTGATTTCCATTGTCGCAATCTTATGGTCCCAGTACTCCCAGAACGCCTTGCGACTAGGCGGCCACATCCCGGGTTTAACGCGCAGGGAAATGGCCAGGATGGCATACTCTCTATAGATAGTCTCAGCGGTTGCATCGTCTATGTCGCCAAACATCCGCTGATAGAGGTCAAGGCCGACCGCGTAGAGAGTGGCAGCAACCCATAGTTGAAGCTCCGGATCGTCGGCGGAGTAGTCTGGTCCTTTGACAGGTGCATGAGCACGATGTACCATTTCGATGACGGCCTTCTTTTCGTCCCGAGTGCCAAATGCCATGCAGTATACGTAGGTCATTGTGGTACGGAGTCGGTCCATAGGTCGGTAAGCGAAGTTGCTGTATTCATCCACACCTTTCGCAACACCAGGCTCAGCTACTTGGAGTAAGATAGCAGTTGCACCGCCAGCAAGAAGAATTGCCTCTCGAACAATTCGGCGTATTTGCTCTGGCTGCTCGAGTGCATCAAGCAACTTCGGATCAACGACGTCGCCATCCGAGCTCTCGTTCTTCTCTTCGGTGCCGAGATTGGTGACTTCTGCAGCATCGTCGCCTTCGACGATGACTTCTGGTTTAGGCTCAGTCATATCGAATGTATGTTAGAGAAACAATGTCACTGGTGTGGTTGGTATGTCAGATAAGAGAGGCAGAGGAATCTGGGAAACATTTTCGGAAACTCAGGGTCTTCATGTAGCCTTATATGAACATACCTGGTTTCTGTGGTTTAGTAAAAGCTCTCTGGTCAAATTTCCAAAAGTAACGGTAAGCTTTTTACCAGCATATGATGGCCTAAATCGTTGACTGGGGCCGACCGCGGACCGCTGGAGGAGTAAAGTTTACCGGGCGCTTCTGGCAACGGCAAAAGAGACACCGCCAGCATGAGCTACCGAGGACCGTTCAGCCGCGGAGAGCGTGTCAATGCATGCGATAGAGGGGTTGTCTGCGATCGACCGTTGTGACGACGGTGGGGTATGGCGAGATCGTCCGTAGTTCCTGGGGTAGCAGACACTATTAGACCTTCCCCAGGTTTTAGCCTCGCATGGGCCATGGCGCTACTGCCCAATACATGCGGGGAGTGGCATGCCCTAGCTGCGAACGCTGATTCTGTAGAGTATATAGTCAGATATTATATGTCTGATCCTTCGAACAATTCATGTCCTGCAGCTCTCGCACTACTTCTGTTATCCAATTTCAATTTCAGAACACGCCCTCGAACCACAAGATGCATCACGACACTAAGGGTAAATTTGTTATTGGGGCAAACAGAAACCTACCCGTCTTCCCAGTCAAATCGGGGGCGAGAGAATGATGAATTAGAATCGCCGAGTGTCGAAACTGACAGTCTGGAGAAGGGGACCAAAGCAACTCCAACGAAATTCAAGAAGCACTGGCGCCGCTTCTGGTGTTGCTATTTGTTGGCAGCCATTTTGTTGCTTGCTATTCTTCTTCCCATATTGTAAGCAACCGTTTCTTCCTCGAATTTGGTGGGTATTTCCTAATCCAAAACCTATACTCTAGCTTTTTGATCGTCATCCCTGCCGTTGCGCAACGAATTGTCGACGATACAAGCCTTCCTGTGTATTCTGCCTCGATCATGGATCCCAAGCCAGATAAAGTCACATTCACTCTTCACACTTCCCTCAAAATCCCAGCGGGCCTTAGTGTTCATACGGATCCCCTCAACCTGAGCTTGTTCAATCAAGATGTGAAACCATTTGAACCGTACCTGCTCGTGGCGCTTCCGGCTTACAACTTGAAGGGGGGCACCAATATGATGAGTGTGACCCGACACAACACTGAAATCCTCAACAAACCCCAATTTATAAAGACATTAACCACTGCGGTCTACCAAAAACGGTTTGTGATGTCTGCAAAAGGCTCTACAGTTGGTCACCTTGGGGCGCTCAAGGCGCCTTTGACGCTGGAAAAAAATATTGAACTGGATGGTATGCAACCATATTAACTGCCTGGATTTGAAACTCACTTGAACCTCGTAGGACTGGATAAGTTTAAAGGTTTCTCTATTCCTTCAGCCCGTCTGATTATTCCCGAGGAAGAGGATGGTACGAACCTGGTGGGCACCGCGGTTTTACCCAACCGCTCCGTTTTCACCTTTGCAATGGTTGGTTCCCACTATTTATTCTTCACTAGGCATATCCGCTTACGCTTTTACAGGGAAACGTGACTCTGAATCTCCAAAGTGCCGGCTTAATCATCGGACAAGCGACCTCCTACAACGTTCTTTTACGGCCTGGGAATAACACGATCGAGTTGCGAGGTCGGGTAGATATCAAAACTGTGATGGACAACCTTTTAGAAATTCTCGGCACGCAAATGGCTGCCTTGCTTGGCGGTGACTTACAGCTTGAGGCTACCGGAAATTCGACCATCTACGACAACCAGCATATTCGTTACTACGAGGAGATCCTGAACAACCTTACGCTCACCACTCGCGTCCCCATTTTGAAGATTTTGATGGATACGCTTGATGGTGTGAAGCAGTCGAACTCGAACTCCAATAGCTCTTCATTGCAAGAGGGGATCCAGCAAATTTCTCATATCATGGGTGGTTTGTCGAATTCAACAACTCCCGATAGTTTATCTCAGTCGCTTAAGCTTCTTGTAAATACCTAGCAGGGCATGGGTCCGCTTCTTATATATCACGATTAATATGAATTTTGAATGAACAAGTATTTGAGTGGCTCTCCAACCGTTCTTCATATCCCCACATGCTGTGCCGTGGGTCCTTAATGGTCCGCGGCAAAGCAATCCTCGGTGGGATCAGCGGTTGGCTCCCTAACCCCGGCTACAATTTAGAACCCCGCGTGTTTAAAGAGCGCCTAAGAAATAGAGGGTCAAATACCCACCACTTTTACTCTCCGAGACGCCGTACATGTCATTTGTGTCTATCTACTGTTGATTATTCCAATCTTGACGTCGGGATGGATGATAGTCCGAGTCTCCAGTGCCAACCCGAGGGAAAGGGTGCTTACTCGCGAGATGAGGTCGCACTCCACAACCTGGCTGGTAACCTTTGGGTAGTCATCGATCAGGACGTATATGACTTGTCCAGCTTTCAGGACGAACATCCTGGCGGAGCGAAGAGTATGTCCAAGAGCGATCAAATCTTCTCTCATAAATTCTGACCCTTGCTCGTTCAGTACTTCTGGGTGTGGCAGGGAAGGATGCATCCAAAAAGTTCCACAAATATCATCGGATTACTGTTCTGAACAGGTACAAAGAAACACTCCAAGTGGGAATCTTGGATCCTTCTCTAGGTGCTTCCAAGACGAAAGGCCGCTCTCTCAGTTCGTTATTTCGAACAAAAAAGGGTCAATCATCAACTTCGAGCGCAGGCATATCTAGAGAAACTAAAACATAGATTATCGATGCTGTTGTATTTACGCTACCACTTAATGCATATATTTCTTTAATGTAGACTCAACTACTGGACAGGCGACCAAAGCCTCAATAATAATAATAGTAGATATTCTAGATAGAGGAAGCTGGGGATACTTGACGGGATGCAGAGCGCGATATACGCAATTTCACTTCTTGTATGCACTCAAAGCTTGGGTTTGATAACCCCGGCTTCGATTTCTTTCTTCGCTTCTTCTCGCAAGACTCGTTTAAGAATCTTACCGCTGGGATTTTTGGCGATCGCGCCGACGAATTTGACGCCACCAGTCAATGCTTTGTATCGAGCCAACTGCTTCAGAATAAATTGCTGGACGTCCGCCTCCGACAGCTTCTCCCCTTCACCACCTGGTCTGCGAACCACATACGCACGAGGATACTCCGTATCTGAGCCCGGGAAGGTGATGCCAATCACAGCAGCGTCAATAATCTGCGGATGTGACAAGAGCACGGCTTCAAGCTCAGGAGGTGCAACCTGAAACCCGCGAACCTTGATAAGTTCCTTCTTGCGATCCACGATATACCATTTTCGGGTTGCTTGGTCACAGTACGCTATATCGCCCGTTTTGAAGAAGCCCTCAGAATCAAAGGAGTCTGCGTTGGCCTCCGAGTTGTTGAAATACCCGGGGGTCACCGTTGGCCCTCGCACACAAAGTTCACCACGGACGCCATACGCCGAAATATTCTTTCCATCTTCGTCGATCAGCCTATAAAGGTGTCAATAACAATAGAAGCAACAAGCCAGCATAGCCCGTGATATTTTTAGTGAGGCAACTTACTTGGCCTCCAGGTTTGGAATCAAGCGACCAACCGAGCCCGTGTCGTCGTGTTCTGGGTACGGGAACATCGTGGCAATGCAAGATGTCTCCGTCATGCCCCAAACCTGGGTAAATGGACCATTGTCTCCCATCAGCTTGCGGAACCGAGCTTGAATATCCTTATCCAAAGGGGCTGCTCCACATGCCGCGAGCCGAACTTTTCGCAGGTACGGGCGTTTTTGCGAGAGAGGAGACATCAAGATGGCAATCACGATGGGCGGCACCATTGCAAGGTCAGTAACATTGTACTTTTCAACGGTGGCCAAGAAACCCTCAAGGTCAAATCGACGCATCACATAGGCAGCCGCGCCCGATTTGAGGGTAGAAATGTGGGTGACAGGTGCTGCAGAGGCATGAAAGACGGGTACCGCAATGATGCGAGTAATCTGGTCCACCCAAATCGGTAGTCAGCAACGCGGAAATCAACTGGCATAACAGGCGACACTTACGGCGTACGGCCGAGGATTGGCTCCTAGAACAAATTCATGTTGGGCAATGAGGTTGGAGTGGGTAATTGTTACTGCTTTTGGCAGACCGGTGGTCCCACTGCTGAATAGTCTCGCGGCGGTGGTTTCGCTAGCGGTCTTCGGATCATCAAACCGTACCCAATCCTCTTCACCGAAACTCATCAGTTGCTTCCATGACCGTCTTCCTGCGGGAACGGGTTGTCCTAGGTTGTCAAACACCCACAAATTTTGCTCGGACACACCCGCCTGTTCCGCAGCGCGAAGCAGCGGTTGGAGAATCTCAGGCTCGGAGACGAGGAATTTGCTCTGGGATGCCTTTATGTGATGGGCCAGCTCGGTGGGGGTGTATGATGGGTTTGAGCCCGTGAAGATCCCCCCAGCTCCAATGATCGCCAAGACAAGGATGCTGTAGTTAATCTGCCAGCCATGTCATTCTGTATTAGCTTCGCCTGCGAACAATGGACGGGGTCAGGCGCTCCTACGTCATTGAATGAGTGGATGAGAACACAGTCGCCCCTTTGAAGACCGGCAGCCCGGAGTCCTGCGACCAGTTTCCGAATCAGCGATCGTGCCTGGTTGCAAGAAATGGACCTTTGGGGTTGATGGGCGTCGATATAGATCTACCTCGGGTTGCGACATCGTCAGTCTTGAAGAACGGGTGACACAGCGTATAGGCCTACCGGTGCATCCTGGTCGTATGGCGGATCATCAAAGATGAAGGAAAGCAGATCCTTGTTTGGGAGCAAAATGCGCTCCGCTGGTTCAAAGATCATGGTGTGTTCTGTGAGGGGGGGGGGACGAACTAGGCCGGTCAAGAATAATAATTGTCAGAAATCAGGCGAGCGAGACGAGCTTGGGGTTCGAAACTCGACGATGCGAAGGCGCAGTCCGATATAAAAGAGCAGGTGACATTGGTTGGAAGAAACCCCAATAATGTGAGCCATCGACCCTGCTCCGCGGCTTCGGCTGAACCCCCTCTCCCCTCGAGGGTCGTAGCTCGGAACTCGGCCGCTAGTGAACGACCAGCACGCGTCATGATTGGCAGATAGTCGCAGGCCGACTTATGCAATTAATGCTTCGCAGTCCCTCGGTCGCGTGTTATTTTGTGACAAGGTCCGCGGTGCCAGCCACGGACAGGGAAGGGGTGGTTCCGTTGTGGCCAGACAGCAGACAGGATTCTTCGTTGCTGCTGATGTGATCTGCAAGCCCTACCATCAGTTCTACGGCAGGGTCTGCATGAGCGTGGATGTGTAAAAGCGACTTTCCAATTCTATATATAATGTGTTACCTCATTTTGCGCAACTGGTGTAATAGACATCGTGGGGTCTGTGTCAATTGTTCCTGCAGCAGGACCCAAAGCACATATCCGCCGCTATAAAACATAAAGATTAGCTCGCCAGCTATGACGAGGATGACATGCTATAAAGGCCAAGATGGCTTACGATTATAGTATTGCGGGCTTGGTCTTTTTTCCGCTGTAGACCTCGAGCTATGTCTAGATTAGACCGTCAGAGTTTAAAAACGCCGCAGGAACATCGGGGGAAGAATCACGCACTTGGGAGCTAGTGTAGTTTGAGACTCTGAATCACTTCCCATCTTCTTATTCCGACCTTGCCATGAAAAGAGAGTTTTCATAAAAAAGTGTCCCTTGGAATTACCAGACTCTGACATTATGGGAGACTAGTCTGAACAAAGGTGTCGTGGCGCAGGGTTTGACTCGCTGAGTCCCAAGAGTAAGTGCTGACCGCCGGAAAGAAAGCAGGCTAGAAAGAACTGGAAAGACGTACGAGCCCGAGCATTTTATACGAATAGACATGTCTGCCTGTTCTCTAGCAGAGGAACAGATCTCTACTAAGAGAGGGGCATCCCCAACTGTCCGCTTGTCGCCCAACTATTTGGCCGATGGCCGAGAAAACTTCTTGGCTTCAATACCATGCAAAATTTGTATTGAGGATTTTTGTTGGTAACATGATTCTACCGAATACCGGGATAGAGTTGTTATACAAGCATTGTTTACTGGGAGCCCTTGCGCCCCATCGGCCGCAGCCGTCGGCGGTCGGCAAAACAGACAACTGCGTTCAGCTTGCTGGTTAAGTCTCTCGGCAGTCTGAATTGGTAACAACTTCATGCACGTGGGGAGGAAGGACGAAGCTGTCGGCCAGACCGGCCCAATGCAGTGCATCTAACCGTGCGAGGCCAAGCTTAACCCATGGAAAGCTTTGACTCTGGCAGCGCAAGACTCGCAACCAAGAGTTTACTAGCTGCTTCCCCTGAATGGCGTGGTCGGTGTTCGGAGCCTGCACCAAAAGTAAGAGAAGAAAATTAGAGACTGTCGCGAAGCCAATGCGTGACCCTGAGGCAGTTAGCAAACGATTCGCTACGGTATGTGAATAAGAAAACTCACAAGAATACCAGAACGCGGTGAAATCACTCGAAGTCAGTCGCCTTGTGAAATTGACCAAAACCGCTGCACACTTCTCTGCACCATGTAAAGTGGTTTCCCCCGTACCGTGGTCATCTGACAGAGTGACTTCTGGCAGTGATTCTATTTCTGGTACACATGTAAAATCCAAAATCAACTCCTCAGTTGCCAAAGGCGATGTTGTAGACATATCTTCCAAGTCAAATATCAATGGCGGACTAGACGACCGTGCCATAGGCCGAAGCATTGCGCGGTAAACAAATACCACCAGCAAGAGGTAGGCAAAATGAATTGAAGTAGGATATGGAGCCAATCCATGAACAGATTTACTCCAATTGGGTAATCGAAAAGTATCCGGAATCGAGGAATACCATCCATTCATCTTTTCAAGTAACATTCGCCCCAGCTCTGTGGATGCGCTAAAATTGGCATTGAGGCATTGAGAGGCCTTCAGAGAACTAGAAATACTATTAGTGCTCGAGTTTCCAACAGCCGTAGAACGAAGGCAGGGTCAGTGAACAACTTACTAAAATGTGTCATATATTTCCTCAGCAATTCGAGACAAATTGACAAGGTACCGAAATGGAATTTCAGTGTCACAGGCACAGGTTGAGAAGCCATAGCGGGGGCCAACTAAGAAGTCACCTTCGTCGAGTTCACTAACGTCCCATTCGGCCGGGTGGACATACGGCGGTCGACCCATCAGCAAGCTGCGCCATTTGTCCTCGGCATAGACTGCCCACCAAAGTCGCCGTCGCAACCGCTTTTCCCATGCAGGGATGCCCCACATCCGGCACTCGATGTGCAGGCCAAGGGAACAAGCTAGACCGACGATTTGGCCGACGAACGACCATACGAATGGGGTATCAGCCACTGTATATCGTACTTCGCCAACGGGCTTTTTGTGTAGATACAGCAGCGCTGCCTGTAGAACTGCGAGACGCGGTGTATGTATCTCCTCGCTGATGATCTCATATACCATGCGCCACAGCATTTCCACTGGTGATGCATTATAAGTGTTTAGGACACACAGGTAGTCATCATGGGCAACAAATGGGAATGCAGCCGCATAGATGGCGGCCAGGAGGTGCACAGGAACTTTGGCCAACGCTGTCAGCTCAGGGAGTTGACTCGTTGGGGAGGTCAGTCCTAGCTGCGACCGAGATATGACTGGCAGTGCGGGAAAGACATACTTGACAAACCTGTCGAATTGTTAGAGCTAAGACTGATCGGCTAGGTGGAGGGAAGCAGGTCTTACAGAGCAACCAGTCGCCTTCCGTACTCTGGTGGGACCAGGAAGTTCAGCCGTTCTCGTGTCGCATCGCCGGCACCTGCTCGAGTCTCATGCTGAACGGAAGATGTCAGCTCTTCTGAAGAGATCATGAAATGCACGGGAATCCTCTGTGACGTAGGAACTCCTCCAGCATTTCTAAAATGGACCTTGTAAAAATACTTCATACCGGATTCATCGAACCGGCAGTGCCGCAGCAGCCATGGGTCTGATTCGGCGGAGGCTCCAAAAAGCTGTGCGTAACAGGAGTCAAGTTGGTCGATGCTCTGCACGAACTGAGTGGCCGGGGATTGCCCAACTGGGAGTAGAGCTGGCGTCGGCGACAGTCCAGGATCACCATTCTCCGCGGCCAACGAGGAAAGCTGCGGCCCAACGCTCTGAGACACACTCCTTTCGTGGCTGGACTCTCGAACAGAGGGGACCGGGGCCGAAGAGATAGGTGTGAACTCGGCGGCGCCCTGCATGGTTACTGAGACGCGTGCTCTCTTTGGAGGCGGATTGTCAAACGTGCATTCCAATTCCGCGGCCTGGCACCGCTGGCATGGTCGACCACTATCCGTTTGACAGCCCAATTTTCGGGCCCGGCATTGATCGCATGGCCGTTGGCGTTTCGACCGGTATGGCCGGGCTGAGGAAGATGGCGTTTCCATGTCGTTTGCTGATCGGCGTCCGTGGCCGAGGCTTTTTTATGTATTTTTATAGAATGCAAAAACTCCGTGGCGCGGCATCCTCCATCATGGTTCGGCCAAGTCACGTGGTTTCGCCGACCGACCGACTCTACATTACTGGGTAGAGTACCATGGTACAAATCCAAGAAAGAAGAAAGTAGATACTCCGATGACAATTTTGATCAAGCGTTGTGCAACCATTCCGTAGTGATAATGTGCACCCTCCGCTGCCCCATCCATCAGCAGCTTACTTTTTGGCGGATAGTCGACGGTCCGAGGGACGGCCCCAAGCAGCCCCACCCACCACGCCCGCCTGGACCGTCCGCCGTAGGATCACCGGCCAGTAACTAATGCGCGCTCTCCAGCCCATGACGAAAAGGAATGAGGGGCCGCTGAAAGTAGTAGTAGTAGTAGTAGTAGTAGCAGTCGGCAGCTCGGCACTCCTAATACTGATTATGTACTAACTATGCAGAATGGCCCCAACTGCAGGGGTTTGGTGCAGGCATGTTCCCCTTTGCAGTCCAGGACGGGATCTGGTTCAAAAGAACACGAGGTCCTTGGTCTCAAGAGTATCCGCATGACACTTGTCTGTCTGTCTGCTATATGGCTACCATGGGAACCGCCGAGCGAATCACCATACCAACAAACGTGCCATCTACCGGCATCTTCGAAGTACGCCCGCTGATGGTCGAGACTGCCACCAAAGCGTCGGAGCTGCTGCAGCGAAACCACGACAACTACCACATATACATCCACAATCTCGGCCTTCACAGTAAGCAACCCACCAGGATTCCGTTGTTAATACTGTTGTTGATGAGTCCGCCGCAGACCATATCCTCCACCACCTTCTGGCCATTTATGCACTGGGAGGGACTCCTTGCCAGCTTGAGAATGCCTACAATCTAGCAACTGACTCTCAGAGGCCCACACGGAACCCAGACATCAATCGCGTGTTGGACTTTACTGATCCTGCCAAATTCAAGAAATGTCTGGGTAAGGGGAAATACTATGACGATTACTTCCTGTTTTTCCAGCGGGAGATTGGCCGCAATGGAGTGCCCAACACCGTAAATGACTTCTTGTTTAAAGGGGATGAAAGGGCCGAAGACATGCTACGCCGGTTCTTTGGCGGTACAGTCGCATTGACACTAGGTATATGGACAGCTTAAACTGATCCGCTCGTTAGGATTTTTGCACTCGCCGATCCACCTAGGCTATGCCATCGAATTCAATCAGCCTCTAGTGGCCGCCGAGGCGCTTGCCCTCACGGCGATCCACGATGCCTCGTTCGGTGACATCTTGGAACTCATCGAGAAAAATGCCCCGCTATCTCCTGCATCAGAGAGTCTGATTGGCCTCCAGCTGGAAATATATTCAAACCAGAAGTTTCGGCATGCCATGGACTATAAGCATGGCGTGTTTCAGATTCAAAATGGCCTCCTTGCCAATGCGCGAGAGGAGTTCCTTCGGGTCGTGGGCTCCTGGAGGGTCCGGCCCCAGGAGCTGGATGAAAAAACCGCAGAACATCTGAATGCTAGTCGTACGTCTCCTTTTCCTTGTCCTTCTGTGCAATTTGAGCGTCTGCTAACCGTCAAAAGTATACTGGACGGGACTCGCCCAACGGCCGGAGAAGCAGATTCGCATTGACTTCTTCCTGATGCATTCGATCACCGCAGGGTCGTTCTGGCCCGTTCTCAATAGTGCGCCATGGATCAGTCCCACTACAAAGTGCCGACTGCTGGAATGGAAAGGCCGCTCGGATTTGATTCTATACTGCCAGACAGGCGCACCTCTGCCGCGTCCCGAGGAATTGGCCATATATCAGCCTCAACAACCTTCGGGATGGCAACAAATATTTCAACGCGCCTGTGATTACAAAGATGACGGTCACCTGTCAAAGCTCATCCGCGGAATCGCCACAGCGGCAGAGATCAGCAAGGCTCATGTGAAGAATCCGAAATTCAAACTAACAACCGATCGAGAGTTTCTCACTCTTGCACATATGGGTATGGACTAGATATACTTGAGCCTCCAGTGAATGGCGCACTTGCTAATATCGATGTTTCGCAGCTATGGATTCTGCCGAGCAATTCAACCGCCATACAGGCACACGGGAAACCGACATGATCCGTGAAAGATACCAGCATGTGCGCACGCTGTCTATGGAGATACAGCGGGTGACAGCTCGGTGGCCACGTCATGTAGGCTTCGAACAGGCTTGGTTCCACGTGCCGGATAGGAAATCAGTGGGACTTTCACACCTTTGATGCTATTTTCAAATGACAGCCATGAATAGTATGTAAGTTGTTTGCATGTTTCCTCGCAATTTGAGGGATACGACGGGGGGAGGGGTATGAAGGTCAAACAATAGCCGCAACAAGAATGCGTCTAATTAGCTATCGCAATAATGCATACTAGCCAACATAATTCCCCACAGCCTGGTTATCCCACATCCCACGCCATCCCACGCTCTGGACCAGTCAGTTGTCGATCCCCAAACACTCGCAATTGGCAGCCAGGGATGTAACGCTGCCATTGAAAGGGCCGCTCCTTGCTTTGTGCGACACATAAAAGGTTTAGCAGGGGACGTATCGCTGCTCTGATGGCATATTGCCATGAAGTGGCTTTTTCTCTCCATCGCAGCTGGCGCTTCGGCGCTGCAGAACCTGCCTCCGGTATCCTTCCAGCCGGGGGATCCCGGGTGGGGGTTCTCACCTGCAACTGCTGACCACACGATCTACCTTGACGCCAATTTTGCGCGCCAGAGGGACCAAGATGGGCCGACATTGATACCCCCAGCGGCATATGACTTCGCAAACACCTTTCGCCAGGACCTGGAGACGCTCACCAATTCTTCCTGGGATCTTCGATCCGTGGGTCATTTTCCCCTGCAAGGAACGGGTGTGTTTATTGAGCATTCTCGCGACAGTTTTACCTACGAGGATGGCCGGCCAACTGAAGAAGGCTATGAATTGGAGGTAGAGGATGGTCGCCTGTACATCAGAGGCTCCGGAGCGCGCGGCATGTGGTGGGGGACTCGGACCGTCTTGCAGCAACTCATCCTGGCCAACCAATCCATGATTCCGTCAGGCCGCATGCACGATGCGCCAGCCTTCGCCACCAGGGGCTTCATGCTGGATGCCGGCCGAAAATGGTACTCGCTGTCATTTCTCAAAGATCTGTGCACCTACGCGTCTTTTTTCAAGATTTCCGAATTTCATTATCATGCAACTGATAACTACCCCTTGACTCGCGGCCCTGATCTGCCATGGAACGAAGTCTATTCACAATTCGCGCTGCGACCCGAGAACCCGAATTTAAAGCCTCTGGTGCAGCGGGTAAATGAGACACTTTCACGAGATGAATTCGACCAATTTCAAGTGCACTGTGCGCAGCGAGGGGTCACCGTCATCCCTGAAATCGAAGGCCCTGGTCACTGTCTTTCGGTTACGAAATGGAAACCTGAGCTGGCATTGGCAGAGAGAGATCTGCTTAATCTCTCTCATCCAGAAACCATCCCGCTTATGAAATCGATCTGGTCCGAGTTTCTTCCATGGTTTCACACCAGCGAAGTCCACATCGGCGCCGACGAGTACGATTCCACTCTGGCAGATGACTACATCGGCTTCGTCAACGAGATGTCTCATTTCATCGGGGAAACCTCGGGCAAGCAAATTCGCATCTGGGGGACGTACGAGCCCTCGTCTACGCTCTCGATTGACAAGAACGTGACAATTCAACACTGGCAGTACGGACAGTCGGACCCTGTTGCATTGGCCCAGGATGGCTACAAAATTATCAACTCAGAAGATTGGTGGGCTTATATGTCGTTGAAGAACAATCATGTTCCCATCACCCCGGCGCCCTATCCCCAATTCTTTAACAACACGCGGATTCTAAACTTTGCAGACCAAGATTCCTGGCAATGGACTCCGCAGTTGTTTAATCCCGTCAATGCAACAGAACAGCCACACTCCAACGCCGTGAGAGGCGCGATTCTGGCCGCTTGGAACGATAATGGGCCTGACGCGACCACACAACTTGAAGCGTACTATGCCATTCGCAATGGCATTCCTGTCGTTGCTTCTCGGTCTTGGACAGGCTCTCGTGGTCCGCGTCTGGATGAAACAAGCTTAGATGAATCAATCGTGCTATTGACATCCAACGCAGTTGGGCAGAACCTTGATCGCCGATTACCTCATGATTTAGAGCGACCTTCGGGGTCCTTGCTTTCATGGAATCGCCCACATCGGGACTCAGAAGACCGAGAGTATTGGCTAGGCGATGATAGTAAGGGCATGAATTATACTCTTCGACTCAACGCCACTGGTCCCTTCTCACTCCGCTCCTCCGATTCAGCGTTAACTCTCACCCCTCAAAACCAGTTGATCTTTACAACCGACGGATGGCCGTATCCTCTTCGCTCCGTCGCCGAAACGGATGGATTCGATCCTGCGGAGCCCGGGCGCATCTGGGCCAACGCGACTAGCTCAACACACCGAGTCGTGGATGTCTCCTTTCCAGCGCAGATAATGATAACGTCAGATCCCATTGGAGGAAGTCGAGCTTGGATAAATGGCAGCTTTGTGGGGCGATTCGAAGTATTTGTGTACGGGGGCCACAATGTGGATTTTTCATGGAGCCAAATGGCATTTGTCGCTCCTCTAAACACTGTCCAAGGGCCGGGCTTGCAACACTTGACAGTTTATCCATTTCATGGAGAGCACTAGCTGGACTTTTGATTGGTTCCTGTTTAATAGTTTATATCCCGAAGTCGGCCCGGGAAGTGATCCATTCGACATATCTTAGTATGTACTTTGCGACAATAATCATGACTCTCTGAACTTCCCGTCGGTTGCTGTCTCTTCTTCCGCCAACCCCTATAGGCTGGCTTGAATTTACCCGTTTACCCAGCCTAAATCCTGCTTAGTCCGTGCAACCCCCGCATCCTTTGCCCCGAGAAGATATTATCAGGAGTCCATTACGGAAACCTGGAGCATTCCTGCTTTGGGGAAGGGCCATGGTCCGGACTTTGTGGGCAGGGAATCGCTCAAATAGAAATCACCTCGCATAATATCGCGGTTTATATTATACAAGTTGAATCTTTGAACGATTGAAACCCAAGTCCATTTGAGCCGCTCTGCCACCCTGCATACCACACACCTCACCATGCTCTATCGTTCCTCGGTATTTGGGTTGTTTGGATGTCTATTGAGTCTTTCGCTGGCCCACCCACAGAAATCCTGGCCTTTAAACGAGTTCAGAAGCCTCGTGACCTTTGGAGATAGTTATACGGATGAATCTCGACTTGGTTATTTTGCGAGCCATGACGGCTCAGCCCCGCCAGTTGGATGGGTCGATCCTGTGGTTCGTGCAAGAAGCTAGAAGAGAGATTGTGGGAATTACTGATCGCTCTGAACTAGAACTCTGACACCGCCTCCGGTGGCTATATATGGGCGCGCTTTGTGGCCGACTCTGCTGGTGTCAATCTGTACAATTACGCAGTCAGTGGTGCGGTATGCTCAAATGAGATTACACCTCGAACCTTTTCCGCCATCAATGCGCCTTTCCCCTCGGTTTTGGAGTACGAGGTTCCTGCATATATAGCCGATAGCAGGTACATCACTCGATCCGGACGCCGATTTCTAGATATCCCACCTCTTGAGACGGTGTACTCGATATGGATCGGCACAAATGATCTAGGGTATGACGCATTTATCACCGACTCGCAGGTGGCGAACAAGACGATCCCAGACTACATTGATTGCGTTTATTCATCCTTGGATAAAGTGTATGAAAATGGTGGTCGGTTTTTTGTTCTTATGAACGTCGCACCATTGCAGCTGGTCCCATTATATGCGACTCCAGAACACCATGGCGTTGGACCAAACCAATACTGGCCCGATAAACCCAGCAATTTGACAGAGATCAGTTATCGGATGTGGGAACAGGTTGCCACCGTCAACAATGTATTCAAATATCAAACACCCTTCGAACTCCTCATCAAAAACCGATATCCGGGTGCTAGATTTGCTGTGATGGATATGAATGGCTTAGTAGGCACCGATTGAGACGTCTCTGCAAACTTTGACCTAGGCTAATATTTCACAGTTAACTGATATCTACAACAACCCAGAATCCTACTCGACTGGGAGCGCCCCTCTAAATGTCACTGGATATGATAATCACTGTAACCTCAGTGGAGCTGATTGCACAAGACTGCCCTCTTCCAATTCCTTCATGTGGTTTGATGAACTTCATCCGTCACAGCGGACCGACCAAATCATAGCCAAGAATTTTATAGATGTTGTGAAAGGGAGAAGTGAGTGGGCAACTTATTGGTAAAGCCAATTCGATATGGCATATCTGCGGGAAATCCCCTTCATTTGAAGCTCGTTTAGCAGATGGACGGATCTCGTTCTGATGGTTCTGTTTGGCATTGATGAATTAACGACATGTCAAATACAAAACCTTCAAACAATTTTTTCCCGCTGCTTCGATTTCAGACAGCTGGAAATGTAAAACTCATGATCGATTCATATCTAAGCCAGTGTTGCAGTGCGCAAAACTCGGACAATTTAATGGGGCCAGCAATCCCTTCACAGATCCCGCGTTTCTTTTCTGTTACGGAGGTTTCTAGGGGTAATCCTTCAAATCAGGGGGCATTAGTACTCATTGGTGTCAGCAGAAATGGATTTTTGCCATGCGTCCGGGGCTTCGCAATGGCGGATTTTCTCCACCTCGGAACGATCCGTGACTGTTCCGAAGGCGGCCTTAGTTCCGCGCGGGGGTAGAGATACGTACAAAACGGAGTAGAAATACGGTTGTAGTTCATTCTCCTGGTTATTATTTAGTGCGACTTTTAATCACAACCTATTCCCAACATGGCTCCGTCGTTAACCGTCACTGGGGTGGAGGGTCGTCAGATAACAGGTAACCAACCCTTGAAACACGAGAGGTATTGACTGGTTACTAAATTTGGAAAGTTCCCACGGGTCTGTTTATTCACAATGAGTTTATTATATCGTCAGATGAGCGAAAGCTCTCCGTGGAAAATCCGACCACTGGCGAAACACTCGGTGCTATCTCTGCAGCGGGCACGGAGGATATCAACAAAGCGGTCGAGTCTGCCAAGCTTGGCTTCAAGACATGGAGGGATCTTCCTGGTTCTTCAAAAGCTCGATTTTTACTCAAGCTTGCGGATTTGATTGAACGGGACGCGCAAGAACTTGCATCACTGGAGGCAGTTGATGCCGGCCTATTGTACGCGGAATCAATGGGACTCAACATTCCTCAGGCCGTAGGATGTCTCAGATATTATGCAGGGTGGGCTGACAAGGTAGACGGGAAATCTCTTACCATGGACGGTGGTATTGCCTACACTCATCGCGAGCCCTTGGGTGTGTGCGGTGCGATCGTTCCTTGGAACTCCCCTCTGTACGCATCCTCTCAAAGTATCACAATGCAAAAAGCTCACATATATTGCCAGCATGATTACTATTTGGAAGCTAGCTCCTGCTTTAGCAACCGGGAATGTTCTCATTATCAAACCATCAGAATTGTCACCCCTTTACGGTCAGCGACTAGCAGAGCTGGTAAAGGAAGCGGGTATACCAGCCGGGGTCGTGAATATTGTGCCTGGAGAAGGCGCTAGTGCGGGCCAGGCACTTGCTGAGCATATGGAGGTGCGCAAACTTGCATTTACAGGGAGCGCAGTAGCAGGCCGCAAGATCCTTCAGGCCGCCTCGCGCACAAACTTGAAGAAGGTGAGTTTAGAGTTAGGTGGCAAGGGACCGTCGATTGTTTTCGATGACTGCGACCTAGATAATGCACTGCTCTGGACGCGTATTGGGATTACAGCAAACAATGGCCAGATCTGTGCAGCTGGGTCGCGAATCTACGTCCAAGCCTCCATTTATGACCGATTTTTAGAGGCTTACAAGGAAGCTGCGATGGCAGCTCCGACTGTGGCAGGAGATCCTCTAGACGGATCTACCACCAAGGGCCCAATTGTCAATCGTGTACAACATGAGAAGATCTTGGACTACATTCGCCAAGGAAAAGAGTCTGGGGCGAGGTTACTGTTTGGAGGAGAGAAGATTGGCCAGCGGGGATATTTTGTGGAGAACACGGCCTTTGCAGATGTTTCTGACGATGCCACTATTATGTGCGAAGAGATATTCGGCCCTGTCGCTGTGGGTTTCTCTCTTTCTCTTTCCTGAGTGGCGTACAATTTGCATCGGAGCACATTTTCGGATATGGAGATGCTAATTTGATCGACCATCCTAGAGTATTGCCAAATTTGCAACCGAAGAGGAAGTCATTTCGAAGGCCAATAACAGTCACCATGGTCTAAGTGCCGCAATATTCACCAATGACATCAATCGCGCTCATCGCGTGTCCAAGGAACTCGAGTCAGGCCAGGTGACTGTTAATGCTTGGGCCATGCTAAGCCCAAATGTCCCATTCGGTGGTGTTAAGGAGAGTGGATTTGGGCGGGACATGGGCGAAGAGGCGTTGGAGGGATGGACGACCGTCAAGGCTGTGAAATATCATATCCTTCCGCGCCTTTAATTGCTTGAAGCCAAGAAGGTCGCTCCAGCTATTGGTCACCAAAAAGTGATGTATACGGTGGACATGAGGGTGGCAACACCACTTTATTATTACTACACACATTGCTCGCATGTCTCATTGGATTTATGCCATGTATTCTGTCTGGGTGTTTTTGCAATTCTGTCTATGGGGTATGACCGACCAAGAGAACACGATACCGGTGCACCATTTATGGAAGTATGTCCTATGGCCTTATTTGAGGGGAATGGGGTGCATCTTGTTGAAGATATTCTTCGGATCATATTTAGCTTTCAGGCCTTGCAACCGAGCCAGATTGACACCGTAGATATTCGAAACCACTGAGTCCCCAGCTAAAAAACAGGTTAGCATTGAAATACACGAATATGATCAAGGATGAGTCGGACTCACGCTCAGCATAATTTATATACTGTGGCACATTATCTCCCGCTCCCTGGTCGACAGTTCTGGTATCTAGTTCGGCCTTCCATTTGGCCTGAACCTCGCGTGCCCATGCACGATGCTCCAGGTCCTTCGATGCATCGGTCCATCGCAAGAAGATAATACCATTTTGCGTGAAGTTACGACTCGCCAATGCGGTCTCAGTCAGGGGGACTTCGCAGATTTTCCGCATATCAGTGAATTCGAGAATAATTGCAGACGGCATCAAATCGGGCTCTGCGTTGATCTTGGCCATGAAGTCGTTGAAGATCGTCCGAGCAAATTTCGGGTCCAGAGGCGGCTGGTAGAAGATGCCCTTGAATAGTTTCCGGTCACCGTACGTAGCTTGGGGGTTTTGCAGTGTGTTCACGACTGAATATGGCACCATGTCCAGCGTGTTGAGAATAGGTTCCAGCGCCAGTAGTCCAGCAAATTGTTTCTGGCCGTCCTCGCGGGGCCCATTGTAGAAGCAAATCACAACTATCATCGGCCCTGAGCCATCTGGTGCCTGTGCAAAGATGCATATTGCGCCGGATCGAGCGTCGGGGCTCGCCAGCGTAACGTTCAGTTGGTCCATAACGCCTTCCAGCTTCTCAGGCATGAACCCCAAAATGCCAGCGTAGACAGGGTCCGCCTGGTCGTAGCCCTGATAGGTGAAGCTGACCACCACACCAAAATTGTATCCCGCACCACGCAAACCCCAGAACAAATCCGTGTTCTCTGTAGTGGAGGCTGTGACCAGAGTACCATCTGCCAGAACCACCTGGGCTGACAAAAGGTTATCAATGGTAAGGCCGTACTGCCCGCTCAACCAGCCGTAACCGCCCCCCAGTGTCAGACCCCCCACGCCAGTGTGGTTCACAGTCCCTCCAACAGCCGCCAAACCGTGTGCTGCCCCCGTCTCATCGACATCCTTCCAGGTCGCGCCACCTTGAGCAGTTATAGTTTTCTTGCCCGTGTCAACCGTGACCTCCTTCATACGAGACAGATCGATGACCAGGCCCCCGTCACTAGAGCTAGTGCCCGAAGCAGAATGGCCTCCACCCTTGATAGCAATGTCGCCAACTCCGAATTCCTGGGCCCACAGAAGAGCTGACTGGATGTCGGCCACCTCAATCGGCTGAACAACTACTCCCTAACATGGATATGAGCATACGCGGTTTTCGTTATTCTTCGCAACACATACCGCATATTTCATTCCAGTGTCCGACCAGCGGATTAGGCTGTCTGCGTATCCATCAGATCCGGGCGCGTACACTGTCGCTGTCGTCAAGCGACTACGAAGAGCCTGAAAGGCCGCAGCATCAATTAAAGGGGCCATTTTCGCTTGTTCTGAAATCGTTGTCGGCGGAAGACCCCGCAACCTCGGGTCGTAGCGCGGTATTTAATAGTTTCGGTGGATCGTGAGACATGCCCAATAATAACCGTGGGTCGTCTATCGCACCATTATTTGTTGTTCCACCCTTGGCGTTCGTAGGTCAGGAAATCAAAACTAGTTGGTCGGTTAGCCAAAAACTGTGCATTGTTGTACGTATTATCGGCCTACGCAAATATTTTCTCGTTGAGCATGTACATAAACCCTCTAAGTTTTGTTATTTCAAAATCTGCTGAGAATATTTGGCATACAGCTCAGGATACCATTTCCGACCTACATCCGGGTGACTCAGGATCCGATTTCTGAGGTGCGCCTCGCCAAACTGATTCAAATGAGTCGTAATTCCCACATGATTGGCACGCGTGGAACTTACACAGGAGTACAACGGAGATAAGAATTCACTTGGAACATCCACAGCACGCTTCTTATTGTCGTCAGATGCCGGAATGCGTTGCACAATATGCGAAGCAGACTTTTTGAGCTGATCTAACGTCAAGTCCAGTCTCACTCCCAGGAAGAATGGAATGCTGTATCGTGTTTTCGAGGTTGGTGCCTAGAGGATCTGGTGAGTGATAAGTCTGCCATAATGGCCAGTCAATTAACAACGTACAATCACTCGGTGGGTCGTGGCGGCACAGATCCCGCCGGTAATTGCCTCGAAGCCCTGCTGGATATTCACCACCAAGCTTCCCTCCACTGGCGGCACATCAATCCACTCGCCATTCTTATTGAGCACCTGGAGTCCACCTGTATTGTCCTGGGAGAGGAAGGTGAAAAGCCCAGCAGAATCCTTATGGGGCCCCACGCCTTGCGAATCCGGTGCAGAAGGGGGATACTTGACAAATTTCAAGCGGCTCATATTGCCTTTGAAAGCATCGAACGTAGTCGGGGGTAGAGAGAGAGATTCTGCGACCAGATGCACAAATTCCTGGGCCAGACTGTCCATTTTAGTAATGTAGCCTTCTACCATGTCTTGCGACGCAGGGTGTTCGGGGTACTAGTATAAGAACGTTAGCACTACAAGGCACCGGTGGGGGGAAGATTCGACGAACCTGGTTTGGGCCCTCAAGTCGCTGCCAAAACGGGTCTTCTTCTTTCCATGCTTTCATTCCTGGCGAGCCAAAGTCAAATTGCTGCACGGAATCAGTTCATCTGGCTGCGTTGCTGTTTGCTTGCATTGTGTGATTTGTTTACCTCGCGAAGGTCGGTCTTGGCTGCTGTGGTCTCTGCACCAAGACTGGTGTATCCCAGGAACGATGGCGAATGGATCATATTGCATCTCTGTTTGGCTTCGGCAGGCAATGCGAAAAGCGCCGGTAGACTCGCCTGGGTGCGGTAGATCAGATTCTGTAGTTAGCCAGGTCAGCATGTTGAGCCAAACACGAATCTATGGGGTTTACTGGTACCTCTAATCCCGTATTGGTCAGATATAGGAAGCCGACCACGAAGATGGCATCACGAAGCTTGGCGAGCTCTTCGCTCTTCGTTTCAGGCGATTTCAATTTAATAAAATCAACCGTTGGGACGGACGAGAATGTTTCGGGCATCTTGCCTTATTTGGTCTTATGAGCAGTGCAAAGACAAATCCGGATGTCCGACTGATGATTCTTGAGCCACGATGCCCGGTGCTCGGTCTTGCGGGGACAGCGCCGAGGTTAAGCATTCGCATGACTCAGCACATACTGGCAGCGAAGACGATGTTGCATACATCGGTGTTCGCACCTTTCGAGATTAAGTATACCAACGAGAGGGAATAAGTGTAATATAGCTATGAGTTTATAACGCGCGCAAGGTAAGTCTGACAGCAACAGATAATGACATCTCAGGACACAAGGCAACACACGTATTCCATGCAGTACTGGAAGGCCAAATCAGTGTGGTTTTGGGTATCCGATAAATTAATTCAAGTCCTACGCTCCAGCAATATGCACTTAGATCTGTAATATGTTTGCAAAAACGCCCGGAATGCAAAAGGACGTGGTCCGCTAGAGGGCACACTCCTGCAGAATCGCATGCAGTGTCACCAAATCCTCGCCCGATTCCAGCTTTGGGATAGCAATCTTCATGGCATCAAACTCCCAGGCCGCCGCGCGCTCATCGCGATGGCTGCGGAGGTAGAACGGCAACATCCACTCCTTGAACCGACCCTCGAGCAAGCCCATATCGCGATTCCTGTCCCACATCCGACGGGACTCCTTGAATGCGTAATCGATTGTACTGCGGCGGAGACGCTCATAGACATCAAAGACCTGCGCCAATGGCTCCGTGCGGTAGTGACCTAGAATCCGAGCGAAGAGAATGGCGTCATCCAATGCATAGGCTGCCGATTCATCCCGTGGCGGCATCTAGAATAGCTATGTCAGTTGGGCAGAACAAAGAGATCACAAAATGCAACAAGTCACATACTGCATGGGCGGCATCACCAAGGAGTACCACGCGGTTAATACACCACCGTCCACCGGGGCGGACTTGATACACTGGGTACAACACCCATTCGGCTTCACTATCGATGATCTTCCGAACATAAGGTATGGCACATTTCCCAAAACGATCTCTTAGCCCGCCACGTAGAGCACATCTAATCCTGTTCTGGGTCGTCCAGTCTTGCCCCGGTTCAAGGCGATAGCTCTGCAGTGCTTCCTCGCTGAATTGTACGATGGCAGAGGCGAAGACTTGCTCCCGGTCACGGTCACAATAGCTCGTGAGAATGGAGCCGTGACGGGAGATATTCAGTGCGGAGGAGCGAAAATGGGCGTGCGAGGAAATACTGTCCGAGTCCATAGTGGCCTGCACGAATGAGATCCCCGTATATTCAGAGGGCCGGTTTGGGTCCACCCAGCGAGTGCGCAACGCAGAGTGGACACCGTCGCAGCCGATGACCAGGTCTCCAATGGCCTCAGAGCCGTCATGGAAATGCACCACGGCCTTGTCGTTGATCTCCTCGCCGTCCGTCACCTTCTTGCCGAAGACGATTTCCACATTGCTGGTGCGCTCGACCACCGCCATCATCGCCATGGAGAGGACGATGCGCATCACTCGGCGGCCCTTGTATCCCCCAAATCCGTTTCCATGTTGATCGGTGAAGTCAACTGAACCTATTGAGCGGCCGGAACGCATAGAGAAAAGCTCAATCGCGTCCACATCTGCTCCACCCTCGGGACCCATTCGATTCAACTCTTCGAGCACTCCCAGCTGCGCCAGATGCCGCTGTGCGACCGGGGTCAAGTTGATAGCACCTCCCGATGTAGACAGGATGTTATGACGCTCAAAGATGGTGATTTTCAGATCCGGCACAAATGGAGTAAGTCCGCGAGAGAGGGCGAGCGCACAAGCGATTCCCGCAATGCCTGCACCGACAATGATGATATTGCGCGGCGGCTCCATGGTCAAGAGTTTGGCTGGAGTATACCCTTGATTGGTCGATATCCGCACCTTGAGAGAGTCCGCTGTAGTGCAAAATAATAAGGTCAGATATTCAAGGGTTTGCTGATATAGCCACCCGGCCAGCAAAGGGCGTTACGTGGCCCACTGTGGGGTTTAATATATATGCAGATTGAGAGGCCAGACCCCTGTATTATTGAAAGATCAATAAGCCTTTACTAAGGGCCCTCGTTGCACCCACGGTTTTCGTTCGGCCAAACGAGGCGATCGTTCGGCGTTTGCCCCCCGGGGTGGCGAATGGCCCGAAAAGGTTACTGTACGCTTGAAGTGACCGAGTCACAAAACCGGAACCAATAACGATCATTTGAGCAGATGCTCTGGCAGGTGGCGTCCAGGCTGGACACTTCCCCGCGACAAAGGAAACCTCACGCCCGTGACCCAATTAGGTAAAACGTCGTTTCTGACAGCGGCCACTGCAGGGGTTTCGGTCCGTCTTTTGCCGCAGCCGAGGAGCCTTCCTTATAAGGGACATACCGCCCATCAATAGTAGATTTGAGTGGTACAGACCTAATGCTGGCAGGATATTAAAGTGGTACTTTGGAGGGTCTCAGACTTGAGCAATGCCACTGTAACTATCGGTGATGCTGACAAACGCTGACAACCCCGTGGAGACACAGATGCTTCTGGGTTCTTTCGTTCGTGCAGTGGTGGCAGTGTCAAGCGCCGGCGGCAAGCGTGAAATGGTCAAGTCTCACCGAATCTTTTGATTTCGCTGCTGCTGCGAGAAATTGATCGGCGACGCGATTTCCACTTCATCGGGCACTGCAATTTCTGGGAGTTTGGACCAGGAGGCCTTCATCCCTCTCTCATCATTCGTCTCGGTGGCGTTTTCCATACTATGTCGCGCGCTCAACACCAAACACCGGCCGTCGGGATCTAATAACAGGCACGGTTTGCAAAGTGGCGATCGGTTGTCATCTCAGCACAAATCTTGGCACGAATGACTTCGACCTGCAGGGGAAAAGGCACAGAAAGCACATGTCGCAGCTGTGGACCAGAGGGCCAGTGCTGTTCTTGCTTTACGAATTGGATTTCATCCATGGTGCACTGGACAGACCTAGCACGCAGCTCATCTCGTAATAGCCAATTTGCTCTGCCAAGTAGCCGGAGAGAATGGGCCCCGACAAACATCCCAAGGGTCCAGCTGGTACTGGCAATGGATAACATTCGCGAGTATCCGCCCCGGGCCTAGGCTTAACCGCAGCCTTGCAGCGGTACGAGGTGGCGCCATTCTCCCGAACCCTAAGCCTGGATCCCCATCCGCGGCCCCTTGCCTAGCCGATTCCTTTACGATAGACACCAACCCTATGCATATCTGTACCCGCGACTGCCGATCGCAACTGCACCGGCGATCCATCGGAGATCTTAAAAGACATAAACTCGTTGATTCATGGTCATCCGGTCATTATTATATCCATGAGTTCCTCCGAATAAACATTCCGTCCTCAGACCGATCTGTGGATCCTGCCTTCCCTTTCTTGCAACCCTTCGCACCTATAGCAGTGTTTCCTGGTGGCTGGCAACGCGCCACTCACCATCCGATCCCTGGCTCCATGTGGTGGACGCCGTCGCTTGGTACTCACTCTCGCCTCGCACGGCGCGAACCTTGTAGGTGACCACGCCGGCCATAAGGTCGATGATGATGGTGCGGACTTCGTCCAATTGGTACCTATCGAATCGGTGGAAGGGCGGCTTCAACGCGTTTCTGAAGTTCGACTCGTCCTCCAGCGTGAGGATCGGCATCTGTGGGAACATCATGTTGGCCTCGGCATTGCACAGTTTCAGGACGGCGGATGCTGGGTCGGCCGAGGTCAAGGCGGTCCACAGCGCCCGTTCTTTGTTGATGAGGTCTTCGCGGATTCTATCGTGGATAGACGGCATGGTGGGCAGGAGGAATGGTTCGTTTCAGGAACCGGGTGGAGGGAGTGTTGGCTGGGGGTTTTATCTATGGACGCGGCAAAAGGATCGAAGAAGAAATAGATTAAATGACGTCAGGTGTGACGTTGGAACACAATCGTATACGTACAACGATTAATTTATTTTCGTGCTGTTTAACCAGTCCTTGAATACAATGTACGTCATGCCGTGGGCCTTGTGGCTGGAGCCTCGCGCGTCATAACATAACTATCTCTAACCCTAAATCCGGATGACGGGCCTGGCACAACCATGGGACGGTGCGGCGGAGATCCGTGGCTGGAGAAGAGGCGGTGTTCATGATGGTCAACGATCATTAAATACTAACAGGAACTAACCAGCTAGCTAATTAACTTGTTCACTATCTAATCAAGCACGTTACTTAACATTCCTCCGATCAGCCATCGTCAGATAGGAGATAGCCGAGCCGATACTTCATTGTTATCATGGATGCTTATCAGCAGAGCCTGTTACCGCGTCGAGCCCTCTGCTCCCCCTGCCCTTGTCCATCCTCACCCTCACCACGGTATGTATTATCTCCCTCTATTGCTGCTGCTGGGCACTCCCTTGCCGGTGACGGCGCATGGGATTTCCCCGGTCGCGCCCAAGATCTCCCCGAAAGTGTTTATCGTCTCCATGGTATGTTAGTCTGTGTGCGAGGCAGGGTACCCGATGGCTCATGCTCTTTCCAGTTTGAACCAGAAGCCGAGGTGTGGTGGGACATCCCCGAATTTGATGTGCTTGCCCACAACATCTCCCTGCCGGGCCTCTCGCCTCTCTTCCCCGATGTGCACTGCACCCGGGATTACACCATCTGCCAGCTGATCACGGGCGAATCCGAAATCAATGCAGCCACCACGATCACGTCGGTCGCGCTCTCGACCCTCTTCGACCTCACGCAGACGTATTTTTTCATCGCCGGCATTGCCGGTGTCAACCCGGAGCGCGCCACCACGGGCTCGGTGATGTTTGCGCGATATGCCGTGCAGGTGGCCTTGCAGTATGAGATCGATATCCGAGAATTGCCCTCAGACTACCCCACGGGTTATATCCCCCAGGGCGCGGATTTCCCCGGTCAATATCCTCTCAGCATCTATGGCACCGAGGTCTTCGAGGTCAATGCCGATCTGCGCACCATGGTCGCTCATCTCGCTCGCCAGGCCACTCTCTCCGACTCGGCCGCCGCCAAAGAGTATCGCGCGCATTACGCCACCAAAGACCACCAGTACAAAGCAGCGACGCTAGCACCAGGGGTGGTGGAGTGTGATGTGGCCACCTCCGATGTGTACTACAGTGGAAACATCCTGGGATCCGCCTTTGCGAACACTACCAAGCTGCTGACCAACGGAACGGGCGATTACTGTGCCACTGCCCAAGAGGACAATGCCACCCTCGAGGCACTTCTCCGGTCGTCCGCTCGCAATCTGACCGACTTCTCTCGCATCATCGTCATGCGCACCGCGTCGGACTTTGACCGCCCGTATCCGGGGTCGTCGGCGGCCTACAACCTGCTTCATGCCAACCAGGGCGGGTTCGAGCCGGCGATTCAGAACATCTACCATGCCGGAATCAAGGTGGTTAAGGGCATCCTCAATGGCTGGGATGAGACCTTTGGCCCGGGCGTCACGCCTCATAATTATATTGGCGATATTTTTGGTACTCTGGGCGGCCAACCAGACTTTGGACCGGGGCGCACCCAAGACCTGCTCGAGGGTGGCGCGCTGAAGAAGAGGAGTATGCGCGGACGTCCGGGACGGCGTGGCTGAGATGGTGGCTGAGATGGACGCATATGGTTATTGCTGTTGTTTTGTTTATAACCACATAGACCTGACATAGATTTGGTGACCAATAAACATATCATATACTGCGCTGACCGGGTCTGGATTAACTCCGCTATTTCCGGGATTCCACGAGCTGTATTAATCATGAAGCGGGGGAAACAAACACTAGATCATCTGCATTATTGTTCCATCATCTCATCTTCTTCCCACAGCATCCACCATGGGAGAATCCGTGATTCAAAATCAAAAGACCGCCCTCATCACCGGTGCTGCGTCCGGCGTCGGCTTTGCGATTGCGAAGCTCTGCCGGAGCAAAGGCATGCATCTGGCTCTTCTGGATATCGACCGTGAGAATCTAGCCAAAGCAAAGACGGCCCTCGTGGGTATAAACCCAGACTTACAGACAGAGTCGTACGTGGTGGATGTTTCCGATCGGTCCGCCTGGGACGCCGCCATCAAGCAAGCTGTGGGACTCTTCCCGGAGATTGACTTGGTGGTGTTGAATGCCGGGAAATCCTACAAAGCTGCCGGCCAGTCCGAGGGAGGGCGACTGAAGACTTGGTTGGACCCTGAATACTGGAGAAAGGTAAGAGAGAGATGCCCGATGACCATCGTGCCTGAGCTCAAATTCCTATAGACGATGGACACGAATCTTTTCGGTCCTCTGAATGGACTGGAGACTATCCTACCCCTTCTCCTCACGGCCAAAGCCCAAACTCCCAAGTCAATTGTGGTCACCGGATCGAAGCAGGGCATCACCAATCCGCCCGGCGCGAGCAACCCGGCGTATAATGCTTCCAAGGCGGCAGTTAAGAGCATGACCGAGCATCTCGCCCACGATCTTCGTTCGGACCCGTCCACCGCCCATATCTCCGTTCACCTTCTCATTCCCGGATGGACGTGGACCGGTCTCATGGGCAACGTGGGCCCTACAAAAGAAGAAGAGATTCAAAAACCCGCCGGAGCATGGTACCCGAGCCAAGTGGCCGAAGAGCTACAGAAGGGCTTGGAACAAGGGTCGTTCTACATCATCTGTCCGGACGGTGAGGCCGACCGTGCGCTGGATCAGGCACGTATGAAGTGGGGTGGTGACGACGCGTTGGAGGGACGGCCCGCGCTGTCTCGATGGGAAGTGAACTGGAAGAATCGCGCTGAGGAGGCGATCCAAGCGGATGCCCAGAGCCGGAGAGGTTGATTTGTCACGGACTACGTCGCAGGTAACCGAAGCTACTGAATGTAGCAAGCGTCCAATCATCAACTTTCACAGTAATCTTCGCCTGTCCGGAATGTCCGAACACCATCAACCGCGTCTGCCGACGACGGAGTAAAGTACATATCTCTCAACTAAGGATAATGAATTGGTCAAGTATTTTAATTGCTGGAATGAATGGAGGGTCAATGGCATGTAGCTTTCCTCGCGGTCTTCAGGCGTTCCAGTACTATCATCAAATCCTGGGATTTGTAGAGTCGTACAACATTCTTTGAGTGCATCAGTAATTCTTCGTAGGTAACATGGGAGCTCCGACCTACTTAGCAATGATATTTATTCTACATAGGCACTGCAGGACCTCCCATAGACCATTGGTCGACGTCTTGCGCCACAAGTCCTAGGAGGTGACTGTGATCGCCAGACCCCTGGCTCGAACTCGGTCGATTTGATTAAGTCTTTCTGATGTTTTGCCAGGACGGATTCCAGGCCGATGTTATCGAGACTGGCATCAGCAAGATGCCCGTGCTCTGGTAGCTATAAATCTAATCGATGAGTGCTGCATTGTCTAGCCGGACTGACAAATTTGATTAGTTTGACTCAACTTTTACTCAAGACATTTTTCGTTCATGCGTCAATCACTCTCTGCCAACGAAGAGGATGGGGACCTTGCTGATGCCAGTCTCGATAACATCGGCCCTGGAATCCGTCCTGGCAAAACATCAGAAAGACTTAATCAAATCGACCGAGTTCGAGCCAATGGTGTTGGTGATTATGTTGAGCTCCCCCAGCTCGTGGTTTGCGGTGATCAGTCGGCAGGCAAAAGCTCTGTTCTCGAGGGCATCAGCGGATATCCCTTCCCTCGAAAAGATGGAGTCTGTACACAATTTCCTACTGAGATCGTGCTTCGTCACGATAATCAGGTAGAAACGATGACCGCAAGCCTCTTGCCGAGCGCATCCCGCTCATCTGAAGAGAGAGAAAAGTTCGCCGCCTTTCAACGCGATTTCCTGGATTTCAACGAGTTACCGGGCATAATTCAGGAAGCCTCTCATCTAATGGGGATTCGCGGCTTCAGTGACGTCCCTGACGCTCCTGCTTTTGCCGCGGACGTCCTTAGACTAGAATTTACTGGCAACACAGGTCTTCACCTTACTTTGGTTGACCTTCCAGGCTTGATATCCGTCTCTGACGACGACAAAGATGTTGAGCTGGTCCGAGGGCTGGTTGACTCTTATCTAGAGAGCTCGCGCACCATCATACTTGCTGTGATCCCGGCGAGCAGTGATGCTGAGACTCAAGGTATCATTCAGCGGGCTCGGCATTTTGACAAAGATGGCGTACGAACTATCGGTATCATCACTAAGCCCGATCTCATCAACGAAGACACTGAGGAGCGGGTCGCACGCTTAGCTAAGAACTTGCATCGCACCAAGTTGAACCTGGGTTTCTTTCTGCTGAAGAACCCCTCTCCTGCAGAGCTGTTAGATGGATTGAGTTTCTCGCAGCGTCGTAGAAAGGAATTGGAGTTCTTTTCTAGCGGACGATGGAGGGCGCAGAACCTGAATCCATCAAGGGTTGGAATCGATAACCTCCGCTCCTTTCTGGCCGAAATACTGGACAGCCACATTGAACGAGAGCTTCCAAAAGTTCAGGAGGAAATCCGACGTCTGCTGAAACGTATCAATGAAGAAATTCATGATCTTGGAATTGAAAGATCAAGTCCGAATCAAATCCGGATGTTCCTCACGCGTATCAGCACCGACTTCCACGGCATCGCCAAAAACGGCCTTGAGGGAAATTACGACAGTCGCGATGGAAGCTTCTTCTCGACGAATGACTCTTCTCGTCGCCTTCGTGCTGCCATCCAATCCGAAAATGAGAAGTTTGCCGAGTATATGCGTACCCACGGCCAGCGAAGAAAAGTCGTCTCGAATGACGGCAACAATGCATTCGAAGCGAAATCGGAAGAAGAAGAAGACGTATCGGAAGGGGGAAAATTGGAAGGAGAAGAACGGGATAAGGATGGCCAAACTGAAGAGCTTCGAGTTACGAAAAATCAGATGTCAGCTTGGATAAAAGAGGTACGGTCTGAGAACCACTTTTGGTCCAAGACGCTGACGATAACAGATGTATCATCAATCAAGAGGTCGAGAATTGCCTGGAAACTATAACCCTTCCCTCTTGCAGCGGTTGTTTCATATCCAATCATCTCGATGGGAAAGCATTTCTCAGCGTCATCTCCAATCGGTTGTGAGCTTGGTGACTCGATTCGTGGACTCTGCATTGAAGTTCATTGTCACAGACACTAAAGTTCGTGACAATCTGCGAAGACGCATAACAGAAACCCTGGGCCAGAACGCTCAAAAAGCCCATCAAGAACTTGTGAGGCTGGTACAGGACGAACAGTGCCATCCCATTACGTATAACCACTACTACACCGACAACATCCAAAGGGCGCGGCATGACGATGCCAAAGCACGCATCAAAAAGTCTGTGGATAAAGCAAGTCAAATGGATTGGGGCGGCGTCTTTCATTTCAGTAATTCTCCGGATGAGATGAACAGATTGATCTCCGCTCTTCAGGCAAGAGTGGAGGTCAACATGGTCGACCGAGCATGTTCCGAGGCACTGACCGATCTGAATGCCTACTATAAGGTAAGTCATTGACGATGATGGAATTAGGACTGGAAATAACGTGGTAAATTAGGTTGCCATGAAAACTTTCGTTGACAATGTTTGCCGACAAGTGATTGAAAGACATATTCTTGCAACTCTAGCAGATGTTCTTGACCCGGCAGTTGTCAGTGGTTATTCGGATGAAGAGCTACTGCAATTGGCTGCCGAGTCACCACAAACTAGGCGCCGTCGAGCTGACGCACTCGAGCTACAACAGGCGTTGGAACAGAGTCTAAAAGACCTTTCTTTCTAAGCGGGACGTTATTGTGCATGTGTATCTTGGTTTCCTCCGGGCATGGTTTTCTCCCACTGGGTTTTCCCATCCCCCAAGCGTGAATGCGGGAGTGACCTCATTTGTTAATTATGCTGTTTTTCTCAAGTATTCGAATTTGATTGCGCACGCTTTATTTCTACTTATCTACGTAGATACCTGCTGCATCCTGCAAGTCACTATTCTCGCCGAAGCCCATAATCTGAAGGATACGGGTTAGATGTGGAGTACCCAAAATATAGAGTATATGCCGAATAGAGTTCAGGAAAGAATTGAAGAGAATAAAGTGGTGAAACTAATTTGGAACCCCCATGTAAGAGTGATACTCAGGGTCGAAAAGGTTGTTTTGTCCCAATCGGGAGTTCTGATGTCCCGTCACGCTGTTTTGGTGGGATGTACAAAGAACGGAAGAATAATGAGGGAATGGGCAATCTTGGCAACTTGGCGGGACGGGACGCGGTCGTATCCAATGGGCCTGAGCGCATATTAGGTAAATGAGGCAGGATGACTCAAGATGATGCGTATTGACTCAGTAAGTATCGCGAGTGACAGGCAAATTAACTATGACAATTTTTATATATCTCGTAGATAGGACCTGCACCATGATAGGAAAGCATTTCTCGATCATTTCGAGCAGACAGAATCGGCTCGAGGTTGTCCGTGGTAAGTAGGAGCCTCCTAGACCCTTATTGTGCCCTTCTGTCCCTGATGAGACCTATCACTCGCCGAAATGACTTGCTGGATTGCTTAAGACCAGCGGGAGAATGATTCGATTTGGTTCTGACCGTGACTTGTATCCTTGGTCATCTCCTCTAACGGCATACAATGAAGGCCGCGCTGACTGGGCATGTATTAGGGACCTAGGACGAAGTCGACGATGTAACCGGACGCCTGGCGAGGAGTGAAAACATTGCGGGACTGTTTATAGTAGATAGCCTTGTAACAATATAATAATAATGGCAATCCCCAGAATAATATACAAGGCCTCGGCTAAAGTCGGGGGTCCCCGTTTCTCCACAGATAAGATAGCCATGCCCACGCAACTAGTTCGACGATCCCTGCCAACTATCCTCTTCGCGGGATGCGCGTATGCGGAGAAGAGCGTGGGGGGATGGATGCGTGGGTGATATGGTTGCCCCCGGGGAAATGCAGCATTCCTCTTCTTGGACTAGGAATGCCACTACCTCCTACAAGCTAATCATTCGTGGATCTCAGCTTCCCTCTTCAGTCTATCCTTGCACAACGGTGTTGGTGGCCCCAGACATACAATCCTTCCAGACCCTGTTGATCCTTGCCCTGCTGCTGGTTCTGCAGGATGGCCTCGAGTCCCCCGCGTTCATCGTCGCCGGGCGATACAACCAAATCGGCAACCGTCGGGACCGTCGATGAGCCCAACAAGCTCCAAGGCTATGGATCAGCTCCCGACATCCTGGACGAGATCACCCGCGTGGTCGACCACAAGGCCGAGCGACGACTCTGCCGGCGGTTCGATATTCGGCTCTTGCCCGTCCTCGCAATCATGTGTGAGTTGTCCTTTTCTGCGACACAAGTACAGCGGCAATTGACCAAGTATAGACCTGTTCAATGCCCTCGACAAGGGCAATCTGGGCAATGCAGAGACTGATGGCATGACCGAAGGTAGGTGGCAGCCCATAAGTACCAACCGGCGGCGATGAGACTGACTCCAGGCGCAGACCTCAATTTCAAGCCCAACCAGTACAACCTGCTGCTGTCCATCTTCTTCGTTCCCTTCGTAATCTTCGCGCCGCCGTTCTCCATGCTGGGGAAGAAGTTCAGCCCGGCTCGCGTGCTGCCGCTCCTGATGTTCTCGTTCGGCGCCTTCACCCTGCTATCCTCGGCAACACACAACTTTGGTGGCATGTTCGCGCTGCGTTGGTTCCTAGGCATGTCTGAGGCGGCGTTTTTCCCTCTGGTCATTTACTACCTGACCACCTTCTACCGCCGAGGCGAGCTGGCTCGTCGACTGGCCATCTTTTACGCCGCTTCGAACATCGCCAACGCTTTCTCGGGCCTCATCGCCTTTGGCGTCTTCCAGATCAAGGGATCCAGCTTGCCGAACTGGCGCTATCTCTTTATTGTCGAGGGCGGAGTGACCGTCATTTTCGCTGCGTTTGCCTTTTTTTACCTCCCGCGCAGTGCGGCCGAGGCCAAGTTCTTGTCGGAAGAAGAAAAGGCACTGGCTTTTCATCGCATCCAGGTGGACTCGAGCGCCGTTGTCAACGAAAAGTTTCGCTTCCGGGAGGCGCTGAGCATCTTCAAGCATCCAACCACGTATGCCTTTCTCTGCATTGAAATCTGTCTAGGAGTGCCGCTGCAGGGTGTCGCGCTTTTCATGCCCCAGATCATCGAACGACTGGACTACGGCACTGTGAAGACCAACCTATACACCGTCGCTCCCAACGTGACGGGCGCAGTAATGCTGCTCGTGCTAGCTTTCTGCTCCGATTTCGCTCGGCTGCGGTCACCGTTCATCGTTCTTGGCTTTCTGTTCACATTTGCCGGGTTCATGATCTACGCATCTATCAACGATGTCCAGGGGGAGCTACAGCTAGCCTACTTCGCCACCTTCATGATGACATGGGGCACATCCGCGCCATCGGTGTTGCTGAGCACTTGGTATAACAATAACATTGCTCACGAGGGCCGCCGCGTGCTGTTGACCAGTATCGGCGTACCGCTCGCCAACCTGATGGGTCTTGTGAGCAGTAATTTGTTCCGTGAGCAGGACGCGCCCAAATACATGCCCGCCTTGATCACCGTGGCCGCTTTTGGCGCAGCTGGGGCTTGTCTGGCAGGCCTGCTGGCATTGTACATGTGGCTGGACAACAAACGGCGCGATCGCCGTGACGGGGTTACGATCCGGGCGCGGGATATTCCCACCGATCGCATGAGAGATGGGCCTTCGTCCCCGGAATTCCGATGGTTTCTGTAGGGCGATACCATGGTGTATGTAGCAGTGTGTGTTTGAGACAATCCAAGCTTCCTGTGGGGAAAGATGTATAATGATCATAAGGGGTTTGTTTGTGAAGATGCCCTATCTTGGCCGGGTCCACAATTAAGTGGGATGTCCTCCAACGTGGGATACGCCAACCGTACAATTACATCGTCTGAAGAAATCGGTCGAATGATATAACAGGACACAGTGTTTTTTGGGATTTGTTTTTGATAGGATGCAATAAGCCGCTCGCTGGGGTTCAATCACGTCCACCATCTGACACTGCTGGTTCAGCCCTGCCGTTACACCACAAGCCTTTTAGGCCTCCAACTACTCTGACCCAACATGTCACGGAGTCTAATAGTAGTTAGTGCCGAAGTAGGAATAAGGCGTAGCACTAGTAAATTTACCATGTAGTCAATTGAGGCAATGGCGGAATCGATGGTATTCTGTCTAATTGTCATGTCTGTATTTGTCGTAGAGAAGCGGGATATCAATCTCTACTTAGTGAGATCTCTCCATACAGCTACAGGTCAGTCACAGCTTTGGGGACTTCGGGCCAGCCTAAAATGGTGCTAACTGGATTTGTATCTTAAGGCTATAGTTCAGCTATGCACTCCTGTCCACATTCGGGCATAATACTGATTCAGGCGCGCCGGCGTCAGTCGGCTGACTAGTAAATTATCCGGTCGGTAATTACTTTGACAGTAAGCCCTAACAGACTTGACAAGTCAACCTCGCATATAGACATAGCCGTTGCGCTGTCAGATTGCCTGAGTCGTAGTGTATACTTTCCCTTCACATAAACAAACCCTCACCATGGCCGCCAATCCCAGCGAGATCTCGCCCCTTCGCAGTTTCACCCACTACATCACCGGTCATGACGCCGAGGGGAAGGCATTGATTCACTCATCCACCCCGAGCCAGTGGCAGACATTTGAAGGTGCCGCCACGGCCTTTGATCTCATCTACACGACCGGCCAGTTCCCCGTCAATCTCAATGGCGATGCCGACATCCGTGCTCACGAGCAGCTCATCCAGTCCGGCCAGCTAGGTCCGGTCAATCCGAACGGGACCGTGTGTCGCGTGGTCGACTTTGGTCCTCACAACCTGTTTCTCATGCATCGCACACAGAGCCTCGACTACGGGGTGGTGCTGGAAGGTGAAATGGAGATGCTGGTCGACGTAGGCGACCCTGTGCTCATGAAACGGGGAGATGTAATCGTGCAGCGGGCGACTTTGCATGGCTGGCGCAACCCGAGTGAGACGGAGTGGGCGCGCATGTTCTTCGTCTTGCAGGAGTGCCAGCCAGTAACCATCGGCGGAAAGGAGTTGAAAGAGGATCTAGGCTTTGCTGCTGAAGAAGGCATCATCAATTCTAGTAGAAATGATCAATAAGAGCCCGGGGGCGGTGACCATGCTTTGATGCTTATGTGCAAGTCCTATCTTGTTATTTACTGCTTGACCTGAATAACGACTTTGCCAAAGTGACTGCCGCTCTCTAAGAACTTGAATGCCTCTCGGGATTCCGCGAACGAAAAGACTCGGTTGACCACCGGGTGAATCTGGTGTTCCTCGTAGAATCGAATCATCTCCTCAAATCGATCCTTGGGCCCGTTGATGATCCCCTTCAAGGTGACCGTTCGGCGTAGGGCCAGCAAGTTCACATTTAATCGATCGTCGCCGGCATCCATCTTTCCGGATACGTATCCAATACAGTTGATTAGGCCACCAAAGGCGATGCAGTCAAAGCTCTTGCGCAGGGTCTGGGCTCCTCCAACCTCGAGAATGATATCAGCTCCGTGATGGTCCGTCCACTGGATCACTTCGTCCTGCCAATTGGGGTTCGTCCGGTAATTAATCGTCAGATCAGCACCCAACTGTCTTGCCTGCTCCAACTTCGCGTCGCTGGAGGAGGTGATAATCACTAGACGGCCGTCTCAGTTGGTGGGCTTTTTCTTTTTCGACAGCCACTCACCTTTCGCCCCGGATGCCTTGGCAATCTGCAATCCGGCGATGGACACGCCTCCCGTGCCTTGGAACATGACATACTCGTCCTTGCCACCATTCTGGCCCATGGGTCGCATTCCGTTGATGGACATCCACGCCGTGACTGAAGCGATCGGCAGCGTGCTCGCCTCCTGGTCGGACAGGTAGTCGGGAGCTTTGATCAGTGCGTACTCGGGGAATACCCGGTGAGTGGCCAGGACGCCATCCTGTGGCAATCCCAGGCTCCGGGATAGCTCCTTTTCGGTGACCTGCCCGGTGAGATGGTCCGGCAAAAAGGTCGAGAGGACACGATCGCCCACTGCCCATTTTGTCACGCCGGAACCAACATGGGTGACCACACCACACATGTCCGAACAGGGGACGATGGTACAATCATGCTCAGCAGATTTATGGTGCTTATATTCGCCTTGAGTGACTGCGGACCAGTCAGATTCTGGGCTGTTGGAGGGTTGGAGATGAACACACCTTCGACATCGCGATAATTTAGCGAGACCGTATGGATTTCCACTAGCACTTCACCCTGGCTCGGAGTGGGCATAGGTACTTCGGTCTGGCGCAGGCTGTCAATGCCCTGAAGGGGCGTGACCCATTGCTGTACGGACATGGTGGAGGATGTTTAGTTACGGTCTCGGGGTTGGCAATGAAGAATTTGAGTAGCGGATGAAGGACTGACTCAGCTAGTAGAACAACATCAGTGCCTACGGTATGGACCATTAAATCGGTAGTTCATTCTACATCGATGCGTTCGTTAACTATTACTATGATTTATTAATGATGAATCTCTATTCTTATAAATCATGATCAATTAACTACTTAACTCGTTTGCATACGGCTTACTCGCAAGTTCGTTGGTTAGCTAGGCCCCCAACAGACTATTATCTCCGATATTCCCGGTGGTAGGTAGGCTCTTCTATATACCACCCCCCACCCCAAAAAAATCTCTCACTTCTTCTTCATCAACTCTTCTCGTTGTACACCACCATGGCAGACGATAGAACACCGCTCGTCCAAAGTACCCCAGGTCTGTCACTGGCATGCATGTTCTCCGTTGGCCCTTTTGTGTATACTCACGTTCCTAAGCCCATTTCCTGCACCACACCGCCTCATCCCGGGTACCGCAGACCATTGCGCATCGAGGGTTCAAGGGCAACTATCCGGAGAACACGCTCATTGCCATAGATGGTGCGATCCGTGCAGGCAGCCATGCTATTGAGATTGACCTCCATCTTACTCGAGATGGAGTCGTAGTATTGTCGCATGTGAGTATCGAGTTTATGCCCGAGGACCCCCGGGATTGACAGACGCAGGATGGAACTCTCGAGCGCTGCTTTGGGATCAAGAAGAAGATCATCGACTGCGACTGGAGCTATATCCAGACCCTGCGGACGCTCAAAGCACCGCATGAGCCGATGCCGCGATTAGCGGATGTCCTCGAATACCTGGTGCAACCGGGCCGAGAGCAGATCTGGGCGATGCTGGATATCAAGGTAGTCCACCCCGATCCCGATCGTTGAGCTCGGTAGTAACCGGATAACGCTAGCTGGACAACGATCCCCTCGCCATCATGAAAGGCATCGCGGAGACCATCGAATCCGTGCCCATCCGCACCGTAGACTGGCACCGCCGCATCAACCTCGGCTGCTGGTCAGCCCGGTACCTGCCACTGTGCCAGCGGTATTTGCCTCGATATGCGATCACTCTGATCTGCTGGAACGTGAGTTATGCACGCCAGTTTCTCCAAGTGCCGCGCATTGCCTTCAGCATCAATCAAAAGGTCTTGATTGGCCCATTGGGCAAGGGCTTCCTTGAGGAAGCGCGGGCGGCACGTAGACGCGTCTATGTGTGGACGGTGAACGCTCCGGCCCTGGTGCGCTGGTCAATTCGCCATGAGATCGACGGAGTCATCACCGACCATCCAGACCGGTTCCGGGAGGACTGCAAACAGTGGGAAGAGGATCTCACAAGTGATTCTCCGTCCAAACGCGACCCAGCGTTGGATCGACTCTCGCTGAGACAGCGTATGGAGATTCTCCTAGTGGCACTGTATGTGGTCCTATTCGGCTGGTACTATAGGAAGAACTTTCCCGCCGTGGAACGGGTGCAGTTCGAGGAGCGCAAACTCGAGTAAAACAAGGCCGGTGGACGGACCGCACCCCTAATGATTAATGATATAATGAGACCATGCGATTTCGGGGTTGTAATGTTAGAAGTAGACATGGTATCCATTCACAATACAGATATAAGAAGACGCCTTTACCCACCCTCCCAGACCGATGGCTATTTAGTACATGGAAAGCATTTCGACATCACGGTGGATGAAAACAAAAAGTGTATACCGACAAGAAAGAAAGGAAAAGAAAGGAGCGAAAGGTTCAACCTTGGGCAGAGTTTAGGAAGATGCAAAATACCTCCAAGATGCACGGGAAAACAGTGGAACAACGCCAGCGTCGGCCGAAGCCACATGAGAGAAAGAAAAGGGTATAACGCAATCTATAGAACGAATGAAAAATCAGACGACCAGTCACAAGTACTGAGCGTGGTCTCTTAGATCATCATCAGCCTGGTCGTCCGTCGCTCGGGGAAACGTCGGGCACCTCCGGATGGAAATCTGGGACCAGGGCGAAGGCCCTGGCCGGGTGCTGGTGATGGTGGCGGTCGGAGCCCAGCTGGAGGACCTGGGGGACCTGGAGGGCCTGGAGATCTGGGAGGGAATTCACGAGATTGGGACAAAGGAGAAGAGCCCGCGGTGGGCCGTCGACGACCGGGTGGTGGGGGATAATAAGCAGCGGCCGCCCGCTGCGCGTCCCGTTCACAATAAACTTGTCCATTCCACTCGAAATAGTCGCCATTGAGCATAACCCGGCAGGTTCGACACTGCAGACATTCCGGGTGGAATCGACGGCGATCAGACCGGCCCTGGCTGAGCTCGATGGTCTCCAAGTACTGGCCCTCAATGCCAGTATGGCAGGTGGAACAGAGGGATCCATTGCGCTCGTGGTAGTGCTGAGCGCAGTACGGGCGGTTGTTCAGGACATAGAAGTCAGCCGTTTGGAACGGCGAATGACACTCGAAACAGACAAAGCAGCCGCGGTGATAGCGGCCGGTGAGACGGCCGTCGGAGGATGAGATGGACTTGCCCGTGATCTCCTCATTGCAGCCTTTGCACTTCCCTTTGGACCGCGTTGCTGATCGAGTTGGTGGGCGAGCAATCGGTGATGTTGATGGAGGAATGGGTGTAGTCGCTGACCGCTGCGGCGGTCTCAGTGGCGAGGGAGGTGCCTGAACTGGTGTTTTGGTTCTGGCTGGCCTATCCGAAACCAGCGCCAGGCTACCTTGTCCGATGGCCGGGTCCGTAGGAGAGTCGGGACTGAAAAACACAGCCGGAATGGGAGGCACCTCGTCTAACGCGCCTTTCGTGCGGCCTGGAAGTTCCAAAATGGTTTGCCGTGTCCGCGGAGGCAATTCCTCGACCAAGGGCCCCAGATTCAGCGGATCAGTTGGCTTATGTCGGTGCGAACTTGACTCAGAGGGGACACTGGACATGGAGCTCCCGCTGCGGGTGTCGGATGGGGAGGAATCGTCGGATGTATTCGAGCTTTCTGTTTGAGTATAATGGTCGTCCAGGCCGAGAGCGCGGGCAAAATTCGTGACGGATAGAGCACTATCACTAGTGGCATCGGAATCCTTCCTTGGGGCATCGTTGTTCGGGTCCGGGTGCAGGTGCATTGGCGAAGGTAGTTGGGAATTCTGGTCGTGCATATAGCCCGTGCGTTCATCCGGAGAAAGTTCCTCAGGGAGATCATGCAGGCCTTGGGTGGATGGCCGGCCTGAGGAGATGCCAAAATCAAATCCACTATAACTTTCCCCCCTGTCCGTCTGATAGTCGCTTCGATAGGAGGAGCTCAGAGACACATCAGAGTCTCGGATGACGGGGCTTTTGTTTGAGGTTCGAAGAGGTGCCGGGGGCAACGGCGGCTTGTCATCGTCCATAAATGTCCGGAGACCACGAGAAAAGCTGTACGTTGACGACCGGCCCGCAGAGCTCGCATACCGTGTACTGGCAAACGATGTGCGATAGCTGCTGTGACTGGCTATGGAATCCCCGCGCTGGTGGCCACTGTCAGAGGGATCAGGATGCGGCGGGAGTGGGCTAGGAGGAAGTTGGATATTCTCCGGTACCAATCCCAGTCCCAGCCCCGGTGATGGCGCCGGGGGAATTGATCGAGGGGTGGCCCCATCGTTTAGACGGGCTGGCGACCTCTCCGGGATCGGGAAGGAAGTGAAAACTGAGTCCAGGTTGATCACCTCGGATTCTTCATCATCGCTACTCTGGCTGCGTGGCGGCGGAGGCGGACGCAGCGGGGATCGAGGGGGGACGGAAGTGACGGATACGGGAGAATGAGATCCAATGCTGCTAGCCGGCGTCGGCATATTCGGATGCAAAAAAGCACGATCTATCTTGGGTCAGTCCATGCAAGCGACGCGCTGGGAGACCATCACGTACTTGCGATTGACGGGTCGATCTGTGGCGGCACCCCGGCTCGGCCAGGCTTGGATGCCATCGCTGTCGTCAGGTAGCCCGGTGACTCTAACCCCGCAGAGGGAGGAGGTGTTGGTATCGAGGGTATCGACAGGGCTAGAAAAAAGAAATCAGCGCTGGTCTGACGTGTAGCATATGGCATATGCTGTATCACGGGAGGATGCCTCATACCGTCCGGCTTGCAGACATGGTCGCCCATGGCTGAGATCTCAACATTGTTCCCACAGTTGGAGCATTTGATTGTGGGCATAAAGCTTGGTAGTTCCATGGTGGTCGCCATCTTCTATCTGGAGGAGGTAGGCCAAGTCATCGACTTGGTCAGCGGGCCAGCTGCCCCGAGGGTGACCCTTGTGCCACAGAAGGTCGAAGATGCCGGACAAGTCGTTGTGCCAGCGCTGCAATAACGAATGTGCAGAATCCGAATCACTGGGGATCTGTCAAGGCCGAAGAGGGATGGTGGTGTTGTTTTCCTTTGGATTACAGGAGACGAAGGGAGTGACAATCGACAGTGGGCGAACAGAGCCAGGCCCACCTGGCGCAGAGAGCACCATGACTGGGCCAATTTGCAGTGAGATCAAAAGGAACCTGGCCCCAAACTGCGCGCTAGTGAGATAGCGTCTCCATCACGGACGGGGGATTCGTAAGTTGGGCTTCAGGGGTAAAAGTTGGCCCCCTTGCATGTATACTTCCATCGGATGCAGCGAACAATGCGTCGACTCTCCTGTGGTACCGTTCTTTTTATTTTCTAACGTCCTTCAGTGTTCTCTAGATCTTAAATTTTTTTCCCCATCCTCCCACTAGGGTACTCTCTGGTTGCCGATCCGCTTCCTTCAGGGGGTGCCAGTTGGGCGCACGGCTCACGGTGGAGCCAAAGGCGCAATCGCCAACCCTAACTCGGTGCCTGGCAACTGATCCGAGCCCCGGGCGATCGCTGTTCGGACAATTTCATTGGCCCCCCTTGCTTGACATGCTTCGCTTGTCAAATGAGCGCGTGGCCCCCAGGTGGTATGTATCATCATATGGGGGCCTCGACCATGATGACCTTTATTATGATGAAAATAGTAATAGTTATTGTAGGGCAAAAAGTCAGCCGCGGGGGCAACTGCCTTCTGCCTTGTGTTCTAAACTTGCATCATCGCTGCAACCACCTATGGCTGTAGATATCACGCTAGGCTTCAAGTAGTAAGCTTCCAGACCACGGAGAGATGCAAATATTAACCGAATAGTCAACCTCCATGACAGACTGTAACTAAGCTTACGACCAATGACACTTCTAGCGGAGCGTCCGACTACCACAAATACCCAACTTGATGGTTGCTTAATCATGTCACTACATACTACTACATACTGTGCGCTGAGCTTGACATTCGCCCATCTTGCCCGTCGTTCTTCTCTTGGCCTTGCTCTAAAGCCTAAATCCGCCATGGACAGTCCAGTCCTCGGTCGCTGTTCCTACCAAATTGTTGACAATCTTGGAAGTGGCGGAAACAGAACAAAACATCGTGACGTCATGCCATGATCTTATCAACCTGAGAGAGAATACTTTGTCGATAGAACGGTTCTTGGATCATCAATCACCGCCATGGGCGCGCTCTGGAGTCGCACAGCGAGTGGCCCAAATGGGTCGGGGGAGCCGGCGCAGGACCAGAATATCCAAGACGAAGAAGGCGAGAACACGCCGCCGCCGCCGCAGCAGCAGCAGCAGCAGCAGCAGCAACACCAGCCGGAGCCCCATGAACGGACGAGACTGCTTCCCCAGCAAAACGCCTATCTGAGTCCAGATGATCCGGCCGTAAGAGTGTTTCCTAGGGGAAGGCAGACCAGCGTCCAAGCTAACTTGAGCATCCAGGTATCACCATACAATCTCTGGAGCGTACGCGCCTTGCGCGGCCTCTCACTCGTCTCCCTGGCCATCAGCTTCGTGTGGTGGACCTTTCTTCTCACGTCTATTTTCGTCAGTCCTCCGATGATGCACACGCGCGGTTCGGGCTTCTTCGCATTCGCCTACACAACCCTGATATTGGGGTATATCGTCCACGGCCTGCTCTTCTTTGCAATCCCATCCAAGCCAATGGCCATCTGGGGCATCATCCTCTCCGGTTTACTCCTCCTGGATATGTGTATTATTGTGGCAGTACCGCACCTGCGGCTGGAGGAGGGCTGGGTTGGCATTGCCTCGGTCGGTTGGGCGGTCGTCATTTCAATCTACCAGGCCATCCAGATCCGGTCTGTTGCGTGGGGGAAGCGGGAAGAGGAAGAGCGTCTGACCGGTCGCGAAGAGACTCGTCGCCCGCTGCGGGAGTGGATGGCTGTTCTCGCCGAGCTGATTCTCTTGACAGTCATGGGGGTGGCCGTGCTGTTGATGACTGCGACGCTCATGTTACGTGCCCGGGATGCCTCTCTACCCCCGCCTGGACGCCGATATTTTGTCAATGGCGATACGTATCAAGTCCATCTTGCCTGCGTGGGGAACCGCACCTCGGAGTCTGCTGATGCACCCACCATTCTGCTGGAAGGAGGAACGGGTCCAGTCGAGCATACCCTGCAACCTTTTCTCGATGACATCTACCGCGATGGCATCATTCCCCGCTACTGTTATTGGGACCGCCCGGGCATGGGGTGGTCGGACACCGCTCCGTCACCACATTCGGCCGGCATGGCCGCAGATGCACTCTCTGAAGCCTTGGCTCGCGCCGGAGAGCGCGGGTCCTGGATTGTGGTGTCGGCGGGAGTTGGTGGGATCTATTCACGGCTGTTTTCCAGCCGCCATCTTCTCGAAGTGCATGGCATTCTTCTGATTGATCCACTTCACGAGGCATATCTGCCAGAACTCGCCCGGCCCGGTCGTGGGTTTATCCTCTGGCTGCGCGGTGTCATCTCACCGCTAGGACTGGATCGACTGGCAGGTGCTCTGGTGCGCGGCCGCTCTCGTCGAGACCGCGTGGCCGGCCGCTGTGCTTACCAGTCCGGCAAGTTTATCAAGGCTAAATTGCAGGAGAATTTGGTCGCGGTCACCATGACCGCTGCGGAGGTGCAGTCGGCCCGCCACATTCAGATGGGCCGGACTCCGCTGGTCGTTGTGAGTTCTGGGCGCCAGATCCAGAGCGATCCCCGGTGGGAAGAACGACAGGAGGATCTCTCCCACCTCACAAACAATCTTCTCTCTTGGGACGTGGTGCCCGAGGCGCCACATGAAGTATGGACCGATGGCGAAGGGCGGCGCGTGGTGGAAAAGCGTTTGCGAGAGCTGGTTCAGAAAAGCTCCCCATACCAGCCATAGGTGTTCGGATTTGATCATTTGTTCAATGGGAGTTTGAAGTGTCTGTTAGGTGTTTTTGGAGTTGGTGTGCGATATACGTGGCGTTCACTGTACATTATTTCCGATGCTCCCGCTATGATTTTACGTTGGAAAAATATCACCGTCGTAGCAATGCCCGAAGAATATCCCTGGGTAAATACTCTGCTGCGTTATTCATAACTAATCGATGCTGATGACTTTGAACGGTCTGTCATTGTGACCGACATGCCATCTACACAGTCATGTTGCGGTCTGCTCTCTCATCATAACATGACAAAAAGGAGAGCCCTGTAATGTCTGACAAGCAGAGGTTGAATCACTGCCACCCCCCCACAACCGTATCCACAGCCCGAATTCGAGGACCGAGAGCGAGGCGCGAAACCGAACCGATCGATAAGAATATCTAATAAAAGATTTGAGCGGCAAGAGAACGGCGGATCGTCACTCTAGGCTAGCTCCCTTGAACCTCTTAGCAAGCTGTTCACCGTCGGATTTGGGAGACGCGGAGCGGGTGTGAGGGGTGGGTAGATGCATGATATCGCCGTTTCCTGGACTCGGAATCCGAGCGAGAAGGCTGGGCCAGGGTGGGCCAGGGGCGCGTGGGGGGGCGCTCACCACTCTCCTGAAGAATTGTCACCAAGGTTGCCCATCCAGGGGTGTTTAGCAGCTGCAGTCCGTCGGCGGGTGAATGAGACGTTGCCACGCGGCACAAAAGAGCTTCCTCGTTCTGCCATGGTATTAAGTTAATAATGTTCCATACTACGATCCCTTTTTGTGGTACCGACCTCGTTAAATGTGCCAAGCCCATGCAGGAAGCACAGCAGGTGGAAATCGGAAACGCCTTGCAATGCCTTGTCGGGATCTCCGTGCGACGTGAGCTGTTGGGCGACGTGCTTGAGCTCTTGGCTCTCGCCGATAACCTCGCGATTCTCAATGGGGAAGCGGCTGTTGGTAAAGAGCGGCATCGACTCGGTGGGGAAACCGTGGGTGAGAGTCACCAGCAAGAATTCGACGGGGAAGCTAGGCTTCGCATTCTCCTGCACGCTGGCACCGTACTCGTTGATTCGCCGGAAGAAGACTTCGGGGATATATCGGGTCTTGCTGCCCAAATCGTCGTCCTCCTCGGATTGCACCAGCATCACAGACGGATCTGCCGACGGTTCAATGATGTCTGCCCGCACCATCTCCACCGCTGATACAGATGCTTGGTAGGAGCTCACCGAAATAGCTCCGGTGTTATCGCCGCTCAGGACACAGGTCACAAATTCAGAGCCAAAACGCCCAGTGTCACTCCATTTTGTCGCTTTGGGATGTTGGGCTTGCAGCCGCGAGGCAAAGGCAATCTCCAACGAAGAGAGATAATAGGAGTCAATATGCCGCTTGCAAAGCACCGACCCATCCCCAGCACCGGCGTCGAGCAGGTCAGTGAAGATGACACCCACCTTTTCCAGGCCGCAGAGACGGGCCACCTCATCGACCTCCTTCTCGTTCGACCATTCATGAAGTGTGACTCCATCAACCTCACCGACCTGCGGGGGTTCGTAGATTGCCTGGACTACCGCCTTGACCCCGAGCGGCACCTCCGCGTACTCCTCGTACGTCCCGTAGAGAAACCCTAACCTTTGTGCCCCCGACTTCCGCCAAAAGTCCAGCAGCGAGTTAATGAGATCGGGACTGGAAAACTCCACGTGGTCGACCATGCGGAACTCCTGTGGTTGCAAGCTAATCGCACTGGGCTGACATTTGGTACAGATCCCCTCCGGCCAGGACGGATGCCCGGACGGACAATCTCGTCGTACTCGGTAGAAGGGTTCCCTGAGCGGCGGCATGTAGGAGCTCTTCACTTCGGGTTTGTTCGTGGCGGCATTGATTTTGCGTAGGTAAGAGTGGAACGAGAGGTGCTTGATCTTCTTCTCGGCCAGGTATTTCGCGTCATAGGGCTCGAGCGGCATGCAATAGTCGCACATCCCTCGAGGGCCATGCTTGCACATCCTATAATCCATGCCCCGCTTGATCTTGCCATCTTTCTTGTCTAACAGGTCGTCCAGGGGAGATTGTTGCACTGCCTCCCATGGATTTTTGGTGGCAGCGGAAGGCGATGTTGGCTGTGGGCGTAGTGGGACGGTCTCCTGCTGTGGGATCGGTGCTCCATTCAGACGGCGTTCGGCAGTGGCGGATGTGTAACCGTTCGAGGGGCCATTCAGAGGTGCAGCCTGTTCCTGATAACCGACAAAGAGCTTGTCACCATGTCTAGATGATTGGTGTCGTCAGCAACGCCCTCCAGCGGGCTCAAAATGACGTCAACCGGTACTTACTTGAGGCCAACCTGTTCGATTGCAACTCCCTTGAGAGCCTGTAGTTGACGCTCCTCGCCTCCGGTACCTATGGGTTTATTCGAGAGGGCGATGGACGATGGATCGACGTCTGATGGCAGGTGTTCGAGAATCTAACGCAGTCATGGTGTCAGGCCCAGCATGGTGTCTCGACTGACTGTGAAGAGTGTGCATACCTTTTGCTGGAGAGCAGGGAATAGCTCCTGCGGGCTGACCGAGAGTCGAAACTGGCCGTTCCGACTCTCAAACCGCAAGAGGATGGGTCGCGATGCCATGGCAGCACGGGGCAGAGAGGGAGATAGAGAATCAGGAATGAGGATATACGAGAGCAACCGGGGGTTCAACTATAGGGCCAGAGCAGATGCATTGCGTGGGGAGTCTGTGGAAGAGAGAAGGAAGAGCTTCGGCTGGTCGGTCACGTCACGGTCCAGGGCGGTAACTGATTGGTTCGATGGGGCGAAATTATGTAATCCGATTACCAAGATGGCCTTACCTAATTAACGTAGCTACTATGTAGTTATTACGGGGAAGTAGTTAGACCAGTGACGGAACAACATGAACTGATGTCCATTGAATCCTAATTATGTCCATGTTTATCATTATCGGAGTGAAAAAAAGCCCTCAGAAACGCCATCGCAGAAAGAGCAGAAAGTCCCGGCACCCCGATCACAAAATGTTGCAATTCTTGGGCAGACCGCAGGGTCCCTCACTGCTCTTCTCCTTGCGTGCCGCCGGGGCGCCCGATTGTTCGGCGGAGGGCTGCTCGGTCTTCTTCGCAGCGGCCCCTGTCGAGTCCTCGGGCTTGGTGGCACTGCCATGCAGTCAGTTGACCTTGGCGACGGTCTCGTAGAAAGCCTTGCCCTGGGCCTCGGCGATCTCGAGCTCCAGCGTGGTGGGCTGGCGGGAGCCATCGGCCGCAGCGAACGTGCCGGCACCCCAGGCGCTGCCACCGTGGACCTCGTCCAGGTTGGCGAGCTTGGGGAAGACGGTCTTGTAGCCGAGGGGGACGTAGATAAAGCCGTGGTGGGAGAGTGTGCTCATGGAGGCAAGGCAAGTCGACTCCTGTCCACCACCCTGGGTGCCAGTGGAGACGAACAGGCCGGCGTACTTGCCCCAGAAGCCACCGCTGGCCCAGATGCCGCCGGTCTTGTCCCAGAAGGCCTTCCACTGGGCGGGGAAGTTACCGTAGCGCGTGGGGATGCCAAACAGCACGGCGTCGTACTCCAGCAGGGTCGAGGGCTCGGCGACCGGGTAGCTCGACTTGGGCGGGGCGTGCATCTTAGCCAGGACCTCGTCGCTCAGGGTTTCGGCGACCCTAGAGCATGGCGGGATTAGTTCACGGCAATCATCAATGGGGGCCGGTCGAGACCGCAACAAAAGACGTACTGGAAGAGGTCGACCTTGCCACCGGCAGACTCAATGCCCTTCTTCTCGGCCTCGGCCAACTTGGCGATGTGGCCGTACATCGAGTACTGCGCACGTTAGGAGGGGCAGACCGAGCAATTGGGGGGGAGCATAGGAGCATACAAAAACAATTGCAACCTTGGGAGCCATGGCGACGATGGGTAGGGTAGTCAATGGATGAATGGGTGGATGGATCGGCAAGAATGCAGAGAGAGGGTGTGAATAAAGGAAGGCAAGAAGGCAAGGCCACCGGTCCTCTTATACCAGAGCGGGGAGGAGTGCCAATCCGTACCCATGCCCAGACCCAACGCAGAGGGTTCCTACACTACTACTAAGTGGTTTGGCAAGCATCAGTCAGTGATGACAGAGCTCTGCGCCGCGGCCGATTGGTGGACCGGGCGCTCCACCGGCTCTGACGGAGATCTGACAAATGGACTAACTAACTATGACTGGATTCGGATCACACAGTATATTATTTATTATACTTGTTGGATATGGTGAGAAAGGATAGAAATTTACTACCTAGGAGGGTACTATGTACATGTAGACAGTCCTAGCGGTGTAGACAGCCCGAGAGTTTCCAGTGGAATGCTCACGGTCATGATGTCATGGACTCCTATCATGATGCGCATTCCACAGTGGAGGTACAACGTCAATCCTTGCAGATGATTATTCATGGGTATATCGTAATCCAAAATGAAATGTTCCCCCCTGCGCCAAACGCCCAAAACGACCACAAGACCCCCTCTATCCCCGTCCTCGACCCCGGTATCGTCCCCGCATGAAGCTGCCACCACGTCCTCGCTCACTGCGCCATTCGCGCTCCCGCTCCTTCTCGCGCTCCTGCTCCTCGCGGATGAGCGCTCTCTCCTGCTCCAGTTCTTCCTCGGTCTTTTCCGTCCGCATCGTCGGCCGAGGCAGGTTCTCCGACCACCGCGGGTGCGTGTCAGGACAATTCTTTCCTTCCGGGCAGAATCCAGCCAGGTAGAATCGACACAGACGCCGTCGCACGTGACGTTTCGCGCACAGCGGTCCCAACTCGCAGAATCCTTGGTCGTAGTGCTCGCAGGGAGGGAGCCGGGCCTCCTCCCGAACATGCTGGTACAAGCAGTCGTCGCCATTGGGGCAGTATCCGGACCGCGAAAAGGACTGGCACTCCGGCATCCGGCGTAGGTTGTATTCGTGCAGGTATTCACACTTGACGCCCTTCTTGCAGAGGCCTTTGAGGAAGTGCTTGCAGACCAGGGACCCGTGCGTAGTCGACGGGGCCAATCCTGACGCCGTGGTGGTTGAGGTTGTCACGCGCGAGGGCGTGGGGTGTCGATCGGGACAGGCCGGCCCAAGGGGGCAGTGTCCTTCGCTGTAGGCCTTGCAGACGGGCACATCGCTGGCTAACCCAAACCCGAAGCTTTTGCGGAGGAATGGGATGAAGGAGAAATTGTCGTAGCTGGGATCCCGGGTGGGTTCGGCAGAGAGAAGGCGCTCGGCGGCGCGGTGGATGTCGGCCGTCATGGTGTTGTTGAGACCACTTCGATGAGGCCTCGCGAAGCTAGGCGTCTCGTCAATGGCTAAGCTGTGGGTTAAGGGTAGGGGTCAAGCTCTCCGCTGCGGGGTTGGGGTCTGCTCGGGGAAGAAAAGATGAGAGCTGGGAATCATCCGCAGAGGAAGGAAGTGGATTAGTTATTGTTGCCGCCTTATAAATCAGGCGAAACATCTAGAAAAGATCACGTGATATACACTCATATTAGTTGACGGAGCAGTATATCTATTCAAAACAGATTACCGAAGGTATCACTGGTAGGCTGGAGTTGCAGTGCTCTGCTCAATAATACAGAAAGATCTTGCCACTGATCGGTTCAAGTGATGACATTCATGCTTTCTTTACGCCAAGATATATATACCGCACCACTGTCTCCAAATAATACATAAATCCCCTTCCCCACAGCCAATGCATCGCTAAATGACTACTCACACGAAATTGTTATCTGACATTATTCACTTACTGCACATCTCGTGCCACGCCAATCAATGGATGTTAATTAACCGCGTCGAAGAGAACTGTGTGGGGAAAGCCAGGGCTTGCAGGGGTCGGAAACGCCTCCGCTCCAGCCTCGCCAAACCCTAAGCCAATGATCCCCAATTACCCCGACCTTAGCACGAAAACACATCATTCGTGCATACCACGACTCCTAGACAAGCCCGGTCTCGATCTCACCGCACGTCCAATAAGGGCATACCGGGGGCCTGGCACGAGGACCGACTGTTCCGTTTTGGGGTTGCCGAGTGGGAGCAGCAAGACCAGAATAATGATAATAATAATGACGATGGTTTGCAACAAAAAGGAAAAGAATCAATGACCCCACGTGATGCCTTCCGTAACGGGAAACACCTACCCGCGATTGAATTTCTGTCTTCCTCCCATCTCTTCTCTCCGCAGATATTCATTCCTACCATGTTCTCTGCCGCCAGCTCCATATTTCGTCGCCGCCCGAACCCCGCGGTGGCCGCCCCTCAGGCCAGCTCCTATGAGGTGCCTTTCTACACCAATGCTGCCTACTATCCAAATTGGAGGATCTACCAGAAACAACCTCCGTCATCCCTCCGACTGGGGTTCATCTCGCACGTGTTTTATGCATTTGCCTGGTAACCAGCAGTCAACCGTGGTGCATAAAAAGACCAGACCAGCTAATCAATCATTGCAATACTTTTAGGGTGAAAGAAGATGGCACCGTTTATGTATGTCTCTTTTTTTGGATCGTTCAACCAATTGATCGGATACTAATCCTGGTTCTAGTTGAGTGATGAGTGGGCCGACACACAGATGCCAGTAGACGGAACGGAAGGTTGCCTGCGGGCATTTGTTCAACTGAAGCAGCAATACTCCAAGATGAAAGTTATCCTCTCTGTTGGAGGTGGGGGCAAGGGCAGTGAGAACTTTGCTGCCGTCGCCCACAATCGCTCGCGAATGGACACCTTCGTTCGGACTGCCAAGGGATTGGTCGACCAGTTCGGACTGGATGGCATTGATGGTATAGCCCCACGATTACTCGTTACCCTGAAATGGAAGGCTGATGATTTATATCGCACAGTTGACTGGGAACATCCCGCAGATGAAAGGCAGGGCAAAGACTATATCCGTCTCTTGGCCCGGCTGCGTGAAGTGCTTCCTGCTCCGCGATACGTACTGGCTTCTTGCCTCCCCGCTGGCCAATGGGCACTGCGCCATATCGATCTTGCTGCTGCTCAAAAGTATCTGGACATGCTGAATCTCATGGCCTATGACTTTGCCGGTCCCTGGGAACCCGAGACGGGCCACCAAGCGCAGCTGTACGGGTCAGCATCTGCCCTCTCGGGCCAGTCAGCGATCTCGTATGTGCTGGCACAAGGGGTCAATCCCCAGAAGATCATTCTCGGCGTTCCGGTGTATGGGCGGTCGTTTCTAGGCAGCAATGGACCCGGTCAGCGATATACCGGGTGCGGAGGCGAGGACGGTGTGTTCGACTATCGTGAGCTGCCATGCCAGGGGGCCAAGGAGTTTCATGACAAACAGGCCGGCGCAGCGTACTGCATTGGCGACGCCGGTGGGTTTGTGACGTACGACACACCAGCCACGGTGCAACAGAAGGCCGAGTTTGTCACCACATCGAAGCTCGGAGGACTGTTCTACTGGCACATTTGCTCGGATGCTCGGGGACCGCGTAGTCTAATTGAGACAGGTTACAATACACTGCATGAGATGTGAAGACTCATGGGGGGCAGTAGTGCTTTGAATAAAAAATACCAAAAGTTCTAGGCTCACTTAGCATCGCGCTTGCATTCCTGCGCCCCTGTAGGTAGTATCTGCGTCGCGAACCCACCCCAAACGATCCTAGCCGAACGGAGCATGCTTTAGCTCTAGTATAATATTTTGCGTTCGGTGTCGTGTGATATTGGGCCTAATCACCAGGGGAACCAACGCGGAGCGGCGGTCTCCGACCATTTGAACCCGTATGATGAGTATATTTATGTTATTTTATTTGAATAATGCATTCGGCGCTTTTACGGCGCATTGATGCCCCGTTATTGTGGTTCCCCCATTCACGATCTACGCTGTCAGCCGAACACCGAGGCTCCTGGCTAACAAGCTTTGGAGACCCCGCCTATGCTCAACTCAGGGTACTATCACCAACACTCTTCAAAATCGCATCTTCTTTTCTCAACTCAGTTATTAATAGCTCGTTATGTCGTCAAATTTGCCCCTACCTGCGACTGCGGACCGGGGATACATCACTCAACCGGGCCCGTTAGGGAACACGTATACATCTGACGCCAGTCTTCAACGTGCGTTGTCATGTAAGTTTCTTACCGAATATTATTGACACTACGGGCGTTCCCTAATATAGTCCAGGGTATCTGCCGGCTTCCATTTTGCACTCTGCCGAACCAGACCTGACCCATCTCGGCGCCGACGCGGTGTCTGAACGCGTTCGGGAGTGGAGCGCCGACTCGGAGCGCAATCAGCCGTATGTCAAGAGCCACAATGTTTGGGGTAAGCGCTATGACTATGATCGCTTGGTGACGAGTGAGGGCTGGAAGAATCTCGGTAACTGGGGTGCCCAGCGCAGGTATGGATCCTTAGACTGACGCTTGTTTGTTGAAGCTGACTGGCTTGGATACTCCCAGAGTTGTGTCCACTGGATATGATTTGACCTTGGGTCCTCATAGACGGACGGTCCAATATGCACTGTAAGATACCTCTGTTTCTTTTCGTGTCTATTTCTCACTTACCGGCAGGAACTATCTCTACTCGCCCTCTTCGGGCCTATATTCATGCCCAATGAGTATGACCGATGGAGCCGCGTTTATACTCGCGCCCAAACTCAAGGCACTACCACTAGCGCATCCTTTCCATGAAGTGTTTAAGCGCTTGATTTCGGATAAGGACGACCACTGGACATCCGGTCAATGGATGACGGAGACGGCTGGAGGCAGCGACGTGCAGAATACTGAAACATGGGCCACTTATGCACCGGTTAAGTCTGCAAGTTCTGAACCATTGGCGGACGGAGACTACCTGATCAATGGGTTCAAGTTCTTCTCCTCGGCCACAGATGCCAACGTGGCCCTTCTGCTGGCAAAGACTCCTTCAGGTAAACTGAGTACGTTTCTGGCACCACTACGGAAGACCATCATTGGAGATGATGGTACGCCTCGAGAAGTCTCCAATGGCGTGAGGATTCATCGCTTGAAGAACAAACTTGGTACCAAGGAACTGCCGACTGCCGAACTGGAGCTGAAGGATATGAGAGCTCATTTGGTAGGAGAAGTGGACCAAGGCGTTATGACAATTGCGCCTCTACTCAATATCACTCGCGTCCATACATTTGTGGGATCCCTCGGGGGTTGGCGACGTGCAATCAGCATTACAAAGAGCTTTGCAAAGGCGAGAACCACGGTTGGGGAACCACTATGGTTGATTCCGATGCACCTCCGGCTACTTGCAGACCTGGAAGTCAAGCACCGCGGCAGCATGAACCTTGCTTTCTTCACTATCGCTGTGATGGGGGTTGTCGAGAACGATGTGTCTTCTGAGCACGCACATTTGCCACGTCGAGGCAAGGAAGTTCACGTTGTGTTCCGTGCTTTGACAGCCACTGCTAAAGCTGTGATCAGCAAGATGGCTGTTTCAGGAATACAGGAGTGTCAGGAGTCGATGGGTGGCGTTGGCTATATGGACGAGGCCGACGAGCCCGAATTCAACATCTCTCGGATTCTGCGCAACACTCTTGTCAATTCCATATGGGAGGGAACCACAAATGTGCTGGCAAGTGAACTGATTCGGTTCTTATTGAAGAAAGATAACTTCAAGGTCTTCGCCGCGTGGCTCTGCCGTACTTTGGCATTGATTCAGACTTCAAACCTTCGTGATGCTTTGACTACTGCCTGGTCAGCTTTGCAAGCGCGCTTCTCGACCAAGGAACAGGCGCCTACTACTGTGCTTGCTGATGCTCGCCGGTATATGTTCACGCTTGCTTGGATATTGATGGGTGGCCTTCTGGCTGTTGATGCCGAGCGTGATAGCGACCCCGTAACAACTGAAATTGCTCACCGGTGGATACTGAACGGTGAAGGAGGCGTTGGAGACACAGTTTTCCGTGACATCGTCACGGTGAGTGCCAATGATAGTGTCACTGCTGGTGGTGAGGAGCATCTGCAATGGGACTGCAAAATTGCATGGGGTGTTGAATTGCCTGCCAATCGAGCATCTGGACATCGGTCCTTGCAAAATGCAGGCTCGAAGCTCTGAAATCATAGTTTAAATGTACATAGTGTGCAGAATAAAACAATATCTGACTTAAAACATGGTTTAATGCCTAGCTGGGGGCCTTTCCTATCTAGGCTGGAACTACTATTGTGAGTGCACTCAGGCTCCGGCTCACTGAGTAGATGTCAGCACGGGCATAGACTCAGTGACCATGATAATTCTTAAGGAAGTTACGTAAGATATGACGGATGTTCAGTGAGTGTGTAGTGAGAACTCCTTGAGTACTCACAAGATTACCGAGACCTCTCAGTCAAGGTAATGTACTCACTGGCCGCGTTAGAATAGCGCGCGTGCGGCCAAGACGAACATCTAAGGGCATCACAGACCTGTTATTGCCGCGTGCTTCCATCGGTATGAGCAAATAGTTTCCCTAAGAAGCCAGCGGTGCGCAAATGTCGAGCCGACCTATTTAAGGGCCCGATGTCTGTTCGTTATTGCAACCAAGCCTGTTCCCTAGGATTTATCCTTTCACCGAACTATGTCTTAAGCTAATACTTAAGCAGCACAAAAAGCAGTTGCATTAACCCACTTGCGCTTTGATCAACCCACACCCGTATAGCCTTTTTTAAAGACACCTTGCTAGTCGTTGTTAACTACTATCTCTTGCCCTAAAGACAACAGACGGACGAAGTCTGGAGAGCCCGATTTGAACGAAATTGGAGGGGTATTAAACAAGAAGGCACGCAAACTTGACTCTCTTGGGCCGCATTTAAAGGAGGCGCGAGATATCACCTCCTCTCTCTATGATGCCCTAACGAGATTGATGCGCATAATGAACTCGCTATACAATCTATCATAACTGATTATCGCCAAATAAAATACGACGCCTCGACTCAGCCCACCAGACGCGCAAACCAGCTTTTTTTCCAACTGCCACTAAAAAGGTGGTTGATACACGCGTTCGGGCTATTGAAAGGAACCGAGCCACTGTGCCGCTGGCCATTTCCCCACGCGCTAACGGGAAGCACACACAGCCCGCCCATCTGCTTGCCAGGAGCTGATTCGGAGGCATCGACGCAGACCGGCTCCTGGATTCGGTGGAATGGTGCCCAAGTCACCCTATTCTGGGGACTGTTGGTGTACTTGCTCTCTGCTTCCACAGACTGGACAACTAGTGGATGACTTGCTAGGAGAGTTTCCGAGAGCATATCCAGAATTGTATCGGTGAACACGCCGGGACCCGTGACCTCGTGCGTCGTCCTCTCGTCGTAATGATCGTAAAACTCTCCAAAAAGCCACTTCTGCCTGTCGAAATGTTGTTTCGTATGCGATAGCACCCGCACGATCACTTCGCGCAGCACCGGACTAAACCGCCGCGGGGCATATATCGTGTACTGGATGAACCCGTACTTCCGAGCCCCCTGCCATTGTTTCCCCATCTCAGGCGTAGCGAATGGCTCGTCCGATTCAATGCCTACGATCAGCGAGATCCGGGATTTGGGGTCTCGATGGACCGTCGGGCTTTGCAGCGACGGGCAGTCTCGGATGGGGAGTGCTGGCATGATATCTAGGTCTGCGTAGTAGCCGCCATGATACCACAGCACTAGATACCGGAGCAGGTCGGCGCGTAGGACTTCGTCCGGGTACAACTTCCACCAGTATTCTAGATCCGGGACGGCGTTTAAGTTTTCGATGAACGAGTTCGCCCATTTGCTTGATACGACCTATCATAGAAACAAAGGGTTAGTAGGGAGAGCAATCGAAATATCTAGAATTCTTCACTCACTTGGAAGTCCCAGTCTGCATTTTTCTCCTGAAAATCATGCGAATGCGGGCCACGGTTGTCTGTGTTCTCACCCGTGCCCAGTAAGATCTGCCATATTTTGTTCGCGGCCTCATTATCTCCGTGTTCCACAGCCGCCTGCTCAATATACTTCAAGGCATCCCTCACTCGAGTCTCGTAGTCGGCGTCCGGCTTATCGCGATACGAGGAGTGCCATAGGAATTCCGGTTCGTTGTCAGCCTGCGACGTCGGACATTTATTCGACGATATGAATGACTGAAACCAGAGAAATGTAAGCACAATCAGTAGGAGCAGGATGTATCTGCGAAGTTTTAGATAGGATCCCCTCGCAGGCAGTGATCGATTCAACAGCATCGTCGGTACTAGGTGGGGTAGCGATGAGGAGCTATCGCAGGCTTGTAAGATGTTGCCTAATTGCTTCTAAGTCACGTAGTTTTGTCCATTTCTTACTCATGAGACTAGGGGGTATTTCAGGTCCGGTGTGTTGCTAAGCGACCCACCTGCTGCGCCATGGTTTCTAGCGACTTTAGGCCTAGTGGATCTGGCCTGATAGAGTTAAATCGACCCTGAATCTCAGGGCATTCTTTCGTGCAGTCTGCTGAATATTTGAAATCTCCGAGATTAACCCTGGCATTATTCAACCTCTAGCCGAACACCCATATCACCTACAGGGGATAGGGATTATACACCGTGATAGCCAGCCAGGAGAAACAGCCACACGCAAGCGTCTTAAGAAGAAATGTCTTGCCCAGCACCTTAAAGTCACGGAGTCGACTTACGCCATCCCAGCTTGTCCATGCAGCTACCACCCCAAAATAATGACAATGGTTGTGTTCAAAGAGTCTGGTTCTAGAAACATCGAGGCTGCTATCCGAGTAAAAACCGCTTGTGTCGGGATAGTAAAGTGGAAATAGAGCGGCACTAGACGCTATAAGAGCTAATAGCTGGACCAATCCAGAAGCGGTAGGCATTGAACCAAAGTACTTGAGTAATGCCAGCGGCACAAAGAAGTTAGCACTCCTTGCAATACTTCATAGCGCTACTGAGAGTGCTATTTGAATCCATCCTGTCTACCCGCTAGCCCGCTGGAAGAAGAAGGTCTGAGAGGAAGGTTCCAAGATTATAATATGGATGATGGCGATATGTAGATTGAATAGAATTAGATCCATAGCGATATTATAGAGAAACCAGCTGTAAAAAGGGTCGTGACTTTATCTGGGGTCTGGAATAGAGCCAATTTGACTCCTTGGACTAGGACCATGGTCAACCAGCGGAATCGCCAGGTGCACCCAATCTGAGTTGAAAGTTAGATCCCCGTCGTCTTGGAGTCACATGGAACGGGAGCCAATTGTTTATCATTATTCTTACGGAGAGATTCAACTACCGCGAGTGTCCCGACTACCGTGCCGTGAGTATATGCTGACTAGAGGGTTTAGTACTGCAGCCAGTACCAAATAATGTAGTTGCGGGCAGTAGTAAGACTTAAGAGATAAGAACGACGTACAGCGAAGATGGTAAGGAGGAGTCTGAGGAATAATAGAGTGACCCAAGAATTCAGACCAGGGGCCTCACTCGACCATAATAGTGTAATCTGTTCTCTTCATATCAGGGCGATAAATGGGGATGGAATGAAAAGAAAAGAAAACTGTCTTAGACGGACCGTGAGCGAAAAGTGGTCATGATAAATAGCGACCGCTCTTTTAACTAAATTTAGCTAAGAAATATCCTAGTGTAGAAGTAAAGACCCACTTTATTTGCCAACCCGGCCAATTTGAACAAGTCACGACCTGATATGAAATGACGGCGACCGCAGCTAAATGCCTATCTACACGCTTCCTATATCGACATGATAATGTCTGCCGGCGGGGTCTTCCCTACACGGGCTGCGGCCGGTTTTGTGAGGGCACGATTCAGATCCTGGAGAAGCGCATTTTAATTAGATTCATGTAACCTACTTCAATCTATGGCATTTGTAGAGGCGCAGGATTATCTAAACCCCAAAGTCTAGTTTACCAGTAGGCGTAAGTGTACCCGTATATGGTCTTGATCAAAGCTGAATTCCGAGTTTCACGACAGACATAGTCTCTCTTCGGCTAATAATGGCCCAGATTTCAGTACATTCTACCTTCGGTCTCCAGATGAGGTATCGATCCGCTCACATTCCAGCCTCACTTAATAATTGGGGTTCTTGGTTGTATCTACCTCTCCTCTTCAAGATTCAGTCTCTGTTCAATTTCGATCATAATTCGTCTCTCTGCGTTCGAATTGTATTTGTATCGTTACTTGATTGACAGGCTTTCTACTCTGTACATGTAGATCCTTAAAAGGCATTCACAGTTAGCAGTAACATCTATGTCAGGATAACGGATTTTCTGTTTCCTATGATTCCCCAGTCTCGCATATCTACTACCTCTGTCGGCAAATCCCTCAATCTTGGGAAACATCGGGCTCTCGTTTTCAAGTCCCCGCCGTCTCTAGGCAATAGCGCAGGTGGAATCAAAATCAGGTTTTTTCTGCTACCATCGTGCAGCTCACCAAGACGAACCGTGTACTCCGGGTTGAAAACGATGCCTGGTTTCCAGGGACTCCGACGGTTCTTGTTCCACCAGCGACTTGTGTCTGTAATGTAGTCATCGACCTCTAATTCCCCCGCATGCCACACTTTATATCCACTGGTATCGTATTTCGGGATCCAGAGTTTTGGCTTATCTAGCCATACGTCGGTTCTAGCGGTGATAACACAGTACCTTTGAACGAAAAAGGGTCAGTTTTTATTCAAAGTCAACATAACAAATCATTTACCAATCGCCTGGGTTTCCCGGCCAGTCTCCAGGCCCGTCGGTCATATACACACCGTGGCCGACTCGTGTGCCCGCACGAGCCCCAGTATACGTGAGAAACTCTTCGCTATTATAGATTCGGGCTTGCTCCTATGTCGTAATGATTAGTTCAGCGGAAACAGGTCTGGAGAGAGCTAGCATACTCTGCTAACAGTTCTATAGCCAATAATGGTCCGGTCTATCCTCCTTGGCATTGCTAGAACAAAGCTAGCTAGCCACAGTAGGACTAGGAGCCTCATATTTCTGAAAAACGCCATGATTTTCGCTTTCTATTCAATTCCGAAGCCCTAGAGATAGAGACTAGAAGAAATGAAAGATCCGGGTGCGAAGCAAGTGAAAAGCCAGGTTTACCAAACCCAGAGAAAGACCGGTTAATAAGGGCCAAAGGACCAACGCGTCCGTCCAATTCCTATGTACATCCAACCACAAAGGACCAGGGGCGAGGACAATTTTTAAAACGAGGTATAGGTAGCTAGGCATTAAAGGGGGCAGAAAAAACAACGCGTCCGTCAGATTCCTATGTATATCATACTACAAAGGGCAAGGGGGCAAGCACAATATTCAAGAAGAGGTGTGGGGGCCTAGGCATTAGAAATGCCGATCAGGAAGCCTATTCCGTAACATGTCAAAGCTCAGAGTCCTACAGGATTTACTATTCTCCACCAACAGGCGCCCCGGCGCCCTGGCCCGCCCCCATTACTTGCCAGTCGGGGGATATAGCGTGGTTATTTTTACTCAGGGGGCGAGATATGCGCGCTAGAAAAGGAATGAGCAGGTCCCGAAATGCCCGACATGATCCTGTCTACAGTGGTGTTGCTAAAGTCTGAGACCCTCCAAAGTACCTTTCTTTACCGTTTCAATATAAGGGACATACCGCCCGTTAATACTTGATTTTGAGTAGTGCGGACGCTAACTGCCAGCAGAATATTGATTGGAGGATCTCAGTCTTTTGCAACACCACTTTATATGCATTTGCTAGTCAATCGTACACGACGTCTTTCCATCACCTTACTGCCATTGTGCTTTTCGTCCGAAGGAAGAAACAAGCAGCCTATTAAAGTAGGTTTAAATACGATATGCTAGAAAATTCTATATTCCCAGTAAATAACATGCTCTAAGTGGAAAGCTCAAGGTGGTCACCCTAATTTCAAATCTTCGCCGCCCTGAATCCTGCGGAAGCAGTTGATGGGAGATCCACGCCCCAAACAATACGACAGTCCCACTGCGTTCGCTCCCGCTCCGTTGGCCCCTTGTCCTGCGCCGAGGCCGAGCGTTGGTAGATGAGGTCTGTAAATGCGAATTCCCCCGGCACACCCTGTCCTTCCAGTACCCATCTCCGAGCGACCTCGCGAGCAACTCCGTCGTTATCGCGTTGCGCATCTAGCGCAAGTAGAATACTACTCACAAGCCAAGCCAGGGTAAACATGATCTGACGGCCAATTCCAAGTACACTGGAAAGACCACGCTTATCTTGCCCAGCGGCCAGCTTCTCCCGTAAAGCAGACCAAACATTTTGGAGAGCCGCTCGGAATGCAGGATCCGACACCTGAGCAACTGCATCAGTGATCCAGGATCCGAAAATGTCAAGATTGCGGCCATTCGTTAGATGCCGCACAGTTTCGCTGGCAAGAACGTTGGTTGTGCCCTCCCAGACACTGTTACTCGCAGTGTCACGCCACAATCGGCTCACGTTGAACTCAGGCTCTTCCGGCTCATCTGTAATTGATGTGTTAAAAGAAAATGTTGGGCAATATGCATAGGAAAGCAGCTTACCCATATAGCCAACGCCGCCCATTGCTTCCTGGCACTCCTGGAACGCCAGTGTGGCAGACTTACAGACCACAGCCTTAGAGGTTGAGGTGAGGACTCGCAAGGCCACCGAAGCGGTGTTTGGAGATGCCGCTAACACCTTATAGTGCGCTGGAATACCCGTGGGGAATCCATTATCAACAAAGCCAAGCAGCGACGAAGTAAAGAAGGCCAGCTGCAACCAGCCTCGATGCTTAACCTCTAGTTGAGACAGAACGTTCAAATGCATGGGGAAGGTCCACAGAGGTTGGTCAATCGTCGTACGTGCTCGAGCAAATGCCTTGGCAATGTCCAGAGCTCGGCGCAAGCATGAAACTGCTGTGATAAAGTTGTGAGTGCGCGTAGTATTCAACAGCAAAGCAATTGTAGCAATGCCGCGGTCTTTGGGGCCGACGAGATGTGCGCGCACATCCTTTAGTTCGACCTCAGCCGTAGGGAGTTCCTTGGTGCCCATCTTGTTTTTGAGTCGGTGAATGCGAATCCCATTCGAAGCCTCTTTCTTGTTGCCGTTGGCATCAAGGACCGTTTTCTTGGTCGGTGCCACAAAGAGCGACAGTTCTCCAGACTCGGTCTTTGCCAACAGCAGAACAATATTACAGTCCGTGGCGCTGCAGAAGAACTTGAAGCCAGATAGCAAGTAGTCTCCCTCCTCCATATTTCCGAATCGACCTGTTTTAGATGCCAGCGGGGAGTAAACGGCTACAGTTTCGCTATTTCGGACGTCACTTCCTCCAGGACGCTCAGTCATCCACTGAGCCGAAACCCAACTGTTCTCGCGAGCAATTATTTTTGCATAGAGCTCATGAAACGGGTGGTCGGCGGGCACAGAAGGCAACTGGTGCCGGAACAAGCGAGCGGCCCCGGAGGTCATGGATACCGGGCATGAGTAGGCGGCCGATGATGCGGAGAAGATGTAGTTGCTAGGCATGCGTTAACGGAAGGGTAAACATAGATTATTCAAAAACACTTACAAGGCATGTTGCACAACCCGTCTGTATGGTCCAAATTCATCTTCGTATCCCCGGCCAACCACGCTGAAGGTAGAGTCAACATCAAGAGCAGCAGATTCCCAGGGAACCTCCTACATACCCATTTTTGAGGCCCCATTTGCCCAACTCTTTCCAGCCAGTACTAGTCATTAAACGATCCGCCTCATACCTGGCACCCCAGACATTGCGTGTCTTGATGTATGGCGGCTGGCTTTCAGCATTGCCAATCAAATTATTTATTTCATCGGAAATTGCTTCAGCACCGAAGTTGCGAAGGTCTGGAGAGATCTTTGCAAGAATGTCATCAGGCAAATGCCCTATAACAAGGAAATATTAGTACTGGGTTCACAAAACCATAGTTAGTAACAACAGCCCAGGAAGAACATACACTGCAAGATGCGTTGAAAGATCGGGTCAGAGGTCGCTGGATTCTCTAGGGCCGGTGTCGAGAGGATAAAGCCCTCATCGGCGGTCGAAGGTTTGAGAGGTTGAGACATGCTGGCTGGGAGGCGAGCAGAAAATTACTTAGGGCGACCTGGGGACCAATAATGAACACCTCACTTTCTTCGCAGCTTCCGTGTTATATACCGTCGGTCCGATCGGCCATGCGGGGGGTGGAGTCACGTCGGCAACGTCGCCTGTATAGCGTCGTCTGGCGTAGGACCCAGCAACACTACCGAGAGCGACCGACAATCGCCGAAACTGTCCGCATCAGCTCCAAGGAGCACTGCGGGGAGACCGACAGGTGTGTGCCGATCGCCGGGGTATTAATGCTATTATTGCTGTGGGCGCAGACTTAAATGTCGACCGGCTTCTTCACTATATCAAACTGCCTGCAGACCAGCACATACTTGCAATTCAGGCCAAATTCATAAAGACGATGGCTAGTGCAGACGTCTCTAAGGGCACCAATGCCCTCGAAAAGCCCATTCCTATATGGACACCCACGGTTCCGCAGGATCAGATCCCCATGAACATCTACCGCGCCCATATCAACCGCAAGTTCAACCAGAAGTTGCGTTCATCGCAGGAGCTGCATCAATGGTCCGTCAACAATTTGCAGGACTTCTGGACGGACCTCCACCAGTACACGGGCATCATTCCAGCCCTGCCCCCGACAGTCACCACTGCATATGATCCCAATATTCCGATGGAAAAAGTGCCGGAGTTCTTTCGGGGTGCAACCGTCAACTATGCGGAAAATGTGCTTTCGGGCAGAGACCTCGACAAGAAGGCCCTGGTTGGAGTCCGTGAAGGGCAAGGCTTGAGCGGCGAGGTCTGGACCTGGGGCCTGTTGAGAGAGAATGTGAGAAAGGCGAGGAGTGCCTTGCTGCGGCTTGGGGTTAAGGAAGGAGACCGCGTGTCAGCCATTATCTCAACCAGCGTGTGGTCCGTTGGATTATTCCTGGCCACCGCAAGCATTGGTGCTATCTGGACCAGCATTGCACCGGATCTCGGTGAAGAGGTAAGACTTGAGCACTTCTATTGCGATCGAGAGATACTGATAGCTACAGGGATGTCTGTCGCGACTGCAACAAGTCACACCGCGGGTTTTGTTTGCCGACGGCGAGTCGACATACAAGGGCAAGTTTAAGTCGAATGTACCCAAGATTCGCAATATCGTCAAGGCCATGAAAATCAAGCCCCAGGTATTTTTGATTCCTATTACTGGCAATCATGAACAGGCATTCCCCAGCCTCGAGTCATTTTTGTCCATGTCGCAGCCGAGCGATACTTTGGAGTTCAAGAGAGTTCCGTTCTCACACTCACTTTACATTCTCTACACCAGCGGCACCACCGGACAGCCAAAGTGCTTGGTCCACAGCCACAGCGTCATCCTACAGCACAAGAAGACATCGGTCTTGCACAACTCATTGACCGCCGATGATGTTGTATTCCAGTACAGCAGCACTTCATGGGTGCTATGGAACATCATGATTGGCCATCTGTCTGTGGGCCCGACTCTGGTTCTATACGACGGATCACCGCTGTGGCCAACCGCGAAGACGATGGTGAAGATCGCTGAGCATCATCGGGTGACATACTGGGGCGTGTCTCCGCGCTATCTTCAGGAGCTGGAGATGACTGGATGCATTCCCAAGAATGAATTCGACTTGTCCTCTATGAAGATGGTGCAGACAGGCGGGTCCCATCTTGGAGCCGACCAGTATCACTGGTTCTACCGCGCATTCCCGCCTAGAATCCATCTCACTAGTGTCACTGGTGGCACGGACTTGGTTACATCCTGGATCGGAACCGACCCAGCAGGCCCCCTATATCCCGGCGAGATCCAGCTTCCCATGCTGGGCCAGGACGTGGATGTGGCTGATCCTATCACGGGCGAGTCGACCAAGACCACTGGGCAGCATGGCGAATTCGTATGCCGCAAGCCATTTCCATCCATGCCGGTCTTTTTCTGGGGTGATAAAGACGGAGAAAAGTACAAGAGCACGTATTTTGACAAGTTCGAAAACTGCTGGGCTCAGCATGATTGGGCAAGCTACAATCCCTTGACAAAGGGATGGCAGATTCACGGCAGAAGGTAGGCTGAAGATGCTCGAAAAGAAGTTTTGCCTGATTGACTGGATGCTGATGGATTTGAAAAACCAGTGACGGTGTGTTGAACCCGCAAGGCATTCGCTTCGGATCGTCGGACATCTATTCAATTACCGAGTCGGCTCCTTTTAATTCGGTGATCTCAACCACTCTGTGTGTTGGGCGAAGGAGACCGCAAAGGGACACTGATGAGTCTGTTTTCCTGTTTGTCGTGATGCAGCCCAACAAGCTTTACAGTAGCCAACTCGCCCTGGAACTGAAAGATGCCATCCGCAGTGGACTAAGTAGCAAGCATGTCCCGCGCTTTGTGATTGAGGTGAAGGAGGTACCCATGACGGTCAATGGCAAGAAAGTCGAAACCTTGGTCAAACAGGTAATTTGCTCGGGTCAGCTTCCCAAGACAATCAGCAGCACAGTGGCAAACCCGGGATGTCTGGATCACTTCAGACAGTATTATGATCTGGAGGCAAACAAGGAGAGCAGGAGCAAGCTATAGACACAGTGTATCATAGATCAATAGATAGAATTCATTCTGCCTCTAGTTTTCACTATAGGAGGACACAAGTATAGTAGATGCGTGAACGCCGAGATTTTGGGTATATGTTGGTGGCAAAAAAAACTTCTTTCACAAATTGAGAAGCCAGGAGCCACTCCAGTCAAATCCAGCCCCTTCCCAATTGTTACTAAATGGATCCAAGTCGGCATCGAGTGTCGTAAGGTCGTAATTCTCTGTAAGCTGCTCTTCCGGTCGCGTGTCGAACGGGTGAAGCGCATCACTGGCTTCTTGAAGGTCTGCTAACGAGCAAGTGGCCGCGATGGCTGTGTTGCCATTAGGTGGTTCAGAGGACTGTCCAATAAAGCGCCATTGTTTGCACATTTTGCTGTCAAATCCCTCAAAGAACGAAGCCGTGTCAGGGTCAAGAGTAGGCGATGGACCTTCGAACGGCCCTTGCGCGCGGACTTCCTCGGTCAATTTATTAAGAGCTCGCAACGGACCAACCGCCGAGAGCCACCTTTCGGACAGTTTCTGAAGCGACAACTTCATTACCGTCAATTCATGTTCAGCCATGCTTTGTAGGTGCGTATATCGACAGCTTGAAAGTAGCGGAAGCCCGGCACAAAGACCATAGAAGGCAAAAACAGGGCCCAAGTAGCGGAGCTCATCTCGTAGAAGAAACTCCTCCCAGATGCCCGCGATAAACGAGGACGCCACGATGGATACAGCCGGCGGTACGCTGTTTGGGGTGGGTGAACGGTGAAGAATGATTAGCACAACGAAATAGATGACTAGTAGTTGCTGGAACTCGAAATGGCAGGTGAATGCGTCCTCTTGCGTGAGGACAGACGAGCGTAGCTTCGGGATCGCTTGCTTGGCCCATCGATACACAGCATTCTCCAAATTGACCTGCCGCTGTCGAGAGATCTCTTTGCGCAAGTAACATTCAACTGTATCACCCAGAAGCCGAGTGATGGTGCAATAGGCTAAGAAAAGCTGGGCCTTAAAGTCCCGGACGGGGAAATCATCTAGCGAGGGCGGGAGCACGTCGCTGTCACGCAGATTTATGGTCCGTGGGCGCCCGACTCCCACGGAAATGATATTATCGCGAATCTTGTCTCGTCAGCTGCAATCTCAAGACTTCCAGGGAAAAAAAGACTTACAACTAAAGACCACCATAAACGACGTCGAAGCCCACGGTCTCTGGCATTCGGGGGTGGCTCTTTATGTAGTCCGATCTGGAAAGCCATTGCACCCGCGGTGCGAATCCAAAAGCCGCTTGTGTCGGTAGAAACACTCTCGGGTCCTACTGGATTGTACCAATGCAAAAGACAGGCTGCCACAATCGATATGAGGGGGTTGTTGGTGCCGCCAAAAAAGAATAAAAGCTTAGCTCGCCGGTAGAACACTTCGCTGGTCCCGTATTCCAAGGGTGTCTTTGATACTCGACTGCCTGCCAGGAAAATTGCCTGGAGAAGTAGCATGGGTGGTTGCGCATTTTCATCCAGCCATCGCGGGTCGACAATGGGGGTCCAGGAAACGCAATACTTGTTAAAGCTATCAATCAGTTCCTTCTGGACCGATATTGGCGGCAGCTCAAAAGCGCCTTGCTCTTGAAGCATTTGTAGGTCTGCGTCCGACACCTTTTGCTCGGGATATGTGGCTTCGCGACCGGGCTTGACCATATTCTCGTTGAACGGCACGCTCCCGCCGAGATACTCACTACGCCCGCGGTAGCTTTCTTCCTTGATGAAGGGCGTGCCATCGTTGTCAGGCAACGACAATGACCCCGTGGATATTGCATTGGCCGTTTGAGCAGGGTCTAGAGAGAAGCTGTGCGATTCTATTCGACTCTCGGTCGGGCCCGGGGCGTGGGAAGCGCTGCGCTGGGGTGTCTCGCTCAGAGCAGGGTCAGGGATGTGCCGCCCCGGTGACAGACTGTTGGTGAATCTTTTGCGCTTCCTTGTATAGGGCCTAAATGCATGCATTAATTAGTCGCCAGGCCGCCCATTCCGGGCGCCTCTACATACCTGCACTCCACATCGGACTTGCGGCAATTGGTGCACGGGTCGTGGGTAGCCAAGTCACAGCGCACCTGGGGCAGTCAGCATTGCCGAAATAAGGCTAGAAGGATCTACCCGCTAAATTACCTTGCGCTTGTGACAGATGATACACGCGCTGGACATGGCGCTATGGGGTGGAAATCAGTCGATCCGATGGAGGTCGGAGAGGTGCGTTGCGGATGTGGGGTTTAGCCGAGGCATTCCTGGAGAACAGGAATGATGATGTATAAGGTTGGCCCATCACCGATTCACTATGGATAGTGTATTTCACCTGCATCATGGCGACGGACGCGCCTCTCGTGCTGACCGACACCACTCATGAGGGCATCACAATTGTCACCATCAACCGGTCCCCTCGGAAGAATGCGGTCGACCCCCCGACAGCCTCGAAGCTGTACGAGGCCATCCTCGCGTTTGAGGCTGACGCAACACAAAAGGTCTGCATTCTCACCGGCACCGGTGATACCTTCTGTGCAGGCGCCGACTTGCACAGCGTTGCGCAAAAGCGCGATAATACTCCCGGCGAAAACCTCCAGCCGGTCTCCGGCCGCAACTTGGGGCCTATGGGTCCTTCCAGGCTTATCGTTCAAAAGCCGATCATTGCGGCGGTCGCCGGCTATGCGGTCGCAGGTGGCCTGGAGCTGAGTCTACTGGCCGACATGCGCGTGGCTGAGGAGGGCTCGGTGTTTGGCGTCTTCTGCCGGCGCTGGGGAGTGCCACTTATCGACGGAGGCACTGTTCGCCTGCAGGCGATTGTCGGCCTCGGCCGCGCCATGGACATGATATTGACTGGTCGACCAGTTGGCGCTCAGGAAGCACTAACTATGGGACTGGCCAACCGTGTGGTCCCGAAGGGAGAGTCGTTGAAGGAGGCTCTTGCCATTGCAAAGCAGCTCATCGCCTTCCCAGAGCTTTGCATGAACACAGACCGGCGCTCCTGCTACTACAGCGCATTTGAGGCCTCTTCCTTCGAGGACGCCATGTCTCAGGAATTCAATGCCGGACGCAAAGTCATCTCTGCCGAGGCCATCGCCGGCGCGGCCAAATTCAGCAAAGGGTCGGGCCGACATGGCAGCTTCAAGGAGTTCGGCAAGCTTTGATTTATCCCGTATATGCATTGTCCACAGCATGATTGGCCTGGCCGTATTTACCCTGCTTCATTTGGCTTGCAATTGGATCTACATAAGCCGCCACCAATGTTGTCAAAGCGTGGTCTTACATGTCGAATATAGCACGTACTAATAGGACGGAAGACTCCCCAATATGGGGTTGGAAATTACGAATCAATACGTCTCTCGTCTCTAATTCTGTCAAAGGCTAAAAATAACAGACAATTGAAATACACAAAACGAATACGTAAGCCAAATGGGGCTAAATTTAGTATCATAGCCTCGTGCTAGTTAATACATAAACACCGACACGACCCTCTTTCAGGTTGTCATATCTACTTCCTTTGCTGTGCCTATTCCAATCAATCTGCAAGATCAGAACCATCTCTAGCAAAATGACGGTCCGCATTCTTCTCTTCGCCCCCCGCAAGCCCGATATTACTCCGGCCCAGTTCAAGGACCACTACGAAACTAAACATGTCCCACTCCTTCAAAAAATAGCCGGGTCTGACTTCCCAGTCTCCCACAAACGTCTTTATCTGGCTCGCCAGCCAGTAGATGGAGGTGTCGACGGCACTCCTCTCTACCCGGCAGTGGTATTTTTGGGCGATCAAGCTCAGTTTGACTTTGACGCCATTGCAGATGTATCTTTTGAGGACCAGAATCACTTCGAGGCATTCCGAGCCAAGGTCGAAGCACCAGAGGCGGCAAAAATCATCGGGGAGGACGAAAAGCGCTTCTTAGATTGGAAGAATGTTCGAATTGTCATGTCGGATGATGCTATGGAAACTAAGCGGGCCTGATGCCATTCTGGTTGCTCTATATGCCATGGTCGATAGGTACAGGAACATGTTCTAGCAAACAAAAATAGTCTCATTGCCAATGATCGGGCCCTATATAGATGGATTAGTAAATGACAGGAGGCCATTTTGTGTTTTTGTCGCAAGCATACCATATATACCAAATTCCGGTGCTCAATGCGCCATGTATGATCTGGCTGCCGATGCCATATATCCTGGTACTGACCATAGGCATACGCGACTTGGCCGGTAGCTTGTCCGGAGCCGAAATGCGCAGCGCGGTAGTAGGTCACGGACTCGGCGACGGTAGACGAGACAGGATCAATCAGCTGGGTGCCAAATAGATGCTGTGTCGTAACACACTCCAGGCTGGCAGCTAGTTCCGACTTGATGTTGGACAGCGGAGTCAGAACATTGAGGGGTGCCGAGTAGTTGGCGACGGCATTTTGCGCAAAGACCTTGTCAAGGGCGTCGAAGTTCTTTCCATCAATGGCAAATGGGTATGGCGCCAGGGTGTTTCGCATTGCCTCGACTACGGCTGCATCTTCGCTGGCGTGTGGTACGAAATCATCGGCTAGCGCGAGAAGTGGGATGGGTGCTGTACCTAACGGCGGCGAGGCATCCGCGACAGCGGTAGAAAGAGAGAGCCCGGCAAAGGCAATGAGAGCGTGGAGTTTCATGGTGGTTTGGGATGGGATAGAATGAAGTTTTCAGGGGCAATTGTTGTTAGGGTTGCTTACTGGTGAGCGAAAGTAGCCAGCACCCCTGTCAAGTAGTTCTCGTCTAGTTAACTACTCCGTATGGTCTAGGCCCACACCGCACTAACCAAAGCTGTGACGGAGAAAATGGAATTGGTCACGGATAAGCGACTAGGCCATGATAGTATATATTAAATGATTGATCCTGACAAGAGGCGATTTACGGCAGAAGCCTCTAAATCTGCGTGCACCGAGCTGCGGCACAACTGTTACAGCAAATCCCTAGTTCATCTTCTTCTCGGCATTGTCATTGACCTCCGGAGCAAATTGAATCCGCTTTCCGTAGAGAAGAGGAGACCGAGACACCAACGAACCCACGGCATGGCCGATGTAGGCACCAACCAGAATAGTGATAGGGAATGCTTGCCACGGCCGATCCCTGCCATCCAAAAGTCAGCCGAGATGGATCGTTGGAATTCAATGATTGTAGAATACTGACCAGTCCAATGGAATGGGAATAGCACCGAACCATGCTCCCAGGCCGGTCCCGAGAGCGCCGCCCCAGACGATGTCCGCCGGACGAGCGAAGCCCCAGACTTCTTTCCAAACCGCACCGTCGACTCCATGAACGTATACCAGTGCAGTGGCAGAAAGAACAGCCATATGGGCGGCGCAGAGCATAGTCTCAGCGTTTTGGGTGGTGAGCGGAGCGCCGAAGAGGACGAGCAGGATGGCCAAAACGGGTGTGGCCAGGAGAGAGAGGAGCGCGAGCGACAGGAAAGCAGGCTATACAACGTCATCAGCGTTAGAGAGCATCCAATTGTCCAAGAAGCAGCTCTTATACCATCAATTTAGCCCAAATGCCAGCCCAAACGTTCTTGCCCGTCTGTTGCTTCCGCCGGTAGCCAGGCTTACCGGGGCGCAACGCGACGCTAGGCGAAGAGGGCGTTCGGGGAGCGGATTTCCTCTCCCCATCCCCGGGAACCGGTGACCCCGTGTCCGTCGCCTTGGAAGATGAAGGAGACGGCACCGTCCCAACCGGCGGAAGACAGATCACCACGTAGCTCAACTGCAGGAGGAGCAGCCACGGCAGGGTATTGAGGAGCTCCCGGGCCGGATTCGCAGTCAATGCATCAAAGCGGAAAGCACATAGCGTCAGCAGCAATGCCGGGTGCACGAACGAGTAGATTTGCGCGGTGGGTGAAGGAAGGACGTTGACAGGCGGAGTGGGAGGTTTCTCAACGACGGGTTGGCCTGGAGTCGAGCTGGAGGATGCCGCAGGGCTCAAGGAAGAAGCAGGAGAGGAGGGCGAGGCCATTGTGGACACATGGGAGCAGAACTTGCGGTCTGGTTTGGTCGAAGTTCATCCAGGCGTGGGAAAGGGAAGGAAACTAGCTCGGGTTTGTCTAGTTTGCAGCTGGTGGTTGATGCCTCGTCACTCAGGCACCGAAAGTTTGCTTTAGTTTACTTCGTAGACTGACCAACATACGATAATAATCAACCAACTAACTTCATGTAACTTCTTGGAATCTGATTGTAGGCGCAATCGTGAAACGGCCTGAACCAAGGTCCAACAGTAGGCAATCAACCACCAAAAGAACAGATAGACTGGCTGAAGATAGAGACATCCATACATTCATTGACACATCGCGACGCATGACACCGGCAAGAAAGGGATATGAACAGGGATTAGGTGTAGAAAGAACGCGTAGAGAAGAGCATTCCGGGAGAAAGGCCAGACAAGAGAAGCAGGGCCAGATCAAAAGGGGAGATTGCTTCAAGGTATAAGATCCCAAAGCACAAGGAAAGAGAAAAAAGAAACAGACACAGACAATACTAAAACAGATGATAGGAAACCCCCAATACCAGACCCAAGTCTCTCCCTAGTGCTTGAGAAGAACAGAAAAAAACCATCGCTAAGACAAAAGAGACACAAGCCCTAAGCAGTTGCGCAAGCCGGAAAGCGTCAGAAGACACTTAAGTAGTGGGCTCTGCAGCCTCCTTGGAAGCCTCCTTGGAAGCATCAGAAGAGCTCACTGGTGCCGAGGTCGGTGCCTCAGCAGTCTCGGTGCTTGCAGCTTGAGACACATCTTTGGCGGGGTCCGGAGCTGGGGCAGCGGACGGCACCACCGGGCTATGAGGCTCCTCAGGGATCGAAGGCGGAAGTCCACCAGGCATGGGAGAAACAGGGGAGCGAAGAGGCTCTTCCTTCGATTGCTCTCGCGGCGCCTCAGTGGATGGTGGCGTGCCATTGGCCTGGTCAGGACTGGTCGGGGACAGCGGCTGGCTCGTGAGAGAAGGATCTGTGTCCGAGAGACCAGGGCTTTTGTTTCGATCGCGATCATCCTTTACGCCATCCCGGACTTGAGCGACCTTGGCCTTGAATTTGCCAAATAGGCTTTTCTTCTCTGGCTCGGAGCTAGACGCACCATTGCCTTGAACCTCGGCATCCAAACTCAACGGTTGGCCCGACAGATCGCTAGAAGCATTCTGTACGTCATTTCCGACAGAGCTACTGCTCTGTTCGGCACCGGGGTTGTTTGCCGCGAGGGGCGGAGATGAGAGACCCAGTCCAAGCTGTTCGCTGCTCCGTTTAGACGAGCGAGGGAATCGCCAGCTGCGGCGGTGATCTCGGCGCTCGGATCGTGACGCCTCGTCGGTTTGATCTAGGTCCGAGTGGTCGGTGAACGAAGAGCGCGAGTTCATGGAAGGAGTGCGGGATTTATGGGGTCGGAGGGAACTGTCCGTCGCCGGCTGCGGTGTGTTCTCACCAGGGTTTGCATTGGACTCTGCCTGAGAGCCCAAAGTTGCCGACTGAGCTGGTCGAGGGGTGGTATCACCCATGCTGATGTCCGCCGACTGCCTTCCACGCGACGATTCCAAAACAGTATCCACACTTTCCGAGTTCACTCCTTGCAAAGAATTTGATGAGCTCTGGGCACTGGCACTGGCGCTGCCAGGAATTCGTCGCTTCTTCAACCGATTTGGCTGCCGGGTTTCCTTCTGCTCTCCATCTGCGGGGGGTGATTTGCTAAAGAGGCTGGAGAGTTTCCGTTCACGGGTCGGCGTCAGGGCTTGAGGGGGCGGAGAGGTGGGGGTTTGCAGAATTTCCTGCGGACGTGGGGTGTCGCTGGTACTGAGACGCTCGGAAGCCGCCACTGGTACGGGGCCGTGAGTCGAGGTATGCTTATACGAGGCAGCTAGCGTGGACGGTCCCACGGTGGCTTGACTATGGTCCTGCTCTTCTGACTCTTCGAGCACCGATGGCGTCCGACTGGTCGATCGAGAACTTTGATGGGAGGCGGAGAGACCAGTTTGATTGGTTGCGCTGGCCTCGTTGGGTCGTGAATAGCGCGCAGAAGCCACCACGGGAGTCATCTTAGACGGCAAGGTGTTACTGCGGTGAACGCCACCACCAGACGCAGATGTTGGGGTACCAGGGCTTGGGGCATTGTTGGAGTTCCGCGAGTTTTTCGATGAAACAGAGACGTTACGGCGCAGGGTGTCCAGCTTGCGGTGCCCCTCGGTGCTTCCACTGGCGCTGGACACGGAGCGACGGATATTCGAGTGCGACGTCTTGGGCGGCATGCCCGCCTCAACCTCCTTCATCGTTTGCTCGTCGGCTGCGGTGCCACTCATCCCAAACAGAAAGTGATCCTGATTCTCGATGAGGAAGATCAGCACATCCTGGCTCAGCTTGTACTCTTCGGGCGACATGTCATGCTGCGGGTGGGACAGCATCCCGGGCTGAAAGATAGCCGACAGGTTCCCCGAGGGCATGCGATTTTGGTCGGACTTGGATGCAAAGACTGCGAGAAGGTCGAGGATATAGAGGAGCAGTTGCTTGTTCAAGGGCGGCAGCTCAATGATCAGCCGCTGGTACGTTTCAACGGCCTTGGCGTGATCAAACTTGTCCGCATCGGCCGCTTGATCTTCGCTTTGAGCCTGCTTCTGGTAGGTGCGCAAGGGCTCCCGGAAGCGCTCGTAGAATTCCAACGGGACGATCGGCTCCGGCAACTGATTCAAGTACCGACGCAGCACGTTGGCCGCATCGTGCACGGTATATCCTGTCCAATCCAGCCCCTTCCCGTATCGCTCGGGTGAGTCGAAGATCTCCTGTAGGTCTTTGATACGCTTGGCGGAGCCGTTCAAGCGGAAGATGCCTTCCACGTCCGTGGCTAGTGGGGAAGGGTCAGCAAGGTCCGGTCAGACCGGGGATCCAAGCAACGTACCTTTCTCCTTCAGAAAGACACCGCACTTGGCGACAACAATTGGAACATAACCATAGATGAAACTTTCGCCGTGATCGTTGGTCAGGGAGATGGCGACGTTCGCGTACTTGATGCTGACGTTGAGTGGTACACCGAAGATGCCTCGCGGCGGTTCTATCGCAATCACGGATTAGCCGGGTCGCTCGAGGGAACAACATCTGAGGGACATGCGACGGCGGTCGCCATAATAAGGCCGCCACGAGGAAACGCTATGTGGCGCATCCAAGTTTCGGGCGTGGACCTTCAGGGGGCGCGACGCCGAACGCCGAAGGGGCGGGCAAGCTGGTCGGAGCGACGGAATTCCCGGCGCAGCGGTAGCATCGCCGTCGCATAGGGGAAACGTATGGTCGGCACTGTACCTTTCAATTCATCTTTCCTGGTGTTCCTTTTGAACTGCCTCCACCACGAGGCGAGGTCGCGTTTAGACGGCGGCGAGTTGGAGTCCACGGGGTCGGGCGAGGTGGGCAGCGGAGGAATGGGCTCAGTGGCCGGCTGCGACTTGCCGGTCACCATGGCGATCGAGGTGTGACTCGAGAGAAAGCCGTTGGTGCAAACGTGCAGGAGGGAGCGAAAGCGCGTAGGAAAGGACCGCCCTGCCGTCACCGCCCTCGGGTGGATAGAAGGCTGGGGTTGGGGTAGAAGGGCCCAAGAAGGGCAGACAGGAGTGAAGGAGAGACTGGAGGAGAGGCCACGATGACGGGGGAAGAGGGAGAAGGATGGGGGGAGGGCGCAGTAGGGGAGGATGAAGGGAGAACCGAGAGAGTGAGTGAGTGAGTGTGTGAGAAAGAGAGAGAGAGGGTCAAGGCGGGTGAGGATGGTTCACGGGGCACGAGCCAACGGTGTGGCAGAGTACTATGAATAGACCAGGGCAAGTGACAGAATTGATATTATCATGGTCACTATTGGCATTCTTATTCTTATTATAAGTTCTGCTATTTAATTATTATCCTTGTATTGGGGAATTGACGATTATAACAACTGTCTCACGACAATTTCTCTTCTAGGATCTACTCAACGGCCCTGTCTGTCCTCACGTCACCGACCCTACCCACTTCACGCCCCTGGTCAACCATCATGGCTAGACCCTGGCGAAGGGGCGGCGTGGCCATTCAGATGCCTTCGCCTACCGCAATTAGTACCGATCGACCCGCCGGTGGGCTCCGCTGACTTCGTGAATTTTTCTGGTAGTGTTCTCCTAGTGGGTCAGGGAGATTGCACACAGACTGACAGGCGCGGTCCTTTGTTAGAGGGGGTTATGATGATTCTGGGCATCCCTACAGGCATGCGGCAATAGTTTAATAATGGGTTCAATGATCATAATCAGAATATGTGCCGAAGAGGCCAACGACAATGGGTCATGTGCTGTTTTCACGTGATGTATTACATAATCACGGGTCAACATTGTTGCGCTGGAACTGGTGCAGCTTCGGAGCGGTTTGAGTCGAGGTGAGCCAAACACTGTCCAACAGTTGTATTCATTTTCCACACACACACACACACACACACACACACACACACACACACACACACACCATGGAAGGGTAGGCGTGAATGTATTTCTCCCTTTCTTCCCACACCTGGCTGACTTGGCCCCAGACTCAACGCAAACGAACAACGCGAATTCGCGTCCCGCATGGAGCGGAAGCAACTGAAGGAGTTTATGACGGTACGCTACTCGACCTCTCCCTAGCTGAGGATGTGCCGTCTCATCAGATCCTGGCCCTCAACTCCCCTCCTCAATCCTTCTTGTACCGGTCTGACGACGCTCTTGACCGTCTAGATGTACTCCAAGATGGTGCAGCGCTGTTTCGACGACTGCGTGAATGACTTCACCACCAAGTCCCTCATCAACCGCGAGGAGCAGTGTGTCATGCGCTGTGTCGATAAGCACCTCAAGAGCTCAGCCCGCTTGAACGAGCGGTTCCAGGAGCAGAACGCCGCCATGATGCAGGGCGGCCAGATGCCCGGCCGTTAAGGGCTCACATGGATGGGCTGTGTGCGGAAGATGACTCTCAACGTGTGGAGAAGGAGAGTCGATGGGACCTCGAGGATAGCCATGGCCCTCTCCAGGATTTCCTGGCCATCTCCGGCCCAGCCGGAACTATCCTAGGAGAGGTTGGTGTGAGATGACTGCCTGACTCTCGAGGTCTTTATCGGTGAGGAAGCAGAGCAAGCTCGGCTTCTCTCCCGTGTATCATAGTGCTTTTGGGCGGGGGACATAGTACCCATCGCCTTTCCCAATATAAAAGGGCCATGATAGCCCCCAGTGCTTCACCCTCAACCCCTGCTCCCTCTTCCCGTGCTCACAACCTCTCATCCTGCAAAATGCCCAATGATTTCATTTATAGTGACCTGTTTCTATATCCTGTGGCTGCATCCTCTCTCTCCTTGCTCCTTCTACTGATAGACTATTATTACTGGTCAATGCACCTCTCTTCTCCCCAGACACTAGCTCTGGATGGTCTGTTCGAGTAAAACCATCCATCTCGAGCGGGAAGAATTGCCTATCTGGAACAGGCCGTCCAGCAGTGGGTCAGCGTCATCGTCCTTCACCAGAAGTGCACACTTCTCCAACCTTAGTCACTTCCCATCACTTCCCCTCAGGAAAACAACGGGATCCCCTCATCATCCTCCTAGAACACTCCAACCTCGTTCAACTAACTATTTTCCCCCCACCCCCTCACTCTCGGCTCCACCCCTTCTTCCTAATTATTCCCGCCCGTCGCTCTTCTTTCTTCTTTTCTCTTCCCTATCTCCCCTTTCATCTCTCTCCGTCTTATTCTGTAAGTCTGGTCATCCTACGTAGTTCCCGCCCATCCCGCCCATTGTTAACCGCCCGCCCACAGCGTTTTCTGTGAACCCGGCCTGACCTGACATCATGGCCAGCACCGTCGGAAAGGTAAAGACTCTCCCTGGGAATATCGTGATCATGAACTAACATGGATTGGCTCAGACCATCACTTGCAAGGTAAGCTACAACTCTCTCGTTGCCGGAGCTTAACTCCAATGTGCCCCGCCACGTTGCCCCGCCCTGATTTCACCAACTCACGTATCGCGGGTAGGCTGCGATCGCCTGGGCCGCCGGTGAGCCTCTGTCTGTGGAAGATGTGGAGGTCGCTCCCCCCAAGGCGCATGAGGTACGCATTCAAATCCACCACACAGGTGTCTGCCACACCGGTAAGCCCCGTCGGAAGCCCCGCCATCCCGGCACCACACTCTAACACGGTCAGATGCCTACACGCTCTCAGGCAAGGATCCGGAGGGTGCTTTCCCCATTGTCCTTGGACACGAGGGTGCGGGCATTGTCGAATCGGTGGGTGAGGGCGTGACCTCGGTCAAGCCTGGCGACTATGTGATCGCTCTCTAGTATGTCCGGATTCACCCATATGAAGCATGGCATCAACTGACTCGCTTCTAGTACTCCTGAATGCCGTGAATGCAAGTTCTGCAAGTCTGGCAAGACCAACCTGTGCGGCAAGATCCGTGCTACCCAGGGTAAGGGTGTCATGCCCGATGGCACCTCCCGGTTCAAGGCCCGCGGCAAGGACATCTTGCACTTCATGGGGACCTCGACCTTCTCGCAGTACACGGTGGTCGCCGACATCTCGGTCGTTGCGGTCACAGACAAGATCCCTACCGACCGCTCGTGCCTCCTCGGCTGCGGCATCACCACGGGCTATGGTGCCGCGGTGGTGACGGCGAAGGTGGAGGAGGGCTCCAACGTCGCTGTGTTCGGCGCCGGCTGTGTCGGTCTGTCGGTGATGCAGGGTGCGGTCAAGAACAAGGCCGGCAAGATCATTGCGGTCGACGTCAACGACGGCAAGGAGGCCTGGGCGCGCAAATTCGGTGCCACCGACTTTGTCAACCCGACCAAGCTCTCGGGCAAGACCATCCAGGAACACCTGATTGAGATGACCGACGGCGGCTGCGATTACACTTTCGACTGCACCGGTAACGTCGGTGTCATGCGCGCCGCACTCGAGGCCTGCCACAAGGGCTGGGGTGAGAGCATCGTCATCGGTGTGGCGGCCGCGGGCCAGGAGATCTCGACTCGGCGTAAGTCCTTCTGCGTTTATTGATCACTGTCCATTTGACTGACGTCTCCCACAGCATTCCAACTCGTCACCGGTCGTGTGTGGAAGGGATGTGCCTTTGGCGGTATCAAGGGCCGCACGCAACTGCCGGCCCTGGTGGACGACTACCTCGACGGTAAGCTCAAGGTGGACGAGTTCATCACGCACCGCCAGCCGCTGGATGGCATCAACAGTGCCTTTGACCAGATGAAGCAGGGCGACTGCGTCCGCTGCGTGGTGGACATGAAATAGATCGTGTGCTATGAGTAGTGGGCCCCAAAATTAGTTCTGATGATGTGGAATATGAATTCGTGAATGTTCTCCTTGGGTTAGTGAAGTGTATCGCCAGGGCTGTCCACGCTCTAAGTAGAGTTCGTACACGAACAGCCAAGGTCCTCAGCATGGAGCAACCTTGCGAGTCAACCACCCCGCTCGCCTGCTTTTATCTTCTCGCCCCCGTCGGCAAGAATCCGGTGGTCTCCACCTCGCTCCGCATAGATAAACCTGCCGATTTCGGTTCTATTTCGGGAGAACGTCTCATTTGATAGCCAGAACGGTTTCTGGATGGTCAGTCTAGCCTGCAGCTAGGCGAAAGACGGTGATCGTCACGGCTGAGTACACTCTATAAGGCTAGATGGCCCACCACGAGGGGGTATATAAACAGGACCACTCGCACGGGCATGGTGAGATCGACTTGATCGTGCATTTCTCCCGTCCACCAGTCTTTCTTCATCGACCGCTCTACACCGTCGCACTGTACTCTATATCGGAAACATAGTTCAAGCCCCAACTAGTCATGGCCAAAGACCTCGCCCTCCCGGAGCCTTTTGCCTCCATCCCACGAACACAACTACTCCTCGGCCCTTCGCCGATCCACGCTCTCCCCCGCATCAGCTCCGATCTCGCCAGCAACAGCTCACACCCTTCGGTGACCATCTACGCCAAGCGGGATGACCTGAATTCCGCGTACGCATATGGCGGCAACAAAACCCGTAAGCTGGAGTATCTGCTAGCCGACGCTCTGGCGCAAGGTTGCGACACCCTCGTCTCCATTGGCGGCGTGCAGAGCAACCATACGCGCCAGGTAGCAGCCGTGGCCGCACGCACTGGACTTGAAGCTCGCCTGGTGCAGGAGCATTGGGTTGACTGGGTGGACCCGGGGTATGAGACCGTGGGAAACATCCAGCTGTCCCGGCTGATGGGGGCAGACGTGCGGCTGGACCCATCGGGGTTTGGAATTGAACACAAGACCACCGCGCAGGCAGTGGTCGACGAGTGCATTGCGCAGGGCAAGAAGCCGTACTACATCCCCGCAGGGGCATCCGACCATCCGCTCGGCGGACTAGGTTTCGCCCGCTGGGCATTTGAAGTGCGCGAGCAGGAACAGGAGCAAGGCGTCTTCTTCGACACGGTGGTCGTCTGCGCCGTGACTGGGTCGACTTTCGCCGGCATGATCGCAGGGTTCAAGCTGCTGGAACGTCTGCACCCGACAGACCCCAAACGAAAGATCATTGGCATCGACGCCTCGGCGACGGTTGAGGCTACTCGCGCACAGGTCCTGCGGATTGCCCGCAACACGGCTGTCCGCATCGGTTTGAGCGCGGACGATATCACTGATGCTGATATCATTCTCGACGACCGCTATCATGCGGGCATCTATGGTATCCCCGATCGTCAGACCTGGGATGCGATTGAGTATGCCGCTCGCATGGAGGCATTTATCACGGATCCAGTTTACGAGGGGAAGAGCTTTGCCGGTATGGTGGACATGATTCAGCGGGGAGAGATCCAGGGTGGCAATGTGTTGTATGCTCATTTGGGTGGGCAGTTGGCGTTGAATGCGTACTCGGATATCGGCCGGACCCGGGGTTAGCAGGCCATAAATCTAGTGATGAATGTAACTATGGAGCTACGGTGAAAGACAAAAGACTTGGAAAATCAATTTAAGTTGGCATTTGGCAAAGGAGTGACTATAGTTGGAAAAGTGAGGATCAATCGATCAAGAGTGCAACTCAAGGAAGCGCACTTAGAAGAGCTTGTGCTCCAGGGTCATCTCCGACTCGGGCTGGAGACCAACGCAGGCACGGAAGATGTTGATCAGAGCAGAACGCTGCTTGCCCAGGGCGTTGACGACGGGGGTGCCCGGCGGGGTCAAGGGGGCTTGAGCATGTAGCTGAGCACACTCAGCACGCTGTGGAAGCCCTTGTAGTCAGAGCCCTCGTCAGCCTTCCAGCTGACACGGGTCATCATCTCGGCGAGCACGACCAGATCAATGATGAGCGGCGAGGCGAGCAGGGAGTCCTCGCAGATGTTGAACAGACTGATGGTCTGGTGGCCGCCCATGAAGATCTCGGCGTAGTACTCATCCAGAGCGCGCTTGTTGTCCCCGACAGCAGGCATGTACTTGATGACGACGGTGTGGTCCGGGTGCTCATCCTTCTCGTAGAGGATGCTGTTGGCCGCGACCATGTCGTCGACGACGTTCGACTTGGAAATCTCCTTGGAGCGGAACTGCTTCTGCGAACTCAGGTTCTTGCCGTCGTTGTTGCCGAGGTGGTTGTAGCTGGCAATGGAGGTGAGCTTGATACCGGCGTTGATCAGAAAGTCCACCAGCGCGGACTTCATCTTGGTCTGGCCAGACTTGAAGTCGTCACCACCAATGAAAGCCTTGTGCTGCTCCGCGAACTGGAGAGCACCGGGCACGAAGGTGTTCTGGGGCGAGCCGTTGATGAACGGAGTGTTCTCCAGAATCGAGGCCACGGCGAACACAGTCGACGGGGAGACTTCAGCATGGCCAGACTTGATCGAGTTGATCAAATTATCGGCGGTGTCGTTGACGCCCGGGATGATGTCGGCGTACCGCTCAGTGTTGGCGGTCCACATGACAATCACCTTGTCCAGGCCGTTCTTCTCCTTGAACTCGCTGTGAATTGGGTCAGTGTTGAGTCTCTTGTGAACGACATAAGGGTCACTTACCGAATGTCCTTCTGGATGTGCTCCACGTGAGCCCAGCAGGCCTTGGTGCCCTCGACGACATTGTCGGCACGGTCCTCCTGGTTGGCAGCAATGAAGTCGGGGTAGTAGATACTGGGCAGCGGCTTCATCTCGGCCATCTCCTTGCGAACCAAGCCCTTGAGGCTGGGCTCCAGCACCTGGGCCCGATCCATGGACTCGGCCAGGTTCAGGCTGCTGATGTCCCAGCCGCCAATGGCCAGGTCGTTGGGGTGGACCATGGGCAGCAGATCGTGGAAGGGGACGTTGATCTCCTCCGCGGTCTTAGCGTCCGTGCCCAGCTTGACAGTGGAGCTCATGACGACCGAGCCGTAGTAGTTGGCGGCCTGCTTGCCCTCGCGGGTCTCCCAAGAGAGACCACGACGGTTGGCGAGGATACCTGCAGTCACGGTGGAGCCATTGTTACCACCCCAGCCGACCAGCATCATACCGACTTTGCCAACCTTGCGGTCGACCTTGAAGTGGTAGTTGGTGGACTTGGGGGTAGCAACCAGCTTGTTGTCCGCGGTGCGAGTCACCTCCGTAGTCTGGTAGGCGTACTGACTCTTGATCTCGTCGGGGGTGTACACCACATTGGGCGACTGGACGGTAAACAGCGGGGCAGATTGGCGAACCGACCCGTTCACGGTGCCATTGGCAGCTTCCGAGCTAGCGTGGGGTGCCATTGCGTTGACGGTGGGATGGCGACGCGAGTGAGAATTGCTTGAGATTTTGAAGTTGCTTTAGCGGATGAAAGGTGCGCAGTCCGATGCTCCTCCACGGTTGGATGAGCGTCGGCCGTTGAACGGGTGGTGCCGGCTGGATCAATGTCAGCTCTGTCGGGGATTTATGGCCGCTGCAAGCAGGACTCGAAAAGCCAATGCTGCAGACGATGGGGGAGAGAAGACTCACGAGTTAAGAAGTGTGGAGAAAATTGTGCCGGTTGTATGGGATCACTGCTCGGGGAGAGAGTGATCGAACCTGCTGACAAGGCTTATACGAACCTAAGAGGAAACGATACAACGGAGAGAATATTGAGGTTGAGAGGAGGAAGAGGAAAGGAGAGGAAGGGAACAGGCAGCTTAAGTATAGATAAGCCTAGCACGTGCCCCGCCCTCAACACTTTTCTTTTTCGGTTCTTTAGTCTGTCTTAGCTTACGCGCTACGATTCCATCCTGATGTTCACAGGATTCTTCTTTCTAAAATGTATGCATCTGCCTTTTTTCGGTTGGGTGTACTGTTTGAACGAGAATGGTTGGCCCGTTCTGCTGTCGATCTGGAGGGGGATGAGCCGTCCATCGCCTTGCACGCGAGCCCCTGCTCCGAAAAGGAGAGGGAGGGTAAAGTGGACTGCATCCGTGTCGACCCGGCAGCTTGACGCCATTGGTCCACCCAGCAACTTTCCCCTTTTCTTCGCCTGTCGATGCCGCAATCAGTCTTCCGGAGGCCCATGGGACGCCCCGTTTTCGGCCACGGGTGGAAACCCCCCGGGTACCTAGCTGGTTTCTTCGGCCCAAACAAGTGAATGATTCATTTACTCACTACTATTGACACCGTCGAAGTATCATGGAATTCAACCCCAACAGCATCACCAGAAGTCGTCCAACCCCTCGATCCCACGGGCCAGGAGGTGGCCCCTGCGGACAAAGAAAAATTCAGAATTTGCCTAGTGAGGGGCAACACCGCAGCGGGGCTTAGCGGCTTTTCAAACTGGCGGTCTGGGCGGATCATTTCTGCGCCCGGCCGGAGCATTATGCACCGCTCCGTACGCAATGCAGACCTGCCCGCTGCAGGGGCACTTTTTGGGAACCTACTACTAGTGGTGACTGACAATTGTCCACAGCTATGGGCCTGTTTCCATGATTTCTGGCGGTCTTCGGGAATCCCAATGGCCCTGGCATATTCGTACAATCATAGTGCAAGTAACACTCAATTGGGAGTTGCTTAGATATTTCCATCTAATACATGACGGACCTCTCACGGCTTCTAATTCATAGGGTCCGCCGAGTCCACATCTTCCATATTCTCCGCCATCATCGGTCCTTTGCCAGCAGGGCCAGGCCGAAGGCCAGTCCGTTCCGCCAACCGGCTTTCAATACCAAATAGTCGGGACATCTCCTCCAAGGTGCGACCGCGGGTTTCGACTAAATAAGCGGTCAGCTTCTGCGTTGAGGAAAATGAAAAGAATGCCAACACACCTAATACATATCGGACAAAGAAGAAAGCCCCCAGGCAAATCCCTGAGTAGATGATATACAGTCCCCAGCCAATGGCATCGGCAATCGGCGGACTCGCTTGGGCTACGATATAGCACGCGGCCCACAGCGATGCAGTGGTCAGGGCATTGCCCTTGGCACGCATCGATACAGGGAAGATCTCTGCGGCGTAGGTCCACGAGCCCACGCCCCAGCTGATGTTGAAGAAGACATAAAACATATACGGGAATGCGACGATCGTGTAGTTGGCCGGGTCATTGGGGTGATGTTCGGCGTGCCACTGTAGGACGGTGATTCCAATCATCGCGGCCATCATACCCACGGTTCCGATTTGCAGCCATGTCTTTCGCCCTAGTCGGTCAAAGTAAAATATTGGAATCCATGAGGTCACGAAAAGCACGATCCCTACACCACCAGTGGCGAGGTTCGCAGTGCGAGGGTCCTTGATACCGCCGCGTTCGAAGAGGGAGGGCTGTATTCTCGTATCAGAAACGCATCGATTGGCACAGGAGAGACGGCTGAAGCTAACCACGTACCGTGTAATAGAGGATAGAGTTGGTGCCTGTGATTTGCTGCAAAAACTGCACCCCCATTCCTAGTACCGTCACTCGCAGAACGGGCCTGGTGAACATATCCTTCCAGGTGGCCTCACTGACCGTCTGTTCAAACTCGATGGAGCTTTGAATCTCCTGCATCTCCAGCTCCGCAGCTTCCGAGCCATGAAGCCGGGTCAGAACTTCCCGCGCGCAGTCGGGGCGGTCTTGACTGGCAAGCCAGCGTGGACTAGGGGGAGCCAAAACCAGCAACCAAAGGCAAGAATCAGAGCAGGAAGGATCTGGATAGCCAATGGAATGCGCCACCAATCATCAATCTCGAGAAAGTTGAAGCCATAATTGAGCCAGAACGCAACCAGTTCTCCCAGACATAGAATCATCTGTTCGATGGCCACAATGCGGCCTCGGATCGCTGGCGGTGACAGCTCAGCGACATACAATGGAACGCCACCGGCACAGGCTCCCACTCCATATCCTAGAATCACACGACCGATAGTCTGTTGGCTTAGCTTTAGCAATTGAACGTATACAGGACTAAGATACGTACAATCTGCGCGATGGAGTAGGACGCAGCCTGGAGCACTGCACCGATGATGAAAACAACACAGGAAACGGCCAATGTTCGCTCGCGGCCTATGGGATCGGCCAAATATCCAAGTGACATAGCTCCGATAAAGCAGCCGATGTCGTATAAAGACACTACCATGCCCGTCACCCCTATCGAGAGTCAGCATCGATACTCGACATAACATGGGATAGATGACAGTATGAGCAAGCAGGTACGCACATGAGTTCTTCGGTTGCATCAAATCAATCCAGCGTTGATCGGCAACTATCACACCCATAACTCCCTGGTCGTAACCGAACAGGAACGCACCAAGCGACACAAAGGCCGTGAGCGCGTAGAGATAGGTGGTATTTCCTGGCCGCGGTTGAAGAGGATCAGTGCCGGAGGGTGGCCGGATCGGCCTCGTCTGCTTGAGCGAAAGCATGGCGCGAGAGACTAGGGAATACCCTGCATCGGTCCGCCGAGGGGACAACCCCCGAGTTAAATACTCCTCTTCTTCATCGTCACTGAATCTGGGGTCCCCGGATTCGGGTAGAGTAGATTCCTGGAGAAGAGGCCGGTCCATTGTTGACTCGGTGTCGCTCCAATAAGGTTGGAGGCCATCGAAGGCTACTGTCCGAGCTTTAGTACCTTTGATCTGGCCGGGGAATGAAGGTGGGTCGCGGACGCGAATCCCTGCTTCCGTGCAGCTGAAAGGAGCAATTTTGCCCCGCGATTCCTTGAGGGGGCGGAATTTATTTCCTTTTTCCATGCGGTTAGGGCAGACGAGGTACCACATCATCGCGGGCGGCGGGATTAGACGCCAGATAAAGATTTATCCAGGGCATGTAACACTTGGACTGGTAAATTAAACAAACTAGGAAAGTGTGAAGAATGAACAAGTTGCTCCGGATTGAAGTGCCAACAATATAAATATGTTGCCTTGGTGGAAAATCTTGTGACGAGACCCCTCACCTCACAACAATTCGACAGAAAATGCAGCTTCCGATCGTATGCCAACCAGGACGCCTAGCTGTCAATGATGGGCTTCTTGGAAATGTCAAGTATCTGCGTCAGTCGCGCGCTGATGAACCTCTTGACAAGCTCCGACAACGTTACGAGGAAGACGGCTACTTGTTCCTGAAGGGCCTACTTCCTCGCGCCGATGTGCTCAAGGCGCGCCATGAATATTTCAGCATGATGGTACCCACAGGAGTCTTAGAAGAAGGCACTCAGCCGGTTGAGGGTATCTTTAATCCCCTCAAATCAGCAGAGGAGTTTCCAGGTATCGGTGCCGGCGGTGCGGGGAAAAATGGCCGGCCAGGAGGCGAGAAAGCGACGCAGTTCGTCGACTTGGCCCTTGACGCTCATTATCGGGACTGGTACGCCCAGGATTTCTGCCGGCATCCAGCCCTGATGAACTTTGTGGCCCGTTTTACGGGGTGGGAGACTAACACCCTAGGTCTTCGGCGGTCGCTTCTTCGAAATAACATCCCTGGCACTAAGCCCATTGGAGTCCATTATGACCAGATTTTTCTTCGTCATGGGGAGCCGACCAGTGTGACGGCCTGGGTGCCGATTGGAGACATCAAATTGACTGGCGGCGGACTTATCTACCTGGAGAACGGTTTGTCTAGCCATAGCATGGTTTTAATTTGATTTTCTAACCAGGTACTTATAGGTGATTCCCTTGGAATCAGTATTGAAGACGAATTCACCAAAAAGGCTAAAGATGCCGGGTTATCCGAAGAAGAAGCCAAGGATGCATTTAACAACAACATGATGGCAACTGGTCTTTTGTCGGAATCACCTCTCAACTTTGCACATGAGCACAATAGGCACTGGCTTGTGGCTGAATATGAAGCCGGAGATATCGTGCTGCATAAGCCGCATGCTGTATGGAAATATTATCCATTGATCTCAGTCAATGTGCTGACTATAGACCAGATTCATGCTTCTACAATCAACAATGACCTAGAACGCGTCATCCGCCTTGCAACCGATCTTCGGTTTGTCGATGCCTCGAAGCCATATGATACTGTAAGCTCTGACGCTCATTATGGAAAATAGTAGCTAACATAAATCATAGCGCTGGAATAAATTCTATGAAGTTGGAGATGGTGTATAGAAAAATAAGAATAACACCAATCACATAAACATGTGTCAACATTTCGAACGATAATTGTCACCTCTTGCCCAATGACTGACAACGCTAAATTGTCCAGTTGTGTAGAGTTCCCTACAATGACCTTGATAAAACCACGCTTGTATCCCAAGCATGTCTCAAGGTAAAGTAGACATGTGCTAACACTAGGTCATCACTACTTAACATGGCATGCTGACTTCCAAGGCAGCCCTCACTTTCACTCCGAGTAATGCCGCAATGATAGGGATTCGCTACTCAAGCCAGGGACCCAGCCGTTGGATATTATGACAGTCAACAGTCCCAGGAGAAAGATCTACGCTGATTACTTCACCTATGACATTAAGTGGAGTTTGTCTCAAAGATAAGGAAAGACGCCTATGACCGAGATGGAATGGATGAACCAATACGACTGTCCTTTTGGACGGCGGTCCACCACGTTGTGGTCCTCGCCCTCAGAAAATACTTTCGAGTATTTTAGATTGTCGAACGCCAGTCTGGAGAGTCGCACTCCAGCGTATCTATGAGTTCATTTGGGGCTGGACCGTGGCATTCGGATTCCAAACTCTGGGAATGGAATGCAGGAGCAACAAGTGGCCATATTTGCAGATCCCGAAGAATCCAGTAAGCCGAAACACCGGCAACTTTTCAAGCGGCCAGCTTTTTGAATTTAAGGTTGATTGCTGCCGGTTCTGTCGATCGTGCCAAGGACGCCACTCTCTACGCGTCTACATATCTCGATGAAGCGATTTGCGGGACTTCGAGGCAACCGCCTCAATATCGCGACAATTGTCTGCGTTGCAATGCCCGGCCTTATAACCGTTGGATACAACCAGACTCAGCTTGGAGGAGTTTTGTCGTTCCACAGCTTTAAGAAGCAGTTCCCAGAGATCGACGTCTCACATGCCGACCCTGGCGATAAAAAGCATACGTCGACCATTCAAGGCACCGTTGTAGCTTTGTATGCAGTTGGAGGCCTCCTGGGGGCTCTATCATGTATCTGGTTCGGGGACAGACTTGGTCGCCGCCGGGCTATACTCGGGTCTTCGGCAATTCAGATTATTGGTGCCATCCTCATGGGGAGCGCATTTCGCCTGGCTCATCTCATCGTTGCTCGTCTCATTCTGGGCCTTGGCACTGGCGGTCTGCTAGCCACGGTTCCTGTCTGGCAATCAGAAATATCTCCTACTAGCAAGCGTGGTGCACATGTCGTTACAACGGGCGTATTCCTCGGGATGGGTCTCACGGTGGCTTTGTTCGTGGACTTTGGCATGTCCTTCGCCCCCGGTAGCGTGGCCTGGCGCTTCCCAGCCGTGTTTCAGACCGTGTTTTCCCTTATTGTCATGGTTTCCACTCTCTTCATGCCGGAATCGCCCCGTTGGCTCGTTCAACAGGGAAGAACAGCCGAAGCTCGTGCGACTCTAGCTGCGCTGGATGACACTACCCTTGAAAGTCTCGAAATTGAGGCTGAAATAAATGACGTGAAAGCCTCATTCGCACAAACTGGGGAACAATCTCTGCTAAAAATGTTCCATATGGGCCCTCGAAGGGTCTTTCATCGAATTATGTTGGCTGCTGGGGTGATGATCTTCCTCCAGTTAGCGGGTGTCAATGTAATCAGCTTATACAGTATGTCATTTTTTACGTTTTGCTATAAGGTCCACTAATCTCACTTGTACATACAGCCACTTCAATCCTGCACCGTGATCTGGCGCTGGGTGATGTCAAATCCAGAATTCTAGCAGCGATCTACCAATTAATCAGTCCAATTGGAGGCACTGTGTGCATTTTGACTATTGAAGGATTTGGGCGTAGGGGCTTGATGCTGGCCAGCGCTACCGGAAACGCCATCTGCATGGCACTGATAGGCGGCTTGGGGTCTCAGCCAGAAAACAAACTCGCGATGCATGGGGCTATCGTTTTCACCTTCCTCTTTCATTTCAGTCACGCCCTTGGATTCGCTGGAATCCCTTTCCTCTATGCCACAGAGATCGCGCCCTCAAACCTGCGTACGGCCATCAATGGTATCAGCGTCGGCACATTCTGGGCCTTTACTATTCTGATCGCCGAAGTCACTCCCCGAGCACTCGAGACTATCGGATGGCGTTACTTCATCATCTTCGCTGGGTTCAACGTTTGCATGATTCCTCTCATCTACTTCCTGTTTCCCGAGACCGCCGGCCGCAGCCTCGAAGAGATGGATGAGATTTTCACCAAGTCCAAGCATGCCTTGGACCCTGTTCGAGTGGCGAGAAGCCTTCGACGCCGACAAATAGAAGACTTGCCAGTCCAGAAAGGTTTTTGTTCAGAAAAGGATCATGCCCTGCCAAGGAATTGAGTCTATACGGGTCGAAAAGACAAAGAAACGAGAGCTATGGGGTTGAAATTTCCTTTTTTGCATTTCGGCCCCGTTTGTAGCAGCCGGGTTGTTTTGCCATCTAAATTTTAGACTGTTTTGACATACACTTGGAGAAGTGAATATATTTCTAGCGGGCGACACCGTAACTAGTTCCCTTAGCACCAATGCTCAAAATCCCATTTTTGAATCCAACCATTTTATATGTCGTACCGGCTATCCGTACTCAATCGTAATCTATTCGTCCCCCACAGCGGGGAAAACTTCTCCACTGCAACTCATCGACACTGAAAATCTCGGCATCCCTGTAGTCGGCCATGACGGCAGCACGAAGATCTCAGTGTTGGTAAGACTGACCCCTTGGATTTACTCGCGAGTGATTTCTGGTCTGAAAAAGCAAACTATAGTGATCCGTGCCGACTACTGCACCACAAGTGTAAGGACTGCTCGTCCCTTCAGGCACAAGATTTGTCTTACCAAACCTGGCAGGCGATGCGAAGCAGCCGCAATGCAGTCGATGTGTCCGAGCTGGTCGGGCATGTGTGCGAGGGAGCAGCGGGACCCAGTTTCGTCAGGCCAAAGGCCGAGATTCACGCACCCGGTTTCCACGCAACCAAGTTTGGCTGCGACCGCCACCACGAGGTTGAACGCCACCGATCCTTCCCTACAAATGCAGTATTTTCTAACAATGAATTCATAGTGGATTTTGTCTTTGAGTCAGGCAATGGCGACTCTGATAGCTTGGTCGAAAGCTCCGTGGCGGGCGCAGTGGTAGGCAACGAAGACCAGCCACATCCCGATACCAGTTCTGGTCATGTCTCCAATGAGAAATCTTATTCCACAACAAAATTGCGGGGCTTAACAGAAGATTCCAATGTGCTGGCCCGGAAAGCGGATGCGAATGGGAGCCGACAGCTCTCTAGTCGCCAGATGTCTGAGAACAGGGCGGTCCGCTCCAAGGAACGGTCCTGGCCTCTGAGAGACGCCGAGGAAGCTGATCTCTTGCAGCATTTCGTCGACAAAATCACGCCATTTGTAAGATGCACTTTGTTGATAGTGTCGGGTATCCTATTCTAACGGCTTCTCAGTTTGACTGCACTGATTATCAACGGCATTTTGCTCTTCACATTCCTTATCGAGCGCGACATTGCGAGACGCTCTTCAATGCAATCCTGGCAATGTCAGCAAGACATCTGAGTCGCACCGCATCTTTTGACCCATTTGTTTCAGATCACTACTTTCAGCTGTGTCTGGAAAAGCTCATTCCGGCGCTGAATGACCATGAAGTTACCATGGATGATGATTTGCTGGCTGCCACCGTCATTTTAAGGCTGCTAGAAGAGTATGATGGTGAGAAAATTATCTTCTTGAGCCACTGTCGGAACTCAATTGACAGATTTCACAGCTCCCTTGGCGGGTTCGGACCTTCGGGGCCATTCCTTTGGAACTAAGGCCTTCATTCAAGGCCCGCCAACAACCGCAACGACAACACCACGCCTGCGACAAGCCGTCTATTGGAGTGGCTTGCGCCAAGAGATCTATAATTCTCTCAGCCTTCAACAAGCACCAGATGTTAATATCGGTTCCCTTCATTCGCAATTTAGTTGGCTCGGTCAAGACGTCGACGATTGCACATGGGCAAACCAAGCCATTGCACACTGCACTGATGTCTTGATGTTCTCATTTGGCGAAGGCCCGCGTTCGACCGCTGTTCATGCCGAGCTCCTCGCAAAAAGCCAAGAATGGTTGGATACGCGCCCAGACTCCTTTGACCCCTTTTTCATCGACCGCGACGAGGTGGAGATTGGGGCCACATTTCCTGATATACGGTTTCATTCTGCTTGGCATGGTTAGTTCCTCCTCTACCTATTTTAAGATGATTCTGTGTGTCATGTCGAAGTCAAAGCTAACTAATTGATTGTTCATCGAATGAAGCAATTGGGAATCAGTACAACCATCTTGCCCGGATATTGCTGCATGTGCACGACCCAAATCTTCCCACAATTGGGCCACTGCGGAGACGGTTTATTCAAAAAACCGATGTGAGTGTGATCATTCGGGACCTTAGTTCTGGCCGCCCTCTGACATAATGTGTAGGATCTGATTCGAAAGGGTGTATGGACCGTGTGCGGCATCGGACTGTCCAACGCTTCTGTTCCTCCGGCCATGGTCGTCGGATGCATGGCGATCCATATCTGTAAGAAAAAACCGGTGATCAACTACAAGCGGAAAAATATCGACAGCTAATAAACGACGTTTAAGGTGGCGATCGTTTCACGGATCGTCAGCAGCAGGAGTTGTTGGTTCAGGTTCTTGTTCAAACAGATGCTGTGCACGGCTGGCCAACCCATGCTCTTCAGCGACAGCTCCGGGACACCTGGGGTGTACCATGAACCGCGCTGAACATAGAAAAAGCTATATGAATGGCTATCATTCGGCGCAAAGAGTCCACAAGTGGAGGAGGAAACTTGCTCGCGTGACTTGATTTTCGCTGAGAATAACTGCTGGGGGCCAAACCGATTGAAAAGTGTAACCTCTTGTCCTGGCATAATCTCGGCGATGTCCACAGATCTTGGCAGCCCGGCGTTCTTGGTCCCTTGGCAGTTTCCACCGTGTGGATCGCTCCTGACATCGGGTCGAGAGAGAATGCTGCACCGAATCCGCGCCACAGCTCCACTACGTACAGCCAGGATCTACTAATTGATCCTTGCCGTTGTTGGTTGGCTGGCTCGGCGCAAGACGCTAGCAAACGCACGTCATAGTGGATGAGAACTTCTATTTCGATGTATTTACTTCTTGGCTCTAAGCAGCGGTAGGCTTTGACGAACGAGGGGGTGTCTTCCATAATCAAAAATATTGATCTTGGGATGTAACATAAAATGGCCAAGAAAGGGCCAAAAGTAAACACATCCACATTAATCGAATGAAATGGCATGGGATACAAGCCCAAGGAGGACCCTGGGCAAATTATATGACCTACCTAGTGTTTTAGAACATTATGGGATAACCAGTTAAACTTGGAAAAGGTTTAAAGCATACACATGTATGTAAGTAGCAGTAGGGTTCATTTAATTAGCATATTGCTTAACAGGGAAATTTCATGTCCTGTTGTTGATCCGGAAGGCCAAGAAGTTCTCAAAATAGTTTTACATCTTGGCGCATTCAGAGTCCGGAGACTCCGGGGACTTCATATTGGAAGCAAGCTCGGTAGGACTCCGCATCGCACGAAGAACCACAAACGGGCCATGACTGGGTCCAACATGGGTTAGCCGAGCCCCGGACCTCAGAAAAGGAAGCCAAGTAACCCGTCTTCCGAGGTCTAATTTTGTACGTAAGGTAGATTTTGAGTTGACTAAAAATGGATGATCCACCATACCCACGTTGTGTTTTGCCAGGTACCCGATCCTTTGGGCTTCATCAACCAACCCATTACCTCCATAAAACTATTTATGTTTGGGCTTAGGGTCTTATCCAACAGCAAATCTTTGATCATTGGCTATGAAGTATATGAGCTGAGTCAAGAAGATCCACCCAATATTCTGGGGGCCTATATGGAACATACAATGTAAGATCACCCCACGATAAGCCCGGAAAACCACCCCTACCGAGGCCGTCTCATAGTTTAAAAAAGAATATATATTTTGCATATATCCCCCATGTTTTCTTGAGCAAGCTGGTACCACTCAGCTAACCGCGGAGATTCTCTTTTTCTTGTATCTTTTCAAGTTTTCTGAGTTGCTTCTCTTCTATTGGCAAATATGGCCATATTTGTTATTTGGGGACTTCTTGGCTTGTCTGTATTGTCAAGCTCGAAGCCCATTCACATCAAGGGATCATCACCTGGCCGTCCAGCTGCGGAATCTCTTTTCGTTCGAATTCCTGTTGATGTACCCGTGGCAGAATCTGCAGAGACTCCATCGAGTACTATAGCACCCTCTGGAAGTGACGGTACTCACACCATCAAACCGGGCGTCTTCCAAGGTGATGCCACGATAATAAACAAGGACTCGAGTGCCACCCAGACCAGCGTTCTCTTTCCTGCATCGGGAGATTGGCTTGACGTGCAGTGCGACGGAGACGCTAGAATTACAGATGCTGCAACCCCCCTAAGGACCGGTTCGAGTATGCCAAAGTGAGCAGTATGATACCCATCACGCACCGAGGGTTCCGAAGACAGTCACTGACATTGCTCGTTAGATGCTTGGGACCAAATGATGGATGACTGGAAGAGCAAAGACGACGATTATCCATTGAATTTTGGCCAATATGCGTGGAATGTTTTCCACTATAGTGACCAGACACATTGCGATCTGGTGCAAGATAATAACTGTGGCACCACAGTGGAGTGCAAGGCCCCAGCTGCTGGGTTCTTAATCATCAACTCTCTCGTCGCCATTCACAATGTATGTACAAGCTAATATCAGTTCTTGAAAAGTTATACTGACAGTATGAAGATGATCTTCAACGAAAGGACGGCACTAGGGGATGCTCGCGATGATATCAAGGCAGACATTGTGAGATTCCAAGATACGTTTTCTTCATTTCCGGACGACAGTCTGAAGGTCATCAAATACATGTTGGATGCCCTTCAGATAACATGGGGTTTCAGTTCAGCAATCGGCTGGAACGTTTGTGAGTGGACCATCTCCAAATATTCCAGCATGTCTCTAATTCAAGTTCGATCACCAGGGATTAAAAAAGCCAAACTATTCAAAGGTATTTTTACTCAACTTCTTTATAGTGAGAAGGTACTGACAGTTTAGATGATGACTGGCGAGCAGCCTTTGCCGATATGTCCAATGCTGCTGCCTTCTACGGACTTAATATGGGCAGGGACAATCTCAAAGAGTATGGTCTCCGGAATAACTCAACCATTGATTTTCCCATTGCTAAACCAGGCCAACAGACCTACGGATAGTGGAGAATTGACTGATGACCTAAAAGTTCTCGTCGACAACTATTATAACAAACTACGTGACATACAGAGGGACTTTTTGGCGAACACCCTCAACGCAGTGGACGAAGCCAATCAGGATCAGTTGACCAAGATGGTGGCAAATGGGGCTATGATCCAGCTTGATCTTGCGACGGACAATTCTACTTACGGTGATATGATTATCGAGCAGAAAAAGACCCTCTACGGGAAAATGATCCCGGGGACTTGGGCCTTGTCTCCGGATACCCAGCGACCGTTTATTCTGTAAGGCAGATTCTACCACCGATGATCCCTTTTTGAGCTTTGCTAACGTTGCCTAGGTATGTGGACCACACAGATTACAACTGTGGAGATGATGTTGGCCCCGTGAGCGATACCGATTTACCAGAGCCAGACGACTGGAAGTTGGGTTCCTGGATAGACCAAGACACGGCGGATAAAACCTCCTGGTGTGATCCCAAGTAGGCTTTCCTTTCTCTCAGGGAATTTGTTATGATGCTAACAGGTCTGTAGTGGCAACTCCTGGTTCTTGCTCAACGCCTACGGCCCCACGAGCTGCAGCGGAGGTGGAGCTGCCGACTGCGACCGTCCAAAGATTTTCCAGAGCCTCGATGGTGGAAATACCGATACCTTGACGGGAGAAGACAGCACATGGGGAGGGATTACGCTTGAGTAAGTCAGACCTGATGCAAGCTCTGAGATTGGAGCTGACTATGGCCTAGAGATATTATTCGCAGCTCATATGGAGCATTCGTGGCCAATGGCAACAAAAATGGAGGATATGTGGGTCTTGACCATAAAATTCGGAGTATCTATACTAACATATGCGGGATAGGAAATGCCGGATGACTCAAAGCTGGCCATTGATGACTCGATGAGCGAGATCGTTGAAGATGATACGGGTGCTTTTAGTAACAGTATCCGGACTGCTGGTATGATAACAAAAATCAATTCAAAGAATTCTACCAACACTGCTAATATTGATTAGGATTTTTCCAAATCCCCATCTGCCTGAATGCGTATGCAGCGGCGGAGCGGGTCGCGAAGATCCTTGAAAACGATGATCCTTGCGGCGAAGAGCCAGATGCTAGCGGAAAGTCAACGCCCAAAAACGATGAAGGGTACGCCGCTGGGCAATGCGGGATCCATATCACTCAATACCAACGGGGTGAGGGCGATGCGGTCAACCCGCTGGATGTTTTCCAGCTGCAGCTCAATATCCTCGATGCTAACCAGGAGGTGATTGGGTTTATGATCAAGCAGCCGGCCGACGAGGCTCTGATTGTTCCCAGCAAACTTCCATATGATCTATGGGTTCAGGTGGGTGACGGCGACGACGATGCGATTTGTTTCTGGTACTCCGATCAATATTGGTGCACGGATAATGATGACTGGGGATGCAACATTGGTTCTTATGACGGCGGTCAACGAAACGGTGACTGCGGCTTCAGTTGCCCTAATCCAACGGACGATCCCCCAACAACCACCTATGATCTTCCGTCTCCCGCGAAGACAGCGTATGACGGGACCAGTGTCCCAACAAGCACCGCAGAATTGCCGGAAGTGACGTATGCTCAGGGCGCTTGTGGTGTGCATGTGGTACAATACCAGAAGAATGAGAACAGTAATGGCCTCAACCCGACGGACTATTATCAGGTGCAGTTCGAGGTGAAGGATGCAGACAACAACATCATCACCACGTCACCCAAGTCCCAAGCAGAGTCCGGTGACCCAGTTTCAATCCAAGGGGATGGACTTGAATATCCCTTCTCTGTGACGGTGGGTGACATTGACTCGGATCCGATCAGCTTCAAGTACAATAATCAAGAGTGGGACTCGGATGCGGACCAGTGCAGTGTCGGAGATTACGACACAGGGACTCGTAATATGGACTGCGGGTTTACTTGCTGAATGCAGTCGCAATTATCTAGAGGAATGTTATGATGCTCTTTCTCTACCACAAATTCTATACTTCCCGGTAAACACCAACGATGTCATGGCTGACTCAGCAGTGTAGAGCATCACCTCTATTCATCTTTGACTCTGCGCTCGATATCCTCCCGTATGATTTCCGTTTGTGAATTGACAAAGCATATGGACCATTAGGTTACAGATTTTGCATTCTTCATATTCCGATCCGTGTTTCCCGAGATTGACGTGCATCCATGAGCGAGCTCCATAAGTCCTTCGCCAAGTCGCAACTCGGCAAGCTGCCCCCTGAAGCGCCCACCCTCGAATCAATGTCCGAGGATGCTCCGGATGAGGATGTCTCTTCTGTCTCATCTACATCTTCCACAGGGACGCTAGTTCCTTCGCCTACCAGACAGCTGTTTGCCCGGGCGGGCCGCAGGTGCGTAATCTCTCTCTGCCGCCTATAGTGGACATAATGCACCCGCGTGCTTTCCAATACTTTCCATCAAAAACCATGACTGATCATGACTACGACCTGGATTCAAGCTAATACGAATCTCAGATCATCATCACAATCATCTTTGACATGGACCGACTTCTTCGCCCAGGAGCTTTTCATACCCGAAGAAGTCGACAACCTCCGCATTTTACACCATGTCTATTTGACACCGCCTACAGGCTCAAGCCCGTTGTTTGTTATGCATCATGGTGCAGGCTCTTCAGGTTTATCATTTGCGGCCTGCACAGAAGAAATCAGAAAGATCCTCCCCAAGGCGGGGGTCATGTCCATTGATGCCAGAAGCCACGGTCGGACGATGATGACACCCAAAAGTGGACCAAAAGGCCCGGACAATCCGTCCACCGCAGATTCAATGAAAGCTGAAGCTGATGGTCATATTGAGATCGATCTGAGTCTCGAAACCCTCAGTCGGGATCTTGTGTATATGATTCGCCAAACTCAGTCAAGGATGGGCTGGGAATCTCTTCCAGACATTGTGCTTGTCGGACATAGTCTAGGGGGTGCGGTCATCACAGATGTGGCGAAGAAGGGCGAGCTTGGGTCGAAGTTGCTGGCGTATGCAGTACTAGACGTGGTGGAAGGTACGTTCCTTGTCCTCCTTCCTTCTGCTCAACATTAATTACCCCCGTGCAGGATCGGCAATGGATGCCCTTCAGAGCATGGAGAAATACCTCTCAACACGACCAACCCGATTCCCATCTCTTGCATCAGGAATCGAATGGCAGTACGTTGCCGGCACGATCTCTCCATCATAAAGTCACCGAAACTAACCAGAATAAAGCACGCGCTCCCGCACTATTCGAAACACTATATCTGCTCGTGCATCCGTGCCATCGCTTCTCTACGAAGAGACTGAGCCCGCCGACCCGGGCAAGCCATGGGTCTGGCGCACTAATTTGTCTGCAACGAAGCCATTTTGGGAGAATTGGTTCGTCGGGCTGAGCCAAAAGTTTCTTGAAGCACGAGGCGGAAAGCTACTCTTGCTTGCGGGGACGGACCGACTAGATAAGGAGCTGATGATTGGACAAATGCAAGGTAGGCATCGTCTACGAATAATTCCGTCGATATTATAATTCTAATTCATTCTTCTCAGGCAAATATCAACTCCAAGTTTTCCCTGAAGCTGGTCATTTCATCCAGGAAGATCAACCTGCCAAGACGGCACAAATACTGGCTGACTTTTACAAGCGCAATGACCGCAGTGCATTGGTGCTGCCACCAAAGGTGGCCGATATGCAGGCTGCGGCAGCGATGAAGAAAGGGACTGGTGCTGGTGGTGGCAGCGGTCATTTGCAATAAAAATAAGACCTTGATATTGAAGAGGGGTAATAGTTTGTGTCCAGAAACGGCACCTACAGCCACCTGTGGGTTTGGCTTTCTATGTTGGGATGTAATGAAGGCGGCCAGGCATGGGTATTGGATCTACGACTTCTTCGATCATCTTCAAGAACTACAAGCATCTTCCGTTTTAGATTAACAGAAGAAAGAATGGAAGTAAAGAAAATCCAGAATTGAATTCAAAATCAAAAGTCCTACTGGCCACATCTGGCCATAGCAGTCCGCGATTCGTCCCATGAAGGTGTCATTCCGCAGCCCCGCCACCAGATCATCCAGAAGAACAGGCAAAAGGAGCGATTCGTCAACCCACACAAGTCAGAGCAACCGCATTCAGTCCCGCAACGGGGTCAGATCGCAGCCAAGCCACAACTATCAGGGGAGCTCACGGAAAACAAGAAGAAATAAAACCGGGGGGCATGGAGGAAAAAGGATACATGAATGAAAATTGTCGTAAGAACCGTGCACTGTCTGCTAACCCAAACGCCGGTAGCCAGCTTTTCTAAATCCATACGCCACCAAGATCTCGCAAGAATCAAGAAATGATGATGAGCAGATCAAGAAAGATAACGAAAACCACAGATCAGAGCTGTGGAGCAAAGAAATAAAACCTCCTCGGTATTGGCGCCAGGTAAGAGATGATAAATGGGTATTGTTGATGAGATTACCTAGGGCAGATCAGGAAGATACGCCCCTCCCGCCACGACGAGGTTCGAGTCGGTGAACTTGACCTTGTAGACAGGAGTCTTTTTCGTCGGGAAAGCGCTGATCTGGTCGGGAGTGACTGTATCATCCTTGCCCTTCTTCTTCTTTTTGGGTTTACCGGCAGCACCCGCAGCGGACGGGTTGCCACCGTCGATCTTCGAGCTTCCCTCTCCGGGAGGAATGACACGTCCCTGTGTGGATTCCTGGGGAGCATCAACATCCCAGGCACGGACTGTGCCATCAGCTCCACCAGAAACCAGAACGGTAGACTCCGCACTCCAGCTGAGCGACCAGATGCCGCCCTTGCCGTGTCCCCGCATCCGCTTGAGGAGTCGGCCAGGGCCCAAATCCCACAGGAAAATAGATCCATCATCATCAGCAGAAGCCAGAAGTTTACCATTACGGCTGCATTCCAGAGCGGTGATATTGCCGGTGTGTCCGGTGAACATGCGAACCGCGTTTCCGGTGGTGACCGCCCACATGCGAACCGTATGGTCGCAGCTAGCTGTAAAAATGTACGCCGAGTTGGGATGGAAGCAAATGCAGTCTACGTCTTGGTCGTGGCCGGCGAAGATGCGCGTCTGGCGAGGCTCATGAGTGATCCAGAGCCGTGCAGTCTTGTCGGAGCCGCCCGAAAGGAAATAGTGACCGAAGGGACCCCAACGAGCATCCCAGACAGGACGATTATGGCCCTTGTAGACCACCATGCACTGCCATGTGTCCAGGCTCCACAGCCGAATCGTCTTGTCTGCCGACGAGGAGAGCAGCCATCGAGAATTGGTAGACACTCGGTCCGCCCCGGGAGTATTGTCCCTCGGGACAGAACTTGGGGAAAATGAAACCGCATACACAGGCCCACTGTGGCCAATGAGACGCTTGGAGTTCGTCGGTGGTCCGGTGTCGAGCTCTGGATGAGCCGACGGAATAGGCTTTCCGTTCACAGTCCAGATGCGAATGTAAGACTGCTGAAATCCGACAGCAATCAAGGCGCTGTCGTCCGAGAAATCCATGCAGCAGATCCTGTGAGCGTGTCAGTAGGGGGCAGATAGCAAAAAGAAATGTAGAAAAGGGGTACATACGAGTCCATAGTATTATGGAAAGTAAACATGCACACGCTGACTCCGGGGCCCACGCCGCCAGTGCGGCCCTCGATCTTCAGTCGATCGCGGTGCTCCTTCACCTGCACGACCGCCATTTCAACGTCTTGAGCCATGGACGGAGGGTACGACATGTCGGCTCGAGAAGGGGCTTCCTCGTCTTCTTCCTTTTTAATCATTTCGTCAAACTCCTGCATTAAAGTGTTCTGCCCATCCTTCGGCGGGTTTTTGGCATCTTCCTCTGCAAGCTCAGCGCGAACGTCTGTTTCCATTCCCTGCTCCATGGGGAGCTTGCCAAGCTTCAGTCTTGGAAGAGTTCCAGCCATAGCTGGATTGTCACCAGTGTACGCGGAGCCGGGATGATGGCCAGGGATGCCCTCATCTTCAGCAGGGAAGGTTTTACCAGCACCAATCTGGTTCAGCATCGCAGCAAAACTGAAACGGTTATCTGCGGCGCGATCCATGGTTTTGAGCGTGCAGTAGCTGCTCAGAATCGCGGTCATGACCGATCCGCCCTCCTTCTCCTTGCTCTCCAAGAACTGGAGCAGGTTGGTATAGGCGGAGTTGCTCAGCACAAGGCGGTACTTGTTGGTACGGTACAGCTTTGCGGTCGCGTTGTCCTGAACATGCTCCGGCAGACTGATCGGTTCCAGGATGCGGATGTCATCGGTGTGCTCAGGAAGGAACATGTTCTTATTGGATTCAAAGAACTGCTTCGCTTCCTGGGGATAAAAGGAGGTGACCATGTTCAGGAACGAATAGACAAAGAGCGGCCATAGGACACGGCGAAGCTCAGGCTACGGATGGTCAGCAAGGTTCGGGGAGGATTAAAGCAAGTGACTGACCTTGTACAAGTCGAGGCTCTCCTCGACCCAGGCCTTCAGCAAGTCTAAAGTAGTCGTTAGCCACTGTGCTGCGATGGGTCCGGAAGAAGGTGCGCTTACCAAAACCTTGCTGGTATTTGGGACGAGCATCTTCGCCCAAGGGAGGGAGAGGGCGTCCGTCGATCTCTTGGTTGGCCGACTCCATACGAAGCATCGCTTCGGTGCGGCTGTAGCCCTTTTTGGCAAGATAGTCGATCACCTAAGACAGGATGGACGCGTCAGTCAAATACACTCATGAAGAAAACCAAACATTCCGCATGCAGCTACAGAAAAAGAAAGACCGGAACGCATGGCAAGCAGGACATGCACGGATAAACAAACAACTTGCACAGAAGCTGGTAGCTCCGTTTGAACGACCAAGTCTGCGTCTTCAGCAGCCAGACGAGCCTCGTTGCTGTCGGCAATGCTCTCGACAACGGTAACATCTGCATGTTCGTCAACAGCAACATCAGCGCTGTTCCCGTCAGCTGAGCTGCTGGAAGGCGAGGCAGCAGCGAGGGCATGCGCAGCAGCTCTGCCAGCGGCACTTCTCTTTCGCTCCTTTTCCTGCTGCCCGCGCGAGGTCCACGAGTTCCGAGTCCGCTTCTTTTTCTTCGGAGGCATCTTGACGTCCCAGGTTTTGTAGGTTTGTGGGATATCAAAAGGTCGCGGTCAAGTAACGAAACAAAACAAGAAATGGAATGGAAGTGTGGGAGAAGAAGCAGGCTGAAAGAGCAAAGGCAAGCAAAGACAGGCAAAGACAAGCAACCCGGGCAGGCCGAGGAGAGCCCGGTAATGTAATCGAACACCATAGATCCCAGATAGGAAGGCTATCTATGTCACGTGCCGAAACAGGCGACAGCAAGAGCCCTAAAGAAAGATGGAAGAAGAACTTCCCAACTCCACAGATGCTCCTGCTGGCCATGAATTGACCATGCCAGATATCCCTCTCAGGCAAGGCATCCTGTGTTGTCGGCCACTGGACTAACCAGTTCTTCACAGGCAAAGCCCAACGACTGAACAGATACACTGGCCATGGCGTATAGAAGCAGCAGAAAGACAAGGAAGAAAAACATCTGGCAAAGCAGACTGGGCCATAACAGAATACAACAAAGGTGCACCAGATCAACACAAGCAACAAGCACAAGGCAAATCATAGCACCAGAACAAACTGCTTGGGATCAAATTCACTCACAATTTGATTGAGATTCTGCTGCGACATGGCGCCACTAGGGGGAGGCGGCGGGCCGGGGGTCGGAGCGGAGTGCACAGGAGTGCCTGACAGTGGCTGCTGGGAGGGCATGGACATGCTTCCACTGCCATTTGTGCCACCAGGCCCCATGCTGCCACTGCGTGGTGCAGGGCTGGGGGCCCCGCCTGGCGCGGACATGGCGATGAAGTCGATTTGAAGGTCAGTGACGATCGGAATTGGCTGAGTGATTAAGGGCAAGATGAAGAGGCAAAGGGGGGCGAGTGTGAAAAGGAAGAAGAGAAGAGAAGATGGATGGATGGAGAGATTGAAGAGGATACCAAGCGCTGAGTCGGCGCGCTGAGTCGGCGATGGGGATGAATTTGATATCTCGATGGCGGCTGCAGCCAGCTTCACCCGTGACTAAGCGTGTTGTCTCCCCCAGGTTTACACGTGACGACTTCCTCCTTCTTCTGCTGTGCTGCTCGAGGAGACCAGGATACTCGACAGGATCGAAAATTGCAGCTCGTGAGCGCGTCTGGCTGTCAATTGATAAACTCTGTGACCCAATTGGACCTTGTTTCTCCATCATGGCCGACGACGCGCCACCTGCCCAAGACCAGCCCACGTTCACCTCCGCGGATCGCATTCGGCAGCTGAACGAGGTGGACAAGGTGGGCTATTCAATTCTCATGGCTACATTGGCAGACACGCAGCTAACAATTCCACTAGGATGTCGCAGAGCTGATCCACTCCGCCGGACTGGCCATCCAGGCTCTAACCAACGCCGAACCCGACGCCTCCAACCCTTCCGCCGCTGTGCCCGACGGCTCCCTTGAGTCGCACAAGACCCAGTTCAAGGAAGCGACCGCTCGATATTTTGCACTCCTCTCGTCCATTGATGTACGGCTTCGCCGGCAGGTCTACGCGCTAGAAGAGGCCGATGTGCTGGCGCCCGAGCCGGCCGCGCGGGCGGGCGATACAACGAGTGCTGGCGCCGGTGCCGGCACAGGCGTAGGAGCCACAGCCACAGCCACCGGAGACGGAGAGGGAGATCCATTGGATATTAGCTGGCTGAATAGCCGGAAAGACACGGTTGGCATGGACAAGGAGGCCGAATTGTGGGCAGCGGCGAGCGAATTGGTCCAGAAAACTGACCAAGTGGAGGCTCCCAGCGGGGATTCTAGCAAGCCAGAGCCAGACTCGGAGAAAATGCAGGTCGATTGATTCTGGGAAGAGCAGGTCGTTGCTGGTTGATCGTCTGCCGGTGGCCGGAGATGCGGCGAGCTTTGTGATTTATTGATACCCCCAGGAGTCTATTGCAATTGAACAATTTTATGATTTTGAAAGTCAAAGAGAGGAATCGTCAAGGAGAAGACCATTTGTGGACCAGTATATTGCAGGAAATGTCCACCAAACTACAAAGCTATGCAACAAAGGAAACCGAGACAACATCGAGGTGTCCGACCAATGCAGCGATCTATTTCTGCATACCCCTGATCATCTCCAGATGAGTCGCACGGTCCCTGTTGGCTTCGGACAAGGTACCCAAACCTGCGTGCGCGGTCAGTAACGCGATCGATATACCGTAAAGTGCTCACTTACTACGCAGTTCGCCGACAACATCCTTGGCCTTGCCGAAGTAAACCTCCTCTGATAGTTGCAGTGCGGGTCAGCGAAATACATGGCAGCAAAAACGTATGAAAAACGTACGAAGCAAATTCCGCATCCTCAGCTCCATATCCTCAATCAGTCTGCCCACATTCGCGACATGGCTGGCATCCGACTCAACAGGCAGGTCAGCCTCCACCTGCCGGGTCATGTTCCCGCTCAGGTCCATCTCGCCGAGCCTCTCATTCTCGTTGGAGAGGTGCAGGATAACCGTGCTGGTGAGCTTGTAGTGTGACATGCGTGCGCGGTCCGTAGCCTCGAAGACGTGGATACTGTCCCATTCGCCAGAGCTCTGGGAACCGGGCGTGACCCCTGGAAGATAGAACAGTCAGTCAATAGAACCACCCTTGACGCCCAATGGCTGAAGAAAGGAACACACCCTTCTTTAGGAGAATGACTCCCGCAAACCCATCATCCAGGTCCCAAAAGTACACACTCCCTACACCCCCCTCATAATAAAGCTCCCGGTAGACATCAAACGCCTCGTTTGCTGCAACCTCCAGCTTGCGCACCCGCTCACTGGGGACCGTGCCGTCGTCCAGCGGGGGATCGAATTCATTGCTCCATGGTGACCGGTAGCTATCACCGTCACGGTTGTAGTCGCAGAGCAGGTAGTCGCGGCCCGTCTGCTTGCACCGGCGGGTCTCGAGGGGCTGGTCGACGGAGGAGAGCAGGTCTTCAGTCAGATCGGGGACAATGGACGTGATGGCTTGGAGGTTTTTCTTTGTATTGCGCGGGTTCAGCCGCCGGAGGAGATCACTGGGGGGTGTTTTGGTCAGTTCAATTGTCGCTGTCAACAGAGGGCGGGGTCGGATTTGGGGTCGGAGAGAGGTGACAAGTTGGGGAATGTGTGTAGTCGACGGATTGGAGTGAGATGGAATGCAAGGATGGTGCATCACTCACAGGGCACTGTCAAACTGAGCGTCGGCCATGGTGGATAGGAGTGTGGTGGGTTGAAGTGTATCGATGTCCCAGGCGGAACGGGGGAGATGTTGATCGGAGGTGCGTGGCTGAGGCGGAGAGCGTGGCGATAAGATAAACTAGTTAACGAAAGAGAACCCCAGCACAGCAGGAATAGTGTAAAGAGCAATTGTCCAATTCTTCAATATGTACAGTGGACTCGAAACAAAAAGTGGTTATCCTCAATCACACCGGATGCCAATAAACACAACATTCGCTCATGGTCGTCACTCTTCACTGTCCTCGATCATAGGTCGTTTCGGCTTCCGGACAGGCTTGGGTTTAGGGCTGCTACTAAACAGAAAACTAGGATCCGGGAGACCGAAATCAGAGTCATCATCATGATGATCCACTGGAGGGGGAGCTTGTTGATTGTGCTTGGGTTTAGGGTCCGGAGTCGACAACAGGGCCAAAATATCGGCATCATAGGTATCATCGGCATCATCGGGGTCTGTCACCCCTCGAGTATAGGAACTAGGCTCTAGCTGCGTCTTGCTCACCTTCTGGCGCTTGGTCTTGGGCTTCACGCTTGATTCGCCAGTCGAGGGGTGTTCAGTTTCGCTGAATGATGGGGGAGCCTGCGCCAAAATCTGCTTGAAATAATCATCGCAATCAAGACTCGTCTCATCCATCTTCCGCAAGGCGGCAATCATGCGGCGGGTCAGAGAGCTATGCTTGACGATCTTGGTAGGCCGTGAATCAAGCTGCAACCGAGGGAATGCATCGGTGCGCGGGAAACGGATGAACTGTGGGGAGGTAGCTCCGATATTCTGATAACGATGCTCGAGCTCTTTCTGCTCGGCTGGATTGAGGAACACGTCTTCCAACGATGGAAGATCCACGGGCTCGGGGGTCGGTGTTCGAGGTCGCTTCTTCGGCGGTGCAGCTTTGGCTTTCTCGCGAGAGCTGCCGCCTCCAATGTTGGAAGCTCGTGTGAAGCCCGTCTCCACATCATCGGGCATGTGGAATTTCTTGGGTGGTCTCTTAGGCGCTCTTCCTCTGCGTTTCGGCTCAGGCAGCTCCTGCTGGGAGTTCTCGGGAGGAATATCAATGTGCCGTTTATCTGAAGTTGGCCGAATACCGGCGGGTAAGATGCGAGCAGAGCGGTCATCGTGGAATGTAAATCGAGCGCCGCTGGCAATCATTTCTTGCATCTTCTCGTAGTTATCCTTAGCCTTCATGTAAGACTCTTCTTCCTTGCCCTTCATCAGAAGAAGGGTGATGTTTCCTGCCCGTTTACGTCCGGTTCGACCCATCCGTTGCAGCATGCGAATAGGCGATGCGGACGAGTCATAGCACACGATGAGGTCGACTTCACCAATATCGAGTCCCTCCTCCCCAATCGACGTGGCGACAATGGTGTTGTATGTCCCTCCTTTAAATTTCTCGATGATTTGGAGCTGTGTCTTCTGGTCCATGCCATCGGAACCTTTAGCACTGGATTGACCAACAAAGACATGAGGGCGGATCATGGGCGCGTAGCGCTTCAACACTCGCGCGACTTCCTCGGCGCTGTCACGGAAATGGACGAAAATCATGACTCGTGTTGCAGGATTCCCGTTGCTACCAGAGGAATTGGTGCCTTCCCCTGCATCCATGAAGTGGTTCAAAATAACCGACTTGAGATACTCCAACTTGGGATGGCCAATAAATTCCGGATTCTTGCTCCACGGCTCCAAGTGACTGAAGAGCTTCTTAAAACTTTCGTCTTGCACAATCTGTTTCTGGTACTTTCCTCCTTTCTGTCCGTCGCCGCCTCCCTTGAAGTGCAGAAGATGTCGATAGAATGGGACGATACCGTGGTATTTAAGAAGATCAATGGCATGGGCCAAGCTCGCAAGAACCGTGAAGATCGAATTGACCTTGCCCTTCAGTCCAAAATTGGCGTTTCGGCCCGCATCTGACATCATCCACTGCTGCCGCGCTTTGGTTAGACCGTAGGCAGTCAGCGACATGGGATCCCGTCCCCAATAAGCATTGAGAGTCCGGAGCTGGTCGACAAGTGGACGCAATGTCGAGGAAAACAGGTCCATGCAAAACAACATTTCGTCAGAGTTCTCAAAGGTCTCGATCTCCGTATTACGAGCATGCACGTATTGTCGAATATCAATTGAATGCTCAGTCCGAATCTCCACCCGAGAAATGTCCAGGCCATCAATCACGGCCTGCACGGACTCTACCGTCGATCCGGGAGTCGCTGTCAACGCAAGAACTCGGAAGCTCTTGTTGTATCGCCGCAGAAACTTGACCACCTCCACATACGCATAGCCACCCGTCGCGCGGTGAGCTTCATCCACGACCAAAAGAACAATGCGCTTGGGGTCTGCAATGCCAGTCTTCAGGTCGTTGGTCAATGTCTGCGGTGTCATGAAAAACACTCGTTTGGACTGCCACTCCTCCGCTCGAATCCCAGGCGCCACCCCTCCAGTGAGCATAGTGGTCTTTGACCGTGGGATTCCCGCAATGTCCAAACATGCCGACACCTGCTGCGAGACCAACGGCTTTGTCGGAGCCACAAAAATGATCTGCGCGTCTTTCGTCCAACGAAACCAATTGAGCATGATCGTTGCGGCGATGAAGGTCTTTCCAAGACCGGTAGGCAATGCTACCAAAAGGTTGTGGAAAAGGCCTGCCTGGGTGATGCTGAACTGGTAATCTCTCGTGCTGCCCAAGTTGGTTGGGTATATCCAAGTATCCAGGGTGTCATGGTTTAGCTTGTGCTGAGTCGGAGGCTCGTCTTTGTCCGGAGGAGACCAGCCTCGCTCCCGCGAGGTTTGAATATCCGGGTTCCGGGCAGCCATTCCGAAAAGCGTGGCTTGCCGAAGGCTGGGCTGACGATTGAAGGTGCGAGTTGCCGCTGGAAGTGGCGGAGGAGGCTGCGCTGGTCGTGACACCGGTGAAAGAGACGGGGAGGAATCAAATGCATCCTCTGGGATATCGTCCAGGAAGGACACATCCGCCGAGCCGTTTTTGGGTTCTGTATTTGCCGATTGCCCAAGTCTCCGCGGAGCCTCATTCGATGGACCCAGATTTGACACCGGCTTCCGCGACTCCCCCTCAAACGAGTCCAGCGAAGCGGCAATGGCGGCCCTCAACTCTGCGTCATTATCGTAGTAGTTTGGAGTCTTCTGCGGCGCAATTTCGCGCACCGGTGGCACAGGCTCCGAAGGAGGTGGTACTGGATCTGGCTTCTTCCACCGGGGTCCACGAATCCGTTCCGGGCTGGAATCGGGTTGGGTCAACTGGGTGACAAACATGTTCTCTTGATAGCTGGTGTTGGATCGTTTGGGCACGAAACTTCTCGACTTGGACCGAGCCTGTCGCTCTTCAAAATCCATGGACGATTCTCGGCGGGGAGAGGGAAGCTGGGCATCATCGTCGTCACCATTCATGGAGGAGAACTCGTCCGTGCTGGAGCACCCATCGCGGTGATGTTGTTCCACGCGACGACGTTTGGCGGGACGAGGCGAGGGCGACGGTTTGTCGCAGGGGGTGCTGGGGACTATAAAGTCATCATCATCGTCGAAGTAGTCGGACTCCGCGGCGTCCGTGGCGGGCATCGCGCAGAGCGTGGGCTGCTCTCATCGTGACAAGAAGCGCGTCAGTAGGGGAGGCGCGCAGTCACGTGAACTAAAGTGTTTGCACCGTTTGTTATGGGCAGCTGGGTTGGATTCTTGCCATCCCCCTGATTAGTTACAATGGTCTCTATACTAACTAACTATACAATAATCATCTTGTGTCCAGCCCTAGCCAAGGGCGGAGGGGGCAAAAAGCCATAATAGATCACACCCTTGCCTGAGAAATTTCACCTGCCGACAAGCAAAACCACTACCGTCCAAGTGGAACAAGTCCCTGCCCCGGATCTGACAGATCCACTCTCTCTCTACTTAAGAACTACAATTTACTAACTAACCCCTTCTCAACAAGGGGTGCTGCCAGGCACTCCCTCGTCCCTCGGGAACCTGCCGCCGGGGACGCAAGGCAATTGCCAAATCCAGCTAGCAGCTAGTAGAACCAGGGAAAGTGATCAATGTGAGACAGGGCGAGTGGGAGCTACGGCTATTTGAGCTGTTAGGGTTGTGTACTTGCCTCTATTATTTATTCTTGACTGGCCACCCTCTCTTTCTTTTCTTCTGCTGCTTCTTCTCTCCACGCCGGTCTGTCACTCCTTAGCCACTACCTCTTCTCAAAACCTACTTTTAATCTCTTCCCACCTTCTTCTTCCACCATGAAGTTCAACGTCCTCGCTCTCTCCGCTCTCCTGGCGCTTGCCGTCGCGCAGGACACCACCACTGCCCATCACGCGGCGACGACTGCCGACGCCCAGGTTTCCTGCGCCAGCAAGTGTAAGTAGTAGTCTACCCTCTCTTCTTTTCTGCCTCAAGAAAGCTCACAGGATCGATGTGTAGGCGATGCCAATGATGTGTGCTGCCGCGCCAGATGCTACAAGGTGCCCTGCCCCAGCGACAGCCAGGCCAACGACACCAACAGCTGCGTCGCCGCCTGCCCTCAGGGGAACGGCTCGGCGGCCGACACCCAGCGGTACTCGGATTGTGAGCAGAATTGCTACAGCTCGCACTTCTTCCCGGCCACCAATGTCCGTAACGGCCAGACCGAGACCGTCTCCGCTGGCAACACCGCTGTGACTGAGACCGGCGCATCCGTGTCAGTGGGTACGTATATCTTCGTTTCTTGTCTGCGTTCCTTGCTGACCATCTCGCAGTTACAAACTCCGCTGGCAGCCCCGTCTCAACTTTCACTACTGCCACCAACACTGCCAAGGGCGTTACCCAGACTACCAATGCGGCCAGCCATGTCAACCTGGGTGCTTCTGCTGCAGGGCTTCTGGGCCTTGTTGTGGCTGCATTTGCTATGTAGGCCGAGCGTGGAGTGGATCTTCACTTTATTTTGCTAGGTGGATGGTCCCTTGCGTGCCAGCTCTCTGGCTTTTCTTTCGTCTGTCTGATAATAGTATCGAAAATACCTGGGATCGGGGCTTTTTGGCCGCGAATGTCATGATCATGGAAGCATTTTGAGGGTTTATTTCTTGTCTTGTAGTGCTGTAGGTCGTAGTGTACACCCTTGATATACTTTGGACCAATCACGTGGCTGGTGATTAACCTCTCACGCGTATCTTCTGTTGTTGTCGTCGTTCTTCCCCAAAACAACCAACACCCAGAAAATTACAGAGTCCAAGATGGCCACCACGGCAGAAAATGCGGCGGCGCCAAAGCCACCACCGGCCAGTGACTTCATGAATAATGAACACTTTGCGGCCCTCTACAAGAAAATGACCTCGTTCGTCGCCGACTACATGTCTAGTTATGACCCATCGCACGACATAGCACACGTGCACCGAGTGGTGTCACTGTCCATGAAAATCCTACAGGACGAACAAGCCCTTCACCCAGACATGGGGTACAACCCCACAGTGGTCAAACTGGCTGCACTGCTCCACGACGTCGAGGACAGGAAGTACTCGCCCAACGCAGCCCTGGTAGCACAAGTGACCGGAAGACCAGAATCAGAGGTTCTCACAGCAGAGGGTACGCAACAGCAACAACCCTGCTCAATAGCCTCCTACGTACTCACTGCCCACGGCATGGATGCACGGCTGGCCGACAAAATCCAAAGGATTATTTATCATGTCTCGTACTCGAAGGAGTGCAAGGACCCGGAACTGGTCCGAAATATGGTGTCCCAGTACCCGGAGCTGGGTATTGTCCAGGATGCAGACCGGCTGGATGCCCTTGGAGCCATCGGGATCGGGCGCTGTTTTACTTTCTTGGGTGCGCAGGGAAAGAAGTTTGTGGGGCCGGACGGGAAATGGGAGATGGAAAATTCGATTCAGCATTTCGGGGAGAAGCTGGAAAAGCTGGAGGGGATGATGAAGACGAAGACGGGGCGGAAGATGGCGAGGGAGCGGACGGAACGACTCAAGCTTTTTAGAGGCTGGTGGGAGGAGGAAATGCTGGAGTCTTTTTAGAGGTGCCGTGAGGCATATTCTACTTGAAAACGAGTACGGTAATTTGTATATAGGAAACCTTGGAGATCCTTCCATTGATCTTGATAGCGTCCATGTTAAATTCTCAGATGAAGTGTTGGGGGACAATAGCCTCAAAGCCTCACAAACGAGTGGAAAGGGACGCACAAGTCCTGATAGCGAGTAAAAGAGAAAATGACCGGAGTTCAAACCACCAAAGAGCCTCTCCCAATCTATCCAGACGCCAGAATAAAACACAATAGATACATAGTTTGGGTATTTGGGTTTCTGTGAGCAAAAATGATTTCGTGAAGGGGAACAAAACAAGCCGAGATATCCGACGCCGGAAAGACAGAAAGACATGTATGTGTTGTGTTGATATGGGTTGAAGAGTGGAGTTCAAAGGAAGCAGAATTCGGATCCTTGACGTTCCAGCAGAAAAGAGGAGAAGAAGCATCCAAATCAGCAAGAAAGCAGCAGTCAAATCAAACTCGATCCCGTGCAAAATCAAGTACCTCGCAGTCGTCTTCGAAGAATCCATCGTCAGCTTTCAGCGGCGTTGAAGCGCTTTTCTTCTTCCGGCGAGTGGTGATGATGACTTCCTCGAAATTGCCGGTGCTGTTGCCCAAAGTGATATGGTTCTCCATCTCTGCTCCAGCTCCGAGTGAGTGTTCGTGAATAGCAGCATCTTCTTCGTCATCACCTTGATCATCTTCACTGCTATTGAATAATCTCACGTGGAGCTTGGTCGTGGGGATGTCACCACCGAATACCCATTGGCCACTGGGGTTTGACTGCGTTGAGTCCCTGCCCCCAGCGAAAACATGGAGTCCAACCCTCTGATCAGTATGGAAAGGCTGGTAGGGAGTGTTAGTCTCAATCTCTGCCTGAGAGAGAGGCTGACAGAATCCCTTCATAGTGGTTGCTGGCTGTGAGCTGACCGATGGGAGCATCAGAGAGGCATGGGTTGTCAGGTCCGGGTCATAAGGCATAATGGGTGCTGGGCCACAGTGCGTTTGTAAAATGGCTGGCAGCTTGAAGACCCCTTCTTTGCTGCCAATGACGGTGTGCGGCTGTCGGTGCTTCTGCGTAGACGCGGCTCGTTTGAGGCGGTAAAGCTTGAAGAAGCCATCATCGACCAGACCCAAGAACATGAACCCTTTGTTGCAGATCCAAGTCACCCGATACGGAGCAGGTTCTCGTGCTAGGCCAGACAAGTGCAGGCGATTTTCTCCTACGTGGCGGAGCGTATTGACGGTGCCTGTTGCTGCTCCCATCGACTTGCTCAGCCCAGCAGCAACAACTTTGCCACCTTTCACACCCGCCGCAGACGGCAATGCGAAACCGCTCATGTTCGGAAATGCTGCGCCGGACGAAGGAACACGGCCTCTCACAGCCGAGAAAAATGGCTGGGTCCTGTCACCCACCAACTTCATGGCCGCCGACAGAGGGTTCCCGCCGATCCCTTGTCCCGACATATCATCCGCTTCCGAACCAGTGGCCGGTGGCTTGGCTGTCGAAGGCCGTGCTCGACGGAATGGGGGCCACTGAAATGCGCTTCGGGGTAGATCAAAAGCATGTACTGTCCCTTTCTTGGTGATTATTGCCAATCGATCGCCAACCGGAGGAGCCCAAATGACATCGACAATGCTCGATGTCGTGAGTCGTGGATACCGTGCCACTTGTCGCACGTTCGGAGTCTGGCTGGCGTGGTCATCGGCCATAAATACAGAGGCACGGCAATTCTTGAGCTGCATCAGATCCCAAACATACTGTACGTCACCTTTCTGACTCGCAGTAAGCAGCATGAGGCCATTCGGCGACAACGAAAGAAAACTGCAGCCATTAGGCACCTGAAAGGTAGACAGAGGATGGAAAGACGCGCTGTCATCGAGTCGCTTGAGATCGATGATCGAAACAGTGTCCGGATCGGCAGTAGAAGAGTTCTGCGTGTCCTGCGCGTGCGTCGGCGGAAAAAGTCCGTAGCCTTGTGCTTGGGGTTCTGGTGCCTGGGTCGGCCGCCGCGGAGAGATGCCAGGCGTTTGCTGGTTGCTCCAGTAATTATTCCAAGCTTGAAGGCCTTGATCGCCCATCCAACGGGCACCTCGGACGAGCTCCTGGGTCACTCCTCGGGCAACCTTGTCCAAGAAGCTCTCTCCTTCGCCAACATCCGTGGCACAATTCACGGATGGCATTGAAGGTGGGTTGCGAGTCTCTATTCCAAAAACTTTACCTTGAAGCAGTTGCGCCGGTACTGTTCCCTGAATCGAACTTCGATAAGTCGACGTAGGTGGTACTGTTGCCAACCATCGCCCTTGCACGGCCAGAATCGGTCGCTCCAGCGCAGACGGGCCGTGAGGGGACTCTGCGCGAGATCCATCTGGATCAGTCGAGCTGGAAGAGGCAGAATATCGACGGGTGTCTCTGGACTGGATGCTGGTCCACGTCTTCCCGACGCACTGATAGGCGCACGCCGTCGTGGATGGGTAATATTTGTAGACATAGACTTCTCCACTAGCCCCGGAGGCCAAGATAATGTGATTTCCGCTGGCGTAAAGCCTCAAGCTCCCCACGGGCGATGGGGCAAAAGACGGAAGTCCGGGGATGTTCTCCAAAGAGGGAACAGCTTTGGTTGCAAAGAGGGTCGCGATTTGCTCCCCTGTCCGGAGGGAATATACTTCGGCCCTGGTTTGGTAAAAGGGAACTTCGCGCCTATCGCCCGAGTGGCCTTTGGTTACCGAAGAAGGCATTTCATTCACCTCTGAGCCAGCAGAGGAGGGTCGGCCTTCTTCTTCGTTCGATGGCAGTGGTCCATGAATGGTGAGCGCCACATGAGGCCTGGATTGTGCAAAGGGGTCATTCGGCGGGCTTGGGACAATTTTCGCCTCAATCACCCGACCGTTGAGGCCAGTGATTTGTCCGACACGACGGGTTCGACGATCTTCCACCGCCAGAACCTCGACGGCCCCATCTGTTCCCACCAGCAAGACATTCATACCCACCCGAGGCATCTTTGGGGAAGTATTCGGAAGCACATCAAAGCCGCAAAACGAGTAGTTGCCATCCTGGGTAGGCTTGTTGGAGGCTGGGAGAAGGTCCACGTCCGGCGCACCGTAGAAATGGGCCTGGGGCAGATGGGGCAGTGGCGCCTGGTTGCTCCCGTATGAGTGGCTCTTTCGGCCGTCGATGGACTGCTGTCGGGAGGGCATGCTGTTCCGGTATCCATTTCCATAGCTGAAGGGTTTGGGGTTGGAGGCCGAGGAAGGATGGCTGAATGGTGCCCGTGCTTGGATGGCGGGGAAATTGAGAGGAGAATCACTCGGAATGTCACCATCTATCAGATCGTTTGGCGGGCTCTTGCCAAAGGGCACCGACTGGGCCCAGGTGTCCGTCCGATCGGCGAGATCGCGGTCTCCCGTCTCTCCCAGTGACCCGAGAGCATCGAGGACCGGTGAGCTTATGGCGGGAGTGACATGATGCTCCAATGAGGGATCCGGGCAGGAAGCAGGCTCGTGAGGGGTAGAAGAGACCTGGGTGGTGGTGGGGGTCCTAGGTCGGCCACTGTCGTCAGCCCTGTGATGATGATGATGATGATGATCGTCGGCAATCATGGTGGGAGCATACAAATCCTCCGTCGCTGCCTTGGCCCCTTTGTTCTTCTTTCCACCCTTCCCTTTCTTCTTGGGTTTGGTGCTCGGCTCATGCTCTTGGGTCGGTTTGTTTTGATCGGTGTCGTGGGTGATGTCGTCTCCCGGGGACCGGCTGTGCTGGCGGATCAAGTCGTCTGGGGCTGCCGGGGGCATTCAAGTGAACGAGGCCTCACAGGGGAGGCGACAGTGATGTCAGTCAGTCAGTAACCGCGCTCGGGACCTGAATGGGAGAGGTCCGAGAACGGGGAAAGGTGAGCTTCAGCTCGGATCAACCGAGATGGACAGTTGCGTGAGTGTCTGCTCACAGACACGCCGAGATCAGACGGATAGATAGGTAGCAAAAGGAAGAGAGGTGAGAGAAGGAAGAGAGAAGGAAAAAGAAGAGGGGCAGCTCAGTCATTCCCCCCGCCGTTCCTGACTCAGACCCGATCACCCGCTGCGGAGGCATGACGATCTATCTTACTTGCTTAGTTATCTACGGGGGTCTGTTATCTAAGCAGAGGTACCTGGATAGTTATGTACCACGATGGAGGTAGTACTATTCCCTCGGTATACCTAGTGCCTACGCAACTAACGACACGCAGTCTCCGACTTGGAGAGAGAAGACGAAGAAGAAGAATGAAAATGATTCCGTCATGCCCCAGGGGTCACGGGGTCCAGGCCATGTGACGACTGACGCGAATATGGTACACGATGATTGCCTCCTGATCCATCCGTCGCTCAGGTCTTCTTCTTCGCCGCCTTGGCCTTGGCAGCCTTCTTCTTGTTGCTGTTGATCATCACAATGCCGATGAAGGTGCCCACCACGGCCGAGGCCAGCAGAATCAGGATAACGGGGATGCGGATGGCCCACACGGGCGGCGGGAACAGCTCGTGCAGGGGATGGCCGGGGTCGACAAAGGGCTAGCCAATATCATTAGTGTGGGGATGAGACCGAGGACCGAGTAGAGACATACCATCAACAGGGTCCAGGCTGTATAGTAGAGAAAGATGGCAGTGGCGGCCAAAAGCATGGCGGATCCCACGAGTTGGCCCAGCTAAACAGAGTCAGTCGACGGCCAATGGGCGGGCAAAATTCAGGCTCACCATTATGAGGAGCAGCAAGTGTCCAGAGATCTCTCAACACCAGTGGGGGTTGGGAATAAGAATGAATGAATGAACCGGGAGAGGACAACAACAATGATAATCAGGAGCTCCTGTTGTTCACTCCCTCCCGTGCACGTGACCACAGAGCTTTCTCCCTCGCCTCAGCCCGACGGACTTTCTTCTTTTTGCTCCAGCCTCAGTCCGGCCAACCCAACTCAACCTCCCCCCCCTTATCCCGGGCCCCCTTTCCGTCGTCTTCCTCGACTCTCATCATGGAGGATCCGGTCGTTTTGCAGTCGGCGGTCCGCGTGCCCACGCCTCCCCCGGGTGTGTCGTACTCGCCGACCGCTGGCTCTCGCAAGCGCTCCCCCCCCTCCCGCTCGCCGTCTCCCAATCGTCGACGGTCGCCACCGGGAGACTCGGTCCGGGATAATGGAGATATCCCTCGCATGGATTCCGATCGCGCCATTGAGAGGGAGCGCCAACTGGCCGAGCGCGTCCGCGAACACGAGCGACAGGAGGCCGCCCGGAAGCCGATGAGCGAAGAAGAGAAGCAGGCGGCGGCCAAGGCGGAATATGAGAAACTACTCAACATGCGATCGGGCGGTACCTATATTCCACCAGCACGACTGCGCGCCTTGCAGGCCCAGATCACGGATAAGACAAGCAAAGAATACCAGCGCATGGCATGGGAAGCCCTGAAGAAGTCGATCAACGGGCTGATCAACAAGGTCAACGTGTCCAATATCAAGTACATCGTTCCCGAGCTCTTCGCAGAGAACTTGGTCCGGGGCCGGGGCCTGTTCTGCCGCTCCATCATGAAGGCGCAGGCCGCCAGTTTACCCTTCACGCCCATTTACGCTGCGATGGCGGCGATCGTCAACACAAAACTGCCACAGGTGGGCGATCTATTGCTGTCAAGGCTGATTGTTCAGTTCCGCAAGGCGTTCAAGCGAAATGACAAGGCAGTCTGTATTTCCTCCACGACATTCATCGCACACCTGTGCAACCAGCAGGTGGCACACGAGATGCTTGCCGCGCAGATACTGCTGCTTCTCCTTCACAAGCCAACAGACGACAGCGTGGAAATCGCCGTGGGCCTCACTCGGGAAGTGGGCCAGCATTTGGAGGAGATGAACCCGCAGATTGCGCTCGCCGTCTTTGACCAGTTCCGCAATATCTTGCACGAGGCCGACATTGATAAGCGTGTGCAGTACATGATCGAAGTTCTCTTTCAGGTGCGCAAGGACCGGTATAAAGACAACCCAACCGTCAAGGAGGAGCTGGATCTGGTGGAAGAAGAAGATCAAATCACACACCGACTTGGGTTGGACGACGAGATCGAGACTCAGGATACACTCAATATCTTCAAGTACGACGCAGAATGGGAGGCACATGAGGACGCTTACAAGAGGTTGAAGGCTGAGATTCTCGGCGAAGAGAGCGGCGAGGAGGATGAGGATGATTCGGATGTGAGCTCAGACGAAGAGTCTGAAACAGAGGCACAACGCATGGATATCAAAGATCAAAGCAACACGGATTTGGTCAATCTTCGACGGACAATCTACTTGACGATCATGTCCAGCATCGACTTTGAAGAATGCTGCCACAAACTGATGAAAATCAATCTTCCCCAAGGATTGGAGGCTGAGCTTCCATCCATGATCATCGAGTGTTGCTCTCAAGAGCGGACGTACTCCAAGTTCTACGGACTGATCGGTGAGAGATTCGCCAAGATCAACCGATTGTGGTCCGACCTGTTCGAGGAGGCGTTTGCCAAATACTACGACACCATTCACCGTTACGAAACAAACCGTCTCCGCAACATCGCGCGGTTCTTTGGACATTTGCTCAGCAACGATGCCCTTGGTTGGCATGTCCTGTCTGTGATTCACCTCAACGAAGAGGAAACCACGTCCAGCAGCCGCATCTTCATTAAGATCCTGTTCCAGGACCTCGCCGAGAATTTGGGCGTTACCGGCCTGCAGGCACGCTTCCGAGATGAAATCCTGCGGCCCAGCTTCGAGGGCATGTTCCCGACAGAGAACCCTCGCCACACCAGATTCTCGATCAATTACTTCACCAGCATTGGCATGGGCGCTCTCACGGAAGACATGCGCGAGCATCTCAAGAACCTGCCTCAGCCAACCGTGCCCGCCCTCCCTGCTGCACGTGCGGATTCCCGCTCGTCGTCTGTCAGCTCTCGGTCGCGTTCTCGCTCACATTCTACTTGTTCCACGTGCACCCCACGGTCCCGTTCCCGCTCCTATTCATACTCTCGGTCACCGTCTCCGGGCCGCAGCCGGTCCTATTCCCGTTCCAGGACCCCTTCTTCGCGAAGCCGGAGCTACACACCCTCGCGCTCGCGGTCTCCGGTGCGTCGTGGTCGTCGCGACTCGCATAGCCGGTCTCCTACCCCTGGCGATCAGTCGCTGTCGAAATCGGCCCCAGATCGCCAGAACCGAGCACGGTCCTACTCGAGGAGTCCCAGTCGCAGTCCATACCGGGCTCGCCGCTCGGCATCTCGATCCGTCACACCGCCGCGTCGTGAAGCAACACGCAGGAGGAATCGCAGCTACTCCCGATCTCCTTCTCGGTCTGTCACACCCCCGACGCGTGGTGCGCGTGCATCGCGATCAAGGCGTTATTCCTCCGCGTCAGCGTCGCCTCCGCCTCGTCGGGGACGCGATCCATCTGTGTCTCGTTCACCGCCACCTCGCCGTGGTTGAAAACAACGGAGTAGACGGGGCAACTGGACAAGTTGAAGCTTTTATTCCTAGTAGAATAGGGAGGATTATTAGGGCGTTATCAATTTGTATTTGAAGCAGGATGGGAGGACCGAGAAATTCCAGGTCCCGTCGACCTCGTGCGTGATGTATTCTATATTCTTTTTCTGATTTCCTCGTCTTGAGCGACATATTCAAATACCATCTTGGCTGAGCAGAACGTTGAGATCAAATTGGATGCACCATAAGGGCAATGAGAATGCTCGTACGCTCATACTGCCGGTCTATCCCAGGGAAGGGTTGTATATGATATAACCATGTCATTTGTGTTGCGCTCAGTCAAGTTCACGTCTCGAATCTGAACCGCGGGTCACGGCTGCCTGTGATACCCTCGGTCGAGAACCTTCCCGGCCCATTCCTCTTGTCCCGGCGACGATTCTCCCATCTCATCCACAGAGTATATGCTGAGCTAGCGGTGACCAAGATCGCAGCCATGGTGATATCAACCGTCAAGCTGGTGATGTACCGCGGCGCCTCCCAGGCGTAGTAGATATTGCTGGACAACAACCCCCCGCAGTTTCCCCGTGGATGCATATGGCTGGTATCAAGAAGGCTCAAATGTACATGGACGACATCTGTTTGGCCCTGAAATATGCCCATGGGCTTTAGTTAGAAGGGGGTGGGGGTTGCATGTCAAGAGTTAACAGGTGGAAGTGTCCGATAATATCCGCCTACCCTTAGCTCTTTTAAGATTCAAGGCTTGCACTGATGACGGCCGTGTGAGGCTCAACTTGTTGGAGATCTGCGGCTTAGCCAGCATCCCATGCCACCAATGAATTCTCGCCTATCTGGCCCTCCCAGTGACAAACTCGATTTTCTTGAATCTAACTCCAGCCCCTCATGTCTACGTCCTTTACTTTGCACTGCCGAAATGGGCATCAATCTCCAACTCTTCTTCATCTCTCGCTACATAAAACCGATTGCGGAATTTTCTTTCCCTGCCCTAGCAGGTAGTACCTTGCACCCCCATACCATTTTTGATCCCAGGATCTATACCCTATTATCCTTTGCGCAAATCCCTACATGTGCTCCGCAACTCTGGAGGAATCAGTATTCCCATGGTCAGATTGGATTTGATTCACTTCTGTTTATATAATACTCTCATGCGAGCATAGCCATACTCAGCAACCCTGCTAGAATCAGTCTAACTACCCCGGGAGACAAAGCCACTGCTCCCGACGTCACACCTCCAACAGATCCAATCTCAAATCCAAGCGTGGCATTCCATTCGGGCTTCTTTCTCCCTAGAAGCAGTTCATCGGATCGTTCCTCATCAAGCTGCCCCTCAAAAAGTATAGTGAGTCCACCGATAAGCTGAGTGACCCTATTATTTGCTGCAAAATGTCCTGCAGTCTCTACCCATGCGTTCCGCTGATTGAAAGATCCCGAAATTCTCGCCGCGGAGATAGGGTGAGTAAAATAATGGTTCTCCTCGTTTTGCTCTTCTGTGATATAGTTTCCGCTAAAGAACTGCTGATCTTCAGATGGCGTATCGCAAATTCCGGAAACATTAAACTTAAAGTCGAAAAGGCGAAGGAAATATGTACTCATCCTGCCGCTGAATTTGTAACCCTCGCTGTCTGCCTCGGTCAGGTGATAGAACCACCAAGTTTCATTGTAAACCTGGCTACATCGCAATTAGTCATTTCCGGATTTTTTTCCGCGTCATTCGAATTTATGGCATACCTATAACTAGAGCTGAGATGAATCTCCTGAAACTCGCTATAGTTGGCGGTGTCGTATTCGTTGGTTAGGTTATATGCCTGGTCCCACCCATAGATATCTAGGAAAAAGGGATCAGGCGAGGGTGCTTCAGGTGCGACCCTTTGAAAGCCTGCAACTGCATTCATAGTAATCTTGAAAGTGCTGTTTTCATATTCCGCACAAGTGGTGCCGTCAAAAAGAAGCTTGTTTGGGTTGTACTCCGGGGAGAACGTCAAGGTGAGAGTGCCATTGTAGTAACTATTGTCATGTATGAGTTTTTCGGTAATAACCAGGGTCCTTAATCAAAAAGCGGTACGCACGAGCCAGTATGGCTATAATAGCTATAGTCGAGACCAGTGATGTTGTCTGGGCGTAAATTGTTATCAATATCGTACGGACTGATGCGTGAAAACACTGGCTGCACCAGGAGCGGAATTAAGTAGGAAAACCCGATCGGCCACATGATATTTTTACCGGTTTGTTTTTGGCTTCACTGGGGCTTTTCCTCCTTAAATATAACCACGCCATAAGCTGCCAAGGTTGCCAAGCAGAAATACGAACTTGATCCATTTGGAGTGGCGGGGCGTTTGATTATTATCTCCTATTCTTGATTGGCGTAGTCCTATTGGAGAGAAATTTTTGAGGCTATCCTTGTACCTTTTAGCACGAAGGTACTAGGAGGAGGGAGTGGACTAGAGGAAGGCCTAGAGCCCGATGCAGAATATCGGCTTCTTTTTAGCGTCCCTTAGTGTTGGGCGTAGTACGAGTATCCATCTCCACCATCTCTGACCAGATATAGAGGTATCTTCAAGAATCTTCAACATTCTCAACTTGTTGGGAATCTGCTGCATAGCCGACATCCCATGCCACTAGTGAAATGGCACTGCCTCGCGTGTCTGGACTTATTGTACTGTACAAATTACCACCTGTATTCTACCGGAATACAAGTTATCACAGTAGAAAGTGGGTTCATTAACCCTGTTCCCAACTTAGCCGCCTACAGTTGGACTTCTTTGCCCCAAGTATGTGGCGCGGCAAATTTTAGAGCAACAAAAGCAGCCAATATGCTTGTTAGATTAATGTACAGTTAGTTACAGTCCTACGGAGACGACATTCGAGGTTAATGGTAGCGCAAGGCAGATGATATCATCTAGTGCTTTGATCGTTCTCCAAGACCAGAAACCATCCAAGTAGTTGAGATCAATATCTATTCATCTATTCACTAACTCCAAAATATTCCGAAAGTACACAACTATAGAATTACATCATATCACAAATCTCAAAACCATTCTTTCCACTCTCAGGAAGTAGGAGCCGGCACATAAGCTCTTGCAGGAAGGGTTACAAGAGTGGTGCGATGGGTCTGATCATACAGTATAGATGAGTACAGCGCGACCAAAGACGCAGGAGGGGTGCCAATGATCTCTATCGACGTAATAGTTGGTATAGGATCAGGTGGCGCAGTGGTTGTTGTCGATCCTGTTGTCTCACCGAGGGCGTTTGTGTAGCAGTGGATGGAGGTGGATGCTTCCTGAGAGCCATCCCAGCCACAGTCCTGCATATTGCCTCCCTGCTCGAAGACACAGCGGCCGACAATGTTGTTGTTGTTGTTCAGGTCCATCAGGTTGGCATAGAAGTAGCCGTTCGGGACAGTTGTCTCGCCAGACACGCTCGCGCCGCACTGTATAGTGGCCAATTAATATGTGGAAAAAATAGAAACAAAAAATCATAAGCAAACTCACGTCGTCAGTCGGGTCGAGCATAAGACTCTGACCGTCCATATTGATGGGCAAACCGCACCAGTTGACCCACGGGTCGGTAGGATTCGTGGAGGGAGTGCTAGGGTTACCGGAAAACCCGGGTGATTCGCAGATGCCCTGTCCTTGCAGCATAATGACTTCGTCTATGTAACCCTGGATATTTGGGAATCCCTCGGGACCGTCCTCCATATCACCCCCAAGGACACCAAAATAGAAATCGGCTCGGGCGAGGCCGAGGAGGGCAAAATAGGCAAGTCCCTTTAAAGTGAACATCTTGATGTTGGTCTGAAAAGGAGGTTCAATGATGTTTGAATGTTGTTTTCGGAAAAGAAGCAGCTTGAATGATCGAGGATAATGTTCTCTTTGCTACGGGGAAACCTGTGGTTTTTATATCTATGTGTATACGAAGCATTATACCTCCCAATGCTTTCCGAGTGCATGTCTCTGCTCTCATTCGCTCTATCGTCAGTACTAGGCCAGGGCTGATACAGCTCGCCGTGAGGCTGACTCAGGGTCCAAGGGTGTCGCAGAATATTTAGGTCGTAACACTGATATTGGCGTTCCGGGGATCTAAGCCACAAATCGGGGGGTTAACGTAGCTGATTGGCTCTATTCTCAGGAACAGACAATAGTCTTCCAGAAAGGTCAACGAGATGGTAGATCGCTTTTGGGGGGCCGCAACCTAAGCGAGATACGGAGTAACTTTACTTGAGCTAATGATTCGTCGCGGCTGGGAAATGAGGTCCGAGCACGTCTGCCGATCTATGGCTACGCCACGATGTTCACCAAGCTGTATTTAGCAACACGGAACAGAAAAGAGGAATATGTTTCATTCTCCGTCTAAAAGTTTGAAGTTTCTCTGTACTGTACCGTGGAAGGTGTAGATTCAAGACCCCGAACCTCATGTAAATACATAGGAAGGCAATTCCATTCTTAGTAAAAACCGAACCGTCGATCGTGCCGCGTCGGGGAGCCATCGTATAATTTGTGAAACTGTAATGAATATATGACTCCTAATAGGACGCCTAATAGGACACCGAAAATGGCGTCAAACGTAGCCATTTTCGGCTCCTTTTTACCCTCCTTGAATGTTGGGATGCAGTATGGGTTTCGGTGGAGATAGTATCTCCACCATCTTTGACCAGATGTACAGGTATCTTCAAGAATCTTCAACATTCTCCACTTCGCCCGCTTCCCACAAACACCTCTGACACCGACACATACCCCCCAGAGCACCACACGCCCATTCCCTCCGCTGCTTGACGTCCAACCCAATATCACAATAATGATTCAGAATCTCCACATTGGCCCCAATCCCCCCAGACCCAGCCGGCCGCGTCTGATGGACGCCCTTGAAATTCCTCTCCCAAATAGGCTTCTCGTCCGCAGTCCTAGCACGGAATGTAATCTCCCCGCCCCATTCCCAGCGCACATTCGGATCGCACGAGTGATTCGCCAGACACCATAATGGATGCACAGCACACACCTCCGGCCCGCCGTCCCAGGTCGATAGACGGCCCGAGGCTGTGCCGCGAAATTTAGCGTACAGCGTATTCAGGACCCAAGTATCGAATTGTTCCAGAAGAGCGTACGGATCCAGTTCCATCTCTTCGAGAAGACGCATCGGTTGCAGGATATTAAGCTGGAATGAGAAGGGCAGCTTAGCGGTCTCGTGGAAGTCACCCCAGATATACTGCACTTCCGGCAGATCGAGCGGGTGCACATCCTGCGTCGCGGACATGGCCAGTGCTCTGCCCAGCAAGAGTAGATAGAGGTAGTCGGCCTTATCCTTGGGGTCGGGGATATCCTTCCCAATAGACTCTAGCCCGTCTTCCAGACCGCAGATAGCGCCGTGGTAGACACTCTGCGCGGCGTCGCGACAGTCCTGGGAACAGAAGATTGTATCCGCGCAACCACCGTCACACGCAACAGGGGGATTCGGGTCCGAAAGATCCGGCAGGGGAGCATGGCAAGCATCGCAAATATCATCATGCAGACGATTGGTGGCAGTAAGAAGCGATGATTCGCGCAGGATAATCTCGTTGGGTGCGATATCTTCTTTCGCGAAGAGACCCAGTTGAACAGAAACCTCGTCTGTGTCCGGCGTCGCGGAATCTGGGTCGCGCAGTGCCGGGAGTGCCACGGCACGCACTTCGCATTTCGGTGCGATTTTTGCCAAGCGCTCGTTTAGGACGTGTAGCTTCTCCGGCGAGTTACGGTCTGGTTCGTGCTCGTTCCATGGGTAGAGGACTCGGCGCGCGAAGCCCTGCGCTGGGAGCAGGCTCGGGTCGATAGAGTGCAGATCTGTTTCGGTGCAGTTGGTGCGAGTCTTGTAGATCTGTTTTATGTTTTCGAGTTGGTCGGAGAGGACATCTGCCGTAGCCGATGATAGAGCAGATGTATTATCGTTGTCTTTAATGGGGGTTGCAAGCTCATCAAGTAATTGTCTTCCGCGCATACCGAACTCGTATGCGTCGCGGTAGCAGCCGCATTGAACGAGACCACGCACAAAGACGGAGTAGACGTCGCCGATGAGGGTGTTGTACTCTTCTTGGGTGACGGGGATTGTCCCGTCGTCTTCTTCGTCATCTTCATCTTGATCTTTATTGTCAACATCACCGTTGGATGTCGGGGGCCGGCCCTCTGGAGAGGAAGAATCCACCTTCTTGCGTGCGTGGAATTCATATCCATCTGGATCAACCACAGACTCGAGCAATGACAGGGCACGATAAGCGTCTGCTGCTGCTAGATCAGGGAAGCCCAGCTTCTCGTGGAGGAGGGCCCGTTCCAGATGAACACGAGGGTTGTGAGGATCCGAGTAGAGCTGGGCTGTCTTTTCAGCGCGTTGCTGCAGAATCTCGGCCGAGGTCATTGTTTCTCGATGTCACCGTCCGAAGACAGTTGATAACGGGGTGGATGGTGGGGTGAATATTCAAAGTTGGTGCTGGGTGAACACCGGGGATATATAGCAGTGTTTCCAAGATGAGGAATTCAGTGACTACAGAGTCCGGTGTCTCTCTCAACTAAACCTTTCAATCTGTCCCGCTTCGAGATGTTCTTATCGCAAGAAATTTCTACTGATAGTGGTATCATCACGTGATCTCCTGGATCACGGTCTCATTGGCCCATTAAGAAGTACAAGCCCAATCCTCCTAAGCATTCTGGTTACCAGACCAAAAAAAAAAAAAGCGAGTTTCCATGTCCTTGAATCTATTCAAATCATCGGGCTCATCACATCACCTACAACAAACATCAGCATCTTGGCAACTGTCATGAAGAACCGTCAACATACCGGGCAATTCTCTTCCAGGACGATAGTGGCTCCTTCGCCGGCCCCCGGAGCGATACCTCCAGCTGTGCCGCCTAGGGCCTGTCGGCCTCTTAGTGTCGCAGCCAGCCGGGCCAGCATACTCCTCTGCAAGTCAATGTAAGTATATGACAGGAAAAAAAAAGATCAGAATTCACGTACAGTGATAAGGGCGTCACTCATGCCTCCACGGCGTTCAACGTCGTTCTGACTCATGATCCGGTAGCTATCATGGAGCCTCTTCCGGCTTTGGAGGCCACCGAACCCAGACACGTTCGCCGAGAGGATGTTGGACGGGTTATCCGGATCAAGGATATTGATGCCCTTGCGAGCATCTTCCTGGGCCCGTCGGTCCGGGGAGAAAATTTTGATCGTGTTGTCGATGCCCGAGGCGGCAATGGTTGGCTCGTAGGGGTGACCTGCACACAATCAACATCTGAGACGAATCCCGCATGGACCAGCAAACTTACCTTGCACGACGTTGACGACTTCGCTGTCGCCTTCCAGGATATTGACCAGGTTCGCAGTCTTGCGGTCCCAGATGAATACATGGCCCGAGTCACTGCCACTGACCACATACTCATCGTTCAGCCCGAAAAAGTTAACGTCCTTGACGGTCTTGATATTGCAGTGGCCCCGGTACACGCGCGTGTGAGGTGAGCACGGCACCTCGAGCTCCACGTCCTCCCGGCGTGTCTTGCGGATTCCATACCGCCGAGCGAAATTCTCTTCTGCATCGGAGTCGTCATCTTCATCCTCGTCTTCGTCCGAGGACATATCCCAGCCGCCAACGTCTTCGCCATCATCGTCATCATCATCTTCCTCTTCTCCTTCCTCAATGCCGTTGTCACTTGGAGTTTCCGCTTCACCGTCACCATTCGTATCCGCATCACCGTTGGTTGAAGATAGGTCTGCTTGATGGTGACTGCGCCGTGTGCTCTGATGCGTCGTAGAACCGGTTCTCACCAAATTGATATCTCGAATTGGCTCTTCCTCTACATGGGTCTCGACATCATCCTGAGACCTCTCCTGGCCCAACTCACTGTCAGAGTCCTCTTCCAGAGCGGCGAGCAGTCCGCCAAAAGCACGATTGACAAAAGTGAAGTTCACACCATTCCCCACTTCCATCAAGATCCCTCTGCCAACCCGCAGAATCCAAAACCGGGTAGCAGATGATCGGTCGAGAGAACGTACGCTCGAAGATGAGCTCGACACGCGGCGTCTGTCAACCCGCGCGGCTGAGGTCTCGAGATTCTCCAAGGGGAGCCGGACAGCGTTCCCAAATGCAGTTACAGCCGCCCGTTGGGTTTGGAACAGTATGCGCGTGCTATCGTGCTCGAACCGGGAAGCATCCACATTTACGATGGGGATATCCCTCGCCAGCTCTTGTAGGTAAGGAACGAGCACCGTGTCAATGGCGTCCTCTCCTGCGTCTGCAGGGATTGGAAATCGAGAAGAAGACCGTCGGTAAACCCCGTCGGGTTTGAAGCCAGCCAGAAGAGCCGGTCTGCCCCCTTGCAGCCAGAGAAGAATCGCTTTCAGGAAGTCATAGCCAAATTGTGACGCTGAGTCAATCGATCCATCCTCACCCGGAGCCGGTTTGATCTTCTGAAACTTATCTCTTACATCCGGGTCTTCTTCATCACCAACCTCCACTCGGCCACCAAGGGCTCGTGCAATGGCCCCAGCGGCTTGCACAAATCTCCATGAAGCTTGGCGGTTGTGGCGAAGTGATTGTTGAAAAATAACGGTATCGCGAGATGGATTCATCGGATAGGTCCACTCACGGATGACTTCATCCATCTGCGGAAGGTATGTGGACGCCAGCTTCAGAGCAGACGAGAAGGAAGCCGTGTACGGCGTGAGGTCCCCCTGGTCAGACTCCGTTGCCTCCCGAACTGTCGTCTCCAGCGAGAACAGAGAGCTCCGGAGTTTGACCAAGCCCTTTGCGATCTGCAGACTTAGACGCTGAGCGTCGTTCAACACGGAGTATCGTGCCCGTTCGATCATATTTTCTGCAGTCTCGGACATGCTGTCAGACTCTGTAGGAAATGGGAGATCTTCTTCTTCACCGTTGGCGTAGTGGACGCGAAATGTGTTCGGCTCCGCTGACCGACGGCGAGACTGATGCCTAGCACCACTCCCTTGTGATGACATCGATTCAGGCTTTGGGCGTTTGCGCTTCCGGCTTCGGGAACTCCGCCGGCGATGTGAACTGGGACTCTTTGTGGCTGCTACTTCCGTCTCAGCCTCCCCAGCATCTGGGCTCCGGATCAAGTCAAAGCTGTAGATGTGGTCTCCAGACCAGCTGACGACGATCTCGTTGGGATTTGCATCACTGATCTTACAGGCCGTGATGTGTCCGTCGTCGAGGCGTTTCATACGACGCTTACCGCCCGGTGCGAATTTCCGTACACATCGAGTCGCCTTGCCCATGGCCTCCTCGTCAAAGCTGGCTACACTTGGGGTGGATGCACCGGCCCCAGCACTGCCTCGTTCAGCCAACGTGTCGCGGCCGAGCATGCGCCGGTCATGCAGGAAACAATGCAAATGGGCCCCGCCCAAAGCAATGTAGTGTGGCTGACTTGGTGAGCAAGATATGGTATTAAGATCGAGATTATATCCTTTGTAAGAAATCAAGGGTGGCGGTACGTTGGAATCATCGTGCTCCAGCCCGGGACGATAGGCCATAAAACCCTGGCCACCCCGGGGCGGGAGGTAGGCGCTGGATGGCTGACGCAAGTCCCATTGCCGAACCTCGCCATCCTCCGAGCAGGTCAGAAACAAATGAGGCGACGACTCGGTGACGATCCGCTTCACGCGGTCGGCATGGCTGCGGTAGACTCGAGCGTTGGTATTCTCCACCCCCAGATACCGAGCCCCCGCGAAAAAGGTATCGAACCGTTGACTCTGGGCAGACGCAGCCACCGTCGACGCGTTGCCACTACTGCCAGAATACTCGATGTCGAAGATGCGCACCTGGGCATCGCCGGCGCAAGTGACCAAAGTGCGATCATTGGAGTGCGGCATAAACTTCACCGAGAAGATATTAGCCTTGTGGCCGGTGAACACGGTGGTATTCAAGGCGAAGGGGGCCGTCGAGGAGTCGGGTTGATACGAGTAGATATTCAGACGCTTGTCATCCGAGCCCGAGGCTAGGAGCTGCCCCGAGCGGGACCAACTGCCGAACGAGCCGTCAGCCAGCGATAAGGCTGGAATGATGGGTCAAATACGTACCTGAGAGCATTCACACATCCTGTATGGCCACCCAACTCGTTCACAATGTCCAGATCATCGATCCACTCTTTCGACCCGTAGATTCCCCCAAGACTCGCGTCGGGCGACAGCTCCCCGCATTCCCGGCGCCAGAGGCGATTGAACAGCGAATCTTTCATGGTGTGACCGGGTCACCCTGCAGCCCAATTTGAAAGTCGTTGTTAGGTGTACTCGCCGACCATTGCGGATGGCCGTAGGAAGTGGGGTTTCCGTTACTGGATAGCTTTCAACTGTCAAGACGGATTCTGTTGCAGATGACGTCAGGAACGAGCCGGTCGAACAAGAATCCGCTCAAGTGAGTGGGAGATGAAAGTTGGGGTTGGATGGGATGAGCGAGAGGCAAATGCAAAGCAAGAAACCGAGAATGGATGAAGGGAAAGAGAGAGAGGGAGAGAGAGAGAGATCCAGACCGCGCCTCTTGCCTGTTCCATCCGGAGACAGCTGTGCTGACTCAGCTATTTTCCGGTTTGGACGTATGAACCACAAACGAACCTTGTATGAATTTGATACTTGATTATGATTATGATTCTTTACACAACGGTCCACGCTCCTGCCCGAGGAGCTCTCGTTTCTCGTGGCGCATTGGCCAGTTGCGTTGCACGCTGACAGGCAAATTCCCTCTCCGACCGGACAAGCTCGCCTTCTAGTATCCGCATCGCGCCGATCTCCTCCGTCATGAGCTGGATGTAGTCCACCAGGTTCTGCACAACTCGGATCAGAGCCGAGTGTTGTACGTGCTGTGTATCTCCAAACCCCAGGATATCCAAGCTCTGGAGCTGACGCGCGCAGAGCTCCAGCTTGCTCTGTAGACCGTGCAGCTCCTCCTTCCAGGCGCGGTCGAGTGGGTCGATGAACTCGGCTGTTTCCATCGCTCTGGCTGACTTGCGATAATTTCGTATCTCATCAGCTCGCTCGAGCCACTCTTCAAAGAGTTGGACAGCACGCGCGTATCGTCCACCAACTCCGCCCAGGTCGGACACGTCTTGCAGAACCTGCGAAAGAGTCTGGATTTGCTCCGGAAATCCACTCGATCCCGTATGATCATGGCATTTCTGAAGCCAGTCATTAAGGGCATGCATATTCAGCTGATATTGACATGTTTTCTCATCCGCCAACACAGACCGGTACTGGTTGGCAACCGCATTGTATTTCTTGTGTAGACCAGACGCCGACTGGGATTTCCACTCCGAATGCCGTTGAAGTGAGGTCGAGTGGAATAAGCTCAATTGAAGCAGTTCCGTCTGCAGGGCTGTGGTATCCGGCCAAGACGATGGGATCTGGAGGCTACCCGTGTCGGGAGTAGTGCCTGGCGTAGGCGTTGGGGGTTTGACTCCGGGTTTCCTGGGAGAGTAGTGTTGCTGGTATGTCGAGAATGGTGTCCGTGATTTGGGAGTGATCTCAGCCTGCTTCGCGCTCGTCGGAACTACTTGGCTGCGATGTCGCGCGTGCCCTCTGGCCGCGGCGGGCGGTCCAGCATGGGTAGGCTGTCTCAACGAAGCAGATCTCACGGGGCGTGGCGGTGGTGGCATATCCGTCCTTTTCGGCGACGGAGGCCGCTTGGAGGGCAGCGCCGCCTGATATTTGCGAGGCGACGGCGGCGCAAATGAGGGTGCAGGGCTCTTCGTAGGCCCAGAGACATTGGTCTTTGTTGAGGGTATCTTCAGCGTCCCGGGCCGCCTGAGGCTTTGACGACGTCCAGGGGCAGCGCCGCTTGAGGCCACCTGGGACTCGGGCTGGTCCTGTTTCACATTCTCGGGGCATATCTGCTGCGACCTCTTCGGTGAGACATCTCGCTGCGGCAGCTTGCTGTCTGGTGGCTGAAACCGTACCTGACCCGTCCCGCGCTGCGGCAGGAGAGTCCTCTTGACGGTCGCATTGTCTTTCACGGATGCACCCTCGACCGGCGAGGGGATGGAAGGGGTGGCCTTTTCATTTGTCGGTCGGGGACGTTCTTTGGTTGTCCCGGGGGTGTTCGCCGCCGGTCGGGCTATATTCGCCGTCTTCCTTCCATGTCAGCGGCTGGAATGCTGAGGCATTTCACGGACTAACTAACCTGCCCGCGAGGATCGCGCAGCGAGGATGAGCGTGTGGGAATGGGCATGGTGGCCGTCACCAGGGGGGCGACATTATTATTGCTGGTGTTGGTGAGAGGAAGAAAGTAAATAAAGCAGAGCTGTGGAGCAGCGACCGCGCCCCGGGAACTACATAGTAACAACAACTAATGACCATCATGTTGAATTCTTAGCAAACAGTAGTCCTAATAAGTATGGTTCTCGACACACAATTAATCTACTCTCGGTAACAAGTCTATGACAATCGAAAAAAAATTAATTTTGGGCGCAACCCTTTTAACCCCCTCACAGGCTCCCGCGACGAGGGAACGAAACACCCTCCACGGCTGGGAGATCGGTAAACCAGCTGACTCTCTCGCCAGCTCCCTCGTTGACCAGCGCCGAGGGAATGCTGCGACCCTCCTCCAGGTCGAAGATCTTCTTCAGGATTTCCTTCTTGCCGGCACCCGTTGCCACGAAGCCGATGTTGAGGGCGTGCGTCACCACGGGCAGGGTGAGGGTGATGCGCTTGGGTGGGGGCTTGGGCGAGTTGCTTTCCGCGCCAACCCATGCGTCCTTCTCGCGCAGCAGCTCGTGGCCCGGGAAGAGCGAGCAGGTGTGGCCGTCGGGCCCGCAGCCGAGGAGGATGAGGTCGAACACGGGCAGCTTGACGCTGTCCTTGGCGGCGAAGGAACGCATCAGCTCGTCCTGATACAGGTCGGCCAGTTCCTGGGGGTCATCATCCTGGACGTGGTTGGCGTCGATAGTGTGCACGGTCGGGGTGCCCAGCTCGGCGGGGATCTTGCCGAGCAGCTCATCCTTCAGCAGGCGGTAGTTGCTGTCTTCATGGTCGAGGGGCACGGCGCGCTCGTCGGCGAAGAAGACGTCCCATTTGGCGAACTGCGGGGTGTCTTCGGGAGATCCATTGCTGGGGGCCAGCAGGGCTTTGGCCAGGGTGGCGGGCAGCGAGCCACCAGACACAGCTACGCGGAAGGTGTCGTGGCGGGCAAGCGCGGCGTTCTGACTGTGCAGGACATAGGCGCGCAATTGCTGAGCCAGTGCCGCGGAATCCGGGAAGCTGAAGAGTTTGGGTGGGGGGGTAGCCATGGTGGATGTTGACGGCGAGAGAGAAAGAGGGAGGGAGTGAGTGGTGGGGGTTGAAAAAGGTGGGTGGATGGCAGGCGGGTAATGACGTTGTGTCCAGGCTGAGCTTATCTCCGGTGTTGGTCGAGTACCTGTAAGCTGCAGCAGGATTAGTATGGAGGTATCGATGACGGTATACCACAGTAGGGGGGAGTACAGGATTTCCTCCTCTCGTCCACTGGTTCCGTAATTCCTCTTATCACTCGAGCCTGCGTTAGATGTTCATGATCACAATACTGTCGTGGGTCACTAACAATAAAGTTGTCTGTCTGACGCTTAGACTACCATCAGCTGATCTTTTCTGGAATGTTGTTGACTACTTGATCCTCGGCTTGTCACGGGCGCACACACCAGGATCTGAGCCCCTCCGGAATGCTTCTTATCTCTCGCTTCCCCTTCGCCCTCCTCTCCTCTCTCCCCCTCTCTCCCTCATCCCAAAATGAGTTCGTCGGCGGTCCAAATCTCCCAGCCGCCGAGCACCAATCCGGCACCGCCCGTATCCACGTCCGCGTCGCCGCCCGCGGTCTACGATATCGTGCGCTGCTCCCGCTGCCAACAGTCGCTCGCCATAGAAAACAAAACCAGTCCGGGCGCCGTCCAGTTCGGCATGAATTCCTACTACTGCAATCGGTGCGCGTCCAAAGTCGGGTTCGGCCGATGAAGGATGTCAACACAGAAGGGAGGATTTGGAGTGAGGTGGAGGAGACCCGTCGATCTACACATCTGAACCAAACAACTACATCTACAACTACAAACAACAACAACCACCACCCTGCCCTCGCCAGGGCCCGTTCCCACAAAAGCGAATCTCAACACTCCGTTGTTTTCTTTTCTTTTTCGACTCTTCGATCTCGAACCCCGATTCCGTGGGAGAATCCATTGTCCGTGCTGGCACGGCTTATTCGTGATGGGGAAATATCGATCCTAAGAGGCGTTGTGGTGGCCCATGTTTCTTCGAGAATCAGTCCATTTTCATTTTGACACCGTGGTCGAATGTCGAAAAAAAAAATTTCATTGCCCCAATCAGCCAATTGCGTCTCGGACCGTGCGGCTCTTGGGGGCGTGGGGCCTGAATAAGGCTGAGCACCAAATCCCTTGGCTTTTTGGGCTCTCACTCACGCCATCGGCACTGCATGTAGTTCGAGGCATCATGGTGTGATTCCCACCCGCATCTGTGGCTGTTCCTTACTTGCTGTCATCATACTGCTGGCTCTCAAATCATATACGAGTTTCAATTCTGAGAGGGGTGTGGTTCGTTTCTGCGAAAGGCTACTATACTGCGCTTGCATCAGTTTTGTTTTCTTGCATTATTGGTTTTCCAAATGTATGAACATATTATTACCGGAAATGTGAGAGTCGTACCAACCTAGCTGTGTTTATGCGTGCTCGTCTCGATCGGGCATTCTATCTAGAATCGGGTTGGTGTCACCGGACGACGATCCATGAATAAATGAACATGGCCGGCAGTGTGACCTGTCCAGGTCTGTCTCGTTGTTGAGCAAAATCCCAAAGACGAACTCCACGCGCAGCCAGCCACGATGGGGTTCTAGCGGCCGCTGCAGGTACTCCGACAGGATTCAGAACACTATGTAATTAATCTGTGTATACACCCCAGCACTGGTGGCGCCCCGCTGATCAGCGATCTCGACTGGTGTGATACTTTTCTGACTGGAGACTCGGTCTGGGCAATCAGAGCGCCGTCTGATCCGGATCTGGCGGTGTAACAAGAAGCTAGGCGCATCGGTCAAGATCTGGTCCTTGGCTCCCCCCACCACCACCCAAAGGCGCGGGTGTACCCGGGCCCAGGATCTAGTGAACTGGAAAGAATACAAGAAGAAGGAAGGGGAAAGAAGAAAAAAAAAACGCAGTGGGAGGAACCTATGGATACATAGTAGTTACCTAGGACGGGTGGAAGGTGGCTATGTATTGTAATTCATTATTGGTTAGGAGGGGAGCTGAGCACAGGCAAAAATGACATATCTCAGTGGATTGGATTGTCTCGATTCGTCGATGCATCTTCTGGGTCCTAGCCCTGGAGGAATTATTGACCATCATGGAAGAGGTTCTTGTGAAACATTTCCCTCTTCGATTCGATCTTCCTTCATCGTCCCTGTATTTGTGTATAATAGGTCCTGCTACCGTCGCCGAAAGAAAGAAAGAAAAGTGTGTGATCGCTGTTCTGCACTGCATACACAGTGTCGGTCAGACTGTTGTCTGGCGTCCATTGGCAGAGAGGTAAGCGACTTCGAGGCCCGAGTGGTCGTTTCTCTCATCTTGCGTGCTTGAAGCAAGTGGATTTCTATGAAATATATACATCCCCCTACCACCCCCAGCCGCCCTGATACACCGGAGGTGATATCTCTAGACTAAGTAAGCCAGGAGATACCCGCCGAAGAGTGCCCTAGTTGAAGACTTGACCGAGCACATCCTGGCCCGATAGCTCGAGCCCCGTTTGTTTCGCAACACCGGTGACAGGGCCGCTCGGGGATATTGAACCCCGTCCGACGACACCATCTACTCTCCTGACAGTACAGTGAGCCCACAGGGAGAAAAAGTCAAGAGCCGCTCAGTCAACTACCGCCATGCCATTTCTTGGCCGTGAGAAAGCCCGTGGCCCAAGACTGCGCAGATCGGACGACGAGTTTGTCGTCTTCTTACAAGGCGTAAGTGCGCGCATAACTCGGGGTCTGAGATAGTCTAACAACAACCCAGATTCCGGCCCATTGCCGCTGGCAAGAACTTAAGGATCTGGTGCGGCAGACGGCGCTGCATATCCGCCAAGCAGTTGTGTACGATGATAGCCATGGCGTCCCCACAGGATTAGGGCAGATCATCGTCAAGAACGAGGACGAGGCGTGGCGGACATATCGTGCGTGTTTCCCTCTTCTCTCGCCCGAACTCATTTCTAACAACCACCCAGACCGGTTATCGACGAATGGATGGGACGGCCAGAGCCTGGTCGTCACGCTGGCACGCACCAGCTCACCCACCAAGCCCATCGCAGGGCCGACCAGAAGCCCGCCCGCCATGATGCCCTCGGGCTATGTGACGCCTCCACGAGGACAGGGCAATCCGACGATGCCACCGTCGCCCATATCACCCGAGTAGGTGTTGTTCTTCCCTGAATATCCAAATATTCCGTTAAATATCCCTGCAGATCCGTGCATTCATCCAGCCCAACAGCGTATTCCTACCCAGATTACGGACCCATGATGAGTCCCATGGGCATGCCACCCCAGCAGTTTATGCCTATGATGACCGACACTATGACACAGCCCCTTCCCTGCTACCCATCATCACCACTGATGCACTGCACGATGTACGACCCGCCAGCCTGGGCGATGATGCCCGCGTATCCAATGCCCCCGATGCACCCTCTGCATGAAACAGCAGCCGAGGACGGAACGGGATACCAGAGACACCCACGCAAACAGCACGATCACCAGTACATCCCCAACACGAGGGAGATATCAATCCACAATCTCAGCACCAGCGCCACAAACGTCGACCTCAAGAACCTCCTTCAGGGTGCCGGCGCGGTAGAGCAATGCACCGTGACGGCGACGTCGGACGTCAAGACGAGCTACGGCTCGGCGACGATGCACAGCACCGAGGAGGCGCGCCGTGCCGTGTCGATGTTTAATAACATGAGTTTCATGGGTGCACAGCTGCGTGTGAAGATGGCGAGGGGATCGCATGCTTCACGGGGAGGAAGCTGGGATGGGACAGTGCTGGGTGGTGATTATGGGTACTGGGATGAGATGGAAGGGTTGGATTGGGCAGAGATCGACGAACGTAGAAGCTTTGGAGCTACTGCGACGAATAATAGGCCTGTGGATCCGTGCCAGCCACTGGTGGTCGATGGATCGGGACAGGCGAATAAGTCCGTGGGGATATTATCGACCTCGGCGCCGACATAGTTGTAGATGCAATGGAGGTAGGAGGGCGGCTTATTGTTAATGTATTTTCATCTGATGTTGCATCGAGAAATGTATAAATGTATTTGTTTAGTTCAATTCTTGCTGAATTGTGGATAATGGGCCAAGCTGGGTTTGTAAAGATCGATCTTACGATTCCTCAAATTGCTAGACACGGCTTAGGGTTCTACATAGTACCTCTCCCCAGATGCGACCCAGACCCAAAATGCCCTATTCCCAACAACCATATCCCGTAACCAGATCAATGTCCCCAAAACGCCAAGCATATGAAAAGCTAATCCGAAAACTGTCATTATGGGTCCGTCATTTGGCGTGGCTGACCATCTCTGCATAGAGATCGTCCGGGATCTTTTGGACTAGCAGAACCGTCAATGCGATGATCTCCTTGGCGTCAAGAGGAGGGAAAGATCGGAGGATTTTGTTAGGGCTGACGCAAGTGTTAGCAGAGTGATCACTCATAGAATGGATCGACATACCTCGGGCTTTCAAGAAGGGTGTCCCGCATACGAATCAGCTGAGCGACGATGCACAGAATATTCAAATGTGGCCCGTAAGCAAAAAGGAAGTCCCAAAGGTGCAACACCTCAGGCAATGGCGGCGTGCAGGCACACAGCGTCAACACCGAGGGAAAAGCGTAGAGTTCGGCATGCATGCCCTTGGAGAAGAGGTAGGCCGCCAGCTTAGGCTCGACAATCTCGAGGCACCGATCCACCAGACGAAGGCCTTTGTGCACGCCATCCATAGCGCCGCGAATATACCCAGGACATTCGCGGGTAACGAAGTAGTGGAATAGAGCGAAGGCCTCCACCTCGCTGCGGGCAGCATACAGGAACGGCGCGCAGAGGACATTCATGCCCTGAACATAGATAGCCGAGTCACTGACCGGAGGCTCCTGGCCCAATTCCGGAGCTTCTGCAATACTCGGCGGTGTATTGACCAACATCTCCATTTCGCGCCTGCGAGACGAAGAAGGCCGCGATCGGGGCTTGGGCTTGCTGTCGTGCAGTTTCCACGCTACGGCATTGAGTAACCGAATTAGACTTGCTTCTGTGACGCGGCGTTTGAACAGCGGGTCCGTGGCCAATGTGCGGAATGTGTCGTTGCGGATCTTTGTATAGGCCGGCGAGCCGCCCCGGTGGATGAGGGCGAGGTAATCGTCGGTGGAGAGAGGAGGAATATCTAACAGGACGAGCCAAAGGTATATTCGATATGGTGACTGAAATAAGCCCTAGGGTTAGCATATCCATAGTGATTTCTAAACGGGCAATATCACCTACCATGCCATCGCCGTCGGCGTCCACGCGCGAAGACAAGACAAGGTATTTCAGCTCCTGCAGGGACTCGGCGGTCTTTCCATTCTGGGGACCATCGCGCAGGAGGTTCTCGAGCATCGATCGCTTGAGGCCCACCCCCGAACCGGTTTTCCTTGCTGGCCGTCGCTGTGTCGGGACTGGGGGCGTTACCGCTGTCTCGCGCGCGGCAGCATCGCTGTTCGATCGTGGTCGACGGGGTGCGCGGGCTCGCGTCGCAGCACTGGTTGATGGATTTCCGGAATTAAGGGCAAAAGTTGGTGGCTGAGACGGTTGCGTGGTTGCGGCGGTGGTGTTTACGGCCCCGGAACTCGACAGAACCTGGTGGGACTGGATCTTGCGCAGCGTGCGCATGGTGCGCGGAGAGGGAGGTGCGTCAGGGCCAGCTAGACCCCAGGAAGGCTGAGGTTTGGCCATCGTTGAGAGCAGTTGGTGGCCAGTGGCATTGGTGACAGGTGGGGAGACACGGTGCGGTGGCTGGAGATAAGATGATTGTAACTAGTAGTAGTATTCTGCCGAGAATCATGAACGCGGTCGACGGACTCGAGCCTACTATCAATAATCGCTAAATGGCACTTCCCGATTGATTGAATATCCAATTTACTGTCGTGATTGATTCATTACATGCTACTTGCCCGACTTTCCAAATGAACGCCATAACACTGTCTCCCCAAGGATCAGCCCTGGGCCGTGCCCTCGCGTCGCCCGTTATCAGATCCGACGACGCTGCGAACAAAGTCGTGGTACTGAAACACTTCGCCTCTCTTGTTCATTCCCGACTTGATACCCCGGCCACCAAAGGCTTTCCGTCCGGTAAACCCACTGAACACCTCGTCGATCTGCTCCGCCGTCAACGGCGTCTCGCCTTCCTCCGGGGCAGTGTGTAGGAGCGCGTCACGTAGTTCGGCCACGTCAATCTGTCCATTATCGTCATCGTCAAAGGCAGCTAGCGCATTGAGGAGTTCCTGGGAAGTCGACATAGGAGCCATCAGCTGCGACAGGGTGCTTAGGAAGGTCGGGAAGTTGATTGTTGACGGTGCTCCTGGCGGGAAGAAGCGCGCGATTGTTGCTGGAGAGGAGTCTTGTCCTGGAGGTTGTTAGCTTGCAATCCCTTGTGGTGCACACAAAGATCCATACCCAGATTCATCAGCACGTCCACCACATCGTCCTTATGGACCTTCCCATCGTTGTCGCGGTCGAGGACCTGGAATGCCTCGCGGATCTCTCTCGCCTGGTGGGCTGGCAGCTTCGACGCAGCGTCATTGGGCACTCCGAGCCCACTGGATCTGTTGCCAACGATCGGCGATGACCGACCGGGCGCCTGCGCCCCTTTGGTCGGAGAAGGGGGAAGTTCTCTGCTGAAGTTGGGTTGGGGGATGGGATCTGTTTTTGTGGAGGTCGCGTCTCCTTCCTCGGCGGTATAGGACTGATTCAGCTTGCTGGGCGACTGCATAGGCGTGTAGCCCCGGCTGGGCGAGCTACCTGGGGTGCCGGAATGTGATGAGTTCGGGGTGGAGGGTCGCCGAAAGGGCGATGCCCGTGGCGACCCGAAGGAGAGCGGCGATGGCTTATAAGGGGAGCCCGAATTGGCCTGCATGGTGTGTGTGTGAGTGTGTGAAGAGGGAAGTAAATGGTGCAGGTGACAGACACTAACTAATCTACTGGCCCGAACGGGAAGTAAACAATCACCGGGACGACAGTCGGCCCGAAGTGGACAGTACAAAATGTATGCCACATGTATGGGACTCATGATTATGTGACTGGTTCATTCTACTGGTCATGTCTATACATCCTACTCCTCCTACTAGTAGTAGTACTACTACACTACAGCTATGTCCCTAGACCTACCTACCTCCCTACCTACACCTCTCCTACATACACAGCACCCCTAGTGTCCCCCGCTGTGGAGCTCCTCTTTTCCTCACCCCCTGAGGATCGCCGATTGGCCTAACCCGCATTGACACCTCCCAATCTGGTGAACAAGCGCTCCTTCAGAGGCCCGTTGGCCGAATCCTGCGAATATGCCCTCGACTCTACCCTTCCGTCCCTCTGCCAACTCCCTGGCGCCCCTCAAAACGGACGGCCTCCCCCGACTCTCCCCCGCCGCCTCGTCCGCGAATCTTTCGCCAAGCAGCTTCTCAATGCGCCGTTCCTCCACCGACAATGCCGTGGCGTCCTTCAAGCCGCGCCGCTGCAAGTCGCAGTACCCGCTCGACTCGTCCGAGCGCCATGTCGAATACATCCTCGTCGCCTCGTTTCATATCGACCGCGGCCCCATCATGGAGCACCAGTATCCGGCCCCCATCAGCGGGGACGAGAGCATGCTGGCTGAGCTGATGCTGCCGGATCAAACACATGTGCGCAGCCAGGATTGGACCATCTTCTTTCTGCACAAGGACAGCAGCGGCGACGACGACGAGTCCGAAAGCGGGAAAAAGAAGAAGAATCGCAAGTCTCAGAGATACCACGGGAATGAGGAGGGCGCCGATATTCAGCACGAAAGTCCGGACGAGGGGTCGGATGAGGCCGACAGCAGTGACGATGAAGAGGGAGGCGAGGGACCTCCCTTGATGTATGTCCTCAATCTGGTCAATACCAAGCAGGATCATACAGTGCGACGGTATGTCTTCCCATTTGTGCTTTATGAACTTACCCTGACGGATCGACAGAGGCGCCGTGGTCAAGGCGATGGCAATCTGCACACGGCATTCGTTTCTTCATATATACAAAGTATGTCTCTCTACCATTATCCACTCGCTCGATTGACTGACCAGGATGATTCTAGCCCCTACTACTTTTGGCGCTAGAAGATTATTTCAAGTCGCCCTACCCGGAGACACTGGCAACTCTCTACAACGCAGTTAACGCCATGGATCTCTCACTAATGCCGAAGCTGTCGATCTTGGAACGCCATATATTGCAGTCCAGCAACACCAAGGAGATGTTTATCGAGAAATTCGAGCAAATGATCCGTCAACGAGAGGAAGAAGAAGCCCAAGACGGCGACTCTCCGCCATCACCCAAAAAGGCCAGTCGCTATGCCCTTCCGAGGGACACCCACGAGTTCGAGTCAAAAGTAGCGTACAATGACATCCCCATCCCCGTCAAGATCCCGACGGTGATCTGGCCCGAGACCGTCGGCGACTTCTCTCTCATCAAGCTCATTCAGACCTTTGCCGGGCCCCATTCCGCCTCTCCTCAAGCGTTCCCAAATCACCCTCATTTGACCACGAGTGGGCCGTTCACACACCCAATAATTGTTCTAGTGAATGCTATCCTGACCCAGAAGCGAGTCATCTTCCTGGGACACAACCGTCCATCAGGGGAAGTGGCCGAGGCTGTTCTGGCGGCTTGCGCATTAGCATCTGGCGGGATCCTTCGTGGATTCACCCGGCATGCATTCCCATACACAGATCTGTCCAAGATCGATGACCTCCTCAACGTCCCCGGCTTTATTGCTGGTGTGACCAACCCGACATTCGCCAATCACCCAGAATGGTGGGACGTTCTCTGCGATCTGCCCACCGGCCGCATGAAGATTTCGAGCCATGTGGAGGCTGCACCGGTAACCGAAGGACTTCTCTTTTTCCAGCAACAAAACTCTCTCTTGCCAAGTCAGGCATCAAACGCAAATTCCGATCCGACGGGCGATAATCTGTTCATAGAGGATATCCTGCGCAGCATTAGCAACCGGCATGGCGAGAATGCCATCCGAGCCAAATGGCGAGCATACATCACCAAATTTACCCGTGTCGCTGCCGCTTTTGAGGAGACTGTCTACGGAGCCTCCAATCTCTACATCATCGGGCCCGGCGAGGAACTCTCTCCCGACAGTCCCACCGGTCATCAAACGGATGCCTCAGACCCGACATCTCTCCGCGGTCATGGATATGTATGGCCCGACGAAACGGCCAAACAGCGCGAGCTGTCCGCATCGGTATCACGTATCGAGGGCTGGCGCAACACAAGATCCTACTACTCTTTTATCCAAGACATTGCAGCTATGTACTTTCCCGCGCGCCCAATTCAACGCCCAGACCTGCACCACCACCACGACCGACTGCGATCTCTGAAACTGTCTCATTCAGAGGCGGCAGCTATCTACATCGCACTGGCCCACGCCGTCAAGGACTACAACGGAATCTGTCAGCTCCTGACTGTCGCACCAGAGAACCAGGCCGGACTGTTCTACCTGAGCATGGGTCTATTCCATCCCGACCAAGTCGTCCGCGAAGCCACCGTCGATCTGCTGGATCGTATCGCCGCGCACCCGGCCGGACGCCACTTCTGGGCCCATCTTGGCCGCTTCGCCAAGCTTGGTTATGCCCGTGTCAAGCGCGATCGTGACGCCGCCCAAAGCCCCACATCGGGCATTGGTCCAATTCCTACTTCTCCGTCGATGAGCAACCCCGGTGCTAGTTTCGGAGTCGAGCCGCAGAGTCTAGTGGGCGTTGCTTTGGGTGACGGGATGTCGAGACGGAGCTGATCTTGTGTCAGCACTTTCAGCGGATAGAGAGAGGAGAAGGTTAAAGAAAGGAGTAAATAGACGGACATTATTACCTGACAGTACGTGCTGCGAATCGTCTACCGTCCCTACGGCGGATGATAATGAACATAAGGCAAAAAGACCAATATGAGAATTCTGCTGGCAGAAAAACCAAATCTAGTTCTTCCTTCTTTTCACCTTAGCAAACATTGAAGCTTAGATCTACTCCTTTCTCTCCAGCTTAACCCTTGCCGCCGCAGGACTAACAGCAGTAGCCCCCCCATCGCCATCAACTTCAAACACAAACAGACAAGTCCCCTTCCCGCCATAATGTGTCGCATCCGTAACCAGCGAGTCGTTATTCGTCTTATACTGTCCAGTAAACGGGCCAATAGCTCCATCCTTCGCAGCACCCGGTCCAAAGTAGGAATTGGTCTGTTCCATCAACGAAGCTTGGAAGGCAACTTCTCCCTTTTCTCTGTCGGGCGTTTGCTTGAGGATACTGGGCAGGAGACGGGGCCTGAGGCCCAAGAAGAGATCTGAGTTCAACATATCGGTACCATTAGAAATCCATTCGGAGATACTGAGTCCAGAATTGGGTGTCGTGGTGGTGGATTTATTGAACGCGATTGTCATAGATGAATTGAGGCTTGGAACGGTGGATACATAGGTTCCGACATAGTTCTCCTGGGCTTCGATGGCAGCCTGGCACTCTATGGCTGAGATGATGGTGGTAGTAATGTAGTCTAAGACAATGTTGACGAGTTCACCGCGTTTTGTGGTAGAGCCGGCATTAATGATGCCTGAAGCCCGCTCCGTATTGGGGGACCAGCACGACATTGGATCCATAGAAACCGGCGTCGGATTTTTTTATGGCCAAGAACTATGTAGGCCCCCAGCTTCTACAGGATGGTAAGGCATTCGCGATCTCGGCGTTCTAATAGTATTAGAATAATTACAAGTTAGAACAGAATAGAATACCGTTGACTAGTAGGCACTGTGGTTGCGCCATTTGCGACATTGTGGCCACTCGATACCTCTTAGGCGCTCGGCTTACCGTATCAAAGTAGGACTTCAAGTACAAAGATCAGGTTACCAACGGAAGCCCCAGTGAATTTACATACTTCAATCTTCATCATCTAGAAGTCCTGCGCTAACCAGTTTAGGACGGTCTATATATAGCTAGCGCTGGGATCTGAGAATCTCAGCCCTCGAACCTTCCTTACTTCAGCGCTGATGCTGACAGTGAGATACAAAAAAAGCCCTTCAGGTCGAGAAGCCACTTTGTCACTACAATCTCGTACTCGCATTCTTTCTAAAACTGCGCTCTCAGAAACTACCAAATTCATTCTATGCTCCAAAAGCAATCACTACATGCAATGCGCTTCCTTAGCGACAACGTCGTCGTCGACCGGACAGACCAGATCCCTATGCAAGTTCTCTGCGCCGGTCTCCCTCGTTGCGCAACAAGCTCTATACAAGCCGCACTTGAGTCGCAAAGCATCGGTCTGACTCCTTGTATGCACTTTGCACACATCGCACCGCACGCCGATCGCGGGGACATCCTCCTAGCTGCACTGCGGGAGAATGACACGGCGCGGCGTCACAAGTTACTCCATAAACTGTTTGATGGTTTTCAGGCAACCACCGATTTCCCTGGCGCTATGCTCATGGATGATCTTATGGACATGTACCCGGACGCTAAGATCGTGCTGAACAAGCGGCCTGGTGGCGGCCGCCAGTGGGAGCAGTCAATGAAAGTGCTCTCCTTCGGAGGTTCACCGGTCTATTACGCTGTCTGTTTCTTATGGAAGACCGACCGTAACTTGTATGCCATATGGAACAATGTTATGGAACGCTGTCAGAGAAATCTGGGTCTAACTGCGAACGAGGTTTTGACAGCAAAGCATTATGATGCGCATAATGCGTGGATTCATGCCGAAGCAGCTAAACGTGGGCGGGATGTCTTTGAATTCGAGCCTGAAGATGGATGGGAATCTTTGTGCGCATTTATTGGCAAGGAAGCACCGAAAAACGAGCCTTTCCCTCGCCGTAACGATGCTTCTGAGGTTCGAATGATAGTGCGGATACTGTATGCTCGGGGTGTAATCTCCTGGCTTGCGCTAGGTGGGGTGGTGTTTGGCACAGTGAGATGGCTTGTGAAGGGAAAGTGATTCTAGTCCATGAGTGGAAATATTCTCTTTCTGTTATCAGTTTCATATAAGTCAAATTTATGAAGCAACTAAAACAGAAAGCAATATGACGTATCGAAACAGCTATCCCATGTAGTCTCCTTTGACGCCCAAAAATGCTTGAACACCGCTCTGGCCACTAGTGGTGCCGGTGTGCCTAGCTCCCAACTAACTTCTTCCAATTGCTTGTCAATCGAGCGTCGCGCTTCGGAACTCGCATAGGTAGCGTGCATGCCAGCCACGACAAGCGGCCACATCATGCATTTCTTGAGATGTGAGGTCAAGAAAGCTTTCTGTAGGAGGGTGAACAGACGCCGTTGATGGGCAGCTCTTTTTTGTTTCAATTCCGAGGTGGTCTGTAAAATAGATATGCTTTCCAATGCAGATATGCAGTACAGAGCTACAGCGGACTCGTATATGTTCCCAATTAAGAGCCATTGGTCGTAAGCGGAAGATTTAGATTCTGCCCATTCCGAAGAACAGAAAGACTCAATGTGTTGGAGGAGCGCCAGCGCAGAAGGTTGGGCCGATTCATCCAGTGCCATCCTTGCTGTCGGGAGTCGAAGTTGATTTATTCTCATAATGTCGAGGAATAGATATGGAGGGCAGGGAAGTCCAGGACAGAGACCCTCGCCATACACGTCGGCCACCAAATTAATAATGCTGGGCTCCGATGCTACCAGAATGGGACTGAATGCAGGGCTGGTGGTGTTCGCAACTACCCCAATTCTGAAAAGAGGTGAGCGCGGGAAATACTCGCAAAAGCCGTCTGCTGTCACGATATGGACTTACATGAGGAGACAAAGCAGACTCGGCTGTAAGGCTACCGAAGAGCGTGAAAGATGTTCGAAGCCCCCTTGAAGTTTTACCAACTCAATAGCGCCATGGAAATTGTGCTGCCAAGAAGACGGGAACAATCGAATCTGATTAAAAGAGCAAGTTATAGCAATACTTACCGACCTCGTCATATTGAATCAGAAGGTGCTTACCTCGCTAATAAGAAATATAAGAATGCTTGCTATAACAATTTCATTGCTTCCGGTCTTCACATTACCAATGTCGTCAGAAAGCGCTTTGATAGCAAGTCCGCGGTGATAGAAGATACGCGGTGGTAGTTTAGACTCAATATAGTCTTCCTTTGGAGAAGTGCGTCGAGCATGATGAGTTAAAACGAGGCAGGCCAATGAATGGCGCAGGGCTATTGGCAGGAGATGCAAGACCTCAAGTGGAAATGGTGCGAGATACGGATTTGGCGATGACTGTTGCATCCTAGCATATTCAGGGTACCATTGCGAATTGTCTAACGCATCCTGTGAGGGAAGGGCTTCTCTATTGGCGCAGATAAAACCTACAGTATAGTGCAGCTTCCACGATGGCGCTATCATCAGGTTTTATCTCACCCAAGGAAGAATCTATTTTCAGTAATTGGTTGTGACCCTCGCGAGCTTTAGCCTTCTCTGTTGTATTTTCAGTAGTGGTTGTATAACACCAGCGACTGCGACTTGTGCAACGTTGCTGGCGCTGGGTTAAGCGCCTGGTCGTACTTGGGGTGAGCCACCTAAGCGGCTCCTTGGCCCCATATCCAGGACAGCTCTTTCCAGCTGCAGAACATTTCTTGCAAAATGGCAATGAGGAGTCGCAAACCAGGCGGCGCCGAAAGCATTCCCAGCACTGGCGTTTCGGCATCGCAGAATTGAGTATAGGATGGCTTCGTTACATTCGAGTGAAAATGAACTGTCTGCAAAAGGGAATGGAATAAGCTAGTACGTATTAAGATTGCCACCGATGAGGTCTGCGGGCCAAAAGCGGGCGGCGCAGTTCTTGGCCATAAAAATATCCTGATTAGGAAAGGATCGTTAAATGGATCGGGGATCTAGTAGTTGGTTGGCCAGTCATGCACTCGTATAAAGATGGAAAACTACCAAGACCACGATAGTTGGGATTTCTGCTAAGAACAGCCATGTTTGACGTCAGACTCTGAGGCTTTGTTTACTCATTATAAGAACATCCGAAACCCAAGTGATCTTTCTTTTAGGACTCATAACTCAACGGCTTCATTCTCCCAAGTAACGACCCATTATCCCTCCTTTAATAATCAAGTACATTGATTTCCACCATGGCGCTCCAACCAAATCCGTTCGGGAAAGAATACTTATGTCAAAAGTCGACAGCCCTACAGGTCAAACAGAAATACTGGTCCTGCGTCAAGAACACAGGCCGCGGATTCTGCATTACTTTTCCCTATGATGATTCGCCATCCTTTACTATTGGCACAAAGAAGATGGGAAAGCATCGCACCTTTCAAGACGAATACGGTCGGATACTCTGTTGCTTGGAGCGCAACTTCCTTTCAAAGGAACACGCCTGGATCCTCACACGCGGCAGTGAACGGTTGCTGACAGTCCACTACCGTTGCCTCCCTTGGAAGATGACCATCAAAATGGAGGGCTCAGCTGATCAAGAAATGTCGAAGGTCCTTGAAGTCAAGTGTTTGGATACCTGGTGCAGTGGCTTCGTCGTTAAGCTGGGTGACTGGACAATCATGAGACTGCATTGCATCAATATGATGAACAATATGCTTAGCTCTTTCAAGGTCACACCGCCTGTTTGGGACGTGGATGTCGTGGAAGGCACCGACCTTCTTCTGGTAAGTGTTTCAGACTCTTGAAAGTGCCTCGACTAAAGGGATTACCAAGGCATCTGTCCTCTCAGTTATCATCTCTGATGCTTATTCCGAAATGCATCTCTACATGCTGTGAATCTTGAGCGATATTTTGTCGACCCGGTTCCCTTTTTGTTTTTCTGCTCGTGTGGTTGGTCTGACTGAGTTTTTCATAAGTTCTGACTTTCATTTTGAAATGCCAACTGGCGCTAAAATCTCGACGCTAAGTATTGATCGAGATAGCTCGAGATGTTCTTCGAGATGCCCGAATGCCTAAGCACAATCAATCTGATAACGACTTGGTTCTTCTGCTACTCTATCCATATGTACGTGAATGTGCATATAAAGCCCATACATATCATTAGTCCTGGCATCTAGCAGAATACGTGATTTTAAGTTGAATTGGTGATGAACTGGTATAGAAAGCCGAGTACTATTTAAGTACAGAATCCAACATGTGAAAAGAGAAAGAAGAACAAAGAGGAATTGGCACACTCTTCGCTGTCGTGATGCGTGACCAGAACTCCGTTGACCAGAAATTATCCAAGGGAGAAGGGGAGATGTAAATAAAAGATATGAGGTGACATCGTATATATGCAGAAATTTTATAAAGCATTGAAAGCATCCACCGAGTCGGAATGACGATCAGACAAGACCGATAAACGAACCACAGAGGAAAACGGCCACAAGGAGGGTCGTAGGTAGAGAGGCCGAAAGACCAACACCAGCATTCACTTTATCAGCGCCGACGGTAATATTCGTAGGAACGAAGCCAGCACCACACTGCCCATTAAGTGCGCGAGCAGAGGGAAGATATGACTTATCGAGTGGCTGATCATCATGCGTAGCCCAGCTTGCAAAGAGACCCATCGTAGCCTGGAGACACTGGTTGCAGGTCACCAAGCCATGCGAGCCGAGAGTCTCGCCCAGCGGAACAAAGTATGTATTGTAGTCTGCCGGCGCCGAGGCGTTTTTGACCGCATCAACGAAACAGTAGTTCTGTGTCACCGGGTTGGTAAGGCAAGTCGCGTGATAGAGAGGTTCATAGGCGACCATGTCATCGTATGCACCTTGGACGACGGAGTTTCCTTGGGAGTAATCCGGGCCGCAATTCTCATCTTTGAGCATATCGTTCGCCAGAGAGGACAGGATGTCTGCGCATCGAGTGACGGGGGCGTTGCAGGCGATGTCGAGCACATGCGACGTCTCAGTGGCGGACGAGAGGATATGGAAAAAGGAAACGGAGTTCTCCAGCAGCAGCGAGACGGCGTGGCAGTCCATTATTGTGGAATTAGCGAGGAAATTCGCGAAGAAAGCGGAGCAGCTGGCGTTGGCGAAGGTGTTGGCCAGGGTGTCGAACGGGGTAGGGAATACAAAACTCTCCGTTGATTTGGAGACAACTGAGATCGATGTGGATGTTGATGTGGAATTGGATGTAGGATTGGACGCATTGGACGATGCACTATTGGATGCTTGGGACTGCGAGACGTCCTTGTGCTCATCCTTGGGTGCCAGCCGATCGGGCGATAGCGATGATCGCTGATGATCGGCGGTGGGCTCTCCACTCTGTTGAGAAGTAGATCGCGCGAAATGTGCAAGTCGGCCAGGTTCGATGGGTTTGACGGGTTCGATGAGTGCGGAAACCGGCGCGACGCAGAGAATTATGATTAGAATTAGGAGGGTCTGGTAGAGTAGCCCCCGGGATGAGAATTGTGAGCGACATACTCGGCGAGAGGATGGGCTGTGGATCGAAGATGAAGATGAAGATGGTAGTAAAGAGTCGAAAACAGAAAAGGAGCGTGTGCCTCGATTGCCGGAGCAATGGACTGAGGCCATGGCGAAGCAGGGCCAGGCTAGGAACGAGCGACGGTGCTGCCGACGGGCTGTGAGAGTCAGGATCCTCTTGGAGTAGAGGTTATTCCGACATTGCAGACCTCTATCCCCGGCGTAACTCGGGGTGAGTGACCGGCGCAGCTGTACAGCACTTGACGGGAACACGAGGGAGGAAATAAGCAGAAGAAGACCTGGTCAGCAATGGGGCGCGTCCAGACCAGGGCCGAGACACCCAGTGCCCAAGGACGCTAGCCCTAACACAGTTTGGTCTCTCGTTCAGGGGCCAACGGGTGCATCGTGCGATAACGGTCGAGACTGGCCGATCGAGCAGAGTTGATCGCCAGGGTTTCATTGGGGGCTACATGGGCAGTCCTCGGACTATTCTCAGCAACACATCCTAATGACTGTCAACAGGAAAGTCTCTAGTAGTTCCTGAACACCAAGATGTCTACTATTTCGTAGTAGGATCTAGATAGAACCATTCTTACGTAACTCCACCCCTCGGGATGACTTCGTCCCCCACATTTTTTTGCCCGCCAACATCATCCAAGAATTATCATGTCCGACTCGCTCGTGCCCGACACCCGGGTGCTTGCAGTTGCCAGCCATGTATGGGATGCTTGCCACCGTCGTCGCGAGTCAATGGCTAACTTTCAATAGGTTGTCTATGGGTATGTGACCCCACGGAAGTAGGCGGGGGTGACCACTGACACCGCCAGACATGTCGGCAACTCCATGGCGACCTTCGTGATGCAGTCCCTGGGCTGCGAGGTCGCTGCCATAAACACCGTCCATTTCAGTATGTTCCGTGTGCGCCAGAGAGGGACTCCGAAAACTAATCATCCTCCAGGCAACCACACGGGATACCGCCAGTTCAAGGGCACACGGGCCACCGCGGCCGAGATTACGGATCTCTACGCCGGCCTGTGCCAGAGTAACCTAACCGATTTCGACGTGATGCTGTCGGGATATGCACCTAGCGCGGCCGCGGTGGAAGCAGTCGGCGCCATTGGCATCGATCTGCAGCAAAAGGCCAAGCAGAAGCCCGGATCCTTCTTCTGGGGTGAGTCGGAACACACTTCATGGTCCATAGCAATTCGCTGATGGCGTCGCATAGTGCTGGACCCCGTGATGGGCGACCAGGGCCGGTTGTATGTCAGTGATGATGTAGTCCCGGCCTACAAGCAGGTCATCAAGCATGCAGATCTCATCCTTCCCAACCAATTCGAGGCAGAGTGAGTAGGGTCGGATGTTTACAAGCAAGCACTATTAACGAAGATCCAGAGTCCTCTCCGGTGTGAAGATCACCTCCCTGGCCACTCTGGCCGAGGCCATCACCGCCATCCACCGCATCTACTCTGTACCCCATGTCATCATCACCTCCGTCCAGCTCTTCAAGCTCTCACAGTCCGGATCCACGCCGAGTCCACCAGAGAATTTCCTCACCGTGATCGGATCCACAACGCGCTCCAATGGCTCCCCACGTCTCTTCCGCATCGACGTCCCCGCCCTGGACTGCTTCTTCAGCGGCACGGGCGACATGTTCGCCGCCCTGATGGTCGCACGACTGCGTGAGGCCGTCACCGCCGCCGGCGATCGCGTCCGCACCGCCCCATCCTGGGTATCCCCCGACACCGTGCCGGCCACGGATCTGCCCCTGGCGCATGCCACCGTCAAGGTGTTGGCAAGCATGCACAGCGTGCTCGAGCGGACGCTGCAGGCGCGCAATGCCGAGTTGGTCGCATCCGCACCGCAAAATGGCGCGGGGAGCCCCGACGAAGCGAAGCAGGAGCATCTGCGTCGAACCAAAGCGGCAGAGGTCCGGCTGGTCCGGAACGCACAGTTCCTGCGCGACCCGCAGGTGGGGTTTGCGGTGCAGGAATGGAGCAAGGAAGACTTGCCGGCCCAGCTGCAATAAATGAGTAGTGGACATGCCCCGTGTATTTTGGATTGCCCCTTGGGGACGAATAAACATAGACGAGACATGATGGATGAGTTGAGGGCATGTTGGGTGTGGCATCACTGTATATAGAAACCAATCCCTAGATCAAGATCAAGACCAAAAAAGACACCATAACCTCTTTTCATTGGTGAATCTCACTCTTTAATTCGTTATGCCCGAAAACCTTCTAAGTAACGCAAATAATCCGCCAATCTGATCCCAATGTTTTTGTAGTTGTCATGTCTACGCGCCCGTGCTGCCGAAGCCACCGGCACCACGCACGCTCTCTTCCAACTCCTCGACGACGGCCACTTCCGGGGTGTAGATCTAGAAAGAAAGAATGTCAAAGACAGGCCAATCCATCAACCAAGGACTACTCACTCTTTCCAGAACCAGCTGGGCGACCCGATCACCTTCCTTGACTATACCCACATGTCAGAAAATTCAAGCTCAGGCCCGGTCGGTTGTACATACCAGGGAAATCGACTTCAGAGTGGTTAAACAGAAGCACCTTGACTTCTCCGCGATAATCGGCATCAATAACTCCGGCCCCGGTGTCAATGAAGTGCTTCGAAGCAAGACCACTGCGGGGTGCGACGCGGCCGTCTATGATGAGGTGCAATGATTAGCCCATCCCCCTCTTAATCCCAATGGTTCTCAAACGTACAAGTCCCCTCCGGCACAGCAATGGCTATCCCCGTATCGACCATGGCCTTGCCCTTGGCGGGAATAACGATTTCCTTGGCCGCGTAAAGATCGTACCCCGCGGCAAAGGCCGAGCCCCGCGTCGGGGCGCGCGCAGAGTCAACTAGCTTCTTGACCAGCAGGGGGGGCAGAGGCTGCTGGATGGAGGTGACAGCAGGCGCGTTGGTCATGGTGTCGGCGGTCTTGGTTCGTTTCGCGAGTGGTGAGGCGGGGAGCGAGGGGGGTTCGCGAGTTGTACCAGCAGTGGTGGTGATGGAAGTGGCAGGGGGAGGAGTGGTCTCTTTGTTGGTCATGATACGACCTATGGAGGATTAAGAAAAAGTGGTGGTTAGGTGGTGGAATTGGGTTGACTGATCAATCAATAAATACGGTCATCCCTTCCTTGAGAAATGCTTGGGACGCGACGTTTGCACTGTTTGCACCATCTCTTTCTCTCTCCCCACACTTTCCTGGCCGAGGTTGTAGAGCCTCGGCTCCGCGGTTGTTCCTTTTCCGCATATATCATACATTCTCCTCCCCAGATAGAACTCTTGATTGTCTTTCCATCTTACCAATTAAACTGCAATCATGGCGGGTGCTGTGCGCCAGCCTATCGACATCCCCTCCCTAGAACGGTTTATCGACCAGAATGTCCCCGAGATTAAGACCCCGTTGGATGTGAAGCAGGTGCGTCGGCTAAACCCCCAGTTCCTGCTCCCAACTAACCTTGACCAGTTCGGTTTCGGTCAATCCAACCCGACCTACCAACTCTCCACCGCCGATGGCAAGAAGTTCGTTCTCCGCAAGAAACCCCCCGGCAAGCTGCTGTCCAAGACGGCCCACCAGGTGGAGCGCGAGTATAAGATCATCCATGCCTTGGGACCGACCGATGTGCCTGTCCCGCAAGCACACTGTCTCTGCGAGGATAGCAGTGTGATCGGCACGCCCTTTTACATTATGGAGTTCCTGGACGGACGTCACTTCACAGACCCAGCGATGCCGGGGGTGAGTGCGGAGGAGAGAAATGCTCTGTAAGGGACCGACGAAGCTTATGCGCCCGATCTACGCTGACCTCGTTTAGGTGGAAGGATGCACTGCACACGCTGGCCAAGTTCCACCGAGTGGTCCCCAAGGACGTCGGACTGGAAAGGTTCGGCAAGCCCACGGGGTTCTATGATCGACAGATTGCAACTTTCTCGAGAATCTCCCAGGCGCAGGCTCAGGCCGTCGATGTAGAGACCAAGGAGCCCGTAGGCGAACTGCCGTATTTTGAAGATATGGTGCGCTTCTTCTCCAACAAGTCCACGCAGCCGCGTGATCGCGGCACCCTAGTGCACGGCGACTACAAGATCGACAACGTGATCTTCCACAAAACAGAGCCGCGCGTGATTGGCATTCTGGACTGGGAAATGGCCACCGTTGGACACCCGCTGTCGGACGTCTGCAACCTCACCAGCCCTTACATCATCGAGACGACCGAGCATGACTCCAACGTGTTCAAAGCCGGCCAGACAGCAGGCTTGCCCACACGCGAGGACTGCATCCGCTGGTACAGCGAGGTGGCTGGGTGGAACCCCGCCGAGGAGCTTCTTTGGGGAGATGCGTTCTTCACGTTCCGGAGTTCGGTCATTATGCAGGGTATTGCTGCCCGGTATGCCTTGCGTCAGGCTAGCAGCGCGCGGGCCGGGGAGTACGCCAAGAAGACGAAGCCTTTTGCATTAAGTGCGTGGGACCGGGTTAGACAGTTGCAAGGAGGGCAGCAGAAGGGTAAACTGTAGAAATTTAGGCCCCCTGTACATACTGAAGCGCGATGCACACCTGTGTTGCGTTGTGCGTCCTATGTTGATAACGAGAAATTATATTCATCAATATTAGCGACTCCGTCTCTCTGGTCTAGGATATCTAGAAGATCTATCATCTACCTATAAACGACAACAGGCATCCGACTTTGGGGGATCCTTAACTAACACACTCTGGTTTCGCGCTTGAGTCGAAGGAGCCACGTCCAGACTGGGATTCCCTGTGAAGAAATTGATCGGCTTCAGACCAACAACCATCTTCTCCGAAGGCATAACCGGCCAATCCTCGATCCGGGGGTTATGCGTCGACCCAAATGTGTGCCAAATCACAATATCCTTATTGCGTACCGATGTCTCGCTCGTAGAGTCATGCTTGCGCTGCTCAATCACTGAGCGAATCCCCTCACCACCAAGAGACTGCATCGTATAACGACCCGCTGGGTACAGTTCATCCTCAACGTAGCGCGTAACCCAGATAGCATGACTGGCATACTCGGATCGTTTGGCATGGAAGGACTCCGGATGGGCTAGGAGCATCTGGCTGTAGCAAGGGGAGATCTTAAATCCCACAGGCGTTCCCGTAATCGGATTAGTCTTCTTCTCATTGATTATCTTGAAGGTCCGGTTCGTTGTGAAGTCGAGGTCCAGCCCGCCTTCTTCGGTCACGATCTGGGAACGTGTGGTATACCCAACGCCAAAGGGATTGTGAACCTCGGGGTTGCCGACAGGCATCATATGAGACTCTTCCACCTGCAGGGAGTTTTCGGTCCCCTCGATCGAGGGATCGATGCGAAGAGAGAAGAGGTGTTGATGGTACGGCGCAAGGACTCCCGGTGCGACGATGGTGCCGTAACTGACTTCATCACCGATATCGATGGGGCAGGTTGACAGGATGCCCGTCGCACGCACTTCATAATGGATGGACGCATCCTGACCAAATTGGAAGGCAAAGATATACTCGTAGTTGCTAACCGTGATGATCGTCTGGAGGACAAGAATCCGCGAGCGAGTCACGACTGCATTCTGCGTGCGGAAATTGGTATGTTTCCAGAGAATTCCGTCGTCCTGCTCATGGCAGCAGATCACATTGGGCAGCTTGACCGGCTCTCCAGAGGCGGTGTTGTGCCATGCGTCAAAGTATTTGATCAGGCCGAGACAATCACAGCCAAGACGCAGATTGTTCGCATTGATTCCGGCGCCATCGTTACCCAAATCAAAAGCTGCTTTCCTCGGGAACGGAGACCGTGGATCGCCGTAGGGCACAAACATCTCGGCCAGAGATAGACGGTAGAAGAGACTGCGCCCATCGTACCGGATATCGTGCAGAGTCAGACCCTCGCGGTAGTTAAAGCCCACGCGCATCGTCCATTTCTCCCAGCTCAGCAGATTCCCGTCTGTTTTGAACGAGGGGCCTTCTGGCTGGACGACGTGGTATGGTTTTGTAGTTGTCCGCGGTGATGGGCGCAGACTAGGATGATACTCGCTCCGCTCGGTAGGATGGACTTTGCGCTGGTCATATGGTCGTGCGTCTTGTCGAATGCCCTCATTTTCAGATGAGGGCAAATGGTAGATCTTGGTCACTGCTAAGGACTCGGATACTTCTGCACATATATCTAAGGGGTAGGCATAATAGTTTGCGTCCGGGTTGTCAAGTAGACGCATATAAAACCAGCACTAAGCAACCGGCTCTATCAGCCTTGCGACAAACTTGGGGATGGGAGGGCGTTTGATTAATGTACTGACCATCGTAGTACGTTCAGTCATATCGTTCATTCCATCAGTGGCATAAGCCCATGGTTCAATGACGACCGAGGCGCCAGCGGGTAGCTTCAATTTTTGGATCTCTGCTCGGATTCTTGGGTCTGCCCTGCAGGCCTTCTCGACAGCTTGCATGTATGCAGAGTCAATATAAGGGTGTTTTCCCATGAGATGCTCCTGCTTTATTACACCCTGGGCCTCCAGATCGACCAGAAGCTCGATTAATTTGCCTGATCCCGATCCAGTACCGATGGTGACTTGAACGCGTGCAATCCGAACAGGACGTAGACTTTGAGGCTGTCCTAGATGCTCTTTCTCTAGGAAAGACACCATCTCATGCTTGGGTGGCTCTTTGAGGGTGATGACTCGGAAATTGGGAGTGTGACTATTCAATGCCCCTCGCACAATTTGCGCAGCCTGTCGTGTGAGTGTTAGCATTCGCCTCGGTTTTGTCAACGAGATTATTACCTTGGCAATTTCTCTTGGGGTCAAGGGATCGAAAGGGTGCATGTTTGGCATGATGAAGGTGATTTCCAAAGTGAGGTAGAGAGGGGGGAGAGTAGACTAAAGGTCGAGAAAAAATTGGGACTTAAATGTTAGCAAGAATGAGAGATGCAATGGGAGCTTATATATAGATAATCGATTACTGTCAAAGAAAACGATCTAGGTGACCCAAAAAGATCGACTGGTGGAAGATAACCGCTAACATATAAGAATAAGCGGGCAAGGGGTCTTGGCTTCGCGTGGCGATGCGGGATATTCGCTAAGGTATAAGTATAGCCGGGTATTCTCCACATGGGTCGTAAGTCACAGATACGAGGTCAATTCCTCCCTGCATCCAGGAGTAGCGCATAATTGGACAAGCAAAAAAAAGGGTCCACCAATTACTACGAATAGAATATGAATGACCGCCTTGAGGCCAGAAAGAGCCGCCTTTCCATCCCTAAGTTCAGCGGCGAGCCGCCGCCGCTTGACCGCCCACTACCCATTTACCACCGCTATTCCGCACCCGCCCAGCACTGGTCAGATGTTGGCGCTTGACTTCTTCAGGTTGTTCTCCCCTTGCTACTGGCGATAATCATCTATGTAAGCAGTAGCTTCTTCCGGTCCTCATGAAGCTTCTCTAGAAACTCAAACGCAATCTCAACCATGGATGATGGAACATGGTCCCTGAACAGCTCATGTCGCGTCTGTACTATCGAGCCCGGCACATAGTCGTGGGAATGATCACGGTTTCGGAGCCAGCCAGGCCTTCATCCATGAGACGCCAGTCCCATTCCTCCATTGGCTCTCTCGGTCGCCTCCCCCTTGAGATATTGCACTTGTCTCTCAATCTTCTAGATTTTCAATCTTTATTATGTTTTTCACGCACGTCCTTATTAGGCAAAGGCATTGTCAAGACTTTGCCATCATATCGCGACCTAATGCAATATGCGCCTCACGCAATGAAAGCTCTAGGCCAAACTGGCCTTCATCATGTTCACCCAGCTAGGACTATTTATTCAGACTATGCAGTCTGAGGCATGTATCTATTCAGGTGGCTTCGCAGGGCACATTTGCAGACAGTATTCGCAGGGCACCTCTGCAGACAGTAAATCAAGACTTGTCAACAGTGCCAGACGAGCAGAACATGTCGAATGATAATTATGAGGGAATGGGATCTATACCATTTCCTTCCCTATCTTCTACCCAAGGTATTGATCATGCATTCTGGTGCTCTGGGTGCGAATGGATGTTCAAGCAATGGGAATCTGGAAATTTTGGATCTGTGGTTGCTGCCGATATAGCAACTGTGGGAATCCAACCTATTTCGGGTCCATTTTGCTCGACAGAATTGCATTCGATCTAAGTCTGGGTTCCTGCAGCATGTACATGACTGTTTTGGTGCGCAGGAACTGATTGCAAATTGGCCGACAAGGCCTCGTACAGACCAACAATAACAACCCCTCTAACTCTGCAACACTAGCATAATAACAAACTGTGCGTAAAATCAAAAAATAAACTCACTCTACTGAGCATGTAATAAAAATTGTCGTCGTCGATGTACGAGATGAAGCTATTTTTGGCAAAGCAATGAAATAGCCATAAGAAGATCCCAGCAACCGGTTTCCTTGGCCATTGTATTCAATTGTCTTAGCGGTTTCATCTGAGGAACCAGAAATGGTTGTAGTTGCTTGTGAAGTGATAGTTGTTGATATCATCGGACACAGATGGTCCATACCGTGGTTCCCTAGCTAATTTGTGACTCTTATCCTGCTCCTTGAACCATTGCTCGTAACCAATTTCTGGTCTCTACCGGTTGGCTTCGCATTTCGCCTGCAGTTTTTGTTGAAGAGCTCTGTATTCAGGGAATCAATGTTTGATAGGAGGTAGTATTATATTTTCCAACAGTAACATCATGAGATAGGTTCTGGGGCTCACACCAACTTTATGAGATAACTCACGAGATATGGCATGTGCAAGGCATAACTAGCCAATAAATGTTCGTCTCGTTGGGGGTGGTTGGGGGCGAAACCCAAAGGGAGTGCTTCGAGGCATACACATCCATATTGTATTGGATGGTTTACATAGTGATCTACACACTGCCAAGCCAAGTGTATTTTTATGCATCTTGCGCTCAGGGAGAATCCTCGCTCTGACCAAAGACCGTACTTGATTTACGATTGGTTCAGCTGGTAATTTGACTGGCTCGGTAGTCCATCCGCAAGTGCTCAATTGCCTATTCTGGTAGCCGGCGGCCGCACGGTTTAGACATAGTGACCAATATTAAATTTTATCAGGCTGTATACGGTTAGAAACATGAACGCTATCAATTCGGATACGTGGGCTGTGGTGAAGCTGAAATGCAAGAGGCGGCGTTGCCTGTAGAAGTGCATCCTCAACGTACAGGAACTAGGTAAAAGCATGCCTTGAGAATGATTATACGTAGGATGCTTTCTAGCGTCCTCCGAACAAGCTTCTGACGAGGTAGTTAGCTAGCGCATTTACGGAGGCTAAGGAAAATCTCTTTCGGCAACGCATAGTCAAAGTCTGTATGATTCCGATAAACGACAAGTAATATTCGCAGGGCGGTATCCCCCTTGTTCCTGTAGATCAGGGTTCGTGCATCTGAAGCTATCGCGTTATCTTTTTGCACTTTTCTGATAAACGATAAATGCGTGAGCGAACGGTCGAGACTCGCTATGGCAGTGCTGATCTGCTTCGCTAGTGCCCTACGCGCCCCTTTTTTTTTTTGGCGCCACCACGTCCAGAAACCGTCAATCTTGTCCACTCTTAGGGGAGACTATGTGGCCCAAATAGGAGAGGCCTGAGAGATGCCAGCAGATTTCAATCATTCATGGCGTACCGCGTTGTGACCAATCATTAGGGAGAGCTTCGCGCTGGCATAAGCAGTGGCACTATCCTTAGCAAGTGTTTCAGGCCACCCGACATGACTTTGAAACCATCAAAAGAACCAGATAATTCTAACTTTAGGCGTCGCTATTGAACTCCATAAAATATTATCATACATGAGATCTGGAAGGCCACTATGGAGTAAAACAATGTCATTATTTAATGCTGTGATCAGGTGGGAAATAATGCGAAAGTGCATGGCGGCTCCAACTTGGGGGGTGGGGTAGACGCTAGTATAGAATACAACAGGCTAGTAATATTGCCTTCGTGCTTGCCTCCGACTCGGAGTTTCTAGTGTGGGATTTTCCTTTATCTTACCCGTTAGAACCATAATAATACATAAACCAAAACTTACCCCTTTCCGTGGGTGACTGTTTTTCCAACTTGCATATTTTGTCCTTAACCACCTGCTGTGCTGGCCCGAGGCGGGCACACTCCCTGACACTGGCAGTATTCTTGTCTACCGTCGCCTTATAACTATCTTTCGAATCCTGCGGTTTCCGAAGTCGGCTAGTCGATTCATATATGACCGCGCTCGATGGCGGATTTGGGTAGCCCGTTTGGGCTTGCGCTTCGCAGAAGTGGCGGCTGCTTAAGCACCGAAACCGACTGTGGTCAAACGTGGGCTCCCTTTCACGCCTGTTGTCCAGGAGGCACATTTTGCCCGGCAGGTCAAGACAATGTGCATTGCTGCCCGTCCGAGGCAAACTGCGACCAATTAATTAATAAACACTGTGCAAATGCCACTGCGAATGTCTATCACGCCGCTGGATATTTTTGCTGTGCTGAGGGTCAGCATGCTTTCGAGAGACCGGATACATTTGTCGGCTGTACAGATGACATTGTCGATTTGGGTCAGAGCATGACTCTATTGTCAATTGCATATTACGGCTCAAGTAAGTATCTGTCTGGATCTTTTCCTATCCCGCATATTCCCTTGCTAACATGTGCTGTTCACAGCTTCCACTCCAACTACCACCTCAACAACTACCACGACAACACTGAGTAACTCCGACGCCACAACAACGTCCGATACATCCACATCCTCCACCACAAAGAATGTACCTCCTGCCCAACAGACCCCCGCTCCTGATACTATAAAATCGACATCCTCGTCCTCTTCGTCCCATACTGGTGCAATTGTCGGTGGGGTCATTGGCGGAGTAGCCGCGGTAGTCATCGTGGCTGGGCTGATCTGGTTCTTCATGCGCCGCAATCGGGGGCGGCGGCAGCAGCGGAAGGAAGAACCCGTCATGATCGGCTCTGGAATGCCAGAGATGAGGAGGGCACCGGTAGAACTTGATGCCCAACCAAGACATGAATTGGAATCACCTATGGTGGCAAAATAGTGAGCTGTTTTCAGGGTCCAATTTACCCGTCAGAGCCTGGTTGCTTATTATATTATATCTCTATCTATGACGGACTTTTTGAATGGACAGATTGGTCAAACCCTTGGAATCGCATTTTGTGACGACCTTGCGGCTTCGTTTGAGCAACTATTTGTGTTTTCCATGTCATTTAATATGTTTGGGATGAAAACTCCCCTTACGCTATTTCTAAATTCAGGACAATCATAAACACAAATCATCTTACTCAGCTCTAGCTTCTACAACGCTTAACATCTTCTTTCCGGCACGGAGGGTGTTCCGATGACTCGTTCGAGTCGGTCGATAGTGCTGATCAGTTTAGTCCTAGTAAAAGAGTGATATCAAACTAATAACATCGAAAGGAAAGCTAACTGGACTCGAAGAAGTCCCCGGCCCCTATCAGTGATGAAAACTAGCATTCTGCACTTTATCTATGATTAGATTTGAACGCCGATTTTAGCCTGAGCCAGATATTCCCAACTAGTGTTCTTTGGTCGCAAGGTAATATCACCACTTCTCAGAATCTGGCGCCCGACGTAATAGAGATCGTTAGCAATTCGACCAAACGTTCGCAAATGAAGTAATGTAGATGCCTTGCGCCCTGCGCCCTACGACGATGTACGTTGCCGTAAACCGACCTGCAGCAAATATTGTGATGGCTACCGAGAATGAACCGTGAACATTGTATGAGGGGACAAATTTTTCTACTGGCTAAGGATCATTGCAAGCCAGTGGGCACCATAAGATGTAATTATGCATCACCAAGTCATGATCTTCGCTTCGCTCAGTCTCCTGAAGCTAGAGGACGTTCTCCTCCTCTGCCCCTCGGGACATATGCGCGAAAGCTCACGGAGTTCAAACATTGTATCGTGGCAGTTGCAAAGTCCAAACCCCTCTGAAGCACCGTGCTATTTATCAGTAGAATCACTAGTAGTCCGTACTAGTTACTGAACAGGAGGGGATGAAGCGTAGATATCGGCCGCGCTCCCCGTAGACCGGGGAAATAGTGAGTAGGCCGACTGGCTAAGCAAATAAACCCCGGCAAAGACACATTCACTTAAAATAGACGTAAATCCCTAGCGAGACAATGTACATGATTCTATTATTATGCCAGGGTTGGGAGCCAATAATTTCCTGAGCCGCATTTACTACAATAAGTGTTTGGCTAGGCGCCCGTCTGACCCCTCTCATCGTTAGTGGCATTCTCGCGGGGTTGGTGACCTCATCATGTAGCAGATTGATGAGACGATCTAGAGTGGACTGACGTAGAGACGATCCTTCGGGTTGAGCAAGGCGACCCTCTCGCATAGGTGGCCCCATTCGCACTGACGAGTAACATCACGGCCTGCACGGATCAGCACGGAAGAGCCAATCGGGCCCTTTTGCAAATTCGTTCGTAGTCAAGCATTGCGACAATGAGGAGGAAAGGCACGGACATCTCGCCACCAGCGGCATCATTGGCCGGGTTTGACGGGAGGGAGGGTCCTAGGAAGGATGAGGATGAGGCTGGTTGGCCTTGCGGCTCTACGGGAACATGAGGCTCAGGATGTGAAGAATCCACCTGGGCGCAGGCAGCGAGAAAAAAATAAAGAATAGGAATGAACAAGACTATGTGTCGGGGCGGGCCGCGTACTGTGCCTCTGGGAATCTTGGCGGGCGAGCTCGACTAGCCAGCCACGCTGCCGCCCGGGAATAAGTGAAACATAGGTGACGCCGCACACGGAATTGCCTCGTTTCGCGAGGCGCGAGGCTGGCTGGAACAGAGTTTCGTCAGGTCGAGGCTGGGAGCCTCGAGCTGTGACCATCCACAAGACCGGAGGAAACCACGGAGAAAATAGACGGTGGAGCCCAAGTCGCGCATGTTCCCTACCCTGGTTACAAGCCGGGGAGGGGGGTGGATTAGGCGTGTTTTGCTGGTGCGAGTCAGGGCGAGCGACGGACCCCCGGTTGAAGACTCCGAAGGTGGAGCCTTCCCGAGGCGCGCAGAAGAAGCGGTGGGAAAATGGCAGGGGGCCAATCCTGGGAGGGGGAGGGGGTGGAGAGAGGCTTGCTTCTGGTGATGAAGGGAGAGAGGGAAGGAATTGTCGTGAGGTGAGGAGAAGGAAGATGGCCGACTTAATAGCTGATGAAGAAGAGATCACGTTCTCGCTCTCAGCCTCTTTATGGTGGAGCCATAATCGCCCGTGCCCACACTAGAGCCTCACTTTCCCCCCCAATCCCTCCCCCTCTCTCTCTTTCTCTCTCTCCCTTCCTTCCTTCCCTCCCTCAACTCAACTCAACTCAACTGCTGGTCAGCTTCGACGCTCACTTCTCGCTCTACATTCCCCCTCCCCAACACTAGGTCTCTTACTTGACTGCTTTGCACCCGCGGGACAACAACAGCATCTCGCCGCCGGCTGATGCATTAACCCGGTGACCGCCCCCTCTCACTCACCCTTCGTATTCCCGAGCAGCCGCGACAACCACCTTCTAGCGCTGTCCTTGCAACGGGTTTCAAGCTATCTCCTATCGCAGTCGCATGCAGATGGCGTTGCGGTCGTGATCTGCTGCTTCCGTTGAGCCTCATCAGAGCCGCTCACGCCTTCCCCGGTAAGCTCCCACGTTTTCTGATGCATCAAATCCCATGAATGCGCCGCCTCCTGCAAATTGGACCAGTAGAAAAAGCCTTTATCGTGTTGTATTTTGTTACTGTCACCTACGACTTGTCTCGAGGTTTGGCGTAGAGGCGCTACCCACATGCCTGTCTGAGCCCACTGTGGTTTCCCATTTTACAAACTACAGCTCGAACTATCGCTAACTGCGTAACAGAGCGCTTCATCTCGTCTTCTTCATCTTATGCGGTGCTGTTGAGAAGTGGGTCAGATCAAGAGCTTGTTCCGAGCACAAAGAACGCGCGCCTGATGCGCCTGGGCCCGCATTCATGACGTCCGATATCTATGAATCGGACGACGCCTGGAAACGCTCGCCGCCGCTGGTGGCCATTAAACCCAATTATGGAGTGGAGGAGAAACGGCCTCCGTTTGTCCCGTCAGGGTCTCCCAATGCTACCGAGAACGATGCCGCCAAGGGAACGCCCGGTCGTTCCCGTAAGCACTTGCCGGAATCCCGGACACAGACGCGTTACGGCGATTCGGTACTGATCAGCTTTCTAGAGCCTAGTCGACCGGATATTGCCTACTACGAGAGGGAGCACCCGCTTGGCCAGGACTGGCCACCGGCGCCTCGCGATTTCATTCCGGTCGACGAGAGAAAAGCAAAACCCGAATTGGAGACAACGGCCCTCGCAGCCGTGGACCAGCTGCCAGACAACAAGGACTCCTTGCCTGCGGGACCGAAAACACTTCCTCCACCAAACTCCTCGCTCCCGGTGACGCTCCCTCCACCAGCGCCGTCGGTCAAGACGGCGATCACCTCTCCAGGCCGTCCTCGCTTGCCCTCGATCTCGGCCGCCATCTCAGCTCCAAGCACAAGACGCCAGTCTGAAGACCTACTCGCATTATCTCCGCCATATACCGATTCTTCCGTCAGACACTCTCCGGAAGACAGGGTCTCTCTCCCAGCCCTCCAATCGCTTCATTCTCCACCGCAATCAAACCCCGCAACTTCTCCGGATGGCAACAATCAAGTGCTTCCATCCATACATACCCTAGGCGTAAATCCACCCGATTTTCCACCAAGGGTCAATGGGATACCTCCATATCCGTATCCGGGCCCAGGCTCGGCCGGCCCACGAAACGACCCAGCGCAAGAACGTTTCCCCCCGCCACATCATATTCCACCCAGTCCCTATTCACATTTCTCACCCACGAGTACAAAGGATATATCGAACAATCCTTCTCCGGCTTCAATGCCTACGTTGTGGCGGACGTACCCATCCCAGACGGAGCTCCACCCCAGTGGGGCCTCTCCGTACGATCCGTCGCCCGTAACGGCAAAAAGCCCGGCTGCTGGTTATCCCACGCCCACAGAGCAGCTTGGTGCCGGGCCAGGAGACCGTCCATCTTTCGACTCCACACTATCTCCCAACGGGAACGCGCCCCCAGGTAACTACAAGTGCCACCATCCGGGATGCACTGCCCCACCGTTCCAGACCCAATACCTATTAAAGTATGTCCTAACCCGTCCGCTTTTGATATCTTTCTGACCGAAATATCAGCTCCCACGCCAACGTGCACTCACAGGATCGGCCGCATTTCTGTCCGGTAGAGAACTGTCCACGAGCGATAGGCGGCAAAGGATTCAAACGTAAGAACGAGATGATGCGGCACGGTCTTGTACACAACTCGCCGGGCTATGTCTGTCCATTCTGTCTCGACCAGCAGCACAAGTATCCGCGGCCGGATAATCTCCAACGGTATGTTCTTCAGTTTCTTCGAGTCATCCACTTCATGCTCATATTGTATCAAGACATGTTCGAGTGCATCACGTCGACAAGAGCAAAGACGACCCCATATTGCGGGATGTACTCTCGCAGCGGCCCCCAGGCAGTACACGAGGCCGACGGCGACGGTTGAATTCATGAGATATCCCGCCTTTTTCTCTCTGCGTCTACCATAATGCTGACGAGCGCTCTCGGGGGCGTATTCCTTGCAAGAAGTCGAAGACACGACCACACTTGGAGTTTACCCCTGGTTTACGAGTGACGAATTTTTCTCTCCTATGATATGATACCTTTTTTTATGAACTTCGTTGTTCAATGATACCATGTGTGCTCCAATTGTTAGATTCTGAATGATGATACACGGCCATTCGTTTTTACTGCGAAGTCTTCCATCGTCATTTATCTTACTCTCGTTTTCATCTGACGACTACTCCAAGGGAGTGTAGTGTGCATATCTGTATTTTGCATTGCAGATTTCTATAAGCTTTTTTCTTCTGGTTTCGGGCTCTGATCATGGATGAGACTCTCTGGCAGTTTTGGGAACATATTTACATACGAACCGGATTTCTTTCCACTATTGACTTGTTTCGTCTTTCCGTTGTAGTGCTTGCCCTTCGCTCGCTGTGGCGCCACGTCATTGCACGAATAGATTCACGTAGAGAAGAATCCGACAGTCCTCATTACTGTGGAACCTCTTAAAGTGGACCTAGTGATTGACAGGGGCGAAGGCAGGCTGTGGGAATAACGGTCCGCTCATGACATCCCCACTAGGGGATGCGGGAGATAACTTGTTTTGCCAAAGCTCCACGCCAATCTGATGGGAGACGGTTTGTTGAGAGTTACAGACCAACGAAGATTCTAGAAGATATGTAGCACAAAAATGCATATATTGGACTAAGGACGGACAAAGAAGTTTAGATTGCTCTGACATCTGAATTTGGCCTTGAACCATCTTAACTTAGTACTACCATAGCACGAGCGAGAATAAGGATTTGAGGAAATCTATCTGTTCCACTATGTGCACAATATCCCTTTTCACTAGATTCTATATAAGCACTCTTATCGGCCAATACCTGTAGATTTCTTTATGTCTAGACAGGAGTGACTTTAGTTCTTTCGCAGGGCATTCATTATCGTAGAGTATTGACATGTCTATGCCCCGTAGTTCTTCGCTAAAGGACACAGTAGTGAAAATGCCACAAGCCGAGTCTAGTAGCTCCGAGTATTGTCCTAATCTCTATGATAAAAGCAATACAATGTGGATGGATGGATGGGTGGCTTCATTTATCCTCAAACCTCACCGAAGTGATATGCAGGCTACAACAACTAAATAGATCTATATGCGTACCTATGTCGTATACCACTTCCTACGTGAAGGTAATGCCTCGCTGACGCCTTTCGTGTCCCAGTATAGGTTGTTGTTGCTATCATGTTGCGCTCACCCCTTATAGCGGGAGTCGAAAACAGACTCCCCCAATTGATTAACACACTTTTGTTTCTCGGTTCGTACTCGAAACTACACGAATCTAGAAACGGCGAATGCCCAATGATCAACAACGAATCAAAGGGTTGTGATGCAGCAGATGATGCCCAGAGATCATATAACCGGCATGCAATATCTGATTCCCCGTCTGGCAGACTCTGGGAACTAAGCTTATGGAACAGATGCCTCGTATGTCAAGCAACCTTTATTTGAGGTCTTTGTGGTCCTGAGTCCTGAGTTTCGCGACGTGGCTAGACCTCCGATGCCTTGCGTTTCGTTCAGCTGAGGATCTAGCAGAACAGGAACGCGAGGCGTTTGGAGTCTGTGCAATCCTAGTACCAACAGCATGCAGTGTTCTGGTACGACGGTGTACCCGAATTGTACGGCAAAAGAATGGATGACACTCAATCTATTTTTATCGAGGTCCCCCGCTAGGAAGTCCCTACTTAGCCTTGCGACTCATGCAAGCATGACGCTAGACCCGTCAGCGTCACAACGCCTCACATGCGCGCAGAAAGACTTGGTTGAACTTGACGCCAAAATTATTGAATGGAAAAAGTTAATGCAAGACACTTCGGGGGACCTCATCGGAATACGGCAAGTTGAAAACTACCAGAGTGTCAGGCGAGGTGAATTGCAAAAGGGTTCAAAAACAAAAATCAAGTCAAGGCGAAGAACTCTGTGACGCCGCGAAGAGTGAAGCCTGAGCCGATTTCTTTCGTCAGATCGGTAATCGCATCATTGAAAGCAATCACATGGGGAAGCAAATCCATTTTACCCCTGGTGCTAGCCGGATACAGCTAGGCAGGATAGCCCTCGCCGAGCTTGATTTTAAGATCAGGGGATGTTGACATAATTAGTGATGATGAGTTGCTTGAAGATCGAATCCGATCTTTAGCTTCAGCCTCCCTCCCCAACGCCCAGTTCGCGCGGCTGTTTCCTGTGCATTTTCTGCTCATTTTCACACTTCGCTTGCGTATAGGGTTGCGAATATCCGAGGGCGTGGGAACCAATGGCATCAAGGGACGTCCATTCGAGATGCGTAGTGCTTGAGGAGCGTCAGATAACTAAGGTTTTAGAGATTGGTAATCGGAGTAGCTCACCATGCTGATCGCTCTTGGAATACTGCTTCGCATCAAAGTCTCCGGCGATCAGGGTCCATAATGGGACTGTCGATCGAGATCCTAAAACCAAACGGCGAAAGCAATTCTGTCGGTCATTTGCGTATTTAATGGCACATATGCCAAAGCAAGCTCAAGGCCTCCGACTAAGCTTCAAATTCAAAGATCTCGACAAATTCCTCGCTACCAAGAAGGCCATATCAGACTTCCGCCCAAGATACTGAAGCGCACAGATACAGTACTCGCAGTTCTGCTTAAAACACTCCGACAGAATATTAGTTTCGTCTGGAACATGAATGCCCTCCAGGCAGATATACCCCGCCTTCGCAAACGAATGGATCAGAACGACCGTCCACGGCTCAACGAGAAAAGCGACTTCATTCAGCGAATCATGGAAATGCCGGTGCATGATTGGTTCCTGGCCATGAAGTGATGAGCGCGCAAGCGCGCCAACCGCTAACGCGTTGTCTATCCGTAGCGTTGAGACGAGATCTGTAGCTTGTCGCTCTGCGCGCTCGGCTTCAGAACCGAGACGCCCGTTATCGATGCTTTCGATCACATCTGCCAAGAGCATAGCGGCCAGATGCCAGTGTCCGTCTAAAATGACATACCACGACTGAATGCGCGGTGGTAGCATCTCGTGGTTAGCGACGCAGTCAAGCATGAAGCGCTGATACGTGCAATTCCAGTGCCAGTAGACTCGGAGAGTCTTCTGAATAACCTCTTCCAAAGGGACACGACTTGCACCACGATATATTAGATTCTGGAGCTGTGTGACGCGCCGGTAGAGAAGGACTTTGACGGGAGTTGCTTCTGAGAGGACGGAAGCGGCTGTTTCGTAGGAGCAGGGCCATCGGGGCCGGATCTCGGTTGATTCGTAATGCTTACTCGGGGTGCGGAAGAAGAACTCGCCCCACACGTCTTCTGTTTTGTTGATGTTTATTCGTGGGATCGTCCAGCTGTCCAGGTCGACTTGCCCTTGGTCTTGGTCTGAAGGGTCGAGGTGTGTAGATGAGGCGGAGGCTATTTGGCTGTCTTCGTCTGAGACGACTAGTGGACGTTGGTACATTGCTGCGCTGAGGGTGTCGAACATGACGCCTAGCCAGAACATAAGACTGAGTGTGTTGCGGTGTTCGTGGCTTGCGAGGATCGGATCAACCTGAGAAGGTTTGGATGGTTTTGAGATATCTAAGACGTCCGTCATGGCTGATTCCACTGATCCTCGACGAAGCTCTCTCCCATCCGGAACGGCTCCGCGCTTGAGTCGTGTGAACTTGTGTCGGAATGTGAAGAGTTGGCGGTTGGCGTTCTCGAGGAATATCGGGGCCCGGTCACTCTCGAGTAGCTGGTCCAGACCCCTATCTTGTCTATCGTCTAGCGGGCTCTGCGTCAAGGAGAAGATGATGTTGGCAAAGGCGACACGGAAAGATGGGACGCCTGTTGAGTGTTCCAGCGCATGGCGAGCTTCATTCCAAACCTTTTCTCGGATTGACCTCTCGTCATACGCAATTGGCGCTGGCACACAGAGACCCGTACCCTTCTGCGCATGCTGCGTCCATTGTGACGCAAATGCTACGATCGCGAGATGGAGCGCTCGTGCAGCAGTCTTGTCCTCCTCCGCGCTTAGAGCGCGACCACGTATCGAGGTGGCTGCACGATCTAATCGACAAACACGGATACACATCCTGTTCGACCAGCTAGGACCCCATTCCAATCTGTTCTTGAGCGGGAGCACATCCGTGACGGAACTGCTGTAGGGACAGTTGTGTTCTGTCAGCCAGCAGGACAAGGCGTTTTCCATGCTGTCGTGGTAGATGCGGATGAGGTTGCGTGTCATGGTTGATCGAGCAACTTGGGTGGCTGTATTGTCAGAAGCTACACAGAACCACCCTTGGGCTTCGGGACTTTGTCTTCGATTCTCTTCTGTTTGATTGTCTTCGGTTGCTAGTGAATATTTGTGGCGGTTGTAATTCCACCCTGGGGCCATGAGGTCGAAGGAGGAAGGATCCAGCTCATCTTCCCAGCGTTGGGTCACCTCGAATTGGTTCTCGAGAGGGTCCAGTAGTGAGTCGGGGAAGACTGCTTGAGGCTCAAGCCCGTTGGAGACCGGCTCGTATCCTTGAGTCGCAGGGCGATTATCTGGGATCTCCATGGCCCAAGAGAATGATTCAGATTTGCCATCACTCGACTCTTCTCCCTCAAGGTCTTCAATAAGCCCATCCCCAGACTTCGAAGAAGGCGCCGACGCAAAATCCGACGATCTACTCGAAGTGAACATATCCCCGTGCTCGGCAGGAAACAATTGTGAAGAGCGCAGTTCTTCATCCAGCAGGGAATTATGCGAGTTCATAATGGAGGACATATCGCGATTCTGAGATATAGCCGCAGCGCTAGGTTTCACTCTCCTCCGATCTGTCTTGGAGTCCACACGCTTCGAGGAGAGCCAGTTGAACGTACATTCTTTCTTCCATCGCTTGCAATTTGAGCAGGAGTCGAACCCGCTCTCTTGTCGATTTTTCTAAGCTGAAAGTCAGATTCTGCTGATGATTAGCCAGAGTGTTGCGACAAACTGGTGCATCACAGCCCCTCTTGCCTTTACGGCAGGGGTCACAACTATGAAGTTGGCGTCGGCGGGAGACTTCCATGGCGAGTTATCGAATGTAGTGATAGTGGTCGATGGTACCAGCCTGAAAGAAGGCAGACGCTCCGACCCCGATATGCTACTTGTGCAGATGCTCGAAGCAGAAGCAGAAGCAGGAAACGGGGAAGGGTCCCCGAGCTAAGATTTATCCCATATTTCCTGGGGAACTATGCGGGGTCCGAGTGGGATAAGCTAGCGCACGCACACGACTCATCTTCGGGCCAGCGGAACTATACTCGCGCTCTGCCTAGAGAAATTTCACCAGGTGCCAGGTTGCAATAGAAACTGAGAGGAGTGTCAGAATGAAAGGATTTGACCCCAGCGACCTAGTCCATGGGTCTAATGTGTAGAGAACCTAACACTCCGTATATTAGGTGCTAATCTTACGCAACGGCTCAGGACGCAACGCATTTTGGGATGACGCGTCTCAATTCCAGAAAAGGAATGGAAATTGTCTCACCGGAGCCGTGTCAATGGCGATGTGCAAGTTCTCTAGCTTTATATGGTGTAGGCGAATGGAAAGAAGAAGCGGAGCGGGAATCAGACGCCAGCGATCGGGGGCTTTCCGTTACTCTACGTTGATCATGGCTCAAAATGGTGGAGACGGCTCAACTGCCAGGCTACTACAGATACGATTCTGGGATGATCCATCGGATCTCTACAAGATCGACTAATCGTATGTTAGAGAGGAAATACATTATGATTTTCCATGAAGTGATGGTATTTCCCCGAAGAATTGCCGATTCAGTTGTCCCTTCCTGGTCCACTGGAGATTTTACCGACCAGTTGACTGCCATGTTTGGCTGGATGGTGGAGTGACCGTCTAAGGTAGCTGGGCAATGTGCAAGCAAAGACTTTCAGGAGCTACAGCGCCGGTACTGTGTGAAATCGATGTGTAAGATTGGATATGATATGGTCTGTATGCGTCGAAAACACAAGACAATAACTGAAACCCCACCAACCCCGAAATCCGAGGCTTACGACTAGGAGAGGTGCACACGGACTGTCTTCACCTCTGTGTAGTTCTCAAGGGCGTACGATCCCAGCTCTCGGCCCAATCCCGATTCTTTGAAGCCACCAAACGGCATCTGGTAGTGAAGAGTGTTGTAGTTGTTAACCCAGACAGTTCTGTTACGAGCGATACGTCAGCAAATTTATGAGATCAGCTTTGCAATACAGTTTAACTCACCCTGCTTTGATTGCATTAGACACCCTGATGGCCGTGTTGATGTTCGTGGTGTGGACGGCTGCGGCCAGGCCTATTATTGATCAGTCAAGTCAGATCATGGGAAGAAAACTAAGCGAGAGACTCTCATAATCCTTACCATAGTTCGTGTCATTGGCCACGCGAATGGCTTCCTCTTCATTGCGGACCTTCTGCACCGTGCAGACGGGTCCGAAGATTTCCTCTTTCACAATCGTCATGTTCTCATTGACATCGGCAAATATCGTGGGTTGGATGTAGTATCCTTCGCTACCATGCCGATTGCCACCAGTGACGACCGTGGCACCTGCGCTCTTCCCAGCTGCGATATAAGTCATAATCCTGTCATATTGGACCTGCGATACCTGGGGGCCTTGGAAAGTCTCGGCATTGAACGGATCTCCGACCATGTTCTGCTCAGCTCGCTTCTTGAAACGTTCCAAGAATTTATCATAGATAGCTTCATGGACAAGAATGCGAGAGCCTGCGCAGCAGCACTGTCCATGGTTGAAGAAAATTCCCAAATTGACCCAACTAATTGCTTCCTCTAGGTTTGCGTCTGGGAGAACGATGTTCGGCGACTTGCCTCCAAGTTCGAGAGTCACCTTCTTCAAGTTGCTCTTAGCGGCTTGTTGCATGATTTGCCGGCCAACAAGAGTAGAGCCTGTGAAAGCAACCTTGTCAATGTCCATATGAGCGGCGATCGCTGCGCCAGCAGTGCTTCCAAATCCTGAGATAACGTTGACGACTCCAGGGGGGAATCCCGCTTCTTTGATAAGACCAGCCACATAGAGCGCTGAAAGCGGCGTCTGTTCTGCGGTTTTTATGACAATCGTATTACCCGTAGCGAGGGCAGGGCCAATCTTCCAAGCAAACATCAGGAGCGGAAAATTCCATGGAATAATTTGGCCACAGACGCCCACGGGTTCGTGGCGCGTATAGGTCAAGCTATTGACATCGGTGTCAATCGTTTGGCCATATATTTTGTCGGCCCAGCCACCATAGTAGCGTAGGCATCCGGAAGAGGCGTTAACGTCGCCTTTGGCCATTGTCACTGCTTTGCCATTATCAAGGGCTTCAATAGCAGCCACTGTTTCGATATCGCGTTCCAGGAAATCTGCCAGACGAGTAAGGAGACGGCCACGCTCGGAGGGAGTGACTTGTTTCCAATCTCCGTCGAGGGCTTTGCGGGCAGCTTTCACAGCAATATCGACATCTTTCTCTGTACCTTCGTGCACGGCCACAATGGGCTTCTCGTTATGAGGGTTGATTGTCTCGAAGGTCTTGCCATCCACACCCTTCACAAATTTGTTGTTGATAAATCTAGTAGAATAAGTTAGGCAAAAGAGCAGAAAAACCCGAATTGGTTGTTCCCCGGCTCAGCTTACAGTCCCAGAGGCTGCTCATATGTGACCGCAGGGGTCTTGATGGTTTGGAACAGAGACATCATCGAAGAGTAGTTGTATTTTGACATATGGTATTCAATCGAATAGTGACTCTATCGGAAGACAAGTCGATTTTTATATGACTACTGGAATGATCCAGGAGCGAGAATCATCGGGGTCATAGAGCGCGGGGAAGCATTCGGGTCGAAAAAGGCCGGCCCGATGTTTCTCGCTGTCTAGGGCCACAGCTCCTTTACCCCGGGTCTTTTCCTTTGCGTATAATTCCATTTGTCCGAACTGGTAACTCTAACCAAGAACTATGAGCAAAATTAACATCTGTCTCGTGTATTGGGAATGCCGCACGATGCAACTCGACGCCGGGACTAGCTACAGTGGAAGCGAGGTGCCCTACCTGATCATGTTTACTTCATGTCGTTGTTTTGGCCAGGTCAATTTAATCTCAATTATCCTAAATCAGCAAAAGAAAAAAAGGATGAAGTTTTCGGTGGGGAGAGGGTGCGTGTACTTGATACTACCATGCTTCAGCCGTGTATCAACTACAGCTTTGGGTCCGGCTGGGTTGGCTCGTGCAGCAAGCTAAAATTTTCTATTTTCTCGATTCGTAGTGACGCTTATTACTAGAGTATATTGGGAGAGATTTAGTTCTGGACCTCATGGCTAGTTCCGGGATTCGGGCATCACAGTTCAGCAACTAGCGCGCTGCGAGCTCGAAATTCCCGAAAATGTGCGGAGACAGTCTGAATTCAGAGAATAATTCTAAAATCCCAAAGTCAACCTTAGACTTTATTTGGAACAGATAGCCATGTATATACCTAAGTAAGCCGTCGATCAAAGTCTTGTGTGCCGATCGTTGGAAATCAGTCAAATTCAGTATCTCAATTTGTAAATCACGCCAATTCCCCTTTGCACATCTCGGCACTATATACAGCAAACTCTTAGTCCATAACTTGGGTCCAAGCGCAATTGATCACCATTCACTCCGGCATCTCCAGCACGTAGCGGCCAGCGATTTTGCCATGTTCTATTTCAAATTAGTTTTGAGTCCAATATAAAAGGGAAAGAGTGACAAACCCATGAGGTCGAAGATCTTGGGGAGATCCTTCAGAGGAGCCAACTTAAAGGGAGCTTTGATCAAGCCTCGGGCAAAGAAGTCGAGAGCTTCCACGCCGTCCTGTTGATTTCCAACGTAGCTGCCCTTGATGGTGATCATGCGGACAACTGTATTGATAACAGGGGCCTTGAGAAATGCGTCCGGGGGTAAACCGATGGCCACGATTGTTCCACGGGAGCGAACGTATTCCGAGGCTTGTTGGAAAGGCTTTTCTGAAACCGCCAACAAAATAACAGCATGAGCTCCAAGGCCATCAGGAGTCGCCGCTTTCACATCAGCAACAAGGTCCTTGGACTTCGTGAAATCAACAAAGGTCTAGTTTGGTGTTTTTATTATCGTCAATTTATAGGAAGCCGGGTTATAAAGTCTTCATCTTCATACCTCAGTGCCAAGCTGCTCGCACATGGCTCTTTTCTCATCGCCTCCGTCAACGGCGATCACTCTGAGTCCCATGGCCTTTGCGTACTGCTGAGCAAGCGAACCAAGGCCACCGCCCGCCCCGACAATTGCAACAGTCTGGCCAGGGCGAACTCCGGATTCTTTCAAGCCTTTATAAACCGTAATGCCAGCACAGAGTACCGGAGCCGCTGCATCAAGGGGGACGCCCTTTGGAATCTTAGAGGCGTGAGTGGCTTTTCCGACGGCATATTGCTGGAAAGTACCATCCACAGTATACCCGGAAAGCTGCGCATCAGCGCACAGGGGGGTGTCGGATTGTCTGCAAAATTCACACTCAGAGCATGAACCGTTTAGCCACTTAAGGCCAGCGTGGTCACCAATCTCGAAGCTGCTGACGAGATTGCCCTTGGCCACGACCACTCCGGCTCCTTCGTGACCACCGACCAGGGGCATTTTGACTGGGATGGGCCAGTGACCCATCATAGCATGAAAGTCGGTGTGGCAAACGCCTGAGTAGCGAATCTTCACCAGAATCTCGTCAGGACCCGGCTTAGGAACGGGTATCTGTTTGTACACAAGCGGGCCTCCGATCTTCTCAGCCACCTGCGCCCATTGAGTTTCGGGGATGGACATATTGACGAGGTAAAAATTGATTGGAATGTGTCAGAAGTGCGTTGGAAAGAAGATAGTTTTCTTTGTTGGTTGATGATACTTCTATGGGCGTAGATTGGGGGCTTTATAGCTAAAAGTGCCGGAAGATGGTGTCCAGAGTGGAAAAGGGGTGCCGGGGCCTGTCGCTTCACACGTTGCCTGCCATCTAGGCGAATTACTCCGGGCAACCGGAATATAGTCCGTGTGAACAAAGACCCAGGATACCGCTATAGAAATTATTAGGGATCTGTGCGTACGATCCAGGAACTGTCATCCACATGCGTAGACAACGCAGCAAAGTTCATGCGGGGAAAGTTTTGCGGAGATGGCGGCGCGCCCCGCCCCCATGCGGAGCCGCATGGGGGCAATGCGATCGTGAAAGCAAAATAGCCAAATAAATCTCCAAATTATCCTTTTGCCCGGATGAAGCACAAACACGGGGTCACCGATGTCGGGCTCAAAACTACACAAGTATGTGTTGGGTTAACAACCAAGTTTACCAATTGCACCGAATTGAAATCCGAAATTGTAATATTTGGCTAGTTAATTCCACACGAAAATGATAGGATGGTGAACTGGGGGATCTCTGAAAAGATCATATTCCCACATATCACAAACACAGTTAACAGCCTCCCCCCTTTCTCTACCATCTTCCTCTATATTAAGACCATCAATATATCTTCAAAGCTTGCATTCTGCGGTTCTGGCCGCCATACTCATCGGTCTCGGGGCTCCTCTTCAATTCCGCAAGGAAAAAATGTGCTTGACCAGCCACTGCTAATAGCGAATCCGTAGGAGGATCCGTCGCTCTCATATGATTTGAACGCATACTCGTCGTAACTATCCATAGTAAGAGTTTGGGGTCCAAGGATCTCAAATGTATGTGGCTCCGCTGAACTGTCACCAGGTATGTTCTCCGGGGACTGGTGTGGCGTCTCTATTCCGGTATGTTTGGATTCGCTAGATGATACGCCTGCCCACGGCGAGTATTGAGCATTTCTGAAGAAAGGGGCGAAATTATCCTTTCCTTCCAAAATACTCCCCACGAAAGCGTGATCTTCAAATGTGAAATTCGGGCATTCAGTGTAGAAGGTTGGATCAATGATTTCATCAAAGACCTCCTCAGATGCGTCTCTCCCGCGGTCCTGGATCTGTCCCTCAAGACTGGCTTCACTTTCTGTGACCTTGTTGCTATACCTGTCATTAGCATGAAGATACAATGTTCTTGAACAGAATCCAAGCTCACCCATGATGTGTGGTATCAAGAATATTCTCTTCATGATGTTGGGGTTGCTGCACAGATAAGACGCAATACAAGTCAGCCTTGGCTGCTTTGTTTGGCACTTCGCAAAGATATTTAGGCGGTTTGCGGTCCCAATCAACACAGTTCGATTCCATTCCACGCTTCACACATTGACCACATGGCCGTTCATTTTCTAACACGTCTTGTCGGTATATCATCCTGGAATACGCTGCTCGAGACAACAAGGATGATTGGGGGTTCAGGCTTACCACACGTTTTGTGCGCTCGTTGACATGGTAAGCAGGATCTTCTAGCCTTTTTCCGGGGAGGCAATTTCTCAAATGCATTGCAAGCTGCCACGTTCGGACTAGTCATCTCGCACTTGCGTAATGCGTGATCTTCGAGGAAGGGAAAAGAGAAAGCGTCACGCTTTTCTTTGCGACAAACTTGGCACTAAGTCTTATATACACCTAAATGAACTGCTCGTTATAAGCCACTAGCGGCAAGCGTCCTCAGTAACATTGGTAGCGAGATCCAATGTAGGTCTTCACCATGCGGCTTTCGCTTTGCAAGCGGGTATGGAAAGAATATGCCAAGTTTCATGGCGTTCGCGGTACTTCTTTTCCATCTTAACAAACGCCACTTCACCGAATGCCATGTAAGCTTTGAGAGATCGATCTTGCGAGCGGCTCCGCATGTGTGGGCGTCTTAGTTGGCGCTTACAATGGTTAGCCCCCGTCCCCATACAATAATGGGGAGACTACCCTCCACTCCGCAAAATGCGGGGTAAGCTACCAACTCCACTGATCGGCTGATCTTCTGGCGTGCGGCTCCGCATGAACATCATATCCGGGGCCCCTTCCAATCCAACGAAGACGCTATGACCTGCATATCCCGTTCAAGAGATAGGAACTGTCATTGGGGTGTTTCTCATGGTCTTTGTCCATCCGACGCCCCACTACGAGAATTTCCGGCGCGTTTGACTTCGAAGGAGGAGGAAGGCAATTCAGCAAAAGTAGAAAGATCTTCGTGGTTAGGGGCCAGAGTGGACATATACGGGGGGAACACATCGATCATGCTGCATTCGTCAGATCTTGACAGCCAATCAGTGGATCCACTGTCTTTTAATCAACCAATACAGTATTGGGTTACTTCGCATTCTAGCCTTGCCCAACCTTTGTACAAACCAATACATCCCATAAAAAGTCTGATTGGACACGGCAGAAAGGAACACATTAGTACTTTTCTCCTACGGTGGAACGGAAAAGAGCAAATAACCCAGATTGCACGCCGGCCACAGAGTCAGGATCAAGGTTAAAAGCCACAAAGCCTCCATGTTGAAGACCTGTAAGTCTTGTTTCCGTTCTCAATACCTGCTACATTATATCCTTCTGCTCCTTGCCGCCACAGAGAGCCAATTTCCAGCAATAACACAATGGACAGTGACAACAGTCAGAATGGCGAGACAAAGGTTGCCTTCCAAAACAGAGAGGGCTCAGTACCTGGTCTCACTACGGTCCCAACATCGGTGACCCTGTCAGCCGAGCAATTTGAGAGGCTCTATCTGACTCCCATGACGGTCCGCCAGTCATCACTATCCAAGCAAGTTGGAAATCCGACACCTTTGTGAGTCTACTAATCATACCCTCTATGCCTGATACTATGGCGTTTTCGTCTAACAGCATGGTTCAACTTCCAGAGCACTAGGGGGCTTTGTTATTACTACGACCCCCCTTTCGTGCTGCTTGATGGCTTGGAGATCTGCCAGTGGAAATGGTGTTGCCTTCACGTAAGAGATAACCGAACAACGGGATGAGGAATCTCCATCTAATTAACGAGAAAAGTGGGCCTATCGTCTTCCTTGGTGGTCTTTTGTTGCTCATCACAAGTATTCTTGAGTTCATTCTCGGAAATACATTCCCCTGTGTCGTATTTGGTACTATTGGTAGGTCTTCCAACTCCCTGAGAAGCGCTTCCGTCACTTGTCTGCGACACTGATACTTCACAAAGGCGGATTCTGGTTTGCATTTGCAGCTACAATGATCCCCTCCTTCAATGCGGCCGGTCAGTTCCTACAACCAGAATCTCATCTCATCTAGATTATAGTATCGGCAAGCTCACTCATACATAGCTCCCTATTCCTCGTCAACCACTGATACAGCTGCCGGGCTCGCCAGCACGGGCTTCATGAATACCTACGGTAAGTGCAACCCATGATTCTCGAATTTTGGTCAACGGCGCTTACGGATAACGCCAGCATTCCTATTCATAACTATGGCGGTCCTAATGTTGATCTTCATGATTTGCGCAACACGCACCAACGTGGTATACACACTTATTTTCCTTTCCCTACTCTTGGTTTTCCTTCTCTTGTCATCGGCATATTGGCAACAAGGTCAGGGGAGTGCAGCGACTGGAGACCGATGTGTGAAGGTGAATATTATTCCCTGCTTTTCTAATTCTGCAGATGTTTGGGCTAAATGCTAAATCGACCTTTCTCAGGGGGCGGGAGCTTCACTGTTTGTCGCTAGTCTGCTCGGTTTCTACCTGTTGATTGTTCAGCTGTTTGAAGCCTTGGGATTCCCATTTCATTTGCCAGTTGGAGACTTGGCTTCACTTTGGACTCGCAACCAAGACAAGTGAGTTTTCTGAGAGCGGATTGAATCTTTTGTTCTGACAAAACAAAAGGGGCGAGCGATGCGATGTCGAAGAGGCCGCTAGCGTTCGCGACAGTTGAATCATTTGATATTACATATTAATTGATCGACGGAGAATTTGTCTCCCCGGGATATCTGGATCGTAAGGTGATATTATTGTCGGCCATTTTGTCAGACCTGGTTTTTTTAATATTTTCTGCCGTCGTTTAGCGCGAATAGAGTGCTTTGAATACTCGCTAATAGTGTCATGTCTACCAATGTGCAACCTCAATGTAGTTGTCTATGTCGTATACTAGTACTCGTTTATCTGGCTCAACATGATATCTTTTCAAGCAGTTGCTGTTTCAAGACATGGCGGAATGGTATTGTCGAATATCAGCGGTGGGATCTTACTGCTATGACCGCAAATTGTTCAGCGAGTGCCCTCTCCACCATATGTTTTTTGCATGGAGACCGGGTTCCTTCGGAACACAGGAATTGTCATGTAAAAATACTAGTGTGTTAGGATAAAATGTCGAGTGACTTGGACGGGCGTTCAGGCTGGTTAGGCCAGAGGGTCAAGGGAATGTGTGTTGATTGCTTGTTCTGTGCGACCGCTTGTGACGGGTCTTTTCTACTGGAGCTAGGATTATTACACTGGAGCTCCTCTGTCCAGTTGAGACCCGATTTACAACTGTACAAAACAGGTGGAACGGCAGGTATCCGCTGAACTGTAAGACTCCTAGTGGTAATTTACCACCCCTCAGGACGACAAGATAACCTACTCTCAGTAATTTTTCCGAACCTACACAAAGGCAATTTCTCAAAATTTCTTTCGGCCGCTTTTTGGCTTATGTGCATGTCTGTATTTTGCATTGCAGATTTCTATAAGCTTTTTTTCTTCTGGTTTTGGGCTCTGATCATGGATGAGACTCTCTGGCAGTTTTGGGAACATATTTACATACGAACCGGATTTCTTTCCACTATTGAGTTTCGTCTTTCCGTTGTAGTGCTTGCCGTTCGCTCCCTGTGGCGCCACAGCATTGCACGAATAGATTCACGTAGAGAAGAATCCGACAGTCCTCATTACTGTGGAACCTCTTAAAGTGGACCTAGTGATTGAGAGGGGCGAAGGCAGGCTGCGGGAATAACGGTCCGCTCGTGACATCCCCACCAGGGGATGCAGGAGATAACTTGTTTTGCCAAAGCTCCACACCAATCTGATGGGGAGACGGTTTGTTGAGTTATAGACCAATGAAGATTCTAGTATATATGTAGCACAAAAACGCATATATTGGACTAGGGACGGACAAAGAAGTTTAGAGTGAGATACAAAATGGTTTTTGTTTTTGGAAAATTCGTTATGTATGTACAGTGGAAGCAAGTGCATAGTAGGACGGACCAGCACTGAGCCACCAGGCGTCCAGAACCTTAGTCTCCACCGTGCTTAGAGGACCACGAAATATCGCGTCGAACTATGATAAAGGAGTTCGGGTCGCTCTGCGGCTCCAGGTGAGCAGCCGAGTCCGGGGAACCCTTGCGAGTCTTTCTATTTCCTGCAGCACGTCCGTCGCTGCCAGACGGAAAGGAGCGGCCCTCTTGCAGACGATAAAATTCACTTGATTTTTTGCTGAGACCAAGTCCTGATGGGAAGATATGCCGTAAAAGAGGTCGAAGGGTTGGCAAACATGCAGATATAATACCAAGCGAAGGTTCAATAGAACTCCATATAAATCCACGGCCAAAGTTCCAAGTGATGTCCATATTCTCGGTCATGAGTGCCACTGCATAGCAGCGAAGCGCGCCCGCAATACAAGTGCTAAGTTAGTAGTCTATGTCAGTCTAACATTCATTGGTCTAACACGTCGAAAAGGGAAACATACAAGGCTCCAAGACCGAAGATGCCAATGACCGCAAGCTTTTGAGGGGTTGGCATATGAAGTTTCCAAACCTGGTGAAACGGGGCACAAAGGATAATAAAGTCGGTGATGGCTTCCGCAATGCCATTCCCCATGAAGTAAGCTTCAACATCTCGGCATGATCCTTGGGCATTTGTATCTCCGTATTGCTCCCAGAAATACGAGTATGGAGTGCACTGGATCAGATTAAAAACCATCACGCCAATGAACCACCCAAGCGCGAGGAATGAGCAGAAATAGAGAATGTAGGTGAAGCGAGGAATTGGAAAGATGCGATGATAGAACATAATCACCGACATTTTGATCGCAGGGATTGTACAGCTGTAGACAAATTCCATGGCGAAGACGAGCTGAGGGCCAATCATTGGGGTTAATAGTTTGGCATTTTGGGTCAAAGATAGGTTCCAACTAACCTGATACATTATCACTAGGTTGATAGAAGGGTTCCATATATGTTTACCCATTCCACCTAGTTTGGCCACTGTATAGTCTTTTAGTCGGTTGTTCTGATAATGGTAGAGCCGCCTGCGATTGTCCGTACTTAAGATATTGAGAACACAATTAGCCGTGTTGAGAACCTGTTTGGGGACGTTAATAATCTTGATAGCATTCGATAGGTAGCAATGTTTGTAGTCTTACCAATGCTATTACGATCACATAGTCATCCCACTGGAACTTCGCTTTGGACACATATCTCGCCCCAATCCGCAATCCCACAGCTATGACAGCGAGTATAGCTGGAGCAAGCACGGATGCAATGACATGTGCCGTCTGATTCTCGTAGATATCAAGGCCTGGGGGTGGTGGCGGAAGTTTCATGGCTTGGACTTCCCTTCGGTGTTAAGGGTGTGGGAAAGATGAAGATTCGGACTAGGTGGAGTTGGGATAAGGAGAGCGGAAGGGTTAGATACAGTCAACCGCAAGTGTCAAACGGGGATGCCCCGAAGATCTGCAAATGATTGTCTAGCTCGCTAAAGATTCAAGGCTCGGATCCAGAAGCAAATAATTGGCAAAATCCTCCCTATTGGCGCAATTCAATGCGTGACATTCCCTTGATCCAGAAAAACTCTTGACCCACAATGAACGGCAGAGTACCCCAGACTCGGCATTCACCGGTGGCCCAGTGGTCCTCGATCCAATGCAATAGTCACTGGGGTCGTGGTTCACAAGGATGATAATCCTCCAGCCTGAAGCCAGAGGTTCCTGTCCCCTTGGGGAAACTGTCTCGTAACAAAGACAAACTTCAGAATTAAGAAAGATCTACAGGGTTTTGAAGGAACGGCCCCCAACCGACCGTTTGGGTTGGAAAATGGAATCTGGTTCGCCTATGATCCTGGCGTCTGTTACTCCTACGCCTCGGCCGTGTGCCCCACTACCTCCACTAAGTCCATCCTGACAGTTAGCAATACGTAACTCCCCTATGCTACGGGGTACTTTCCAAAATCATATGCAATTTCTATGGCCTAGATCAAAACAACCCACCCTTAATCTCCCACATAATCCAGGTATATCTAATGGATTAGGCCTATCGCAGACTGGTTATGTTAAAGGGTTGTCCCAAGCGACCGCAAGACCACCGGAACGTTAGTTAGTGTCTCTGGCGCTAGTGCCTATAGACTCATAAAAGGAAAGAAAGCACACATCAAATTTGTTTGGCACGTCGTTTTCACACGCCAATCAACAGCTAGAGGCCTCATGCCACCTCGGAACCATCGTGGAGGCTTATGTCTTTTCGCCACTAGAGGAGGTCATGCCGGTTACGAATGAGACTCTCAGGGACTTTTTTTTTGGCCATTTACGGAAGGGAGTGGCTATAATGCCAGGTGGAGTATCGGGACATCAAGCACGGACCCGGTTAGCTAGCAGGGAGGGGCGTTAAATATCCATGACCACCCACGAAATTGCAGTTTCTCGACTGAGAAAAAGTACTCCCCAAGTAAAAAATGGACGACTTTCAGGGCTTTGCATCTCTCCCCCTTTTGGTGACCCTTAGCATACCTATAGTCCTGTATCTCCTTTACCATCTCGTCCTCTTTCCGCTGTTTCGTTCTGATCTTCGCTCCATCCCAGGCCCAGTCTTTGCCAAGCTAACTGACCTATACCGTCTCCTGCTGGTTCGTACTGGGTCTGCCCACGAGCATCATATCCGCCTTCACGAGCGCTATGGACCCCTTGTTCGCCTTGGGCCCAACAATGTCTCCGTTGGCTCTCCCGCCGCTATCCCCGTCCTTTATAACACGCGTACTCGCTACCCCAAATCGGCGTTTTACCCGGTGATGGGAAACGTGGCTCATGGGAAGGTTGTTCCAACTATTTTCTCCACACGCGACGAATCTGTTCACGAGACGATGAAGCGCCCTATCGCGCAAGTGTACGCCATGACAAATCTTAGGACGTATGAACCACTGGTGGAGAGCACTGAGTCCTTATTCTTGAAGAAGCTAGACAAATTGGCGGATGAAGGGAGAACCTTTGACCTGGGCACGTGGCTGCATTGGTTCGCGACTGATGTTATTATGGAGATCACATTTGGAAAGAGACTTGGGTTTTTGGAGAGGGAGGAGGATGTGGATGGCATCCTAGAAACAATAGAGGGCCGGTTTTGGTATGTTGCTGTTGTGAGTATAAGCCTATCCTTGACATGTCGGACGTGATTCGTAACTAATCAATCCCATCGGGTTGATAGACAGGCCAGATGCCCTGGCTCGATAAGGTATTGCACAAAAATCCTCTTGTGGGCTTTTTTTCGGGTCTTTTTTCAAAGAAAAAAGTGTCTCCTGTCCTGGAATTTGCTCTTAAACGAATAGAAGAGCGGAAAATGGAGCGCCATGATCACCCAGAAAAGAAAGGTCAAGAGCGGGACTTTTTGGCCCGGTTTCTGGACATTCAGGATAGTTACTCGCCGAGCATCCCTGATTCGTGAGATAACCCTAGCCCAACATACATCTATTACTCTACTGATATATGGTATTATTGTAGTTGGATAATATCTTGGTGTCAACAAAACGTTCAGGCCGGTTCCGATTCCACTGCAATTACGCTGACTTCAGTGATATATCACCTCTTGAAGAGCCCAGACTCCATGAAATCTTTGCTTGCCGAATTGGATAATGCCAGTCTTCCGTCGCCAGTTCCCTGGGATATTGCACATAAGCTCCCCTACCTTGATTCTTGCATTAAGGAAGCGTTGAGGATGACTCCGGCGATAGGAATCCCATTGGAGCGTGTTGCTCCGGAGGAAGGGATAGAGCTATGTGGCAAGCGCTTCGAATGTGGAACAGTGCTTGGAGTGAACGCTTGGGTTGCACAAAGGAACGAGGAGGTGTATGGGTCAGATGCTGCTTTCTGGAGGCCCGGACGCTGGAATGAAGCAAGCCAAGATAAGAGGAAAGAGATGGAGCGGGCACTTTTTGCGGTTAGTTCGTCAGCGATTCAACTTCTACATCGGCCAAGAGGGAAATACTGATATCGATTTTATTAGTTTGGAGGGGGGTCAAGAGTTTGCCTTGGAAAAAACATCTCGTATTTAGAGATGTATAAGGTTATCCCTGAACTGCTAGTAAGATTCAAGGTAAGTCACTTTGGCGTTACGGCAGCTTTGTCCATCACGAGTACACTAATTGTTTGACTCCTACCTAGTTTGCGCTCACAAACCCACAAAAGGAATGGTCATTGAAAAATGGATTCTTTACCTACACGAAGGGTGTCGAAGTCACAATTGAAAGAAGGTGGAACCATGGAAACCGATAAACAAGTATTGGCTCAACTGTGATCGTTAGTACTTCAACTTCATGGCATTCTTGAAAACAGCGCCACAGAGGTTGTTGAGAGAACGCTAATCAAATTGGTGTTTCAAGAAAGGGCTTGGGACAGGATTGCATAGACCGGATAATGTCTGCCACCGGGTCCCCGAAAAAGCAATACGGCGAGGTCTAAGCGCTTTTGATTAGCTGCCTCGTAGGGTACATCGCGAGGCTGCACGAGACAGGCATCGGCCCTGGCCATTACACTGTATTTTACGTAACGATTGAGACCAGTGTTAAAGTCCGAACCCCTCCAAAGTACCTTTTTTTACAGCATCCTTTCGAGCTACATACCGCCCGTTAATAGTAGATTTTGAGTGATTTAAACGCTAATTGCCAGCAGGATATTAGCGTGGTACCTCGAAGGGTTTTAGAATTTAGCAATGCGACTATAGCTTTCAGGCCAGCTCCGACTCATCACCAACCAGAGAGCAGCACACCCGGCGCCTTCAGCCGCACCTGCCGGACGCGGCCGAGGAGCAAAAATAGGGGGGAAACTCTTTTTTCTTCACAAAAATTATCATTCTCGGTACCTCCTCTTCTGTAGAGGAACAATCATCTCCGCGATGACCTCCTCCGCCAGTCCTGATATCACACGCTACTTCAACCGGGGACCGCTCACAACCACTTTTACCCCGCCAACAACATGCCTCCAGACCTTGTCCGAGGTCGTCTACTATGTGGATGGCACAGCTGAGTCCACAACATACTACGGGCACTGGTATGGGGACAACACAGGTTACACATGTTTCCCCACAGGCACCGTGCCTGGCACTCTACTTGCTTCCCCGACATACTGGGACACATACTGGTGTAAGAAAGATACTTAGACAACGTCGATATAAGCTTGCTTACATTATGCTTCGCAGACTCACCAGGTCTTTGCTGTCCCACTGGATGGACTACTGCAGGCCAACTGGCCGGATCATGGGATGGGTTAGATGTGACCGGCAGCACGAGTGGTGCTATTTGCTGTCCTTCGTTGGTTCTCTCTTCTCTGTAGGACTAAGCAATACTGACAGACTGTAGGGGCATGAACTTTTACTCGGAAAATCATGAGTGCAGCCAAGTCCTATCAGCAAAAGACACCATTACAATTGCAAAGGCCGGTGTAGCGATCGAATCCATCCTGACGACTCCAATCACCGTTTATGCGGACGGAATTCCACTGATTTGGGACAAATCCGATCTTCCAAGTACAACAAGCGCATCAACAACACCGTTGTCAACACAAACATCAACCGCAGCCAGCGCGACGGCAACAAACCCGTCCAACAATAATCAAAATGGTGGCTTATCAGAAGGAGCCAAGATCGGCATTGGAATCGGGGTCCCTGTGGCGGCCATTGCAATAGGAGCGGCGATATTTTTCTACTTCCTCAAACGAAACAAAAGGGCCAAAGAGGAGCCTCGCGCAGAGGTATATGCTACTCCACGAAGTCGCGGGACGCTCTCGGAGATTGCGAGTAAAGAGAATTCTGAGCCGTCGGAGCTCGCTCGTAGGGAAGATCGTTCGGAGCTTCCTTCGAGCACTCCGACTCGTGTGCTTGAATTGGCATGAATTGTATCTATTGTTTTATAGTTGTGTATTTTGACATGTCGAATGGGATTTTGGTTATCAAGACATCGCTCTAAGCACTATATAAAGTTAGAAGTAGTAATTGATATAATTAACAGCAAATACATCGTGGGGTAGTGCGGCCAGCCCGAGGACATCGGATGAACACGAGCAGCGGGAAAAATGCGAGAATCAACTGATAGGTAACAGCGCCCAGAGGCAGAGCAACTTTCTGAACTCAGAAATCCAAGGTCAAGCAATAGAGAAGTGGAAAAGCTGAAGGGGTCAAAACAACGGCTCTTTGAATATCCTGTGTATATAGGTTGCATACAAGGGGAATTTCTTAAATATACTCGTAATATCATAATTACCAAATCATAATGATACTACCCCTTATACATATCGGATTTATTGAAGGATACTAAAGAACAGGAAAAACGTAACTGAAGGGTAGACCGCGTATCATGCTTATAACACCTTTGCACTCTATGCCTCTTCCCCGCTTTAGACCATGCGGTCTGTTTGTTAAAACCACGCCACGGTAGAAACGCATATCCAGTGCTCATTATGGTATGATTGACTGTAGGGCAAATAAGAGTTATCGTAACTATGGCACCTAAGGGAGAAACCCATTCGGACAGCCATCTAGCAGCTTCAGCGCGTCTTGTTTAACTAATACTAGCAGTAGAGCCGGCGATGTGAAGACAGCCAAAATATATCTAGCTCACTATCACCAAAATCAAAATCTTCGTTTTTTCTTTCCCTCGCTTCGTGTTCACATGACCCAAACAATAAATGTATCCCATCGCTGTATATGAGTGGAGTTCAACCTCGCCAGGAGGCAACAATAACCACATCTCGCACAAGAATTGTATAGTACAGAAGAGCGGACAAAACCAAAAACCAAATCAAACATCATATAGAGAGAAGAGAAGAGGCATAAAGGAAAAACAAGTCTAACAATCAGTGAGGCCCAGTTCTCCGATGAATACGCCGTACATGATCTTTCATATTATCGACGCGACTGAACACACGACCGCAGCCGTGCCACTCGCAGACAATGCCGGGATTATGTTTTGCCTCGTGGCGAGCACGGTCCTTCTTCGAAGAGAACCCACCGTGCGTAGCCTGTGGACAGCCTTCGTGGCGACAGAAGAGATGCTTGCGGTGGCGGTTGTAGTGCTTGCGCAGGTCGCAGCCACGACGGAAGATGGCCTGCGATGAGCAGCCTGGGTGGGCGCAGCGCCAGGCGCCATCACCAATGGGGATGCCGTATCGGGTGAGGTCGCTGGGTGATGATGGAGAAGAAGGACGGGTCCGTGAGGAGGACGTTCCTGGTGGGGAGCCGTCTAGGTCTGAGGTAAAGGTTGGTGTTGGGGAGGTGCTGAGGATGGATGCGGAGTCTCCGGATACGGGGTTGCTGGTTGGAGCGTTGGGGAAGATGGCTGTTGACGGTGGTGGAGAGAGGAAGGCGTCTGGGGCAGAGAGGTTGGGTGATGACATGGCGGAAGGCCCTACGAAGGCCGCGGGAAGTGGCATCCAGGACTCGGCGGCAGTACACATATTGTCTGGGATGGCGGAGGGGTAATGGAGCGGGCTGAGGGCTGGGTAGAACCCGCCAGGGGGCTCAGGCTCCAGACCTAGGCCATCGATGGATGGAGGAGTATACCCGGGGATATCTGTAAAAGAAGAGGGTAGGGGTAATTGGCCAGAGTGTCCCGGCATAAGATAGTCTTGCATGAAGGGCGAGGTGGTCCCGGATCTGCCGACGGAAGAGGGCGGTGGAGTAGCCCTAAGATATAGCTCTGCGGTTGAGGAAGCATTGGACCAGGCATAGACCGAGCCCATTGTGTCGCTGATGCAGGAGTCCCGCCGGTGTGAGACATAGTTTTCAGGCGAGAGATAGTGTGAGAGCGACTCCGGTGCGTACTCCAGTGATTGTACGCCGGGCGAATGAGCCCTCGAGGAGCTGACAGGGATCTCCATCATGCTTACGGGGGGAAGGGATTCCAGGTCCTCGGAGCATCCCGTGCGGTCATGAACGTTATAGCCACTGCCTTGCCCCGAGGTCTGCCACTTGAGATCACTGTCCATGTTGGAGAGGGGTTCGTGGAAGAAGCCCTTGCCGGTGTATGAGGCGCTGTTTGTGCTGTCGGAGTCCAGCAGGTCAGGAAACGGCGTACGCATTTCAGCGTGAAGGTCAAGGTGAAGGCGAAGGTGGTGGTGATAGTAGTGGTAGTAGTGATGGTTGAGCGTTGGGCAGAGCCAAGAGGGCCATACGCTTGGACGGCAGAGGATGGGATGAGGAAGGATGAAGAAAAGAATTGTAAGATTTGGGAGCAGCGGGCAGTATATAATAATAAGGTTGTCGGGAGTTGTGTGTGAAGGTGGCTTGACCCCCAAAAAACATGCTGACAGCAGATCTATATGTAATTAGAACACATGAGGCAGTGCTGAAATACCCTAATCCAGGCGTTCCGCCAGCGCGGCGGGTGGTTCGATCTGCATGCCGGTAGACAGGAGATTAGAGTCAGGAAAGACATCTGTAATTCCTCGCCGACGGTCAGCTGCTCAGCCCTCCGTGGGCGTGACGAGACAGCCATTCGAGAATGGCAAGGTGGATTCTCCACCATTCCAAATGCGCCGTAGTGGAAGGGGCATCCTGTTTCTGTGTTGGTGCGGCCGCGCTGATGGGCGGCGATCGACAGCGCCAAGTTGGGCTCAATTGTGCCATCCTGCGCGGACATTGGCTCCTCGAGTAGGGCTGAGTCCATGGGTCCCCGAGCTGGGGAATCGGCTACCAGGCATTATTGGTGTCCGGTCTCTGTGCAGCAGTGATAGGCTACCGCTACGAGGGTACGAGCATTGTTTGGAGCAATTGCGTGCAGACCCGTTGATAGCACCTCCAGCCTTACCGTCGGTCGGTCGTGGCACGGTCCGGACTGTGTCCGTCTCCGGGTCCCCGCCCGGAGATATCACCCATCTACAAGTGGAGAGGTGACAAGGGTCCTGCCGGATTTTGGCCCCAATCTGTTTGGGGAAGAGCCTCGATGCAAGCGGAATCCGTGGGTTAGAGCTCTCAAGGCTGACCCCCTACACCAGCAGCATCGACGGCTGAGAATTGAATCATAGAACGCAACCGTCGTATCATGCGGCGACGTGGTATTGGATTATCATCAACAGCTCGATGAGGATGCGACGATCCTACCCACACGGGGAAATGCAAAGATTAGTTTAGGGCTTGCAGGGCCTAGCACTTGTCCAGCATAAGAATGAACCTAATTGAGCGACACCGACGGTTTGGCCGAATCTTGATGCTCCACATGTCATCGGTGACTGGCTGGTTCGTCAAATGCCCATGCTTAGCGCCGCCATCAGCCACTCACCGGTACCGGGGATGTGGAGCCCGGCCGGTGCAGTGCGGCCGCCGAGCGGTGTCGTGGTTGTGCATCAGTCGGAGTACCAGCGAAGAGGATAATAATCATGATTGCTAATAGGTCGGAACACTCCGAGGAGTCATGATTTGTAATAATGATGGTCGTAACGATGACTGCCCCCATTAGGGATTAGTTCAGTGGGCACCGAATCGTTTACCCGATTAAGCATAGTTCATCGGATCGGAGATAAGAGGAAAGGCAGACTCGTACGGCGTAGCCAAACCTGGGGGCCGGCGATGGACAATGGGCATGAGCGTCCGCCCCCAAAAAACGTGTCTCAGGATTCTTGAAGAAAAGTCTCAAACAGGATACAAAAATATTGCCGATCTATAATTTGTGATCCTCAGATCCAAATTTAAACTAGAACTCGCGTGGCTCGGGGAGCCTCGTCAGGCTCATCAGACAACAACGGCCTTTGGTCGCCCCGATCCCGATCCTCCGCATCCTTCGTGTCCTTCGGCGCATCTCGGTATAACCAGTAATGCTGGACAATAAAAACCGTGTCTGAGACAATGGTGATGTTGCCCAGCAGGAACTTGACCGGGTTGCCCGTGATTCCGCTCCAGTCGCTCTGGAGACTCGAATCGAGGACTAGTTGCACCAGCGACAGAACCCCCCCGCTCAAGTCGAGAAGAATGGGGATGATACTCCAGCCCACGGTCGACTGGCGCTTGTAATTCACCCAGGCTTGGGGCACATATTTCACCACCGTGATCAGGAGCTTGACATACGACAATGCATAAATCTTGACAAATACCCCTCCGTTAGCAACGAATTGACAAACCCGGTTGACATGACTATGTATGTATGTACTTACTACGTCAATCCACGCCCATGACGCAGGATCACGACCGCCGTCCGGGCTGCGTGCCACCACCATCCAAACAATGACCAGGGGCGCCATAACGGAACCCCAAAACAAACCCAACATAGTTTTGCTGATTCGTTGGGTGCGCAATACGCGCAACCCCCAAATACTGGGCCAAAACTGCGAGTAGACGATCGCGCTCAACAACACCGCGTGCGCCGCAAATGCCAAGTCATTGAAGCGGACGGTCGGCTCGCCGGAGTTGGGAAAACGCGCTGCATATTGCTGACGGATGACGGGGGAGTACAGAAAAGCGGACGTGTAGATCGCATAATATGAAAATCCCAAGAAGTTGATAGTGGGGAAGTCGATGGCTAACCCCGACGTGGAACCGCGCTGGTAATTATAGATGGGCTGGGGGTAGAACGAGGCAGACCAACAAAGCATGCTTACATCTAGTTAGTCGATGTCGTAAAAAGACAGGATCAACAACGTACTAGATCCATCCTAAGAGGCTGCAGGAATACACGACTGGTCAGCTCAAGTCCCAGATGACCACAAGGTCAGGAAGGGCCACACACCGAGACAGCGCCTTGACAAAGATCTCTAGTTGAGGATCCATTGTGTTTCGTCCCTCCGGGGACCCTTTCCCATGGCAAAGAAACAGGGAGGAAACGAAGAATCGTCATAATGGAGTGATGATTGATATGGGAGGTTGGAGAACGCGGTGACATTCTGCCGGCAGTATCGGTCGGTGTGGGGCTGGTTGTCCCGGTGATGTGCTGGGCCGCTCATGTGTTGTTTGTGTTCCCCGATGTTCTTCTCGTTCCAGCCGAGTTTACAACGGCATCCTCGTTGCTTCGATTTTCTCTCACTCTGCTCCGTGTCCTTTAAGCGACGATACACCACGATCCACAGCCCACATTCCTGATCATTCAGCGCATTCGATAGACCCTCATTGTTCAAGCATCTGTCACCAAATTCCTCTCCAATCGGATATTTTTCTTGTGTCGCATGGTGCATTCCTCAGTTCGGGAGATCTCAATAGATCTCCTTCGATAAATCGCACATTCCGGAGTTTCGAGATCCCACGCTGGATCAGGATTCCGCAATAATGGGGTCACAATCGGGGCTCACAGCCCCGGGAAGCAGCACATATTCCTCGAATACTCTCCATGTCGGAGATGGCACCTGGGACTCACAGCGCGATACTTTTCTGCTGCCAAATTTGATGGGAGTGAACTTTGAGACAATGCGCTATAATGGTGGGTGTTTGTGCACAGGTCTTTGAACTGGTTTAACTGATTCTTTTTTCAGGCATGGGCAATCGCTTTAAAGATATGGCCGGATACCATTCCATTATTATCGCCCACGGTGTCATTGCAACCATTGTTTTTCTGGGCATTGTCCCAACCTCGACTCTCATCATTCGATACTACTCTCGGTGGAATCCATTCTGGGCCTTCAAACTTCATGCATGGTGCCAGGTCCTTACTTTACTGTTGACAACCGTCGTGTTTGTGCTTGGGTGGTTCGCGGTCGGTCCAGAGAGAAGTCTGACCAACCCTCATCATGGGATTGGTCTGGCTATCTATGTCTTGGTGATCTTCCAAGTACTGTGGGGCTGGTTTGTGCACAAAGTTGAGAGCAAAAGAAGAAGTCGCCATGTTCCAATGAAGCTTGTGGTAAGTTATGGCTCTTTAAGCGATAATCCGGTGAAATACTAACATGCTCATTCCAGTTCCATCGGTGGCTCGGCCGGGGGCTCACCATCTTGGGCATTGTCCAAATCCCATTAGGACTCACGCTCTACGGCTCGCCAAAGGTCTTATTTATTCTTTTCACTCTAGCGGCTTTTGCGCTTTTAGTGATCTACTTCATCCTCTCATATCGCTACGACACTGAAGGATATCCCATGGGAAGCGCCCATGGCAGTCATTACACTGGACCTGCGGTTACTGAAGAACGCCATCATAGCCGATGGGGAGAAGCATTGGCCGGTGGAGCTCTTGGAGCTGGTCTGGCTGCTATGTTTCGAAGGCGTCGAACGTCGGGTCAAGCTTATGAGGACTCACGCACGTCGTACTCTGACGAAAAGTACTCCGATGAAGTCTCCAATCGCGGAGGTGGATGGGGAAAGAAACTTCTTGAAATAGGCGCACTCGCGGGTGCTGGTCTTTTGGCAAAAGGATGGTGGGATCGAAGGAAGAAAAGAGAGGAAGATGCCGAGTCGGGCCAATACAGACCTGCTCACACGCGGACAGATAGCTACACGGAAGATTCTCTCAGCAGGCTGGAAGACGGACGACCGGAGCCGAGTCACCAAACACCCCTTAATCGCCCTCCGAGCCGCCCACCAAGCCGGCCGCAGAGCCCTGGCTCGTCTTACTACTACAATAGCACCTACTTCACCGAGCCAGAGGGTGGTGGACGCGGCCATGGAATTCGAGATGCGATACTCGGCGCTGGAGCATTTGCCGCCGTGAAGAAGCTGTTTGGGCGCGGCAAAGATGAAGAAGAGAAACGTCGGCTGGAAGACATCCGCCGTCGAGAAGAGGAAGACGAAATGCTGCAGCGAGCAAACAGCAAACGGCGACAACAGTATGCTACGGGTACTTCGGGTGCCGCTGGTGCCGCAGATGCAGCGTTCTACCCCCAGCGAAGGCATACCAGTGCATACAGTGAAAGCGACATCACTTCGACAGATATGACTCCGCGGCCACCTCGACAGCAGTCCCATGGAGAGTCTTTTCTCAGCGCGGAACCCACCGGTACCGTTCATCCTATGCCCTCAGATATCCCCCCTATCCCACCAGCACACCAACAACTGTCGGGAGATCTAAGATCCTCACGACCTCATTCTCATGAGGGAAGAGACTTTGCAGCTGGGGCCGCTGCTGGAGCAGCTGCCGCTGCCGCATCCAGCTACCGTCCGAGCAGCGGTAGCCGGCATCGAGACGAGCACGTTGAATCTCCGCCAGTGTCCGTAAAAGTAAAGATGCACAACGACGGCCGACATGTGACCCTTCGTCGTCTGACAGAAGAAGAAGCAGCCGCGAGTCGTGAAGCACGACGCCGAGAGCGAAATAGCTCTCGCCGACGCACCGGTAGCGCAAGCTCTCTATCAGGTGGCGAGGGCAGCAATGACCGCTGGCGCCGCGTGGAAGAATTGGAGCGCCAACAAGCTGAACAGATGCAGCGTGAGCAAGAAGCTGCTGCCGCGGCTGCAGCAGGGTCAGGAGGAGGGCCATCAGTTGCTCCATCTTCCTACGCCCAACCGTCTCAGATGAGCAATATGCCTCCGCCACCTCCGGTACCACACCCAGCACCCTCAAGCATGCCTTATGGTGCTGGTAGCGTCACATCACCGGGGACATGGACGGGGACCGACGCCAGCGGATCCTACGCAAACAACCGGCGCCGGCGCCGTGCAGAACGAGCTCGCGCACGCCAGGATCGACAACAGTCCCATGGTGTGGAGTTTACCTGATGAATGCATGCATGCTTTGTCCGAACCTGGACGCTTCTACGATCTGTACAAAATGATTTGTTCACTTCTTCTTTTCAAGCTTCGTGTCAATATGAATAGCCCATTCGGTTCGGTTCGGTTCTCTGGGTGTGTTTTGCGAGTACAACGGTAATGGGTTCATTAGCTAGGTTACTTTTCTCATTCTTTTTTATTTATGCCAGCGTTTGAGGGTTCAAAGCCATGGTTGTTTTGTACCGGATTTCCCTCAATATACCAGATCTTGATTCTTTTTCGATTTGCTACAGCAAGACAGAGGGTATTCTCACATACTGCCTCAATTCTACATCCTAGGACTTTCACTTCGTAAATTTTTCGTTGATGCGGCTCCTTGGGTCGATAGCAGTGCCGCATGTAACCAAGTTTTGTTGAAGCGGCTGATATGGTGGGTCGGGGTTTAAGTACAGATATAATCTCAGAAGCCTTCTTTTCATTTCAGGCTAGCCCATACAGAAAAGCTTATAGGTATATCATAGTCAATCCTCCCCTCAGGAACACAACATTCGGAAGAGAATAGGCTCGCGGAAGAAAGGTAACAGAGGTAACAGTTGGAGAGCCAGACAAAGAGAATAAAGAAAATAATACACACCCCGTCTTGGAAGCAGCCATTTCCATCCGATAACGTAAAGCCCGATAACAATACAAGTCTTCCCCTAAAGGCGATGATCACAGCCTACATGGAAGTCGAGAGCTACTCCAAACTTGGACAACAGAAGGATAGCGAACGAAACGAGGAGAGCCAGAATAGATCCGACGAGCCGGAGAGCGAATACCCCGAGAGGCGAGCAGGCCAGAGATCGCGCAATAGAAAAGACAGCAATGGCGAGACGAAGGACCAGCGCTGGTAGAATGAAATTAACCTGCATAACCAGGTCATTCGGGACTGAATAGACAGCAGTGTGCGTCAGCTCCTCAATTCGTCGGGCCGTCGTGTTCATTCCCCACTGAAACACATAAGAATACACTCGCACATTTCGAGACAACGGTTGATCCAGACATTGAATCTTGTGCAAAGAAAAAGAGAAGGCGAAGAGATCACTTTGCGTCGAGGAATGATTGCATTGATCCGAAGGCGTCGACCGGTCAACGGCATTCAAGACTTCTTCTCCCAAAGCAATGTCTCCACCCTCATCGTCGTTGATTTCAGGACGTGCCTGGCCAATTCTGCGGAAGGGGAAGTTGGACAGAGATGAGAAATGGATGCCGAGCCGCTTGTTTGGACGACTTGCCGAGAGCTTGGTCGGACTGCGATACGGAGAAGCTCGAGCATGACAGCGAGTACCTTTCCACTTCTCGTACTGCTTCTTTTGGCGATGCGAGGCGACGTAATCCTGCGGGCGTTCCACTGATGGAACAGGACGACTCATCGGCCGAAGAGGACGCGGGGATTGGGGAGAGAAACGAACACATCGCACCGGCGAGAGGTCCAGTTCCTTCGGTTGGTAGACGTTCACCGGTTTATGCTCACCCATCGGCGACGTAAGAGGGCCCTGTTCATCTGTCGAGAAGCGCAATTTTGATGGTTTAAGCCATCCATTACTATGTGTGTCGTAAGAATTCTCAATCGTCGCTCCCAGCCAGTTTAGGGCGAATGCCCGTTGGGGTGCAGGGCTTGTGGGTATGTTCTCCGTGTCGCACGGCTCACACTGGATACTGTCTCGTTCACTGGGCGAGGCCGGGGTGTTTTGGGGGTTCATCGGTTCAGCGAGGCCATCCAGACCACGGTACCTGTCCAGCGTGACATCCAGCTCAAGATTGGGGAACCAAGCCTTCAGTGTATGAGGTGTTACTTCGCAAGTGTCATCAACATGCGAGGTTGCTTCGCGAGAGTCATCAGCATCGACGGCACACTCCTCGGCCGAGAGGGAGCGGGCATCCTGGGTGAGCTTGTCTTCTTGACTGTCTGCAAGACACAGTCTCTGCGGAGTCTCCTCGAATGCGATGACTGATGAAAACGAAGGGGAAAGGAAGCCCCTAACTGAGGAGTCGGTCATTGTCAGCACGCGGCTATCCACGACGCCCAGGGGATCTGATTTGATCGAGCGAGGATGGACGGGCATGATGGGGTGACGAAGGCAAAGAAGGAAGAAAGAGAGGAAGAAACGAAGCGAGGCAAGTCACGTTGCGAGGAAGGAGCGATGCACAGATAGAACAGAGGATGACAAAAGAGAATTGCTATAATTCTACATCAGGAGAGTGCGCGAGGTGGTTATGTACATCAACAAATCTATTTGAGGTGGGCCTGCAGAGTCTCCAGCACCTGTTCGCGATCATGTCAGTCAAACGGTCTTAATAGTGATCGCATATTATAAGGGATCCCTACCTCCAGCTCAATCTTAGCCTCAGCAATATCCTGCTCGCTGCCGCTGCCGCCAGCAATGCGCTGGGCCTCGGCGATCTGAGCACGAACAGCCTGTATTCGAGTCAGCGTGTTCCACGGCCCGGTACCAAACCCTCCAAAAAACCTACCTCGCTGCTGAACTCCTCAAGAGCAAAGCCCTCGGGGGCGTTAATGCTCAGCTGAGAGTCGGGCTGGACGACGGCAAAGCCACCGGACACTGAAAATCGTCAAGTCAACATTTTTGTTCAACAATGATGCGGTCGGGACGTACGGAAGTACTGCTTGGTGGCGCCACCCTCCTCAATGATCTCCACGAGACCGGGTTTGAGCTGCTCAATGGAGGGAACGTGGTTGGCAAGGACACCCATCTCACCGGAGGCGGCGGGGAGGTTGACCTGGGTACTGTGATCGCGAATCTGTCAGTATCTGCGGCGGGCCGATCGGGCGCAACAAGGGGGTTGGCACATACACGCCAGTCGAGCGGTAGATAGTCTGATGGAGACGAAGAGTTAGTCCTAGGGCCATAGAGGGCAGGGGTCGTTGGAGCTAGTTGAACGCACCTGGTGAGGCAGAGTCAGGGACAGCTTGATCTTGTCGGCGACGGCCTCGGCGTAACCACGACGCTGGATGGGAGCGCCGAACATGGAGGGACGGGCCCTCAGGGCAGAGCGAGCGAAGCGGAGGGAGCTCATGGTGCAATGGATGGGGGTGGTGGTGAAAAGGCAGGCGGATGGATCCCTCTTGACGGGAGATGCAAAGGTCGAAGTCGGGCGGCCGGTTGTTCCCTAGCGCGTCACGTGAGGGCAGTCCAAGGGCTATACTAAACGTCGGGCAGAGAGCAAGGGAGGACATGGGAACGATGGGGGAAAAAAAGATGAAACCGTTTCTCTCGCACAGAATTGTCTATTTCCAAATACTGCGACTGTCTATAATAGTGTTTTCCTTGTCAAGATGAGAGACCAGCCTGGAAGTGAAGAGACTGAATTCGCAGCAAATTACCCAAAGGGAGTGAATTATGCGCTGTCTACGTATGTCTTGGAATTATGTCACCCTGCAAATATCTCTGTAAACAATAATACCTTCTGTATGATTACTAGCAGACCGGCACTCATTCACGATTGTCACTGGCACTATACTTGACTGTCACGTGCCGTCACATGATCCGGCTCGCTTATCTCCCACACAGACAAGCCCTAGTTGGATCCGAGACCGCCTGGACTGACTTGACCGTCTCTTTCAACCTCCCGTTCACCTCAATCAACCACATCCGTCAAGATGGCCAGTACGTGAAGTCTTGTCCTATAAAAACCCTCAGTCACTAATCTTCTTGCGCTACAGAGTCCAAGAACGCCTCCCAGCACCACAACAGCCAGAAGGCTCACCGTAACGGGTGCGTACCCTCCCCAAGATGCGATTTCCTGTCCCTGCACCGCCCTTTTTTTGCGCCTGGAAAGATTTCAAGAGGAGATTGTGCTTGTCGTCAGTGGTTCGGAGGGTTTTTTTGCAGCGCTACAGTGAAACATCCGCCCGGACCATCGACCGACAAATCCTGAGCATCGCAACATCACATGAATCTTGACAATCGGACGCTGACACCTCGTCCTCAAACAGTATCAAGAAGCCCAAGACCAACCGTTACCCTTCCCTGAAGGGTGTCGACCCCAAGTTCCGTCGCAACCACCGTCACGCTCTGCACGGCACCATGAAGGCGCTGGTACGTTTACAATTGCCATCGACATCCACCCTTCGACAAACACAAATACTAATCCATTGAACAGAAGGAGCGCAAGGAGGGCAAGCGGGAGATCGCATAAACGTGGAGAAACACAAAATGTGGAAGGACTCGGTGAACATAACGTTGCGATGAAAACCCGGACAACCGTGGTCCGCCGTGTTCGAAGAGGTCTGGTTATTCCGTTGCGCGACGTGTCCGGGGTTGTGTGAGATACAGAAATCAACAGGCTTCAAATTCGATTTTAACGCTCGGCGGTGCCAACTGCTAAACAAGTTTCTCGATCTGGATTTCCCCAGCATGGGGCAAACTCTCCATATTTCCTTCCCTTCTCCTTCCCGGCATATGTGTGTACAGCTGCGCACCTCTCCTCATGTGCGATAGCTGAAGGATTTTCTACGTGCCAAGAGCGTCTTCCAGGTCGTCCTCCATTTACCAATCGCCTGTTTGTGCTCCTTCAAGCGAACAGGTGCACGGTTGGATGGCCACATCCCGTCTCCGTAAGCCGTAGTTTTGACAAATTCCTCTCGAAAGTTATCGATCTAGGTCTGGTTTTCTATTCTACATCTATGCAATCTCAGGTTTTGCTATCACATACCTATCATTCCGAACCCGTAGTATACATTCAAACTATACCTTCCAAATCACCAACCGTTTATCAAATCCCCCACTGATGACCCATTCCTCCTGAGCCGGCTCCTCGCCGTCACGAGGCACAGAAACATAGCCAGCCCAGACCGTGCGCACTTTACAACCCCGCTCATGCCCGTCCTTAAGGATAGCAACCACCTTCCCAGTCTTAGCCTCAATGCCGCGCACCACGCCATCGTCCCCATTGACCCAAACACCCGACCCGTCAGGCCGCCACGCTACCTGCGGTGTCGAGTACGCCGTCTGCGGCGCAAAGGTATTGGCCTGCACGAGGATGGCGGCGTCCTCGCGATTCTGCAGCGCCAGCGCTGCGAAAGCCTGAGAGGCCTGCGTCACGGAAGCCTCGGAATTGTCCTCTGTGTGAGATGTCTTCGTTGACGGGAACAATAGCCGCACGATGATGACCTTGAGATGCGGCAGCGTCGACGTAGCTACTGCTAGTAGACCTGGGTCGTGTGGACTTAGTGCCATGTGTGCAGGGGAGAAGGCTACCCAGGCATTAGAATGGGGTGCCAGATTCTGGTGTCCAAGGAGCTTGCTCTCCGGGACTGGTGGTTGGGCGTCATTCTCGGAGTCGGTGACGCCTTGCGGTATGGAATCCACTCCGTAGTAGTAAAGATAGGTCGAGTCCTTTCGTGAGACAAGCAGGAGCAGCTCGTCAGTGTCGATGTGGCGTACAAAGAGCAAAGATTCTGGGTTCGTGACTAGCTTGATGCGTGCAACAGGATTCCCAATTGCAAGTGCTGAACTGTCTACTCCGTCTGGGATGCTGAGACAATACAGGTAGACCATCGCATCCCAACCAGCGGTAGCAACCCACAGCTTTCGGGGAGAAGTACTGGAGCCGCATCGGTCTTCGTAAGCGACCACCTTGACGGCGTATTTCGTATGGTCTCTTCTGGTATCCAGGGTGTCGGAGCCACGCTGGAGGAGTACTTGGCCGGACATGTTGGTCATCAAAATATACCGACCTTGCAAGACGGATACATAAGAGAGCACGGGTGAGTCAGATATCCCGGAGAACGAGACAATGGTGTTATTGCCGACTGCAGTGTCGAGCAGATGAACTTTTCTATCTGCGCCAGTGGACACAATGTAGCCGCGTTCTGACTCCGCGACATCTTCGTTCTCGCAAGGCTTCCGCCAGCGTTCGACTGATGCAGCGAGTAGATTCGCTGATGTCGGTGTCTGCACAATGTTTGGTTTTGAAGGTGCTGCCACAATTAGCTGGTGTCGAAGGCGAACAATAGTCAAGAATATCTCACCTGGAACACTCCAAAGACCCTTCTCTGAGCTATCTGCGCCATATCGCTCAAAATTCACGCTCTGGTCGAAGGTTTTCTTCTCCTCGAGCAGGCTTTGAATGGTCCAGTTGTTCGTGTCGTCGCCGGAGCTCTGCCCCACATCCGGAGCAAGACTGGCCTCGCGGATGAACGCACCGAGAGTCTCGGTGTAGTTGTTCGTTCGCAGGAATCGGGCCACCAAGGCACTGGCTAGAGCATCGACCGATGTGGAGGGAGCCATGGTCGCCGATGCACGCCTACGGGGTGGGGAGGATGGAGGCGGGAGAAGATATGCCGCGGCGTATCATGATTAACTATCAGAGCTATTATTGACAATGCCCAACACCAACGATTCCTCAACTCGAATTATACGTATGTTTCATTGCATCATAAGGCAGTTCTATCTACTAGATTCTGAATCTCAAAACACCTGTTGATTGGCAAACGCCGGATATCCTCGATCATGCTGATGAAAACATTCTATGAAACGCAAATGCACCGCCTCCTGTTCAAGACCTCGGTGGCTTCAGCCAAACATGTCCTCGGCACGCCGCCGTTGTCCTCCACGCCCTTGCAACGTATTTGAGAACAATTCTTTGCCAGAATTGTCTCCGTACTTGGAGGGAAACAGCTCCCGAACTGAGGATCCCTTTCCTTTAATGGAAATGCCATTTGCTGCACCTCGGATGGCCCATCCTTGATCCTCCGAAGTAAGCCCACGCATGGCAGCACCTTGGTCTTCATCACGGTCTGGGAAGAGCTCAACATTTCTGTTCCGCTGCGGCTTATCAGAGCTCCCGTCAGTAAGCGGGACAGAGATCCTTCGGCCAAGCAGATCGGCCGTCTCGTCTGCAGCATCAAACGCGTCCGAACGTCGGTGGTTACTTGCTTTGCTATTCTGGTTCTGGATGTAGCTGGAGGCCGGCTTGTTAGGGAAGAGCTCTCTTGCGCCCGAGTTGCCGCCCTTGGTTGGAAAGAGCTCTTTGCCTTCGTTGCGGCGGCCGAGTCGTGGCGACCGCTCACGGAAACGTCTGCTCTGGCCGGCGCGATCAACCCTGTCATTGTCCTCCAACGTGTCGCGACCGGGCGACGCGCTGCGATTGCGAAGGCGCCCGAATGTTTGATCCTCATCTTCCGGGAATAGATCTCTCCGACCACGGCCTCTTCGCCCCCGTGTACCGCGATCAGAGTCTGAATAGCTGCCACCATGATCGTCGTACATGTCGACGTTGAACCGGTCCTCCCCATCACGGTCTCGGCGTCGTCGCAGCTCGCGGTCATCAAACCGACGCCGCCGGTAGTCACCATCGCTAGAGTCGCCGCCACCATGTTGTCTTCGTTCGTCTAGTTCCCGTCGTAGGCGCTCTCGGGGATCGTGCTCCGGGTGCATAAGATAGAATCGACTAGCTTCATGGGCACGAGCCTTCTTGCGGTCGGTCTTGACAGCCGAGCGCACCTGGAGGACCGAGTCTGGGTGCGTTGACAGGAGCTTGGCCGAGCGTAGACGCAGAGGCGGCAAGGCAGACGCGTCTCCTTCCTCACCGGCCTGCGTAAAGGCAGCGAGTGCTTGGAGGCCGATCTCGGTGGAGGAGTAGATAATGTTGGCGGATGTATCGTCAATCCACTCAATGCGCGATGGCTGCTCCTGCTCAAAGTGGCTGCTGGCGAATTGTCTGATGTTGTCGGTTGTCATGTCGTCCACGCCCCGGACGTGGACCTTTTCGTACAGCGCATCCGCTTCGGCAGTGAGCGGATCGACCATTCCCTCCACGTGTCCCACATCCTATAAAGTCCTCGTGTTAGGATGCGAGAAATCTAGGGGCATGTCATGCCAAAGTGACGACTCACCATCGCGATGGGCTGAGGCTCAGGCTCGGGGGCCAGGCCCAGGTCCAGGTCCATGTCCATGTCCATTGATGCGTCAGCAGTCGCAATGTGGTGTGCGCCCGATGGTTGCTTGATTGTCTTATAGCGAGGCTAGACGGAGAGCAAGAAGAGAGGTGAGTGAATTTCGGGGACGAAAAAGCAAAGCGTGAAGGCGAAGCTGTTGGGTTGGCCTGATCGGGTTAGTGCCCGTGTGGGGGACGATTATGTCATGGGCCGTTTGACACCTGGTTTGTGAGGTGTCAAGGGTTCTCGCTATCTACTGACAGTAATAATGAGAACAGGAAGAGGAAAGTAGAACTCCTACATTTACGGTGTGGATCTGAGGAACATTCGGCTGAAATGCCACGACTTCCTCAATTGTATCACCATCGACCGTTAACTTAGTTTTGATCAATAGATGCTATCGATCAAACTTTAGGTCAACCTACAATTTCTTAGGGTCGCGAAGGAAGGCTTTAGATAGCATCGCTGATCTTTTTTAGGGAACAATTTGTCTAGATACGAGTACGAACAAGTGTCCGAATCGAAAGGAGAAAAATTCTTTCATTGGAGTGCAATAATATGACTTGTCAAGGCTAGGCACGATTAGAAGTTTCTTTGTTCGTTTTCGTTCGATGGTTCCTGAATCATATCAGTACTCAGCTATGTTTCCCTAATTATGTTCGTCTTCGAGTTGTCTTGCAAGACCCTTATCCATAGTCGCAGCATCACGCTTGATTCATAGTCATTTGGTTGTTCGTAGCTTTACTTATGTATGAGTCAAAACCTCCTAAAGCTGGCGCTTAAAGTAGAGCTTATGGTTTCCGTCTAGCCAACTGTCGAGATGCTCTGGAGAACAACCTTGAATTCTGGAGGGAGGTCTGCTCATCTGACATGACCGCGGTATACGAATTGCTATGTAGTCTGACGGCGACATCACACACTCTGACGCAACCAACGTCGAGGCAAACTTGGTATGGAGCAAGGCAAAGAACTACAACGGCAAAGGCATCCGGGTGTTCTGGCTAGACGAAGCGGGACCTGAATACTCCATCTATGATTTTTATATCTACCACTATCATGCCGGCAGCAATCTCCAGATCGATAACATTTTCCTGCTAGGAATACATGCATGGCTTCTATGAATGCATGCGAGAGTGAGGTCAAATGAATATTGCGAGACATCTCTACGGTGCGGCTGGCCAGGCAGCCGGAATACGGGGCGTTGTTTGGAGCGGTGACATCACGTCTTCCTGTGACTCGTTTCGGAATTAGCTCGCTG